ATAAAGAGCAGGTAATACTATAGTAAGGATTAAATTAAAAAGGTATACTAGTATATTTATCTACTCCTAGATTTATATAAGATATTAGTTAGGTAAGGAATAATCCTTTATATAGTATACTCTATCTCTATAGTAGAAATATTCCTTATACTTATATTATCCTTCCTTAGGAGAGTATAGTATATAGTAGGTATAAAATAAATCTATAGTATCTAAATCTTTTCTAGGCGCAGGGGGTATAACAGGGTAACTAAATAGGATAGAACTAGGGAAATTCCTTAGTACTACCAGGCTAGAGTAGTAAGAACTAGGTATTAGGTAAGAATAAGATACTTATAGCTAGTATTAGTAGTAGTAATTTTCTAGTAACTAGAAGTAGTTAGTATATTCTTAAAAGTCTTAGAATAGAGTAAGGTTATAAAGTAATATATCTTAAAATTTAATTAAGATATTTTAGATTAGAAAGAATATTAAGGAGTTATTAAGTATTTCCCCTTCTAAAATAAGGTAATAAAACTTTATAAAGTAAGTATTAAAGTCTAAGTTTCTCTATTTCTAACTATAAAGGTAGTTCTAAGTATTTTAAACTTAATTAAGGTCTCTAAATACTATTTCTAGATAATTAAGTAGGTTAGGATAATCTAGGAACTAGGGGATACTAAATCTTATTTTAGGTAGGATTAGTTTATAAGCCTTTCTAATTAGGTATCCTACTATATAGGTTAGTTAGGCCTTAGTAGCTAGAAAATAATCTAGATTAGTATCTAATTTATTATAAATCTATTATATAAAATAGTAGAAATTAGAATAAGTATTATTAAATTCTTATAAATTAGGGAGTTTCTTACTAAGATAGGTACTAAAGAGTAGGCTAGTAGAAATAGGTATAAGTACTCCTATTATATTAGCTACTATAGCTTTAGTAAGAGGGGTATATTTAGTAGAGGTAGGAATAATAATAGGAGTAAGTATAGTAAAAATAATAGTAATCTATAATATAATAAATACATGCTTAGATTTAATTAACTTCTATTAAATAGCTTCTAGTTCTTCCTTCTAGTATAGTACTATTCCTTCCTTCTTAGCTAGCTCTAGGCTAGCTTTATTAACTTAGTTTTAAAAGGCATGAATCTCCTTTTTTAAGGAATTAGTATATTTATTACAGGACCTGAGGTAAATAATCTAAATAATAAAGTTATTTATAATATAGCTTATAAATTTCTTGACTAAGTCTATAATTAGGGGTGGTTTAGGTTATTTTAACATGCTAGTAGTAACCATATCTAGGGTAGGAGCTATATAATATCACGGAGGGCAGGTAGGCAGTAGATGTAGTTAATAGCAGGATATATATTCAGGCTATCTGTGTATAGATACAACAGGTAGGGGTTAGGTTAGGACAAGGACATAGCTTAAAGAGCTACAACAGGATTAGGGGCAACATGGCTTAAATACAGGAGTAGAGGCGGACAGTTAGGGCAGAATCTAACTAGATAGGTACACAGCTACGCCGTGACAGATAATATAGTATATCTACTATTCTAAGCCCTATATAGATTATAATAGTTAGTATTTCTTTAGTATAAGAAATTTTATAATATTCTAGTAAAAATTAATATAAAGGTAATTAATAAAGACCTATGTTTCTATTATAATCTAGACTAGTAGTTAATACTTATTATCTATATTAATAATATAATAGTTACTGGCCCTAATAAAGTAAATATTTAATAATTTATAGATAAGCTAGAAAGATATTTTAAATTAAAGTAACTAGGTAAACCTATATAATTCTTAAGATATAATATTTATAGATTACTTAGTAGTCTAATATTAATATTCTAATATATATATATCTAAAAGATACTCTATAAATAGAATTTCTATAGTCTTTAGCTATATTATATACTAATAACTCTAGAATAGAAATTAATTAGAGAGATATTAAATACTAGTAATATTATTTTAAATATTATATATACTTCTATAGATGAAGATAATATTACTTATTACTAGGAGTTAACTAGATTATTAAATTAGATTATTATTTAAACCTAACTAGATATTTAATATATAATAATATAATTATTATAGAGGAATTATAATCTTAGTAAGTTAAATTATAATATAATTAAATAAGTTTTCTAATATTTAAAGAAGATCTTAGACTATATAATAGTTCTAGGTTATTTAAATAATTTATTATATATATATATTAATATCTTTCATGTAGATTATAAAGATAAGAAATTAATAAAAGATTTTATATTTTTTATATTTAGAGTACTAATTATATAGAGATTAGTAAAGTAATTACTAGTTACTCTAAGTTTAATTATTACTAAATTTATTATATAGGATATAATAATAAAGCTAGTTATATAGCTATAAAAGCTATATATAATTATTAGACTAGAATAGTCTATAAAAAATACTATATTTTTATATATTAATTCTATAAATACTATTATATTAGTAAAGAAGCTAAATTATATATCTATATTTTATTAGATAGATATTTACTACTTCTTTATAAAAGAGGTAATTAAAAATAGTAGAATTTAGCTATAAATAATTAGTAAAGAGGATAATATTACTAATAAGCTAATTAAGGTACTACTAACTATAAAATTTAATAAATTTATTAAGAAGTTAGGTTTTAGTAGGTTAGAAATAGATTCTAAATAGCTTTATATAATAGATATATTATTAAGGGGGGTGTGTTAGAGTACTGTATTTAGTAAATATAACTAGTACTATTATAAAGCAGTATTACCATAAAGAAGAAGATAATGACATGTGACTACTCTATATATTTAAGGCCACTGTTTCCTTCTAGATCTCCATGCTTCCTCCAAGCATCTCTCTATTTCCTAGTTAGACCAATTGAATCCATTTCGGTCAACTTTCTACCATCATAGTTTGATGACCTCTCATCATATATTATTATATGAAGGTTTTATATTGTTACGAGCCACGTAAGAGAAAGCGGGACGATGTCGGGCTAGCGGTCCTATCCCACCCTTAGTACTATAGTAGTGCATGACATTGTCGCGATAGTCTTCCAAAATGGAGTAAGCCACCACACGCGCAGGTTCGTTCCGCTATGATTTTGGACCAGGAGTCTGTCCAAGTTTGTGGAGATGCATCCGACAAGCCAGGGGTAATACGAGAAATTCGTCTACTCCGTTGACCTGTGCAGAATCCAGGTGCCTTGGTAGAAGCACTGCCATCGCTCCGCCTGTGCTGGCTTATCTAGACCTCGGCTCAACCACATGGAACTGGATCCGAAGGAGTCATGACGTCTACGGAGTATGACTCTACGGTTCCTAGAGTAAAAAAAAACCCCAAAAAGGGGTGTTGGGGGCAATCTAATGGGGTTATCCGTTCTGTGTGTGAATAATTGTTCCGTAAGATTAATGGAAACCAGAGTGGACCTAGGATATCAGAAGTATTTTAGCCGCTGAACCTATTCATTTGCCCTTTTTATACCGCTGCGTGTCTCTAGCGTGGAGATTTGAGAGTCTTTCCAGGCAAGAAGATGTCGCCCGTAAACCGATTGACCATCTTCCTGGAAGAGACCGAGAATACCCCAGCCCTGTATCAGAGATCCGACGGAAAATTTCATCTGATGCGAGCCAAGGGTCAAGGAAGGAAGGAATGCCAGGGGAAGCTTAGCAGGAGTGCGTATCTAAGCATTCAATCTGGCCCAGCGGCCGAAGCAACTCACGAGCAGCCTAACGCTCCACCGGATCCAATAAAGAGATCCCTACATAGTATGGCTGGAAAAGCGAAGATAGGATTGGCCTGGGACGTAGAGTAAATCGCCGTAATTCCGCCGAAGCTAAGCAAATATCAAGGTTAGTTCCAGCGCATTCTCGTCAAGCCACCAATAGCCGATGAATTGCAGGGCTTGGAATTTGTATACCCAAAGTCAATTAAACTACCTAAACCGATAGGATGCTCGTATTTCGCGGCTGAACTGGTAGGTGGCGTAAGAAAGGCTTAGAATTCTTGAGACTCGGGGGCAGCCTGTGCGTATCTCGCGGTTATTTTGCCCCAGGACTCTGGCTAGAACCTCCGCTTCAGGAATTGTATACGGATTAATAGTTACTCTGGCTGATCAATAGCGCGCCCCGAGCCTTTATTTCTATATTATTTTGGGTTCTCCTAGGATTTTAGGTTGGAAATTCGCCTCCCTGGGAAAGAAATTGAAAATTCGGCACGGGAGCCATAGGATGTAATGAGATTCGCTCAAGGCCCCGAATAGGACCTGGTGGGAACGGGGTCAAGCTATTAATAACCTCCCTCGAGAGATAGTTGGTTACACTAGCTAGTTATCTGCTGGAGTACTACGTACTACCCAGTACCGTTATGGAGGTAATCGCTGGCGCCAGATCCTGGGCCATTTTTATTGCATGATCCCCATTGAGATCTCAGGAACAAGGCCCGAATGAGTTCGTCTAGTGGATCACCACGTTTTTTTGGAGTCCAAACCCTAGGGCCTACCTACGTCCGGAGCACTGCGCTGGGAATGTCCCATTTGTCCAACTTGAACGTTCGGGGGTTGGACCGGAGTTCCAACCGTATTCAGAATAGTCGACCCTAGAAGAAAGAAAAGACAGTTGCAAAGTCGGCTAGATCTGCCCGGACGAGCGATGGGTCATGGCCATGATCGAGGCTTGTAGAATGGTTCCTCCAACCAGCGCTCCGGATACTAGGGCTATCGTCCAGTTCCGAGCCATTCTATGCCGCTCCGAGTACGCTGAACCGTGGACATGAAGCTCGGTGGGCCCAGGGATCTTATTTTCGCCAGGAGAATTCGGCTACTTTTGCCTTTGGATTCAGGAACAGAGGAAAGAAAAACGCCACCACGCTCGATCAATCTATTTTCCTGCAGGGGTAAAAGATATATGTACTCCCGTGCGTCCCCAGCAAGGTGAATCCTTCCATCTGGTCGAATACGCATCCAGAGGTGGTGCAGATTCATCGTCGTCATCATGTATCTCTGGTCGATGCTGGGCTTTACAAGCCTGGCATTTGCTCAGAGCTGCGTGGCCACATTTTCATCTTCATCGACCGTTGTCCAGGCGGCTGCTACAACACTGTCGACATCGACTGCAGCAGTGGCTACTGGTACACTCACGGCCGAGACGACCGCTACCACCAGTGTTTCCAGTAAGTGCGATTCATTCCTGTTCTTATCCGCGGGACGTCGACTTTAGGTACTAATACCAACCGCAGCGTCTACTACCGAGGTGTTGGTTGCGACGGATGCCAGCGGCCAGTTCACGGCCATCAATGATGCCATTTCCTACGCCCAGTCCATGGGCATCCCAACTGTGACAGTCAAGGCCGGAACATACACCCAGGCAGTGACGGTGTCCGCTACTGCTACCGTCACGGTCATTGGCGAGTCGACCAGCGAAAGTGACTATAGCCAGAATCAAGTTACCATCGCGACTACTAGCCCTCTCACTATCTCTGCGAATGTCCTTGCCATTGCCTTCCGCAATATCAACTTTGTCAACACGGCCACCGGTAACTATGGTGCAGCAACTCTGAGCGGCAGCCAGAATGCCTTCTATGGTTGTCAGTTTGTTTCCGCAGGCAGTGTCGGTATTACAGCACAGCCGGGTCTTGCAGTGATTGCGAACAGCTACATTGAGGCTCTCGATAAGGTCATCTATGGCTACCCCAGTCTGTACCTTTATAACACTACTGTCGTTCCGGTGCATTCAAATGCCTTGCTCGTGTACAACAAAGGGCTTACTGCCAATTCGGTGTTCTCCAACTCCACCGTGGTTTTTGACTCCTGCTCTGTGCAGCAGAAGTCCGGTGGCAGTGCTCAGAATGTCTATCTCGCTGCTGCAAATGGACAGGGATCTGTGGTGGTATATCGCGGCACCGCACTCGGCGGATTCATTGCGGCGTCTGGCGTTCACGTCGATTCGACCACCAATAATGCGCTGAACTTCTACGGCGAGTATAAAAACACTGGCTTGGGTTCGTATGGCAGCAATAGTGCGGCGCGCTCCCCCTACGTCTCTCTTTTGAGCGCCGCCGACCTGGCACGGTTCTCCCTTGCGCAAGTATTTGCCAGCGCCAACGCTCAATTTGCAACGACCAGCACCGACTGGGTCGATAGTGACGTGGTGGCCGCAATTGAAAGTGCCGACGCTGCCCAACTGACAGCAGCCACGAGTGTGACCACGTCCACTACGACATCCAGCGTGGCGTCTTCTTCTGTCCCCTTAATCACCAAGGCTTCTACGACCTCTACCAAGTCAGTATCTGCTTCTTCATCTGCTGCCATAGCATCCGCAACCGGATGTCCCTTGCCATCATCGATGCCCACCAGTGCCCTAGTTGTCGGACCTTCCGGCAGCTGTGCGCAGTATACTAGCATCGCTGCCGCGGTTGCAGCCCTGCCGTCGGATACTACTACGCAGTACATTTATATCCTGGCAGGTGTTTATGAAGAGGCTATTACCATTAGTCGCGGGGGAGCCACCGTATTCCGGGGTGAAACCGACGACGAGCTCGACCAGACGAAGAACCAAGTGACGATTATCCACAGCGCTTCCATTTACTCTAGTAATGGTGGCTCTGCGTCCACGGCAGCTTTTGATGCAACGCAGTATTACGCTAAAGGCCTATCATTCTACAATATCAACTTCACCAACGATGCCACCCCTCAAACGAACTACATCGCGGTGGCCATCGCAGCCAAGGCACAGGTGTTGGGCTTCTATGGCTGTGGCATCAAGTCCTCACAGGGCAGTCTCTTGGTCAACTACGGCGCATTTTATTTCTCGGATTGCCGGATTGAGGGCACCACAGACTTCATCTGGGGATACGGTGGCATCTATGTGTATAACTCGCGCATTGTCTCGGCCGTCACCACCACCGGACAGTCTATTACCGCCCAGGCGTACCAAAACCAGTTCGGGCCGTCGCAGTTTGTCTTTGATAGTTGTGCCTTTGTCCCCAGTGATAGTACGGTTCCAAAGTATAGCACCTACCTCGGCCGAGACTACTCCAGCGTCTCCAAAGTAGCCATCCTCAACTCCTATATGGACGCGCATATCGTGCCCCAGGGCTGGTTGGTATCCTCGTCGAGCAGCAATGTCGGGTTTGCCGAGTATAACAACACCGGCCCGGGCGCATCCACGAAGTCCAGGATCAGCGCTGCCCAGATGCTGTCGGATGATAGCGCATACTCCATCGCAAACGTCCTGGGAAGCACGAATTGGATCGACACATCGGCGGTTGCATCATTCTCGGGCTTCCCGGACTCTGTGTACAGCTCGTCGTCTACCGTATCTGCTTCCAGTACAGCAGTGTCGTCCAGTATCGCCTCCGCTACCAGCGCCGCAGCAACGAGCTCAGCAACTTTGGTAGTGTCTCCAAACGCGTCTGCAGGACAATATCGCAATGTCAGCGCGGCAATTGCTGCGTTGCCTAACGACGGTAATGATTACACGATTTACATCTTGGCTGGTACCTATACAGAGCAGATCTCGATCACCCGATATGGCAAAGTCACACTACGTGGCGAGACCGCGTTCGAGAACGATTACACCCAAAATCTTGTCACGATCGAGTACGCCGCCGGCGCGTTAACGAGCGCTGGGCAAGATGAAAGCACGCCCGTCCTGAACGTCAAGAAGACAGACGGCAGCGGCCTAGCCCTGTACAACATCAATTTCCACAATACTTATAAGCAGACACGGAACACTGCAGCTCTGGCGGCTGATTTCTACGGTACCGAGATGGCGGCCTATGGCTGCTCGTTTATCGGATACCAGGACACTCTGTTGGCAAACCAGGGCACTCAAGTCTTCTCCAATTGCTATATCGAGGGCTCGATTGACTTTATCTGGGGATACTCAACCGGATATTTCCACCAGTGCTATATCGCCACCAATACGCCCGGGTCGTGCATTTCAGCACAGAGCCGTACTTCCTCGACCGCGTCTGGTGGATACGTTTTCGACACTTGCTATGTTACCTACACTGACAGCTACGGTTCTACGTATGGCCAGAGTTACCTGGGCCGGCCGTATTCGGAGTATAGCATTGCTGTCTACATGAACTCGTACCTGGACAAGCATATCAGTGCTCTGGGCTGGCAAAAATGGTCCACCAGCCAACCTAATACCGAGTATGTGACCTTTGGCGAATACAACAACTCAGGCCCCGGCGCCTGGTCCTCGGAGAGAGTTTCTTTCGCCACAAACTTGACTGCCGCGGAGGCGGCATCGTATACCCTGTCGGCATGGATTGGTGACACCTCCTGGTTGGATATGGCGGCCTACGACTCCGTGCCTTCGTACAACCTGACTGGGTCGTCAACTTCCTCGTCTAGCTCCGGAGCCAACTGGACTCACCCTACTAGTGGCACTGTTCCTCCCTCTGGCGCGGTTCTTGTCTCGCCCGGTGGATCGGTGAATGGCTCGTATAGCAATCTGACAGATGCCCTGGCCTCGTTACCGGATGACTCCTCGACACAGATCATCTTCATGTATGCTGGCTCTTACAACGAGCAGGTGCCTTCAATCAACCGCGATGGACCGGTCATGATCATTGGCTATCAGACGGGGAATCCTGGCCAGAACTACACGAGTAATGAGGTCACGATTACTTTCTCGCATGGGTTGTCCGTTAGCCCTCTGCCAGTCGGCCATTCGGATGCCGAGACGGCCACCTTCTCGACGACTAGCAACCAGATTGCCCTATATAACATTAATATCATCAACTCGGCCAATCTAGATGGGGCTACTCCATCATATGTAACTCTCGCTGCCTCGATTTACGGCTCGGAGATTGGCTTCTACGGTTGCAGCTTCATCGGCTGGCAAGACACCCTGTTGACCGGCAGCACCACGGGATATCAATACTATGAATCTTGTTACATCGAAGGTGCTATTGACTTTATCTGGGGATACTCCATGGCCTACTTCAAGGGCTGCACTATCGGCGCCAAACGCCAGAAATCCGCCATCACTGCACAAAGTCGCGCCTCGTCCAGTGCTCTTGGTGGCTATGTTTTCGACCAGTGCCTGTTCGAGTCCGCCCCGGACGCAACGGTTGATCTGACGCAAAGCGTTTATCTCGGCCGACCATACTCGGAATACGCTCTGGTAGTCGTGAAGAACTCGTATCTTACCGATACCATCAACCCCGCAGGATGGAAGGTCTGGAGTACGCACGATGCTCGCACCGACCATGTCACATTTGCCGAGTACAACAACTCTGGCCCTAGCAATTGGGAAAGCAATGCCGCGGCACGTGAAGCCTTTGGCTACTCCACGTTGCTGACCTCGGATACGTACCCGTTGGCGGGGGTCATGGGCTCGACTGATTGGATTGATATGACCTACTGGGACAGCATTGTGACCCCGGAGCCGGCCTCAACTACCACTACCTCCAATTCCACCACCGCCTACAATGGAACCACTCCTCCTGCGGGCGCTTACGTCGTCTCCAAAACAGCCATCACCAATGTCACCACTTACGGTACCATCCAGGACGCTCTCAATGCGTTGCCAACTTCGAGCAAGGAGACCCCCGTGGTCTTCATTTACCCGGGCACGTATGAGGAGCAGCTGGTCGTCAATCGATCCGGTACGACAATCTTCATGGGATACTCCAACAACACCTCCGATGCCGCGAGCAATCTAGTGACCATCCAATACAATGCCGGGGTGAGCACACAGACAGGCCAATCGGATTCGGATAGCGCTACTGTTTATGCTACCGGGAATTACTTCAAGGCTATGAATATCAATTTTGTCAACAATTTTGGAAGAACCACAAACATTGCCTCGCTGGGATTCGCGGTGAGGTCTAGCAAGTATGCTTCCCTATACGGCTGCCAGGTGATCGGAAACCAAGACGCGCTGTTGGTAAACGGATACCTTTTTGCCAGTCATAGTTACGTCGAAGGCAATGTCGATATGATCTGGGGCTCCGGTGCGGGTTACCTCCTGAACTCGACCATCTCTCCCAACGAAGACGGCATCAGCATTACAGCCGACAAGCGGAAAACGAACACCACCGCTGGTGGATTCGTGCTTGACCAGTGCACTGTCAAACCCGCCGCATCTGTCACCGGCAGTCTCTCTAAAATCTCCCTCGGACGGCCATGGAACAACTACGCACGGGTTGCCTACGTCCGCTCATATCTGGCTTCCTGTGTCGAGGCCGCCGGGTGGGACGTGTGGTCGACCAAAAGCCCGCAGACAGATGGTGTGCTCTTTGGCGAATACCAGAACTACGGTCCCGGAGCTTCAACCGCGAATCGTGCGTCCTTTGTGACGATGCTGGACAACAGCACCGTGGCGCAGTTCGAGCTGACTTCTTTCTTCGCATCCACCTCATGGATCGACTTTACGCTCGTTGAGGGCACTCCCTTCGTGCCGGGTTCATGGACCACCAATACTACTACTACCACCAGCATCACCGCGTCGTCCACCCCGGTCCCAAGTGCTGCCTGGACCACAGTGGTGACCGTCACCGACAAGGCTACCGCGTACACAACCTATACCCCTGCTCACGTAACGTCAACGGACATGGTCACCACGACCGATGACATCGGTACCACCGTGACTCCATCCGCGTCGTTCAAGACCGTAGTGCAGAAGACAACGATCTCGACGACTGTGACCATTACGGAGCCGACTGTGACCAGCACCAAGACCACCATCATTACCAATAATGATATGGTCACTATCACTCCTGCCGCCGAAACCAAGACCAGCAAAGTCAAGGGCAAAACCACCGTGCTCGCCACTGAGACCGAGGCCGATATCACATCCACCATCAAGGCGACATCGACTTCGTTTGAGGTGGTGACCGCCACAGCCAAACCCGTAACCACTACCGACATGGTGACCTCTACAACGACTAGCCTCAAGACGGAGATCCCACGCGGGGCGAAGACCACTGTGTATACCACCATCACCGAGGGCGACAGCGGTACCAAGACGGTGAGAGCAAAGGACACCACCACCACCGTCGCGGTGACGTCCACCGAGACTACCACCAAGACCGTCAAGACTACCATCCACTGCTACCCCACGCAAGCTAAACGAGCCCTGGTCATGGCGCGCGCCATCATTCCCACTAGTTCGACGGTCACGCAGTATTCCACCGTGACCGTCACCGTCAGCACTTCAACCGTCACTGCAGTCCCTACGACGGACTACGTGACGGTGACTTCGACCAAGACCACGGGTAAGACCACGACGCTCAAGGCCGCAACCAGCACCATCACCAGCGTCGCCGCCACCACCAAGGTCTCCACGGAAACCATCCGCGCCGTCACGGCCTTTGTGACGGAAACCAGCACCAAGACCGTGGGCAAGACGACCACCCTGAAGCCTAGCACCACAATCGACACCATCACGGCGATGGAAACCGTCACCTCCAAGGTCAAAGTCCCTGGCCAGACTCACACGGTCACCAGCGTGAAGACCAAGGCTGTCAAATCCACCACCATGCTACCGCGCAGCACCGTGACGGTGTCCAAGACCGTCATGAAGACCCTGAAGCAGACGACCACGCACCCGGCTTCAACCAGCACCATCTTCAAGACCACGACGGTGACCCTGGCGCCGTCGGTGACGATTACTTCGCGTGGCACCAAAACGAAGACCGAGATCCTCAAAACCAAGGTCACCGAGACCTACACGCAGACTAAAACGGCCAAGGGCGCCAAAGCCTGCGCGACGAACTAGATCCTAGTCTTTCTTTTTTTTTTGTTTCCTTTTTCTCTCTCTATCTTTCGCTATCTTTTCCTTTTTTTCTCTATATCTTTCTCTACCTTTTTTCTTTTCTCTCTGTATCTTTCTCTATCTCTTTCATTTCTCTGTATTTTTTCTTTATATTCTATTGTCTCTTCTTCTTCTTCTTCTTCTTTTCTGTACATATTCCATTCTCTGATCGGATACATTTACATTACAACTGCAAAGATGCTGGTGTGGCATTGTTAATAAATATGTTTAATCTTAATATGTATATCACTTGCTTTCCCTTGAGAAACCTACTTATAGACAGTCGTTGGAACAGAAAATAGGGTCAGAACATACCTAAACTAGGAGTTACTCTCTAGATCGATATATCTCTGGATGCATGCATCTCCCGGCAGGCATTGCTCATTTCTAATCCTGAATTTCTCCATCTTCAAGTCCAGATCAATCAACCCATTATGCTGTTTTTGGATATGGTAACCAATGGACGGGGGGGGGGGCTTCTCTGGAACGATGTATTTATTAGTTGTTAAGAATCATTCAACGTACTAATCCCAACCTAGGAAGTGCTGGGGCGAGGAGGGATGGATGCCACTCGCAAAATTGATTCTAACAACCCATGGACGTAGTATAGTAGTCCCCTGGATCCCAAGTGGCAGGGTACTGAGTTGTTGATTGAGCCATCACAGGGACAAACTGGTCCCAAGACAGCAGGGGGTTTTTTTCGGATAAGGCCGGCAGGTCGTCGTCCGTCTCGTATTCAACCTGGCCTACAATATCTGATGCTTCAGAAAAGCTCTGGTTGGCGAGAAGCTGAAAATGACGCTGGATCGGAGATAAGTTGGCTTTTTCTCGGTGCGTCTCGGCGGTGCGGATGAGGCTTTTTTTTTTTTTTTTGGCAGGAGTTTCTACTATAAAGGCCAGCAGGACCTGACCTGACAGCTTCCGTACATCGGTTCCACTTGAGAAAGTATACCAGGGTTAAATGAGCCTGCCAGATGAGCGACATATCATTCTTCGACCTGAAGGAGCGGGAGCAGGAGCGGGACAATAGTCTGCGCCGCAAGACATCTAAACTGTCCAAAATCAAGCAGCATCTCCGCAATATTAAACGAGAATGGGGTCCTCTGCTCGCTGCGAAGGAAAACTGGGACGACGAGTACAATTTCCCCCCCGGACGATACGCTGGACAAGGAATATAGCGACAGTACGTAGCCACCCAGGGCCAGGACCTATGTATCTGACGTTACTAACATCTGTAGTGATCCTCGCAGTTCTCCCGAATCACTACTTGGAATCACTACACTATATCCTGTGGAACAAACGCGGGTCGTTTACGAATTTTATGATGGTTCATATAGAGGCTTATGGCGCGTCTTTGTCAATTCCCATCTCATGTAACTTAATCAATAGGGATCTAATCTCAGCTGGCTTACTCACATACAAATATACACCTAGATCTTCTACCGTTGGATAGCTCATGACCTGGTCATCACTTGCCTCCGTCTTTGCGCCGGGCCGTGACGTGCACATTGGGATTCAGACTCCAATATTGGGCAATATAGAAGCAGCGTTGCCATTCTAGTGGACTTTGTTATCCACCGACCAGGATCTTTAAGGCTCATAGATTTATTCTTAAACACATATCTTTCCCTTGTTTTAAGCTACCATAAAGAACTTGGTAAGTTCGGAAACTAGAAATTAGGGCATGATACATGGTTGAGAAATACATTAACCCAACACTAGTAGCATTCATTATCTAGGCTTATGCCTGCAATTAACCCTAGACAGAAGTTGTCTAACCCTGGAACTGGATATGATGAAAAGGGGAGCTGCTTAATATATAGATTGAAGTTTTCTCATTTAGTTATATTCCAGGTTTCGACCTCCTAATAACCTCCCTCCAAATTGTGTACTTCACTCATGAACCCCAACTTCACCTAGGGAACGGCTAGGACCTTACCAAATGCCATTCCAGGGTATTTAACAGTCTCACTATGGTTCGTCGCGGATTGTACTCCTGTGTACCAATTACTATGTATGGTCTTGCAAGTTAAAGCATGAAATCCATCGTACTACCGGGATATAACTACTACAGATCCCAAACAATGCCTCTATTGGTATCTTGCCAGGCCAGGGGTACCATCTCCCTGTCTGCCGTCCGTCTCCCTTGGGTAGATACGCTCCAGGGTAACTACTACACGTACCTCCGCACGGAGAATTCACGGATCTCGTTCCAAATTTCCAGGAAGACAACGGGCTGCATCATGCCTGATAAACGTTACATCCGCTACTAAAATTGCGTGGGATTGGAGATGCATCGCCCTTCCCCCGTCGAATCAAAGCTCTGCCGAGGCACTTGGTGTTGTAACCTTAGAAACCAGCGTCCTGCCTTACCGCGGGATCTAAAACCGGGTTGGCCAGGTTGGATGTTGAAAACCTGTGAGATGCGCCTTGAATATCCTCAGCTCTTTACGCCATCTAGCCATGGCTTGTCGATCGTACTCTGATGATCTGTTGTAGTCTTGATTGGGAAGGTCCATAACCATGGCCATTCCTGGACTTGAATCGCGTTATCCCTGCCCCGGGCTGTATGTATAAAGACAGTCGTCTCTCCGCTGACCTCTGTTCGTCCGGCAAACTTGCATCGCCAGGGAGCCAATTGGCGTTCCCCAAAGTTATTACCAGCATCTTATACCACCATGGGTGCATTTACGTGGGTCTTATTTGCTGTGGTTGCTGCATCTGCAGCGTTGGCTCTGACGCCGGAGTACGTGTTCCTATCGACTTTGTGTCACATCTGCCTTTCTTGAACCCCCCCCCCCCCTTAGGTTGACACTTGTATAGGGAGTTGATTAGTGCACCCCGAAGATCTGAAGTAATCCCCAATCCATCTGGAGTAAGTGAACCCGGTCTGTATGTGGGGTGGTGCTTTGCAGACTAACAGGCGTAGAGCGTGGGTCTTTTCTCAACCTCTCAATACTCCTTTGAAACACATAAAACTACCGCATGGTGGAGCGTAGTCGATCTCAATTCAGGGAATATCAAAGTTCTTACGAATGACAGCAATGTCTCCGAGATCGTTTGGCTGACCGACTGGAATGTTCTGTACATCAATGGCACGAATTCTGATATTCCTGGTGGCGTGGAGCTCTGGGTGTCCAGCGTTTCGGACATGGGGAAAGGGTAGGTTGGATTTGGTACCCCAAATATTCCCGATTGACGATTGTAGATACAAAGCTGCTTCGCTGCCGGCCGCATTTTCCGGCCTCAAGGCTGTCACTACGGACACAGGAGATATCAAATATGTGGCCTACGCCCAGTCGTATGCTAATGGTACTGCGTATAATGCGGAATTGGCAGAGACTGCTTTGAGCTCAGCGCGCATTTATGACAGCATTTATGTCCGCCACTGGGATTACTACCTTTCGACTACGTTCAACGCTGTGTTTTCCGGCACATTGAAGAAGGACCTTCACTCCAAGTATCATGGCGCAGGAGGACTCAAGAACCTTGTTTCGCCCATTAAAAACGCGGAATCTCCTTCTCCCCCGTTTGGAGGGTCATCCGATTATGATATTTCACCTGATGGCAAATGGGTCGCCTACAAGAGTAAGGCTCCAGAACTGCCAAAGGCGAACTATACCACGTCATATATCTACCTTGTGCCACACAATGGCTCGACGGACGCATATGCTATCAACGGGCCTGACGATGCCCCCCAAGGCATCAGGGGCGATTCCAGTAGTCCGGGATTTTCCCCTGACAGCAAAAGGCTGGCCTACTTCCAAATGGAAGAGGAAACATACGAGTCGGATCGTCGCACTCTGTACCTCTACGATATCCCCAACAAGTCGATTTCAGCTCTGGCCAAAAATTGGGACAGGTCTCCTGACTCTCTCAAGTGGCTTGATGGAAGAAGCATCATTGTTGGCGCAGAGGACAAGGGGCGCGGTAATCTGTTCTTGATTACCACCAATCAGGCCACGGACGACTACGTCCCTGCGCGCCTGACGAATGCAGGCTATGCTCTAGCCTACTATATTCTCCCCAGTAAGGACCTGCTGGTGACAGGTAGCAATTTGTGGACCTCTTGGAATGTGTACATCACTAGCTCCATCCCAAAGGGAGGTGTCGTGAAGACCCTCGCCTTGGCTAGTGAGATTGACGCTGAGCTCAGTGGACTTGGGCCCTCCGATGTTGACGAGGTGTATTTCGCCGGTAACTGGACTGATGTGAGTAACTAGTAACTCGAGAACTGTTACTTCCAGGTCATTAATCCACGCGTAGATTCAAGCGTGGATCATCTACCCCGACGGCTTTGACAAGACCAAGTCTTACCCTCTTGTCTACTTTATTCACGGTGGTCCCCAGGGCTCGTGGGCGGATTCCTGGAGTACACGTTGGAACCCCAAGGTCTGGGCTGACCAGGGATACGTAGTCATTGCTCCAAACCCAACCGGAAGCACAGGGTTTGGTGATGCACTGACCGATGCAATCCAGAACAACTGGGGTATGAATAAACGGGATACATGCGCCCCGCAAGGAAAGCTGACCTATTCTGCTAGGAGGTGCCCCATACGATGATCTTGTCAAGGGCTGGGAATACATCCGTGACAATATTGACTACGTTGACACGAGCCGTGGTGTAGCTGCAGGAGCTAGTTATGGTGGCTTCATGGTTAACTGGATCCAAGGCAGCGACCTCGGACGCGAGTTCAGAGCACTTGTTAGCCATGACGGCACGTTTGTAGCCGATGCAAAGGTCTCTACCGAAGAACTCTGGTTCATCGAACACGATGTGAGTTCCACGACGCCATTCGGCGGGAGTAGACGTGCCCTAACGGAATTAAACAGTTTAATGGCACCTTTTGGGCCAACCGAGATAACTACCGTCGGTGGGATCCCTCGGCCCCGGAGAGGATTCTCAAGTTCAGCACCCCTCAACTTATCATCCACAGCGACCTCGACTATCGCCTACCGGTGTCCGAGGGACTTGCTCTTTTCAATATACTCCAGGAGCGCGGCGTTCCAAGCCGTTTCCTCAACTTCCCCGATGAGAACCACTGGTATGAATTTTCCTTTCCCGCTGTGCAATATCCGGACACTGACGGGATATCTAGGGTACTCAACAAGGAAAACAGCCTTGTCTGGCACCAACAGGTGCTTGGATGGATCAACCGATACTCTGGCGTCCAGGACGAGAACCCCGATGCTGTCAGTCTGGACGATACTGTGGTACCAGTGGTCAACTATAACCCTTGATTGGACATCATTTGACGCATTACTGCATCACTATGTTCCACACAACCCCATAGAGTTAGTAAATAAAAGTATGCCAATTAAGGGTTTACCCACTGCATGTTTTCTCTGGTTGGGCAACTCATGTAAAGGAAGTACCCCTTTCATGTCCGTATACGAGGAGACCGCTGGTAAAACGCATGCAAGGCAGCCATTTCACGGCAGCATCAGCACATCGTGAATGGAGAAAGGATCCCTCAACCACAATATCCGCTATATTTACACTAGTTTCTGATGAAACCCTGCAGCGCAGCAATATCCGCCGTCACTAGCGCGATGTTCAGCTCATATGCACCTCGATTCCACCAGAAACCGGTTTCTTCAGGGGCTCCGAGTCTTCGAGTTCCACTACAATGTCCATGCATCTTTCGTCGGCAAAACAAGCAATTACAATAATTAGCGGGAATCATTTCCTGTGAAAACGAGCTCACGCGAGGAATGTTAGGCAGCTAAAACGGGCCCAACATATAAACCGCATTCCTCGCGTCCATGTAGTTGTCGAGCTGCCCTGACAGCCTCCTGGGGAAAAGAACCCTCGCGGTGGACGAGCCATCGTTAGAAGAAGATGCATTACCTTCATACAGCCGCCTTCTTCGCACTGGGCAGTGCTTTACATACACCAGGCCCTAGCTTTACATTCAACGAAGTCTGGGCTCTGCAAAACAGTCTGTGGGAAAACTTCCTCTATCCTGCAAACCTTGAGCAGATCAATGCAACAAATACTTCAGTATTTGCCGAAGATGTACGTGTTTCATTTGTTGTCGATCCCGATTAGTGTCTCGGAATCCTAAACTTACAGTGAAAAAAAAAAAAAAAAAAAAAAACAGGTGCAAGGCCGGGTCGATATCACACGGACGTTTGACGGCCGTGAGCTGAACAACGAATACATCTTCGGTCTCTTCTCAGACCCCCAGCATCTCAGTCTGGTGGGCATTCCGATCGTATACAATATCACCCAGTTCGCCGCGAACCGGAATATAGCGTCCGCGACGACGGTCTTCACATTCAACGCCACATCGTTCAACCTGCTCGTCCCCATCACGATCGACACCTGGCTGATGTTCGACCCAGACGGCAAAATCACTCAATACGACGCGACCTTCCGCTGGTTTCCCAAGCTTTTCGATGCGCTCGCCCAGGCTGCAGGGAAGCAGTTCAATCTCACCGACCCGGCGCAGATCCAGAGCCGGCTCGCCAGTTTACTCGCAGATACCATATGCCAGACGCACGCAGACCGCTGCGTTGGCGAGAACCAGCAGTATGCGAGCAAGGACGAGTGTATCCGCTTCTTGACCACGCAGGTCCGGTTTGGCGGCCCCGACGAACTGGGCGGAAACACGCTGCTGTGTCGCGAGGTCCATGAGCATATGGTGCAGTACCGACCTGCGGAGCACTGCCCCCATATTGGACCAACCGGGGGGAATTATTGCGTCGATGATAAGACGTATGACGAGGTGGTGACCGAGCGGTATTTCCGGGAGTCGTTCATCCCTTACGGCTACGGTGATAACAATATATGGGTTGCGTCAGCTTGATGTTTGTCCGGATCAGAGACAAGACGGAAAAAGAGACTGCGAAGGTTGTGTGTGTTGAAAAAGCTGGATATAATATAACTATAGAGAATGAGACGAGAGTTCTCCTCCTGTATACTCTGTACTCCGTACCTCTGTACTCTGTACCCAATGCAAAAACTCTGTAGGCATTTTCTCGATCGTTCCGAGTTCTAGACTGAACCCCTATTCGTTCGCTCCATTTCCTCGGCAGCAATGCATCCTTCAATATAGGTACGTACATACATAGTTAGTACTCCGTAGGTAGGTAAGCAAGTGCTGACATGCAGGACAGTCTGAACTCAGCCACTGCCGCAGTCTGACAAGGATGAGGTGATGCCTACATCAGCCAGACAGAGTCTTGGACTCTTGGATGCAAGTTGTGGCGTCAGACCCGCGAAAATCGATCGAACCGGACCATTCTCGGTCACACTAGCGTTTAGAGGAAATGACCAAGGGGTTCAGGTTTTTCCCAAGACTGATGACCCCTTTGTGGCACATCCCGATAGGTGTTCCCATTAATAGCCCAGGCGGGTCTGCGTAGAACTTGGCCAATGGACCGACTCAGCCTCTGAGGGTTCCGAGTGGACCTTTTTGAGTTCTGTGGGAATACGGGCCCTTAAATCATTCCAGGTAAGAGGGCACGGGGGGGGATTTCAGAACCGAGTACGGAGTATAGCATCATCAAGCAAGACCCGATAGGAGCTCCTACCAAGACTGTAGACAAGTATCTGACAGGTTACACCCGAACGTTGACTCCTTGTCCGGCCATTCGCTGCCACTAACAACTAAGCCCCAAGCCAAGTTTAGACCCTGCTCTGAATATCGAGGACACTGCCTTTTCTGGAGTGGATTCAGGTGGAGGAAATCTATCCGTAGGCTGTAGCAAAGGGTCTCCAGAAGCCATTTTATGACGCTGTGGATTCGTCCCTAACCCTAGTACATAGCTCCTACCCCGGTCTTACATCTCCTTTCTGACCTTTTTTCTTCTTTTTCTTCCCTTTTTTTTTTTTTTTTTTTTCTTCTTCTCTCCTTTCTTGCTTTGTTCTATTTCACTGAGCTTGTCGTTCGGGTGTTGCGTCTTCCTTCCCGACGCCTTGTACTTCTATACCGCATCTAAGCAATGTTACAGCCCTGGGGTGCCTTCGGTCCGTCCTCCTAAGAAGCCGCCATCATGACGATCTGCAACTGTCTTGTCAGAAACAGCCGATGCTCTCAGTTGGCGTGGACAGTGTCGCGAAAGTACTGGTTCTCCCTCCTCTTCCTTTCCGTCGTTGTCGCCAAACTCATCCATCTCTATTCGCACCGAAAGTCTCTCTCTTGGCCGCAGTTTCTAGCCTGGGGTCCCACGTTTTTTCTGCAGGATCTAATCTGTATTGCACTATTTTGGGCCTTGACCCGCCAGTACGAGCGGAAATGGGTCAGAGTAGCTGCGGTCTTAACGGTCTGTCCCTGCGTGTAAGTCACCCGAGATGCGCGAGAGCGAGCTTTCTGCTAACGTATGTTGTTTCTTATTCAGACTGGGGCTGTCCTGCATGGCCGCGGCAAACATGTCATTTTATATCACTACCGGAGCTGAGATTCACTGGCGCCAGGCACACTCCTTCCACCGCGATTTCGCCTCAGTGAAAACCCTACTGAGTGGGTTGGCTGGAATGGTTGTCATCGAGATCCTCATGCTTGTTGCATCCTGGTTCACCACTTCGTTGTTGTACGAGCTCACCAACAGTGTGATGCAGACCCTAGGGTCCTCTGCGACATCACTATTCTGTCGATGCGGGAAGAAGCGCACCGTCGAGAAGCAAGAGGTCTACGAGCCCGTGGCGTACGATGACTTCGACGATTCAGACACGTCTGGGTTCTTGAATTCCCCCGAACAAACCAGCCGGGACGCTTGCGTATCCTTGATCAAGCGCTGCTGTGTTCTCGTACCTATATCTTTGATCGGGTTGCTGCAGGTGATTCGCCCCGCAGACCCGGCCTACCCATTCCTCTCGGAGACGTTGCCCTTGACGCCGTTCGTAACCCCCAAGACCGACAACCGCAACCCTTTGCTCGAGGCGCCTCACGCACTTGGGGAGTTCAACTGGCTGGGTAATGGCACTGCTTTGGCTACGCCACCGAAATTTGAATGGCTGCCGGCGGCTGAATTGCCAGGGTTCAGGGACTGGTATTCCGATTCTCACAGCAACAAAACCTCTGTTCATTATGATCCATCGCACGATCCCCTGCACATCTCAAACCTTGGGGGGGACCTCATTCAACCTCTGCGCAAGGCTCTTCACGCAGGCAACGTCAGTATTAAACACGTTCTTCTCCTCAAACTAGAAAGTACCCGATACGATGTCTTCCCGGTGCGCAATCAGTCGTATATTCACGAGCGGATTCGCCAATCTTACAGTGGCCATATCCCCCGTCAGGTAGAAAACCGGTTGGCCAACTTAACGCCCACGGCAGAGCGACTGACTGGCACCCCCTCCGGCTTCCATCAGGGCACGGTTCAGCCGTATGGGGGCATCCACGCCACAAACTCTTACACGTCGGGCACTTTTACTCTCAAGAGTATAACGGGATCAGTCTGCGGCCTCTCCCCGCTTGTGGTGGACTTTAACCACGAGTATGAGCATCATATCTACCAGCCCTGTATCCCTCATATCCTGAGGGCACTGAATACCCAACTGGAGAGCCTGAACAAAACCGACGACTTCACCTCATGGCCGTGGAAGACCCTTTTTATGCAGTCAATCACGGACCTGTATGACAACCAGAACCTTCTCACGCCTCAATTGGGATTCCAGGAAGTTATCAACGTGGATAACCTCGTCAAGGATTTTGCCGCAAATCCGGCCGCGCACGAAGAACAGCTTAACTTTTGGGGATATCCGGACGACGAATTGCGCAGCTACGTTCGAAATGCCATCACCAAAGCCGAAGAGCAGCAAGAGCGGCTGTTTATCACCCATCTGACTGGCGGCACCCATTACCCATGGGATACCCCGCATCACGAATACAAGGACATGGTGGGCTCTAGATGGCTTCCGTTTAACAGAAAATTCAACCGCTACTTGAACACCATCGGGCTGGCAGACAAATGGCTTGGAGAGATTCTAGATATCCTCGAGGAAACAGGGGTCGCGAACGAGACGCTTGTTGTCATGACTGGTGACCAGTAAGTTGTGTAATCTGAAAGCGAAACCCCCCTCCCCTTTTCCGAAACTAACTCGATGATAGTGGCATTACACTCCCTGAGGACGGGGGTGTAACTCCCTATGATAATCCCCATGTGTCGAATTTCCACGTTCCGTTGGTCTTCGCGCATCCACAGCTGCCTTCCATCGAAATAGACGGCCCCGTTACCTCTATCCAAATCCTGCCCACGATCTTGGACCTGCTTAAGGAATCTGCCTCGCTCAACGACCCAAGCAAGCATATCGTCAGCGATTTACTCCCTTTGTACGAAGGACAATCGATGATTCGGCCTCTCATCGCGGAGAGGAATGGAACGAAAAACTGGCAGTTCGGAGTAATGAACACGGGCGGCAGCTGGCTCGCAGTGAGATCTGCCACCACTTCCTATCGCCTCGTTATTCCTTTGATCCCGGACGTCGAGTGGCGCTTCTCCAACGTTCACACCGACCCACGCGAAGCCAACTACCTCATGTCATTTGACCTCTCCAGCCTGATCGGCCAGACTCGTGCGCGCGATGGGGACGAAGCCGCACAATGGATTCAAGAGGCAGCCTCCGCCGCAAGATGGTGGTTGCTGGACAATTGGCGCCGATATGAGTATACCCCGCAATAAAAAAATCCAGCTGGGAAACCATCAATCGCTCAGTTCCAACTTTGGCCGGCCAAAACGAACTTGCTCTATCCACTCTAGGCAGAAATACCTTCCTATCAGATCTGGTTCGCTCAACCGAGGTGACCCAGACCTGCCATTGCTTATACAGTTGTCGCTCCGAAATGAATCGCCGTCTGTGGACTCTTATTCGTGAAACGTGGAATCAAAAATTCAAGCACCTCGATAGCGGACTACTTTGGATTCCATATAGAATTGGGACCGCAAATATCATTATGGAGGCAGCATTTGTCGCTCTCCATAATGAAGAGGTTAAATGAAAGAACTGTAAAGCTGCAGCAGTGGGAGAGGAATCCTGTTTGCTTTGGGTGCCCTGTGGTGCCCCCTACATTAGGACATACTGGAGGTGTCTGACCGTCTTAGCAATAGATAATACCCTAATTTCCGATTTTATATGCAATAGAACTATCCATCGGTTGTTTTTGTGCTTGAATGTTAGCTAAGTATCATGGTAGCTGACTTGTTGCAGGGATCCGGGTGTCGGATTCAGATTGACATTGATGGTACGCAGTTAGACAATCGGGGGCGGTTGGTTACACATTCATCTTGTTCTTCTCATACATACATACAGCCGAAAGACGCTCTGTGGAGAACACATCACTATACAGCCCCTATTAGGATCGCGAACCAAAGGAAAACTGGACCTACCCCGAGAAAGCAATATAAAAATAAGCCACTCATAGAGAAAAACTGCGCGTATTGCAGTGTGTTTTGAATAGAACATGAGATTCGAAGCGTAGGCTAGCAATCGGACAAAAGGGTATAAAGAAATAAACAAAACAGAGAGATGAACGGCGTCAGTTCGTCCGACTACTGAATTGAGAGAGGTCCGAGCTGGAGTTATCTCTCCCCCATCCTCCAGACACGTTTACCCCGCCGATACTGCGGACTCCCATGATATCTAGCACGGCCTGGCCACGTCTGACCAGATCAGCTGCATCGCCCAGCATCTCGCGTCGTTCGGTTCCGACGCGGCGCAGCTCTTCGATTTCCGCTTCGCCCAGAATGTCTCCCCCGGTCCGGCCCCTCCAGGCCGCTTCTCGAACCACGGGGGCCCAAATGTCTGCCGCGGTTGCTTCGTCGTATCCGCCTGCATACACCTTCCGCTGGCCGCCAGGGCTCCGGGGATCGCAAATCACTTTGGAAGAGAACCACTGCGAGCGAATGACTTCGTATCGGCGTTCCATAACCCAGATGATCGGCCAGGTGATGATCCAGAGTTGGAGGATTATACAAGTCCAGAAGACAAGGCCATTGTTGCGCGCTTTGTTTATCCAATGCGGGGAATAGATAGTGACTGCCCCGTTCGCCAGAGAGGGGTTGATATTGATATGGCCCTGGTAGCCTGTGGACCGGATGTGAGATGCGAGCGAGGTGCGCATGGGAGAGGCATCGAAGCCATGGAGGTGGCGACGGTAGGTGAACCTAATGCGGGGGGGTAATGGTCAGAGGTATAGAAGGAAAATGTAAAAGAGCAAGCATACGATTTAACCGGAGATGGATCCTTGCAAAATCGCTGGCACCAGCCCTTGATCCCAGGAACATCTTCGCCATTCTCCAGATCCATCAACCGATCCCCCTCCCCATCTTCGCTGGTAGAAAGAGCAATCCGTCCGGATTTTCCTCCGCGCGACCGTATCCTACCCCCGCGGTATGCCCTTTGTCCATCTTCATCCCTTACCACTGTGGTGTAGGACCAGCGCTCCGACGGCCCCGTTGGTTCATTGCGGCCCCACCGTAGTAATGTGCGAGTCAAATCAATACGAAAGTCAAAGTCGGTCACATTCTCGGTGGAGTTATTTTTGCCGTCTTTCCGAGTCTCCTGGTGGTAGCCGTTGATGATCAGGCAGGGTCGTGGAGGCAGGTTGGTCTGGTTGTGGATGAAGCCTTCCAGAGCGATGGCGTCGGAGGAGAGGTCGGGATCGAGAGTCACAACACCAGAATGACGTTTCTTTTGGCTGACACTGTGATAACGCTGGAGACCAGGAACATAGTAGGCATCTTCGGGCACTGCAAGAGGGTCATTACAAGAGGAGGTGTTGTTCTCAGCGACTTGATCGTAAGCCGGGGGGAGGTCCTCTTCTAAAGGGGCGGAAGTGGAAGAAGAGGAGAGGAGAGAAGTAGGAGGGGGGGTCGGAGGGAGCTTGATTTGGCCCATAATTAATTCAGATTATTGATAAACAGAGAGAGACAGAGAGAGGAGAAAAGAATATTCTCAAATGCACTTCTGTATTCATTTCTCTTGGTCCAGAAGCAGACGATGAGATTGTCGCCTTGACACCTTGGACCAAAGAGCCTCCCTCCTACCAATACACATCTTGGAACTTGGAAGTGACATGTTGCATCGAGTGGGTAATACTCCGTACTCCGTACAGCCAGTAAGTATTGACCCGCAGCGAGTCCAGGCTTTCATTCGTGAGGTTTTACCCTTCATTAGCACTAAAACATCCCAAGTGGTGCCAGTGATCAGCCTCATCTTGTGCTCCATCGTGAGTTTTTCTCTCGATCATCATCTGACTCTTTATTCCCCTGGCTGATATTTCTTGTTTGTACAGGGTCACAGACTGAATTGAGGAGGAATTGAATTCCTGAACTGGTCCATGGAATATCTACCAAGCGCTACAGACATCAAAGAATCGGATGAGGGAACTTCAAGGCCAGTCTTGACCAAAATATCATTGATAGGGCTGCGACATTATCCAGAGAAGAAACAACAAGTCGCTACTAGGTGTTGAGCGTAATCCACTCGAGTCTGAGACACACCAATCTGTTGGATAACCTGCCAAGCAGGAAAGAGTGCCAAAGCCCACAGCCCAGGGTTCGGATAGACGCCATGATGGAAACGCTAAGAACTGTTCAATATTATGCCAGGACGATGTAAAGCAAAGCAGAATTAACGGACAACTGTACCGCTATGTATTGTGACTCCAATTTCGACATTTGTGGACAATTTGCCATCATTCCAAGAACCCATGCCACCATTAACTCCAATAAGATTTTTTTTCTTCTTTTTTTACCTTTTGATTCATCAAGATCTCTGTAACCCGGCTCCAGGGACAGGCACTGTTCAAACAGATTCCAGGGAAATGTTTACCGCACACTCTTCCTCCAGTCGTTCTCGAAAGAGGTCTACATCCGAATAGTAGGTCCTCTGATATTTTAAAGTCATAATAATGTGGAAGGAACTGTGCCTCAGAAACCGAATGCTCATAAACCGTGTTTCATACGTCGCATCTCGCGCCCAAAGCAGTCGAGCTGTGTAACAGGATCTCCTTTGAAGGAGGAGGGCTTGCGTTTTTTATTAGGTGAGACGGGACCCAATGCTAAACGCTTAGTCTGCATTGGCACCGATTCAATTTGGGATTTCCTGTATGTTGCCCGTTCAAAATCAATGAACATCACTCGACCATTTTTCTCAACCATGTTGCCGCAGATGGGATCACCCTGAAGCACGCGTAACTCATGAATCGCGCGTAAGGCTTCCTCGGCTCGACCGATGAATTCGCAGCGCCTGAGGTCATCCAGGCCTGCAAGGGTCTTCCCGGCATAGCCCATGAGCATTAGGTGGACGATATCGGCAATGCCGTCATAAGAGAATGGTCGGCGAAGTTTCAGGCTGCCAAGTAGGACAGGGACGTATACCCCTTGGATGGGAGCAAGTTGTGAATAAATGCGTTCCTCGTGCTTTGAACCCTGGACAAACTCGACTGGTACCCCCTTTCCTACAAAGGTATAGCCATGAGACCATACAGTGATTTTGAACAGGGCACCACGACTCCCATGAATATGGAGCGACTCGCATCCTAGCACCGTGTTAAGGTCTATGTCATCGCTGGAAAGTTGCAGGGCCAGCTCATGAATGAGAGTTCTCGGAGTCAATTGATGTTGGTCCACCCCGTGATCCAACACATTAGGGCAGTTCTGGTCCAACTTGCTTCCGGTGCTTAATCCTCGAAGGCATAGTTGCGTGCAATACTCTCGAGACTTGCCTCGGGAGCTTTCTGTAGACGTTGATGAGGATACTGGTGGGTGGGGAATGCGAGACTCGCGGGGTGGTCGAGAAGGTGTATCTGGATCACAGCGATCTCCGCTGTCGTCATCATGATCGTCATCATGAGCGGGAGATGCCAGGCTCTGTGAAGGGTTACAGGATGCGGCAGTAGACTTTGATCTTGTCTTCACGGGAGTTGCACGGCAATATGCGTTTCGACTCGACGTTGGTGATTTAAACGCGGAGGAAGGAATGTCCTTTTCTGCTATTTTATCAAGAAGCTCATCATATACCATAACCCAAGTCTCCAGATTGCGGACTGCCCACTGTGTCCAAGCGGTGTCTCGGGTTGGCACTCGTACAGCGCGGAGAGTAAACGCTAACACCTGGCCTAATGCGGTCAGATGCAACCGGTTGCCATCACGAGGGTTGCCGGTCCATCCGGTTGTGGTTCCAACATCCTCTTCAGGTACTGACAAGTAGTAGTAGACAGTGGAAGGATCATCATGAAGTACACGAAGAAAGATAAATGCTTCACCTGTACACACATAGCCATACTCCAAACCCCCATGAATCATGTATGAAAAAGTTTGGGTGATCACAGCTGCGACAACACGGCGGCAAATGTCTTCTGATGATTCCTTCTCCTGAAAGCGTAGAACCTCGTCAAGGTCCATATCTTCTAGTCCGGTCTTAATATGTGCGAGGGAGACTTTATGGGGTGCTTTGTATTCAATAATATAGGCAGGAACCTTCCCATTAGGACCCTTATTATAAACACAGAACTGGTCTGCTCGAGGTCTCCGTGGCTGTGTAGCTCTCTGAGGTTGCCGAGGCGGGAGGCTGACATTGCTTGATTTCGCGGCCAAGCGATCGGAGCGACGTGGTTGTCCTTGGGTTAGACTAAGGGAGCTCATATCCGCTGTTATGTTTGACTCGTCTGTCAGGGTATTGGCGTGGTTTTCGAAGGTAACATCTCCATTCAAACGAAACGTCTGTCGAAGTTGGGGGCTCGCGTGCAGCTGTTTGATGACAGAGGCAACTCGAGACTCAATCGTCTGTCGTTCAAAGTAACTCAAATCTATCTCAGAGCCTACCATTCGTCCCCGCGCCTCTTTTCCATATTCTTTCAAGGCGAGGAGTGGTGTAAAATGGCGTTCAGTCGCGAATTCAGCACTCATTAGGTCATTCCAGATTGAAATCTGTTCTGTTGGAAAGTTGGTCCATTCTCGAATCTTGGTTGGGCGAACTTTGTGGTCAGCGTTCGCAGGGTCGCCCTTGGTAGTGGAGTTTTTGTCTTGCTGGACAGTCAAGCCCAGAAATAAATGTGTGTGGCATCCATCGAGGAATTCAAGAAGTGTGGTGTTTTGGGTCTGAAGCTTCAGCTCGTCCTCAGCTTGCTCTCGTCGTCGTCGTTCTTTTTTGAGGAGCTGCTGTTCTTTTTTGAGGAGCTGCTGTTCTTCTTCTCGTCGCCGCTGTTCTTCTTTGAGGAGCTGACGTAACTCATTTAGCTCCTGAAGAGACATGTTGGCTCTTCGGGGGTGGATGCCATCCACAAGAGGGGTTTAAGCAGGTGTTTTTTGAGGATTATGAGCATTATTCAAGGGTGAAGTGATCAGTAACCTGGTGTTTGTTTGCTTGTTTGTTTCGGTCGCTGCCTGGCGAGGCTCTTAGTTTATCTGCCTGATATCGGCACGGAGAATACACATTCCGATCAAAAGACCCGATTTATACTCCGTACTCCATAACTATGCCTGTAGAACTTCAGAGCTCGACTTGAAATTTTGACCTGGGTGACAAAGAAATGGAGGTCTAGGTTATAATTCTCAGGCCAGGATTGCTAGAAGTAGATATCTATGTACTGTTAAACAAGACTTCTTCCCTTGTGGCTTCAAACCCAATACGGGGGATCTTGCCAGATTATTGGCGTACCATCAACTCCGCAATCTTATTTGACTTGATCAACGCCTTGAACTACTCCGTACTTTCAACTGTGAACTCGTATCAGCCACATTAACATGGAGAAAAGTGAGGTATTGCTATCATCTATTCCCCCATATAGCTTCCACTAAGCGGTAGATCTAGGATCGCGTTCTCCCCAATCCGAAGTCTGTGGCAGAAGTTATTCATAGGAGCAAGGACGTGTGGTTTTCCTCCCTTGGTGCAGCGATCGAACAGGAGCAGCTACCAGATAACTATTTCGAGCTTTACAATTGTTATATAAGATTCCGGCAATTCCTCATTACTGATTCCTGCGCCGATGAAAAAAATAATAGAGTGCGACCAGTTAACTGTCTTTGGATATTCAAGCTGGAATGTTTCCGGGTCCAAGGAGTGTGGACTGGGTGGAACACGCGTGAATACCGAGCAATGTCCTATTGGGATTGGAGTTAGAAAGGCTACGTTGCTCGCCTATCGCTCTGGAGGGGACACTCCAGGGTCAGCGCTCCTGATCGCTCTCATATCTGCGGTCGCATACATATTCTCCAAAAGACTGGTCGAGTTACAAGGAAATAAAGATAATGTATTTCCTGCCGGTGGTGCTTATCATACTGACAATGTTGCACCAGTTCTTGATGAAAACTAAGGTTCTCCAGTTCTATCCACTGATGTTTACCCTGGTGATGCAGATGATGAGGCCCTCAGGTAGTGGCAATCATTATTTCATTATTAGCGCCCGGCCAAGGATGGGAGGCACAGCTAACAAGAGATCCTGGAGGGCCTTTCTTAACCCCCTGGAACATCAAAATCACCGATGAGCTTTCCTTTCGAATTCGACGGAGGGGTTCATCCCAAACCCAAGCTCGTTCGGAAATTCCACCACCCACCGCTACACGTGCTATACAATTTCTCCGCAGCTTCTGCGAGCTACACAGTGTAGGAGCAGAGTTTCAACCAACTCACAACTTCTACTACTTGCCGGTCGAACTCGAATTAAAATACAGAATCTTATGCGGATATGTTCTGCCCGGCGACCAAATCTTGCTCCTCTCTATTTTGGCGCTAGCATAACCAACCTCATGTCTCTCGTTGTTCGTTCCGTTAAGAGTGGCTTACCTTTTATGGATATAAATGCTGCAGCCTGGTCAGGTTATGGACAATCATTTATTCAGGGCCCGGGCGATGAAAAGCCCGCACCGGCAGGGTTCATATTACGGTGTGACATGTGGAGAATTCTCTACGTTACCCGAGAATATTCTAACCCTCCTCTAACGCCGTGGAAACCATTTGGCGAGGTCGACTTGAATGATGTTCCTTTACAAGCCCGAAGGCATCATAGCTGTGATGATCATTATTTCCATTACTTGCACTGGTCATGGTTGCCAACCGATTCATATTTCAGACGGCCGATATGGGCAGCATAACGCACGCTTTGGTACATAGCGGTATCTACATGGTCCGCAGCAGGGTGGTCTCCCCAATAATGCCTGCCCGAATATGATACTCGATGAGCAGGGCGGAGACAGTAGGCAGCACGCGGTTGATTCCACAACTTTGGTGCAACTGGTGAAGCGACAGCTGGATGACAATATGACCGGAACCGTACTCCAGTGGTGTGAGAAGCCTATTAGTAGTACTGAAAATATGCGTTCTTGTCCAGAATTTAATGAGGAAGCGTTGAATCGTGGAATCTCGAGATCTATAAAAAGATCCGCTCTCTCGGAGTTTTGCATAAGGACCTTCGACTGGATATATTCTATGAGCTACGACAGGCGCTGACTATTGATTTTCATTGGGCTGGATTGGACCGTTGACTGAAGAGAAAGCAGATGCTTCAAGGTTGTAGGACACAGACACGGCCGCTCAAACGATTCCTGCCACTTACTAACGAGAACTGTACATTATTAGAGCATTCTGAGCTCTGGATATCAGCTTACGTGTAATTCAAGCTCTCTTCCGCCTTCATCTAAATCACTATGCCAATATCCAAGCGAATAATATCTCTTTTCTTTCGAGCTCGGCTGTGGTTGGGCAAGAAGCGCTTTGTCTCCTCGGGACCGAGTGTAGTGAGAGTGAGCGAAATTCGTGTGAGTCGGCAGAGTTTGAAGGCCTGGAACACGTTGCACAGTACACTTCTATACCTGTTCCGAAAGTTCATCGAACCTATTGCTACGTTGGATTGTTCTTCTTATCCAACACTGATTTCCAGATGACAGAGGAATTGTTAATCACGCTGTCGTTGAAGCGAAGAAGGAAACTGATATTCTGGGCAAAAGTCTTCCTATTTCCAGCGAGTCGGTGGTAAGAGAACTTTGAACATTCTTACGACCCCTTTTAGTATCGCAGTTGGTAGTCAGTTACCTTTTGAAAGTGCCTCGGCTGAGCGTCCATCCCCGCATCTTGAAGAGCCCCCTTGCGGTCCATTTAACAGCTGCGACCGCGTTTAATTAACATAGCTGCGATCTGTCTTTACTACATATCAAGCACAATCCTGGCGTAATGTCTGGACCAGGTGTTGGTTTCGAATTCCCCGCACAGGAGGTGTCATGGCTCACCCGCGATGTCCTCCTCTTTGCAAACAGCATCGGTGCGACCTCGAAGGAGCTGCACTTTCTATATGTACGTGCTCAACCCATTGTTTCTTACCAACGGCTTCATACCCTAATATCTGCGGACAGGAGCTTCACCCGAAATTCGCCGTTTTCCCTACCTACCCCATCATCCTCCGTAAGAGACCAGGTCCTACCCAATCTGCAAACCTGGAAGAATACTGAGAATCAATAGCATTCAAACTCACCGACCAAGAAGTGACCGACTTCTACGCTCGCTCGAAAGCAACCCCCATCCCTGGTGTCCCTACATTTGATGCGCGCCGTGTAGTCGACGGCCAGCGCAAGATCACTGTATTCAAGCCGCTCCCTCCCACCAGCGTGGGCAAAAAGTTTGAACTTCGCAACAAGGTAGTCGGGGTGTATGACAAGGGCAAGCCGGGCTCTGTTGTTGAGACAGAGCAATGGATCGTGGATGCACAAACTGGGGAGGTGTACTCGACGGTTGCGAGCAGCGCGTTTTACGTTGCGCAAGGAAACTGGGGCGGTCCCAAAGGTACAATTTCTCATTCGGAAGAGAGACCCTTGCTTGGTATACCGAACATCACCTCATTACCTGCTCTTTAGGCCCTGCTACCCTCAATTTCCCCCCACCGCAAGGACGCAAGCCAGATGCGGTTCATACAATCCAAACAACCACGGAGACTGCCCAACTTTATCGGTAAGCGTTCGTGATTTGATCAGCGTCAATTTGGGATTAATCATATTCCAGTCTTAATGGCGATTACAATCCTCTCCATGCTACGCCCGAGCCCGGCCAAAAAATGGGCTTTGGCGGCATCATTATCCACGGCTTGTTCAGCTGGAACGCTTCCGCTCATGCTGTTCTGGAAGCTTTTGGTAGAAGCGACCCCAAGAACTTCAAGGAGTTCCAGGCTCGGTTTGCATCCCCTGTAAGGCCCGGCGACAAGCTGGCCATTGAGATGTGGCGTACTGGAGATGTCACTGATGGGTTTGAGGAAATCCGGTTTGTGGTCAATAACCAAAAGGGCCAGGCCGTGTTGAGTAATGGTCGCGCCCTGATTAAGGTGAAGGAACTGGACCCAAAGCTCTAAGTAGTCCTCGGCTTCGTAACTAGTCTTCGTCTAAGCCACAATGACACCCGTTAGCTTAGCCTCACAGTGCCAGCAGGCAACAGCAATTCAATTCCATCACATTAAGAGAATCATCGCAGTCATCCCAAGTCAAGACTAATCTCGATAAAAAATATTGACAAGAATCGGAGCGATTACCATACAGTTTATACAACGATGTCAGACAGTGCGCCCCCATACGAGGAGCTGGATTCAGATCAGCATGGCAAACGGCTCCCTTCCAACCCATTTAATGGGGTATGCTTTGCCCAAAGTATCACATCACGGAGAGTTGTCCTAACACTGCCTTTTTTTTTTTTTTTCTAGTACTCTGAGGTTCCTCAATCCGATTATCATGAGCAAAGCGACGGAGAACACCAACACCAACACCAGCATCAGGATTCATATCTCGACCCGGAATCGGATTCTGTGCCTCTTACCCCGAAGACTACACAGCCACATTTCCACTGTGATGCCTGCGACCGGCTCCTGGAACGGCAACAGAAGCGGCGTTTTGAACACTACATTTGTACCATGGTGTCGGTGACATTCATGGTCGCATTTGTATGTTTAACCGTAGTAGGGATTGTCTTGGTTCATGGACGAAAGCACTAGACTTGGAGGTATCTCTGTCTGGCTGGAAACTGCGACTTTTACACATACTGCGCGGCCACAGCACTTGTTTTTGCACTGCCTTATCCCCATGTTCCTGCCATTTGCACACTGACTGGCTTTTTGTGATATATGGTGGGAATTTACTTGTATATATGATTTGAATGTATGGGGACAACAAGCCCTGATTTACACATATAAGGACCCCAGCATACCACCTGGCGCGTAACATCCAGCCGTCAGCATCTCAACAGAGGGATGTGAAGAAAATAAAACGTGAAAGTGCTGTCGTGAATAACTTCATGGGACGGTCATGTTTATACTGGCAAGCTTTGCACCGTTCGACAGAATAACGAGGACTTGACAGATCCCGGGGTATTAATTGATGATATTAAGTACAGCCGTTGGTTCATTATTACCCCTAAAAAGCAGACAAATTCCCAAACTCCAACCCGCGCACAGCCGCAAATCATACACAAATCCCAGACCACCTCAGTTTGCCGGGTCCTCTCTCTCAACCCAAGCTTTGAAATCCCGATTATACTCTTCGAAGCCCTTCTGGGTGTCGGCCCTCATCCCAAGACTTCTGGCAATGGCGTTCTCGCCAATGAGAAACGAGATTAGACCCGTGAAGTGCTCTTCATGGACGAATCGAGTCCGGTTTTTGTCGCCGGGGACCTCTTCAAAGCGGAACATGTGCTCCCCGATAAAGATGCCGAGGAAGGAGCCGCTCCAGCTGAACTTGGATGGAGAGTTTTCTAGGACGCTCGATGTGAACTTCATCTTCCCGTAGCCGACGACACACTTGAGCTGGTCTCCGGCTTCGAGACTAGGAGGTAGCTTGTCTGCGACAGGGGTGATCGAGCGGATGAAGCCATTAGGGCTGTAGGTTGGAATGGATTTGAAGTCCAGGAGCTGGGACACGTTAGGTATGATTCTTTACGGGCCGTGTTAGGGTCTGTATATACCTTGGCTCGGACGGTTGCCGGTGGGGCAGCAATCTCGGTGGTGGCACTGACGATATACATGGTTGCTAGCTGATCACTTGGAAGGATCCTTTATTCTTCGAGGAATGAAATGGGTTGTGATATTGAAGTCTTAAGAATTGGATCGGAATGAAAACTCCAGAGGACTGATGATTGAAAAGCCCCCCAGCTCGTCGAGTCATGACTGGCTTTATATAAACGAAGCGTCGCTTTCTCTGGATTCCGTGTCTCCGCTGGAGATTCTGGTGTTGCAACTGGTCCGTTCCGTCTGAGTCATATACGGAGTTCCGTGTCCGCTGGCCAAACTTCAACTTCAACTCCCCCGACTAGTCCGATTCCCCGAATAACCAACAACTGTCGATATTCCATGACGGGAGCCCGTGAACCCAAGGCGTGTCGGGCTTGTGCCTACGCCAAAGTAAAGTGCGAGGCCCAGACCGTCGAGGGCTGCAAGCGGTAAATTTCGTCTCCCCCCCCCCCCCCCGTGGTCCCGTCTGCTCTTCCGTGAAGACTAATGAAGGGTCCAGGTGTCTCCGATTAAAACGGCAATGCATCATGCAGGCACCGGGGGCCCACAAAAGGAAGCCCCAGAGACCATCATCGTACGTGCAGGTCGCCAACGACCCAATTTGATAGCACTGGGTTGTTTAACTTAGACGTCTTTTGTAGAGATGTCGCCAGGCTAGAGCGAAAAATCGATAGTATGGCCGCGTTCCTCACCGCGTCACCACAATCCTTACTGGCAGCAAGTCCTGCTGAAGGAAGTGGATCCCGATTTCCAGGGCAAAGTCCTGGACTATCTATCTCTTCATGGGACAAACAAGCACTGCCAAGCGATGAGGAAGCGAAAGAATTGGTGATGAGCTTTCAAGCGGAGATGGCTCCTTACTTCCCCTTCGTTGTCGTACCCGCAGATGTCAGTGTGTCTGAGCTACGACAGACGAAACCCTTCCTCTTCCGCACTATTGGGATGGTCGCGTCTCTGGGGGATGCACACCGACAACTGGAGTTAGAAAGAATAGTCCAGGAGTATATCTGCAACTCTATAATTCTGCGAGGCGAAAAGAGCCTGGATCTCCTGCAAGGGCTGTTGGTCTACTTATCGTGGTATGGTTACTTTCGGGAGATTAAGTGCGATGAGTCCAAGTTTATGCTCACGGAAAGAAGGTATCACTTTCAGCTCCAATCCGGTCCGCAGCTCTGCAGCATCCTCCATTTGGCTCTCGCAATGGCGAATGATATAGGCCTCAACTCCAGGCCGGATAGAAGAACTGAGATGGACCACACTATCGAGGAACGACGAGCGCACCTTGGCTGTGTTTATATGAGTTCCGTGTATGCACCCCGTATCCCGCTGCCTGGACACAGACCCTGACTTGTACAGAGTATCTTTATGTGCGAGAAATATGGACCCAGTACGATACACACGGTATACCGAAGAATGCTGCCGGGTGCTTGAAGATACGCGAGATCACCCGACCGACCTCTACCTTGTCCGGCTCTCTCGATTACATCGCATAGCAGACAGAATTAAACGCACTTTTTGTTTTGATGAATACGACGCGAGTGGGCCTGCTCTAACAGCTCCTCTCGGGATGTGCATCAAGTCTTTCGAAACAGAGCTCCAGCAACTTAGACAACAACCGCTTACCCTTAAAATGCTGCACAACTGTATGTAAGGCCGCTGTCCATTTCTTACGCTCCCGCTGAACCTCATCGCAGCAATTGTCCCCATACACTACTGCACCGTGGAGCTCTCGCTATATAAAATCGCGCTCGACGATGATTTCCCAACAGACAGATACGACGATTACCCCCTTATACGCCTCAACATTCTGTACTCATGTTTAACGACCTTGAAAGCGTTCTTCGAGATGTTCAACTCCATCCCGAGCGGGATATATTTGAAACTCCCGTACCCCATATATGCGTCCTACACTAATGCTCTCGACATCCTGTCCAGAATCTTGCTCTTCCCGGGCGAAACCTGGGACCACGAATACGCGCGCAGCGTGATTGATTTCCCAGCCGCCACGGGCATCATAACTGGTAAAGTAAAAACCGCTGTTCAGGATCTGCGGCTTGAGCAACCTCTATCTCGCATTCCGGATCAGCTTGCCGGGGTGTTGCTCAGGGTGCGTGGCTTGGAAGAACTCCATGCAGCGAGACATGCAGCGTGTGTGAATCGGTCCGCCCCCTCTGGAGATGCTCGAATGGTTTCCGACGAGCGCACTCCCACAGTATCTAGGTCTAGGGCTGTGCCTGTGCAGGAGTTGTCGTTTCAATTGCCTCATGACTTATCCTGGCGGCTCCTTAACATGGATTGACACATGCAGGCCTCGAAACGGCGCGTCCATTCATATGTATTTCAATGAAATTTTCAATAGTCTATGCTCGGGCTTTGTTGGTATGGCAATTGGACACTGTGCTTGCATAGACTGCCGACGGACGCTGTAAACTAACGGATTGTCTGGTATGATGCAAGTAAAGGAGTCACCGAGGGCCACGGTAGTTGACAGGTCCCTTCCTAGTCTCGAACCGATCCTCACCACTACCTAACCCTGGACTAACAATCATTCATTGCTGGTCTGGGGGATCTCTGTTCGTCCATATTTCAAGTCCAGCTCCAGGACTTTGCGCAAGGGGCGCGCACCTCGGGTACTATGTGACGGGTATTTTCTAGTCACAAGCTCTATCTATCTGCGTTGTTGGCTGTGTGGGCGCTGATCCGGACCAAGTCTACCATTTAGGTTATGTACGTCGCAGTCAACACAAGCGGGCTTAAACGTGAGCAGTTTATTCAAATATACTACCCTCTATATAGAATTTTATGTAGAGACTTGGGGTGTTTCGTGTTTTCTTCCTCACTTTCACCCATGCTGGCCAATATACGTCCGGATCTAGTTATCCAGCCCAGAGCAGTTCTCGCTTGTCTCAGAGACAATAGAAGTGTACGGCGAGGGATCGGTCCAGATGATATCAAATCTACTCCCTGGTCAGCGGAGCCCTTTTTTCAAGGTTGTGGGACACAACAAAACAAACAACTCACCTGTCATCAGGATAGGTAGGGGCATTGCTATCGCCCAGGGCCTCGACAATATCCGTCAACTCACTGTGCTCCCAGCAGATCAAGATGTTGCCGGATCCGCTGTACGAGTCCACGACATCCTTCACGCAGTCGGCGTCGTCGCGATCGCACGAGGTATCGATTGTGAGACCGAGATCGTCCGCAAGCGGGAGCACAGTGTCATAAGGACGCGCGCGCTTGCCACCTGTTCCAATTTTTTTTTTCGCTATCGTGAGTGTGCATGCCCCGGCAGAAAGAACTTCCCAGATTCACAACATACTCTTCTTGGGGGTCTCGGCCATGATGTACCCGATGTTGTAGTCCGAGGCGGCGCCAAACACGGTCCGAAGACATTGTGCGCGCTCCTCGCCCAGGGCGCTCAGTCCTTTCCCGCCATCGGAGGGCTTCTCGCCATGCCGGATGAGGTAGACGGTGGAAGCAGCGGAGCTAAGGGTAGCGGCTGCGAGGAACCCGAGGGGCAGGAGAAGCTTGGAATACATGGTTGCAGCGTTCGCAGAAGATTCAATTCAAGGTGGAATTTTTGCTATGGCGAGCGAAGTCTGATGGGGAGAATGGAATCCGACGTACGGACAGGCTCCGGAAGCATTTATATCAATTTCCGGAGAGGGAGAAGAAAACAGCCCCCCACAAGGCAACAGAATGGAGTCTAACATGATGTGACACTTTGTGATCCTTTGCTGGCCGGTTGTTAGGGCTCCTCCGGGCGCCTACTATGTATCCATAGTGATTGGAGCGATCGCAGCACGTGGTGGAATGAATCGCTGATCTTGGGTCTCCAAATCACGGAAGAAGCCATAATTCATTCTCCACTTGCATCGGCGGGAAATCTAGTGGAGTTCGTGTGAACCGTACTCCAATTGCAGATCTTTTGTAGGGTTGAAGCAGGAGGGGGAGAGCCGTGGGGGTTACAAGTACATAGTAGTATAGTTTCCCACAATCAGTATTGAATTGAACGCTCCCTATGCTCTTTCCGTGCAACACGATCATAATAGTGAGCTAGTGAGTAGTGAGACCCTCGAAGACGAAACGAAGTGTTGAAGCCGGCACGCCAACCCGTGGACCTGGAGAATGTACCCTCCTCTCGACCAGCTCTGCCTCGCTATATCCAGATGGAGTAAGTCTCACATCCAACGTGCATGGCGATGCCAACGCTGCGCTTCAGAGAGCCGGCCAGGACACACCTTGGGAGAACGTCCGGGTGGATCCCGAAGCGGCAAACAAGGTTCCTGCAGATTCCACGCCCTGGTTATTGGATGAGATGGGCATCACGAACCTGATTATCCTGCGAACTAGGCAGCCAAGGTACTTAGGTGCCCGACGATGTTGAAGAAAATCATATCATGTACACTCCACGCTGGCCAATCCGCCTCCGATAACTACCGAAAATGCATGCCGGTGGTACTGGTCGTTGTGCTTCTGTAAGTCTGTCCTAGTAAGCGAACCTCGGATTCTGGTAGTAAATACGAAGAGTGTTGGTTGGACTCAAGTCTCAAATGGAGAGCATCGCAGACACCAAATGATATATATACTTATACTGAGCAATAATTAAGACTATTATAGATCAACACACCCCCGAAACCCCCAGAATACTCTCCGAATCGGAGACTAAATCCAAATCAATTCTTAGCTTCTACCATCTCCTCCTGTTGTCCGTCTGCTCGGGCTTCCTCAATGAGCAGCAGCTCTTCACGCCCTTCGCCCTTTCGAGGCCAGTAGCAAACCGCTACCACAACCGCCGCAGCGCCAACAACGCCCGTGAGCAGCCAAAAGGCATTGCGATATCCGTCCATGGATACCATCGTCATCCCACCGACTGTCTCTTGGTTGCCATCCATCAAGGCATTCGCTCCGGCAAGGAGAACACTCGCACCCACCTGGTAGGCAGTATTGAATAATGCGCTGGCAACGGCATGATTCCCTGCCTCCACTTGTCGGAGAAGGACGCTCTGTGCCGGGACCATCGCCACAGGGCTGCCACACACGAAGATAATCGCCGCGACAATGGAGTACCAATATCCCTCTCCGTGGCCGGTTCCCCCTGCACGTGCTGGGGTAGCAAATGCCCATGCTACCGCACCGGCAGCAGTGACACCCAGTCCGATGACGAGCGTTCCTTTTTCTCCGAGGAATTTGACCATGGGGGCTGAGAATGCACCACTCGCAATCGCAGAGAACGCGGCGGGCTATTTGTTGAATACGTTAGATGTATGAAAAAGAGAGAGAGAGAGAGAGAAGGGGAATACCAAAAAGTAAACAGCCGTTAGAACCGGAGTATAACGCAACAGATTCACACATAACTGCGTCGAAATAAAGAACCAGGAACTGAAGCTCCCACCAAAGGCAAAAACCGCCACGAGCATGAGGAAAAACGGCAGGGATTTCCACAGATATTTTGGGATCGCCGGGTTTGACACCCGGGTCTCGACGAAGACGAAGACGCCCAGCAAACAAACCCCTAGGATGATCCCCACAAGCACAGACGGCGCCGTCCATCCGATCCGCGAGCTGTCATTGAGCCCGTAGACTAGAAGCGCGACGCCTGCGGTGAAAACGATGGTGCCTGGGATATCGATGGGGATGTCCTTGTCTTTCGGGAAGGCAGGCAGGAAAAGACACGCCATGACCATTGCAAGACCCGTGAGAATAAGACAGACCCAGAAAATGGATCTCCATCCGGCGGATGATGCTAATAGAGTCAGAAAATATATATATATATAGAGAGAGAGAGAGAGAGATATCAATAACAGGGAAGCATACACGCAAGGAGAGACCCGATCACCGTGCCGATTGTAGATCCAAGAGGAGCACACGCAGTATAAACCGCCAGTGCTTTGTTTCGCGCATCGCCATCCGGAAATGTCCGGCTCAAGATTGCAAGTCCATTCGGTGCCTAGCTCAGAGACAAGTCAGTTCAACATCCATGAAGAAAGAAATCTCTCCCTAGGCTAGTACCCACAGTCAGGCCAGCGCCGATGCCCGAGATAGCACGGCCAGCAATCAAGGCTGCTTTGTTGGGCGCAGCAGTATTGATGATATTCGATACGGTGAGAATCGAAGTCCCGGCGATAAAGGTCTTTTCAAGGCCTAGTTTCTGTCCGAGCTGGCCCGCGATCAGGAGAAAGGCGGCAAAGGTGATATTATACACGATCAGCACCCAGTTTAGGTCATCGGTAGTAAACCCTAGGGCCTCGCGGATATCAGGGAGACCAAACAGGACGGACGAGAGTTGGAACAGATCCAGAAAGTTCACCAGCGTAGTCGTGACGAGGATCAGATTCAGATTCGCTCTTGGGCCCAGCCGTGCCCCCAGATGGTATGGGGGCAGCTTCCAGGTTCTGGTTGGCGTCATTGGGGTTGGGGTTGGTGTTGGTGTTGATATTGATCTTGATCTTGATCTTGATCTTGCTACCGTTGAAGCATCCGCAGAAAATAATTCACCGCAGCTGTTGTTTGCCGGCGTTGAGCATTTTACTCCCATGTTTGATCGAATCCAGGCCCTTCAAGAGCTCAAATGAGAATGTTTTTGACTAATCGTCCTGTTGGCATGTCTCCGGAGACTTTTCGGAGAGTATTTCAGTGTTCTGCAGGGTTTCTTTGTAGGAAACGAGGAGTTAAGTTAGGGCTTTGGTGTCCCTTATCGTATCCGTTGCTTAGTGTCTATTTCAATGACCAGTCGTATACCGTTCTCATTAGGGGTTACTTGTGTTTTGTTCAGTTGAGAATACTAGGAATAATGATCCCGGATTTCTTCATTTCAGATCTCAAGGCACTTTGCTAGCTGTAGTATGATGGAGGCGATTATCCGCCGAGTCCCACCCCCTCAGGACTATACATAGCTGTGAATCCGTCCAGCCTCTGTAGAGCTACCAAAACATACTACTTACCCTAAGCCATACCCATAAGACTCTATTCTTTAGCAACATCTGGAACCAACTATCATGGAGAAGGCATTGGAAATCCTCAGCTCTGTTCCCCTGATTGGTGAGAACCCTTGACGACCACCTGGCAAATTGTGGAATATACCACTCATCATTCAAAAAGACGGACATAATGACTGGCCCCATCTCATCCGAGGATTTTATGACAACCAACTAGACGAGCGATTCCAGCCCGGCAAGTCGTTGGTGGGCCACGTCGACTGGAAACGGCTGAAGGAAGGGAAGTCCGGCGGAGCATTCTGGAGCGTATACGTTGACTGGTAAGAACCAGCTAGGTATTCTTGATCCATTCTTTGTTAATCTAATAGAGTTCCAAGTCCTGAAACCGAAGATCCCGCCGATGATGCAGCGCATTTCGAAGCTTTGAGGGATACCTTGCAGCAAATCGACCTCGTCCATCGGTTGGTTGATCTGTATTCCGACCACATGGGCCTCGTCCAGAAAGCCTCCGATATTATGCAACTGTTTCGGGAGGGCCGATTTGCCAGTTTGATTGGAGTAGAGGGTTTACATCAGATTGCGAATAGTGCAAGCGTTCTTCGACTCTACCATAAGCTTGGAGTTCGATATGTTACGTTGGCGCATAGCAAGAACAACTTGTACGCGGATAGCGCTGTGAGTGATTAAGCCCTTTTTCATCATTCTTAGTTAGTTAGTTATTCTTGATGTATGACCAAGCTAATATTAAGTCCACAGACAGCCAGGTTACCGGCTCACGGAGGCTTATCACCCCGGGGCAAGGACATGGTGAGAGAAATGAACAGAATTGGCATGTAAGTAACATAACCATCCCCATCCGGGTTAATACAGGCTGGCATTTCATGGTTGAAATAATGTGCTCAAAGGAATAGGATTCTGGACCTATCGCATACAAGCGAAGCCGTTATGCATGACGCCCTTGACCTCTCCGAGGCTCCCGTCATCTTCTCGCACTCTTCTGCGTGAGTAGCAAACATTTGCTGACCGTGCTTTTTTTTGGCTTTTCCTGGTCATTGACTAGTTTCATAACCAACTAGAGCATCCATCGTCCCAAGCGTTCGTAATGTCCCAGACACCATCCTTGAGAAGCTAAAGGAAAACAACGGAGTCATCATGATCAGTTTCATCCCGTCTCTCACGAGTACGGACGCAGAAACAGCAAGCATCGACCAGGTCGTGGACCATATCGTTCATGTTGCTGAGCTAGTTGGGTGCGATCACATTGGTCTAGGCTCAGACTATGACGGGATGTTCAGCGCGGTCCAAGGAGTCGGGGACGTCTCTCGGTATCCCAATTTGGTGGCTAAAATGCTTGAGCGAGGAATCGATCGTCCAAGTGTGGAGAAAATAGTAGGGCTTAATATTATACGAGTACTGGAGGAAGTTGAAGTGAGATCTGCACATTGCCGGGATCAACATCCTGTCATGGAGGACTCGGTCAAGCAGCTATGGAACGACCAGTTTAGGGCTATGGTGAGGCAGACATACCCTCTCGCGGAGAGGGACCTACAACAACAACAACAACAACAAGGGAACTCACCGTAATCCTTAAACGAGACCATCTCCTCTGCCCCAGATGGCACTATGGATATAATCATGATACACCCACATCGTCCAGAGAAGACAGTCAAATATGATCAGAAACCACCCCGGCACATTGCCCTCGTTATCCTTGAATCTATGAATACCTCGTTGGATCCAGAATGCAACCCTCTGCCAACAGCTATCGAATAGCCACTTCCCAGTGCGGTAGCGATAGGTCTGTAGGGGTTGAAATGTAGGGTGTGATACTAGTTGTTTTTGATAATTCGCAGGAAGCGAATGCTCTGCGGCCCCTCGAATCAGGAGGTCCTTTCACAGTTTAGCTGCAAAGATTCCCTGACAGGGAGGGCCCAGGAAATACTAACCATGTATCTCCGAGAAGGAAGCCTTTCGTATTCGCGAGGGATGCTGTGTCTGCTCAATAAAGTAATCACTTTCACCCTTGTCCCGTCGTTTTGTAGGGTTGCAGTGAGGGCTCTTGTTTCGTAGGCTATTCCGCCCCTGTTCCCGCACGACGAAAACGATCAAACTCAGGTCTCAATCCTCGGAAATCTTGAGACAACTTACCCTTCACTGATGATAACACGGCGCATGTCCTCCATGGTGAGGAGATACGCAACTCCATAGACAGGCAGTTTGGATTCTCCCTTCTCAATCGGCCGGATCCCCCCCATCGCAGGATCCGTGTATGGCACGCCCATGACATTGAAGCATAGCGTGTGAGTATTGATCGATGCCACTTCACTCCTCAGCGGCTGCACCTTTCGTCTCGTAACGAAGACATCGGAAAGCATATTTGACCCATAAGCAAAATACCATTGGTTATCCTCGGCCATCTTGAGAAAGGACGCCTCCGAATTTCGGTCTAATGATACATACGCCTTGGGTAAGGAGAATGGCCCAAATATAAATGCCAGGTTTTGAGGTCAGCCTCAGCCCATTCCTTCCGTCTCCTAACGATGAATGTCGAGAAGCGTGCGGAGACCGGCGTGTTTTCGTCCTCCAAGAACCTTGCGGGCCGAAATAAGTTTCGCATCGAGGTACCTTTGGAGAGAGCGATAGTCCATCCAGTGTGGGGGCCAGAATTATTATGTCTTTGAGGGATTGCATAGTGTTGTGATGATTCTGTAGTTGGATTCTGTAACGATTCCGAGTCGAAGGGAGTCCGGACTGTGAAAAGACCCCCCACTCCAACCATAATCAAGTGTTATTAAGATTCATTCTATCTGGACGCAAAGTCAAGCAGAGAGATCTATGGGAGATGTCCCTTTCAGCCATTGCTTAGCGTCAAATCAGAGCGAGGAATGGGCCGGCCTTACCTCCACCATGTGGACTGGCAAAAGATGCATTCCACCAGAATTATCCGTCTGGGACAGCAGGGGAGGGGTGCGGGGGGTGCAGCTTTAAAAGCCCTAAAGTACCTGCCCAGAAGCAATCACGCCTTATTCTACAAATCATTTGCAAAGCTACAGACATTGTGTATACTTGTAGTTGTAGGTTATATAGGGTTATCCCACCCAATCACCTTGATGCCTCAGAATTCCCCCACACTCAGTACGCAGAATGAGAATTCACAAAGCCATTTGGCTGAAGAAAGCCACCCCCCCAGTTCCAAGGTCAGAGGCAAAGACCCTGTCACTGCAAGGCTACGCACAGCCTGTGATGGCTGCCATGCTGCCAAAATTCGCTGTACAGGAGGTACACCCTGTGCTCGATGTGAGCGAGAGTAAGTTGCATTCTTATCCTCGACCTATATCGTACTAAATACACCCGCAGCAATCTCCAATGTCACTACAGCTATAAGGCCAAGATTGGAAAGCCGAAAGGCAGCATGAATAAAAAGACATTAGAGCGTCTCCGGGCTATGAGAGAGGCACAGGAGAAGGAACGGAAGCCACCATCAACAGCAGATACGGATGTTGAAAAGACCAGGGCCATCGACTCTACAATGCCGTTAATGAGCAGCAACGATATAGAAAGGCCGACGTTGGACATAGCAAACTCTCTGCCCGAAGCCCAAGAGGCCCTCGATATACACAGTCCATCCAACTTCACTCTGGATTCGTCTCCATTCCAGGACCTGGTGTTTCCGGGAGATACACCTCTGGTTGAGATGGATGCCTGGCTGAATGACACGGCAGGAGACCAGAAGAATGTAATTGCCCTTGGGTTTTGGTGCTTGATACAGGCTAAACAAGGCTAACTTCTCCCCCAGTGTGCTGAAGTTTTCCAACTACCCAACATTTCCCCCGCAGGTGAGGACCGCATTGCCATATACATACCCAAGAAATAGCACTGATCAGTATACAGATCTCCAGCTTCAAAACATAAACACGGACCTGTTGAACACCAGAAGACACAACGAAGACACACAGAATCTCATACTCGAGCACCTAGCCCACTACAACACCCCTCTCTCGGAGTCAGCCTTCCCAGCAGCATCGTTCACCACAAAATCCCCCGGCAGTCATACCCATACCCATAACCACAACCACGCCAGATCCGAATACAAAGTCGTCCCAGTACCATTATTCACCCCATCCACAACAACAACAACAACACCACCACCACCACCACCCACCACCGCTACCACTACCATCAGCCATCACTACGACTTCTCCCACCCAGAGCCCCCCCAAACACCGCACTCCTCCTCCTCCTCCTCATCATGCACCTGCTTCTCAACCCTAACCGCGCACCTCTGCCAACTCCAGTCCCCCCACCAACAGCACCACCACCCCAAACACTCCCTACGCCTCGACACCCTCCTCCTCCAATCCCAACGCATCCTCCCGGCAACCCGCACCCTCCTCCGCTGCCAATCCTGCACCGTCGACTCGCAGGCCCTCTTCCTAGCGCACATGGTCCTCTCGCGTCTCCTAGCATGGACGCAGGTCTCGATATCCGCCTGCGAAACACGAGGCATGCTCGCAGAGGTCCGGCTGGGGAGGTTCCAGGTCTCCGGGGAGTTCGGGGCCGCGGTGACCGCGCTCCTGATCCAGAGGCATTTGGCGGACCTGAAGATGACGGTGGGGGTCTTTGAGCAGAAGGTTGTGCATGTGGTGCGTGGGGACGCGGATGCGGCGTACTTGAGATTGCAGGGGAAGAATTTCCACCGGGAGATTGAGAGGTTGGGGGGGGATATTCCGAGGATATCTGTGGGATAGATCATTCTGATTATATTACTCCGTATTTCCAGCCGGGGGGGTCCAATCGATATAAAGCTAGATAGAGGTTATGATTATTATGAGTGGATGGAGTGGAATAATTTATTTCAATTTAATAGAATTGCTGTTAGTTAGTGTCCACTTGCTCTCCCTATCATTCAGGTGTTCAATAAATAAACCAGACGTATATTTATTTATTCGTGGTAAGTACTAGTTAGTCAATATATGTATGTACATGCTCTCAAGTCCGACATAATCCCACATAAAATTACCTCCACAAAGTTCTAACTTTTACGCCTGTTTCCTAAACGCCAAAAAAAAAAAAACGAAACCTATCCCAGTACCAAGAGTGTAATTAATCTTTCTGGTTTGGATTAGGAGGATTCGGAGTTAGCGAGAGCCTGGAATCCCTTTACTAATCCCATCGCAGACCCTGCTGCAATACCGCCAATAAGGACCATTTGCAGTCCGCCGATCAGACCTCGTCGGACATTTCGAGCACCCTTCCACCCGCTCACGAAGCAGGTCTTGCTGTAGCCGAACAGAAACAGAGCAACCACCATCGTGGCGATGGACCACCCCAGGGCAACGAACGCGTCATGGGGTCCGACGAAGAAGTACGGCAGTAGTGGGACAAAGCCGCCGACGAAGTAGCCCAGCGCTATAGTCAACGCGCAGGTTACGGCGCGCGAGCTCGAGGGTTCTTCGAGTGTGTGATGGAAGTTCATGAGAAACGATGGGAGCATGGGCGAGGCGGAAAGGTGTCGGGTGAGCTCTGAAACAAGCTGAGGAGGCAGTTCGTAGGGTGCGAAAATTTCCTCAACTGTGTCTGCTACCGATTCCGGTTCGGTGACGATTTGTTTTTCGGTTTCTTTCAATGTTGCTCGATAAGATTCCCTGGGAAAAAGGCGGTCAATCTTTTGCCAATCTCATTGGAAAAGGACGGGAGGTCTATCTCAACTCACTCTTCGCTCTTTGCGCCCAGATATCCTCCCAGCCCCATCGAGATGGCGCCCGCAATAAGCTCGGCGAATCCTCCAAAAACCACCACCTTGGTGTCACCAAGGGCGGACAATCCCGCAGTCAGGGCAAATGGCACCGTCAAGCCATCCGAGAGGCCAATAATGGCATCTGAAATCACCCGGCCGTCAATGAATCCCTTTCCATCGCGGCTTCGTTTGACCTCGCCACTGGCCTCGCCGGTTTCGCTCAACGCATCTTGAGAATCCTTCTCGACATCGAATCCGGCTGTCGGGGAGTAGCCCGAAAGCAGACCCTTGATTGAGGACAAAGACATTTCTATGTTGAGATAAAAATCGCACTCGTATGATGTTGAGGCGGTGAAGCAGCCGGTCCGAAAATCTAGGCGGCAAAGCTCTCACTTATAAGTCACGCTGGCGGATGCAACCTTACTCCTCACCGGCTGGATATCTGCAGATAGGCGACCAGGATGGAAATAAAAAAAAAAAAAGAGAGAGAGGGGCACGACTCCAAGAGAAAGGGGGAAACATTGGGGTCAAATAAGCCGGGCTGCTTCCATAATCAGACTCAATACGAAAGCCGTCCACCTACGAGGTGGAAGGATATAGGAACGCGCAGAGTCAGAGTGGACGTTTGTTATCTCTCGCGTGTTGAAGATAGAACCGGGCCGCAAGGGCCTATAGAGACAGAATAGCCAAGAACGTGCCACGCATTTTGGCACACAAGTGGGGCTGCTCTTGGCACGTGGGGGACTTGATTCGCTGTTCAGTGGCTCCTCAACTGCGGGGGTCCGGAAAGCTTGGGAACCTTGGCCCAGTTGGGTGGTTCTGATTGGTTGGAATTGAAACCGGTGGATTGCTGTGGGGGGAGGAAGACCCACCCGGTATCCACCACGACCAATCGGCTGGCTGTGAATACAAAGCAAACCCTGATCCTTACAGGTTGCATTACTCGGGGTATCTTTTGCTTTACCTGATTAGGAACGGTATGGAAGACAAATGGAAGTTGGAACCTTTTTGGCCATCATACTGACATCCAGAGGGAAATGAATTGTTATCACCGGAGTTGATGGCTGATCCTCTTATGTGTATTCGCATAATTTCAATTTTTTAAGTTGACCAGCTTATGCGGGGATTCCCTTGCTTATCTTGGCTCTGCCCATCTCTCCAAGCGACAGGGAATATCTCTCAATCAATCTGTTTGCTGCATGTAGTTCCTGTCATGAGATTAATGCGGGCGAAAGCATACAGTGTGACACTCCAGGATGTAGAATAAATACCCAGGCCCCAGCTGACATCGAGAGTAAGCTCGCAAAAATGAAACTCAACTTTGCCATCATTGTATCTCTGGGCCCTGTCGCCTCAGCCCTCCCCTATAAACAAGACTACTCCGATGTGTGGGGACATCTCCGATCTAATGTATGAAAAGTAAACCACGCCATTAACATGGAGAAAAAATAACAAAAATAACAAAAAAAATAAAACAGATCAAACATGTTGTCTACCTAATGATGGAGAACCACTCCTTCGACAATATCGCCGGCTACTGGGACTTCCATCCAGACATTGACAACCTCAGAAATATCACCTACTGCAATGAGTACACCAACCCGAATTGGACGGTCTGGGGAGAAGCGTTGGAGATCTGCGCCGCGCCGTTCGAGACGGAGGTACCGCTAGTCGATCCAGACCATGAATTTGCAGGCGTCACCTACCAAATCTACCGCAAGTGGGATGCGACGAACGCCGATGTCCCCAACATGGGAGGGTTCGTCGAGCGCCAGTCCGAGAAGTACGGATCCACTCCCGGGGAGGCCGCGTTCGTGATCAAGGCGTACGATCAAAAGAAGTCTGCGACTCTGGCTGAGATTGGGCAGAACTTTGCGTTTTGGGATTCTTATGTGTGTGAGCCCCTTTGAGCATGGGGCATGGGATCCGATATTACACATATATCGCACGCGGTCACTGATGGTTAGTCTAAGTTCGCGGAACACCCTGGGTCAACCAACCCTAACCGTCAATTCGCAACGTCGGGCTCAACCTGCGGAGCCATCGACAATCGGCCTCAAGCAGCCGGGTTCTTCAACAATGTAACGGGAACTAGCTGCGCGGTGTCGATTTTCGAGGCTCTCTCGAGGAAGAACATCACATGGAAGAATGTAGGCTTGCTCACGCACATCCATCCCACTGCAACCCCGTACATATATGATATCTGACCGTAAACCACCAACCATACAACAGTACTACGAAAAAGACATTATCGACGCATGGATGTACAAAGTATGTACTAAACCCATCCAGTTATCTCTGTCCCATCCAAGGTACTACCGACCTAATCATAACTAACAAAGTGTGCCGGACAGTGGGTCCAAGAAAACGCCATCTCAAATCTTGCCCACGCCAATCAGTTCTATCAAGATCTGGAGCAAGGAACCCTCCCCACATTCTCCTATATCAATCCCGAATGCTGCACCATCGATTCCATGCACCCGACCAGCAACATGGCCACAGGCGAGCAAATGATCAAGCATCTCTACGATGCCGTCCGTCGATCCAAATACTGGGATAACATGTATTTTCTTTTTCTCATTCGTCTTCCTGATCTTCCCTGCTTTTATCGTTTATAGGCTGGCTAGGTAGCTAACGCCAGGCTAACCCCTCAGGCTTATCATCCTTAATTTTGACGAACACGGTGGTTTCGCAGACCACGTTCCTCCCCCGGCGAATATTCCGGCGCCTGATGATAACCTTACCTATAGCGGAACCTCTGAAGGACACAAAGTCAACTATGACTTTACCCGTCTGGGTGTGAGGTACGTTTTGTTTGGCAGAATTGCCGCGTGCGTGCGTGCGTGCGTGCGTCCTAACGTAGATCCCTAACAGAGTGCCCGCCTTCCTGATCTCTCCTTATATCCCCGCCAACACTCTCATCCACGAGAAAGGTACAATGTATGATGATGCCAGCTCGGCCTATACGCACTCGTCGATCCTGCATTTCCTACAGAATCTGTGGGGGTTAGAGGGGCTTAACAACCGCGTGCAGTGGGCGAAGACATTCGAGTATGTGTTCTCGACTGAGAAACGAGAGGACACGCCGGAGAGACTCGCGACGCCTGTCTGGTACGGGAGTAGTTGGGAGCCGAAGCCAGAGCGATTTTATCTCTTGAATCAGGAGGAGAGCTATTACCAGGCGCGGCCTTGACGGTTCACTCTAGGGTTTCTTATATGCCACGCGGCAGAATAGGGTCGATTTAATGGATACCTGCCAGCATACAAGCAAGTAAAAGTATATGGAAATCAAATTCGTGGCTTCATCAATCATTAAATACAGTGCCAGTTCATATCTGTCCTATAATATATATATATATATATATTTTTTTTTTCTCGTCTGCCGTCCACGGCATTTCTTTGACTGTGTCTACGAGTTTCGAATTTGAGTCGAGTTTAGTCTTAGAATCTATCCTCCTATGTCAGCAAGCACGCACACTTATAAACAAGGGTGGAAAACCTCACCCTCTCCTATGCTCCACTTTCTGCTCCACCTCAGTCACAGTTCTAGTCATATTCCACAGTCGACTCTTATACGCCGGGAACGAAGTATGATTCCAGATGTTGACCAGAACACTAATCACAATCAGCCACGTGCATAACCATTGGGGGGGGGGGGGGGGGGGGGACCAAAAGGAGAGATATGAAATAAAAAGGGAAGAGAAGTATACCTTTGACTCCGACCCACATACTCCTCGTCGTCCAACTCCTTCACACCAACTTTCATGCCATCCTTGGTAAACATGAGATTCTTCTTCTCCATCTTTGTGCGCGTTTTGCCGCCTACTTCCTGCACGATACTATATACGACATAGCCGATTGTGATGAGGACGAGAACCGCGACGAGGAGGATGATCAGAGGCACGAGACGGTTTTCCATCTTGGATGTTTTCCTGCTCCTTCGATATTAAGGGAGTTAAGGTTTCCTGTTGATGAAGAGTAAGTTAAATTCAGCCAAACAAAAAAAAAAAAAAAGGTAAGAGAGAATGAGAGAGTGGGATGATGTGTAGGAGTGGCAGAGGCAAGTGTCAGAAAGAGGGGAACGGGGAAAGAAAGACAAAGAGGTCCGTGTTGCTTGAATGGGGCTGTAGGGCTGAAGGGCTTTTGCTTCCCCGGCTTGATGTTGATTGGGGGATTCGCGAGACAAACGCCAGAACTTACAGAATATATCGAGAGGGTTTGCTTTAGAAATTGTACGAAATCATATTATTGAGGGAGGAGAGAAGAAATGAGGAGAGAGTGAGAATTTATAATCATGTCTACTGTTACGCCGCCGGTGACAAAAATGAGCGAAAAAGCAAGAAAGTGGCCAAGATCGCAATTGTGGCTAAGGGATCGATTGGGGCACAGTCAAGAAAAAAATCCTGGTGCCTGCTGCTCGAACCCCGATCTCGACTCGCGCGCGCGTAACAGAGCCCCTTTTGTGGCTAGTAATTCAACAACATGACTAGGTGAGGAACGTTAGTTTCTAAGAATAATTATAGAATGAAGCGTGAATCCCCAATACTCAGTCCTCCAAAATCTCGACTTGTAACCACTATCCTCTGCTTACCTAATAGACTTTCGGGCCGTGTCCGAGGCACGTGTCCAACTGGACTATTCCCAAATCAGAAATAGACTTTTTTGATCCATCCAATGAAATCAACCCACGAATTCTTAAACCCGACATTAATACAGCAATTTTACCGGATAAAAGCATCGAAAACGTAATTTTTATATTGTTGATACAATACAATTGAGAATTCTAACGTTCTGAATTGTACGGTCTGTTCAGGCAGATTAAGGCAGATTAAGGCAGAGTTCCCCCCTCCCACCCCAAAATAATAACCAAAACTTCCCCCTCATCTGCAGCGCCGAGGTCAACTTCCATCCGAAGATGAGGCCCCCTGTGTATCATGCATCGAGGATTTGACGACCTCCCCTACGAGCTGTTCTTAGAGATTGTCTCCTACATCGAAGATTGCTCCTCCTTGTATAGCCTCCTCCGCGCATCCCCCGCTCTCTCCCGTGTATTCAATCACAATGGGCTGGAAATCACTCGCTCCGTCTTCTCCAAAGACAATATGTGCGATCAAATCCTAGAGTCCATCCATATCATAGCCGTCCTCCAATCTTCGTCGCCTTGGCCCTTTCCCACTCTTCACGAGTTTATCTCCCGATTTATCAGGGTAACAGTTCGAGATCCAGAGGCTCCATACACCCCACTACTCCCGCCAGCGCCAGTCCTATCGACAGATTTACCCGATACTACCCCCACGCAGACTATAAGGCGCATTCTCTCTGTCTACGCCCAAATCTCATATCTCACTTCTGCCTGTATCCAGCTTTGTCTACAGCGTTTCCAAGCCATTCAGCCCGAGAATATCGTAAATCCAGAAGCTCGCTACCACGCCACATCCGGTCCAAGGAAGGACAAGATAGCGCCGTGGAAACAAACTTTCGAAAGCGTCCAGGTCCCATTTCATGATTTTGGCCCGCCAACATGGGACGAGGAGCAGCGTGTTTCTCGGGCGCTTTGGCGAATCCAGCTCTTCTATGATCTGCGCACAGCCGCGGCCCAGTCGCGTCTCGGCTGGTCGAGTCAAGATCTGAAACATCTCCAAAGTATGCATGAGCGGGACCTTTACGTGGGTGGGAGGTCCCGCTACGAGCCTATGGAAATCGACACGGTGATTGACTATCTGAACCATGTGCGGGGAGCAGGCTCCCCTAGGGGGGACAGCAGCAAGGCCTCTCCGCCGCTACGGCTGCCATTCCTTTCTCATCCAGTTAAGAGGAAATGGCCAATACCCAAACGACCGCCTCCCGGTTCATCGCATTTTAAATTCTCCGTCGATATCCCGGCATTCGGGCTAAAGGAGTACAAAGTGCTGGCAGGGCTGCACTTTTCTCCCTTGAGGACGGTCAGGTTTGATTTCTACCGTCGTCTTGGCATCGCGTTCTGGTGTCAGAAGAGGATCCAAGAAGCAGGGCTATGTCCTACATATCCGGGGGCCAGGTCTATCAATGTCAGCTCGTGGCTCTTTGCATGGCGAAGCATCCTGGACCCGGGCGACATCGAAACGGTGGAACAGAGATTAGAGTGGGAATTGGAGGAGTACAAGACGAAAGGAGGGGCGATTCGAGGGCTAGATCGCTCTTACTGGGGCTGGACATGATTATAAAATACGATTCCCTTATAATCACTGCTGTCATCTTGCAGCGTCGAATCATCAAACTCTGCATGAATGGCTTTCTTTCACTCTATCCATATTCGAGTGCACTAACCAATTAACTAGGCCATGGCTAGTTGCTATATAATCAAAGAGAAAGGAATAAGACTGTACCCAACCCAACGCATTATGCCACATATATTTTGGACACGACGCCCTCCAGTAAACAGACACCGGGCAAGAACAGACAGATAGTTACATCATATCATGCAGACCAAACTAACTACATAAACATGAATTCCATTCAATAATATCGTAGTGATTCGAGATATTCTCTCAATTAACTATACCAATGAAATAAATAAATAAAAAAAAAAAGAAGAAGAAGAGAAAAAGTAAACCATTCTTCCTTCCAATTGCAACTTAGTGTCGTCATCATGAATCATTTGTACTGTACCATGGTGTTTATTCTCCAAATCAGTCAGTTATATATACTCCTTTCCAATCAAGTACAATCCCTTTTCTCCATATACACATATCCTAACCATAACCACAAGTATCATAAGAACTAGTTATATAATGTGCGGCGTCCCATTCCTCCCAATCCTCCCAATCTGCTTCCAATGCGGAACAGACCAAAACCCTTGCCGCTGCAAGGTCTTCGGCCCTACACTTGGTAACTGCTGCTCCCGTCACCGATCCTTGTATATCGAATTGGATTCCAGTCTAATGGGGGGTTTTGGATAGGGTTTGTGGTTGCGGTTGTTTCTGCGGTACGTATAGTACCTTGATATCTATATCTATCTATATAGATATATATATATATATATATATATACTGGTGTATATATGACTGACGGGTCGTAGGTGATCTGTTACCCTGCGTCTATCTTTTGTGGATGCTGTATGACCCAAACTGGGAAAGAGTGAGTGTGTTCTTGTATCGCGATTTTTCCCCCCAAAACTTGCCTGGTGGCTGATCTACTACGACTTACCAGTATGTTGGGTTATCCCGTGAAATTGAATGGTCAAATCAGTAATGCTATACCTATATAGGCAACTACTAGCAACCTCCTCCGGGCTGGTTGGAAGACGTGCAAACTAGGAATATCATGAAAAATAGTGGAATTACAGGTATTATCAACAAGTACAGTGTCAGCGTAGCGGATTCATAAACCAAAGAAACAACCCCGGTCCTAATAATCATAACTGTGGGCCTCAGAGGTACAAGGTATCCAGACGAATCATCAGCCATTATACATCCATCCTCTCATGCCATCAAGTGATATCATATTTTGCTCGTCAATTTACCGGCCTGGAAAGTCTCTCGCTCATTTGAACTTCTCCTTGATTCGGGCGAAAATGCTCGATCGCTTTTTCTTCTTCTCCTCCTTGGTGCCTTTAGAAGCAGCCTCAGGCACCTGGGAAGCAGCCCCAGTGTTGGTTGCTGGTGTCGTAGTATCCTGAGTCTTTGTAGCACCGGCACCTGCTGTTCCTGTAGGGGTTGTTGTTCGTGGGGAGAGCTGGGCTGAACCAGGTTCCTCACCCATAGCGCTGGGAGAGGTCTGTGTAGCGGTAGCAACAGTAGCAGTAGGCGCTGGGGCGCCAACAGAGTTATCCAAATGAACCTTTTGTTGAAGCTCGTGCTCCACCTCCTTCTTTTCCTCAACAACTTCCTTGTTGGAAGTGGCTTCAGGGTCCCTGTGAGCCTTTGAAATCGAGTGCCTCACCACCTCTGGCACGTCAGCTGCAAACGTACTGTTGTTGGTCTGCTTCTGGGATTCGAGTGGAACAGCAGCGGCGAGTCCGGCGGTAGTAGATGTTGGTGCGGCAGACTGAATAGTGACCCCAGGATCTGCAACTCCTTGAGGCGCATCACTTCCCATGGGAAGACTAGACTCAGGGATCATGTTCCGCGACACGGGAGGGACGGCGAATGCACCACCTGCATCACCTGCACCTCCTGGTATGGCAGTATCAGCTTCTTGCGCATATCCACCCTTGTCTGTCCGGACCGTTGACTGGATTGTGTTTGGATTGAAGGTGCTTGGGTCAGGAACCTTCTCTCCTGGTTTCAGATGAATTGGGTTGCCGATGCCGCTAGATGCAGGGATCGGATTCACAGAATACTCGGCGGGAACATTGGCTCGCTGCTCAAGAGGAACATCTTTGCCAAGTTCCGCAGTGGTAGACCCGGGGGCTGCTGACGAGGTATAAATGCCATTCTGTGTGGCGCTCTGGTCGGATTCTTTAGGGACTCCCGCTGCCAGAGCAGCGGTTGTAGAGTCCGGAGCAACGCTAGAGATAGTAGCAGACATGCCTTCTGTTTCGTTCTCCAAGGCCGCAGGAGGTTCTTTTTGGATTTGGTTGGGATAGAGAACGTTGTTCACGTTGTTGTCACCGTCGTCCTCTTCAGGAACACGGTTATCAGTTGTCCAGATACCGTCAACGACAAACTTCGGATTAAAGGGGGAAAAAAAAATAAGATAACGCGTTAGTGGATCCAAGGCAACGATATGCTGACACGGGTGGTCATCTTATAGTTTTGGGGAGGGGAAGGGAAGGGAAGGGAATGGATGCGCTGGGGAGCCTGGGAAGGATCTGGCGCCAGCCATGACGTCAACGGAAGTAAGGCGAGGCTCGGCGTCATCACTGATGCCATAGGCAACGCAATTTGGCCAGAAAAAGCCTAATACGCTTATCCGTGGAGGGAGAATGGGACAAAAGATCATGTGCAAAGCTTCGATGGATGTATCGAGCAAAGGAGGAGTTGAGTTGTATGAACATACCTTGTAGTGCACCTTCTCGCTGGTCGCAGGGAAGTGGACCTCTTTCTCGAACACATCGTCGCCTATACGGTCCAGTTTAATGGTCTTTCCCCAGTCGTCAAAAGTCCCGGTAACAAACACCTCGTGAGCATTGTACGGCCTAAGTTCTCCCGACATGCGATAAGCCGTGCCAGTCAGCGATCCAAGTCACACACCAAGCCATTGCGGCTGAGCAAAAGAGTGAGTCAATCGGGTCGGACGACCCTTGACATGAAAAGTAACTTACCATTGAAACGTGTAGCTTCCCATCTTTCCTATTTCTACAAGAGTGAGAGCTGACAAGTGAGATGAGCGGAAGGGACTGGGGAATAAATGTCGCTAGAAGAATAAAAAGTCTGTAGGAGGCTGGGAATCAGCGCTATTATTCTGGACTGTAAGGACAAAGCGGGGTGGCGGTCGCGTACACACACAGGGAAGATTTGGCAAGAGGCAGCCACTCTCTGATTCCCCATCAAGGACCGGTCAAGTATCTAGAATTTTACCATGACCAGGGTAATCTTTGTATATGGATTGTAAGTACACTAAAAGTAGCGGTGGGATACAGTTGAAGGTTGACCCAGTCGCTGTACAACTCATCGGAAACAGTTGACACCTGGCAGGTTAACCGTTTAGCGCCACTTTGGTGCTAGAAAGGGATGGCAGGGAGGAGTTACCAAAAGGAGACATCTGAAGTCCCCTAAAGAAGGCTTCCCTATAACCATGGTAAAAATGTTCAGGTGATGAGGAAAGGAAGTAACCGTTCAGTAATGATGATCTCAGTGAGTCTGAATTTCCACGGATCCAGATTGTGGCGCACTTGACAGCTACTAAAAACCCAATGTTCTAGAAACCATTTGGAAGACGTTTAGATCACAAATCGAAGCTTCCACACATCCTTCGTCTCCATCTCGATGAACCTCTTCCCCTTGATAATTTAACCAGGTGGATTGTTGACAGGCTATTGAACGACTAGAGGACGACTAGAGGACTAGTAACCAGGGGAGCACCAGGGACGTTGATCTACAGCCAATTCCAATGAATTATCCATATCATACCATATTATATAGATTCATTTCCTTCTGGAGGCTGTGAGATACTGCTCGGAATCTGGAAGCTTCCCGATGTTCCCCCACCTTTTTCTTCTTCTTCTTCTTCTTCCCGTCTTTCCTCGTTCTTGTTCTTCTTCTTCCTCCTCGCCCCTTTTCCCTCCCTTTCAGTTGATATTCTTTGATCTTCCGTTGAAACCTGTCTCATCTCTCTTCCTTCATCCTCTCGTGCTCAGGAGAATCCCAGTTCCTCCTCGGAAATCTCCCACGCGACAAGTATAAGCCCGGAGCACTCGGGGAGGTTTCCTGGGAAAGAAGAAATTTTTAAAAAGAGGGTGGTAGCTGTACCAGCAACATCAATCACTGCCCCTCCAAAAGCCTGTTGCTTCCGAGGTATCCTACCTTTTTTTCTTTGCTTAGGTCAAAATAACAGAGAGAAAAAAAAAATCCCAGAAATTAATTTTACTACTACAAAAAAAAAAAGAAAAAAAAAAAAAATTGTAAGTCAGAAGAATCTTGGAATTTTCTTTGATGCTGTACTGTGTTACATTTTTTGGTTCTCGTTTCTTGTTTCATTATCTCATCAACTCGTTGGAACCATCGATCAATTGGCTGGACGCCTCTTGAATGGTTTCTTTGGGTGGAAGCTCCATCCAAGAGCTTCAATTCTGGTCGGATGCACTTTAAGATTCTCCAATTAGCCTTTCAGAACAGTACCCAATACCCACTCCGCTGTCCAGAGAAGAGAGCGCCGTCGGTTTCCCTACCCGCCCCTCCCTCCTTCCCACTTTCTCCCTCCGCTTGCTCTCATACATATCTCTTCCCTCTCCTATGTCGATGTCCTTATTCTCCCCTCCCCCTCCGTCCCCGGTGCATTTTCTTCTGTGAATTCAACCCTCCCATCCACATTCTATCGATCCCCCCTCTAACCTCCTTCAGTTTCCCTCGACCGCATCCCCGCCGCTCCACTCGCGGCGTCCCGACGACCTCGCAGCTTCCCCGCTTCACGGTGGCCGGAGACTTCTCCGGCCCTCCCACCGCCAGCATGGCGAGCAGCTCTAATTTCCCGGGTACTAACCCTTTTCTAAAAGTGTCCACGAAGGACGACAAGTCTTCCCAGTTCAACAAAATCTTCGAAGAAGACGAGTACGAGGTGACGTCACCAACCGACTCGACTTTTCGAACCGCCAAGTCCACCGCAGGGGCTTCGACCGCAGGGAATAGCCTCTTCTCGGGCAGTGGATTCGGCGCCTCCAGTGGAGGAATACAGTTTGGCAGAAGCCCCTTTGGTGGTGATCCCCCAGGGGACCAAGAAGGGCAAGACGACTCCTCTGGGGCTCCAGATAGAATTCGCCCAACAGGTGGCCCAAACCAGGGATTCCCCAACAATTATGCCCTAGGCCGTCGCACATCCGTGTCTGCTGAGTCTCTTAACCCTACCTCTACAGGCTCGGATAGCTGGAGCCCCCCGTACCACCAAAAGACAGAGGCACAGCTTGCGCGTCTGAAAACCGCTGTGAGCAGCAACTTCCTTTTTGCCCACCTAGACGATGAGCAATTCAAAACTGTTCTCGATGCTCTGGTTGAAAAGCCGATCCCTGCCAAAGATATCAAGGTGATCTCCCAGGGGGATGCTGGGGATTACTTCTATATCGTGGAGGAGGGCCATTTCGACGTCTGTATCAACCCCTCCGGCTCCGTGCAACCAGGCCCTGAAGGCATGGGAAACAAAGTCAGCACCATCGGACCAGGGGGCTCATTTGGAGAACTAGCGCTCATGTACAATGCCCCTCGAGCGGCGACAATTGTGTCTACCGATACTAAAAGCACCCTTTGGGCTCTTGACCGTGTGACTTTCAGACGCATTCTCATGGACTCGGCCTTCCAGCGCCGTCGCATGTATGAGGCTTTCCTCGAAGAAGTCCCCCTACTTTCTAGTCTCAAGCCCTACGAACGTGCGAAGATTGCAGATGCACTGGATACAATTAAGTACCCCGCTGGTTCAACCATTATCACAGAAGGCGATCCTGGTGATGCTTTCTATCTCCTCGAGTCTGGCGAGGCCGACGCGTTCAAGAACGGCGTCGACGGGCCCGTAAAATCGTACAAACGGGGAGATTACTTTGGAGAACTGGCACTGCTGGATGACAAACCCCGTGCCGCCAGCATCATTACTCGAACCGACGTTAAGGTAGCGAGATTAGGCCGAGACGGCTTCAAGCGCTTACTAGGGCCCGTGGAGGAGATCATGAGAAGGGCTGAATATGAGGCAAGGCCGACCCCCACATGAACCCTGAAATTAGTTAGGAAAGTTTTTGTTTTATGGAGAAAATCAGTGTGATTATTTGGTTTTGATTGTGATTCTTATTTTGTCCCTCCTCTTTTAAAAGGACTGACAAGCAAAGGGAGCATAGGTATATTGTCTTCACATGCGAAAGATGGGGTAGAAAACTCCCAATGTCTTCGCCGAATCTTGGGGGTTTTTTTTTTTTGTTTTTTTTTTTCTCCTGTAGGAATCGTGGGGTTGCTCTTGGATTGTTCATGCATGGATTTTTTTTTTTTCCTTCTCTTTCCTTTGGCTTTTCTTACTTTCCTTCTGAGATAGAGGAGAAAATACAGATTCTTTTCACCCAAGTATCTCTTACAGTCATGCAATACTTTGCTTTAGCTCTGGATGGATTGATTTCTAGCTTGTATCTTGGCGGAATATCGCTACTTTGGACAGCAACTTGTGTGCTATTATTCATTTCAACCGTTCCATTGGAAGATTCCCCCCCCCCCCCCCTTCTATGGTCAATAGGACCTGATTTCGCGTATGCTGCTAACTCCATTGTTGTATCAACATCATCGCGCAACAACTAAATCGCTTCTCAAGACCCATTTCTCTCCGCCCGTTACCTCCGCCCCTTCATGCAGTAGACAACGATCGCCATGTCGGTGGAACAGCGCCATACCCATCTCTGGAGCCACAGAGATCGGCTCAGGGTTACGATTCGCGCGAGTCGGCTCAGGGTAAAAGACTGTTTCCCCTCCTGAGCACGTCGACAAGTAGATAAGCAGCGTCCAAGTAGTACGGCCCGGTTTAGGCGGGGTAGAAGGCGACAAAAAGGAGAGGGCGTTAGAGTCGTCGTCTACGGAATTAGAGACATACAATTAATTACGTTACCTTTTTTTTTTTTTTTTCCTTATTTTAGACTTCTCTCTATACAAGAAGAAGAAAGATATTCAGAGGGAGAGGGGGGAATGTATCAAGACTTACAGTGCTGCGCAAAAAACTGCCCGGGAGTATATCGATATACACGAATATTCGGGTTCAACCCTAGGGGATCCCCGCCCCAGATCCCTTGAATGGATCTTCTTGTCTTTGTAGACCTCCTCCCACTGTCACTTTGGTCGTGATTCTGGTGCCCGTTATCATCGTCTTCCGTCTCTAGAGCTCGAACAGTCACAAGCTCCTTCAGGGCTGTTTCCCGCCAGAGTTGGTCAGCGAACCTCTCATCCTGGACTTGGAACCGGTCGTTGACGCGAACGGCTTCGCCTTTCTTGGGTCTCCCTGGGGTGGTGGTTAAGGGTAAAGAGGAGAGAAAGGAGACGTATGTTTTGCACAGGGAAGCCGGGAGGAAATTGCGGATTAGGTAGATTTGGTCGGGGAGAATGGGGTCTAGAGTGAGGTCAGAGGAGGGGATAAGGGGACGAAGGGGAGGCCAGTTGGGAGCTGGGGAGGATTTCTGGGGCTGAGAGTCGGATTTGGACGGCTTTCCCTTAGGTTTTGGCATCTTTGCATCAGCTATATATGTACCTAAATTAATATATTTGGTGGATGAGTGGAGAGAGAGAGAGAACCGGCAGAAAAACCCAGTGTCGGAATTTCGTTTGTCCGGCAGACCAAGCCGGCGATCCCTCATGATTTTCCTCTTCACCGCCCTCTCATTTCTCCTCCTCCCGACTGGAACCAAAAGTCGTCCGCTCCAACTTCTTCCAGAGCCAATCCAGCAAATCCCAGCCGCTCCCCCCAGTCATGTCGTCGTCGCAGACCATGACAGCGCCAGCGGTGGGCCATCACCCTTCTGATGCTGGTCCGAATATGTCGTCTATGTACGACTATTCCTGCTCACAACAACCACCAGGCAACGACCGTCACCCGCCCCCTTCCCCGCCCAGCGACTCCGCAATCCGCGCTCTGCACGATTCTGCCCCCGACCACTCCTCCCCCCCCAATGGCCTGGCCTCCCTTTCCGACATGATGGCTGTCAAGTCCGAGTCTGACGATCAGACTTCCCCTTCATTTCCCACCGGTCAGGACTCCCAAGCTGACCTCCGCCGTCAGTCCGCCGCCAGCGCCCTTTTGGCTCAACTCCTCGGGAGCCAACAAGCCTCCATCCCAGACCTTCCCAACATAGAACCATCCGCTGACACCTGCGGGACAACAGATCAATATCCCATGGAACAAACACATCCATCCGCCGATGAAATAAAGGGGCATTGGCAAGACCAGCCCGCGGAGGCCGCGGCAGCACGTCCTCCGCTGGCGGACTCGACCAATGCAGGCCAGGACCAGATGTCGGAATCTTTGCGCCAGACGGAAGACATTTCTTTGCAGCAATCGGGTCTACCCTTTTCAACCGCTGAAGAAAACAGCAATGCACTGATCAAACCCGATCCTATGGGCGTCGATGGCCTAGCAGATGCCTTGGAATTCTCGAAGTCGGGCCTAGATCATTCCGACCTTTTTAACAATTTCGATCTCTCGACAGCCGCGAAGACCCCTCTTGAAGCATTGCAGCACAATGAGATGCTGACGGCTGCGTATCTCTCTCAGAGCGCAGATCTGTCCGCGCTCGGATACACTGAGGGGTCGCTGCATCATGATGGGAACGGGTCAGTGGCTGGATCCGAGCCCCGAATTCAGGCCTTTGCGAAGCTGGAATTTGATGACGGCCATTTTTACTGCAATACATATTCTTTCATCCTAGGACGAGATGTACGAGCGGCCCGGGCGGCCCATCAGCGCGAATTACAGGTCCGACAAGTGATGAGGACATCCCGAGCCAAGAGTTCGAGTGGCGGCAATGCGTCGCATACGCCCGTTCGGGTGAAGCACGAAGGCAGTGGGATCATCGGTAGTGTTGTCAGCGACCGCGGTGGGATTATGGGCTTTGATCCTGATGTTCCTTCGCATCTTCCGGCGCGAGTCAGTCGTCGCTCGTCCAACTCATCCCACGGAGACCCGGCGGCTCCGTTACATGCCACTCCCGCCCAGCTTCAAGCCAGTACCGACTACAACGCACTTGCTATGCAATCATTGCGAGAAAGTGGAGGAGATGCGAAACCAGTTGACGCCTTGGCCCTCCTTCCTTCCCCCGACTCGTGCCCGACGATTCCTATTCATCCTCCAGCCACCGTTGACGGCAGTGCTGCCGGCCATCGAGGGATATCCCGAAAGCACGTGAAGATCGCTTACAACTTTGACCGAAATCTATTCGAAATGGAAGTAATGGGCAGGAACGGTGCCTTTATTGGTGCAGACTGGCTCTCTCCCGGTCAGATCAGACCTCTCCACAGCGGTGATTATATCCAGATCGGAGGCGTTCGTATCCGATTTCTACTGCCAGATGTACCGATCGGTGAGACTGGAGCCGACCGAGTGGAAGAACCATACATTCCAGACGATGACGACGCCGCGCAAGTATCCGGTATTGCTGATAATGAGATGGAGGACAGCGAGAAGAACAAGGATGGCTTGAAAACAACAAAGATCATCTTGAAGACAAAAGAAACAGACCCCTCTCGAACAGGCCAATCCTTAGAAAGCCAAGGGGATGGTCAGCAACCAGCCCGTCGCCGTGGGCCTGGACGACCCCCAAAAGATGGGATCATGTCAAAACGAGAACGAGCCGAGTTGGCACGGGAGCAAAAGATGGCCGCAAGACGCGAGGCCAATGGCGGTGTTACACCCCCTCCTCCCAACAAGTCCAAGACAGGGAAAACGACGACGACGACGACGACGACAACAACGACAACGACAACGACAACGGCGACGGCGACGGCGATGGCGATGGCGACGGCGGCAGCGGCAGCGACCACTCCTGGAGGTACTGTTGTGCCCAAGGAATCTGTGGAAGGTGAGTCACCTGGGTCAAGGCCAGAAAAGCGAAAGTACACCAAGCGAAAGAAGCCCGATGGCACCCCGATGGATATTCCTCTGCCTTCAACAGAAGGTGGGCAGTTCCCCCCAGACCACCGCCCAGAAGAATACGTCAAGCCTCCGCCAGTCAAGAAGCGCAAACCCTCTCGTTCCCCTTCTCCCAACTATCCTCCCGAGTCTGCATATACACCTGAGGATCTGGCCAAGCCACCATACAATTATGCTGTTCTCATCTTCGACGCCCTTACCGAAGCTGCCATCCCAATGACGCTAAAGCAGATTTACCGCGCCTTGAAATTCAAGTATCCTTATTTCCGCTTCAAGTGCGAGACTGAAGGTTGGACGTCCAGTGTACGGCACAATCTCAACGGCAACAGTCATCTCTTCATGCATGCAGAACGAGATGGAAAGGGATGGTCCTGGCAGCTTCGGCCTGGGGCTTCCGTTGAGAAGGAGAAAAAGAGACGTCCATCACCTCCTCCTCCGCCATCACAACCTCCACCAACAGCTCCATCATCCGTCACGCCTCAGTACATGCCCCCACCACCGATGAATTCGTACGCCAACCAGGCGAATGGACAACCCGGGATGGCCAACCCACATTTCCAGTTCTCCTCAATGCCCTCGAATCCCTATCCTGCATCAACCTCTACACCTGTTCCCCCCCCGGCCCCCGCCCCCGTTCCTCAACACTCCAGCTCCTACCCTCCTCCGCCTCCCCAACCCACTGCCACCCCACCCTTCCCCATCCCCAGTCCCATCAGAAACAACCTTCCTCCTGCGTTTGCGCAAACCACCCCTACCACATACACTTCGCCATATGCCTCCGATCCCCCACCACAACTTCTCCAATATCAACAGTCCCAGCAAGCACACATGCAACCTCCGCCCCTGCCGCAGCATCAGTGTCCTTACCCACCGCCAAATTCGCAGCCGATGCCTCCTCCTGTCAATCAGCAACACCAGAGCTTCCCACAAAACTCTGGATCCGCTCCCGCTATTCCTCCTCCTCCGCCTCCGCCTCCTCCACAGCATCATCAACCGCATTTGAACATGGGTGGGGAGCCTGGGCCCATGGCCATAGACAACTCCGACGCGGCGTCGTTCAATGACCGTGCAAACAAGGCAATTGACGACTTTGAAGCTGTCCTGCTGGAAGACTACGAGGACAAGAACTACATCAAGGAGGTTCTCAAGAGCGCCCGAGCACGGGTCCTTGGCAAGGCGACAGAGAGTTCATTCCCTGGTGGCGAACCCAAGGACGAGGCGGTCATTCTAGACGTCCTCCGCAACCTGATTGGGAGCCTGAAAGAAGAATGAGCCGTGTTGCAATGATTCCCTGCTTGACTCTCTCTGTGGATTTTATCCGGTAGAAAATCCAGAGACTGGGGCTGACGATTGTTACGACCATGATTTCCGAATTTTTTTATGTTTATGAACATCAATCACATCTACATCTACACTTGGGAGAGAGATCTTTGGCTGGTGTTGACGGGAGTGATCAGTGCACTATCTTTGGTAATCAATTGATTACATTTCTTCTTCTACTACTACTACTACCACTTTTCTGATTTTATTCTTATGATATCCACTATGTTCTACTGAATGCTTTCTTTCATGCTTTTCTATACTACAGCACCACCAGCACCACCATCATGTACAAGGCCGGGGACGGGATATATGGGACGAGTCCTCGGTCAATTTCTGTCTCGACCAGGGGAACCGGAAAAGCTAGGAGTTATTGCATAGACAAAACATTTTTTTTATTATATATATTTCGATTTCGTTGTATTCTGTAAACCGAGTAATTTTCGTCCAAGGTTCCGACTTCTCCAGTTCACTGCCATGTACCTGGGTACCTAGGTACTGACTACCTATAAGATAATACACGGGATCCATTTGCCCTTCTTGCTCTAGTTGGTGGGCAGTGCTGCCTTGAAGGCGGAATAATCAGCCATTGGAAGACACCGTTCATTCAATATATACTCAGGCTTATAGCCCCAGCAATAGTTACTATTTAAAGCCATTGATTTTGTCAATCCGGAAAAACCGATAGTCCGTTACATGCAGTCAGTCCCTTGAACTCATGTCAACCATCTCATCTTCACCTTGGACTATGCAGCCCAGCTCCGGACGACCCCAGTTTTACGATCTCTTCCGCCAGGAAGGCCTTCTTGTTCACCCATTGCTATGGACCTCTCGGCTTCTAGATATACTAGGATGCCAATTTCAAGACGCTACTACCTTGCCGACAGCTTGCTGTCCAGATGACGACTGTGTTGGCCTATATTGTGCTGAAAGGGCTAATATTGCGGCGAAGGCTCTCTGTCCAAGCGTTCTTGACATGCGAGTTAGAACGGATGCTTGATTGTTAAGACTATACCTACATTACCTTAGGATAGTACTAGTTAGGGAACAACATCCGGGTAGTTTATTCATTCTTTTTCCTTCTGCCTCGCTCTCTTCTCCCGCTTTTGACGTTGTATTTGATTCACCTCGTACTTACTAGTGTGTGGGTGGGGGAGGGGTAAAAGAAACGAACCGGACCTTTATCAAGTGTAGTTAGGAACCGGATGGAAGGATGAATTCAAGATGCGGGAGGGCCAGAGAATCTTCCTGGTCGGGCAGCGATGAGGGACGACGTCCGGTCGTTTGGATCTCCTCCCCACTTTCATAGTCTTACGAAGACTACCGAGGAATCCAGGGTGGTTGGGACGGGAATCAGCGGTCATCGTTTCTTGGGGAAAGGGGGGGAGGGTGTAGTAGGGTGATTGGGTGCATTCAGCTGCATCTGTGAGTCAAAGCAGGCAGTCAGATGGTGGTAGACCTCTGTAACTAATCTATATATGTATATAGATCTGTCGTATTAATTCCAGGGTGAGTTGGGGGTGAAAATTCCTACTCGTCTACGTATAGTAATATATATATATATATATATAGATAGTTATATATCATTGTCTTGGACAGACCAACAGATGCCAAAGCAAGAATGCCATGTATCCTGCACGTTGATGAACATCTGTCGGAACCACATAGGACAGAACTTCCTGTACCTTACCGGAGTTGTCTCTGGGTGACTGGAATGTACTCCATCTTGCTGTAACATGTGTGACATTCTGAGTCTCTAGTCTAGGTACTTTAGAATTATATCTGTTGAAAAGAATAAATTTCTCTCCAGGGGCACAAGTGACCCGTTCTGGTGGCTCCGTGAGGCAGTGAATCAATGATGATGCTGCCTCGTGCTGACGGGACATTGAATTCCTCCTCGAGTTGATTAAACACTAGAATCAATCAGTACTAAATTATTGATCATCGTGCTTCTCCCCTTGAGACTGTCTGGCGGTTCATCGAGTCTAACATTAGAAAATTTTGCCCCCTTTTCCATGGATGGGAAGACTAGGTATTCTTCGTATTTCCTGTTCTTTTGGTATTTAATACAGGTGATGACTGTATCTCCTAAGCAGATAACTAATTAACAGAATTAAATATAACTAAGATAATATATAATTAATAATAATATAGAGATTTTCATAGGAATTATTTTTGGAGGATTTGATTAATGATTTTTCCAGTGACTGGCGGATTAAAAGTCACTAAAAAAAAAAAAAAAAAAAATCCAGATCCACCCGAAAGACAGACATCTGTACGGTAACAGAATTACCACTCCTAACTCCGACTTTTCCTCTTCTTTCCCCCTCCTCTTCTCTCCCTCTCTTCTTCTTCTTCCTCTTCCTCCCTTCATCCTCTTCTCACCTCTCACCACCATTCAACCCATATTTCTCTCTCCTCTTTACTTTTCTTCCCTCCCATTTACTCTCTGTGTGCTGCCTCCTTCACATTCCCCTTCTCCCTCCCCAACGAGCTTTTCACTAAGTGTCGTTGTCTGTGTGGTCTGCGGGTCTTCAATTATTTGACGCGAGTGTCCTTATTTTCCCCATACTATTACTTCTTGCAAGGGAAAAAAAAAAAAAAAAAAAAAAGGTCGCCCTCCCGCCTCCACCCTCCCTTTCCGTCAGCGTTGCCATTGCTTTTCAGCGGATCTTTTCGCCTCTGGTGTCTTGATTGTTGAGATTTCAAAATTAAAAATTGAAAAAAAAAAAGAAGTACGATTGCCTACTGCTTCTGACAATCTCGTTTGTTGGAGACCTTCATCCAACCGCCTCAACATCACCAGTCTCGCTGCAAAAGACCACCCCCCCCCCCGGATACACCAGCTGCGACCGCTCCTTTCGCTCTCTTTGTGTTTCCCTTTTCATCTGTGTTCTCTCTGAAGATCTGTGTGGTTGATTTTTGTCCCCTGATGTTGTGCAACTAAGCGACATCACCACACCAAAAACAGAGCCCCGGCTCGTTGAGCATCGCTCTTCCTCTCCAGGATCAGGGTGTGGTGGACGTGTAGACGGTTCGTATCTTTTTTTACTCTCCTTTTTACCCTCAATTGTCTCGAGTGATTTCAAAAAGCTTGGCTGGAGCTCTCCTTTTGTGGAGCTAATTTGCTGACTGGCGAGTCTTTGCTTGGTGCAGCATACCACTGTCTACCTCCCCGTCCCTGGACTGGCTTTTTTTCTTCTTCTTCTTCTTCTTTTGTTATGCCGTCGTTTTACACCCCCGGCCTCCACGGCCTTCCTCCTACCCCCCCACACCTCACAAGCGCCGGAAGAATGGAGAACGAACCCTCCTTCTACGTCTTGGGCCACTCGGTTGCCTTCCCCCCGCGGTACTCTCAAAACGGCTGTGAATTCATCGAGCAATATTCGCAATCTGCTTGCTACGGCAAACCCCCGATGAATCTTCACCAGCAGCCCGTTCACTCCATGCGTTCGGGGAGAGATATGACCGCCGCCCACACGGCGTTGAACCAGCCCATGTTCGGCCCCATTCCCACCGCGAACGTACTGCCGCCTATTCGCAACAATGTCCAATTGCCCCCGATGGACAGCGCTCTCCCGCAGTACCGCCGACAGGATGTGACGGTGCAGCCCGAGCAACCACACAAAGAGGAAAAGGCTACCGGAGGGGTCGCCGCCCACCTAGACTATGAAATGGACCAGATGTCCGACTTCGTGGCTGAGATGGCCCAGGGAATGTATGATTTGTACATCACCAAGATCAACCTTGCAGATATTGACTTCGCGCGAAGCGTCTACCCAGGATCGTCTGTCCCCCCCCAGTTCCGGAAATACGTCTTTCAGATTTTGTCGTCGACTCGTCTCCCGAGCTCGACGATCCTGTTGGGTCTCTACTACCTGTCCTGCCGAATGCGTATGCTTTCGTCCGCCAAGGTTTACACCACCGGCAGTGGGCAGGTCTATCGCATGCTCACCGTGGCTCTCCTGCTTGGAAGCAAGTTCTTGGATGACAACACCTTCCAGAACAAGTCCTGGGCGGAGGTTAGCAATATCCCCGTGGCGGAGCTGAACACCATGGAGCTCGAGTGGCTCTTTGCCTTTGAGTGGAAGATCCACGATCGCATCTACGACCAACAGGACGGATTTGCCTCGTGGCTCTCTCATTGGGAGAAGTGGCGTGCCAAGTCTGCTATCAAAATTCACGAAACTCGTCATGCTCTCGCTCCCCTCGATACTAATATCTCCCGGAGCCACCGCGTTTCCAAGCCCCTGCTCTCTCCCGAAGGCCCGATCCCCCCACAATACCAACGGAGCACCCAGTACGAGAACTCCTGGCTCAACCCAGCTGCATCGGAGTACTCACCCCCATCCGCTCCTCACAGCGGTCCGACAACCCCCGATTATTACTCCGTTGGGCCCTGGGCGTACTCGAACCCTCCGCCTCCCTACTCTAGCACGTGGATTCCATCCCAACAGCAATTTATTGCGCCACCACGGTCACAGCCACCTTCCTACCATCATACCCCGTCTTACGGCTTGCCATTTGCACAGAGTGTATGGACAGGTCACGGTTCAGCCTGTGGTTGCCTGTACTGTACCAAGCATGTGGAACACTACATGTGTGCCAACCCTTTCGGCGCCATGCAACCAATTGTCGCTGGTTAATTGACGTTTTCAGTGTATACGTCTCTTTTTTTTTTTTTTTTTTTTTTTTTTCCACCTTCTCATTAGATCTCTTTTGACTCGCCTTGCCTTCCTTCACATCACTTGATGATACCGCCTTTTTTTTTTTTGGTGTTCTCTTTGCCACGACAATCCGGTTGCCTATTGCCCTTGGTTTCGGTGATGTGTTAAAAAGTACCCTCCTCGCCCCTGGTTATCTGTCTCTTGGTTCGCCCGAATAAAATACAAAACTCAGAAAAAACAAAGTGTCGAGCAGCAACATTGGAACGACTGCCACATCCGCAGTTCTGAGTTTGTGCATGCATTTACGATACGACACCCTTTTTCTTTCCCCTTTCACCCCGATTTGATACGATTCTGTTTCTCGAGAGATCTCGTTCAGCGAGTTCAAAAAAAAAAAGTACCGAGATCCCATGGACTTCTCTAGGTCTTTGAAATGGGAAGTTCACGATAATCATGATTTTCCTTGTTCACCTGCTCTGTTAATGCCCGCGCTTCTTTCCCCTCGATTGTCACTTTTCTCATTTTGAACCATTTGTCTTTCCATCTTGTTTGGATTTGGGCATTTCACCTGGCAGATGTTACTCATAGATTGCTTTTCTTGACTTTTGTCAAGTTGGTACATTCACCCTTGTCACAAACTCTCATACTGTTTTTATTATCTGGCGTTGTATTTTTTTTTTAATTCCCACTCTGCATTGCTTCATTCATCCGTTCTGGCCGACAGGTTTGATTTTCTTTACCTTTTTTTTTTTTTTTTTTTTTTTCTCCAACGATCGGAATCATGTTTCATGTGCTCGTCAACTGGCCGGTTTAATTCAATTCTATTCGATTTTTTTTTTCCTTGGCTTTGGGCTGATCGGAGACGGAGGACTTTTTTCTTGGTGGGACTCTACTTTTTACTTCATCCCCGTCTTTTTTTTTTTTTCCCATCCATGACCATCTTGATGCATGTTTGTCTTACTGGTTCCATGCCCCCTTCTCCTTTGGTCAGACATCTACTAAAAAAAAAAAAAAAAGGTGATACTCCCCTTATTCCTGGTTGTTTCCCCCATCCTGTGCCTTTCTATTCTTTCACTGTGATTTAGTCAGCAGTGTGCTTTTTTTCTTCCTTTTTTTTTTTTTTTTTTTTTTTTTTTCTTCCCACTTTCTCAATTCTCTTTGGTTGAATTCAATTGTAAGTTAACTACTTTACATCAACTCAATTAAACATGGGGAAAAAACCGAAATGCCTCTTGAACCCCAGGGAATTTCCACTCTATCTCTTTTCTTCATTTCTCTTTCCCTTAGGCTTGTTTGTATATGGGAGTGAGAATGACCTGTCTCATGTAGTATCTTTAAGCTATTTTAGTTCAATACGTATGTATGTAGATGTGTATGTATTGGTACCTAAATCAGAATCCAGAACCCATTCTATAATGTGTATGCAGATAGAATGGTGGATCTCCGAATGCTCTATATATCAGGTGGATAAATAGGGAATGGATGTTGGGCAGCGGGAAAGCAAGCAATAACTCTAGGCTAGCAAATTGGGGAGAGGGGGGGGGTATCTATAGGGGTATAGGATGGTCAAGGAATGAGTCTGTGAGAGGACCCCGGATGAAAGAATGGAAAGGAAAGAGAGAAGAAGAAAGGCTAGTTAGTAGACACTTCCTCTGATACTTTGGTCTTCTTGTCGGGCAGCTTCGAGGGCCTCGTCGTAGTTGTCGCCTGTTTGACTTTGGTTGCTGTGATCGGGCTGTGATTCGTTATCATCGTCGTGTTCACTCTCGCCCCATTCTCCTTCCTTTTCATCTCCGTCTTGTTTCAAGGAGTCGGTGCGGATGCCTTCGGGTGTTTCCTCCATCTTAAAGAGCTTTTTAGTGAGGCTTCGGCGACCGGGCGTGGGGAGATGACGATGATGGTTGTGGGGCCGAGTGCGCCGAGATTTTGGTGTTTGCCTGCCGCTGCCTTCGTCGTCGCCGTCATTTCCTAGGTCTTGGGATGGACGAGGTTGGTGGAAGCTGCCTTTGGCGGCACTCGAAGTTGAAGGGGATTCTTCGAGCTTGATGCTATCTTGTTCATCCTCTGAGGGAGCGACGCTGTTTGCGCCGCTGAGAGTACCTCCACCGTCGCGGCCGACAAGATGTAACAGCCCGTAGTTCGATTGTGGTGGGTGAAGGAGGTGGTCTTCACTGTCACGCTGGAATCTGAGGAGATCAGGGCGCCGAGGAATCAAGCTTAGGCTTTTGAGCAGAGATTCTGGAGTGGGGAGGTGGGACATGTTTGCCATGGTGTTTGCCTGAATACTCTGCAGTTGCAAATTTGTTCGTGTATTTTGCATGGAGCTTGAGGAATTCATGCTGTTGTCTTGTCCAGGAAAACAGTACTGGGGAGTTGGTGAAGGTATTGTCTTCTCTATTGGCTTTGTATCTGCTGAGCGATCTCCGAGTGCGGGCTCAGGCGCTGTGAGCATTTGTGCCTCTGTAGTTGCTGCTGGTGACGAGGACGAGGCGGAAGAAGACCGTTGAGCGACGGAGTCCTGGGCTACCCTGTGCACTACCTTGTGCTGTGCGTCATGATCGTGGTGCGCATGGTCAGCTGCATGGGCTCGCGATGATCGCAGTGAGCTCTTTCTGTGAAGACCATGGCTACATCCATCGGGACATCCTCCCCACTTGCGTCTGATAGGAATCGGGGAGTCCAGGGGGGACGGAGGGTGAGAAGCTGCTAGCCCTCTGGTAGCACGCTCCCGCTGGCGTTCGAGTTCCTTCTCTTTCCTTAATTCTGACCATGTACGAAGCTGATTCTGGAGGATATACTTGCCGTTATCCTCGTTGAGTTTCATGATCACAAATTCGCAGTGATTGATGTTTCGCAGATCCTCAAAGTACTCGACGCTCCAGTGATACCATTTCATAAGGAACACTCGAGTCATAAGTCCATGTGTGACGAGGACACAAACGCTAGCAAAGTCTTGCTCCCCGAACAGCCGCCAGAGCGACTCATTGAACCCGCTTACTCGGTCGTAGGCGTCCGCGGCGGACTCCCCATTCGGGATTCTGTAGAAAAAGTGTCCGTAGTCCGCCCTCTCAAGCCACATTCGCTCCATTTCCGCAGAGCATGGCTGGAAGTTTCCAAAATCCTGCTCTCGCAGCCGGGGTTCCTCATATACCTTGATTGTATGTCGCGGAAAGGGCGACGGTGCCGGGGAATCAGCGGTCAGCGACTGGAGGATGCCTTCGGTGGTCTCGCGAGTCCGGCGATATGGTGATGTAAAAAAGTGAATCTTATCATCAGGCCGCAACAAAGCACGTAGCTTGGTGCCAGCTTCTAAGGCTTGACGGTGCCCCTCCGGTGTGAGGTTTACCCGATGGTCGGGGATCGTTTGGTGAATTTCACGGTTCTTGTTCCCCTCTGATTGAGCATGACGAATCAGAATAATCATCTAATTGATATGAGAATCTTGACTTTGCTGTTTCTATCTCGATGCTAAGAAAAGGAGGTCTCACCCGCGGTTTACCCATGGTCACTCTCGCATTCAATGGTGGGGTCGATCGACAGAGGTAGAATCGCAGCGCGAAGATACCATGAAATTTAAATCTGATTAAAGAGGAAGAAAACTGGTAGATGAAAGTCAAAAGGGTATTAAGGGACAGTGATAAAATATTAGAGAAAAGCAGATGAGAGACTGGTGCAGAGAGGGGATGAGATGTGGTATGGCCAAAAAGAGAAAAAGAGGCGTTGGGATTTGGCAGCCTCAATGCGGACGGATACATGTGACGAATTCTTGCTCAACAACCTAACCATCTGCAAAAGGCGTCGACGTGTCCTTTTACTCGCAGTCTCTTATTATATTATTATCATCAAAAATCACATCTATCCTTACGATTATCCTCTCCAAGTGGAAATAGATTCTCATAGCGCGATCTAGATTCTGCGTTCCCCGGAGGCTGCGTTTGTTGCCGCAACGGCCACCGTACGACCTCCTCTATGTACCCCGTACTCTCCAATACGTACATCCTCGATGCTTCCCGGGTTTCGATTTGTCGGGTGATAATTGAATCATTTTCCTGTCTGGGGTAAAGATAGAATCGTTGCCAGAATAGGGGAGGCTCAGTAACCATGGCAGACCATCTTTACGAACTCCTGGGTCCCCATCTCCCCCCAGGGGATGCGAATACGTCGCAGGATCCGACCACGATTCAATACCTCAACCGGCTGCCCACGTTGTCCTTGCAGGCCTTGCAGACAACAGAACGCCAGTCGCTATCGCAGTCCGCTCATTCGACTCTACTATCCCTCCAAGCCCTCTCCAATCGATCCCACAAAACCTTCATCGCCTCCGCAGACAACCTGTCCGGTCTCCGCACATCTATCCCGCAGTTGACCAGCCAAGTCGAGCAATTACGCGATGGAATCCCCAAATTAGACGAGGAAGCTGTTCTGTTCTCGTCGAAATATAGTCGAGCAATGGAAAATGCCACTCTTGAGAGGCGGAAGAAGGTCATGCAGCTCTCGCGAAATGTTGACCGGATTTCTGATATCTTAGAGCTGCCCACGTTGCTCGCGACTGCTGTGTCCTCTGCGGCGGCCAACTCGGGGAACACGGGAGGTTCATTCTCTACGACCTACTCTGCTGCGCTAGATCTATATGCCCATATCAAGAGGCTACAAACGCTCTACCCGGATTCTCCCTTAGTCAAAGACGTGGCCACTCAGGCAGAGGACGCGATGAAGGATATGACATCGAACCTTATTACTGCTCTTCGTGCACAGAATCTCCGGCTTGCAGCGGCTATGCGGACGGTCGGCTGGTTACGCAGAGTAGCTCCAGAGCTGGAGACTGTTCATGGTGATGGGGTAACCAGTGCTGGTGGAGGTGCACTCGGAGCCTTATTTCTGATTTGTCGACTCGCAAACCTAGTGTCCACATTGGAAGCATTAGAGCCTTTAAGGGAACTTGCGGACCAGGAAACCCAGCGCAGGGCGCGAAATGCAGATCAGAAGAGCAGCGCAACTACTTCCTGGGCGGACGGGCATCAAACGGAAAAGTTTTTAAAACGGTATATCGAGATATTCCGCGAACAAAGCTTTGCTATCGTCTCCCTCTACAAGAATATCTTTACCCCTGACCAGTCGGAGCCCGAGGCCTTAGCCACAGGTTTGCAGGGAATTGATGCACGAATGAAAGCAGCAGCGTCGCCACAGCCAGACCGTAAAGGCGACCCCTTGCAGTGCCTTCCGCCTGCGCTCGCAACGTTTCCTATGCACCTAGTTCAGTTATTGACAGACACTTTGCGTACCTATCTTCCCAATGTTCGAGATAAGAGTGCGCGGGAAAGTCTTCTGACCCAGGTGCTGTACTGTGCCGCTAGCCTGGGACGACTAGGGGGTGATTTTAGCATGATCCTAACTGAAATGGACGATGTTGAAGATGAAGGAACGGAAGATCTTGCCTACGAATGGGAGGAGGTGATGCGGAAACACCGGGCTTTGGCTGGACGTCTTGAGCAACTTACAGGCGCAAATTCCACTAGTCCCACTGGATCGTCGAAGGGGGTCCTACGAGCACCCTCCCCGGCCGTGTTACCGTCAAGCCTTGTTTCAAGTTCACACTCGTGAACCTACTTCTTCGAAGATTGAAAGCCAATTCGGGTCATCCAGTCTTCCCAAATTAAACGCACTTCAACTTGGGGTTGTCGTAAATCTCTGGCGAGACGCCGTTGCGCACTGATTACCGAATTCCCCACTACCACTGGGACTCAGGCCATGCTCGAAAACAGCTTCAACGGTATCACCGAACCCACCGTATCAAAGAGCTATTTTGGAAGATTTAGCTTCCTTTACGACGGCTGCAAACTCGTGCCTATCCAAATCGCTTGATTTGAATTACAAGTGCTCAATTCAGAAACAGCCCTGGTTGGTGTGCATGAGCAAATTAGGAGAAGCTCTTTTATTCACACCGTGATACTCATCCCTGGAGGAAAGCGCCGGCAAGCGCATGGACATACGAATCCGACTGAATTTTCTCAAGCCTCGCTTCAAAGGTCTGCTAGTTGTCGTGCTTTCACGAGGAAACGCTGCAAGAGAGACATAGACCGCTGATTATCTGGCATGAATTCCTAAATTGGAAACAAGATGATACCCCATTGTACATACCTAACATAATAATACCTTGAGACATAAGAGAAGTAATACAACTGAAGATCTACCAAAAAACTTCACCAGATATGACTTCTTGTAAGGTTAGATTAGCGATGTCATATAGAATCCTCCTGCATATCACCTGATGGCACAAAAGGGCAATCCGCTAACCTGATTGGGGAATAGCCCAACAAGGTTTCCTGCAAAAAAACCATCGGCCGGTAACTTTGGTAATTCTGGTAACAGCCCGGTACGGCATAATCAGCCGTATGACTGCAAACTTACCGAGTAGGTACTTTGTAGTGACTTGAGATCCAGCTCACTCTCTTTGTCTCTTCGTCTTCTTTCTTTCTTTCTTTCTTTCTTATTTGAACAATAATTCTGTAATTGCTGCAGGCGTCTTCGGTCTTTGTATATGAACCCCTTTTATTCTTCAAGTCCCTTGCCAACTCTTCACCAACCCGTCTCTTGTGTGACATCCTCCCTTGCGCATATTGTTCCGTCCATCTCCCTCCTCACCTTACAAAGCAATGCGACGCTTCCTTTCTAGCTTATGAAAGGGGGAGGATTATAACTATATATATACCATATACCGATATACATCGCCATTTATATCATTGCAGGTTCTTTCCCGCGGTACTTGCTGTCTATATCTGTTCACTGCCACTTCCCTTCTCCCCATTTCCAATGGCCGCCTCCACTCTCACAACTACCGGGATGATCGATCCTACCAAGCAAGCCGAGTACCCCATTATTCTGGGAGATCGATTGGCTGGCAAGATTGACGATACTCGCTCGCAGTTGATTAATATCAACTATAACTACAAAACCAAGGCTGCGACCGCCCAGCAACGATCCGTTATCACCAGATCCGCACAATCTCGGGATCACTACAACCTCACCATCACCGACAAAGCCCCGAACGCGGAGCAGAGTGTTCTGACCTACGCCTACCAGGGCAGTGTCGATCCCAACCAAAGTGTATCGGAATCAGAAGATCATAATCTGGTTCTGGTATTCGACTCGAATAAAAAGGTTTTCGTCTTGGAACCGGTCGCATCCCAGCTTAACTTCAACCTCCGTTCGGCTCCTGCAAAAACACAAAAACAGGCAAGGCAGCAATATGCTCAGCTGAGAACCTTACACGAGGATGACCCTACCTCTGGGGATGATCGGGTATCGGACCACGCCAGCGCCAGCTACGATGGCCCCGCTGACGACGACAACCCGTACGACTACCGCCATTTCCTTCCGAAGGCCAAGGCCAGCCTTGACGACGACAAGTTGGCTTCAGGCAACGTGACCCCAGAGCCATATCCCAACCCAAGCAAGGCTAATACCCCATTGATCACTGCGGCCAAACCTACGCCAAGTCCCAGACCTCACCCAAGAACCCAGACCAACCCTCTCCGCCAGAAGAACCCGACAACCGATCCTTCACGACAGAAAAATACAGCAAAGGCGCAACCGAAAGCGAAACCTTCCACGGATCTATCAGAAAAACAAGGGGGGAGGAAGACTACGGAGAGGAGGGAGAGATACGATGAGGGCGCAGACGAGATCGTCTTTGAGTCCTACAAATCATCACCTTCGGAAACCGGAACGGGCGCAGTGTCGTCGCAAAAGACCGTTCCATCACCCGGGTCGAATATCATTATTGATGGAGATCTTATTATCGACATGGGTTCGCCGCCTCCTACTCGCCCCGCCTTCAAAGTTAACCCTGCTCATTTCTCCTCAAACAATACCCCCGCAAACGGCGACGAGGACGAGGATGAAGACGAGGATGAGGATATTGAAGCTCTTCGACTCCCATCCCCTGTCCCCACCACTCAACGGCCTGGGCCTAGTTCCACTGTGCAGGGCGACGTGAACGAACTGGAGGAGGAGGAAGAGGAGGAAGAGGACGACGACGATGCGCTAGCGGCAGAGATGGAGGCAGCATTTGAAGAGAGCGTGCGGGAAGAGGAGGCGCGAAGTCAACAATCCATGCCGCCAATCTCGTCACACCATTATGTACCAAGTGATGATGAAAGTGAGGTTAGCGAGGAAGAGTAACTAGCCTCTTATGTTCAGACTTTATCGTGTCAACTTCCTTGGATTTGGCTGATTGAGCGATTTTAAAACAATACCTGTAACTAACTATCAAAGCTTTCAATCTCTATATAAGCATTGGGAATTGGCCGGCGTTTGTGGAGCGAAAGAAAACAACAATGATACCACCTGATCAATCATGTTCCAGAGATCTATTCATGTCCCCATTGTTTATTTACAGCAGGAATTACACTCTCAATTGAATATTAAAATAAAAATACCCAAAGAATCATTCTGTGAAGGTTGAGGGGAGAGTGTGAAAGTACACTCGGAAGAACTCAATGATCCGGTTCCCCTTTCGCACGCAATTTCCACGGGCGAATCTTTTGGGGACAGGATCCGACTTCCTTTTGAAGCTCAAGGCTGACACCAGCTGAGGGGGAAAAAAGATATCAGAGATTGAGAGAAAATCAAGAAAGGGCACGGGTCAGTTTTGTTCTCGGTTGTCCACTCCCTGCCTTCCTCCAAATCTCCGCTCGCAAAATCCCCTTCGTCCTTTCGTCATTCTCCAGAGCAGCACACTGCACGTCGCGATTGTATCCCCGCATGATGCGATGAATTTCTCTTTTGCGCCATGGTTGAACTGTTTTGTTAATATTTAAGAGACTGGTTGGATGTTCCTGTTTTCACTATCCAACGGGATCCTTGAGGCCTTGGAGTAAACCCCTGCTGGAGGTTTGACCCTGCATTCGCAAGCTTCTCGACGCTTAACTTTTCTCTCCTGTCATTAATCTTCATATCCTCTTCCAACACCCCTTTACTGCCTTCCCAAGCTTTAGGTTCGTGGCCTTTGCTAGGAAGAACTCCACTTCTCGTCCTTGATGGCGTCCTCAAGATCACACCCCCATTCCAGCAAACGACCTGTTCCTGCGCCCTCGAATCCCGTCCTCCTCGCGGCACAAGCTCAATGGCTCTTCACCGATGAGGAGCTCACCCGCGCGCCGTCGCAACTGGATGGCCTGAAGATAGAACAAGAGAATGTGAACCGGAGCAAAGGGGTCAATTTCATCACTCAGGTGGGCATCATGCTAAAATTGCCGCAACTCACCCTTGCGACAGCCGCCGTCTACTTGCACCGCTTTTTCATGCGATATAGTATGGTTGATTTACCACAACGGCCGGGAATGCACCCATACCCGATTGCTGCAACAGCCCTATTCCTTGCCACCAAAGTTGAGGAGAATGTCCGGAGGATGCGAGAGCTGGTGGTAGCCTGCTGTCGGGTGGCACAGAAACAGCCCAACCTTGTTGTGGACGAGCAGTCGAAAGAGTTTTGGAAATGGCGCGATACAATCCTTCACCATGAAGATCTACTCTTAGAAGCTCTTTGTTTCGATCTGCAGCTCGAGCAACCTTATCGAATTCTCTACGATTTCATCTGCTTCTTTGGGGTTAACGAGAGTAAACCCCTTCGCAACGCCGCCTGGGCCTTTGTCAACGACTCGATGTTCACGGTCCTGTGTCTTCAGTTCCCCGCCCGTACCATCGCTGCAGCCGCACTCTACGCAGCCGCCCGCCACTGCGACATCGGATTCGAAGACGACGGGCAGGGGCAACCTTGGTGGGAGCAGATCGAGGTCGATCTGGTTCAGGTGCGCCAGGCGTGCACCCGAATGGCGCAATTGTATGAAAGCAATGCGGCGCACAAACATAGCCAGTACTACCCGACCACCCCATTCCTCTGGGACGAAGGTGCTGAGAAGACCCGGATCCCACACACGGGCAGCTCGCTCGACGCACCAGACTCTGCCCTCGGTAGGAAACGGTCGCGGGAGCCCGAAGACGAAGCCCAAGAGCGCCGCTGCCACTCACAAGACGTATCCCCGAAGTCTGGGGATCATCTCGCCCCAACCAGCAGTCAGAACGGAGGACTTCGATCGCCGAAACGGCCACGAGTAGGATCGGACGCGACAGAGAAGTCTCACTCTGCCACTGCATCATTCACTTCTCCTTCCTCTACCCTTCCACCAGGGGGCCAACAGCCTCCTCCTCCTCCTTTTTCTTCTTCCTCTGCTTCATCCTTCTCGCATGATCGGCCCTCCAACGGCCACGTCCCATCCCAACACCATCATCACCGCTACCAACACCCTCTCCCACCGAACCCACGCAGCTTGCCATCGAGACGCAACAGCGAATCCCAATCTGTCGATCCCATCCAGCAACGTATTGACGAAATCGTCCAACAGAACATGTCCCCACCGCAAGGTTCTACAGCATCAGGAGCGGCCAGTAAATCGGACAAACGATACCGCGAACCTGACGACGTAACTCGAAAGCGGAGAACATCTTCGTCGGCCTTCTCCGTATCCTCAGCGGGCGGTAGAAACGAACATCTTCATCCTCCTCCGCCGCCGCCGCCCTCATCTTCTTGCCCTCCAGAGAAACAGAACCGCCCTCTACCACCACCCCCGCCTTCTAATCCCCCAGAACCAGATGACGATGCAGGCGGCAGTGAAGAAGGCGAATTATAAACATTTTGATTTCCCTCTTCTTCTTCTTCTTCTTCTTCTTATATTTATGAAGACTCTTGCACCTACCAAAAAAGGAGTTAGCATTTAAAGAAGAAAAGAAACGAAAAGAAAAGAAACACCATCCAATCCTTCATAGAAGAGAGGAGAGGAGAAAATCAAACGAATACCGATGCGAAAGCCTCATCGCAAATAAGGCTTCTCTTCTTCTTCTTCTTCCTCCTGTTTTATTTCTATACTTCTTGGTTCTGGTCATCAATATAAAAGGCAGGCATGGCTTATGGAGCTCTCTCTGCTTTCGGTGAGCGTGTTCTAGGTGTACGAATTCTCTCTTGTTCTTGTTATTCCGACCCTTTTTTTCTATTATTAATCCCTTCAGACTGGATGTATATATACATACCATACCATACCATCTTATATATTATTATATCATATTAGATTTCACCAGATAACCGCTTTTAAGGATTAAATTCGTTGACTGGATAGTCAAGGGATACGATACTAGGGTATTATAATTTGCTTCCGTAAGAAGAGAAGAAACGAAGGAAGGAAGGATAATAGTAAATGATATGGATTGGTGATGGTATTCAAATGAGTGTAAATACTACCAACAGCAGCAGCAGCAGCAGCAGCAGCAGTAGTAATAGCAGTAGCGCTAGAAACGAACAGACAAACAATTCCGACCCAAATCCATAGCTCTAGGAAGAAGTGCAAAGAAAAGCAAAATGTCACCCCCGAAAAACCACTACCATATATTCAATACCCCGCGGTCATGACACCACCAACCCGGTTATCATGATCAAATAGACTGCTGGAGGCCACGAAACTAAATCCACCGAACGGGTCGTTTTCCCCGCCGCCCATGATACCGGCACGGTGGTCGCCTGCGGCTCCTGTTCCAGCTCCTGCTCCATCGCCGCCGCCGCCGCCGCGCGGTGGTAACTGTCTCGCTGCCGTGGCAGAGGCATAGTACTCATCGAATCCTATACCGGGCCCATCAACGGGACTAAGCGGGAGCTGGGTGAAATCGGTGGAGAAGTTCTCTGCGAGGGCGGGATCTGTGACAACCGGGATAATCGGGGGCGTGACGGCGCGGCGCTCGAGAGCGCGCCAGTCGATTTTGCGGAAGAAGCGGTGGGATTTGATGGTTTGGAGGTCCTTCGGCATGTGGTAGCCTAGACGCTTGGAAGGTTCCTTGCGGAGGAGACGTGTGAGAAGGTCCTTTGCGTCCGGGCCGAGGTAGTAAGGCAGGGCGAGCTTCTGTTTGAGGATCTTCTCCTGGAGTTTGGCGTGGTTGTTTGCCTTGAAGGGGGGCGAGCCCGTGAGGAGGTCGTAGCCCAGGGCGCCGAGAGACCACCAGTCGCAGGCCTTACCGTAGGATTTACCCTGGACGACTTCGGGGGCCATGTACTCGATCGTACCGAGAGAGGAGTTGCAGCGGTCGTCGTCATTGACGGCAATCTTGCTGAGGCCAAAGTCCGTGAGGAGGAGGTGGCCCTCGTGGTCGAGCAGGCAATTTTCGGGCTTGAGGTCGCGGTAGATCACGCCGACGTTTTGGTGCAAATGCTCCAGAGCCAGGACCATCTCAGCCATGTAAAAGGCGGCAGCGTCTTCGCCAAACATGCGTTCCATGGCAAGGTGGGTAAAAAGCTCCCCCCCTTGGGCGTATTCGAGGATGAGGTAGAGCTTTTCGTGGTCCTGGAAGGCGTAGAAGAGTTTCACGACGAACGGGTGGCGGTTAACACTCTCGAGAATTGCGCGTTCGGTTTTGGTCTGCTCCACAAGCTTCTTGTGCACAGTGAGAGAAGCCTTCTTGAACTGCTTCTGCGCATAAAGCTTCCCCGTTAGAGCATGGCGTACCAGCAATACAGTTCCAAAAGACCCCTTGCCCAGGCAGAGCAGCGGTTCAAAGTCACCAGTGGTCATCTTCCGGCATAACTGAGTGCGCACATCATCCTGGGCCCTGGTGGTGGTCTCGGATCGCCCCTCCTGTTCCTTTTCCTCCGCGGCAGCGTCAAGACTAACATAGTCATGTTCCAAAGGCACTTCATAACAGGTCAAAATCTCAGTCTCATCGCTGTCGGAATAGATACTGGCGTTGCTAGGCGTCGCAGAGCAAAGACTCTCCGTCGCGACAGCGCGACGGCGAGGACTGTTGGTACCAGACAAATTCATCGAATCAAGCTGGAGCCTGAGAGCGCTAATTCCCCCTCCAGAAGCGGGCTGCAGCATGGGGCTGGTTCCATTACTCGCAGTCGGAGCCCGCGGGCGAGTACTAGGCGCGCGAGAGCTAGCAGCCGAGATATCGGAATCCTCATCACCGGAACCGCGAGGAGTAAACCCACGAACAGTTGAGAGCGCCGGAGTTGCTTCGTAAACCTGGGGCTTCTTCTTCTTCTTGTTGCGTCGGTTGGCCTTTGCGGTCAACGGGTTGGCCTCTAGAGTCGGGAAGGGGCTGCGCTCGCTGGGATCTGCTATGGCGGGGCCGGATTTGCGCTGGGGGCTGCGCGCGCTCATCCGAAAGCCGGTTTCTTGACTGACGCTTAGATCGACCTCCAGCTTAAGGTGCGACATGTCAGCTTGGGGGGTAAACACATCCCCCACGGAGAGGTCATCATGCGAGGCAGTCGATGAGAGATCCATTTTGTTCGATTCCGGTTTCCTTCTTTCTTTCTTTCTTTCTTTCTTTTTCTTTTTCTTTTTTTTTTTTCCCCCAGGTACACCGGTACGACTTAGAATTCCCTTGTCTATCAATTGCAGTATGTAGGCTCCAATAAAAGTACAGAGCAGAGCGTCAGCAAGCCGAAGGCGGATCACACCCACACAACCATGGACCACACAATCCAGCAGCTGCAAGGTCCAGCCTGCAAATTATCTAATCCACACCAGGAAGATCTCAATTAGTAGGGTGCTTAGAAAGGCAAGTGTGTGACAAGCAACGTGAAACACGAAGCAAGGGACCGATGATATCAGGGAGAACAGTACGCTTACTGCCCCACACCTACATTTCGAACCCGGTCACAACTCACAACACCCTACCTTCGCAGCTGGGGCTGAAAAGGAAGGCAAGATGCTCCCAGTGATCGCACTCAATCTTCTTTGCTCCCTTAGAGAACGGACAAAACAGTACTGAATTTACCGTCCGCCCTTGTTCAGGACGGACGACCAACCCCTACCCAGATCAGCTCGTCCACGGAGGGATCGAGCAGCACGGCGGAGGAAAAGAGAGCGGGCGCAGACACCGTGGGAGGCTGACGCGAAAGTGATGATGCCGGGACTTTCCGATCTGAATTCGAAACCAGGAGACAGGCGGCGGAGGAGGTAGAGGAGGCAGAGGAGCCAGGAAAGCGAACGAGATCGAACGAGGAGAGGATGGGCGCAGACAGGCACATAGAGGCACACAGATGAGGGGAGCTATAAGAGCGGGATTCGACGGAGGAAAATAACTCGACTGTCGGGAATACAGACGATACCGAGGCGTGAGTAGGTTTGGGTGTTCCTGGAGAGGAAGAGTGAAAACAGGACTCAAGAGAGAGAGATAAGTCAAGAGACAAGAAGAGCCTTTGGCGAGCTGAGTTGCAGCACTTTTTGAACCTTTTCGTCTCTTTTCTTTTTTGGGCCCAAGGAGACGTCGTCCGCTCCAGCCAATCAACGGCCGCCGATCCTAAGCGAGCCTAGTCCTTTTCGGGGATGCCGATTTCACGTGCCGCGGCCATTGGACTGTAATTTACCCGTAAATGACTTGAAATTACATGACAGTACGCTCTTACTCCAATAGGAAACCCTAGATCTCAGCTGATTTTCTATATATGAAGTCCTCGGGTAGAATCCCTAGGTATCTATCTCCCCTCCCAACAGACAATTCAATGTAGATACTACGAAGACGGCATGGGGATAGTCATAGAGTTAGTTGCCATGCAGAGAGTACCGGGTCTGCGAGGCCTTTCTGAAGCATTCCATATCTGGGCTTGAAATCACCTCTTAACCTAGGGTCACTCCTGAGCCAGGCAGGCTAGTATAGAAAGGAGTAGGTAGGCCTACCTAGGCAGGTTAAATCAACGGTCAAAGAAAGCCTGGGAACGCGTCACTTCCACCCCAGACCGTTCCACAAATGGCATCGCACTCGGCTTCTCAACCTTCACAGTCACCCGTTCATTCGCAAAGTCCACTGTCACGATGCGCGCCACGAAAGTCGCCAGGGCCTCGACCGTTTGGAAAGATGTTTCTTCGACGCGCTATTAATAACGTTAGCACAATTGCTCCCTCCCAGCCGAGAGGTAACCCAAGACAAACCTCAGCAACAGCCCTTGTCATAGCCTGATAGGTATCCACCACCGTCGAACCCCATGCCAACTGCCCAGGACCTTTGAACTCCAGGGAAATAATCACGGCTTGCTTCTCAACCCTCTCATGCGAATTCACGCCCAAGATGCAGTAACACCGGATCCCCTCAATCCGGAATTCCTCCTCCAGAACCACGGGGCACCGCTCGGACTCTCCGACGGCCTCCCCAACAGCAACACTCGTACTGGTATTCCCCGATCGATACCCCCACACCGTCACACTCCGATAATGCAACCCATTCTCCGCTCGCAAACAAGCCTTGGGTAGATGCAGCCAAACCTCACACTGTCCAAAGACATCGTCAATCGCTGCCGCTACCCCTCCGACTATTACCCCAGAACCCCCAGCACCACCCGAAACTCCAGCATTTAACAGGGCAGTGGCTTGCTGTACCGCCGCTTCCCCAGCGCTGCTTCTCCTCCGATCATGATGATGATGATGGTGCTGCTGCTGCAAATGGGCCATCCGTCGCACCCCCGCCGCCGTCTCCTCTAACAATCCCAATCCGCAGTTCGCAACAATCCCCGCCGTCAGCCTCACATCTTGCCCGACTTCCGCTCCTAGCATCTCCTCCCGACGACCGCCCTCAACGCTAATCATGCGGTGATACCAAGGCGAAACAGGTTCAGGTTGCTGCGGCTGTTGTTTGCTGTCTCTCCCCATATGCTTTATATCCTCGTCCAGTCGGCGGTAGAGCTTGCCGTAGTCCAGGGAAAGCGAGACATCGTCGGCATTCGCGGACGCCACGGCAGACGAGTAGGAGAGTTTCAACGAGGCAGTACAGGGCTGGGACTTTCCGGGGCGGTGCCAGGGATCCGGGGCAGCAGGGAGAGGGAGTTGGATATTTTGGAGGCGGACGCTGTCGAGGACGACGGGGCGGGAAGGAATATGGACGTTGACTCGTTGCTCAGCCATTTTCTTAAATTTCAACCGATTTTTTTTTTTTTTTTTTGAGGGGTTGGTGAAGGCGTCACAGGTTCAAACCAGCTTAGTATGGAATCGAGAAGATTGTCAAAATAACAGAGAGAGAGAGAGAGAGAGAGAGAGAGAGAGAGAGAGGACTGGATGAGGATATCAAAGAATTGCTCTTCAATTGAAGGGAAGGATATTCTATGCTTCCCGCCTCGAGTCCAGAGCTGTATTACAAAAGTTCGTGAGCAACAGCAAAGGAAGATCTGGTGATGATGGCGGGGCAGCGGTTTAGCGTCGGCTCTGGAGCAAGTTTTGGGTCCAGCCGCCCCCGTTGACAGGACACGATGACGGCAGCACCGCCGGCTACATTACTTGCAACTGCAATCAGGACAATACAAATACGCATTAACCACACATAATCAGGTCAATATATTAGTTCATAGCACATCCCTAGTAAATACCAGCTCAGTCGAGCCTTCCTGGCCGTTAAAAAGAAGCGCTGGATTGGTCACATATACACACGGTAAGGTCGGTCCATTCACGTCACAATTGCAGCGGCCGAAAAGATAAGAACGAACCCCAAGGAAAGATCGGAAAGTAAAAGGTGCCGTTTCAACTCTGACCCGGGACCAGCGGGATCAGAACTCATTATCATATCAAGTTATTAGACGAGCAAGTCGTCGATTTTCTCATGTGAAAGATTTTCCCCGCAACACACGCATACGGCCCAAAGGAGGTCAGGTACCTGGGACTAGGAAAAAAAAAAAAAAAAAAAAAAAAAAAAAAAAGGGGCAAAAACTAACAAATGAGGGTAAAGAAGGAAAAAAATTCATGTCGAAGCGCAGGGGGTATCCACCATGCATTTAACACAAACAAAAGAAAAGCATAGCGTACAGTCCTGTTTACCAGTAGCCCCGACGCTCATAGGGGACGTATTCGCCCCGGGGAGGGGATCGAGGTCGTCCATATGGCCTTGGCGCAGCGTACGGGTCGTCATAGCGAGGCGGTGGTGGTGGACGCACATCATACGGATCATCATAAGCCCGACGTGGAGGGGGGTAGTCCTCCATCCGAGGGCGGGGCGGGGTGCGGCGTCCATAGCCATCTCCATAGTATTCCCGGCGCATTGGTATAGGAGATCTTTCACGGAAATGGCCACGGGGGCTGTAACCACGAGGTGCCGGGAACCTTCGGTCGTACTCATCCATGGGAGGATAGCCTCGACGAGGGGACCGAGCCCGGTATGGATCACGGAAAGTACGTTCATCATGCGGCTGGATCTAAGAGAGAGAAAAAAAAAAAAGGTTGCAATGAGGATCTATGTCCAGGTCCTTGGGCATAAGATGGTGGTCCTTACATCAGGAACGCAAGTCACTCTGGAGCCTTTGAACTCCCGGCCGTCGAGTTTCTCAACGGCGGTCTTCAAGTCATTTGCAGTTTCGAATTCAACCAACCTTGAGCAAGGTGTTAACGGGGTGTGCCAGTGTTATGTATGGGTAGTTTGAGTGCAAACCCACCCTCTGCCGGGCTCACGGCCAGTCTCTGAATAAACAACATCAAGGCCAGATTGGCGTGCGAAATCTTTCAGGTCCTATAAGTCCATGGTGTGAGTCCATTTCCAGGCGCAAGGATGGGATCCGGGTGCATTCCGGGTGCATTCCGGGTGCATTCCGGGTGGTTGGAGAAGAGAAGACACAGTTCAGCGAAAGACAAGCCGAATCGGTCGCGAACAATCCGGGAAGATTATATCCGGTTTGGCCATAGGGTTCCGTCCAAATTCGGGGCTGTCCAAGACCCAGGTTGCAATGCATTCCGGGAGGAGAGATCTACCGAAACACCAAAGATTTTGAACTTCTTCCTACCCGGAGCAGTCGGCAAGATGGGTATGGGAGCTCTTTGGACCGAACCAGAACGGGCAACCAGAGGGATAGTAAAGCAGGAGGGCCTCCGGAGAGGATCGAAAAGAGGAGAGGAAATCATAACCCAAGGCAGACTGGGCGCATTTGGACCGAGTGGCACGGGATCCATGGAATCCTAGAGAAAGGGGACTTGAAAGGGCTGCTAACCTGCCAACTTGTTTCCGGGAGTCCAGAAACCAACATGCGAAAGATTGTACGACGGGGTCGGGGAACATTTGGACGATCCGTGGGAGCCGGGAAATTCTCCTTGCGACGCGGGCCTCTGGCAAATTGCACGGTGAGGCGCTCGCCTTTGAAGTCGCTACCATCTGGGTCAAGTCAACAAAACGGGTCTGTTTTCCAGACTAACACTAACACATACGGAACGCTGCGTATCAATCCCATCAGCATGTCATTCTGTAGAGAGGGGCAAAGACATCTTACCAGGAACGATATCTCTTGCATCCATCGCATCTTCGTATTCTATGAAACCAAAGCCATTCATAAGCTTGATTTCGGTGATCTTGCCCGCGCCATGGGTACTAAAGTGTTCTTCGATGTCCTGTTTGGTCACTGAATATAAAAAGGGCACCGTGCAAAAAGGGTCAGCTCATAACGAACATTTAAAAAACAAAAAAAAAAAAAAAAAAAAAAAAAGGTCCAGAAGAACGGATTTGCGATACTGCCAGAGAGGAGGTCCAGGATATCTGAAATAGTTCAGAGACAGAAACAGCTCATAGAGGAAGCGGAGATCCTCTAAGAAAAAGCAAAAAAAAGCGTTGGCTGCAGTGTCTGGTTCACTGCGCTTCAAGGTCAAGCGCGACAGATAGAGATCCACTGGAACATCCTGTTTCTGGAGGGCAAGGTGGGACCCTCAAAGGAGAGCATCCAAATCGGGCTGAAGAGATTAGGGGGGAGGGGAGGCCGCTGAGAGAAAAGGATTTGATGAAGGCAGGCCATCATACCGTTGCGGGGGAGATTCCCGAGATAGAGTCGGGTGGATGAGACTTCAGTCATGGTTCAGAGGGTCCAGGAGTGTTACAACCAGGAAAGGAATCCAGATGGACGAGAAAGACGAACGAACGGCCTTAGGGGGGAATAGATCGAATTCCCTTGGGTTGATAACTGGGTGATGGCGGACGGTAGCAAAGTGGTCCTGGAATCCAGAGTGTAGTCCAAAAGGTGGGCTTTTGTTAGGAGGAGTGAAGCCAAGATGGCTCACACACAGAATAAAACAAGAGGAAAAGGGAGAGTGACGATGAAGAAAGTATTTATTGGGGGGATGGAAAGGAGGATGAAGAGCGAAGAGGAGAGAGAGAGAAAAGGGGAAAGAAATGAAGCTGACCGACCGCCAGACAAAAAGATGGGAAAAGGAAAAAAGGTCGCCTCTTTTTCCAACCAGTCGATTTTCGTTTTAAAACCGCGTCGCCTCACTTTGAACGGAGGGATCCACGTGGCCCCGCTTCATCTTCATCCAAATGTCGAATTCGATGCGATGATACAGGATTCTATTTACTGAGTTGTATAGAGCAAGCGTTGGTCCCGATCTACGGATTTCCACGGTTCCGTCCAAGTCCCCACGGGGCATCCTATCCAGAGTATCTCAGAATATAGAGGATTGGATTCGCCACGGTCAGAAAAAAGAAAGGCTCTAATATGTATATATACAGTGTCTCTGTGGATTTTAATAGTCCTTATGTCATGAAATACTTCGGTCCCTCTCCACCCTGAGGAGTCTGCCAGTTGATATCCTGGGTTGGTACTTTGATGTCACAAGTCTTACAGTGGATACAGCTGGAACACAATTAGCATACTTCTATATATATATATATGTAAGAGGAAACTCACTTTTGAGAATTGATCTGGAAGCGAACACCATGGGGCTTGCTCGCGTCCTCGACATACTCATACACACCAGCGGGGCAGAATCGATTCTCAACCCCCTGGTACTTAGGCCAGGAGATATCCGTGTGTTTGTCCCAGTCAGCCACCTGCAAATGCACAGGCTGGTCCTCCTCGTGATTGGTACCGGTTCGGCTCACGCTCGTCAGGATGTCGAAGCTGATCTTACCATCGGGCTTGGGGTACTCGATCTTCTCAAATTCAGATGCGGCCTTGGTGGCGGCCGCGTCGGTGCCATGGTGTTTCAGGGTCCAAGGGACTCGACCCTTGAAAACATACGCCTCAAGTCCGGAATAGACGATGCCTCCGAAAAGACCAAGGGGGGTGCTGAACGAAGGTCGCATGTTGCGGACCTCATACAATTCCTTCCAGATAGACGACTTCCGGAGAGAGTCTTCGTAGTCGAACAGGAAAACCGAGCCACCCTCGTCATTTTGCAGAGCTGCGAAGGTCGATTCCGCCGCCAGCATTGCTGACTTCATGGCCGTGTGGGTACCCTTGATCTTGGGGACATTCAAAAATCCAGCGCTGTCGCCGATCAAGGCTCCGCCGGGGAAAGCACACTTGGGAATGGACTGGAACCCACCCTCGTTCAGCGCGCGAGCCCCATACGAGATACACTTCCCCCCCTCCAAGACCTCACTGAACAGCGGGTGGTGCTTCAGTTTCTGGAACTCTCCATAGGGAGACAGCCACGGATTCGGGTAATCGAGACCAACGACTAAGCCGATACTCACCATATTTTCGCCAAAGTGGTACATCCAAGCTCCGCCATAGGTATCCTTCGGGAGCGGATATCCCATGGAGTGCACGATCTCTCCAGGTTTAAATTTCTCGGGCGGAATTTCCCAAACTTCCTTTAATCCAATTCCATAGGTTTGGGGTTGGCTGTCTCGCCTGAGTTCGTACTTCTTGATGGCCTGCTTGGTCAGGCTACCGTGGCAACCCTCCGCAAGAAGGGTGACCCGAGCATGGAATTCCATTCCCCGCTCAAAGTTATCCTTCGGCTTGCCATCCCGGCCAACGCCCAGGTCGTTAGTTGCGACACCAAGCACCGATCCGTCCGGCTTGTAGACCAGTTCACTAGCAGCAAATCCCGGGTAAATCTCGACTCCGAGCTCCTCCGCGCGCTCGCCCATCCATTTGGTCAGCTGGTTCAAGCTGATGATGTAATTGCCATGGTTGTGCATCTGCGGAGGGGCGGGGATCGGGAAGGACGAGTTCTTCGTCAGGAACCGCATTTTATCTTCCTTTGCCGGTGTGACATACTGGAATCGCGAGGGGTTGTCCTCTGAGAGCCAATCCGGGAGCAGCTCGTTCATCGCCGTGGGTTGCAGAACATTGCCGGAAAGGATGTGGGCGCCCAATTCTCCAGCTTTCTCCAGTAAAACTACACGAAACTCCTCGTTTCCAGCTTCGTTGGCGAGTTGTTTTAATCGAATAGCAGCGGCGAGACCAGCGGGGCCTAGAAAAAGCAGAGGAGCATGGTCAGCGCATATCCAGCTTTGAAGGGAGAAAACAAAAACGATAAAAGAAAAAAAAAAAAAAAAAAAAAGCTTACCACCACCAACAATACAAACATCGACATCGTCTGATTCTCTCTCCACCTGGCGGGGATCAAAATGGCCATTCTCATCAGTGAGTTTCCGGGATAGCGACTGCGAAAACGCTCGAGTCTGTGCGGGTGCGGAGAAACGCAGTCCGGTGCGTCGCGCAGACGTTGAGAGCAACCTGGTCGATGTTGAGACAGATCTTGAAGCAGCAATCACGGATGGAGGAGCTCCAGAGAGCTGTGAGGGGCCAACTTGTGCCTCACGTCTCAACAGACGCAAGATGACTGCTCTCGAAGCCATTTTTTTTTTTTGTTTGGAGGGGGGTTCAAATGATGACGGAGACAGGGATGGTGGACGATTCAACGAGGCGGCGGATAGTGGAAATTTAGAATTGAACGCAAGACATGGCCGAGTTACAAGGAGGATTGTTTAAATTTAGAGATAAAAGCTCCAAGAGAGAATCTTGAACATAGTAGGTGTCTTTTTTTTTTTCCCCCTCGTCGCCGGATCGGAGAACCTTAGGAAATCAGATGACTAAAAGAGATTCTAGATAACCAAGAGTAACTACTAGGTAGGTATGAACTACCTAGATGTCCGCCGTACCCGAGGTTATCAGAGCCAATGGGGATTGCGGTGATGGGAATCAACGAGCCGCCGTGGTCGTCTTCCGCTTTTTACCCGATCAGAAACTTCTCTAAACGACTGTCGACAGAAATAGGACGTTGCAAAACTCGGGATCCCGATCGTCATGCTTCTAAAAGGTAACGTGGTCATAACTTCACATGAAGCAGTAGAACAGTTGATTCTCCACATCACCGCATAACGTGGAGGAATCAAGGGGGGAGATTAAAATTCTTATGCATACCCTGAATAATATGCGAGAAAGCATACTTGGTATAGGTTCCTACGCAGGACAACCAAGTATCATGGGATAATCAACATCACCACTCCTTCAACATACATCTATTTTGCTTTCTTACTGTCTGAACAGCCTTGTGTATACTCTGTAGTTACGGAGTACTTGTGGAGGAAATTATTCATCGAAGAATGAGGTATCCACAGGATGGTATGTCAATGGTATGTACAATACCCACAAATAAGCAAACACCCTTGATAGATTTGTATACACTATACAGATGAAAAAAAAAATAGTAATAATATGACCTTTATGATATATCAACTGAAAAGACGGTGATGATCAAATGGTGGATCAGAAAAGCTGAGATCTGGGGAAAAGTAATGGACGCCACCAAGCAAGATGAAGCAGGGAGGATAAGAAAGATCCAATCAGCATTCTATGGCAAAACCAACGGACAACTAGTAAGCTGGATTACCCTTAGTAACAGTAGGTAATGACAAGGCAAAAAAATTCAGACAAGGTACTTGATAGCAGAGTTGGGTTAGGTAGCTTTGTGAATTGGAGAACTTGGGAGTTGGGTAGAGAAAGAAGATCAAAGAAATCAAAAAATTGAGAAAGTAAAGCGGCAAGACACGGCGCGTCGTAGACAAAAATAAGTCTCAAGTAAACGCGTCATGATTGGAAAAAAAAAAAAAAAAAAGAATACTCTAAAGTGGGTCTCTCTCAATCAGGTGCAGGAGCAACGCGGATTTGAAGGAAAAGAAAGAAAAGTGACACTCCAAGTTACAGTTGAGAGTTCAGGTGGCTGCAAGGGAGTGACAGCCAATCACAGCTCCAGACCCGGTGGAGGGGCCCAAACAATGAATCTTTGTGTACACCAATTAGAACCCAGGATCCCACTGGTTGGCCACCCAAGAGCCGCTAGTGGAGCGCTAAGCCAGACTAACCATGGATGACTTTCACTGCTCCATCGCTGCTTTTGCCGCCGGGTCCGGGCCCAGCCTCTTTTCAGAGGGTTTCCCCCCCTGACGGCCGCCTGTGAGTCAGCCTATATAAAGGCCCAACCTCCCACTTTCCCAATCCTTTTGGAATTTTTTATCCTGGTCTTGGCATTGTCCCCGGAACGCCATACAGTCTTCATTCCGCTCGCCATCTTCTCGCCCCTCCCCCTCTCCCTCCTCTCCCTCTCTCTCTCCATACAAGCCTATTCAAGTGGTGGAATTTCCGCTTCGTGCTGTCTTTCTTACCCGAGGTTTTTAATATTAAAAAGAAGTTCTTCGGGCGCCAGAACACGCGGGAAAAACGTTGGTTTTTTCCCCCGATTTTTTTTCCCTTGCTCTACCGTTTCAGATTAGGTTACTGAAATAGGAAGGTTGCTGCCTCAGGTGTGCATCTTCTTGCCGCTCTCTTTCCAAACCAAAAAAAAAAAAATTTTCTCCATTGCAGATAGAACCTCTCAAATTCCAGAAAAGGAAAACACAAACACAAAACAAGAAGAAAAAAAATTTGTCATCCCAGAAAAAGTGCAATTTATCCACTATCCACTCCCTTCCCATCCATCTGTTGCACCTTGTTGCATTCACATTCACATAATCTACCCTTCATCTGCCTTTCTGAGTTAATCGAAAAACACTTTACTGTGGCTTTCTCTTTCCCGTCTTGTCCTACCCTATCATCCCGTCAAGAGTTCTTCGGTTGGGCTTTACTGCTTGTCGTCTTGGAAGATTGCTCGAGGATCTTTTACTTCAACCTTCCTTTGATCTATCTACCCGAACGGCAGTGTTCTGTAGGGGATACATTTACTTGTCCATCTCCCACACTAGGTATGCTTCTTCATCGGTCTTTCTCGTCTTCAAAGCATGTCTTAACTCATCCCCAGACTGCCATTGGCTCTGTACCTTCAGTTTCGGCTGGTTTTTTCAGTTGGAGTTATCTACACTCAGGTCACAATGGACTCTCTCACGACTCATCCGGCGACTGCGCAACAGGCTCGGGCCTTCACCTCCCCCTCATCGCTGTCCTTCCCCGGCGGTACGGGCGACCTGACTCCGCCTTCGGATAAGGAGGGTCTGGTTCTCGGGTCGCAGGGTGTGACCGGAAATGTGAACGGCCAGCAGCAGGGAGGAAATGCCGCTAACGGCAATGGGGTGACGCCCGCGACTCCAGCTGCGACTCCTGGTGCCAACGCGCCAGGGAGCGGCATTGTGCCTACTTTGCAGTGAGTATACTCTACTGTTTCTCTATCTGGTTCACCAGAATACTGAACAATGATGTCTTTTTTCTTTTTTTTTTTTTTTCAAGAAACATTGTCGCAACTGTCAACCTGGACTGTCGTCTGGACCTGAAGACTATTGCACTCCACGCGAGAAACGCGGAGTACAACCCTAAGGTATTATATTCCACACCTCCCTGGGATTGTGATATCAGGGTACAGTGTGGCTGAACTGCGTTTCCTTTAGCGTTTTGCGGCCGTTATCATGCGTATTCGAGAGCCCAAGACCACCGCTCTGATCTTTGCCTCCGGCAAGATGGTTGTCACGGGTGCCAAATCCGAGGACGACTCGAAGCTCGCTTCCAGAAAGTACGCGCGTATCATCCAGAAGCTTGGTTTCAATGCCAAGTTTACAGACTTCAAGATCCAGAACATTGTCGGTTCTTGTGACATCAAGTTCCCCATTCGTTTGGAAGGCTTGGCGAGTCGCCACCACAACTTCAGTTCCTATGAACCTGAGCTGTTCCCTGGTCTCATCTATCGTATGATGAAGCCCAAGATTGTGCTCTTGATTTTCGTTAGCGGCAAAATTGTCTTGACTGGTGCCAAGGTCCGTGAAGAGATATACCAGGCTTTTGAACTGATCTATCCTGTGCTCTCTGGTATGTCACTTCACTATTGTTTACTGTGTGCACTCACTGACCCACTTGAAGACTTCCGCAAGGTCTAAGCACAAGATAGCGACGGAGGACTGAGTCTTTCTCTCTCTCTCTCTCTCTGTCTTTCTCTCACCCTTGACCAACACCTCTGCCTTCAAAAAACTTGTATTAACAAAAATTTTCCCCGAATTCCGTTTTGACCGGATAGTTGCGGGGCATGAGTTATCTCCGCCGAGCTTCTTCCGTCTGCATCACGATTTTTATGCTAGCATTAGTACGGCGTTCTAGCGACTCGGCTTTGTTTTTTTTTTTCTGCTTCCGTTGCAACAAGCTCCCAACGTTCACACTTTAGATAGTCGTCGCACGCCGCAAATTCAAGGGGGCGGTACTGTGCGCTGGTCGACTGGTTGCCTCCTTCTAATTATTTCGATTTCTTCCCTTCTCTGTCTATTGGCAGCAGCTTCTTGCAAGGATCTTCCACGTCGGATGCTTTTCACTCTTCTTTTTTTCCCCAGCCCCTGAACTTGATTGTTCTTGAACTAGGTTGAATGCGCTGGGTGACGGGTTCGCCCTGATCCAACAGCGACGTTAGTTTTTGTCTTTATTATGGATTTCCTGATAACCAGACAATAAAATGAGTGATATTAAACTTGTCTGTAATTGTAGCTTTACCTTACTACGTATACGAGACTAGGTCGGACGGTACCATGTCTGTTATTCCAGTGTAATAGACTAGACCTCCCGTCCCGATGCCGGAACGCGGTTATACAAATATATATCTTTTATCTATATACAACCACGCACCCAGTATAAAACACTCCAAAGATAGGTAGACTACATATATATACATATAGATAGATCGACAGATCGACAGATAGATAGATAGCTATCTAGATATGTATTCTATATTCACAAAACACCCACCCTCCTCGCCTTCACCGTCTTCGCCAACTCCTCCTGCAAAATCAACCCCTTCGCGCCAGATCGACTCCCATCCTCTGTGCCAGAAAAGCGATGCTCGTCCACGGCACCCGGCCAGGCCCAGAGCTCCGCTAGTTCGCTCGCCAGGTTCCCCTCCAGGGCGTCGACGATCTTGTCCCCGAGGACAGGGAAGAACTTGTATGCGTGGCCGCTGCCGCCGGTGGCGAGGAAGAGGCCCGGATGCGCGGGGTGGTAGGTGATTAGAAAGTCACCTTTGGGGCTGTTTATTGTGAGGTTTTGCATTATTTTTGGATATAGAAGGGAAACCTACGTATCAGTGTACCAGCAAATCCGCGTCTCGGTGAACGGACGCTCCGCCATGGAAGGGAGGAGTTGTCTGAGCGCGTCACGGAAGGCGGTTTCCCCCTCGAGTGGGATGGGCACGGCCGTGTCCGGTAGGGAGACAGACATGGTCGTAGTACTACTAGTAGTAGTAGTAGTAGTAGCAGTACTTGTGGTGGAGTCGAGATGGGCTGGGGCGCCTGGAACGGGGACGGTCATGGGGTTGTGGTATCCATAGGCGTGGCGGGCGATTTTCAGGAGATTGTTCCGCGGCGGGATGATGAAGATGCCCGTGCCGAAGTTGAGGATCGTGGGCATGTTCTCGAGCCGGCGCTGCTCGGCGTCGGAGATGCGCATGTACGCGAGTATTTGGCCGGTTGAGACGGCGCGGCCGCGCAGGTCGACCAGGGAGGCTGTCCAGGCGCCTGTGGCCAGGATGACCAGGTCCGCGGCGATGGTTGAGCCATCTTCCAGGACGACACCGGTTACGTTGTCGGTCTTGGAATATAGCAGTTGCGTGGCTTTGCCGGTTTTGAAGCTCACCTGGTGCGTTTGCTGGTCGAGTTTGTGTTTGACGAACTGCACGCCGGCCGCGGCGTCCGCCCAGCCAGAGCTCCAGTTCACGTATCCGCCCGCGACGTTGAGGGTGTCGCTGTAGGCGGGGGCGGCGCGGAGCACGTCCGGCTTTGTGGGGAGGAACTGCGCGTCCTCGCCCAGCTGCTGGACGTTGTGGTAGCTCTTCGTGGTGTAGTCTTTGGCCGTGGAGTCGCCGTCCGGGTAGACGAGCAGCAGGCCGTTCTGGGTGTATCGGCCGTCCTGGCCCCATTCGGAGCTTCGCCAGCGGTCCGTGGCTTCTGCGGCGAGCTTTGCATACGTTGGATGCGAGTAGTCTGCTCGCACGATACGTGAGGTATCGACGGAGGAGCCATGCGGGTTGGGGATGGTGGGTGATGCTTCCAGGATGGTGACTTTGCTGGAGGGGTGTCTCTGGGAGAGAGAGAGGGCGGTGGATACTGAATTATGGTAAGTTTTTCTTTTCTTTGCTTCTGTCATCCAATATAAAGAGGAGAGGCATGAATTGAAAAAAAAAAACATCCAGTTAGTGACGCACATCCAAAGACTCCTCCTCCCACAATAAGGATGTTACCAGGGAGGGACATGATGATGTTCAGTACAGGCTACAGTGCCTGTTATTGTGAATATGATTCAGTCTGGGTGGGAAGAAGACAGCCTCAAGTTAGGATACATACCGCCAGTCACTTGATATCGGACGATAAGCCGATCCGAACTTCTTTTTCTTCCCCAATCATTTATCCGTTCCACCTTCCACATAATACCTCTGAACCAACTATCAGTCTCAGTGGGTTTCTGAAACAGATTAGATTAACTAGATATACTATGAGCGCGTCCCGGATAGGCCGAGGCGCCTTGAAAAAGGCCCAAATCCCGACCCCTGGACCGTCCAGGACGAACCCTATCCAAGCTGGACAAACCAGGTCAGATACATGGCAAATGAGAAAACAAACCCCACTGACAAAGATCAGTCCCCATGCACCACCATCTCTCCCGAAACGGGCAAATCCGCATCTGCTGAATCTCCGTCCAGAGCCAGAATCTCCGCCCCGGATGTCCCCCAGAGCAATGACCGTGCTGGGCGTTGGTGTCCTCGCCATGAGCACCTACTGCGGGTACCTGTATGCCTCGTACCGGCGCGAGGTCCGCCAGTCCCAGGCCCTGGAGGTGCCCGTGGACGTCTCGGACCGGTACAACCACACCGCGTCGAGCTTCGACGCTGATGTTGAAATGTCAGAGAAGCTGATGCGCATGGGCGCCAAGCGGCGCGAACTGGTCCAGGGCGCGCGCGGCAACGTACTCGAGGTGAGCTGCGGGACGGGTCGGAACCTAGAGTACTATGATCTGGGGGGGGAGCGGAGGGGCGTGGACGAGCAGGGGCGCGCCGAACGCAAGGGGTGTCGCTCTGTGACGTTTGTTGATCTGAGTCCGCAGATGGTGGAAATTACGCGGGAGAAGTTTGCGAGGCTTTATCCGCAGTTTGGGAGGGTGGTGTTTCGCGTGCAGGATGCGAGGGAGGTTCCTCCCCCGGATACAGTTACAGGTACAGCTACCGCTACCGCTACGTCTAGACCGACGACGAATGATGCAAACGGGGAGCAGGCAGCTAGATATTACGATACGATTGTGCAAACCATGGGGCTCTGCTCGATGCCGGACCCTGTCGCCACGCTGCGGCATCTGGGGACGATCACGGAACCGCAGCGTGGTCGGATCCTGCTGCTGGAGCATGGCCGGTCGCATTACGAGTGGTTGAATCGGATCCTGGATAATCTGGCGCCGGCGCATGCGGATCGTCATGGATGTTGGTGGAATCGCGATATTGGACAGATAGTTCGCGAGAGTGGGTTGGAGGTTGTTGATGTGCAACGATGGCATTTTGGGACGACTTGGCGATATGTGCTTCGGCCTGTGTAGTACTCCGTAGTTAGAAGGGATATATTGAACTAATACATACCTGGTGGTTGCCTGAGCAGGATTCCTTTACGCGAAAAGAATCATAATAATGGTCATTGTCTCCACTGACTGGATTCTGATTGGATGTCCTTATCACCTAGGTAGGTTAGGTCGGTTAGGTAATTGAAGGGCAAGTGGGACAAACATCGAATTCTCATTGGTTAGGAAGCAGCAAGGAGAGGAATTCTTTGGTCCACGGATACAAAGAACCATGGATCCTTTTAACAGCTGTACTGTGTAGGTAATATCACTTATCTCAAGTTTCTTTGTTCAGTATATACAGTATATACAAGGTACCTACCAGGTAGGTACTAGGTAAGTACTAGGTAGGTACTAGGTACGTACTAGGTAGGTAATAAGCGGTGTGTTGAAACTTGAAAGTCCTGTATCGGGCCAATGATCGCCACCCGAAAAACCCCACCTTTTTTTTTTTTTTTTTTTTGCCATTTCAATTTTCATAGTGCGTTCTTGAGATCCCCCCCTAAAAAAAAAAATCATGAATCATATCTATGTCTATGGAGTCACTCCTGTCTAGTAGGGATGTACCATTTAGTTTACCTCCGTCCTCCAGTACCTCCAGAGTTCCCGCAATCCCGGCTGCACCAGCATTTTGTAAAACTAAACCATCACATTTTCATCTTCATCCTCTCTCTCTTCTCTCCTTATTCCTACACTCTCCTTTTCATCCCTTTTACTCTCTCCTCCATCTGCTGTGTTACTAGTCCTTTATTATTATATTATTATTATTATTATTATTATTACTACTACTATCTTGGTATTCTTGATTCCCTGTTTCTGTTTCTGTTTAGACTTAGTTTTTAGTTGTTCTGCGTGTGTACTTTTGGTCGCGTTGACTTTCGCCTCCCTGTTTGATTATCTACTACTACTACCACTACTACGATATCCTATCCCAACTCCTATTATTTTTTGTTCTTTACCCTTCCACTTTTTATCTTTTCTATTCAGATCATGCCTTACAATACTCGTCGCAAGTCGCTCTCCCTTCCGTTGCTAGGCATTCATCTTCCAAACACTTCCCGCCGATCTCCTCCCTCCTCAAAACCCTCGCACGCGACCGACGAACCACTGCCTCCCTCCAAAAAGGTCAAGAGATCCCATGAGTCCGAATCGCCTGAACCGACCCTTCCGGGCTCAAATACGAAGGAACTGACCCCACCACCCTCCCCCACGGAAGGTACCAAGATCGACGTCGAGGGAATCAATGATGATATCGTTGTTGGGGTGATTGAACAACTAGAGAAGACCGCCAATCGTCCGCACTTGGTAAAGGAGTTGGCCGCCGTTCTTCTGTCTTTCAATGAGAGTGTCGCAAAGTAAGTCCTCCTCCCCCCCCCCCCCCCCTTTCATCGTGGTCGGTACTAAATGGTTCTCCGCGCAACCCAGTTCCGCAAATCCCGCTGCTCTGCTGTCTTCTCGTCTGAGTGCGTACATGAAACGCCCGTGGACGGCGCTAGCGCCCTGCCCTATAGCCAAGGAACTGATCCTGATCCATCCTCGCAAGGTTTACTACTACTTGACAACCCTTCCTCGACAACCGATTCCTGAGAATTCCGATGATGTGATCATCCCGGGCATCGACGGCAAATCTATCACTCCGAGCATTTCTATTGCAGATGATGACGAGGAGCAGGAGGAGGAGGAGGATGTGATGCGGCGACAGCGATCCCTGAGTCCGGAAGTCGACCTGTCGTCCCCTGATTTTGAGGGCGAGGAGGACCTTGGTCTGGGTGCGTGTGCTGGTTCGGGGAGTGCCAGGCATAGCCCCGACTTCCCCGACCATCGTCACCATGGGCGCTTGATTCACTCGAACCGTGCGGCTTCTCCACCACTGGAGGGTGATGAGAAGGAGTTCACCCAGACGGCTAGTGCTGTGCGCGAGCGGGCCTCGGAGCAAAAAGCGAGCCAACTGGCCCAAGCAAAGGGCGGATTTTCTGCCCTGACGGAAGCGCTGCAAGAGCTCGATGACATGAGCATGAGTATGAGCATTTCCGGAACCCCTGTGGACGACGGTGCTCTCGCGTCTCTCGGCGAGGACCCAATGCCCGATGCACAGGTTGACTATTTCTCGATGGGAGGCCGCCAAGAACAGTCTCCTCTCCAGGAACAACTTCAGCAGCAGGCTCTGAATGATGCCACCGTTGCCACTCTGTTCGGCACTTCCCCTTCCCCTTCTCTCACATCCGTCGCCTCATCCGTCTCGTCTGGTATGAGTGCGGCTTCGGATGATGACTTGGATGCCGAGCCCCGGCCCGACTCGCTCTCTGCGCCACACATCACTCTCCCGGAGGTCCCGACATTTGCGCCCGTGTCGACCCTGAAGCGCTCGCTCGACATGTTGAACAGCGAGCTTCCAGATTTGGATCTGAAAATGTCTGATCTGACCGAGACCGAAGAGCAAGTGTCTCTGGGGACTAGACTTGTGTCAACCCCCCTCGTTGATATGACTCTCGATTCCTGGCGCGAGCTCCAGAGTCCCGAAAGCGTGGATGTGGATGAGCTCGACGAGATGTTTGGAGAGATTTAAATCTTATCGGTCCCTCTCTTCTCTATCCTTTTTATACGACTCGACTTCTTAGGGTTCGCTTTATTGACGGGAACTCTGGATCATCTCTCTACTCACGGCCACGTTTTGAAACCTTTTTTTTTTCTTTTTCCCCCCCTCTCTTTGGTCTATTGAATATACCGTCCCATTTACGTGCGAGTTTTATTTTAATCGTGTACTGTTATATGTTTTTTTTAATCCTTTCTGTGTCTTTGGTTCGTGTGTTGGCTGCTCTCTCTCTCTCTCTCTCTCTCTCTGTGTTTTGTTTTCTATTCATGATGGCAGAAGCCTATCTTTTACTTGTACATATACTTCCCCCCCCCCCTCTATGCTCGTCTCTCGCTTGATTCCCAATACCTGTTGCGCTGGTTATGATACATATATTTTGGAGGGATTATCTGCACATTTCCGTTCGGTTGGCATGGTGAAAAGCTGATGATTTTGCGGAGGAACAATGACGCCATTCAAAAGGAAAACAAAAGAAATCAGAGACTGGCAATGATTGGCCCGATGTTTTATGATGTTGAATTTATAGGTAGCGCCTCTGATATCAATTTAAAAAACTCTGTACCGTTCCAGTCCAGTTTTTCTGAATGAACCACGGGAAGAAAAAAAAAAAAAAAAAAAGAAAAAAAAAACCTATGGGTGGCAAGGATCTCCGCCTGAGGCACCACGGCACACCCATGACATAAGCGGCGCTCGCAAGTATGACGCGCTGGCTGCCTGAGGTTCTGCATGTGGTCGAGGATATTGTATCTATGGACCATCATTCCAGAGCTTTTTCATCCTCTGCACAACCTCCTCTCCTTTGTTTTGTGTTCTTTTTTTTTTTATGACCTCTGCTTACTTACTGGTTCCTCTGTTAGTTTTATGCCCGGAATCACCTCGTTTGTTCTGCCGTTAATTCCTTGCGCCATGCCTATTTTCTAGTGACAAATAAAACCAAAAAAAAAAAAAAAAAAAAAAAAAAGTCGACTTTGGGCTCTTCCACGATATCTCAATTGCTAATCAGTAGCTTCGGGCAATTTTGCCTCTTCCTGCAAACGAAAAAAAACGCAACATCTCCGTCTCCGAACGTGACCTGTCGTGGTGGCGTCGGCCCTCATGGAAGGGCCTTTGGATCGGCTGAACGGGGACAACGACACCAAGGCGCCGGGCGACGTCCCTCTACAACCCCAACGGGAGAGTCATGTCAAGGTCTCCAACCCGCCACCTGTCCCATCCTCCTCGCGGAATCCCCATCCCTCGCGCACCAGTCATTCTGCGAAGAACCCGATCATCGGCCGCAATAAGGTGGCAATCCCCCGTCAGCGCGCTGGAGCTGCCCCCCCTCGCTATGGCCGTCGTGTGCCCCTGGCATGCGAAACTTGCAGACAGCGGAAAACGAAATGTAGTGGCGATACTCCGGTTTGTAGGCAGTGCAGCGAACTAAGAGTTGACTGTTGCTACCCGGTATCCTGGCGCGAGCGAACCAAGGGGTTTGTTTGTCTAGCCTTCCCTTCCCAAATATCTGATTGGTTTCAAAACGCTGACTGGAAGCCGTAGGCAACTGGCGAAGCTTTCGGCCAAGTCGGACGATTATGAGAATCTTTTACGGGAAATCAGTTCTGTCGTGGATGGCAGCACTTCGGAACGCATCAAATACACCCTGGATAAGGTTGGTGCTAGTCTTTCCTACTTTTTGGAGGTGGGGTGTGTGCGCTGATAGATGTGCCTGTGCCTGGTAGTATTCCGACTCGGTAGATGAACCCCTCGGTGATCACCGCTCCAATACCCCCGCCCGCGATGATGACCCCGAAGTTGAAAGCTTACCTTCTTCGATTGGATCGCTGGAAGCTATTGACCGCGTGGAAGAAGATGTGAACCGGCACGAGCGCGCTCGCGCTACGGGGTATATGGGGAAAAATTCCGAGCTTACCTGGCTGCAACGACTGCGAAGGGAGGCCGAACAACGGGCCCGTAGGATGCCCGGGACTTATGAGGCCAAGCATGAGGGGGATTTTGCCCTCTATTCGATGAATTACCATCTGGATGATATGGAAATCTCCATTCCCGGGCCCATACAGGTTTACTGGATGCCTCCCCGACAGGTAGCCGACAAACTCTTTGAGGATTTCCTGGAGACTATTCACCCAGTGTACCCTATTATCAGCCGGACACTTTTCCGGGCCCAATACCGGAATTTCTTCGACAATTCAGCCCGACCTGGGAATAAATGGCTGGCAATTTTGAACCTGATTTTCGCTATCGCCTCTCGGCATGCTCACCTCACACAAGCCTCCTGGCGCGGCGAAGAAGACGATCATCTAATCTATTTGACCCGCGCCCGAGCACTCAGTATGAACGATGATGTCCTATTTACCCATCCTGATCTTCAACAGGTGCAAGTTGAGGGCCTTACGGCTTTCTATTTGCTTGCCACTGACCAAGTCAATCGGTAAGAACCCCGCTGGAGATGCTTCCTGGGAATTGATCTAAACCACTCTCTAGTGCTTGGAGAATTGCGTCACTAGCTCTTCGCTCTGGCATATCTCTGGGACTGAATATGAAAAACACTAGTGATTTCACCCCCGACATATCCAAGGAGGCTCGCTATCGGGTTTGGTGGTGCCTTTATACCTTTGAACATAAGCTCGGAATCATGACAGGACGAGTGACGGGGATATCGGATGGAATCTGCACGACCCCAATGCCACTTCCCCTGGATGAAGATCAGTTCCAAGACCCCGCGGTGGCGAAGCTTCTCGGTGATCAAGACGCCCGTCACCAGCGCGTGGAATTGGCGCTGGCAAGCTCGTATGCGCGACAGATGCCCCTGAATCCCCGCGGGGGTCAAGATTTGCGGCATACAGACAAGCTGTGTGACACTACCGGGCTAAAAGGTCTCCCGGCTAGCAGTTCCCTCTGTTTCCTCTACAATGTGGATCTCGCCGTCATTGTGCAGGAGATTGTTGACCGCGTGTATTCGCTCGACTGCGCAATCACTCCGTGGAGCCACATCGAGAATCGTATTGGAGAGCTCCGAGCCCGAATTGACCTTTGGTTCTCCAACCTTCCTGCCGCGTATGATTTCACCCGGCGAGAAGACGGCGAGCAAAGCATTCAAATGCTCCGCGATAAGCTTTTCCTTGCCTTTCACTACTACAGCGCCCGCATCACCCTGGGACGCCCGTGCCTATGTCGCCGCGACACCGAACAACCAGTCGACGGCAATTCGCCTCGGAAATCGTCCTTCGGCCACGACATGGCAATAACAGTCCTCGACTCTGCACGCCGAATGCTGGACTTGATCCCTGATGCTCCTAACGCCGTGCGTCTCTATGAGGTATGCCCGTGGTGGTGCGTTCTCCACTATCTAATGCAGACGACGACCGTCTTACTCCTGGAGCTTTCCTTCGGCAGCATCCACATCCCCGAAGAAGACGAGAAGAACTTCCTTGAGGCATCCAAAAAGGGCATCCGTTGGCTTTACGCCATGTCCGAGTATAGTCTTGCCTCCCGCCGTGCATGGGAACTATGCGATAGCAACTTCCGCCGCATCGCCCTGGGCATGAAATACGACATGACAGACATCCCTGCTCCCGATTATCTCTCTGATTCCGAGAACCCCACCAAGTCCGGACTCAGTAACTACGACCCCTCTATCATATCCCAAGCCCAAATCCCAAATCAGCAACTGCCTCCGCCATCCTACCCTAACGATGCCACCACCGTCCTCGACACCTCCAATCCAATCCTGAATCCCGAACCGCAACAACAGCAACAACAACAGCAGCAGCAGCAGCAGCAGCAGCAATACTTCCCTCCCAACTGTCAATCATTCAGTTCCGCGCCCGTGCCCCCTCCTACCACGGGTGGTGGCTTCCAACCCTTGCCCCCGACTCTGAACGCGTTCTTCACCAATTTCAATCTCCCCCTTAACGCCGGCGACATGTACTTCCCCTACGACCCGATCACCGGCGAATTCATCCGGTCATTTTTCCCTACATCCATGGAGGAAGAGCCATGGGATCAGCCATGAGAATGCACAACCGATCCAATTCTTCTTCTTTTTTTTTTTTTTTTTTTCCCTTCTTCAACGCTCCTTTTACATTCTCTGTACATATATTATTATATCTTATATATGTACATGTACGTTATGTATGTTATGTTATGTTATGTATGGCTTATGAACTGAACTGCACTGAACTGAACTATAACTTGACAATGAATGAATGAATGAATGAATTCGATTATCTTTCAACACCTTGCTCTTGCTCTCTTTTGATTTACTTTGGTATAGTTAAACAAGGTAGGTAGGTAGGTAGGTGTACAGAGGAGAGAGTATGCTGTGAAAGATATTAAAAAAAAAAAAAAAAGATATGAAGAACTGATATTATTTATATATATATATATATATATATAAGTTAACTAGTAGGTATAATAAGTAAGCAAGCAAGCAAGCAAGCAAGCAAGTTAAGTAAGAATGAGGTTTTCCTTTTTTTGAGTGAGTGAGTTGGTTAGTGAGTTGGTGGTACCTATAGATGATAGAAAAAGGCCTTGCCTTGTAATTAGTCTGTTCAAGTGAATTTTACTAATTAAATTCTATAGTATATAACTAGTATGTATGGTATATTTGGTTGCTTCTATATCAATGCTGCGGCGGGTATGGCTGGATCTAGACTATAATAATAATAATAATAATAATAATACAAGGAATAAATAAATAGAAGAGGATGAACAGCAGAGAGGACCAGAGTTAGATGAGAGAAGGCTAGGCAGTAACAGCAGCGTCGCACTCCATCTGCTGCTTCTTCTTCTTCCACTTTTTCACACCCTCTCGCTGCTTTTTATATACCAGTCCGCCGACCTCACGGTTAATCTCGCGGCGACGTAACCCAAAAGCATCGAATTTCTGAATACAGAATTCGAGGATCTGCTCTGCTGGATTGTTGGTGCGTTTGCCTTGACTTGAAGGAGAAATAGCAGCAGCAGAGGTAGACGAAAATGTCTGAGTCATTTGCAGACGTGCATTCTCAGACTCCGTATACTCCCGTACAGCAGCTTGGGCGATAATGCGGACGGTATTCGGGTTCGGGATGACTGCTTTCTTCTGAACTTGTTTGAAGTAGACCGGGTCGAAGTGCGGATCGCCCTTGGCGCGGTTCCGCTCGTGATGCAGGTAGAAGCGCGGAATGCCGCCCTCGTGAAGACGGCGAAGGGTGGGTGATTTGATGTCGAGACACCAGCGGTCCCAGAGGCGTTTGCCTGCTGCGCTGCCTTGGGTGTCGACGACTGCGGAGAGGATGAGGTGGAAGGCTGGCGAGGGAATATATGGGAGGGCGGCGTTTCGGGGGGTGGTGATCCGTTTGGTAACGGATGGGAGGGAGGTCGATTGGGTGATTTCGCGGAGGGAGGGGGAAATGGATGCGGGGAGAGAGAGGAAGAGGCGCTGGAAGGCAGACAGAGAGCGTTCTTGGAATCGGGGTGTGGTGCGGTGCGAGAGCTCATTGAATTCACCGGTTAGGGTTCGGCGCAGGATGTCTGTGGCCTGTTCTAGGTTTGCTTTTGTGGCGTCGGTTGCCATGCTGGCGAGATCGGATGACTGCTGTTGCTGGATTGTGTGGTCGAGACGGATGATCTCTGCGGCTAGGGCGGCGACATTGCTATGACCCCAGGATTTGGAGCGATAGTCGCGCAGGTACTCAAGCATAGGGGCGACGAGGTCCCATTGGTGCATTGCGATACGGAAATTCAGTAGTGCTCGGAGGGTATTGGAGGATATGGGCTGGGAGAGAGACTCCACGACGGACTCGCAGAGGGCGTTATTCTTGGTCGCTGCTGCGAATCGAATAATGGAGGGTGCTAGAGCTTGATCTTTGTATGCGCTGGGGGGTATTGCAGGCCCGTCGATGTCATCAGAGAACAGAAGCCATTCACCAAATGCGTAGGCTCGCGAAACGGTTATCAAATCAAGCAACCCAGCAAACGTGACGTTGGATACCTGCGGGATGGACGAATCAAATGGCCGCAAAGTGTCCAGGCTGCCGATATGGGATGAAGGAAAGCTCGCACTAGGGTGATCCATCCGCGAGGAGAAGAAGTCGTTTATGCGCTGCATTTTACTTGCATCGATCACAGTTTGCAGCATGGCAAATATGTTCAAGGCATCCCCGCAAAGTCTTCGCGCGGAAGAAAATCTCAGGTTGTACTCAATTAGACCGACCAAGGCCGACGTGTCATCGTACAGCTGTGACGGACAAAGCCGGTCTAGGGACTCCTCATCAACGGGACACATGCCACTGCTCCAAGGTGGGACAACGCATGGCGTAGCCTTGAGAAAATCTTCGAACACTTGAGGGTCAGCTTCGGGATTGAGGCCGCCCGATTCGATCACACGGACAGTAAGCCAGTTGGTCGCCTTTGTTGTGGGAAGGAGGACATCATTAGAAGTAGGGGCAATGGCGAACTGAAGACTGTTAATAGAGCGCAAGAGTGCGCCAGCGTGTACTCCCCTAAAGCCCAATCCTAGATAGACTAGATTGGGGAGATTGTCTAACAAAGCTATGGCAACTTCGACACTAAGCGTCCGCTTACCCAGTCCATTAAAGGTAGCAGGGGGGCTATTGCGCTTTCGTAATAGCGGTGCGTGATCCACTGACTCAGGACGATGATGCCATGAGGCTTCACGGTCAATTTTGGTGTCGCGTAACGCCTCAGGATTTTGGAGGAGAGGCTTCCAGCTTTGGAATTTCCATACCAACTGACCCGTTCGCGTCTTCAATTGGTCGATGAGCCAAACTCCTTCCTTGATATGGCCGTGTTCCACGCAGCACCACAGAATGAATTCCAGCCAAATCTCATGACCCAGTTCTTTGATGCCCATTTTCACAGGGAGAAAGGGGGGATCTTCTCCGGCTGCAACTGCTTTTGCGGCAACCTCCGCTTCATGCACAAGCCAGGCCGTGTCTGATAGGACATTCATAATATGGGTAGAGAGCAAGTGCATGCCCGGCGGCCGAAAGTTAGCCTGGTGGGCATCCGGGGAAGTGTATTTGTAAACCCGATCTGATACAATACCGGAATGATGTAGACGGGCAAGGATGCGGTATACATATGACATGGCTAACTTGGACTCATTAGGTGACGCATCTGCTGCACTGAGCACAATTGACCCCAAACTTTGCCATACCTCAGCCATACAAGATTTGGAGTGATCCTGGGCAAATGGGCGTTCGGTGAACGCATCGAGGGTGGTTAATCCCGGCACCAGAGCGATTTTCGAACTTTGCTGGGTAAGCTGTGGACTGGAGGACAACCGCTGATCGGTGAGCTGGTCGAGCGAGAGTCCGGAGCTCGAGCTCCAATCCTCAATTACGCCACATTGGAGAGGCAGGGAAAGCTCCTTGAGTGTATCAGCCGCATCTAGTAACCTGCTTAGTAGGGCATACACCGCCGGCCAGTTATTCAATTTGAACCCCAGATGAGCCAGAAGGTCTAGATCCGCCGACAGGCGGGCAGAGAACAAAAGATTGGCCAAGTCAAGGGTTTGCATGAAAGACTTCCGGGTCATTTCAGACGGGGGTTCATGGACCGGGCCTGTGACTGTATCCTCCGAGCTTCCCCGCAAGGACGGCGGGAGGTACCGGTCCAGCAAGGATATCCAAGCCTCCGGGTTCTTCTCTTTTGATCGCGGAACAGGGCATTTTTTCGGTTTCAGTCGGATGAAGTCTTCCAGCAGTTGGCGATCAACGACCGGATGCTGGATGCCAACAGAGAATTGGCGGCGGTTCCATGACGGCCGGTCCTGGACGGGTCTCCGGCCTAGGTGTCGTGTTCGGGAGGAATAGCCAAATGGACGACGGGGGGGAAGGGTCGCAAACGGGTTGCGCACGAAAGACCTGCGGTCCAAGAGGAGCAGATGAGCTGGACTCAGGCACCTTTTCATGACACGAGGGAGGTTGGAAGGGACGAGGCGAGCGGAGAGTAATCCAAATCTCGATATGACGGTCGGACAGATGTTCTGTTGCGCATGTCTAATGGATGGGTGAAGGTCGAGAGTCCATCTGATTCGATTGATGGATGATACTGTGTCTCATAACATGGCCCTGAGGGCTAGTTAGGCGGGGGAGTGGTCGGAGGTCGAGTTGGCTTTCTTGAGGCTTTTCCAATCAGCCTTTTTTTTTTTTTTTTCAATTCTTGATGTTTTTGCAGGAGTTGGAGATGATGCTGAGTCATCACACCCACCGGCCAATCAACGATGTGAATTACGAAGTATACAATTAATTGCCTCAAAAATGTGTACGTAGGAGGGATCCGGATGTACCTGTAGGTCTACGCTCTGTCTACGCTCTGAGGATACACTTTCTTTCAGTCCTTTTGCCCTAAACTAATAACCCACAGAAAAAGCCTGCTGCTGTCAATATCATAAGAGTGGGTTTAAGGGGGGGGGGGGGCGAAACTGACGTCGAAGCTCTTCATCCATTTCAGTCAGAGTAGTGACAAACTGGGGGAATTCTGCAGTCTCTTTCCCCGTCAGTCTGGGACAAATGTCCAGCAGAATCAGGAGTCGAAGGAAGGCAAAAGAGCTTGAGAAAACGAAAACGCGCCATTCATCGATTGTAGTCATTGATGGGAATCTTGTATGTACACCCAACGACCTGCGTGGATCCAATGAGGAGGATCAGCCATCCCCCTATGGATAGCACAGAAAATAAAGTCCAATAATAATATAAAAACCCCCAAAACACAAATGGTATCAGACTAGCAACAATTCCAATAAACCACATCCTACAAGCATTCCACAGGCAGAAGAGCGGCTAAGGAACAAGGATCCAAAGCGCCGGATGAAAAAGCGCCCTCTTCTCCTATCAAGAAACCTGCCAAAATAGCGCCAAACACGCATATGCCCGGATATACACCTAAAATCTTGCCGACAGTAGTAAGAGGAAGTATCCCGGGGCTTCGCAGGGTTGCGGGATCATAGTCCATGCCAAAAAAATAAAATAAAATAAAATAAATCTAGGGCAAATTACCTTCCTGCCGAACAAATCAAACCCAAACCAGACTCCCATCGACGGTCATTTAATCGTGACACGGGGAAAAAGCATGGGAACCACAAAGAGGACGGGATTAGGACCTTTGACCCGGCCCTAAAGCTCTTCAGTGTCAAGGGGCATATCCTCAGCCAGCTGCATATCGCCCCCTAGTTCCTGTTCCACTTCATCCACGACAAAGCCTTCGTAGTCTTCCAGGCCCTTTTGGACGTGAACTTTGAACCGAATGACATCGTTCAGCATGCTCTCCACGTTGGTATGCAGCTCTTCCCGAAGCGAGTTGGCCCTAAGTGTGAGTTGCTCATACTCGATGTTGGTGTTCATTTCCCGTTGCTCCATTAGCTGGACACTTTCGCTCATGGTAGCTCGCATTTTCGCGAGCTCTTTCTCCATCTTCTCAATCTGGGCATCCGATGCAAGTTTCTGGGTAGTGGTGATCTCCTTGGTCCGTTCAAACTCTTCTTCTGCAGCTCGTCGCCTATGCTCCAGTGCTTCGACTTCGCTTCGCTTCTCATCCATTGCTTCTTTGATATTATCTAGGAGATTGCGCCTCTCCAGGTCAGCATCAATGGCACGCTTTCGCCGCTCGTTGATTTCCTTTCGGAGAGATTGTAAATTGCTACGGACCATGCCTCGAAGGTCTAGGCTCAGCAAGTGCGCCGGATGGTAGCCAGTAAATGGCTCTGCCAAGAGACGATCCCCTTCAGGAGATATCCGGCTGGGGACGCCGCCAATCTGTGAGGCAGAGAAACTGCTTTCATTCACGTTGAGGCTAAGCTCATATTCCTGATCCTTGGCATTAACGGCACTTGAGGGGATGAGACTGGTCTGGTAGCCAAGTGTATTGTATGCTTTGACAAGCTCCTCTAAATCTTCGAGTTTCCTGCTGGCTTCAGCTTCTTTGGCCATGACTCGAGCATGAGTTTCTTCCAGGCGGTTCACAGTATCATCAAGACTCTTCTGGAGTCGCTCACGCTCGGTATTCATGCGGTCAATATCTTGGATGGTGAGACCCTGCTGATCGACACTGGCTTGCAGGCCCGCCCTCTCTTCTTCCGCAGCCTGCAGCTCGGTCTCGGTCTTCTTGATCTCCTCCTCTAAGAAATTGATACGGCTCTCATATTTCTCAATCTTTCCTTGGACGTTCTGAATATAGTCTTCGAATTTCCGTTTATCATCCTCCAGAATCTTGAATTGCTTGTCAAGTTTCGCCATATCCGGGCTGTTCTTCTCCATTTCCTCAATTTGATCGCGTAGAGCCCGGTTCTCGGCCTCCAACACCTGCATCTCTTGCACGTATTTCTCGTTGCCTTTTTCGAATTCCTGAGCCATGACCTCAATATGAGGAACTAGTCGCTGTCCAGCGGTTTCATCATCCTCCTCTTCTCCGCCTTGCAACCAGTCATGGTAGGCGCCAGTGAGAAAACGGAAGATGATGCGGTCCCCCGAGACATCTACGCCCATCTCTGCGCAGGCTTCGTCATATTCTCCTAGAACATACCGATCCATCATCTGCGCCAATTGCATCAACCAGTGGAGCATTCCCAAGAACGTCGGCCAGTTCTGTCCTCCCACCGCACCAATTTGTGATTTAGTGAGGCTCTTCTCGTATGGATATCGTAGCTGTTTGAGAATCGGTGGGACCTCGGAATCCATAGCTTTTTGGAACCGGTATCCAGGGTCAATTCGATGATACAGCCACTGGAAGATGAAGTTGAAATCCTTTTGAGTGGGAGACCTGAGCGTGTTTTGGCCAAGGGAGTGTTTCATTTCTAATTCGAAATTGTTGTGTGTAAGATATTCCAGAAGTTCTTGACCGATCCTGGCTTGGAAGGCCCTGTCTCTTAGAGGGCGAGGGTCTCTGGGAACACCAGCCGCTGACGGAACTTGCGTGAAAAAGGACTGGTGGCCCATAGCTCCTCCCACTGAAGGGCGCGAGAAGACGCTGCTCCTTCTCTGTAGGCTCTGAGCGGCAGAATTTGAGGACAACGATCCGGGGGCAAAAGACGGGCGACCTGCGCTAGCTCCATGGAAGATGTTGCTTGAGACCGAGCGTCTGACAGACGAAAGCCCAGGGTCAGCGCCAAACCCTCCAGAGGAAGATCGCTGAAAGTTTGGCTGCTGAGGTCGACTGGCCGAGTTTAACAATGACATCGATCGCGTATGTTGCGAAGTGAATGGTGGGATTTGAAATGCGCCTATTGAACTGGTGCGCTTCAGGGCCGATGAGGGTTGAGGGATCGAAGAATAGTTTTGAACGCTCCCCAGAGTCTACGCGAGATAAGAACGAGTCAGCTATATTGCATTGCTTTGAGAATCCAACCAAAATGAGTCAAACAGGACCTGGACGTACCTCGCGGGGGCGCTTAATGCTGAACAATCCTGTGTCTTGCGACATGGTGGATAAGAGGAAGCTGCGATCGCAGCTTCTCAAGAATTGACAAGATAATGACAAAAACCAATACAACTAGCGGAAACAGTATGTAGCCTTGCAATAGCCACAAATCCGACGACTCGTAGATAACCCCGACGAAGAGCAGAGAGCGGGGATGGTTGGTTGGTTGTCCTGGAACGATAAATAATAATAACCGTCAAAATGTAAACAAGACCCCCCGTCGGCTACGCCCACTTTGTTCCGAAGATGGAAAGCGGTATAGCGGAAGGAATAACAGTTCTGCCGAATATATCACGAGATCACCAGCAAACAATACAAACATATATTGGAGTGCGGGGCCAAATATGGTTTAGTGGCACCTTTACCTGCCTTGACGAAAGTTACAGTCGAAAGTTACGAACCCGTAATTTAGTAATCATTGTGACAGGCGGTCATCCCGAGGTCCAGCTTCGTTTCGCTGCCGATGTCGTCGGTCTTTCTTGCTTCTTTCTCCTTATCTTTTCTGCTCTTCTCTTCTCCCCCCCAGCTTTTTGGTTTCACTTACCTTTGTTCTCTTCTGAACCAGACCAGTTGCAGGACTTGTCATCATGGTTCGCGAGGAGTTGATCTCCTCTGCTGTAAGTCTTGCGCCTCCAGCCACCCCCAATCTATTGCGGAGTTTGGAACTGACCTTGCGGATGGATTGCTCTCTAGGTGACATGTGCGTGTCGAATCTATCCCTTGCTCTGTGAATGGATATACCATACTAACAGCCTTTTCTGAACAGTCCTGCAGGATCCCTCTGTAGCCTCATCCCCGATCCAGAAGAGGGTGTCGTTTCTACAGTCTAAGAACCTCACAAAAGAGGAAATCGATATCGCCATCGCCCGCGCAGGTGAAGATCCCTCCACAGCTACCGCAGCGCCAACCTCGGGATACCAATCCCCTCCACAACAGGCCGTTTACAGACCTCCTCCACCTGCCCAAGCTTATGGCGGGTATCCCCCATATGGCCAATGGCAGCAACCTCCCCCCGAGTGAGTCCGGAGATCCTCAGTCAACGCTGTTTCTCCAGGCGCGAAGGAAGGAGTGAACTGACTTCATATCTCGTAGGCCCCCAAGACGCGATTGGCGCGATTGGTTTATCATGGCTACGGTGATGGGTGGCGTTGGCTATGGGCTTTATTTTGTAACCAAGGTAGGGATCCTTCTTTATTTCTTCGCCCGACAACCTTTGACATGATTATAGCGATATATTGCACCTCTGATAGCACCTCCCACTCCTCCACAATTAGAACAAGACAAGCAGAACATCGATGAACAGTTTTCCCGTGCATTCACTCTTATCGAGCAACTCTCCACAGATACTGCTGCCCTGAAGACAGCGGAGGAGGCGCGCACTGAGAAGCTGGATGCTACTTTGCGAGATGTTGAAACCCTGGTCGCTGAATTAAAGGCTGCGTCGCGCCGTAGAGATGATGAGACCCGTCGCATCAACGATGAGGTTAAGTCGCTAAAAGACGCCATTCCTAAGGCCCTCGAAGGCGCTCGGGAAGGAAATGAGAATCGGCTCCGGGAGCTGGGTACTGAGTTGAAGAGCTTGAAGGTTCTCTTGAGTAACAGACTTGGTGGCGGCAGTGGCTCCAGCTCTCCCGTTACCCCCAAGCTGTCTGACGCAACCACTCTCCCCAATGCCTCCGAATCAACATCAGCCTCCGCTACTCCTGCGACCAACGGTGTCACAGCTACTCCATCCCAACCCGAGTCTCAATCGTCTTCTTCTGGTCTAGCACAGACCACACAAACAACAAGCACGCCCCCTGCAACGACCAATCCTTTGTCACGGTTTAGCAGACCTGCCTCCATTCCTTCCTGGCAAATGGCTGCTGCCAACCGATCCAAGGCCACAACTCCTCCCACACCCGCTTCCACAACTGGCGACAAGCCTACTTCCGACCAGTCAACTACCGCCTCAGCCAGCTAGTTTCAGTAATTATATTTTTCGTGAAGCATACTTATGTAGAATTTCTTTTCCTGTCTTTCTACCTTTTGCATTACTTTTAACTTTTATTCTTGTCAGTCGTCATGGCGGCGACAAAATTCAATTTCATATCAACCCGGAGCTCGCGCATATTGCCGTTTTTTTTTCACAATTTGGTATTGTATAAATCTCTAGAGAAGTCATATCGTAGCAGTTTTGGAGCATGTGAAAATGCGGATCTCCAACTCTTGGCATCATTTCCGATTTCGACTTTCTTCCTAATATACTCCATACTTCCCCATCTACGCACGATCGAATACTCCCTGCAAGTCCAGATACAAATAAAAACTCATAGATCGCACCGGAAAAGGACAATCGATTGACACGAGAGAAATCAGTGGAGAGAAAATGCCAACCCCCTCGCGTTCCCTCTCGCGCTCACGATCTCCAACCCGATCAAGCAGACACCACCGCCACCGCGAAGACCACAGCCATCGCCATACCCACGAGAGCGATCGAGAGCGTGACCGTGGCCGTGACCATCACAGACACAGACGCAGACATTCCCGTGGACCCGAATCCCGACATGGCCGACACTCCTCCAAACGCATCACCACGAAGAGCTCCGCCTCTGAACCCAAACCGGCTCCTATCGTACTCCCGTTACATGCGTGCGAACTAACAAAGCGGGACTTGAGTGTTTACGAGCCTATGTTTGCTATGTACTTGGATATCCAGAAGGGGATTATCATGGAGGATTTGGATGAGGAGGAAGTCAAGGGCAGGTGGAAAAGTTTTATCCGGAAATGGTAAGTAAGCTATCATTATGACTATCATTATAGCTTTCTATCTCTCCCTCTCTCTCTCTTCTTTTTTCTCCTCGGAAAGGAAGGAGTGAGGAACGAAAAAGTGAATGGACACAGCTGAACATATTAGGAACCGTGGAGAATTGGCTGAAGGATGGTACGACCCTAGTACACTTGAAAAGGCGCAGAAAAGCGATATCCGGAACGAGACGCGGCCGTCGCCGAATTACGAACGAGCGGGTAGGGACTCTGGAACTCCTGTACCAGCTGCTGGGCGTGATGAGGAGGCAGACGAAGACGAAGACGAAGACGCGGATGAGGATGAGGATGAGGAGGAATACGGTCCTCTTATACCACACCTTGAATCGTCGAATAAGACCAGTGGTCTCGCGGCGGGTCCGACAATCCCCACGATGCAAGAGCTGGAGCTGCGGAAAGGTACGTTGCGAGGCGCCCCCTTAGTGTCATCTTACCTACGTTCCGTACATGCAACGAGCCAAAACAAAAACCAACTAAATCTACTTCTCACGCAGAAACCGCTGTAGAAGATGCAATTGCTGAACGGCAGGATGCCAGGGCGCAGCACAAGGCAGAAATCCGGTCCCATCGATCTGAGATCCGTCATATGGAGGATGAGGTAGCGCCGCGTGCAGAACCAGGGACTCATGAGCGGCGCATGGAGAAAAGGCGCGAAGCCGCGGCTGCGAATAGGGCCTTTGCGGAGTCTCGTCGTGGTGGATCACCCACGGATGCTGCCCCGGATGACGAGCTCATGGGTTCCGGGGAGAACGACCTAACTGCGATCAAGTCCGCGCGGGCGAGGGAGCGGCGCAAGAAGAATGAGCGCGAGATTCGACGAGAGGAAATCATGCGCGCCCGTGCAGCAGAGCGAGAAGAGAGATTGCAGCGCTACCGGGCGAAGGAGGAAGAAACTATAGGGTGGCTCAAGACACTGGCGAAGCAGAGATTCGGCTGACATTCTAGTGACATCTGCTGGGTTTTACTGGTTATACATATACCCTTCTTACCGGGCAGCTGTAGCTGTCTTATGGTAGTTATTCTGATTATCCACCAACGCTACTTCCAACCATATCCAGACAGACGATTTACTTTCTTTCTTTCACGAAGAGGGAATCCTTGGACTGCAATTGCATTCAGATGGTAAAGGTAGTTCAAAGAAATTCAGCCTGCCTTCTGTTCCCATAAAACACACTACAGATGAAAGCAAGTAATGGCCCTTGAATGGATGACCACGGAAGTCATTGATCTGTATCAATACACGCTTCAATATAAGGTATATATATGTCTGTCTATTTTTCAATCCCCCAAAACTTTTAGAAGCTCTAGCCCAACTGGATATACCAAAGTAGATTTCATTAAACCCCATCAACAACGCCATTCCCCTCCCCCGATGAATTTATTCTCATCGTGCATCACTCGAACACTAACCTGATACTAACTAACCCGTCCTCCCAAGATTAAGATGAGCAACGAGCTTCAAATGATCCGTACCATTAACCGAGGAGTCCCCGAGATTGAAAAAAGGCTTGACGGCAACATCAACCGTCTCCTCGAACAGTTTACCCACAACAAGCTCTCTTAATTCCTCGCCTGTCTGAGCAAAGTCCGGGAACGCATTCACTTCAAGCAGCCAGGCGGTTCCGGACTTGTCGACGAGGAAATCAATCCCGAAGAGCTCGAATGCATTGGGAAGTGTCTGGAAATGAACCATCATGCCTCTCGCGGCGGCTTCGAAGAGCTCGCCGGTCACACTGCAGATCTGGTTGAAGATGTTTTCTTTCCAGTTGGGGGCGAGTCCCGGGACGTGGTGGTCGAGTTGCCAGAACCGTCTTACGCTGCCTGCATTGGCGCTTCCGCCCTCTTGGAAGCAGGTATTGGTGAGATGTCTGGCGAGATCTTTTACTTCGTCTTCGTCTTCGCCGGGCGGACAGTATGGCTTTGCAGCGAAGAGCGCCAGCATTTCCTTGAAAACATAAACTTTCAAGGCACCCACGGCAAGGACGTAAGTACGGATATGGAATTTACGCCGCGACGAGGATGGAAGGAGAAGCGGCGGATCGATATAAGGTTGAGCGATGAAGTGGCGTAACTGAGAAGTTATCACGCCATTGTTACCCTCATCATCATGGCTTGATTCTTCCTCAGGGCGCTCCGAACCGCTTTCATCATCCGAGTCATCGACTTCCCATTCCTCGAAAATCTCCCGGAGCTGGTCCTCACTGCTGAAGAGGCGGATTCCTTGCCCACGGTCACTCATTCCCGGTTTGAGGATCCACCACTCCTTTTCGGTGTCAGGCTTGGACTCATTCTTTTCCAAGCTTTCACGCAGTTCGTACGCCTCCAGCAAGGCATCATCGAGGAATTCGGCATAGTCGAGTTCGAAGTCGATAGAGAATTTGACATGTTGAGCCAGAATACTCTCAGGGTGCTTTATGATCCAATTCGAGACAGTGTTCGAGAGGTAATGCTTGCGAATCAGTGCTTTGCGGATTATGTAGGCATTTGTCAGGGACGATGTTGAATTTAACATGGCTTGCTCGAAGTCCAGTCGCTCATACTCTCGGTATTGGAACACCGGCGCCGATGAGGCCGGGAGTTCTGAAACAGAGGAGACTGGCCGGTAGCGGTCTTTCCCAAGACGAGATTGTAAGGCGTGCTCCACCAGTTCTTGGACATATGGAACGTCGCAATCCACAATCGAATATAGGGAAGGTTCATCATTATCCGATCTACGCATAGAGAGAGCTATCAGAATACCAGCCTCCCATGTAAACCACGACAAAATAGGGGAAAGGGGATTAGAACAGAGCAAGACCAAGGCGCGGAACATAAAAAGCTAGCTTGGGATATTTAAAGAAGAGCGCAAGGTATATGTTCTAAGCGGTCGTGTCTAGACAAGGACTGCCGGCCGAGAATGTCCACTCACAGCTTAATCTCCCCTTTGATACCCGGTGCGTGCATAAAATTGGCTCTCAACGGAGTAACACTGTCTGGGATTAGAACGAAGCCCACACGAGTCCTATAGTAGAGAAACATACCTTGTCATTCCTTCCTTGACAGTCCAGCCGTCATTTCCTGGAGTGCTCGCCTCAACGCTCTTATACACATCGGCGAACTTGGGTGCCCAAATGAAATGTTTGTGCGGGATGCGAGATCTTTTTACAGAGTTTACAGCAACATTTGAAGCGGGGTCCTCTCCTAGTTTCTCCTCCTGATCCCGCAGCGTTTGCTCCCGGTGGCCAGGGTCCTCCAGGGGTACCGCCGCATCAACAGCATCAAAGCAGCTTCCGGATGACCACTGATTTTCAAGCATTTCCGTATACCAAACCTTGCTCTCACTCACACCAGGTTCCAAGGGAACATTCACACTGTAAAGCTGCACCCCATCATCCCAGTTCTTTGCGAGATGCTCAATTACTCGCACTGAATGTCGAGATGCCTCCGCAATGACGACAGGATCATGGCTGCGGGAGCTAAAGGCGTAAGACAGCGCAATCGATCGTTTCCCACAAGCGGCACCCTCCATAGCGCCACCTATTGTTCCACTCGACATCGCAAAGAGTGACGTCGTATTGCGTCCATAATTCGGGCCGGACACTACAAGATCAACGGGCCCGCGGTCTTGGAAGTAATGGTAAAGACCAATTTGCACGCAGCTGGCAGGAGTCGAGTTGATGAGAATCCACTCATCGCCCTCAGGAGCCTCGGCATCTTCAGCACAGCAACCGCGGGGGTACTCATGTGTAGTGCCATCGTCTTCGTGGAGTGTTCCGGGGCGGAAGTAGGTGGGCTTGACAGCAGCGCCGATGAGATGTGCTTTACCAATCCATGATCGTTGCTGATGCGGGAGAACCACAGAGACAGTGTGCCCTGCAGACTGCAATGTATGGACGAACGAATGAATGTAAGGGGACGATTCGTTGGACGGGGGCCCGTCGTCGTTGACAACCTATTACGAACGAAAGAGACCGTCAGTCCGAATTTCAAGGCAGTTATTAGACCTATACAGTCCAGAGAGGGGGGTAACAGAAAGCTAAGAGTTCTATCGAACTCACCAGGATATGCATTGAAGTCAAATGTGAAGACCAAGGGAGAGAATACGAGAGGAGGAGAAATGAAGAGATCCGAGGGACTTCTGCAGCAAAAGATGAAGAGGGGAAACCAAATTTCCCCCGCCCGTTATCGATAGTATCGTCGGGTACCGAACGAACATGCACGGTAAATATCTCTCACACGGTGCAGAATTGGGTAGATGATTCTTCGACCAGCTCTGAGCCCTTTATTCTTTTGTGGGGGTAGAAGGGCATGGTGTGATCTCTTAGTCGACATGCAGGAACAAAGACGTCCACGTCATTCTGGCCAGCTTCGTTCCGGCTTCCGACAGATTTAATCTTACATCCCTACTGGCACCAGATATATTAGGCACGGAGCAAGCACTAGCCTGGAACTGGGTATCATAAATTATGTCTACATGGGCATGCGAATCCTCATATATAGCCAAACTAAGAGTGCTCTTCCTTGAACAGATGGCTCCGCCGTCGCTGAATACCCAAAGCTCCGGCACTCTCCGTGCCAGTTCCTGCCCCAGCCCCCGCGGACGGTTCTATGTCATGGTCTAGCAGATGCCTGAGTTCGTCATCTGCTGCATCATCTGGCTCCTTTTTGATCGGTGGTCCCGGACGCTGATCGTCGGACGAGTCCGAGTCAGATTCTGTTGACGAACGCTCCGGATGGGGGGTTGGCCCATCGAAGGGCTCCTTCTTGATAGGAGTAGAATTGCGATCTTCTACCTTGATTTCTGCAGGCTCCTCCTGGCGGCCGCTGAATGATACGGCCAGGAAGAGAAAGGCGAGAGACGCCGATATCATGGACACGGACCAGAAGGTGAAACTGAAGATGAAGAATGATGTAATCCTCCAGTTGTACATAATCCACCTATGTCCCTGTTAGTTACACGAATGAACTGCCCGATCAGGAAATGGAATGGGTAATACCGTAAACCAGTGAATTTCGTCCTGAACGCCACCTTTGCTTGGTATACTTGCATTTCCTTGCGGCTATGAAGTTCCAAACGAAGGCTATTTGGTAGATTTTGCGCTCCGCGTGAAAATTCAACCTGCTCCATCATCTGCACCACTAGCCTCTCTGCTTCTCGCTGCCACCCTAGGATGTATAGTGGCATTAATGAAATCTTGCTCGAAATGTCTACCAACGGTGAGGCATAGCTCAACATAGCAGAGCGACGAGATCGAGAGATAGAGTGAGCGGAGGTATTCTCGCCAGTTCGAGCGGACGTGGAAGGTTGGGATAGGAGGGTCAAGTCAAGCATGAAATTCCCGGCAGCCAGGTTCGAGGGGGTTCGTGGTAATTCGAGCTCCACATACACATTATACGTTTGAAGGGAGACTAGGCTTGAATCTAAGGTCGCGACTCCCCAAGGGTGTCCATCACTACCAATGCAAGGATACAGTCAGTCACTGGTTCTTTTTGCCTCCAATCGCAATCAAGGGTCAAGTCCACTCACCCGAACTGCAAGTGTACGATGCGCTCTACCCCAACCTGCGGAATGAACTTGTAGTAGAATATTCCATATGCTATAACCGACACAAATACCATGAATATGGCAGTGGTAAGAAACAGAAAGGTGCCCAGGTAAGCCCTCAGTGCATTCTTCGAAACTAAAAGGCGGAAGGGTTTCAAGAGCGTGTTCTAAAGGTTTTGGGAAGCTATCCGTTAGTCCAAACTCCTGCAGGACAGATTGCTGGCGGTGGTCACCATCACCCTGGCGGCAAGCGAAGCGCCAGAATTAACATCCTCGTCCAATGCATTTTCTGTTTCCATCATGTTGCTTTGCGGGATGGATGAGGCCTGCAGGGTCAATGATGGTGGTGCTATGTATGATGTGTGGAGGGTGAGAATCTCGACAGTACTGGAGATGCCGCGGAACACCAAACCAACCTGGATTCGCGTCAACGTCACCGGCGGAATTGATCCAAACCCACATTCTGTATAACAACTAGAATAATCTCTCTCTCTCTCTCTCTCTCTCTCTCTCTCTGGAGTCCATATAATACTCTGGAACGGTTTATACACTAAATTATATTCTGGTCGTTAAATCAGACCTCTCAAAACAGAGACATAACAACATCCAATCCCATTATACTGCGAATCACAAAACTCATTAAGATCACGTTTTATAGCTTATCGTTACAGGCCACTGCAACTACAGTGACAAATGGTAAGACACCAAGAGAAGAGAATATGAGAATGAAAATGATAAGAACAAAAAGAAAAGAATATAAGCTCGGGAACATGCTGCCACGTCCTAATATGCGTTACCCTCCCAGAAACCCAGCCGAGAAATGACGGTAAATACAGCAAAACAAATAAGAAAGAAACCAGAGCAAGAACGAATTCATATCACCTAAGCTCCGAGTTTTGGGTTTTAGTAATTCGTGTCGTGAATGGCGTTTTCAGAACACCATGAGATGTCATTCCCTCAGAATGCAGGGCATTGAGATCGAGGCATGAATAGATATCACATTAAGGAAGAAACCTAGCGTGGAGGATATGAGTCCATCGCTTAGGAGATTGCCCTGGGGCTTTGCTGTTGGATGTGTTGTAGGAGAGCGTCGAATAGACGGCCAATCTGAAAAAAAAAGTGATGGTTAGTAGGCGTCTCACGAGTTACCACTAGGAATTAAAAACCACTCACCTCAGGCGCAGCCTGAATAAAGGGGAGGTGGAAAAACGCGTAGCTTCCATTCTGAAGCAACTCCTGCAGGGTAATGATCAATCCCCAAGGGTGAGGGCGATGAACAATGAGTCGCTCCAATAGCACACGAATAATCTGCTGACGAATATCGGACTCATCCTGCTCCGAATAATCTGTTCCAAAGAGGCGTAAGATTGCAAAGCTAAAGAAGTAGGTATGGCTATTGGGATAGCGAAGCTGGTTGGCCATCGCGCTCAGGAGGTAGTATCGCGCCTCCGGTCGGAGAGTCTTTGCGAGTTTCTCCAATAATGCAGAGTGCGGAGAGTTCTCAAATTCTGCACGGGTATTGCCCTTGGATGCGTTTGCGGAAACCGCTCCTTGGCCGATATAGAGCACCAATGCGTTCAGCAGAACAACATCGACATTGATCGGGGTGTAGAAGAGACCAGTCTCCTTATTGACTAGGTCATAAACAGCTTCACATATCTGCTGAAGAGATACATCAGAGGCATTATTGTTTTGAAGAGCGGCATCGATAACGCTCTTGATATTGGCACGTAGCAGTGGTGCGGCAGTGTCACCCGCAATCCTCGGTGCCTCGCGCATTTCCTCCAGGCGCTCAACTTTCAGCCCTTCTCTAAATGGGTCAGGAAGCTTATGGAAGGAAGACGGATAAGCGCTCAAAACCAGGTTTCGGAGCTGGGCACAATGAGCGGGAATAACGTTGCAAAATTGAAAATGGTTTTCCGCCACAAACTCCGGGAAGTCGTGATGCAAAATCAGCAGAATACGAAGGACTCCCTTATACAGGTCCTTGGCAACATATGAGATGCTTGCTGCTTTCAGCTGCTCGCCAATATAAGAGAGTAGAGCTTGCATGATTTCACAGTAAGGCCCCCAGCCTGCCCGATCCGGCATGTTGAGCATGCCAGACATGAAGAATCGGTGCGAAACTAATGAAAGCCATCCATACACAAAAGCAGGACAGTATTTAGGCTGGAGAGACAAGAACTTGTTAGCCAAAGCGAGCATAATCTCCTGGTGCTGGTCGCTCTGTTGTAAACCGCTGAGTGAATATTCACAGAGGATACTCGAGAAAAGTCTGAAGAAAACACGCTGGTTAAATGCCTCTCCCCTCATAACTTGGTGATGATTCAAAACGAGCACCAGAAGTGATAGGATTGAATTAAAGTAGGCCGATTTGCTGGTCTTCACAGGGCCCGTGCCCTCGCCTTCGAATTTGACAAGCAGAACAACCAACTTAGCGAGGGCATCGATGTAAAGGAACGCTTCATCAAGGCTGCCACTGGGATTTTGCGACTCATGCTCAAACATTGCAACTGAGATATCGATGCTGAGGCGGAAGAAGAGAGCGGAGTCTTCCTGGTTATCCATTACCTGTCTCTGGTCCATATCCTTGAGGAAGGAATAATATGTGCGATCAACGGCACCAGGCGCCTTATATATGCCAATCCACTCACTGAAGATATACTCCATCTGGTCGCGTTTCGCCCTCGCCTTGTCGCTGAGAAGTGGGTTAACAACTTCGGGGATTCCAGATTCGCGCAACTTTCGAATAATCTCGTCGGCGGTAGTGAGACCAGAATCCTCTGCAATCCATTGGCTCATGGCCTCAAGGCTTCCAGAAAAATCGGACCTCAAGGCAGAAGGCTCTTCGTTAAAAAGGATCCGGTCCATCAAGTTAGCTAGGACATCCAAGGAAGCAGAATTCTTCTGTAGGATCAGCCTGGTCAATATCATATCGACCCGGCGGATATCCATAAGTCCCGCATCTATGAGGGCAACGGTAACTGGAACATTAAACACATGCTCCTCCTCAACCTCTGACAAGAGAGACCAAGTGGAGCGCGCAACCAGAGAGGACATATCACATAGTTTAGCGAGTAGATGCACAAGAACCTCAACCTCTAGAGTGCTTTGAGTTTGAGCATAGAGACTTGCACATGCCTTATGAGCCGTCAATCGAGCAAGTTCTTCGCCATTTGGGGAGGCCAGAATGCTGCGCAATGCCTGGTTGTATTCTTGCAAAACAGCACTGTCTCTTCCAAGATCCCTTACCCGTTCCTCGGGGGCATTTCGAGCTGCCTGCTGGAGATCTGAAACAAGAGTCTCGACTCTCTCTCTTGGGTTTTGTGCTTCAAGAAACCCATTAAGTTGAGATGACGCTCCTACTAGGCCAGACTGTTGCAGTCGGGCATCTTGCTGAGGCTGGGGCGTTCTGTGAGGGACGGCAGGTTGCTCTGCGGGAGTGGACAGATTGGGGATTGGGGGATAGGGTTCTTGAAGGACGTCGGGGAGTTGGCGGCCAGAGTCAGTTGAGACGTTCTGGACGTGGGCTGTTCCTGGGCCACGAGACTGGCGGGCAAACTCTTCGTAGATTGCAAGTTGCTCTTTATTGAGCCCGCCTGGGGTCTGGCGATACGGCTCGGGGATGAAGAGTCCCCAACGAGTCATTGATGGATCAATATATGGCTCATTAGGCCGGGTCGCCCTGTGACGTCTGCGAGCTTCTAGCTGTGGTTCGATGACTTTTTCAATTTCAGGAAGGGATTTCTCCTCTGCTGCTTTCTCGACGATACCGCAGGCAGCGTCAAGGTTGTCATTTACACACATCAAGATTAGTCCCTCTGGCATTGGCTGGTCGGAGTACTCTTGTTGAATCATTCGGATATAATTTGTCATGCTGACCTTGAGGGGCTCCTTGCATGTCACCAGGGCCAAGCTACCAGCAAGTTGTCGCACCATAATACCAGCCGCATGGCGAACCTTCTCCTCATCAGGCTCCATGGAAAAGTCTTTCGAGACCAACTGAACGGTAGATATCGAAGCGATTGTGACGGAGCGCTCGACAACAGGCGTAATGATCTCAGCAATTGCACGTTCCACAGCAGTGTGAACAATTTGACGAAGGATATTAGGATCAACCATGCTGCTTGCCGATGACGGCAAAACAAGGATTTTGTCCAAGCTTGGGAGGGTGGACATAATAGCAGCAGGAGAAAGTCTCTCATTGCGCATTCCTTGCGTGATACTGGTGAGAGTCATATCTTCGAAAGCTTCAAGGCCATCGGGGATATTGGCCGTGGAAAGGGCATCTTCGATGTGTGCGGAGCGATCTCGGATAATGACGGAAGGCTCGATAGTCTTGTGGTCAAGGTCAAGATCTTTGCAAAGAACCTCTATCTCAAACTTAAGGTTAAGCTTCAGCTCCGCAAAGTGATAAAGCTCCATCAGTAATGCAAGAATGTCCATTAACCAGGGATTCGGAGGGTTGAAAACAGTAGACCTGGTTGCTTGCACCAGTACTTTGCAGGTGAAGGGAATCACTATCGTCAAGCGCTGGCTGTCATATCCTTCTAGAAGAAGTCCTTTGAAATAAATATCCTTGTGCTTGATCGGCTTGTCCTTCGCAATGGTCAAGGAGCCGAGCCAGGCACCCAGATTTTTCAGATGGCCTCTCTCGGGGGGGGAGTTCAGTGTTCCCTCTGAGTTAAGAAGCTTGGACGTACTAGCGTAGGTTTCTCTGAGAACCTCTGCCCACAGCATCCTGTTGTTGATTCGGTCAAGAAGGTCAAGGTACAGTTGTTGGAAATTAGGCTGTAATTTCGCCCGTTCTTCAACTAGGTACGAGGCAAACCATTGGTGGTGCGGGTCTCGTAGAACATCGGTGAGGTCTTGCAATTTCTCATCAATGTTCTGTTCTGATACATTGTTCAACACGAATAATATTTTGTCCTGCACCTCTTCATCTGGATCATGATAAAGGTCCGGTCGGAGAGGAGCGTCAACATGGATCGAAACAAATTTACGGCTGGGACCATCTGGGGTTGCTATTTCATCCACGGTACCATTCGCGATAGATCCACCAGAATTGTTATCAACCCGTCCGGTATCATCGCGGACCTGGCCGCCTTGTTCGTGCAGCACTTCCTCCGCCTTCTGGAAAATAGGTGTACCCTGTAAGCTGGGAATCTGCAGAAGAAGATGACAGAAACCTGCCCATTCCGGTAATCGGTTGATCAACTGCTCAATAGCTTCCACGCCAAACTTGTACATCGGATCATGCACTTCATGTTCTCGCACTGCCTCCAGTATCATACCTAGGCCAACTTTCAGAGTAATACCATCAACAAGTCGGAAGTTGATAATACCACCAAACATTACGGCCGTCTTTGTCAGAGCCTCCAGCGGGTACTCGTGGTAGCAGTGATACTCATCAATAAGTCCATGAACCATGCAAGCAAATAGATCTTGTTCAGCTGGCTCACGGGATGATTTATATCGTCTCATGAGTTCGAGGATTTCCCTCAAAGACAGCTCTTCATGATACATTTTCCCGAAAAGCTCCTGCATCTGCTTGTCGACAGGCTCGGGCAATCCGTTGCCATTTTCTCCATTTGCATCAATAATATCATCAAACCCTTCGCCGTAGTTAATGAGTCTAGGGTAAGTTTGGATGCAAATCCGTTGTACTGGAGTGAGATTTTCACGATCTCCAACGTATTCCTCCAGAACTGAGAGCAATGTATAGACAGTCTTTACAGAGAGGCTGACCATCTGGGGAGCCGGTTGTTCCTTTCTCTGGACGTGAAGTTCGTCCTCGGCCTTAATTCTAAGGAATTTGGAGAGCAAACTGCCCATATCCATAGGCCCTTTCTGAGCCGCATTCCGAACCCACTGTTCCAGATCAAATGGCCCTTTGCGGTGAGCGTAGCAGGCGAGATCCATCGCAAGACCATTGGTGTATCCAAGAAGGTAATCCAACCAGTTATACCCGACAGCGTGTTCGTAAATCGCAGCAGTTGAAGTGGGGTCTTGGGTGAAGGTGGTGAAAAGTTGTTCGGCTACCCATTGTCTATCTTGATGCCAAGCCCCGTGAAGAGCGACTTGATATCCCTCTTCTTGCTTCAAAATGAAGACAATCAAAGTCCGAAGGACGAAGCTTTGCTGTACACTGCTCCATGGCTGGGGAAGGGCAAGGGCTGAGCACAAGAAAACAGGCAAATCATACTGGACAACCGCTTTGATAAGCAACTGGCTTTCGGTAGCAGCCCATGCAGCCTGCGAAAATAACGCTAGATCAAAAATGGCCCTCATGGCGTCTAGAGACCGCAGAGGTGACTTTGCAGCACGTTCCCCTTGCAATCGGACCAATTCAGGGCCGTCAGAAAAGAAGTCGGTGGGAAAGGTGGCACGAAGGTTAGGAATTCGGGTGACATCGGTCCGGGAGATGACAAAAGCTGTCAGGAAAGACATCTGGGTGTCACGATGCTCCCAATCCCCACCCCAAAGCTTCTGAATATCCAAGGTTGAATCCTCCGTGGCTACCGCTAGAAGAACAGCGTACAGCTTGGCGAATTGTCGAGGGTCCAGTCTCAACCCCTCCCGGTCGAAATTTCGGAAAATAAGAGACCAGTTGAGTTGCTTTTCACCATAATGAGCCCGAACAGACGCGAGATACGTCTCCAGAGAAAATTCTCGCCAGTACTGTGAAAGAACGAGGAAAAGAAGCGCACTTGCGACGTGTTCCTCGCTCCAGCAATCAGGGCCAGCAGCACCTACTGTCTCATTCACAGCATCCGGGCTCGAGGTCGCTTTCGGTCCCTTGGAATGAAGCTGGCGTACCAACGTATATCTCGGATTTATGAAATTGAACATTTGGAGGGCAGATGCAGCCTCGAAAGGCATATCCACCGCAAGCTTTTGGTAGCGTATGTTGGCAGCATACACCAGTTTCGCCTTCACATCGTCAGTAAAGTTGCGAGGAGGGTATAATATGAATCGTTCAATTGTCATTCCGATAAAGGAGTTATTGAGGTCCTTCGACACATCAGACGGGGCCGCAAGGCTTTGTAGAAATGGGTTTATCGAGTTCGAGAGAATCGCATCAGCTATTGAAAAAAAATGTCAGAAAACTACGTACCACATAAACGGGCAACACATCTCATACCTTTTGCTCGTAGATCTGACTTATTGGCAGTCTTGAACGCTAGCGCTAGCGCAACTTTAACGAGAGGATCGAGTTTGAAATGATCCAAGAAAGTCGAGAGGTCAAAATCCCGGAAGATATCGCCGTCCGAGGTGTCGACAGTCTCTGCGATTTTCTGTGCTTGTTCTATATCCTGGGACACTTTTTGCATCTCCTGAACCAGGAGTGGATAGTTCCCTGCATTTTCAACGGATTTATTTACGCCTGGAAAGATTTGGGGGGCATTGCCTGTAAGAAGGCGTCGGAAATATTTAGAGAAGACCTCCATTCCGTTCGACTCAACCAGCTACTGGGTATTAGAAGTGACTGGATAATCGATTGAGGAGCAATATTGACTTACTTTATGGATCTGAGCGGCTTTTGTCTCCCACTTCTCTCGACCTTCTTTCTCCGTGATAGAATCCAGTAAGAGGAAAACCTGGGCGATTGAGATCTTTGCTAGCGATGACTGACTTGCGTGAGCCGCTCCTGATGCCGCGGATCCCGATTTATCTGGAGGGAACCCTGTAGGGGAATTCACAGTATTGCCGGATAACAATGGAGAGAAGGTAGCGCCTCTGGAAGAACCCGTCCCGCCTCCGCCTCCCCCAGTGCCTCCACCACCCGCAACAGATCCCGCTGTGGAAGCCAGATGTGACCCTGACGACGGGGTGTGGGCTCTGGCTTTAGGGGAAGAAAGAGATTGACCGGGTGGCTGCTGGTGTTGTTGCGAGCCAGATTGGAAGGAGGTGAAAGGCGCTGGTGTGGAGGCTGGCGAGGGCGCGCTCCGGCCAACAGGATGGCCCCTTGAAGAGCTCAGAATGGCAGAGAAGGATGATGTGAGAGGGGATGATATTGAACCACCGGGGCCAGGGCTATTGGGTTGAGGCAGCCCCCGGGAAATGACAGAGGGGTTTGGGGCTGAAGAGACGTTGGTCGCAAGCGGTGTCAACCCCCGACGAACACTAGACTGGGACAGGGGAGGGCCCCAAGCAGACTGCTGTGACCTTAGAGGTCTAGTCGAAGAAGATTTATCGGTGCCAGAAGCAATCGACGATTGGGAGGAGGGAGGAGGGGGAGGGAAGGTCATCTAGGAGACGCGATCATTTGATCTGAGGGTGAAGGAGATTTTTTTTTTATTTGTGACGATAGTGAATGAGAAGATGAGCCTTAGAAATATTGTGGTAGATAAAAGAGATGTAGAAGGTAGAACCTTGCCGTGGGAGAAAAAACACCGATGGCAATGAAAGGATGTGTGTTGCTGTGTGGCAGAGGATGGGAGTTCCGATGGGGTGGTGATGACGGGCAGAGAAAGCGAGATTGAGTGGACGGTAGTTTTGGTGGAGAGATGCCTGAGGTTTAGCCTTTAGGTTAGGTAACTTGCGCTAGGAGCCGCAAGCCCAGCTCTGGGACTGGCTGACGGAAAGGAAGGTGAGGAATTTTATATGTGATATGAGCACAGCTTCCAGGGGGGGTGCTATCAGTGAATATGCCAGCTCAATCCTGCAGGGTCTTTGGGGCCCTTTTTTCCTTTAGCTACTATCCCGTCAAGCTCTCCTGAGGGGAAACAAATGCTTCTGTTCGTGTGAAGCACGTGATGGCCGCAGACAGTATGCTTATATAATTCCTTAGTCATGGTCATTTCTTGGCATGATTTCCCAGGCACCGAGTCATTGGGGCCTCAGGTTCATATCATATGCAAGACTAACCAGACCAGATAAATCTCCGCTGCAGCATCCATGTACCCAGTATGCTTTCCGAGTGATTTCTTATATCCAATACATAGAAATCCTCTATTTATGTGGCAGTTCCCTGGAACTAGAGTTTCTATGTCACCTGGTATTAGAATGTGTACTCTGTATGCTTATTTCCAACGTGGATATCTGCAGGTCTATACGGGAACCAAAATATATATGGATAGATGGTAAACTACTACTCTTCTTTGTTGGTATATTTCCACAACCTCATCTACAACTCCACATAAAAGAGATGCAGGATTAATTCCGGAAAGATATTGCCCATATCTTGAAAATATTGATTTTGTCCTCGAAACTAAGGTTGTATCCCGTACTTCCACTCAAACCCTGTACACAGCCTCTAGTTATGTATCAATAAGCAATGCAGGCGATCTAGGAACGCATTCCATATATCGGGAGTGTAAAAACAGTGTAACTAACCAGTCTTATGTTACTAAAGAACTGCATTACTACTCCATAATTGGCTCAGATGAGATCCGTACATAACTTACTGTCCGATACATACCTGGAAAGGAAGCGTTGTGATCATCCAGTCAGCAGAGTCCCCTTTGAAGCGGCAATGCTGGGACGATGAACAGCACAAAGACACAAGAAAAACAAGTTATCGAGCAGTTCAAACAATATATAGAGTGACTCCTCTTCACAAGAACACAATCATTTGGACCCAACATTGGAAGCACGAGGCGGATGTTGGGCAAAAGTATATGACTTGGCGCTGACTCGCCCGTGATCTACGGCCCGGTTGCCCCTAGAGACAGGCGCGGTAAATATCAACCTCATCCATTCCAGATTCCATGATGCGACCGACTCCAGCAGATCCAGCTCAAGTTGTGCAGTTCTGCACCTTTCTTCTGTAATTTCATATCCATATACACCTGCTCCGGGTACTCTGGAGACCTGTTTCCATTCTTCTCCTCCAGGCCGTGAACTCGATCTTCTGGCGGTGACTGCGTGCGATTTCTATACATCCTTGTTGCTCCTGTATCGCTGTTTCACGACGATCAAATGAGCAAAGGCTGGCCGAAGCTCAACACAATAAACCGAATATAATATCTACAAGGATGCCGGGAACAGTTGCAGAGGGGCCCACGGTGTCTCTTTCTTGTATGGATCCCTTCGGGCTCTTTATCAGATTATAGATAGCTAACTTTACCTGGATGTATAGTTGCGAATAATTTCTGGGGAAAAGATGACGCGGGTGTTGGACCTATGCTGGAACGCATGCATGCTTCCAAGGTGTCTTGCGACGAACTGAAAACATTCTACAATAGTGCGTTTCCTTGGTTCTGACCGTGGTCGGGCTCCAAGTTCTATTGATTTAACACATCGTTTAGTCCGAGCCGCAATTGAAGAAGAGTACGCACGCAAGCTTCTGACACTATGCCGCAAACCCCTTGGGTCCAGTGATATTGGTTCGCTGCGATCATCCTTTGACATTGTTCGAGGCGAGACAGAGGCCATTGCAAAAGCCCACGCCGCAATTGCACAACAAATGAAGAGAGAGTTGGAAGAGCCGTTGATTGCATTTGCAGGCGGATCAAAGGAGCGGAGGAAAATTGTCCAAACGGGTATCGAGCGTCTACACAAAAGTAAATTCCAACAGACACAGACTGTGAATAAGGTAAGTCCAGAGCCTTCCTTATCACTGTGAGCATAGGGGAATTCTAACCAATTTTAAGGCCCGGGATCGATACGAGCAGGACTGCTTGAGGATCAAAGGCTACCTAGCACAAGGCCACATGGTTATGGGTCAAGAGGAGCGCAAGAACAAAGCGAAGCTGGAGAAGACACAGATACAACTAGCATCCAGCAGCAGTGATTATGATTCTGCCATAAAAGTGCTCGCGGAGACTACTACGCGGTGGAACAAGGAATGGAAATCTGCATGCGATGTATGTTTGGCTCTAAATGCTTTTCCAATTCATACATGATGCTAACGGTGCTCTAGAAATTCCAAGATCTTGAAGAAGAGAGAATTGATTTCACAAAGAGCAGTCTCTGGACATATGCAAACATTGCATCAACAGTGTGTGTTAGTGATGATGCAGTGAGTACTTCTCTCGCAATCCCGAATCGAGCTCTTAGCTGACCTACTGCTAGTCCTGCGAAAGGATTCGCCTTTCACTAGAGAACTGTGAAGTGGAGAAGGATATCATCCACTTCATCAAGGAAAGGGGAACCGGCCAGGAAATCCCCGATGCTCCAAAGTTTATCAACTTCTCTCGAGGAGACATTAACGACTCAAGCTCTGAAATTTCCGAAGAAGAAGGCTACTCGGTAGCTCAATTTCAGCGCACTATAAATCCAGCATTTCGCAGTTCTTCTCCCCAGCCGTCTACATATGAGTCCCACCATGAAATGCTACCTGACTTGGCTATGAACCCAGCCCACAGTACACCCGCCACCCCTTCAAGCAGAGAGACTACCGTCACTCCGCAGAAACCGATGCAAAAGCCCACACAGCCTGCCGTTCAAACATCAGTGCAGCCGCCAGTCCAACCGCCAGTCCAACCGCCAGTCCAACCACCAGTCCAACCATCAGTCCAACCATCAGTCCAACCATCAGTCCAACCATCAGTCCAACCATCAGTCCAACCATCAGTCCAACCGCCGATGCAACAGCCGATACAGCCGCAAATGCAACAATCGATGCATCAGCCGATGCAGCCACAACCTCAGCCACCAATACAGCAGCAAACACCTCCACTTGATCTTCGTAGGGGAGGCCAGCTTCCACCTAACTACGACCCAAACCAACATGGCGAAATTGCGGCGATTCCCCACAACGAATACCCAACGGATGGTATGACGATGTTCTGTAGAACCGGCCCTCCGTCTGAGCGCAGCTCGGGGACAGCCAGCGGTTACCGACCTTCCAGCCGTGATTCACAGAGTGAGGTCTCCAACAGTACCTCGATATCTAGCCAGGAAGCTATTAGCGGCAAGCAGTCCCCCGTTAAGCCGACGAATGGCGTGGCACTCCCAGGGATGACCGCAGACAATCAGATTCAGAAGAAGAAGAGCGCATTCTTCAGCAATAGTCCATTCCGCCGTAAGAGTCGCCACGAAAAGGACCGCAATTCTGGCCCGTCTCGCTTGCCGACTCGCGGGGCATGGGACTCTCCTTCGAAACAAAGTAGCCCAATCAAAGCTCCAACGCCTCAAAACCACATGCAAACACCGCAGGTAGCCAATGTGACGCAAGATAACCGACTGTCTGGTAGCCCCGAGCCTGTTGATCCGAGGGCAAACTTCCAACTCAATGTCGGAAACAATGTGTTTGATGTCGAGTCACCGGATAAAAACACCAAGAAGGGAGCCCAGGCGGCGAAGAATGGAGGAGAGGAGCTAGACCCCATCGCTCGCGCCCTGGCTGATCTGAAAGGAGCCGGAAAGCAGTCAGCGACTCGGGTCTCAGCTGACAGGTACCACGGCATTGCTACGCCTGTACCTTCAGCACCTGGATCGAACTATAGCGCAGCCTCTGTAGCAACACCACCACCAGCCTATAACGACCCGTCAGTGAAGCGTCTTGATGCCCCGCAACCGGCGTTCACATCTGCCCAAATGCAGAAAACTACGCAGAAGTACACCGGCCAGACTCAGAGTATGCTTCGGGGCACCGTCGGCCCCTCGAAGCGTAACAGTGGGCCACCCCAGGAGGCTCCACGTGCACGGTCGCCTGCTCCTCGACGAAGTGTTAGTCCTCAGGTGAACAGCCCCCGGGTTAACACCCGTATGAGTCAATATAGTCGAGCTGCAAGTCCAAGTCCAAGCACCTATCAATCAAGCAGCGTGAAAACCCGGTACAGTCAATCTCCAACTGTTTCCACTCCTCCACAACGGCCAAGTGATCCATATTCTCCCCACGATTTTGCTAAGCGAGGATCTCCAACCATGGCTCCTAGAGCTGTCTCCCCTAATGACTTCGGGAAGCGTGGGTCAGCTGGTACAATGCCGCGGGCCGTCTCACCAAACGACTTTGCGAAGAGATCGTCCCAAACCTCAATGCCACGCGCTGTGTCACCAAACGACTTTGCGAAGAGATCATCTCAAACCTCAATGCCACGAGCCGTCTCACCAAACGACTTCGCCAAGCGTGGTTCAACTGCTACAATGTCACGAGCTGCTTCACCAAACGACTTTGCGAAGAGATCATCTCAAACCTCAATGCCGCGAGCCGTCTCTCCTCAGCCACAGTTCCGTCAGCAGACTCGACCTTCGAGCGCTGGTGGCATGGAACTGCAGCTTTCCAACCCAGCCGATATGTATGCTGGTAGCAATGATGGGTACGGCTCTCAAAGGGACACCAGGAGGCCGATGTCGTACTACGGAGACAATGGAAGCCAGAGGAGCCGATCCCGGAGCAGGAGTCTGGCAGTCGCTGACCCTGGAAGACAATTCAGCCGAGATGGCCGTCCAATCTTGCACTTTGGTGAGCACCCTACACTTCTTATTCTTCTTCTTCTATACTCTAAACCCCCCCCCCCCTCCCTTCTTCAACACAGTACCATGGCTAACTTTCATCCTTCTAGCCCGTGCTATGTACAGCTATGCCGCAGCCATTCCCGAAGAACTCGGCTTCACCAAGGGTGACGTCTTGTCAGTGATCCGCCTTCAGGATGACGGCTGGTGGGAAGCTGAAGTTACAACCAGCCGTATGAAAACAGGCTTGGTGCCGAGCAACTACCTGCAGATTATCTAAAATGATACCCATCCTATGATAATTTCATGAACAGCCAGTTATGACGAGGAAAATGTTTGTCCAATTATGTGTTCATGATGTAGATACCACTCAGCTTTGCCCTTTTTTTTTTTGTTTTTTGTCTTCCCCATTTTCGCCCTACATTCTTCGCTCTTTCCGACATCTGCTTACGTCGAACTCGATATTACCTGTCGTTTCTGGCCATTAATTTTATTTTATTCTGTGTTTAGTGATTTTGCCTGTTTAATCTCTTTACTATGTTTTCATGGAAATAATGCCCCTTTCAATCAGAATGATTCTTGACCTTCTCTCTTTGACCGTATAATATGGATATCCTATAGTAATATACAACACCTCACTGAACTAAGTCTTCTATTCTATTTACCAGCAAAGCAGTATCACCACTTTCTAGGTAACACGAGAACAACAATACAAAACCCTCATACGCTGTGTGTCAATTGCCTAAGGAATCACAGTAATAATATAACATGCCTGCCTACCCATATCAGACCTGAACACCTCTAACGCCGTAACAGTCATTCCCCCGATGAATAGAAACAGAATGAATCATGAATCCACGCCCTCCCCTTCTTCCTTCCTCAGCCCCCTTTAATAACATCTAGAGATATAAACCCATCAAACGATATGGTCCCCCCCCCCCCTCTTCTTCTTTTTTACCCCAAAAAGGAAATAGAAAAGTCCCACGAGACTGCGCTAATCTGCCCGTCCACAGCTATGAACCATACACATAAAGCCCCTGGGCGAAACTAATGTGCGAATGTTGGCGTACACGCAGTACGGCCCGGTTCGCGCATCGAACCCAGACTTGGCGATTTTATCTGCCATTTGAGGCTGAGGTTGGGTTGGGACCCTTTGCGTTTGCGAGGTCGAGGATGTAGTAGTATCAGCATCCGCATCAGCAGCAAGAGCAGCCGCAGTAGTAATAGCAGCAGCAGGACTCGTTGTGTCTCCGGTGGAAGTCCCTGACGCACTGGTGTTGTTGGTGTTTTCAGGCTGGGAAGCGGACGGAGATGGAAAAGCGTTCTTCGCGAAGTAGCATGATATCAGGACGTGGTCGTTTCTGTGACCGCACGAGTTGACGACTCTTTGCACTTGGCACATGTTCTTTTCTTTGGCTTTCGCCTTTGGGGGGTTTGATCTTTTGGATAGTGGAGGTTTTTGCTTGGAGGGATCTGGGATAGAGGTAGGGTAGGCTGGCGTTTTGGATTGAGATGGTTTTGTGATGGGGGTTTGGCCTTAGGGGGGTGTTTTCTTTTGGATTCTTCAAGGAATGAATCATATGAGGAGATTTGAGAAACTGATTGAGCTCTTCAGTTAGTGTTTGGGTTTATTTATATACCTACCTGCCTGCCTGTCTGCCTACCTATCTGTTCGATAGGATGGGATATAGCACTGGTTCTTCTACCGTCCGCATGTAAAACATATATATATATATATATATATTAACCCAAGGGAAAGAGGGCAAATGAGTAGGAGTGGATAGAGGGAGAATACGTGGGTGAATGTTTATTATTCGAGTGGAAGAGGCGAAGGGGTGTTTTTGATTCTAGGCAGTACAGATTTAATATTATATTCAGTATATTATCTATTCCTTGTGAGCAATTATATATATATATATATACATATATGTACAATTCATAAGCAGTAAAGTTGACAAGGAACATCCAATTCATTATAGCATGCTAAAGAGTCACAGGCAAATAAATGGGGAATGAAACTGAACCGTTATATACACCAACAATAGGGCAAAGGAGAGGACATACATTAGGCATCTATTCAAGTCACACACTGTACAATGGTAGATTACGGGCCAGGCAGCAAGCCTAAACATCCTTCAGCACGTAAAGGCTGATAGTCAGGGTATAGGCTCCAGACAACGCGAAGAGCCTACTCATTATCGACGAACGAGTTGGCCAGCCGGCCGATAATCGGGACCTCATAGTGGTCGAGGGTATCAACTGTCAGTCTCGTGAGCTGGAGGTGCTGAAACGCTTTCTTGGACCGGCGTCTTACCATCTCGATAGGCACGCATGCTGAGGAAAGCTATCAAAGCAAGATCACAGATGAACACCAGCCATGAGATAAAGCTGGACCATGCGAATAGAAGGTGAATTATCTAAAGCGAATGAGAAAAGGCTCATGAGCAGGTGTTAGGAGGGAGGAGCTTACGAAGATGGCAGTAAATAGCATGCTCGACTGCCACGCATGGAAGCTATACCGCGATATCAATCAGTAAAATCTGGCAAAAGGCAGAACGCTCGATTGAGTCACATACCGAACGTAATCACTCTTGTGCTCTAATAGGAGGAGAAAAACTCCGCCTGCTGGAGGAAGAAGCAGATATGCCAGCATAGCTTCAACGTCCATCCGGATAGGCAGACTCGTTTCAAACGCTCCTAGATTCCATCTCCCGCCCTCCACATCTTGCCCAAACCCTGTGTTCCCGTGTCCACTGGTATCAATATGACCTTGACTCGCGAACTGGTTAGGCGACGGAAGACCGCCTGCGGAGGTGAAGCCGGGGACTGGGGGTGAATTGCGAGGGGATCGAACGGCGGGAGACCTAGAATGGTTTGCATCCGAAAGAGCAGGTGAGAACGCGCGCTCCACCTCGGGCGATTCGTCCTGGTAAGGAGCGAAATTCATGGTGCATGCGCGTGGGAGGAGGTTGGAAGGGTAGCAATAGGCGGAGAGCTTATCGCAGCGTGAAGCTCCTCGATGTCTTTTTATATACCAACAACTTACTTATCGCGATCGCGTTGTCGCGCGGGCGGTGATGGCTTGGCGCCTGAGGCAGACACATTACATTAATACATCAAAACATTTAATTGAGGATTCATCTATTTTGTATTTCATTGGGGGTCTCATTTATCATGATTTCTGGCTTTCAATTTACATCCGACTTTGAATGTAGTGTACATTGAAAAAAAAAAAAAAAAAAAGGTGCCTTTATTCAGCTATTTTACCCTATGCTCGGCCTCGGCCTCGTGTCACCCCAGAGCCTCGCGCGATGCCACTGACTGGTCTCCTTGTAGTGGTTGTAGTAGACGGTTTCCCGCTGGATGTGGATGATGTCGTGGTACTCCTCGTTCTGCTGGTGCTGGTTCCGGAGTAGGAAATACTGGGTGTCTTTCCCAGTGCACCGCGAGTTCCCCCCCTGGTCCCCCCGCGTGTGCCCCTAGTACTTGTCGACTGTGCTCTCTTCCTGTCCTCCTCCTCTGCTTTTCGGGCAGCAGCTTCTCTCTGTTGCTGAAGCTCCCTTTCTCGACGTTCTGCAGCTTGCTGTTTGAGGAGTTCTTCGTTCTCCATGTCGGCCACATCTTGCACAGCCCCTTGCCAGTTGGAGTTGAGAATCAGTCGTTGGTTGTGTTCGGTTTGGGACAGAATTCGGGTCCAGGTATTGAGTAGGGTTGAGGCCGAGTTTACGGTGCGCGACACGGTCTGGTGCTTGGTTGTTAATTCAGTTCCTCTAGGCTTGGTAGACATCTCAGTACACGAGATGACGCGTCTAACGTACCTCCATGTTTCCTTTTGCACGGTCCAGGCTTCCGAGTAGGCTTTCAATCACTTCGTTGATATTCCGAACACTTTGGAGCTCGTGGCGGAGGGCCGCTTCCCGGGCTTCCTGACGATCAAAAAGAGTCTCTTCATCACGGTCGGGTCGAGGTTCGACAGGCGAGCTCTCTTGCTTGATCTGCTTCCGTGTTGATTTCTTTTTCCCACGCTTCGAAGGGGAGTCCCAGAGGTCTTCAGTGTCTTCTTCAGAGAGCTGGAGGTGTTCCATTTCCTCAGCTGTACTGTGGAGAGCCATGGTTTGGGAGGAGGTGTTGTGGATGTAAACAAACGCAATCCACACACGTGTAGTAATTGAATTCAAAAGAAGTACGGAGTAATATCCAATGATTGTAGTTAGAATCACAGAGTCGATCAAATAATTGATACTAATTTCGCATTGAGTGGTGGGGCGATTCAGCCTCTCTCCTTAGTTTTCCACTATGAGTTGGCGCTGAATTAATTGTGTGGCTGGTGAAACCCGCATTCCAACGTCCAACGTCCAACTTCCCTTGGTTGCTCTCTCTCTCCCTTCTGCCCAACTCCCTTCCCCCCCAGTCTTTCATCTCATCTCATCTCCCATTCCCATCTCTATCAAGTCCTGTTTTCTTATTGATCTTTGGAATATTCCTCTCCTTTGAATTCTGTTGCTTATCGTTCCTCCCGTTGTTGGACATTGGCCCGGTAGCGTCACATCACCCTTAACGCGCCCTTCGGTCGGCTTTTGGTAGTCGCGCGTTCTCCCTTCCTTTGTCTCCCTTGGTGAAATCTACGCATCGATCGGACGACTTATAACGCTCTCGCTCCGGTATTCTTCTTGAGTTTTGCAATTTTGCCGTTTGGTGGTGTGACTAGTCCTTCCAGCTTTGCGGGAATTATCCAGTTTCTACGACTGCCCTACCCTCCACAATGGCGACCACTCCACCGCCGCCATCTTTTCTGCGAATGCCTCCCACTCCACGACATGGGACTGGGTATGATGAATACGAGCCCTACCCCACGCGTCACTCAGCCCGACTAGCCAGTCAACGAGCTTCCACAGAATCCCGCACCACTCCTCCGCCTAGTTTTCCAACATCTCAAGCACGAACCGGTCCAAGGAGTGTCCGGAAGCAGAAACCCGTCGACGCTGAAACACTGTCGCCCCCTGGCTCTCCCAACACCTCTCCTCGGAAGAAGAGGTCGGCCCGCGGTGTAACACAATCACTCGGGAACTTGGAGAGCTCAGATCCCTTCAACACCACGAAACCCTCTCAAGCTCTTCATCCTTTTAGATCCACCATGACGGAAGGAATGCTGCCCACCCCGGCCAAAACGCCTCGAAAGAAGCCGGTCGATAATCTTGGATCCGCCGCGCGAGCTCTGTTCCCCCCATCCACCCAAAAGAAGAAGGCGAAGAAGCACACGGGCTTCTCCTTGGATAGCTTTACCGATGAAACCTCACAGGGGGAGCCTCAGATTCAGATTTACACTGATTCTCGCGATCGAATCCCCGAAGTTGATGAAAGCGAAAGCAACCCATTTTTCAAGAAGCCAGCCACCAATGTCGCATATACTCGTCCCGCGAGGCCCAAGACGGGCTCCCGTGACAAAGAAGTTAACGAGGCACTCGACCGTGAGGATGGAATGGTTTATGTCTTGTAAGTTTTCTGACCTTCTACTAGCCATATGACACCAGTTCTAACAGATTTTGCTGCAGTCGAGGCAAGAAAATGTTCCGCAAGTTTACCGATGACGCCGGAAGTGATGTAGAAGACGACGACGACGACGACGACGACTTGGGTTTGCTGGCGTCCCGTCCAGATTTGATAGATTCGTCGATCTTAGAAAATCCTCGGCCCCTGACTCGCTCTTCCATTAAACCTCGTGTGCTCTTCCCCGCTGCGAATGACCGCGCATCTCAAGAGAACCATATCGACGATGCGGATGAGGAAGCTGCCACTGATATCGAAGACCACGTTCTTGCTGATGCTGATGCTGCGGACGATGTTGATCGCACTACCAATCTTCACGACCAACAACAGCGACCTGTCACCCCACCGCTCAACTCTACTGTTGCAACCCCTCCTTCACCAGGTGCCTCGCTTCGTTCTCTGCGGCCGCGAGCCAAACGAGAGGGGTTGGATCACGCACAAACACCCACCGCGCCCGAAGCCAAGAGAAAGCGCATCAGTCCTTTCGATGGCTGGTTGCGTAAAAAGCAAACCCCTCCCGTCATTGGCGCCAAGGCCAAGAAGCGAGATGCGGAAACTGCTGGTAGCCCCGGAGGCCCAGCTCCCAAGAAGACCCGAAGCAACAAGGCTACCGTTTCGTCGTCCTAATTGAACGCCGCACCGTCAACAAACGGATTGTTTACGGAGTCAGCTGGGCACGCTTAATTTCTATTTTATGTGATACCATTGCCGGAGTTTGAAAACTTTTTATGCTTTTTACTTGCCTTGCCTTTTTTTTTTTTTTTTTTTTTTTTTTTTTCCTACTTTCTTCTGGATGCCAATATTTTCGGTTAAGGATTTTAATACATCCGGTCACCATCGATTTTCGTTGATTCAAGACAAGGACCGCCTGGTTGACTGAATTCGGACCAGAAGGGAAACGGGATCTGGAGATGGATATTGGGAATATGGATGGAATCGGAGCTTTACTGGGAGGGAATAACGGTGTTTTCTACTTGTGTGTTCTTTTGGAAGGTGTCCTGTTTGAAGTGACTCACTTTCCTTCAATTACATAGTTTGCTTGCGATTAGTTAGATATCCAATGAACATGAATGAGACTGATACTGTCGAGTACCTAAGCTTCCAGTAGCTTTCAAAAATCAACCAAAGTGGACTGAAATGTTTCCCTAGTGACCAACAACAGGATTTATGTAGAGAAGGATAAAAATGAATTCAAGTAAATAAATACTAAGCACTACTTTCATCCTTTCATCCATTCACACTCATGGAAAGAAAGCACTTGGAATGATCAAAAGGAAGAAAGCAAGAAAGAAAGAAAGAAAGAAAGAAAGAACGACAAGTATAAGTAAGTAATCCACATTCATTCCCCTCGTATCCTTCATCAAGCACCTGGTCTAGCTCATATCCAGGCCAACAAGCATAATTCATAACAACATGGCTTGTTTTCTCTCCTAGTCGTCTTATGTATTGCAGTAAAGCTTTGTTATGTTCAGAGTTGATCCATTTATCTTCATGCATCATCCATGATGGGGATTTCGTCGTCGTCGTCGTCGTCGTCGTCGTCGTCTTTTTTTTTTTGATTCCCCACGTAAATCGTTATAGTGGCTTGGGGATTCATTTCTTTTTTTGGGTTGGGAAGGAAGGAAGGAAGGAAGTAGTATGTAGTAAGTGTAGGTTGGTAGAAAGTAGGAAACAGTAGAGGAAAGGGAAAGGAAAATCAAATGAATACATTAGTTGAATGCTTATTTTGCAAGTAAGCGTAGAACAAGTGATGGGTATCTCATCATAGAATAAATAGAACGAAACGTATAGGGTTGGTATTTAGTATACTCTGAGGAGGGTTTTTTTGGTCTTTCTCCTGTTGATAATAGTAGCTTTTGTCTGGTGTTTTCTTTTTCTTTTCTTTTTTTTTTTTGAGGTTATTGAATTGAACGCTCCTAGGCAGGACATGGCATAACATAACATGCTATGCTGGTTTCGAATGCATGAAGGGAATTAGATGATTTCTAATCCATCATCGTCGTCATCGTCATCATCATAAGTGGTTCTCTGTGCTACAGCATTAGGATTGCCTCCTAGGCTATCTCTTCCGGCCTCTTTAATGCCGTTGGATGTTATGAACCGGGTCTTCTTGACCCCACTTCCGTTTGGTCTGTCGCCGTCATGAGCACGCTTTTTAGGGCTGAGTCTCACTGTATCTGCTCTCTTAAATCCCGCGAAGCTGAGAGGGGTAGCGTTCACAGCTGACGAGGAGGGGACCGTCGAGTCGCTTGAATGCATCTTGTGATGATGTGCCTTGTGTGCCGGTCCCATCCCGGGTCGATGGGTTGTCGTGGGGATGTTTTCGTCATTTCGAGCTCGGAGGTATTCCGCACCGACTCCTCCAGACCTGGATGTGAGTTTCTGTGTGAGTTCTCGTTCACGCTGTTGCTCGACCAGGCGTTTCCGGAAGCGTTCTTCTTTACTGTCCGCGCCTCGCGCCATCATGCCTGCTGCGATGAATGGGTCATCATGATCGGCGTCAATCAGACTGGCAGCAGATTGGCCGGGAAGGAGATGCTGAAAGGAGGAGCCACCGTTACTCCTGGATTTGAAACTGGGCGCGACGTAGTACAGAGAACCGGATTGGGGGTCGTATTGAGCGCCGTCAGCTCTCAACAGGCCGTTTCCTTTGGGCTGTGTGCCTCTCTTTCCTCCACCGTAGAAGCCAGTTCGTGAGCCCGAACGTCCACCGGGGCCAAACATGCCGGTTCCTCCGTTCACTCCCATGCGGCCCGCTTGCGTGCGACGCACCTGGAGATCAACGTGGAAGTCGCAGAATTCGGTCTTACGGCCATCAACCCACGACTGGCAGGTTTTGCCGTCCTTACGGACAGCTTTACAGAAGCCGATGTCCTGAGCATAACCGACCTCGAGGATCTTGTCGTCCGAGGACGAGATGGATAGACTAAACCGATTGGTGTCTGTCTTGTTTTTTGGGGGAGGGAGAATTGTGGGGTTTAGGATCGCGATCAGGATGCCTTCTGATAATCTATAGTACCGAGGAAAGGCGGTGTCAAAAAGAAAAAGGTCAATTGTCCATTTAAGGTCAGTGAGTGTGATTACCATGTATTGGCTGGTGTTGTTTAATCCGTCGTCGAAGGGGTTCGTCTCTTTTGCAGTGACGTTCTTAGTCTCTTTGACTAGTTTAGGTTCTGATTTCGAGGCCACGATCCCGAAAACAACGTAGTCGCCATCGATATCGTCTGGGAGTTCAAAAGGCGGACCTTTGATCATCCGCAAAAGGTCAGGGATCCGGAGAACCTTCTTGTCTTCAAGGGTTCGGTCCAGGAATGAATGTGGCAAAATGCGATTCGAGAGATGAAGGGAAGAGAAGGGCTCGAACTTTGAGGAATCAGGAGCCTTTTCCAGGGCCCCTTCTTTCTCACCAGAGGCTTCGTCACTGTTGAAGCTGTTAAGCCGAGAGCTCCCAGGCTGAGGAGAAAAGGACGTGGATTCCGACTTTTGGCTACGCTTGGGAATATGTGATCTTGATTCTTTCATCTCATCTCCCTCCGGTTTCCGCAAACTAGGAGTAGTGTTGCTTCTCTTCAAAGAAGGCTTAAGGTTATTATATGACCTTAGAACATCGTCCCGGTTGAAGCTTTCAGCCCGTCCAGTTCTGGTGTGTAGTTTGGGCGGAGAATTAGGTCTTTCTGCAGCGGCAGCCTTGAAGGCCTCCATCTCGGTTTGGTCGTATTGGAATGCGGAGCTCCGACTAGCTTGGATTCTCTCGGCTCGGGCTTCTCGTTCTCTGCGGGATTTCTCGGTGATGCGACTTTCAGCCATCCGTTCGCTAAAGCTTTTGCCTCGTCTGTCCTCGAAAGAATGCGACTGAGATGCTGACGTGCTTCCTGTGTGAGCTGTAGGCCCATCTCGACTGCCGAGCCTGCTGGTGGGACGCGAATTAGCCCCTCGGGAGCTCGGCGGGCGTCTGAGGGATATATCGCTGCCTTTGAGACCTTTGTCAATCCCAAGGAGATACCTTCTCGGGGACGCAGGCTCAGCTAGTGCAGGAACACGTCGAGTAGGGGATAATGGAACCTGAACTTCGCCTGGTTGGATGCGGCTATTTGTCTCGCGTGGACCTTTATTCCTCGCGGGCTGATCTTGTATCCGCGACGAAAAGCCTCCTGATGATGCTGGCCTAGACGGCGCATCCCCGCCCTCGTGTCTGTCAGGCCGCCCGGTGCCTGCTTTGCCGCGATTCCTCTGTAGCTGCTTTAATTTAAGTCGTGCCTCGATCGCAGCTAGCTTCAAGTGGAGCGTTTCCTCATCCTCGTCGTCGTCCTCTGTATCGTCCAGGCCATCGCTCAACAGTTGGGCGGCCTTGGTTCGCAAGTCCGGAGTCGTAGTTGAATGTTTCAAAGGGGACCCGAGGTTCTCTCGACGGCGCTGCATTTCCTCATACTTTCGTCGACCACTTGGGGAGCTGAGAAGGGCATCCCGTGGGGATTTTGGCGGCCACGAGGTCTCGACCACTAACGAAGGAATAAAATACCCTAGTTAGACAAATATTGTCACTGTTCCGAATCGGATGGTTTCACACTCACTGCTGGTCATGGCAGCCTTTCCTTCCTTTCCTGGTTTTTATTTTGCCCTAACCCCTAGAGATGAAGGATAGCTAGCGGAATTGCTTTTTCGTGCCGCTATTATTGTCCTTCTATCCTTGAGCTCTCTGGCGGAGTCTTCGCCATATCCAGCTAATGTTGCTGGGGATGCGGGGAAAAGGACGGTGTCGTATAGCGCGAATCACGCGTATGATATATGATGAGCCTTTTTGGTCGGGACGAGGTATTATTTTCGAGTGAGGAATCGTAAGGGGGCAAGAGCTAGTCCACACACGCACACAGTATATCTAGTAAGGGGGAAAAAGCGCACAAAAAGAGATCTTGCATAGCTTCATCCACGGATGGATTGGCGGCTGCGGCGGTGATTGGCCTGCGGGAAAGGCGCGTGTCGCGTCCGAAATGAAGGGGAAAAAGAACGCGTTCCTCTATCCAAGTACTCACCAAGTCTTGCTGATTGGCATCCATCTCCACTGCAAAAGAAAGAAAGAAAGAAAGAAACACATGTCAAACCTTTGAACTGAACTGTCCCCAAGTTATTCTCCGAGTCTTCAATATGCGAACTCGAGCCTCCGCTCCCCCATCGGAACCTCTAGAATCCTCCAAACCGACCCCCGTGAAGCCCAGCAAAACATTCATCCTTCCTTCCTCTGCCAGTCCAGATGCCAGATTTATTACTTTACCCAACCCACGAACAGACGAACCGACGCGCTATTTCTTTTGCCCCAAACTAGGCGTGTACGAGATCACCGTTGTCACAACCCCTGCGCAGGATCCGCGGAGTATCCTCTATTCTTTCACATCCAGTTCCAGCAACAATGGCAACAACGAGGGCGCAATCGCCAAATCAGCTAAACTCCTAGTTGCAACACCGATAGATGCCCTTTTCTTTATGATCCCGCTCCTCGCCCCTCCCTCGACCTCCGCTGCGAATCAAGGCAAGAGACTCTTCCAACCGCTGGACGATATTATCGACTCTCGAGACGACCTATCCAAGCATCTACGGGACATTCTCTACAATGAGACGTTCAGGGAGACGCTGCTCCGCCGTGTAGATGCGGTCTGCGACTCCGTGGAAGCGGGCGACGAAAAAATGTTCCGATTTAGCGAGGCAAAGCTCCTTCGGGAATTACTGAGCAAGGCAGAGCGCATGTCCTCGCAGGGTCTCCCATGTAGTTTGGAAGAGCGATTCGTGAAGCAAGCTCTCGCTATGCCGCTTATGTCAGTTTCACGGAATGACGCTAGCACGAACGGTGAATCTTCTACTACTTCAGCAACCGTAGCAAAAGATGAGGAAAAAGAAAGCGAATCCCCAGAAGGCAAAGATGTTAAAGAAACCCAGTCCACAATAATTGCCACTGCCACTGCTACTGCTTCAACAACATCAGTATCCACGCCTACGAGCGATTCAACGTCAACGTCAACACCAACCTCAGTCACAGAGCAACTCCCCGAGCAACCAACATGCCCGGACTCCATAGTCCGCCTCCAGCGGATCTCAACCGCCCTCACCTTCCTGAAAAACTCATATGCCTCTCCCGAGTTAAGCGCAAAACTCGACGCGATGCTTGCTGCCCCGGAGACCCCTATCAACTTTGAACCTCTGCACGCCCATCTCAAATACCTTGCTGGGTTGCGCGCGGAAGCGCTCGCGTCTCGATCGCTAGGCGATTTCAGCCTCAAGCGAACAGCAGAGGACGACGACGATGTTGCGGAGTCCCGGGCTGAAAAGAAACGCCGTAAGGAGGAAGAAGAGAAGAAGAAGAAGGCCGGGGAGTCGCGTGGGGTAAGGGAGTTGAAAAAAGTCAATACAACGGGGATGAAGAAGATGAGTGACTTTTTCGGAAAGGCGACTGTGGCTAAGAAGAAGTCTTAAGTCTAGTTATGGCTATGGGTATGGCTATGTTATATCGTCTACCTCTGCTTTGGACGGGTAATATACAAACACTCTCTGCGCAGAGATGGGATTTTGACACCTCCTACATCATATGGCCTAATAAGGATTCCTAGATCTCTAGGTCGGAATCGATGGGAGAAGTCCCAGTCATTCATTGCCTCTGTTATCAAGCAAAGTTGACCACTCCTAAGCTACTAACTAGCTCGAGAGCAAAGAACCCCCCCCCCCCCCCCCGCCCGGGGGAACGATCTCAGATCGCACCATGTGCACATGGCAATGGAGACATTACTTACGTACTCTCGAGTTCGAGGAAGCCTCTGCCGCAAAACAGGGACCTCATCTGTTCATAATCCAGTCTCTGTTGTGGATGAAAACCTTTGGGAAGCAGAGATCTCCGCATCGCTAGCTAAGTTAGACATATATTACAACTAGAATGTGAGGACCTGTGAAATTGACTTTTAATTAGCCCTATAGGCGATTAAAGAGGGTAGATCGAGGCACGTTAACGATAAATAGTTCCTGCATCATGAATACTTGGAATTAATTTTACTATTTATCAAGGCTTGTACAGCAAGGTAGATCCTACCCTCTTGCTCCACTGATTTTCGAGACAATCGATGCGTTTTTGGTAGCTTGGTAGTAGTTTAAATAGTGGGACAGACTCGATTAACTGACTTTGCATTACATAGCATTACCGGGACAAACTCAAGCACGGCGAAATATCGCCAATCACGAAAATTCATGTCGTTGACAGCTTGCGAGAGGACGAAAAGTTTGGAGATACCGAAACCAAATCTTATGCACGCAGTATTCACCAGCAACTGGGAAGAATTACAAATTTTCGATAACAAGAAGTCTCGTCTCTCATCGTTGACAAATCTCCTCTGAAAAAAATGACCTTGTACTCCCGCCGGGCTGCATGAGACTACAGACCAAGCATGACCTGTAAAGAGTAAATACAGCATGCATCCATATGTTCGTTCCAAGGATCGGGATGCAACAACAATGTCGTCGATATAGGCACGACAAAAGGCAACAAATTCACGGAGCTGAAGATCCATCTGTCGTTGCACCTATGGCACAGAATTAATAAAACCCATTATGGCAACATTAAAAATTTCTTGCCCTCGGTTGACTGCCTATTGCTAGTCGTTTGCGATGGTCTCTCCTAACAGACCACTGGTAGAAGAATTTACAAGCATCCATCGCCGAAATATACAGAGCCAGATCAGTACCCTATACCAACACAGGAAGAAATTGTGCAGTTGGTTCAGACCCTTTCTACTCCAAGCAATATCCTGACTCGAACGGATTGCCACCCAGAACACAAGTCAACCCAATTCTTTTCCTCAGTCGGGCTTTAACGAAAGCGGAGAAAGGCTATTGGCCCACAGAACTAGAGATCTCATGCCTAGTTTGGGCACTTCGAAAAACCCGCCCTCTAGTTGAAGCAGCTAAAAGGGTTGTTGTGTATACAGTGGGATGGCACGAACTCGGCGAATTATCATGTCATCATGGAATTTAGCCGCAATTTCCGACAATAAAAAGGGGCCAGCCATCGTTCAGAGTAGACAGACGAGGGGAGGGGGGGATTGAAGAAGAAGAAGAAAGTCTAGAGAGTTAGAATAGTAAGGACGGTTCTCACCTTGTACTAATACTGGAATGAGCTGATAGGTGGTGATGACAATACTCAACACAAGAACTGGAATATCATCATTATCATCATCATCATCATCATTCCATTGCAGTGGTTTTCAACAGATTAAATGCTTTTATATATATATATTTTTTTTATTTGTTGTTATTTTTAATAATTCCATTCTGAGACTCAACTCAGATCTCGACTTGAGAAATGGCGGCTCCCGTAACCCTAAACGAGATTAGCAAGTACATCGCAAACCATCGCCGTTTTCATGAAAGAGAGAGAGAGAGAGAGAGAGAGAGAGAGAGAGAGAGAGAGAGAGAAAGACTTACAGAAATGACCCGTTAGAAGGCTTACTGATAACCATCGCCTGCGCTAGCTTCTCCTCACTAATATCAGGAAAGTACTTCAAATAGTACTCTTCTGTCAGGGCCTTCGTGACGGCCTCAACCTTGGACTGCGGTAGCATGTGAACGGTACAACCGCCCCATCCCGCACCGGTCAACCGACTCCCCCATGTCCCGGCACGACGCGCAATATCACAGATCTCATCGACCTGCGGGGCACTGCAATCATATGCATCGCGGCAGGAAGCCTGGGACTCGTTCAGCAATTGACCGAGATATCGGATGCGTCTGTCATCCAGGACATGCGCCTTGGCCAGACAGGCCTTGAAGTCTAGCACGCGGCGGGCCTCGGTGAAACAGTGCAGCGCGCGCTGGCGGAGGAGAAAGCGCTCCGCCTGTACGGGGAACGAGGAGAGGTATTTCGCTTCAAGCTCGGGGGTGGTGATGCCTATCAGCTGGGCCATCTCTTCCCTCGTGTAGCCCTGTTCCTGGGTGAGGGTTTCCAGGGTAGCCTGGATGACGGAGTCGATTTGGTACTCGAGGGGGTCGCCGAGACGGCCTTCCTTGCGCATGAGCTCGTTGTGGAAGGTGCGGAGGCTGTAGCCCAGAGAGCTGCTGTCCTTGGGGAGTCTGAGGCCGTTCTGGGCGGCGAGGACGACGGAGGCGAGGGTGCATTCGGCGACGCGGAGGTTGTAGTGGCGCGGGGCGGTTTCGGCTTTGTTGGAGGTGACGAAGCTTTGTGCCATCAGGAAAGTAAGTTCCTCTTCGGCTTTGGGGACGGGGACGTGCTGGACTTCAAAGTTGGGGAAGAATTGAGTGTAGAGGAGGTATCCTCGGCGGGAGAAGATGGAGGCCGCTTGGTCCATACTGAGGGATAATTAATTAGTTTATCAACCAGCTGGGGAGGGACATTTTTCTTTTCTTTTCTTTTCTTTTCTTTTCTTTCTTTCTTTTTTTTTTTTTTCAAGGACATACCCTCCTGAATACACGCCCACTGCGCGCTCAGAGACAACCGCTAGGTCAAGCAAGTCCTGCTTGGAGACATTGTGGTTGTTGGCCTTCAGGACCGCCAATGTACTGGCGCAGACAAAGGCTGCACTGCTAGAAATTCCACCACCAGGGGGCACGTTTCCATCCAACAGCACCTCCATACTCGCGGGGACAAAGGAGCCATCTGCCTTGGTCTTACGCAGGAACTTCAATGCCCCCAACAATCCCGCCTTGAAGTAGTTCACCCACTCGTGCTTCTTGGGGTCGATTTCGATCTCGGAGTCCTTGGGTATAGTAAACTCGCGCGTGGGGAACTTTTCCGGATTGACATTGGAAATCTTCACGACGGATTCCGAGCCGGTCGAGGGGACGCCCACCTTGACGGCGATAATTACGTCGACGCTCACAGCGGTGGGGAGGACGTCATATAGGTTGTAGTCGATATGCTCTCCGATGATGTTCACACGACCAGGACTGCGGGCAACAAAATCTGGACGGTGGGAGTAGAGCTTGTAAAATTGAGAGATCAAATGATTGAAGCGCTTCTGGTGTTGGGGGGCGACGGAGGTGGCAGAGACCTCGTCGGTCGCATAAACCTCAGCAATGGATTCGGTTTGGGGGACGATCATGATGAAAGGTGGGGTCAATAGTCGATACCGGGCACAACCACTTTATATTAGAGGGGAGGGAAGAAGAGGAGAGAAGAGGAAAACAAAAGAGAACCGGAGGGGAAATGAAGTCACAACCCCAGCCGGATGAGTTAGAGAGAGCATTTTGGAGTTGATTGGCGGGGAAATCCAGGTGGGCTCATATTTATTTCAAGGTCATGATACCGAAAGAGATTCTGGTGATTTACCCGATGGAATATTTCATCCCTGAATTCCTGTATAGCAGTTCGAGTGCTGGATTCACCCGGCTAAATAATCACAGCTGAATATAAAATTAGCCGATGGTTCTGTATAAATCCTCACTATTTATTCCATTGGTCTCCGTTAGTCGAGTAAATACCTCCACTGCTGAGTCTATATACTCTGTATCAACTACCTCGCTCGATGTCTACCGAATGGGATGATTATGCAGAATCCAGTCCTCATCCCAGGCCTTACATGCAGGAGGGGAATTTAATATATTCCCGTCTCCCTACATTCAGGTTACCATGTACGGAATTGTTCTCCTGTCTATCGGGATCAAATAGGATTCTTGACAGCAGACACCGAGTTGGGATGTACGTGCATTTGAGGATATAGATTTGGATCCTCCGGGATCGGTGATGAGATGACCTACCTAACGGAGTAAGTGTCTCGCCTACCTTGTAGGGTATACCATATGCTTGATATTCGTATAGTTGGTAGTTTTGTAAAGCAGGTCTCTAAGTCACTCCTTATATAGGACCGGCCCGGTCTCGTGACTGGCCGATCATCGGAGGCTCGACCAATAGCAGAACGTGTATTCTGTGACCAACAGGGCCCTAGTCCGAAATCGGTCACCCTCGTCTTAGTCACTTTCAAAAAAAGTGACTGGAAACTGACTTTAAGGCCGGTTTGGCTCAAGAGTTTACTCATTTTCTCTGTCCTCGTCCTGGTTTTCTTTTTATTTCCCTTTCTTTGTCCTTTTGATCTCTCATTTGTCTCTTGCAATCCCCTCCTCTCCCCCCCCCCCGAGACTGGCCTGGCAGCCGTCACAGCTACCATGATGATGCCTCTAAGACCATCAAAAACCGCCCTGCGCGCTCTCCACTACCACAGGAGTTTCCCTGCTGGCACCAGATCTTTCACCTCTTCCTCTGTCGCCGCCGCTCTAACGCCCCACCGCTTTAAGACTCAGAAGCGCGGTCAGAGCACAGCTACCGCTCCCGCTACGTGAGCTGCCTTCTCTTTCTCTCCCAGCTTCAATTTCGCCTCAACACCACAATTGCCTTGCTAATCCGAGGTGTACCCTCTCCAGAAATGTCAGACCTAGCCCCAGTCCCGCCTTCAATCAAGAACCCACCCGGAATGAGGTGTCACCGCTCCAAAATCGACAGCTCCCCGAGTTGGACGATTCGTATGTTTTTCTTCCCCAATGCTGTCTCTGTGGTGTTGTAATTGTAAGATCCAATCTAATTGAGCGGTCTTGCGGCTGTGATAGTTTCGTTGGTCTCAGCGGTGGTGAAATTTTCCATGAGATGATGCTGCGTCTGGGTGTGAAGCACATCTGTGAGTCATCCGATTCCCCCCCCCCCAGATGAGCCAACCAAAAAGAAAAAAAAAAGAAAGGTCCTGATTCTGTCTCCTTGAACAGTTGGATACCCTGGCGGTGCTATTCTCCCGGTTTTCGATGCCATTTACAACTCCAAGCACTTTGACTTCGTCCTTCCCCGACACGAGCAGGGTGCGGGCCACATGGCTGAAGGCTATGCCCGTGCTTCAGGAAATCCCGGGGTTGTCCTCGTTACCTCTGGTCCTGGTGCTACCAATGTCATTACCCCCATGCAGGACGCTCTCTCCGACGGTACCCCCATGGTCGTTTTCTGCGGTCAGGTCCCCACCACCTCTATCGGTACCGATTCTTTCCAGGAAGCCGACGTGATTGGGATCTCCCGGGCTTGCACGAAATGGAATGTTATGGTCAAGTCCGTCGCCGAACTCCCCCGCCGCATTCAGGAAGCCTTCGAAATCGCGACAAGCGGCCGCCCCGGCCCTGTCCTGGTCGATCTCCCCAAGGATATCACCGCTGGCATCCTCCGCAAATCTATCCCCATGAACAGCACTATCCCCTCCCTCCCGAGCGCTGCCACGATTGCCGCCCGCGAATTGAGCATGAAGCAGCTCCAGAACACTATCAAGCGTGTGTCCAGCCTGGTCAACGTGGCTAAGAAACCTATCCTTTACGTCGGTCAGGGTATTCTTGCACAGCCCGAGGGCCCCCAGCTCCTGAAAGAGCTGGCTGACAAAGCTTGCATTCCCGTCACTACTACTCTGCAGGGTCTGGGTGGCTTCGATGAGCTTGACCCCAAGGCACTGCACATGCTGGGTATGCACGGTTCTGCCTATGCCAACATGGCCATGCAAGAGGCCGACCTGATCATTGCCGTGGGTGCTCGATTCGATGACCGCGTGACTGGCAACGTTTCCAGGTTTGCGCCCCAGGCCAAGCTCGCCGCCTCCGAGGGCCGTGGTGGTATCGTCCACTTTGAGATCATGCCCAAGAACATCAACAAGATCGTCGAGGCCACCGAAGCTGTGGAGGGTGACTGCGCGGAAAACATCCGCCTCCTCCTTCCCCAGGTCGAACCCGTCGCCGAGCGACCAGAGTGGTTCGCCCAGATCAATGACTGGAAGGCCCGATTCCCCTTCTCCCTGTACGAGAAGCAAGCCGCCGATGGCCCCATCAAGCCCCAGGCCCTGATCGAGAAGCTGAGCGATCTCACCGCTCACATGAAGGACCGCACCATCATCACTACCGGTGTCGGTCAGCACCAGATGTGGGCCGCGCAGCACTTCCGCTGGCGTCAGCCTCGCACCATGATCACCTCCGGTGGTCTTGGCACCATGGGATTCGGTCTCCCTGCTGCCATTGGAGCCAAGGTTGCCCGCCCTGACTGTTTGGTTATCGACATTGATGGGGATGCCTCGTTCAACATGACTCTGACCGAGCTCTCCACCGCTGCCCAGTTCAACATTGGTGTCAAGGTCCTCCTCCTGAACAACGAAGAACAGGGCATGGTGACCCAATGGCAGAACTTGTTCTACGAGGACCGCTACTCCCATACTCACCAGAAGAACCCCGACTTCGTTCCCCTGGCTCAGTCCATGGGTGTTGCTGCTGACCGTTGTACCCATCCCTCGGACGTGGAAGCCAAACTGAAGTGGTTGATCGAAAGCGAGGGCCCTGCTCTGCTGGAGGTGTTTACTGACCGCAAGGTGCCTGTGCTGCCTATGGTTCCCGGTGGCAGTGCTCTGCACGAGTTCCTCGTCTTTGACGAAGGTAAGCTTCCCTAATGCTGATCTACTATTCCCCTTCGAATGCTAATTTTTTTTTTTTTTTTTTCACCTGTATAGCCAAGGAAAAGGAGCGAAAGGCCCTGATGAAGAAAAGGAATGTGAACGTTTAAACCACTCTCCCAGCGCCCCATGATGACTTTTCAACAACCGATTATTGAGTAGTTACCCAAAGTGCCTCCTGATCCGATCTCCATTGATATCCACAGCGTTTTCTGGCGGGTTCTGAAAACGCTAGCGACCTCTGCACTCCCCCAAAAATCTCACCCGGTCTTATTCACGAGGATGTGCTTCCTTCGGGTAAGATGTGGGGGATGTCTTGTCTTTATCCACGAACTTCATTCCAATGCATTCCTGCAGAGTTTGTCTTATTCCTGTATTTCCATTCAGTGCTCCCTACCTTTTCTGTTACGTATTTTTTTTTTATTTTCCTATTTTTTGGCTGGTTCATTGGGATCTGACCGGCCAAAAAAAGTTTGCCTTGGTTTTGCCATGTATATAATGTTGCCCAGTTGGTTGTTGATGTGTAGTATCTGTTGCGAGTGTTCCGCATCTTGGAAAAATTCAAAAGGCATATATGACAAGGACTTGCTTTCTCTCTCCCTCTCTCCTTTCAATTTCCATCTCGTATTCATCCTGGATTATTTTTCTCGTCTCCTCTCTTGACGTTGGCCATCCGCCTGTGGATTATCACGTGACAACATCTCGATAGCCGCGGTTCGCATCCGAGCAGGTCAAAGTTGCCATTTTTAGTTCGCTCACTCACTACGCAATACCTCTCTGTATTATTAGTATTATCATCATCATCATTATTATTAACTGCTAACTAACTAGTTAACTAGTTCACTGGTGGGAGGGCGCTGACGGAACCCAAATTCTCAACCCCCCATTCCTCTCAAAACACCTCTCCGGTACATTACAAGTGAATTGCTTTTTTGCCTTCGCCTCGGAAATCTATCTACCTACCTACCTCCCTCCTTCCGTCATTCTTCTTCCTCCTCCACCCACATCCAAAATATATGAGAGGTCTTTAAGCTGTTTATCATCCCCAACCCAGGATGCTGTGCTCTTCTTCTCTTCTCTAAGTACTGCTATTCAACCCCACGTTTCTTCTTCTGCGACCATGGCCTCTCTTCCCAGTTATTCGGCCTCAGGCAGAACCCGGCCCTCTGATGCCTCGTCGTCCACCGCCTGGGAGGATAGCGTAACGCCAGAGCTTAATCACGACCATCCCAATGGCCACACGTCCCCCGAATCGACAGAGGATAAGGAGACCGTGGTTTTGAATAAGCCCGGTGCAGACCAAGCAGAAACATCCAACGGCAAAGCTCCAGCCCATGTCCTGGAGGCCGTGGGCTCTGGCTCCCCGTCGCACGATGTCGAAGAACCTCGTAAATGCTGGATCTGTTATACTGATGAGACAGAAGACACCCCCCTAAATTCCGAATGGCGATCGCCTTGTCCGTGCGCTTTGACGGCCCACGAAGCCTGTCTGCTCGACTGGCTTGCGGACTTGGAGAACCCGCGCTCCCGCAAGCGCAACGGCCACAATGCGAAGATGGTCTGTCCGCAATGCAAGACTGAGATCGTGGTCACGCGCCCGCGGAGCTACATTGTGGATGTTGTGCGCATGGTGGAGCAGATTGCGGGCCGGCTAATTCTCCCGGGGATGGTGTTCACGCTGGCCGGCACGGTTTGGGCCGGATGCTGTGCCCACGGAGTGTATTCTATGTATTTTGTTTTTGGGACCGAAGAGGCCAAGCATATCCTGGAAGAAGCCGCGGACGGCACTTGGAACTCGGGTCTGAATCTCGGCCTACCCCTCATTCCCTTGGTGCTAATCTTCTCGCGCACCCGCTATGCCGAGGGCCTGCTCCCCGCCATCCCCGTCTTGTTTTTCGCCACCCATACTCCCGGACACGAACCTGATCTCGACCTTTGGCCTCCTAGCGCTGCCGTGACATTCGCAGCGCTTCCTTACGTGAAAAGTTTCTATGGTGCGATTTATGACAGACTGTTTGGGAAATTGGAGAGAAGGTGGATCGCAGAGGTACAGCCACGTCAGGCGGACATAAATGAATTTGACGATAATGCGCCGCCCAATCATCCCGAGCCCGATCCAATACCAGCAGATGGGAACGGACAGATCTTGATGGAATTTGACCTGGAGTTCCAAGTGGGAATGGGAAACAATAACGTTGAGCCTCCGGAAGCTCTTGGATTAGGAGCTGAAGGCGACGGACAGCAACTTGGGCAAGGACAGAATCAAGGTGGTGGAATCAACGGCCAGGCACTGGGGCTTGGCCAACGGGACAATCTGATCCATGAAACAAATAGCCTGGCGGATATTATTCTCGGGGCACTTGCGTTTCCGGCCATCTCGGCTTCCATGGGAGGGCTTCTCAAGTATGTTCTGCCCAAGTCATGGACGACAGTGTCGGCTCTCGAACGGGGAAGACCTGGCCTGCTACAAACCCGATGGGGGCGAAGCGTGATCGGCGGGTGTGTCTTTGTACTTCTCAAAGATGCACTTGTTCTTTACTGTCGATGGAAGCTTGCGCAGTCTCATCGACGACGCAAGGTGCTAAACTATGACCGAACGAAGAAGCAGGTTGGGCGGTAGCCTTTGAGTCGGAGTTTTTTTTTTTTTGTTTCTTCTTCTTCTTCTTCTTCTTCTTATGATAATTGTGTGATGCTGCATTGTAGGCGTTTCTGGTGGACTTCCTGGGCGATACACTCTTTAAAACAGGGACTTTTTCTGCTACATATCTCTGGACGCATACCATGGTAGTAAAAATGATATATTATAATTCTCAATCTGATCATGCATTCCATCTGAAAATTTGTCTAGTTAAATCAACAAAAGCCCTAACAGGTAGTTCCAATTGCGGCGCTTACAACTCAGTTAGCTACTGTAGTTAGCGCGCGCCTAACAACCAACCCCCTTCCGCCCCCGAAAACGTAGTTCCGTGCCTTAGTCTCAGTACTCCGAAATCCCATCATCCATCACCACCACCCTTTATTTCTCCTCTCTCCAATCCCAATTCAACCCCACACCCACCTCCGAGCACACTCATCATGCGGTCGCTCTCGCCTGTGCTCGCCTCCCTGGCGAATGTTTTCAAAATCCCGCTGTCCCAGACGACGTTCCGGCCGTCGGTCTCGCGTGTCATTTCGGCTCTGCCTTCCACCACAGGTTCTTCTTCTACCCAGCAAGCACCAGCAACAAGACCGTTCTCGAGCACGTCTTCTCTCCTGAAACGAAAGGGCAATGCTCCCAGGATAGATAAGAGAATCAGTTAGTTTCCACATGCCATATCCCATTATCGTCCCCCAAATTGGATTCATCAAAAAGAAAGAAAGAAAGCTAACCATGACACTCACTTGAAATTTTTTTTTTTTTTTTTTTTCCAGCTCTTATTCGTTACTTCCTCCACCACCCTTTAACACCCCGTCCCCTACGCTTCTCTCGCACCCGTTTCCTCCGCCACTGGACAATCCACCGTGCTTGGCAACTATACCAATCGCAGTCGCGAAAGGCGCAGCAACTCGAGCTCCAGCGCCAGTGGCAGGCGATGTCGGCGGCTTGTGAGGAGCTGCGCACGGGCGCGGGCGACGGCGGCAGGTTGTTCCGCAAGAGCATGATTAAGACCAAGGTGTTTCAGGATATGTTTCCGATTGAGTATGGGCGGTTGCAGACGGAGGCGCCGTCAAGGGAGGGCTGGAATCATGAGTGGAAGAGGATGGAGAAGAAGTGATTGATTCCTTTTCTTTCTTCGTTTCGTTTCCCTTTTTGTTCCCCCGCCGGCCTATAATTTCCAAGGGGGGGGGGGGGGACTTTGTTTTGAGTGGAAGGGAAATGGTTGGGGGGAGGGGGGGGGGTGGGCGTTCCGAGTCGCTCTTTTGTATGAGTGTGGAGTGTTACTAAAGTATTATTGTTAAGTTGGTTTAAACTTATGTATGTACGTACCATGTACCCAGGCTTGGGATTGTGACTGTATAGTATGATTGTATTTTACTTGGTTTGAAACAAGTGGTTACATTATAAAAGTAAGAGAGAGAGAGAGAGAGAGAAAGGTGACTTTTAATGACAGGCTAAGACAACGACATAAGGAGAGAACTCGGAGTGCACCTACCCGTAACAAAGCCACCAAAGGGTATCCGGGAAAGATATCGTTGCAGAAAAGAAAAAAGAAAAAAAAAAAAAAGGAATGGAATGGAATGAATGGTGGCAGAATCGCAGACATCAATAATCTCGTCGCGAGAAAAGAAAACCCCACCCAAACGCCAAAAATGCAAAATATAGCAAGGATCAAGTATCAGATATCAAGTGTGAAGTGTGAAGTGCCAATCATCAACCAACAAACAGCATTCCTCCATCCTCCTCCATTTTTGTTCCGGCAGATCCAATCTAACACAATCGACAAAACGTAGGTATGGAGGAAAAATGGGCGCAGAAAGACATCGGAAAATCCAATCAATCAATCAATCAATCAATACAAAGAAGCTTCGTCGCTGGTACGCTGATATATATAAGTATATCAAAGTCGAGAGAATCCGAAGGTTGAAGTAAGGCAAAGTTGGTCATGTTCGTCATAGCACAATGCAGCACGATGTTTTGCGCTGGTCAAATGTCAAAAGGGCAGCACGGGTGGCGGCTTCGAAGACGTCGTCGACTCCCTCGCCCGTTAGGGACGAGCACTCAAGGTACTTTCTGGCCTTGATTTGCGTGGCCGTTTCACTTCCTTCCTTGGGCGTCACAAATCGTAGCGACTTCTTTCTCATCTCTTCGATCGCGCCGGGGTTTTCCCGGAGGTCTTTCTTCAACCCAACTAGTATTATAGGGACGCCGGGGCATCGTTCGTTCGCTTCTTCGATCCACTGCTTCTGTTAGACCGGCAGGTAGAATAGTATGGCGGAAAGCTTACCTTGATCCTAACGTTCTCGAGCGAATCTGGTGTGTCTACTGCAAAGCCAATCAGAATGACATGCGCCTTCGAATATGCCAACGGTCGTAGTCGCTCGTAATCTTCTTGACCAGCTGTATCCCACAACGCTAGCTGCACTGAGCGACCGTCCACTCTGCAGTCCGTCACGTAACTTTCGAACACCGTCGGGACCTAATGATTATCAGAGGATATTTAGGTTGCAAGGCAAGGAAGGATCACGGACATAATGCTAGGGTACGTTAGCCATCTATTCATCGAGACAAAAGGTACCGGACTCACTGTAGGAAAGTACCCTAAGGTAAACACACTGAGAAGACTAGTTTTCCCACACGCGCCGTCCCCAATAATAACCAATTTTCTACATGAATTGATAGGTCAGTAGAGAATCTTTACAGGGCTGAACCTCATCCGTTCCACACGTGGAGAAGAGCAGCTGTAGAGACCAGACCACACACCCCGGGGGGAGGGGGAAGAGGAAACCAAAAGTAGGGGCAGGTTTTGTCTGAAAACAAAGAATCCCGCGAGTTGGCGCCTTTTCTTTTCTTTTTTTTTTTTCTTTCTTTTTCTTTTAAATACCCGCACATACCTTCGCATCACATTGTCATTCTGTTGTTGAGCCATGTTTTCCCGCCTGATGAGTGTTGGCTCGTCCACGAAAGAACCCCCTTTGGAGATAACACGGGGGAGACGGAAAAGGCAATCGGATCGATACAGCCCAGGCAGAAATCGAGATGGAGCAGGATCCAACAGGCGCTGGGCTGACGGAAATTTCAAGAGAGAGAGAGAGAGAACCTGAAACCGAAATATCGGGAAAAAGAGATGGAAGGAGGGGGAAAAGCAAAGCGAGCTGAGAACAGTCCCCTCCCCCTAACTGCTTGAAGTAACTGCTGAGGATAGATTGATTGCTTTTGGGGCGTTCTGGAAGGCGGTCGAGATGCGCGAGGCTGACCTTTTTATACCTTCCTTAGTCAGGTTCTATGGAGTTCTTGAAAGAAGAAGAAGAAGACGATGGATTTTGATTACTATTATAGTTAACTACTGATGAGTTTTGTAGTAATCAAAGGCAAAGAAGGATGGGATCGACCGATCAGTGGCAGCTGAAGTGAATCAATCGTCCAAGACTGCATTTCGGAATTCACCGCACACACTCTCGAGTCAGAAGGTTGTCTCACTTCATAGATTCCTACAGAGCACAAATTCCTACCCTCAACTGTGCAATATTATTTTCTGATTCCATCTTGAATATGCTCTATCCTTGACACCTCAAAATACAGGCCCCGGAGCTGAACAATAAGCAATTACTCGTCAATTGGGTTGCCGGACTTCCCCCAGTTTCTCCCTTCGTCAAGTGGCCCAAAAGCAAGTCAAGTCTATCATCCTCTTGTCGGCGTGCATGGGAATGAATGGGACAAACTCTGCCCATCAGAAACCGCACAACTCCACTGGCTCAGAACTCCTTCCGAGGCCGCGTAGCCTGTTACTCGGAGGGTTTGACTGGCCTGGTATCAGGTTATCCACAATCTCACGCACGCGGGAAGTGCGTCACTGCTTGAATTTCGAAAGGGCTGGAGCCCTCAATCCCCAGGAGCAGGGGAGTGCCAGCAAGGTTGAGGCTGTGAAGTTGGAAACCTAAGAAGAGCTTGAGTTTCTTTAATAAGAGACTCTACGGAATACGGAGTACATCCGATACTAAACTTAGAAATCTGTCAAACTAAGACATGGAAGAAGATGAGATGAGATATTCATCCGCAGATAAATTCTCCTCAACTATACTTTCTTCAGTTCGATGTTTCATCTGTCAATAGAGCAAGTCTAGTAGTAGTAGTAGTACCTACCAGGAGTACTTTAGTACAACTGGTACTCCGTACGAGGCAGTAAGTTTGTAATTCCGCGTACCATTACGGTAATGTTCAATACCATCTCTGCCTGAAAGAACACCTCAACGCTCAGGCACCACCTCGCTTGTAGCGGCTATCCCTTTGCGGCCAGCGGCAGGGCAACCATCCAGAGCCCAACACCCGGCGTCAAGATCCACCATCCAAAGTCATCATCTCCAGCCTGCTTTTTGATCCATCCCCTCCCCGATCGTTTAGGCTGCGCATCTTCCACGACCCTCGCATTGATCTTGAAACTCCTTTCCTTTCGTTTCATCAGCCCCCCTACCTCTCTTTCTCTAGCGTTGCTCCGATCGCCGTCCTCGCTTTAGCCCTTTTCGTTGAGCCGCCGGTCAATTTCCACCCCTCTCCGCCCTCATTCCCCCATTTGTCGACCTGGGATTGTACCTTGGCTCCCCACCAGCCACTTTGACGGCGCTTTTCTTTCGGTCGGGAGCATCAAGGCTTGGAGTTACTTCCGCTCTCATTCATTCCTTCCACCCCCTCCCTATATCTGCCTGCCTAGAGAGCTTGCTGGTAAGCTTTTTCTGCTTCTTTTTTCCGACGAGCCTCTTTTTCTCCCACTCGTTTTAGATCCCCCGATCCCCTTCTAACAGTTTTTTTTCTCTATCTCTCCGTTTCTGCCAACAGCACAAGAGACAGTGTGTGCGTGTGTGTGTGGCTGGGCTGGAAGACCAAACGAGATATAGGTCTTCGATACTGCCCATCTATAATCTATCTCTGCTCCTATGCCTTCCCAATCAACGCCCGGACCCGTTCCTAGTTCCACAATGTCCAGCCATGTGCCCATCACGGCCATTACATGTTCGACAAACGGCGAGAACGACCCCCGCAACATGTCAACACTAGATACAACGCCCGTACCGGTGAATCGCAAAAAGCAGAAGCGCAGGGAAAAGCAGGCAGCTCGCTTGGCCGCGGAGCGCCAGGCCGCTAACGGACATATGTCTTCAGTACAGAACGGCTCGAGTCCGATCGACCCCGAAGGCAGTCTCTCTGACGATCATGATATCGATGATGCCGATTTGAATGACGATGTATCTATTGAACATGATGATGACGCTCAGAAACTACCGAGGTCGACGGAAAACAGTCCCAGCGATCCTTCAAAGACAACGACCCGCAAATCGAAAAAGAAGAAAGGAAAGAAAGGTCACAGCGGCTCGCAACAGATGGCCGATGAAAGCTCCACCACTCCTCTATCGACTCCCTCTGTCTCTCTGTCGCATCCGCTTCCCCCACCTTTGCCCCCGCACTTCGCATCTCGACCTGCCGCGAAGTCGAGCAAAGACCGCAGCATATGGAATACATCGACGCAAGAAGAAAGAGAGAACATCAAGACGTTCTGGCTAGAGCTGGGTGAAGAGGAACGCCGCCAGCTTGTTAAGGTAGAAAAGGATGCAGTGTTGAAAAAGATGAAGGAGCAGCAAAAACATTCATGTAGCTGCACGGTATGCGGGAGGAAACGAACCGCCATTGAAGAAGAACTTGAAGTGCTTTACGATGCATACTACGAAGAGCTCGAACAGTACGCCAACAACACTCAAGGGACCTTCGATCGAAACTTGCCAATCGTTCCGCCACCCCGACTGTATCAACCCCCGTTACGGCCGCCTAGTCAACATACCCGCACACAAGCCCAATTCCATCCTTCACGAGGCCGCATCCACGAGTTGCCGGAAGATGACGAGGATTTGGAGGACGACTATGACGAAGATGAAGAAGACGATGAGCCATACAGTGACGACGAGTTCGAGGATGAAGAGACCCGTGCTGCTCGCGCAGACTTTTTCGCCTTTGGGAATAGTTTAACTGTCAAAGGTAAGACGCATTGGAAATACCGGGTTTGATTTCCCTTGAAAAAAAACAGGCTGACTTTTTTTTTTCTGCTTTCTTGTCTGCTCTTCCTTGGACTCAGACGGTATTCTTACAGTTGCAGATGACCTACTAAAAAACGATGGGAAACATTTCATCGACATGATGGAGCAGTTAGCGGAACGCCGGATGCAGCGTGAGGAAGATACACAATACGGTATAGCCGCAGCACATCAGTCTCTTCACAGTGGTCATAATCACGGCCCCCTAGACGATGAGGATTATGATGATGACGAGGATGAGGACTATGACAGCCAGGAGGAGGAAGACTACGAGGAAGATGAAATGGTTTGATTTAGGCCTTGGGAACTGTAACACAATAGGGCTGACAGGGTTTTAGGATGCGATGACGGAAGAACAGCGTATGGAAGAGGGTCGACGAATGTTTCAAATATTTGCAGCTCGGATGTTCGAACAACGGGTTTTGACAGCGTACCGGGAGAAAGTAGCGGAACAACGCCAGCAGAAACTGATCGAAGAGCTTATGGAGGAGGAAAATCGAAACGAACAACGGAATGCCAAGAAAGCTCGAGAGGCCCAAAAGCGCAAGGATAAGAAGAAACTGCAAAAACAAGCCAAGGAAGAGGAAAAGGCTCGTCGGGAGGCAGAGAAGGCTGCGGAAGAAGCTGCTGCGAAAGCGGAGCAGGAGAAGAAGCTCGAGGAGCAGAAAAAGAAACGAGAGGAGCAGAGGAAGAAGCGAGAGGCTGAACGAAAATCCCAGGAGGAGGAGCGTGCTCGCAAAGAAGCTGAGAGACAAAAACGACTCCGAGAAGAGAGAGACAAACAGGCGGAGGCGGAGCGAAAGCAGCGCGAACAGAAGGAACAGGAGAAGAAACGTCGGGAGGAGGCTCGACGAAAGGAGCGGGAGGAACGGGAGCTCAAGGATCAGAAGGCTAAGCAAGAGCGCGAACGCAAGGCTAGAGAGGAGCAGGCAAGAAAGGATCGGGATGCCGCGATTAGAGCTGAGCTGGAAGAGCGGGAGCGGCGTGATTTCCAAGCCAAACGCATGTCGCATCAAGGCCAACAACCAATTCCCATTCCGAGCAACCTGCATCCAGTCTCTGGGCTTTCAGGCTTTCCACAGTCGCCACTACACCAGTTTGCGACGCCCGTGCTTCCCAAAGCTCCAACTCCCGTCCGTCCCCGACGATCCTCTCAGCAGGGGTCTCATACTTCTTCTCCCCGATCTCAACCTGCCAGCGCAGAACCATTCCAGGTCTCCCCACGATCGGCTCCCTTATCTCAGTCATCTGGTTCGAGCGTCACCTCCAAACAAGGTCTCGGGCACCTCCACTACATGCTCCACCATGCACAATCCTCAACGCCTTTATCACCCATCAGCGCAGCGAGCCGATCCCACCCTCCTGGCTTCTCTCCCTCCAATCCTCCCGGGTTGTCTGGTATACTCCCTCGGCCGCTGATGGGCCATGAATTACCCACATACCCACCGCATTCCGGTCCTCTCATGAACCAGCTTCGAGGCTTCCCCGCACCTAATGGTATCCCTACGCCTCCTGGAATGAATGGAGCTCGACCGATGCCTCCTGGTCGAGGATTCCCCCTTGATCCAGGCCCTGTTTTGCCATTCCATGCCCAGCCACCGTTATCCGGGGTTCTGTCAACGCAACAGAGCGGGCTGCCCCACAGTCATTCGAGACAGCCCTCTAACTCGTTTGACAGATCTCCGCTTGGCACGAACGCGCAGGCATTACCTATTGCGCGACCCAGCCCGATTAAGCGCCCTCCCAGCACTCAACAGGAGCAGTACGGGGGCCAAAAGGAAGTAGATGATCTGAGCGCGCAACTCGGCAGCAGTGCTCTTCTCGATGATACCGATGTTCCATTCACATCATCATCACATCTTTCCCAATCCCTTCCAGGAGCCACCGCTGCTGGATCCTTACCAGGGCCGGCACGAGCCAGCTTCGCTGCACCCTCACTATTCCCAGATCCTCTCAGTGGTGAGCTAAAGCTCTTACTAAATTCTAATATGCCAGACATTAACAACCTTTTAGCTCCCAAACATGGCGCTTTCCCCGTCAGTCCTGTTGTAGGAAGCAGTACCTGGGGTACTCAGATTCCTTTTGGGGCTTCCGCCTTCCCTGGCAATCCGACATGGGGCGCTGTTCCTGGTGAGTAACCTGAAACTAAGTTTACTACTCCTCTCTGTTTACTAATGGAAATTCTAGGGAGCGGCTGGCCGAACAATGCCTTCGGAGTAGGAGTCCATCATCGGGCACACACCTCCCGGCCCGTTGCGATTCGACTACTCGTGATTCAAGCCTGCAAGCAACTCAACACCATGAGTCCCTCCAAGGGCGTAGGTGGCTATCACGATGTGAATGCAGTTCTCCGCCAAGTTGAGCAGTTACAACCCTCCAGCGAACCCTCCATCTCTCTCAAAGAGATGCTTGATATCTGCGATACGGAAGGCAACGCCCAAAACGGAGGCGGATCATTCTCAGTCAAGAGCAACGAGACAGGCGAATTCGTCAAGTTCGAGCCAGACAATAACAGCGCGGCAGGGGGCCAACGCAGCAGCATTGCTCCTGGCGAAATCGGAAGCCCTATTCCTCACAGCAGTATTCCGGCCTTTGGCGGGATCGGTACACCCTCCTCATCCTCTATTCTTCGACAATTTTCTTCTCCACCCACTGGTTTCTAGGCGTTCCGGGGCATTTTTCCATCATCATCATCATTAACTACGAATGGGGGAAACCACTTCTTTATCTTCATATTTTGTTTCCGTTTCTTTCTTCTACGTTTTGGGACGAGAACACTCTGCAATGAAATGCCTGGTTTCTATTATGGTTAAGCGTCATGTCATGTCATCTCTCTTCTTCCTTCTTCCTCCTTCCTTCTTACTTCTTTTCATCGTCGCCCTTCATCCTCTTTTCTTCCCTCTACCTCTCTATAACTAACCACACCTGAACACTACCCTTCTGTTCGTTTCTCCCTGCATGTCCCTCGGTGGTTGCTGTGCTCATATCCCGCGTACCTCCGTTCGAATTCTTTTGTTCGTGTTACAACTCCCTTTCTTCTTCTTCATTTTCTTTTCTTTCTTTACAGGGCATTATCATGTCCATGTATCTCTTACTCCCACACAGCGGTTTCCTAGAGAACAATTTCCCTCTAGGTCCAAAACAATTGCATTATCGAGTTCGACCTCGTGAAATTATTTGCACCGCATCTACCTATATCCACATACGCCTTTATGGTTCTAGGTCCGTATCCTATGTAGCCCCGTATCCTAGTTCCTATGCATCCGTTCTAGGTTTGCAGTTAATTAAGACTACATGCAGTAGTTAGTTAGTACTTCAGAGACAGGGTAGATAAGCATAGCTAGTCCAACCCCCTATTGACTTTTGACTCCGATTTCAAACCGTTGAAGCTATTCCCATCCGCCAAAACTCGCGTAATTTTACTTGAATCTAATTCTTTGCACAGGTAGATATCTAGTTCAGTATACGTCTAAATAATGATATTAAGAGTATATTAACAGTCGTAGAATTTAGTATGGTAGAAATCGAACTAATTAAAGTAGACCTGTCACGGCGTGGTGTGGTGGTGTGGTGGTGGTCACCGTGCCACGATGCCTACGTACTGCACTCCGTAGCCATTGATTGTATGACTACGGAGTACCTAATTGTAAGGGGGGGTTCGGGCAGGTGGCTGGATGCCTACATACTTGTACATAGATAGTATCGCATGTGATGTGGTCTTTTGGCCCAGCCAGTGGTTTAGGTAGGTAGGTAGGATACTTACTAGTATATAGATACTGTAGATATATTTTCCAAAGTCTATTCTTCCTTACCTTGCCTTACCTTGGCTTAGCTTAGCTTAGCTTAAAAGAGGTGGTTTAATAATGGTCTATTAACTAATGTAGGAGAGGAGACCAGACATGTACTGTAAATCAGATTGATTCTATTATGACAGTGAAACTCGATATAAGGTAGACAGGAACAGGGAAATAAATAAGAGAATGATGATGATGATGATGATGATGATGATGATACACCAATAATATATAGCCTGTCCGGATCACCACACACGTCTCAAAGCAGAAGCAAGAAAGAGGGAGCAATGTCAACTTGACTGACAGAAGGGAATCTTACACGTAACTATTCAGCATGCTCAAAGACGAAGAGAAAGGGATTGATAAATAAACAAAAACAGCAAAGTGCAAAATCACATATCATGACACACGATAAAAAATAAAAATAAAAGGAAATAAAAAAAAAAGAGTCATTCATACACTCGTTTCCATCCACTTCCCCGACACTTTCCTTCTCTACCTACTTTCGTCTTCCTTTTTCTTCATTCCGCTCTCTTTCCCTCTCTCTCTCTCTCTCTCTCTCTCTCTCTCTCTCTCTCTCTCTCACTGTCTCGGATCCGTGACTACACCTTCGAATTCCCGGGATCGGATATACTCTAGTGTACGTTGGAAGTGGCGCTTCGGCCCTTCAAGGCTAGGGTTCGGCTCATCCTGATTTGTTTGGAGATTAGAGTGGATGAGCTCGATGAGGCCGTTGAGGTACTTTATTGTCACGGTTTCGTTTTGCTGGTCAAAGTAGTAGACGTAGCGGTTCAGGATCTCAACGAAGAGTTCTACGGAGACGGCGGTGTCCATGCAGGCATCTGCGACACGGAGAGCACGTTGAAGACATTCAAGAACGCGTTTGCCATCGCGGTAGAGCTGGTTTTTTTTTTTTTTAACCGGTCGTTAGCAAAAGGGGAGCGACATAGGTGGACGTGGAAAGAGAGGATGTTTGGTTGGAGACAGGGTACTTACGTTGCTAGCATCTTCTTCGCCTCGTTGTGGGTTCTCGACAACCCACCACAAGTGACTGGCTAGGTATACTGCTCGACATTGGTCGGGTTTCTTGAGGAGCTTGCTTCCATGGAGTGCGGCCTTGGTGATAAGAGTGTCATAGTTTTCCTTCGAGAAGCCTCGGGTGCCGTGCAAGGCCCCAGCGATTATGCAGACGGCCTGGAACTGAGCTCGAGAGTCGCTAATCGAGTCCTCATAGATGGTGAAGGCTTGCGCAAAGAACTCGTAACTGAATTCTTCGAAGCCGGTCTGATCTGCTACCTCGCCGCACATGACGAATAGTCGCAGTGCTAGATCGGCGCAACCTGGGTTGACGCGCTGGTATAAGTTGTTGACACACTGGTGCATAAATCGGTAGAGTGCTGACGACTGTGATTGCCAGTTGTCATCATAGTGCTCACGGGACTTAAGTTTCCGTGCGAGGCGGATCGAAGAGCTGATGATGGCGGGGATTGTGTATCGGATTCTCTCATTGCCCTCTAGGTACGCTTTTCTAATGGCTTGGAGGAGCTGGGATTATTTAGTTAGAAGGAAGATCGAGAAGTGAAGGAGAACGAGGATGATATTTTACCTTGAGCTGAGTGTCGTTTTCTGGGGCGTGTATCAAATGGACGATTCTTGCCAGCCACCCTTGCTCCTCAATAGTCTCATCCGTTTCGCCTCGTCGTTGAGACTGCAAGCCAGGATATCCTGCACCTTGCTGTGTTCCCTCTTTAATCAAAACCTTGAGAGCTTGCAGGACACGGTCCAGGTTCTCTGTGGTTGTGACAAGGGTTTGGTTCTTAAGAAGACTTCGAGCGATCTCACCTGCCACAGATCGTCGAGTAGGGTAAGACTGAGAAGCCAAAAGCGAGAGATAATGTGGGAGAGCCAACGCTGTGAAAATCGAAACGTAGGAGCGAAGAGGAGCAGTGAGGAGATGCAGGAGGTTTTGTTGGGTTGGTGCAGAGTGCAAGTCTGCGTGGTCGGTGTACTCCGCGGTCTGTTTTGTAGCGAAATCGAGAACCTGGTCGACATACTCCAATTGGTTTGGGTAGGTGTTGAGCGCAAGATTGACGAGTGAAACCAGCAGCGCCATGGTATCTTGAATGGCGAGCCCTCGGGACTTGATAAGGTTGACGACTTGTTCGTAGAATATGTCGTACAATTTGACATCTGCCGGGACACGAGTCTTACCACTATTACTTGCACCATTTGGTGCTGGCCCTTCTGTAGGCTTCGAGTCCTCTGTCCCTTCCGAAGTCTGCTCTACGCCGTTCTCCTTAGCAGGGGCTGAGGTAGGAGCATCCTCGGGCTTCTTATCCTTGGGCTCGTCGGAAACTTTGAGGTCTTCGAGGAGCTTCGTGACAGCTTCTTCTTCTTTCTGTGTTTTGGTGTCTAGATCGATAGAGGACTCTGCTTCCCGGGCCGCATAAGATGAGAGGCGATCCATCAGTCCGATAACAATCTTCTTCAGATCCACATGTGGGTTGAGTCGTGCAATTGCTGAGAGCAACAGGTCAAGCGTGTGGAGGTGGAATTCATCGGGAAACACCTTGGTAATGACTACGATGAATAAGTTAGCACTCATAGCGATAAATCTACCCTTCCGGGCTACAGTACCTTCAAGCAAATACTCCTGCGCCAAGACATCCCGGCACTGAACAACCTGCTCCAGAAGCGCCTGCAGAATACCAGACTTGTACGTTTCCAGATCCACCAATTGGCTCAGGCGCACAATGTTGCTCCCAACCAACAACTCCAGCTCCCGGCGCTCCTGCATGCGCTTCTCCCGCTCCCGAGAGGGACCCTGGTGCTGAAGCCGCACCCAAAGCTTATTCATTTCCACGAAATTGGTCAGAATGAAGTTGATCGAATCCTGAAGGTTACCCTCAGGACCATCCCCGGTCCCCGTGGGGAGATAATCCCTCGCTTGGCCGGACAGATAGTATCGCAGGAACAATCCGCGAATGGGGTGCTGCACGCCTCGGCTCATCTCCATCATATCCTTCATAATCTCCTTGACCGGGGCATCCTCCACGGACATGTACACGGTTCCGACGGTGATCATAAGGTAGAGTCGTGGGATAATATTGCCTGCATATTGGACCAATTCGTACAGGTCTGCCAAGTGATTGACGGGGTGGTTCTCTTTCAGGTATACGGAGAGGTGTCGAAGGGCATCGAAGACGGCCATGTACAATTCGTAGTATTGCTTGGGCCCCAAGCTAGGTGTCCGCAGCTCAGAGACAAGTGTAGACCTAGAATACGGCAACGCATGATGTCAGTTTCTATATCCCCTCGAAAAAAAAAAAATTGAAAAATGAAATGAAAAAGCCATCGCACAAGTTATAGTGCTGGCATATATCCCCTGCTGCCTGGGAGCTTGAACTCACCCGCACTTGAGCGCATCCATTAACTTCCCCGGTGTCTCTAGACATTTTCGCATCATAGCCGACTGTTGGCGCACCACCCCCAATGCCTCCTCCAGGAGACGACTCTGGTCTTCGGGAACCACTACCGGGGTTGCCATCGTGGGTGATCTGCTCTGACAAGAGGGGAATGCGGACTCAACGATAGAGAACTAGGCGTTGTCGGAGCAGTGGCCTTTGGGGGATTTAGGCGGTAAACAGCACAGGGGGAGGGGAGTGGAGCAAGCAGTGGTTCAATGACGAAAGTGAGGAGGGTAGAGAGGGACGACAGCGGAGGGAGAGAGAGAGAGGATCGCAGGGAGGTTAAGTTTCGATGTACAAAGAGGAAAAGAAGTTAATTCATAAGAAAGCGAGGAAAAGGGAAGAAGAATTAGGTAGAGAATAAATTAACAGAACATTCGATTCCAACCATCGAAACTGCAGCAGACATGCGACCAGATCAGGTTCTGTATGTTATTTATGTAATGTCATGTAACAGACCAGCTGTCATGACCATACCTGACAAAACTTGGTACTTTTGGTATTCATCTTGTTATCCAAACCTCTCCATGCAATTGTACATCAATCTAGAACATCTGGTTCAAGAATATATCGGAGAAAGAAAGGCCCCAAGGTAAGATAAACAACAAAAAAAAACGCCAGATACATGTATTTCATGATCAAGTACAACCTGAACCTCCTCCTATCCATCATGTCTCATTGAATAACCCAAAAATCCCGAAGCCGTAATGAATGTCCGTATGCTCATCATTATAATCGTCAATTTTCATACTTGTCATGAAATGTCTTGTCGTAGAAAGCTCAAAACAGCAGCAAATGAAGCTAAATGGGGGGGGCCGAAAAAAGGCGCCTAATACCTTCCCTGAGTCAAATTTCGAGCCTGTAGAGTGGTGCCGTTTGAGCTTCTAGCCGTGAGCTTTGTGCTTCCTGAGTCGGTAGCATTGAGCAAGCCACGAGGGAGAAGCGAATGTTCGGTGACATTTGTGCCGCGTGTATTGAGATGGGAAGAAGTTTCATTACTGCTGCGAACGTAGACTTGAGACGTAGTGTCGTTGGAGTGGTCTATAGACTTCCCAAACATACGCGCAATCTTGTCCATAGTAGTGGAGCGACGACGGACGGTCTCAATACCTGGAGCGCTGCTTGGTGATGGTACGAGTGAGGAGCTGCTGCTGCTGCTGCTGCTGCATGGTGTTGGCAAAGAAGGTGTCCAAGTGGGCGCCAAAGTGGGCAAGGAGGTTTGTGAAATAGTGATCGTTACTGTTTCCTGGGGAGGACCAGGAGCAGTCACGGTTTCCATCACCGGGGCCACGACAGGACTGGGATCTCCGCCAACATTGACAATCTCATATCCTTCACTTCTGCGTTCGACTGTGGTATTTGGCTTGAAATGGAGTACGGGGGCTGCATGAGCAGCCAGAGTCAGGGCAAGCCATACGATGGTCGAGGTATGCATGGTTGGTGGGGAGGTAATGTCGTCGATATATATGTATAGATATAAATAAATTATATGGAAGGAAAGAACAAGCGCTCAGTCGTAGAAGGCAGCAAAAGTCCGAACCAAAGGCTGTCGAAGTCAACGATATCTCTCAACTCGTGAGCTTTGAACTGATAGTTGAAAGATTCAAGAATGGCAAGAGAAAGGATGCCAGCAATTTATCAACCCTGACCAGTGGATCACACCGACCAAGTTGTCCACTGGAAAAGAAAGAATAGATTGGATCTGCAGTTGCATAATGATCTGCCATGCAGACCCATCTTCTGCCATGCACAAGAGCAGGTTGGTGAAGCCATGATGTTTTTGGTTGACAGCCATCACCGAATATAAACGGGAGGCTGGGGCAATGTCTATCGCCATATGGGACCGCCAGCCACAATATTTTTTCCCTGGCGGTTACAGAATAGTTGATCCCTACTTAATCAGCTATTCAGGCAGACTAGACTTTGGAGTGAACAATAAGCAGGAAGAACAATGTGATAACTCCACTTTATTTCATCCGTCGCACAGGAGACAACCTCGTGATTGGTGACTGAAGTGTGGCGTTTACTGCTGTGGCTTCAACGGTGTGGCTATACAATATGCCCACAGTACATAGAAATAGAACTAGAAATAGAAATAGAGACGGAAAAGGCAAAGGAAAGAAGAATAAAGTCAAAAAGGTTTTCCCAAGAGAGACTTTTCTTCCTGCATGCTCCTGCTCAACACGCAATGTCGGTTGTACCTAAATATTACATAGTGTCGGTCACCAGAAACAAAAACAACGCATACACGGGAGTTTCGGTTCGGGAGGTTGGTTGCATGTCTGATAAGTGTGCCCGGCTGTTATACTTCGGACCGCATTCATCTCATACCGCTCGATTTAACTCACCGCTGGGATGAAATCCTCCATTGTGATCTGCTTGCGATATTGCAAATCTTGGTGATGTGAGATAGTTGCGGTTGTCTTTGAATTGAAATAGACTGATCGTTCATACGGGTAATCAGCATGATACTGCATGCCGCCATGCAGGGTAGGCGAGCCGTACGTAACACGCAGACTCAATGGGTAAAGCGATGACGAAATCTGAGCCCATCTCCCAAAGGCCAAAAAAAAAAAAATAAGAAAAAGAGATTTCAGAGGCTGGGGTTATATCGCAACGTCCTCAACTCGGACCAACCCGCACCCCACACCAGCACCAGCCCATCCCGCATATGACTGATTGGGATTCCACGCCAGCGCCGTGACGTGGGTCTCTTCCTCAAAAATAGTAATCACCATTGTACCATTGATCAGTTTGCGATCTCCAATCATGTTGCGCAGAAGACGAATACTCTCGGCCCGGTAGCCGTCGTGGAACCGACTTGTCCCCGAGCCGCTTGAATCATCCCCTCGTGTCCAGGTATGGGAGAACCAAGTTTGCTGCCACTGCTTCTCCTTGGCATGCAGAAGCCTTCGCAGGGGATTCGTTGCAATCACCGCTCCTCCAGTGCATCCGAGAAGTAGAGTCGGATGCCAGGAGCTGCACGACGCCAGGGTGGAAACAGTACTGGGGAGCCTGGCAACCGCTGTTGTCGTGAAAAACCGACGCACAGTCAACAGCCTTACAAAGTCATTTTCATCGCTAGAGATGAAAGACTGTAACCAGGGCGAATATGATAGGTGAGGCGATCCAACCCGCATGCGTGTAGTTTCCACCGTGTCTTTCTGGTAATCGAGAAGTGATGACAGCCGTGTTTCCCCGTCCATAGATGTGCTCCCCACTAGAAGAGGGTGGGTTGGATACGCAGAGGAGACACTAAGGACGTATGTTGAATGAACTGGCTCATAAAAATAGGGGAGGGCGTTAATTTGAGATGCCTGGGGTACGGCCTGCACCACGCCAGACGCGATGCTCCAAACAGCTATAAACCCGTTCGCACAGCCAACAGCAATGTCGCTTGGAGACAGCCATGCTACGCAGGTACACACGGTCGATGGAGGCTTAGCTTCGAATACCGGAGAGTCAACTCTATCTTTAGAAATGTCAGTGTTTAGCCCATAGAATCACTGGGCAGAAAGTAGGAAAGGAGTAGCGACATACAAAAATCAGTTTCGTTGGGATCCCGGCTAGATTTAACATCAATAACGCGAACATAGCCATCACCCCATACTCCGGCAAGAAGCCCGACGTTCCTGAGCGTATCTTCCTCATCTTCATCCCGCGGTTCCCGGGTCATGGGGCACCAAGCCATCCGCCTCAAGTCACCCCAATTGGTGCACAAAGCTAGACGTAACCGTGGCTTGAAGCCCATATCAATAGTCCTTGTGAGAGATTCGCCCTTCTCAGCCTTGAAAGCCCAAAGCTGCAGAGCACATGGGTACGGCGCTGACGCCCTGAATGCTGGGGCGGCGTGGTCCTTCAACGGATCAGGGTACATCTCTTTTTGCTCCTTCGAGATCGGAGCAACAATCGCCAGATACTGGTTAAGCCCGTTGTGATTCGGAGCCCACGCCATGCACTGGATGCGGTTGCCGACATTGATAATCCAGCCTTGTCGTTTCTTCTTCTTCAGTCCTTTTGATTTCGATGAGTCCGTGGCGGACACCTTGCCTGTTTCTTTCTGGTTCTTCTGTTGGGACGCACCCGTCCATGCATCCCCAAAATCAAAGGACTCGTTCTGTCCTATGGTGTATGCTCTTTGATCATTTGCGGGCCCAACCAGGACGGTATGTTTCCCTTGCTTAGGCGTAGGCATGTAAATTTGACGAGCCTCCTTTTCCTTGATGCGTTCAATCCGCTGTCGTTTTCCAAACCGTTCCCCGGCTCCATGTCCATAGTACCAGTCCCAGCCACGAGTGCTTTCCCTCTTCAGGTCCTCTGGCTCCAGACCGAACGTCGCGCCATAGGTATAGTCTGGTAGTTTCTGCGCCTCATTCAAGGAGGCGCGACTTGGGAACCCAGAGTCAAGGCCCCGGTGCCACCGACTCCTGGAATACAGAATAGCCAGGAGGTCTCTGTCATCAATACCAAAGACAACCTGGAGATGCACCGACTTAGCCACATGCTCCGTGGGATTCCAGGTACCTCGCGAGTGCATCTCTTCCCCAGAAAGAGCAATTGTGCCATCCGCGTGGCGCTTTTTGTTGTATCGCGGTTGAGAGAAAGTCAGTGCCTTTTTACGACGCTGCAGAGGACCTCCTCCTCCCCCCTGCCCGTCCCCATCTTCCTCATCCTCAATTTCGGGTGCGACGCCTTCATCATCCTCGTCGCCGTCTTCTTCTTCTTCTCCTCCTTCTTCTGCTTCTTCTTCTTCGTCTTCATTTTCCCCAGGTGGTGCTTGGAACTCCTCATCAGAGGACTCTTGATGCACCGGCTGCTTGCCCTTGTTTCGTGAGAGGGCCCCCGTCTCTTCTACGGAGTTTGACTCCGACTCCTCGCTAGCAAAAGGATCCTCGACGTATTTCTTCGGCGCACCAGATAAGCGATTGGATCTACGAGCGCGGGGCATGTTGGTCCGATCTCAGTTCACAGGGGTGTTAGCCTGTATAGCATAACATGAGTGAGGTATCCTGGTATCCCGATACACCAGCAAGTACTAGCATCATAGATAGCCGCTGTTTTGCGACTGATTCAGCGATGAAGACACATGGTATTCTAGTAGCGAATTGAGAGTCTTGAGTTAAAGAAAGCCCATTAGTCGTGAGAAATAAGACAAGGATAAAGATGGAAAAATAAATAAAATAGTTAGTTAAGCAAAAATAGAAGTGAAGAATGAAAAGTGAAATGAATCCATTCACGAGTCTTTGTTTGGTCTAGCGTCAGCCTTGGCGTTATGTTACGCTCTGTGACGGTATTGAAGATTACGATTGATGAGTCCTTCAGAATCCTGCATCTGTATAGCTTCAAGTTGTGCTGAAGAGGAAGAAAAGAAAAGAGGCAAGAAGTTTATTATTACTTACCTTTCTTCCCAAAGTCAATAATTGTTCATGCTCTAAAACATCTTCTTCGACGACCTCGCTGCACAGTGGGGCATTTGGAAATCCATATTTGACAGATTGATCAATAACTGGACCCCGCCTATTTATACTGCTTTATCGTTCATATTCCATCCATTTGCCAAACAGTAACTAGAGCTTCCATCGAACTGCTCTTTATTCAATCTACTAGACACAAGCAGAGAATCGTCTCATCATCAAAACTACGTCTCCATAAAGCCATTATAACATCATTATTCATCTAAACATTGATAAACATGGCTCCATCTTACCCCGGTGTCCTACACAACTATGTACGGACGAATTGAACCCCCCCAGATATGTTCATCAGAGAGCTAACCAAAGGCAGGCTCCCCGTCTAGTCGCGTTTGAATTCGCCCAACCATCTACACCCCCTAAACCTAACAGTCTGCTCTTCATTGGCGGTCTAACGGACGGACTCTACACCGTCCCCTACGTAGAGGAGATCGCCAAGGCCCTTGAACCAACAGACTGGTCTCTCTTCTCTCTCGTACTCACATCCTCCTATGACGGCTGGGGTGTTGGTAGCCTGGACCGAGATGTTGAAGAAATCGCCCAATGCGTGTCCTACGTCCGACAGCTCAAGACGCAAGATGACGCGAAAATCGTCATCATGGGCCATTCCACCGGCAGCCAAGATGTCCTGCACTACCTGCACTCGGCAAACCCTGCCCCCAAGAACCCGGATATTGACGGGCTCCAGCAAATCGTCCGTCCCCCCGTGGACGGGGCAATCATGCAGGCCCCCGTGTCTGATCGGGAGGCGATGCTGACAGGCGCCAAGGGGAGTTCTGAGGCGCAGGATGCCTGGGAGAAGCTGGTGGAGTTTGCGCAGAAGGAGCCTGCGCGGACTATCTGTCCGATTGAGCTTATGGAGAAGGTGGGGTTACCGTCTGGGGCTCCTGTGAATGCGAGACGGTTTTGGAGTCTGGCGAGTCCTGAAAGTCCTGCGAAGCCGGCAGAGGATGACCTGTTCAGCTCCGATTTGACGGATGAAAGACTGAATGAGACTTTTGGGCGGGTTGCATCGCGTGGCCTTTTGCGGTCGACGCTTGTGGTGCTATATTCTGGGAATGATGAGTATGCGCCAGAGAATCTCGATAAGGAGGCATTGACGCAACGGTGGAAGCGTGCAACAGATGCTGGAGGGGTGAAGAAATGGGACGATGAAGCTAGCGGGGTTATTCCAGGCGCGAGTCACAATGTGAAAGACGACGGACAGGACTTTTTGATCGACAGGGTTCTCAACTATCTGAACCGGGTTTGAGGAGGGACAGCGCTACATGTAGGACGGGAAAAACAAAGAAACCAAAAAGGGAAAAGATATTATGAGATGATAGATCCAGTGGAAATCTTGCCACTCTAATATACATGACATAGGAAAACGGATGCAGGGGTCATCGCAGACGGAGGGTAGGAAGTTTAGAGACTCATGATTCCTCCATGCCCGAGTTATCAGAACGGCCATGATCAAATCTGAAAAATAAAGAAAAATAAAGAAAAATAATAATAAGATCGGGGAATATAATGGGGGACCGAGGGAAGACCAAAAGGAAGGAAAAGATAGAAACAAGAAGAAAACTCAAACCTTCAACCACAAGGTAAACACTCCCTTAAGATACTCCACAATCTCATGGCCTCCCAACTTACTCTCTCCATACAACCGATCCACAAAAGTAATCGGACACTCAGCAACCTTGAAACCCATGGCCTTTGCCCGGACCATCATCTCCATCTGGAAACTATACCCCTTACTCTGGGTACTAGAGATAACCTTTTCCAGCACGCTCTTCTTGTACAGCCTAAAGCTGCCAGTCAAATCGCTCACGCCAGGCATGAGCATCACATCCGCAATGAGGTTGGCCGTGCGCGACGTGAACTTCCGGAACAGATCCCATCCATAAACACCGCCCTTGATATCTCCGCGGTTGGCGTACCGTGTACCGGTCACAATATCAGCGTCCGTCTCCTTCTGGATGCGGATCATCTCTGGGATGAATTTCGGGTGGTGGCTAAAGTCGGCATCCATGATGATCACGTAGTTGCCGCTGACGAACTGCAGGCCATGGACGTAGGCAGTTCCCAGGCCGAGCTTGCCTGCGCGAGGCTTCAGGATGATGTGTTCGGGGCCCCAGACTTTCTGGAGTTGTTTGGCGACTTCGAGGGTGCCATCGGGGGAGCCGTCGTCGACGATGATAACTTCCCAGTCTAGGTTGCTGTTGGTAAAAGATGAGTTGTTAGCTTCCTTTTGCTATTTTCTGCTTCAATAGACGAGTAATTGAAGTAAATGTTCTCTGTGAGAGATGAAGAAGAAGAAGAAGAAGAAGAAGAAGGGGGGGAGCTCACTTCTCTCGAAATGTGCGCTCCAGGAGCCAGCATATGATAGGGAGGTTCTTCCGCTCATTGTAGGTTGGGAGAATGACAGAGTACTTGTTGCTATTTGCGCTCATCTTGACTGTGAAACAAGCGAACCGGCGATAGTATGGCGATAGAAAGCGATTGCGAGGTGGATTGGATGGCTAGAGGAAGGTTGCTTGGACTTTGGAGATTCCAATACGGGGGCTGCGGCGAGTCCAGGAACCAACACGCGGGAGATCCACATCATCTGCTCTAAAGATTTAACGTGGCCAGAATCTCTGCCGACCGCAAAAGTATGGAGTGTCCAAACAACCATCATTTTCCCATCGATGTCGTTAAATCTTTTAATTCTCAGGACAAATCACATGTAGAGTCTCAACACCATTATACCAGGACATACTGAACATTAACCTTAAACACCTTTCCAAAACCCCTTATGAACCTTTTGAGTAAACGGCTTATCACATCGCCGATCTCCTCTTCATTGTGCTGCCGAATGTCCTCGGGGACATCTGGGCGTGGATTGCCATCTTCAGAACTTGGTTCGGTGTCAGGAGGTGGTGGCCTTGTAGTTATCCAGTAGGTAACTTACTCCCGGGACAGAAACGCTGACACAGCCCCGGAAGGGATGATTTCACCTGAATTTTACTTTACGTGATAGTTGATATGCCGTTCACCTCCGTCATAGTCCTCAGGGATAATCCAGCGCTCTCAGCTAGAGTACCTATGGGCATCAAGGATCAAAGAAAGGGAGAAGGAAAACTGTTTGATAGTGATAATTATATTCCACTAGCATGTTTAGCGGAAGTGCCTAGGCAATACCAGCTTAACACTGGCATATCCCATCAAAATGGCAAAATCATACCCTCCCAAGTAAACTACCCAAGAAAAAAAAAGCGGAAAAAGGCCAAAAGCAATTGATCAGAAAAGTAAACATAGACTCTGTACGTGGAAATATCCAGGGTCCCTTCATGCTTTATGCACCGTAACCATCCGTAAACGCCATCAAACTGCCCCTCGAGCGAGCATGGAAGAAGAATAAAAACCAATCCGAAAACAATCCCAAGATTCCAGAAATCCCAATCGAGTAAATGATATCATCGACTTCTCCAAGTCACCAGAAAGAAAAGGGTAAAATCAAAGCATACGAGTTGCTTCCTATCCGTAGTGCCAGGGCCATGAATCGCGCCAACAAAATTAAAGCAGAGCACGCAAGAATCGATTGTTCATATACACAAGAGGACCATTCAAGATGTTATTACCGCCATGATAACGCCGACACCTGGGGGGTTGGGAGTCCGACAATGATGCCTGCCTTGTTTCTAGTCCGTCAAGGAAACACAGTAACAAATGCTTTGATATTGTGCTTTGGCCGTATAAGTCTGGGTCGCACTCCCAACACCCTTGAGTGTGGTCGTTGGCGTTGGCTCGTTAACGCTGATCCCAATCGTCTCATGCGATACTATTTCGATTGAACCGTCATCCATTACTTGCATCTGCTGGCAGTATGGGGATTGAGCCTCGGCGTAATCGCGCTTTTCCTCAATCTTGATCCTGCGAGGATAATTCGACAGTGATGTATCCCGCTTCGTGCTCGTTGATTGGCTACTATCGGTCGCAGTAGAGCTATCGGTAGAGGTAGTGGTACTCGCATCGACAAGATTTGAGAAGGAGCTGTATCGTGCTTCTTTGGTTGTCTCATTCAGGTACAGAAAAAATTCCATCGCAGTGCTATTCCACCAGCAAAACCACGGCCGATCACCCACGTATGTCGACCGCTTGCGGTGGTGCACGCTGATAAATATATCTTCTTCCGATACAGCCCGTTTTGAGACGGACGTTGATGGGAAAGTATCTTCTGGGACAATGACCAATTTGTCGAAGAATGTGAAGAAGGAGAGAGCTGGGCCAAGGCTCAAATCGCTTGAGTCTAGCACCAGTTTGAGCGGTTGTGAAGGGTTCGAGAAGAAGGGTAGTTGGGCACCATATGTCAGTGTTTTCCTGAGGGGGTCACTTTCAAAATCGATCACTCTCGCATTATCAGTACCTGCGACATTAATAGGAATTGACTTCTGGGTAGCACAAGCCCATGATGGCGTGTAGTCTGGGTCAACTATACAGAACTTAGACTGATTCCTGGGCTCTGTTGGGATCAACCATTGGCCGGTCGGAAGCGGCAGCACGTTATACGGAGTGGTAGAAATGGGGGTTGCGTCTGTCCGTGGATTGGCTGTTACCGTGACAATCTTTGGGCCATCATCATTGGAATTCGTCTCTTGTGCTGCCCTCCTTGCCCCCAAAATCCCACCTATGGCACCCCCGATGCTTCCACCGACGACCATAACGGCAGAAATTAATACTATCGTCCAGATTGGTAGCCCACAACACACTTTCTTTTTGCCCCTGCGCTTTAGCTTTTCTTCAAATGCCATAACACCAGTGACTGGGGCTACACCTCCTCCTCTGCTGTCCCGTCCCTGAGATTGATTATCAGCGACTAGTGTCCGAGAGGATACCTCGGACATTGCGAGGTCTTGATTATGGTCGTCGGGGGGGTGATCTAGAATAATTGCGGCATCTGGAAGGATATCGAGAGAATCTTCCAACTTCGGGGAAGCGCCGTCGGGGTATCGGGAATAAGGTGGAAGTTGCTCCATATGGCCGTCAGGTCCTACTAAATCTGCCACATCGTCGTCAGCTCGACCAAGGGCGCGATGATAGGCCTCTTGGTTGTGACCAGGAAAGCCCAAAGGTATCGCTGCGTTGTCCATTCCCTCCTCCACAACAACATTCTGTGAATACATGGCATATGGGTGCTGTGGAGCAGTCGAGTCACCCAATGGCTGATCAACAGGACGGAGGGTTGAGGTGGTCGTCACACTGGGGGAGCGACTAACGCCGACCTGCGGGTACATCGCGTATGGGTGACTAGGTCCTGTGGCACCGGTGTAAGGACTGAGGGCACGAGGTGGGATCGAGAAGCGGGACGACGAGCTTTGGCTGCGGTGCGTCATAGAAGCAGAGGTGGTATTGGACGTGACGGAGTTGCGATACGCTAAATCGAATCCTTTTTGGGGCAGACTGGATCGATGGAGGGCCTCTTCGTCGAAGGAGACGCGAGCCTCGTCTCCAAAGGGGTTCTCGAGCAATTCATCGTTGGTATCGTTGATTGTCGTGCTATAAGGCTCGGGGTGGAGAGGTAGGGAGGAGCGAAGGGTGTGTGAGGAGGCAACGGATGAAATAGACTGGCTTCGAGGAGTAAGAGTGGACTGTTCCGAATCTAGAGGTTCTAACGAATATTCGTCGGAGAAAACGTTGGGATTTGATGAGCAACCAGGCGTAGAAGGGTGATGCATTGAATCGGAATCGCGAGCAGGACCCGACGGATACTCCGAGGAGCGCGATAAGGAGCGAGAAATGTCGGAGGAAAAACGCCCAGACATGGCGCTACACAGCCCTGTCGGGCTTCCTTTCCAGGCCTGTCAGCCTGGCTGAGAAATCGGGACGATCAGTCACCTGAATCGACGGGTGATTAAACAGGTGAGAGAGCGTTGAAGGAGCGGCCGGGGTTAGGGAAGAGGGGCTTGGAAGAGGAGAGCGACAGAGACAACAGCCCAGGCAATAAAATAACGAGTGAACGGCGAGAAGGATGAGAGCAGGGTAGAGAGCGAAACCGATGGAAATGCTGAGATGGTCGTGATGGCTGGTCGTTATTGGAAGATGGCGGATTATTATGGCGAGAGGGAGAGGGAGAGAGAGCGAGGAGAGGAAAGTGAGAGGGAGCACCTGAGTAGCAGCCTGGGGGCCTGAGGAAGAAAGTATTCCCAGAGAGGACTAGCCTTCTTTTTGGTGGGTTTGATGGGGTCGTCGCTTGGAGACCCCAATCGGCGATATTGAGTCTCGACTCTTGTTGAGGTTTTTTTTTGTTTAACATTCCTATTGTCTGCGACTCCAAATACTAGGTGTTGGCTTACTCCGTATTATGGTTTCATTGCCGTGGGAAGAGATCGAACTCGTACTCAGCATGAGTGACCTGAAACGGGAAACAGCCTATCATTATTGACAGAGTCGTCTCGAAAACACCTCCGTCTAACTTGAATCAACTTTCAGAACCAGGGGACCTTTTTCCACCTCGATTTCTTTCAAGGAATTAGCCGCTAGAGTAATACTCTGTATGTTCTCGGTGGTCTGCGGATCGGATCCTTTTCCCGCTAGATGCCGTCTGCAGAGCAAACGCGAGGGGGAAAAAAAACTTGGTTGGCCAAATTATTCGCCAACCTAGAGGTTCCGCAAGTAGTCATCTCCATCTATCCCTTACCAAAGAATGAAAACTGGAACAGTCTTGAAAAAACTGAATTATCTATAAAGGGCAGTCTAGGTGGACTTGTAGAGCCATGGTGCCTGGGGCGGAAAACTCTATCGGAATGGACCCGGAAATCTAGTGTGGGAGACGAACCATTGCTCTGCTGCATCCCGGACAAGTCATTGTCATCATCATCATCATCAGAGTTGCTGGGAAACGTTAGTTATTGCTCTCTTTCTCTTTGTGGGCAGATTGGGCATCTGTGGGCTACTAATTGTTGTAAATATTCCATTTATCCCCATCTAGAATCTTGAGAATGCGAATTTGGAGACAAAGACCCATGGATAGGATCTTCTCGGATGGGAGAACCCCAATGCGGTCGACCCGAGAGGATCTCTAAACAGAAATTTCATTATTTTGTTTCTGTCTCGGCCACGAGAATTGGGATACCCAGTTGGTCCACCGCATCCAACAGACATAGCCTGCTTCCCTTGACTAAAAAGCAGTTGTATTCATTCTTTTCGCTCGCGTAGAATATTTTCCTTCATTCGGGTGGGAAAATCATCTTAGAAGTCGTGCACACATTGGACCTTGTTTCAGAATCGTAGTGCAGATTCCAGGCCGCAGCAGCGCAATATTAATAACCTCGAAATGACACCGCAGCCACGGACCCAGGCCTTATTCGTACATGAGAGGCGAAAGGCTTCAACCGCCTTCCCCCAAGCAGTTGTACATGGCTTCTCTATCAGGTTTCGAGCATGGCCTCGGTGGTGTTATCCAGACGTCCTGAGTACAAAGGAGGAACCTGGAAAAGATTATAACAGGGTTGCTCTTGGCGTATGCGTCCTATCATATCTCCCAGGATCTAGGCCATGTGTTCTAGAATCAAATGCCGGAATACTTCGAAGAGCCTCAGGATCTGGGTCTGGTAGCCTTGTCAGTAGAAGGAGTCCGTAATTGTGATCTTGGGAAGGTAATGCGGTTCTTACGGCAGTCTTTTGAGGGCTAGGATATCCGACAGCTTCACAGGCCCTTTCTCTCCCCAACCTCCTACTCCGCTTTGAACATCAGGTCTGACGCGTATGTACCAGGCCCAAGCCCGTCTATCAAGTTCATCCTTGCTAAGAGTTGGAGCCCAAGATCGAGACACCAAGTCAATGCAGTGTAGCAAATGGCCCAAGCACGTTTCCTTTTCCGCCACAACCTGAGTTTGGCTTCTTCTTTTCAAAGCGGTGGTATCCTTGGTATTCTCACTAGGAGCCCGGATAAAGGACTTCAGAAGATAAGAACGCGCTGACTGTGGCGTGAATATTGGAAGCGGTTTATCGGGTTTAGAACTCGCACCAGAGCGATTTGCGCTTCTTAATGCTTCGGTGTCAACCCCCCATAGAGGTGGCGCAAGGTCCGAGTCACCTGAGCGGCATTCTCCAAGCATATCGTCGAGGAAGACAGGATTTGCAGCAGATTCATGCGTGCGATTCCCTTCCACAAGTTGGCCCTCTCGGGGGTTGTAGTCCCACCTTTTCAGAACCTTGATGTCCCGGCCTAGTACCGTGATCACGGGCTGGCCTTCGCCCCAACCCTCCTCTTCGGCAGGCTTCCCACTTTCAAGGCCTAAGCTAACAGCTTTCGAGCGGCTGTTGGCACTGACAACGGCCTGTGCCAAACTCAATCGGCTGGAAATCGGCTGCTCTGGCATTGTATACCTTAAAATACTGACAGCGAAAGCAAGCACAAGCGGTGCCCGATTCGTGAGTAGAACGATTTTTGAGAGCTCTCCTTCGGTGGCAGACGAGAGTGGAAGCCCCAGCGCACATTCGATAGCAAATGGGGTAGTAGCATCACCTCCGGGTGAAGCTTTAGACTTCTTCTTGGGTTGACTCTCTTCACTCCCTGTTGGCGCTGCGCGCTTTTTGGATACTCTTTTTGCGGCATTCATCACTTGTTTTGCAAGCTTGTCATCTTTAAAGATATCTTGTAGCATTTTGAGTTTCCCTTTCGATATTTGGTCGGGGCTGCATTAACATTAGATATTTGATGTTAACGTGGGTAGATGAAGTTGTCGGCATCCGTACGTGGTAAGGTCTGCTTTTTGAAGCTCAATCACCTTGCCTATCGCCGATGCCAAAGGTACTTTGGCATCCTGGGAGAGGAATCGGAGCATTGCTTGAACCTGTGACGCGGCCATAATTCTTTCTATGTTGTCTGGATTCCATAAATAAAAAAAGAAGAAACCCCGATATCATAAGACGTTGACAAAGATAAAAATTACAAGGAAGGAGTTCGAGCATGTAGTGAGGAGCGTTGTTGCCTAAGGCTGCAGCGGATCTCCCGCCTCCACTCCAGCGCGGCAACCCATTTACAACTCTTTCAGCAAAGGAAGCTTAAGTCGGCTTTTCCACTCGCTTGTGACCGTTCTCGACAATTTCCTTGCTGCCTCTGCAGCGTCGTCACTATGGCTGACGATTCCAAACCCAAGGGATTCCCCGATATCCCGTCAAAGCTGTCTGCGCCGCCCAAAAAGTCCCTCTTCGAACGCCAAAAGGCTGAAGCCGAAGCCAAACGCGCCCGCGAGCGCGCTGAGACGGCCGCTGTCTACGAGGACTTTGTCAAATCGTTCGAAGATGATTCTCCAGTACCTGAGCGACTATTGACGGAGGGGAAGCCGAACAGGTTTGGGAATAGAAACCCCGCCTTCGGAGGCCCTGCAAAACGGCATTTCACAAGCTCAGGTCCGCGCGTGAGCGGCCCTGGGACTTTAGGACCGCCCGCATCATCGCTTTCTCGCAAACGCACTCACGAAGGCTTCCAGCCGCTACATCGAAATCGAGACTCTGCTCAGGGCGTTCTAGGATTTGAGAACACTGCCTCCATTGCCTCATCCACCGCATCGGCTTTTCGAGTATCGGACGACGAGGACGAGGGAGCTGCTGAGACAAAGGAGGCTGAGAGGGCTGCGGCCAAACCAACACTATATCTTGCTTCCTTGCCACCAGGAACGTCGCCCTCTGTCATAAAGTCTTTGATTCCGACAGTTCTTAATGTCGACAATGTCAAATTTCTACGACCGTCTAGCCAGTCTGCGACTGATCGGAAATCCGTATCCGCCATTGTGACTCTCGCGAACGAATCTGCTGCCTCTGATATTGACAGTGCCGTTAGCGCCCTTCAAAATAGATATTTAGGCTGGGGTTATTATTTGTCAATTTCCAGACATCTCTCCTCTGCTGCAATAGGTTCTGCTGTGCCAGTCGGTCTCTCATCCACAAGTTCTCTTCCATTCGGTGCAAAGGTAATTGCCCCTGATGTTGGGGGGCGATTAAATCGGGCTCCGCCGCCTAGCTTGCACAGGGGTGGGTTCGCACCTCCAACCTCATACGGACCAACATACGGCGGGGGCGGACCCTCCACTCAAGTTGAGGTGAAGGCACCTTCCGACCTCAAGCAACTAAAGCTAATACACAAGACCTTGGAAAATCTGTTGAACTATGGTCCAGAATTCGAGGCCCTTCTCATGAGTCGTCCTGAAGTTCAAAGACAAGAAAAATGGGCCTGGCTTTGGGACGCAAGAAGTGCTGGTGGTGTCTACTATCGGTGGAAGCTATGGGATGTGGTCACCAATAGCCGTTCCAAGGGGTCTCAAAGAGGAAGGTCACAACCATCATTGCCAATATTTGAAGGTGGCGCAAATTGGGTGTCCCCAGATGCAGGCCTGAAGTTTGAGTATACCACTCGTTTGGATGAGTTCGTCTCTGACGACGAGTACGATTCTTCAGATGAAGATATGTCCGATATGGAAGACGAACGACGAAACCACGGTGGACCACCTGCTCCTGAGGGACCAGGGACGGGGAACGAAGGACTTGGATATATGAATCCACTTAAGAAGGCCAAATTGGCCCATCTCCTTGCTCGACTGCCTACAACTCATGCAAAACTACGGAAAGGCGATGTGGCGCGGGTCACCACATTTGCCATCGAACACGCGGGAGCAGGGGCCGACGAAGTCGTGGAAATGATCGTGTCAAACATCCTGGAGCCATTTGCGTATACTGGGGCGAATCCTGACCGCGAGCTAGAGAAAGGGCTTACCCGCAAAGAGCAAAGTGGGGATGGCCCGAATGCGGCGTCAATAGATGATACAGCCAAGGAAACGCTAGATACATCTGCTGCGAAGCTAGTCGGCCTTTACATGGTTTCGGACATCCTCTCCTCATCTGCTACTAGTGGTGTGCGTCATTCCTGGAGATACAGGCAACTCTTCGAAGCGGCGCTGAAAGCTCATCACGTCTTTGAACATCTAGGGAAACTCGAAAAGGAGTATGGCTGGGGGCGGTTAAGAGCAGAGAAGTGGAAACGCAGCGTCGGTTCGCTTCTGCATCTCTGGGAAGGATGGTGTGTCTTTCCGCAGTCAAGCCAGGAACATTTCTTCGAAGTATTCGAGAAGCCGCCGCTTACAGATGGGGAACTACGAGAGGAGAAAGAGAAAGCAGACGCCGAACAGGCAGCTGCTGCATTCTCAAAGAACAAAAGCCGCTGGAAGGCGGTGGATGAAGATTCATCCACTGCGCGATTCGACCCAAGCCGGCCTACTGAAGTCAAACCCGCGCAAATGGACATGAATCAGGCAGAAGCAGGGGACATGAATTTGGACGGAGAGCCAATGAGTGATATCGACGGCGAGCCAATGGAGGACAGTGACCTTGAGGCTCCAGATGGTGATCCCCTAGAAGAAAAAGACGCAACGCCGTATGAGGAGCAACCCAAGGGGCAACCTGAAAAACAGCCTGAAAAGCCTCCCTCGCCACCCGCTGGGGCAGCTCGCAAGCGGGCTCGACCTAGAGCAGAGGATATGTTTGCAGATTCAGACTCAGAGTAACAAGGAAGGCTCCTAGGGGGGTGTATTAAAATAAATTATTATGTACGATTTGAACCAAGCGATGCAGCAATAATGACTCTTTCCTTTGAATATATGTAGTCTACTTGTCTGACTCTGTCGTAAAGTTTTGTGCCTTAAGGCGGCGCAAAGACTGCCCCACAATGGCCCTCTTCGCGGGAAATCCTTCTTTCTCTCAACTGTTGATCGGTCATCGCCAATTCTTCTCGCGCTCTCTCTCTCCCCTTTCATCTCAACAGCTCCCAGACCCTCATTGTATTTCTTCATCTTTAAGCCTATATCCTCTCTGAACCCACACAAATCTTCTCAAAATGGCCGGTAAGTCGCCCTCCCCTCTCAGCCACCGTCGCATTCCCCATGACGATGTTTTTGTTTGCCCCTCCTTGAGGCTCAAGCGACAACACCCCTCCACCACACTAGACATCACAATTGAATCGAAACTCCTGGTTAGAGGGCACATTATGCTAACGTCATCTTCTGGTTGTAAATAGACTTCGCAGGAATCGCTAGTACGTGACTCTTTACCCCCATTTTGTATCACCATTTTCGTTTTCCCCCTCCCCCCCCAACCACCAAAAACCCGGGCAAAGTCAAGTCGTGACAAAAACATCAAGCCAAAAAAGGCGGATAAAACAAGCGGCATGCTTATAATTCTCTAACAGAGCAGTTTGTCGACTTTTACTATGCGACCTTTGATAGTAACCGCGCCGGCCTTGCTGGTCTCTACGTATGCCATCCCTCCCCACCAGGTTTCAGGAGCCAAACGATTTGTGGCGGGCCAAAAGAAAAAAGAAAAAAGAAAAAAAAAAACTAACAATCGGTTGGGCATCAAACAGCGCGATCACTCTATGCTCACCTTCGAGACTTCTTCGGTCCAGGGTGTAGGTGGTATTATTGAAAAGCTCACAGTGAGTGTGCCCAAATAAAACCTATCATGACTTATTCTCCTGCTCTTTTTCTCTTTTCTCGGAGTACAGAGAGTAATGGTAGAGAGCATGTTGTCGCTAACATATGTTTATTGCAATGAACTAGAGCTTGCCTTTCGAGAAGGTCAAGCACGAGGTCGGCACCTTGGATGCCCAGCCCTCCAGCGAGCAGGGTGGTATTCTGGTCTTGGTCACTGGTCGCCTGCTGGTATGTCATACAGCCACTCTGGGGGGGGGGGTTGAATTACTAGGCTAACCCGTTCTTTTCTTTTGCTGTATAGGTCGATGAGGAGCAGAACCCTATGAACTACACACAAGCTTTCCAGCTTCTACCAGACGGTGCTGGAAGCTATTTCGTTTTCAACGATGTCTTCCGATTGATTTACAACGCTTAAATAGGATGTGAATTGATGGGGAAAGATATTATGAACATTATGAATATTAGAGAACGGAATGGGTTGCCTGTCCCACAAGTTCTCTAGCTTAAACAAGTTAGGGAGTGAAGTAGAGGCAGCCATTTCTTTCCGCTACAGTGAGATTCCAATTTGGGTTTACTCGTTGAAATTAAATACTGTTGACCTGCAACATATTCCTTCTTCGTGCTGCAACCGATAGCTCCGACGATAGATATATTCTGACACCAGGTAGAAGTCCGGGAAAGCCATCCTGGTATAGTGGGGATCGTTAATTAGACATATCAGTTATCTACATCCAGCAGCGCCTCATAGATTCTAACCCTTCGAATGGAGGACGATGTTATAAACCAGGTGTAGAGTGTATACATTTGCAGTAAAGAAAACCTTAGGCAAGTTCCAGTACCAAAGCCAGCCAAGTTTAGGAATGTTGCACTCCAATATAGGCACAAGGCAAGGAATATATATCACCGACTCCGGTCTCCAAGAAGCGGGGTGTCCTCGTACGGACCGTAATCCTGCTCTTCCTGGGCTTCATTCCCTTCTTCTCCCAGTGTGCCTTCCGCGCCATCTTTGCCATAGTCATGGCTATGTCCCTTATTAGGGCCCAGGTATTCGAAAAAGATCGATAGAACGAGGAGTGTGCCTTGTAAACAGGCCGTAACAATTAAAACACCCCAGGTGCTCCAGCCCTTGCTCCCTAGCCGTGCAGCCAGACTCCCCGCCCACACAAGACTCCCGGGTGTTTGAATACACATCATCGGGATACTGAGGCTTCCCACGCAGCGCAGCCTGAGGGTCGTAGCAATTTGCGGGAAGTATTGGATAGAGGAGAGGAGGGCAGCTAAGATTCCACAGAAGTTCGACCAGGATTGGAGCACAGAGGGCTGCTTGTAACCAATGGCGATGGTAATGATCAACATAGCCATCGCATGGAAGACACAAATGCCGGCCACAACCAGCGCGGTTCGGTATGTCGGCCTATCCTTGGAGGTCATGGGGAGCGACGAGGTTGTCTCTCGCGGGAAGTAGATAACAAAGAGCGCAAGACTATTAAGGGCAGGTAAAGTCAGTCTGGTGTGATCCGCGTTAGGTGCCAGAGAATGGACAAACATACATCGCGAAGAAGCTGAGCCATTGTGTCCCAACCTGAAGGATACCGAGCAACCCCGCAAAACAGGACAGCCCACTAACGTCGCTGCAGCAAGCCATATCCTGAAGACTCTGCTGCTGTGATATCACATTTGCCATAGAAGATGAGCCGGAAGTCGTCCCCAGCAAGATGAAGTACGGCGATATTCCGAAGGAGCTTTTCAGCCGGGCAATACGAATCAACTGCGGCAGGTAGGAGAGGAGGATTCCGAACACAATCAGACTATCATCGTTTAGCCACAGACGAAATACAGTCTCCGAAATAAGACAATGCATACATAGACAGAACAAAGTTCTTTATCTCTGGCGAAACCAGATGGTTACATTGCGAAGTCGAAGGATCCATCTTGGGCTTTAAGGGGGGGGTAGCTAAAAGCTGTATTCATATATGTTCCACATATAATATAGCGCAATGAAGGAAATACTCGTCAAGAGAAGTCGTGCAGAAAAGAGCGATCAAGCTATTTTATTCGAGAAAGGGCCGGTGGATGAGTTGGCTTGGGCAGTTACCAGACTACCAGATAAACAGGCTGGACATCAAAACATCGTCTCCCGCAAAAGCGAAGATTTTTTTTCCCCTGATGTTTTGCTTTTTTCTAAATAAAGTTCGTGATTCAAAAGGAGCCGAAGGTAAGTGACTGATCACAACTCCAAGGGGATGGATGGGGTAAAAATAAGAATACAGGACGCGATACTTCGCCTGGAGACGGAGATGGAGCAGGGGGTGTGATGCCCCGTAATTAATCAGGCATCCCTATCATGATGGAAAATCATTAATCATTAACTAATCAACTGCTGGCCGCCTCCGCATTTCCTAAAGCGGTCTAGCAAGATCAGGTGGCTCTCCTGTTTCCGTTTTAGGAAGCTGCCAAACAGATTCTCTGCTGTGACTTACCGCCTTCTTGATCTGTCATATCTCTTCTATCGCATCATTGCACGACAACCATCTTTGCTACCCAGGTAGTTCATGGGAGATCGATCTCATGAGCCCAATGGAATGAATCTAAAACAATATATTCTATACTAAATCATCACTTGATCGTTTCTCAAGGGAACTGCCTCTATCACGACATCAATCACCAGTTTACCCACGGGATGCCACCGAAACGGGGATCCAACCATTAATCCTGCCCTCAGATTTCGAGTTCAAGAGCAATAGAAACATGGAGTGAAGAAAGGGTATTGACCAAGAGTTTCTTCTGTTCCCTTACTTGATGCAACTCTTCCAAAGCACAAGGCAGACACATACTCTTATTATTCTGACCATTTGTTTTTCCCTTCATCTATTCTTTTCCCTTGTTTTGTTCTTCTTGGTCTTTTTTTTTCTTTTTTTCAGTCTCTTTATTGAGTGGTTTGTTTGTTCTTGCCCTCCTTCCTTGCCCTGCTGGATTGGAATCTTTACAGTGGAAATATTTAGTTCTCAGTAAAGATGATGTGTTGAGCCAGGTTAGTGCTCTGACAGATGACATACTCCCACAGGATGGAAAAGCTCTAGCGCAAGTCTTTGGGCCCCTTGTGCTTCAAGGATCTCAAACAAAGGTTCTCCATAAGGCAGATTTAAAGGTCTATGCATACTATGTGAAGACCTCAGAAGCCACTTGTTTGACAGAAGTAGTTGTGTATGACGAGAATGATTACAAAGTTTACAATGGCAGACCATCCCTGGAGGCAGAAAAGAAGAAACCTGTTGGCAAGATCTTAGACTGCACTCTTGTTGTCCCGACAAATATAGCGAATTTTTTTTCATTTTGGTCCGCGGGCATGCACCATCGAATGCCTATGCTAATCAAAGTGTTCCTCTGATCTTGAAGAATGTGTTCGGTATGAATGAGAACCCGCAGGATGTCAGTGAAGCCCTCTGCAGTTTTGGACTTGAGAAAATGACATTTGATTGGGTGAAGAGTATTACCATAGACCTATCAAGTGAAGCACAAAATCGTCTGGCCCCCTGTGTAGCAGGATATCGTCTTCCCTCAGTCTTCCAATCTTACAAACCGAATAAGTCTGGTTGGGAGGAATATAAAACTGCTATTGAGGTTGCTCGATCTTTTGTCAGTGAAGGCCTTGACTGGGATTTCCATCCAGCATTCCGTTCACCTGCACTGATCTCCAAATACAGCAACATACATAAGAACTGCACCAATCTCGAGGAGACAATTGCCGGAATGCTCAAAAACAAAAGACTTGCGGTTCAACCAGTTTATGATGCTTCTCATGAGAATTTCAAGAACTGGACCGAAAGCATGATCTATAAAGCCACGTCACTTGTCTTCTCTCGTTCGAAAAAAATAGACCAGCAATCATCTTGTCACTCGGTGAGGAGTGTTACTAGATCCTCTTGTCTTCCATCATTCGGACACACTGTAAGTAGTAGTAGATTTCGCTTATCTTTTTATCACAACGGGCATACCACATACCGCTTGTGTAATCATGTATGGCAATGCCAGCTCCGTCGATGACGCCAGTAACCGCAGTTGGCCAGCAACATGCGTCACATACGTCACCAGCTGGTCATCCCACAGATTCTTTACCTATACATAGGGAATTAATTAGAATCTACTTGACGCATGGAATACGTCGTTATATAGAAGCTCGATTCGCAGAGGTGAGTCTGCATTCCTCCACTTGTTGAAGTTTCCAATGCTCATGGTATCTTAAACCAAGAACAGCCTGCCGCCCTTAAGAACCCCTTGTCGTGAAGCACGATGAAACTGCACCTAGCTTCCTGTCTCGTGTTTGCTCTTGCGACTTTTGAGGCAGTTGGAGCGTCCAGCTGGTTCAGTAAAGCTAGTTAGTCTCACCCAAACCGTACAATAGTGATGAGAATCATGCTAACACGCCAATACAGTCTACAACAAATGGCATGAAACTGAGCTCGAAAGATGGCTGTCTGATCATGGTACAATTCAAAGCTCCCCTCCAATGTACCCACTCAAGTACTGACAAACGCCAATAGACATCCCGTACCCTTCCCCAGCCGATCGCAGGGATTTGGAAAACCTCGTCAAGTCCAACTGGGAGTTGAGGGTTCAAAAACCAATTGGAAAGATTACAGATCAAGCATCAGACCAGTGGCACCATACAAAAGAATGGATCTTCGATACGTGAGTGACACACATCCTATCCCTCCTGCGGAATAAACACTTATTCGCAAAACCAGATGGTCCGATTCTCAGCTCAAGGCATTTCTCGACCGACATGGTATCCCTTGCCCACAGCCTCGTAGGCGTGATATCCTACTCAGAACAGCTCGGGAGAACTACGAAACTGTCGCAAAGAAGCTTGGCGAGGCCGCCTCGTACCCAGGAAATTGGCTCTACGAGCAATGGACGGAGTCCGACTTGAAAGTGTGGCTTGATGAGCGCGGATGGCCTGTGCCACAGCCCACCACTCGGGATCGATTGATCGCAGCTGTGCGCCGCAACACTCGCCTAGCTAGCCTCCAATCGCGGAGTATCGCTGCCTCGGTCGCTGCGTCGGCTGAAGCCGCACAGGCATCCTTGAGTGAAGCTTTGTTCAACGCTTGGTCTGATTCCGACCTCAAGAAATTCCTGGATGAACATAGTGTCCATGTACCGCAGGGCTCTCGACGCAATGAACTTATTGCGCTAGCACGTAAGAACCGTGGTTTTCTACTGAGCCAGGCTTCGACTGCATCCGAGCACATAGGCGCCGCTACTTCCAAGGCAGGCAATGAGTATGTCAAAGCCACCACTAATGCAGAGTTAAAGGCGCAAGAAGCATTTGATACTGCTGCGAGTGCATGGTCGAATTCCCGCTTAAAGGCGTTCCTTGATGCCAGGGGTATTCCTGTACCCCAGACTGGCAGGCGAGATGAGCTGCTAGCGAAAGTGAGAGCAAATCGACACAAGGTGGCTACGGAGTGGAACGCTTGGACCTTCGATACATGGGACACTGAAAGTCTGAAGTACGCCATATTATCTCTCTTTCCTCTCACACTTTCATCTCCTAACCAATTGTTGCAGGAAGTATCTTTCTTCGGTGAACTCCAAGGCTGCACAACGTGCGGGGGCAGCTCGGGATGAGCTTTTAAAGGAGGCACAAGATGCTTTCAATCGAGCCTCAAAGGCTGGAGGGTCGGAGCTGGCTTCTGCAACCTCGCTCATCAATGAGGCCACCGCAAGTGCCAAAGAATCAGCCTTCGACACTTGGTCGCAGTCCGACTTGAAGGAGTATTTGGATTCCTACGGTGTTCCAGTCTACCAGGGGTCCGAACTCAACGAGTTACGCGCTACAGCCCGACGCAATGCGCACTACTTCAAATATGGCACCTCCACTCCCCAAGGAGCTCTCTATGCCAAGTTCCAAGGAGCCCTGCAGTGGGTGATGGACCAGCTGAGGATTGGCGCAGCGAGTGGCAGAGCCCGGGGTCAGGAGGCGGCCGAGAAGATAAAAGAGAAGCTTGAGGAGGTAGCTGAGGATATCCGATCTGAGCTGTGAGATGATGCTGAATATGACTTGTTTTCTTCTTTGTTTTTGCGCATACGAATGTCATTTGATGTTTTGGAAGGTATATGCCCTGCTTACCAGTATGCTTATCTCCGCGTGTAGGTAAAAAGTTAATGAGAACATGGAAAAGAGTTAACGTTGATGAATATTACCCAGTTGGAATACGTATCCCAGGATACAATACACATAAAACTCAAGAAGACTACGGTAGGTACTACTCTCTATAAAGCGAACAACCACCAGATAAACAGAACCGCTGAACAAATCGTTCAGAGCTAAATATAATCATCTTATCCCAGACAAAACACATTGGCCAGGATCACTTTTATATATAGGAGGGAGGTAAAAGGGATGTTCTTGTATATATAGTATATATGTAAAGATGAGCCAACACCAATAATACTCTCTCTCCCCTCCCTCACATAACATAACACATGGCCAAATCAACAACCACTTTTTTTAAAGTTACGTTATATTATATTATATTATATTATTATGCCTTAGGAGCCTCAGGATCTCCCTCAGCAACCAACTTCCCGACAACAAGATACTTCTCGAGGAATCTCTCCTCCCAGCTCTGCAGATTCTCCAACTGATCTGCATCCAAGTCCTTGAGGTCATCCAGGGGACCGGAAAGGTCCTCTGTGAGCATTTCCCGGTCGAAGCTCTGGAAGGCCAGACCGCGGGATGCATCTCGGCCGGCGAAGTTCTCGTAGGGACCGCCCTAGTTGAGTAAAAAGGACCGGTACCTCGTTAGTTCGTTTGAAAAAAATATCTTGCTTGTCTAGGAGGCCAGGGGAGAGTCCCATATATATATATATATATATGATATATATGATATGTCCCTCGGGTGGTTTGGGGGGGGCCGGGAGCGTACCGGACCATAGAAGTTTCTGCCCGGGGTGACATCAAAGACACGACCGCGGACAGCGAGATATACAGGTTGGTCCTCTGTGCCGTTGAACGGGAGCAAGGCTTTCGGGGTGAAGGTGCGAAAGACGACGGGGGCAGGGGGCTTGGGGAGCGTGGCGGGGGTCTTGGGGCGTAATTGCATGTAAACGAGGATGGCGAAGACGGAGAGGAGGATAAGGTTGATAGGCGAGGCGATGGACATCCTACATTTTTTGTCGCCAAAAAAAAAAGATAAAAATAAAAAAAATTAACTCTGTTCAAAATTTCGCCTGAATTTTATAGAGATGAAATAATCCGGGGATATACTGACACCTCTGCCTGGGGCGGCGGAGCTGTTCCGTCTGTGGTTTTGAGAGGTTTAATTAGTACCCGTAGGAGTATAGTTTGGCTGTTCTGGATGGGAACCTGGAGGCGGACCTGTGGAAGACATGATGCTGGATGGGCAAAGCTGGAGCTAGAATCTGGTATTTCTTCGACTGAGGTTGAAATGAGATGTCGGATGTCGGGCATCATAATCTCGACTCTTTATGACGGAGACCGAATCGAGTACAAGGCCGGATGCAGCACGTGATTTATGCCTAAGGCGTAGAATATATGCTTAGTCATCATTTATCCTCCAAAGTCCCAACATCAACATCAACATCCAACATCCAAACTATCTTCAGACATTCAATCAATCAATCAATCAAAAGAAGAAGAAGAAGAAGAAGAAGATTTACTTTTCTAATAATATCTCTTTTCTCCCCTCTGGCGACAATTGAAACACCCTAAAGCTATTTAGTTATAACCAACTAACGTCCGGCTAATCCGCAAATTGCTTGGATTAGAGCTTGCATACTCTGAAACAGGGTCCTTCATCTTGTTGGCTACCGAATCACCCGCTTAATCTTAACAATTAATGATCATCTCCTAGGTTCTTATGATGAACCTCTAGGAGGATACCTACCTTTTTCCCTCTCTCTCTCTCTCTCTCTCTCTCCCTCCCCCCTCTCCTCCTTGAGGTTTCAAGTTCTTTCATTGCTCTAGGGGCGCGCTGTTAGGCTGTTGGGCTGCGCCGCTGCTCATGCTGTCCGTTTGCTTATAGATTGCTAACTGTCTCTCTCTCCTTCTGGACGTCATCCCATCCCCTCTTTTGCCCCCCTTTTCCTTGGGTTTCCTTGACGTTTCCGTGCCTGCTACTCAATACCCAACAAGCTCCCCTAAAGTGCTCTTTAACCACCCCCTCGCGTGGTCGATCACCTCGTTAGTAGATATCTGTCATGCAGGTATGCCTGCTGCATAAAATACATATTATTCGCCTGCTTTCCTTTCCGGTTTGATCACTAGCACTACCTCTTTCCAGCCTTGATTGTTCCGCGCAATCATCAAGGTAAGTTAAGCTGTACATACAGAATTTTGCACAGATCGAGAACGAATGATCCGCTAACTCCTAACATAGTTTCGTTTAATCCGTCATCCATCAAGATGTGGGGGAAAGTATCGTTCCATCGGTCCCGAAAGACCGTCGATGAAAGCCCCTCTTCAGGTGCTCATATCTATCAGTCGCCATCGCTGTCAAGCTCCCAGACTAGCGAGCTTTACGCGAAAGCGTTACCTACATTGCCAGTGTGAGGAAACTCCACTATAACCCTTTGTTCCTTATTCCTGAGGACCCTCCCTTAATAACGGTCTTATCTAGTGATCTATCATCGGGTTCGCAGTTCGCAGCGCATCAGCCAGATCCCAGCGCGCGAGTGGCATCTTCCATATACTCTCGGGATACTGCTCCTTTTAATCATCCTCACCAACGCTCAAATAGTGGCGCATACCAATTTTCTCAGGAACCTAACTTATTAAACCCGGGTCAGGGTGATTCCCAAGGCACGAGAAGCGTGGAAATTTCCCCTCCCGACTCTCCAATCACCGGCATCCATAGTCCAAACAGCTCCCGGGTCTCTTCAATAGAGGACGAACCGGAACCACCAACGGGTAGCAGTGGTAATCCTCCAGGGGAGAGAAAATTCGCCAGCCATATCCCGATCATAAGCAAGGGCGTCGATTCTCAGCCAGACCGTGTTCAGACGAACTCGTCAGCTGAAGTTAGTACTACGAGATGGAACAATGAGGCGACGACGAGCAATTTCGGGAGAATGGGCCAGGTCACTCCTGGCAATGTTTCATTTGAGACACACATATCCGCCCATCCTCCACCATCACACAGCTCAAACATTTTTGGTTGGGGCAAGGACCAACTTAATTCAAGAAAGAAGCTATCTGAGACCCGTAATCGGTTTCTGAAAAGTGATGATCCTACCTTTGTTCCCCGCGAGCCTTGGAGGGGCCAAAGTGGTCGATCCCCAATGGTAAATCCCATTCAGGAGAAGCCAGGTGCTAGATCTTCATCACGCCTATATTTCTCAAAGGATCGTTCAAGGCAGATGAATACTCCATCGCCTATCCCCGGAATAGTGGCACCTTCAGCCCTGACAACAATTATAACTGCTGGTGAAGATACCACACCTGCAAAGCCACCAAAATCAGTCCGCCAAAAGAACAAGTATGACGCACCTGGCGCTGAGGCGCCCGTTTTTGACGCTAGTGTCGTCAGCGGCCCTACCCCGCCACGCGTCGATCTTCCAGAAACGGAGCTGACTGTTGGTTTGGCCGACCTGAAACTCTTGGGAGATGACGTTGAGGAGCCTACAAGTCGCCTCAGCGTCGCTACTTATGATCCCACGGAGGCAGCGAGTTCAACTCCAAGCCCACGAGATAGCATCGACGGAGCATCCCAGATCAGCGACAGCGTCTCCATCATGTCACGAACACGCCCTGTCCCCAGTACTATCGCACACGGAAAGCGGCCTATCAGGAAGCCAACCCCCTCTGAGGTTTCCGCCGACAAAGCGCTTCCTCAGTGCCCCCCTGAAATGAGCGCTCAGAGTCGCATCGAAATGCTGGAAGCGAAGAAAAACGATCTTATACGTCGTAGAACGAACATTAACACGATCATCCATGAGTTGACCCAGGTGATTCAACCAAACTCCGTTGCCTACGATATGGCCGCTCGAGACGAGGTCAAGAAAACAGTCGCTAGTCTCAACAATGAGCTAGCGGAAATTAAGAGGGAGGAGCATGAGGTTGGATTGAAATTACTCCGAGCGTGGAAGAAGCGCGACAACGAAGACTTTTACGGCCAGGAAACCGGTTTATGGGTTAAACGAGTGACTAGCTGAGGGCCACATTCTTTTCCTACTTTCTACGGACCGTTATACCCCCGCATTCATTATCTTTGTTCACTCTTGATCCTCCTCCCCTCACAATATTTTAACAAGCCTTGGCCGGACCACATGTTTCTCAATCTACAAAATATTCTCTACCATCCCCAGATGGCGTCTTGTCTTCATTTTGATCCGTGTTTCTTTAGTTACCCCATGTATTCTGATCACGATACTAGTGACAATATTCGCGCGAATCTCCACTCGCGACTTTGTAGTGCAAATGATACCCCCTGACCCCTCAAAGGGCCACTAAAATTTGATATCATATAACGTTCCAAGTTTCTCCGTCTTACTCGTGCAAGCAAAGTTCGGTGAAATGTCTGTATACGAAAAAAAAAAATAGTGTTGCTCAAATAGTAAGATGTAGTGATTGGTGCCACCATGGGTATCCTCCACTTCTCCGCGCTCGTGGCTCGTGGCTCGTGGCTCGTAGGATTCGTCAAATTCGGTGTATTGAAACAGGATCATTTCTTTCCTGACTTCTTAATACCCTGCTGGCCAGTGTTCAATGGGCCGCGTCCCTTAGCCTTATCCATCAAGTCCTTCCTAGCCTTAGCCTCTTTATATCACGGGACAAAACAATTAGCGATCGTTCAGTTGAAAGTACGCAGATATCACCCAAATATAAAGAAGAACATACCAGCCCTCTGTTTCTCCTGGAAGGCAATATCGTCGTCATCGAGATCCTTCTTCTCCTTCTTCGCAGCCTTGAGGGGCTTGACTTTGCCGCCTACCAAATGAAAACGCAGTTAGTGGGTGCCCATATATCGCCATGAGAGAGGGGAAAAGTCACACGTACCTTCTCTGCTTTGGCCACCCATTTTGAGCAATGTATCAAAAAATTCCGGTATAGAAAACGGTACTAGATCTCTTGAAAGCGGTGATAAGAGAGGAGGGGGGGAGGGAATTAGAAAAAGTGAGCAAGAAGAATTGTCTGCGGGGGGGAAAGACTAGTTCCGTATTTGGTTAGATAGGGAAATCTCCTCCCGTGACCGCCAACAACGTGACATGACGACGAGCAATCTCATCTTCTCATCTTCTCATCTTCTCATCTTTCATCCGATTCTGCTCTGCTCCTTGCAGGCATCTTCCACTGCCTTGGGTTCTTCTGTAATTTTCATTTCTTTTATTTCTTTTTCAAGATTTTGAGAGCGTTCATCTCATGTTCTGCTCGAACCGATAGTTGAGCAGTTGGGACAGCGCCGTGGCGTCTCTACCTGAGTTGGTTGGACTTTCTCAATACATCCCAAAATACCTTTGCAACGGAAGCATCCTTGCTAACCGGGAATCATTCTTACGATCTGTAAAGCTGCTCCAAAAACCGTATCTGGTCGAGCGGTATCGCGCCCAGTACCATGGAATCCCGCAGGTCGAGGTCTCCATCGACGACCCCTTCTGAGGGTGAGATTATCGAATCAGGTTCAGAGACGAAGGCAACTACGTCGCAATTTCCTCTTAATGGCAACAGCGTTGACCGTCCCACCAGACCCAGAACTTCACCCGGATCTCCAGCTTCACTGACCAAATCGCCTCGTCGTCGGAGATCGAGGACCCGGTCCAGGTCCAGGTCGCGCTCCCGATCCCGCTCTTCCTACCGAGATTACAGAGGATCCAAGCGCCGACGAGATGATGACTATGACGATAGACGTTATCGAAACGACCTCGCGCGAGGCAACCGATACGATGAACGCTATCATGACCGGGGCCAGTATCAGCGACAACCCAAATCTTATTACGACTATGACCGCGAGGAAAACCATCATGCCGATCTCCGATACAGCGATGACTATGGCCGACGTAGGGATAAGCGGCCACGAACCCGTAGCCGATCCCCGTATCGCGAAGTCCGCAAACGGAAGCAATACTCGGGTGATGAGTGGGAATCCCAGCAAGATCAAAGAGACGAGAGTGTAGCCTCTCGGGATAGAAGGTCTTCTACCGAACAGTTAGTGAGCGAACGGGGCAACACCCCAGCTTTCGCTCGAAATTCTAAACAAGATGCTGAGACTCAGAAAAATCAGGTGCAGCCAGTTGCTTCAAGCTCTACCACCCATGCTGGTAGCCGGTATGTATACCCCCCCCCCCCTCCTTTTTTTTTCGCATTCTTAACAGTTGTGCAACTTGCTAATTCGTCGCTTAGTGTGAATGGTGAAGAGCAACATCCGATTGAACCAATCGATGAGGCCGCCCAGCTCGACGCTCGTCGCAAAAGGCGTGAAGCTATCCGGGCCAAGTATAGAGGCCAGGCAACGCCTTTGCGGCTGCAAGCACTCCATCTTGGGGTCGATAGGGATTTGACCACCCCAACTAGCGATACAGTCGCTTCCAGCAATGCTACTTCAGGTAATATGCTTTGATCCGTTTTGATTATTCAGTACTAACTCGACTTGAAAACAGACGTTTCCCAGCCATCGGCTGCTCAGACCCCAATTGACAGTACTGGGGAGTCATTTCCCGAGTTTAACATAGGGAAGGATACTGATTTGGTTAATAATGGTACACCTGTAGATGGTGTTGATAAAGATGAGCCTTCGGCCGCAGACTACGACCCTACGATTGACATGAAAGCCGAACGAGATAGACACGACCAACATACCAACGGGGATGTCTCTGCAGCAAGCTACGATGAGACGAAAACTACCAAACAGGATGTGCTTCTTCCTGATGCTCCACCACCGCCACCTGAGCCCAAACCAAAAGATCCATATGATATGTTTGCTGAAGACAACGATGACATGTTCGCCGAAGATACCCACGACGCCGCTCAACCTACGCATGCATCCGCCATTTCTGCCGTTCCCCAACCACAGGAGCTTGACATTAGCATGATGGACAATTGGGACGATCCCGAGGGTTACTATAATGTCCGGCTTGGTGAGTTGATCAATGGACGTTACCATGTGCACCAGAATCTAGGCAAGGGAATGTTTTCATCTGTAGTGCGAGCGATGGATTCGAAGACGGGCAATTTGGTTGCAATCAAAATCATCCGACAGAATGACACCATGAAGAAGGCAGGACTGAAGGAGATTGGAATCTTGGAGCAGCTTCATGAAGCCGACCCCGATGACAAGAAGCACGTGATCAGATTCGAACGCAGCTTCGAGCACAAGGGGCATCTGTGCATGGTGTTTGAGAATCTCAGCATGAACCTGCGTGAGGTCTTGAAGAAATTCGGGCGCGATGTTGGGTTGAACTTGCGAGCGATTAGGGCGTATGCGCAGCAAATCTTCCTCGGGCTCAGTTTGCTTCGCAAGTGCAACATTCTCCATGCCGATCTGAAGCCGGACAACCTTCTGGTCAATGAACAACGCAATGTGCTCAAGGTTTGCGACTTGGGCTCCGCTTCTCCCGCTTCAGAGAACGAAATCACACCATACCTAGTCAGTCGATTTTACCGTGCCCCCGAAGTTATTCTGGGGATCCCCTACGATTACGCGATCGACATGTGGTCCATTGGGTGTACCCTGTTTGAACTCTACACGGGCAAGATCCTCTTCACCGGACGCAACAACAACCAGATGCTACGGTCGATCATGGAATGCCGTGGCAAATATCCGCCCAAGCTCCTGCGACGGGGGTCATTGGCCCACCTACACTTTGACGAGATGTTGAATTTCCACAGCACGGAGGAGGATAAGATCACAGGCCGGCTTGCCACCCGGGTGATCGACTTCAAGAAACCGACGCGGGACCTGAAGACCCGGTTAATGGGCAAGAGTACGCGCGGCATGACGGACAGTGAAGCGAAGGAGCTGGCGCTCTTTGTGGATCTATTGGACCGATGTTTAAGTCTGAACCCAGAGAAGCGATGCACGGCAGCTGAGGCATTGAAGCACCCATTTATTTCGCGGCCCAAGGCATGAATCTGATTTGACTCTATGCGGCAAGCGGGAGGCGTTTGGCAGGAGAATAATAAATATTGTTTATACCGAGTCTAGTATAGTACATGAATGATATCATTGTAGCACGGATCGGATGAAATTCTTTTTTTCCGCGCCGATCTACCGCACATCATCGACTGTTCATTGTTCACTGAGTAATCATTCTCGCCCGAAGTGCTCGGTGTAGTAACTAACTAACTAGTTAATAGTATGATGATTAGATTTAGCTGAGCGACGGTGACTCCGCCGGTGGTGGCAAACACGAACAGCACCACCATCCGATCTATGGGGCAAATGGGCAAATGAGGCAAAATAGGGATCTTTACCTTTCTAGATACATACATGCCTCTATTGGAGGGATCAAACTAGGTATAATAAGGTATGTGAATGGAGATACCCTAAGATGATTACCTATATATATATATATATCTATATATATATGCGTACTGTGTATATATACGTACTAGGTAGTGGTTTACAAGAGTAATATTCCCATGCACAATTGTGTACTTGAAAGTAGGAGAACCAAGGTAGAAGATGTACTCTATATGTATGTAGGTATGTATTCAATATTGTTGTTGTGAGTGCATTGCATTGAGGCTTATTGCTCTGTATGGCTACTACTTACCTACTACCTAGAGGTAACTAGAGTACCTAAAGTAGTTAGGGATGAAATAGAAAACCCGACGAGGAATAAAGCCATAAAAATACAAACAAGAAGCTGTTTTTTTCCTCCAGAGTTAGATACGAGTACTCCGTCCGGATACTCTTGACGGTCTGACCAGCAATTTAGATAACAATCGTAAAGATGGAGCGTGACCCACTCATTCTGGGTACAGCAAACGTGGCAACAAAGCAGCCAATCAACAGTGGAGACCGTTGTCATCGGGGTCCATCTTCTGGAACCAAAACGCAATGGGGCGAATCGATTGGTTGCCTCACTTTGATAGAGTTTGATTACCTATTCACTTCAAGGTTTGCATGGAAGATTTACCCTCCTTGAATGATTCGGGTGTACGGAGATGAAATATTTAAAATAATCAATTAAATAGTCAAGATGAGGTCTTTTTTTTTTTTTTTTTTTTTTTTTTTTTTTTTTTTTTCTTTTGTGGAATAAAAAAAGAAAAGAAAGAAGGAAGAGGATTTGGAAGAGTAGGGACTGTATGAAGTTAATTAGGTGACAAGCTGAAAGCGTCGAGATGGAATCATAAGTGGTGGAGGAGGAGGCGGGAATGGAAACTTGGATCCACCTGTGGACTCGGTGTCTGATCCAACCACATGGAGGGTCCAAGAGTCCAAACTCCAAAGCCTTGTTCGACGGATGGATCCTGGTTTCCCCGCTGGCCCCAATTTCATTGTAAGGAGATCATCACTGTTCTCTCAGGGCCTAGGTAGGTCTCTTCGGATAAAATATCTGGTACAGATCGAAAGTTACGCCCGGAGAAAAGAGAAGAGAAGGGGGAGGGCAGTTGAATATATACAGGTAGGCCGTGTGCTGGAGTTGGGCTGCAAAGTGCTACCAGGCGGATGGATTCAAGTTTGGACTGCTGGTACGTACGTTAGACGGAGCCGGTTCCAAGTACAGTCAGTGATTCTGCTGGTTGCGCTGAATAGAGTTCTACTGGAAAAGACGGTGTCCTCCTTGATATTCATGATACAGGTTATTTGTGTTACAGAATAGAGGCTGGCCAAAAGAGATGTCATCATTACTCCCAGACTCTCAATTAGGCGGGAGGTGAAATGAAGCCCAATCAAAGCTCTCGAGATGGATTTATCTTCCCTGCATCATCTGGAACCCCAACCAATTAAAAAAATCAGGGTGAGTGGGGCTCTGCAGCAACTTCAGCAACCTGTCACATCCACACCGCCTCCCTGACCAGGCAACCAATTATCTTAGACTAGTGGGTCCTATGCTGCGCCTGGGCCTGCAGTCATAGTCATCCTTTTCTTTTTTTATTTGAGGGGAGAAACTGAGCCTTTCCAACCTTTTTGCCTCCTTATCAACCAGCCGTCATTTCTTATTATTCTTATTTCTTACTGATGATTATTCCGTGCCCCGTATTTTAATAATAGAGAATAATATAGTTAATTAATATATTATTTGTATTTCCTGCTATACTCTTTCTTCCCTCCACTTCCCCCTCTCTCTCTCTCTCTCTCCTTCACCTCTCCACCACCAACACCCCAAACTCCTCTCTCTCTCTGGTACTTTACCTCCTCTCTTCCCCTTCCCCTTCCGCTGTCATTCCCTCCCTCTCCCTCGCCCGATCGCATTTTCTGTCCTTTCCATTTCTTTTCCCTCGTCTGTTTCTTCTGCTTCTTCTGCTTCATCTTCTTATATATCCACTCCTCTTTATCCTCCTCTTAATCTTCTTCCTTTCGTCCTCTTGTTGCTCCCCCCATCCTACTGGTCTCTTGTACCTGGCTGTGCAACACTACCAACAATCATCTCTAGTAACAACAACTCAACTGAACCAAAGGAAAAAAAAAAAAGGATCCTCTCGACTACTCTCCCGTTGGACATTCCCTGGACTCTAATTGTTTACTCTGATCGACTCCATTCCTTCCATGGCTTCTTAAACAACAAGGCAGTCCTTAATTTGGTGCTTTCCCTTCTCGTCTAGAGATAGTATATCCGTCACTCGCCACCACCATCTGGATTATCATTACTGTTTGATATTAACCCTCTTCCGCCCTCTCCATTTGGATTTTGGATTCCAGGATTGATTTTCGTTGCCACTCCGGTTCTTGACGACTCCTACAGCCGGTTTCTATATAATAAAAGTCCAAAGTCCCTTGCGGTCCGCTATAAAAGAGGGTTCGATCCGGATTTATCCTGTCAGGCCGGCACCGCATCTTCCCTCCCTCCTTCCCCATGTTGCCCCCATCTCATCCCTTTGGCATGTACCCCCATATGCTTCCTACTCCTCCCCCCTCTCCACCTGTCACTCGCTGCTATGCCCCGGAAGACCGTTTAGGATGGCTCCTGGCCAATCGCCTCGAGCTCACTAGCATCCTGGGAGTCGGCGCTTATGGTGTTGTATACACGGCCGTCGACATTCATACCGATGCCCTGTATGCTGTCAAGGCCCTCAACAAATCTGGACTTGATCCCCGGCAGCTCAAGTTCCAGCAACGCGAGATCAAGCTCCACCATCTGGCCAGTCAACATCCCAACGTGGTTTCCTTGGTTCGCATTATGGATTCCGTCGATTGCACCTATGTAGTCATCGAATTCTGCCCCGAGGGTGATTTGTTTTCCAGCATCACTGACAAAGGTCAGTTTGTGGGTAATGATCCTCTGGTCAAGCGCGTGTACCTGCAAATCCTGGATGCTGTCAACTACTGCCACTCCCTGGGAATCTATCATCGGGATCTGAAGCCGGAAAATATCTTGGTCTCCGACCAGGGATTGACTGTCAAACTAGCCGATTTTGGCTTGGCTACTACAGATTACCTCACCTCTGATTTTGGTTGTGGTTCCACGTTCTACATGTCGCCAGGTAACGTGTTCTCCATCCTTTCGTGGCAGCATGTCGACCAACGCTAACGGTCTCGCCCCCTTCTCTTCACTACAGAATGCCAGCAATCGAACCCTCGACCGATGTCGTGCTACCAGTCCGCTCCCAATGATGTCTGGAGTCTTGGGGTCATTCTGGTAAACCTGACTTGTGGCCGAAACCCCTGGAAACGTGCCTCCATTGAGGATTCCACGTTCCGGGCTTATCTGAAGGATCCTTACTTCCTCAAGTCCATTCTGCCTCTGTCGGATGAGATGATCTGTATCCTAAGCCGCATCTTTGAGCTTGATCCGTCCAAAAGGATCACTATTCCTGAGCTCCGCCAACTCATCCTGGACTGCCCACGCTTCACTCTGAACCCCATGACTCCATGGGGCTCAACTGCTGGACCGCTCCCCGTTGGCTATGTCACCTGCCCACAGGTTCCCGTTTCTCTTCCCGAGGATGTCCTGGACACGCAGTCCTCTAGTTGCTCCTCGGACTCGTCTCAGTATTCTGATTCTCTGGTCTCAGCTGTGTCCGATGCTTCCTCCTTTACGGAAGGCTACCCAGACATGGATAGCCTGCCTTCTTTGGGGATCGAGCCTGAAACACTCTGCAAAGATGACTTCCCGCAGCCAGACTCCATCGCATGTAGTGATATGCCGGAGCCTCTCGTGGTTTGTCATCACCCATTTGTTTACTCCATCCCCGTCTGCTGAAATGCAGCTGGTCGTTACACCATTGCACAATAAAAAAAAACAAACAAAAAACACCTTAACGCAAGTTTTACGATTTAACGTCATCCCCCCCCCCCCCCCCCCCCCCTTTTTTTATTTCTTGTCGATTGTTTCCGGATCTCACTCTTCGCCTTGCATTTGATGCAACATTGTATTATTCTGCCACGGATCGCTTTTCCTGGTTTTCGACATAATTTTTTTTCCCCTCATCCATCTCCTGGATATACGCACTAATTGTTTCTGGCCCCCAATTTCTTGGATATATGGATAATACCTGGATGGAGTTGCTTCCCTGGATCCTTTTCCTTATCGGCCATGGGCACGAAAAATTGCCCGGAAGGATCATGGTTTCTGTCAGCCTGTCGACATGATCCATTGGGACTGGCCAGAAACCTGGATTTTGTTTTATTAATATGTTGTTATTTTTTTTTTTTGGGTGGGACCTGTTTGGATAATTTTTTTTGGAAAAATTTCCCCCTTTTTGGTGCTGGGAGTTTCGTTTTGCTTTGAAGAAAATACCCCGGTTTAAAGATGAAGCGTCGCATACATGGATTTTGTTTTTTTTTTTTTTTGTGAAGGAGTTGGCATGGCATGTTGGGTCACTCTTTTAGGATGATACCTTGGAAGAAGGGGGTTGTTATTATTGGCTTTCATTCCTGTCTGATAAATAGTTTGATTTGGATGTCGACTTGTGGACTATATTCGGCCCGCCACCAGTTGACTAGCACTGCTCATCAGCCCGCAAAGCCTACGAATCGCTAGGGCAAGCCCTTTCGATCCGATGTCTATTATTGCAATAGAGACACGTTTAGACGACTATTTCTTTGTATTCGTTCTCGATCACCAATAACTTCCCCAATTCTGATCCTTCACCGAATCATGACTTGGCAGTCCAGTGCACGTCAAGTATTAGCCGCTTGTCCGTGACACTACAAACAAGGCAGCCAACCGTCAAGACGGACGGAGTATATTAATTCTCGATTCGTGTCAGATTCGTGTCAGATACATCATCACATCCTGCCTACGCAGTACACCCAGCCTTGTTCTAACATAATTTCGAATAATGGTACGTGCCTCTCTTCCCTACGTCAGATAAACTCATCATATAGTTACCCAGTATTCATCTTGTCCTCGTAGAGAAAGGTTACCTCATCAAGTAAAAGCCATTTGTTTTTTACATGTTCCTTCCCCCGTCACCCGGATAGTCTCCCCATTGACATACGAAAACCTACGCATTTCCATGAATCCCACTGGTTGAACTAATATTGATAATCACTCGAGGCTCGCCATCTTTCACCCGGAAGTACTTTGCTGCTGTGCAGATGAGCTGAAATGGCGCTGTGTTGTGGATTGCAATCATCGTGTCCCATTGTTTATCTCTGTGATCTGTTCAAATATGAATCCAGCCGTTCCCAAACGCCGCCGCTCGCTGCCTTCCTTGTCCACGAGTTCTTGGATGTAAGTAGTGTACATACACATATGTAGTAGGTAGCTAAGATAAAAGATTGTTTGTTACTCCAGAGTTCCAAGTATGTATGTATGTATGAGTTGTTTGCCGAGGCCCCGTTGTTACCAGTACCTATGATGAAGTAAGTATACAAAAATAATTCAAAATGATTATACAAATTCACAATAATAATAATAATAGTAGTAGTAGTAGTATAGCTAATTGCAAATACACCCCCCAGATAACACCTGGAGAAATGTATCTGTCATCGCCTCTGACCCCCCAATGATTTGCCGCAGCCAGTTCCAGCTCCCTTCCACGCCCTCTGCCATGTTTAGTTCCGCAGCTTCCGCGAGCAACCCTAGCGTCTCCTTGCATTGTAGGAGCCGTCCCCGGATCAGGAACCGTCGGACTCGTCGCGTCTCCTCGGGGCCCATTTCGTACTCGCCATATCCCACAGTCACCACGCCGTGATGGTGGTGGTGGTGGTGATGGTGGTGGATCGCTCGACCAGACGACGAGGGAAGCAGCTCGCACGAGGTCCAGTAGTCGCATAATTGCAGAGTTACTTCTAGAGTCGACATGCAGAGCAGCAGGCTGGTACTGTTATTCTTGTGGCCGCGCGCACATTGCAGGAACCCGCGACACCCGGATAACGCCGCCTGTGCGCCCTGGAGCATCTGATCGAACCGAAACTGCGCGGGGCTGGTTACGATCTGCCGGAGGTGGTTGAGGTGGAAGACCAGAGTCTCGCTGCAGTCACACGGTGGCCGGAGGGTGTTCGGGATGTGTACGGCGAGAGGAAAGCTGGTCAGGCCCTTGGTGATGAACTCCTTTTGCAGGAAGGTGGGAGACATTGAAGCGTCGATGCAGGGGCTGGTGGTGGTGGTGGTCTCTACTACTGCGAGCGAGCCTCCGTGCAGCGGAGGGTATTCTGTACCAGACTCGGCTAGCAGCATCGTAGATGTGTCGGCGATAGGGTTCTCATGGTGCCTCGGACTTGCAGATAGATGTGGTTGCTCTATCTCTGGGGGACTCTACCATACCAGATTAGAAGACTGTGCGGTCTAACCGTGATAATGAAGAACAAACCGTCTCATTTACAATTACACTGACATCATCATGCGTGTACCGCGGAATAGGCGTTATAACCTGAATGTGTTTCTCTTCTACCGGGCCTGTCCATCGTTCGTTCGTTCGCAACGCGTCTTTCTTCTTCGCCTGCAGTTGTCCCAGTTTCCAGAGAGTCGACCGGTTTTTGCTTCCTTTTGGCTTGCCAGACCGATTAGCCAGCCGGTATCGACAGGGTAGTCCATGACGGAGGCAGCGAATGCACGTATCCTTCCCGGATAAATTACACTTCACTTTGGATTGCCTGCAATTCTCGCACGCAGCTCGGAGCTTCGGTGTATCCCCACTGTTGGAGATTTGATCAGACTCCGTCAGCATTGAGCCGATAAAGTGCAGCTAGCAGTCGTTTCGACAATATCTTTGTTGAGATGATAATAACAGCTAAATAGGTATCATTTTTTAAGGAAAAACCTGATCACCCATATACCGTCCAGCACACCCTGATTTATATATATACACAAATCTGGATAGATTCTCAAGACCGTGACGCTGCCAAAGCCCAATTCATCCCGGGATTCATGACCCGACGGAAACCGCAGATGAAGTCAGCCGTTGTGAAACCCCAAAATTCCATCTGATTCACCTCGCATAGGAGCCAGCCAACAAGCGCGGGCTATAGTCATCGTTGCAGGCTCTTCCAACAGTCCAAATGACACCAGCCTCTGCAGATCGAAAAGGTAAATGCGAAATTGCTTGGCTGCCATCAATGCGTTCTGATAGGAGGCAAGCAACAGCCCCCTGTCCACTTTTGCGTCTGAGGATGGGGGATCTGAAAGAATAAGCTCAGCGCAGCGTTGTGTACAAAGCGCTAGTGGAAGGGAAAGGGGGGTGAGCTTTGATGTCGAATAACTCTAATCATTCAGGAAAGCGTAATCGCAGGGTAAAGTCTTTGGCTTTGGGCAAGTATCCAATGAGAGAAATGCCACCCTCTGCCAAGGGAGACACGCTTGGGATGCGGACCAACACACCATGTGAGCTGTAACAAGATGCAGTAAGGTGTCCCGGTTCATCTGTTTCGGTTGGGACACGGCAGAGGAAGCGGTGAAATCTAGAGGACCCCGACAGGAGTTCTTCGGTATGTTCGTGAGAACGGGTTTTGTTTCCTTCTTCTTCTTCTTCTTTTCCTTCTCCCTAGTTATTTGCCCCTATTCATGTTGTATCTTTCTAATTGGCCATTGTCTAGTTGTCTATCTCCCCGTGGGAGATGGAGGACGGGTTGCACAGATGTTTATAGTCAGCACGGAGGGGGTCCTTTTCGGTTAGACATGTCTCGAATGGTGAGGAGTCAGCGTTCAGCAATCTCTACCGAACCAAATATATACGCTGAGATTGGATCATCGCAATCTGCGGTCGATGGTAACGTGTCGTCGACGCATACTTTTTTGCTTATTCGTGTGATCAGGAAGGGTTCTTTGAACGACAAATCAAATACTTAGATCAGGGGGCAGCTCTCAGCGGTCCCACTATGACGATAATCAAACGCCCTCAACAGCCCTGTCAGATGAGCCACGGCTGCGCAGACTACCAGCACATGAAAGATCTGGTGCGAACTTCCCCAAAGATCGAACTTCCCTGGTCGCAGCCGTTCGGGGACTCGGGCTGCATATATCCCGGCTCCCAGGATGTACAGAAACCCTTGGAGAAGGAGCCAACCGAGGCCAATTTGGCGCATCATCTGGTCACGCCCATACAGCTGTAATCCGTGTATTACGGGAAACACCGCTGACAGACCCATTCCGACAAACATAGCGGCACGGAATGGCCGCAATCGAGGCGTTCGGAACTGAGGAAAGACTGAAACCATGATGCAGCCAATCCCAATGCTGCAGATCATGGTCCAATACAGCTCTTGCAATCCCGGTGCGCAGTAGAAGCCATAGTAGATACTAGGAACAAAACTACCCACAATAAGTCCTACAATCCCAATATAGTCGCAGGTATTTCCGATACGGGCCACAATTGGTGAGTGGTTCGAAATAGTATGGTAGATTGCGGACATCCCGAGACAAAAGGCAGCTCCCGCAAAGAAACAGCCGAAAGCCCAAATGTCACCATGTGTGGCCGTCTCGTACCGCGGAGCGAGAACTTGATGGAGCTTAATTGCAGCAGGGACCGCTAGCAATGATGGCAGAAGGTGTGTGTATATGTTGACAGTCTCATTGTGGATATACGTCAGGGATTGGAACGAAATGAGGAACGAGTAAGACGCAGGACGATATCCCGTGTGGATGTGCTGATTATCCCGCTGCCAATGGGGTAAATCATCCCAATGAAGGAGCGACTTGATGGCCTGTGGAGGATTTTCTAAGACCACAGCAGCAACAGAAGCTGGTTGGTAGTTTCCTTGCTCCTTCTGGTAGCTTTCAGTGGGACGACGCTGACGGGGTGGCATTTCTTCGAAAAAGCAACTGCGGATGTGGGAGCCGAAGAATTGACAAACGTGAGGATAGGTGGAAGGATCAGGGAAGGAAAACAATCCTCCGTCGTCAGAGACCGTAAGCCATGATTAAAATCCGCCCTGTTAGCAAAGGGAGAGAGAGTAGCCTAGGGAGTTGTTGGGCTCAACTTTTTGTTCGTATGGTGTTGGGGGATCTAGACAAACAGGGCAAACACGTGGTGGTCTCCAAATGAGGCCGGCCCTTGCAGTTTCCCCGCGCTCAGCGTGTACTTCACTAGCTCAATACAAAGACGCAGACCGTCTTAGGGTTATCATTGCGGTCATGGCTGGTCGAGCGCCATCGGGTAAATGGCCCGGAAGCCGCCTGAAGCCCGTGGCTGACTCCCTGGAGTCTGTGGGATTTGTATCTAAGGGAGATCGCAAGTATGGCTGATAGCGTGAGCCTGTATTCGTCCTGGGACTAACATTTACAGGCTACTGGATCACAAGACTCAGAGGGATTACTATGATAAGATTGTGGCTAGATATATCGAGTTTTGCGCACGGCATTCGAAGGACTTGGATGCAGCGTGGGCTTCCCTTCCCAAAAGCGCTTCTGACGACGCAACGAAGAATCCACCGGCTTCGCTTTCACGACCAACCAAATCAACTGGGCCATCGCCAGCCACAGAGCTGTCTACTCTACTCCTTTCTCTTCGCAAGCTTCGAGAAGCTGTATTAGCCACAGCCTCAACCATCCCACTCACTTTCTCCCAACGAGTCCATGTGTTCTCCGTCAAAGTTGCGATTCAAGCCCAGCATCCGCCGTCCTACTTTCCTTCCCTTCGTTACCTTCTTGAGTACCTCCACACTCCTTCTAACCCACTTCCTGAATCTGAGCTAAAGGACCACGTCTCCTACCTGATCCTCGATTACGCATGTCGGCAAGGAAACTTCGTAGCGGCTTTCGAGCTGCGCGCCCAGGCCCGCACAAAATACAACTTTCAATCACGGGAAGTTGACCAAATTCTCGAGGCTCTTGCGCACGATAATTGGGTTGTATTCTGGAAGCTTCGGAAACAAGTAGACTCCTCAGTGCGCTCCGTGATGAACTGGGCGGAAGACCGGGTGCGAAGACATGCCCTCAAAGCAGTTGGCAAGGCTTATCTCAGCGTTGACAGCGCATGGATCGTCGAAGGCTGTACTGGGGACAAAACCTGGACGTGGGAGAAACTGGTCGAGATGGAAAACCTGGGATGGCAAAAGGAGGGCGACAGGATTATAATCCGAAAACCGAAGCCCAAACCGACCCTCGATCAAAGTCTCACGACGATTCAAGAAAACACGTAAAAGTGATCCCCCCCCGAATTGTTCTCTACATTACACACAGGCATCTCGGAGCATTTGGAAGCAAGGCGTTGGGGTCATGGCGTTTATTGATATGAATTCGTCGGTGCATAAGGCATATTCATAGATCGTTATCGCATTACACATAATTAATCACAACTTGAAATCCGCGTTTGGTCGATCCAGGTTGATCTGTCCGGTGATTGGCTGTTTGGCAACCGCTTCTACGAGGCCGTTTTTCAGTTGAACCGACTTATCAGAGCAAAGCTCGTAGACGGTGGACAAATTGAACACCAGGCTGGAGAAAGAATGGTTTGCCTGCACCAACGATTCCAAGACCTCTCGTGCCTAAGCAAAAGGTCAGTACTTTCTAGACATTAGCAGTTTAGCTAGTAACCTACCTCATTTAGTCGACCAGTATACAACAAGCAAACAGCTAGGTTCTGGGATACCATGCCCTCGTCGGCTCTCTTGTTTTCCAGAAGAGCCCGCCATTCATGAGCTGCATCGCTGTACCGGCCTTCAGACATGCTGAGCAGCGGTTTGAATATTGTGTCCCCAGTTTCATCCAAGTCCCCACATACTTGCTTCGCGGCATCAATATCTCCAGTTAGAAGGAGAAGGAGCACCATCCTTAGCTTGATGGTCTCATTGACTGGCTCGGTTTTTCGTAGACTCTCTAGCGATCTTTTAGCTGCATTCAGGTCTCCCATCTCAATTAATGCATTCGCACTCCTTATTCCAAGATCGGACAACCTCTGCCTCCAGATATCTCGCTCCGCAGGTGTCACATCGGCGCGCATAATCTCCCGACGTGCTTCCAGCCCGATCTCGTAGAGACCCCCGATGCCTCTGCGCGAATCACCAAATCCGATACTCTGGAGACGGATTGCTAGAACACGTAAGGGCCATGGCGCAATATGGCAAGAGTAGCTTGAATTCTTTTGATCACTGGTATCAGCGGCCTCTGGCTTGGGATCTATATAGTAAAAGGTAGAACTCAGATCTTCGAGGGCCTTTGATTCTTGGGCGGCAATAATCGTATTCCCGGAAAGTTCTAGACAGGCTAGTCGTGTGTATAGCAGTGCGAATATCAGTTTTATATCCGTGGGTGAGATTGACGAAGACGTTAGAATCGTCCCGCAGAGGTAAGCCGCCAGAAGGAAATGGCCTTCAGTTAAAAGTCTCTCGAGAGTTGCGAGAGATGAGGTTAATGTTTCATCTGACGTTGGTGTGATGAATTCAGACCGTAAGGCATGCGGAATATCGATTTGCGAGAGCGAGTGATAGTTGTCGTACCGTAGCAGGAACGAGAGATCTTTCTCTCCGGCTGATGATAACTCCTCTGGCGCCAATGGATCTAGTTCATTAAAAGAGGCACCAGTATACACCCTATTATCCGATGCACCTTGCATCGAAGATGTAGAAGTTTTTCCGGGGCTCTCTGGGCCTAGAGGGCTATTCAAGCATTAGCATTGATTTCCAGCCAAGACGGAAATTACGTCTCTTACTGCTCGGGCTGGTCTAGCGGTCCTTTTGTCGAACTACGCGGCCGCGAAGCTAGAAGAGGTCAGCATGGACGATAAAATTAGGCAGCAATTATCAGCTATTTCTTACATCTGGAAATATTGCGGCCATGTTTGGCACTGGCAGAGTCCATGGTAGGGTTGACGGGAATTGAGACAAATTGCTCTGCAAATATGGGGAATATCGTGCACACTCAAGCTCCTGTTTCAATCCAGAGCCTTAAGCCATGTAATAACCAAGAGAGATTGATTCCTAGGACAATACCCAGAACTTGTTATTCTTGGGATGTGCAAGTAAAGGTCTGGATTCTGCCGGCGGGCGGTGAGTCAGTCGCCAAGAATTCCAACTGGCCCGATTGCAGTTGTGGCAACTGTCATTAAGAATCGCGTCTACCTCCGAAGCATCTACAGGCCGCAGTTGACTCTCACCATCATCCTCGGTTCTCCCCGTCAACACACTCCAACCGCTGCAATTTAGCCCTCTCCTGCTGTAAAATTTCTATCTCGACTTCTACGAACGCGAATTCCCTCCCCCAGTCTCCACCATGTCGATCGCTGAAGAGTTCCGCTCGAGAAACTTTAGTATGAAGCTCCAGTTTTTCCGATGCCAAAATGCGGGCATGCAGGGCTAACAGCTCTTCATTTAGGTATCTACGGTCAATGGTCTGTAACCAGCCCCTCAAATTACCCTCACGATCTCCTCGCGCACTTGTCAAAACCTGAATCTGTGGATTATGGTTGTCTGGAATCTCCCAACGGCTGTGCTTGGCATTGTTTGGATTGAGAATACTCGAACATCCAAATCGGTTTGGTTATGAATGGCCATCCCAAATGATTCGCATCCTCTTGATGCATTTTGGAGATTCTTCGCCTCGTCGACATTCCAGTTACAAGAATAAGCGCTGACGTATTCTTAGGACCGGCGTAATCTGCATAATTCTGTGTCTTGCTGTCGGAATCGCGAACATCTTCTCATTTAACGCCGTCATTATCGTATTCAGCATTCTGTGCATGTGAGTCGACTATCCCGAACCTAACAGATGAGCCTTGCAATACTCATTCATACAGTATTTCCGGATGTATCATCGTCTTCATTGAAGTGCCATTCCTCCTCAGAATCTGTCCTACGTCCGAAAAATTCGATACCTTCATTCGGCGTTTTACGACAAACTGGATGCGCGCCGCGATGTATACCATTATGAGTGTTGTGCAATTCCTGAGTTTGCTCAAGGATGCTTCAAGCTTGATTGCCGCAGCCGTCCTTCTGCTCATCGCCGGTCTTTTCTATGCGCTTGCAGGTCTCAAGAGCCAAGAATTTGTTGGCAGCAAGACTCTCGGTGGACAGGGCATTGCGCAGATGATTGTTTAATGCGACTCGCCTATCAATAGAGGTCGTGGTGCGATTATACGCGACACCCACTTCACATGGTTGGTGTCCTTGTGACGATTTCGGATGGAGAGAGGAGAGAGACAAATCGAAAAATCGAACACAAAATACGCTGAATAAGAGCTTGTATCTGCGTTTAGTTTGCTATGATTACGAATTGACGTTGCTATTCTCAACGCCGCCTACCAGGCCTTTGTACTTCTACGTACCTCTTCTTGGTTTGAGAAAAGCCAAGTTCTGTCTGGGACTCGAGTTGGTTTTTGGAGCAGACGTCTTTTAATTTCTGCTTGTTTGATTGATGGGGTATACATTGTTATTTCTTTCCCTGTTTGTGATTATGTTAAGAGCTTGCCAACGATAACCCGTCTGCTTTGAGAGTTGCACGGTGCTGGACCTAGACTCGGTCGGTGCCATTGATCAGTTTTAGTCAATACCCAAATATAAGCATCCTGGAGATTGAATTGTAAAATTGCTATATCTACCGGAACAAACGGCTGCACGGAATTGAATTGACGTACTAAACCCCTTTACACCTGCTCTATACTTGCAAGCATGGCATTGCATCATCACTGCAGATTCCCGCATCCTGTATCCACTTTTTTTTTGGTTCCACACCTAGTTTTAAAAGATGCAATTGGCTCAAGGATATCCTCCTGGGTTTACAGAGTACTTCCAGGCTCTATTCAATGAATCCTTCAAATTGCATAGACTTACAGAGTATACCTGACGTCACGGGCGAGGATCATCTAGCGGGCCTTGGCCCGCGAAAGACGTAACTAATCAGCGTGTACCTAACTAAGCATACATCGAAAGGCCCGTAAAAAAACACAAATGGCAATCGGGATCTCGGGTTTCGAATTAATTTGTTCTCTTCAGCAGAATCGAAATGTGCAATTGTTTCCGGCGGTTGATGAGTTCGTTCGTCGTTGGCATTGCTTGGGTATGCCTGCCAGATACGTGGGGGGATCTGTTGTCTCCTCTGCATGTTTTCTATCTCAGTTACATGCATAGCTGGAGATGGCGTTGGAGATGGTGGGAGGGAAGTTGGATACCTAGCTAGGTAGGGTCCCTTTATTGTGGGGGTTGGTTGTTTTGGAAATCAACTCTTGGGGTGCGTAAAGCTGTTTGATATCATGTTACATTCCATGTCTACGTCTACTGCCAATTCGAGTAACCTGATAAACTATGAAAAGGATGGAAAAAGGCTCTTGATTATAGAGATAGAATGCGGTCCTCCTCCTTAGTTAGTTAGTTGTACTTCATCCTATCTGGGCCCAGGGCTATGTGGCGCACGTACAACCTTTGCTTTGCTGTCAAAGGCATTGTATTGCGAATCGATGCTACTCATGTGGAGGCGGTTGAGTCACTTCCAAAAGCAATGCATGACAACTTAAGAGTACCCCGTACTTATCCTCCATGATTCATTTGTTGTAGCTTGGTCGGAATCATCCATGTTGGTCGGACAAATCCTACGTCATTTGCCCAGCAGGCCGCCTCTCCTGGCTTTACCCCGCATTTTCTGATTACTGTTGGATGCATTAATACGGAGTACAGCCTTGTGGAATTCATTCAAGGTACCAATAAGACGGCTAGAGAGCTGTTGATGTGGTGCTAATGGATGGTTTCTGACGGACGATCTGGTCGACACTCTGACTATGTAGGTTAAGTAGGTAATTCTTACTCCTACAGAATACTTCCGTTTGCCTCTACCAAGGACGTACGTAGTATGAGAGATGGACGATATACATCTCGGCGATTCAAGCTGCTATCGCTATCTTAGGCTAGTTAGTTACTGAGAATAACCCCCCGAGCCACCGAATGAATTTGACCAGCAGATAAGAGAGATATCTTAGCCCAGGAACCTTGAATTACCTACCTAACCACCGAGGTCCGCACGGCGATGACTCTTACGCTGAGAACCAACGACATCAGCTTTAAATAAACTCCGGTACGGAAATCCAGCATCGCTGAGTGGTACAGGCCGCCGACTGAGCCACCGACTGGGTCCCGTATGCCCCGTTACAAGTTCCGCGAAATAAACAGATCCACTATGAGGCGGTTAGGCACGGGGAGGGAAAGCCTCGCCCAGTATTATACCCACTTTGTTTCCACCTCTAAGAATATCTTGAGACTTGAGATACAGCAAGGCCACGGTCACGGCCACAGGCTGTAAATTATTACGCCTCTAGCCGAATACAGTAGCTGGGACCTATTTTTGACCCTCCTGGGCCGAGTCGCTGGGCCGTTCGTTGCCACTCTTCCAGCGGTCACAGGCACCATTATGGGGAAATTCGAAGCTTCCAGCTCTTGACAAGTTGCCCTCGTGCGCCCACGGCTCCATTCTTGGGTTTCTTTTAGAAACGACTCTTGCAATTTGCAAGTCATGTGCAAGCTGTTCGGGAAAAGGGGTCAAAGAGAAGTTGACAGGTTCCAGGGGTTTGAATCGTATTCTTTTGTTGGTCTTTTTTGCATTGTATTTGTGGCGTTGATACACCTTATGAACACAGCTTGGAACCTCGACCACAATTAGTACATACCTAGGTACTCCGTACTGCATTTGCCTTAAACCTCGAGAGATCATTTCAAGTTCAAGTTGATATGCCGATGTAATCAAATGGCACGGGACACGTGGATTATAGTTAATCCGCTCTGAGAGATCTTCCGATCCATCGTACAAAGAGATGTATTGACACTTCGAGGCTTATTTGTTTGCTCCGGGCAAGTCATTCATCCCTTGTCCAAGCAAATTGCCTGCATGCCAACCCATTCGGTTTCATCGGATTCGCTGCAAGCAACCAGGATGGGTATTTTCTTCATGATGGGAGTAGCAATTTATCTCGAGACTCTGCCGTTGTGCCCACTGTTTCGTCTTTACATTGCCACACTCTCGCGGGTCCATCGATAACTTCCTAAAATGGACACCTCAATCACCACATCCCCCCCATCCCGATTAATACACTCCCGGGTACATCCGTGCATGATGGAACTAAAACTCTAGTTGGGATTTAATGGGAACCCCTAGGAACGCGGCGTTGGGCTCTCCTGAGTGTTGACGTAAGGTGCTGGCCTCGCTGACGCAACAACTAGAAGCATAGGAAACGGGCCTGGACAAATCGGTTAGCATGGAATTGTGCAAGAAATAACCCTAGGTAGGCAGGCGTTTTTAAGTTGGTTCCCCTGATCTGATACCTGAAGATTACTGCTTGGAGCGATTGACCAAAAAATCGGACGAGATTGTATTATAGGTGTTGATCTAGTAATCCAGGATTCCAGGGACTACCTCGAGGGAGATCTACCTGCTTTGCTTTGAGAACTAGTTAGTTAACTAGTTATTCTCCGAGACTTGCTTAATCATTCCATCGTCTATGGGGAACGAACGTTCGAGGTACCCATGTCCCATGTAGTTTGTATAAGCGACTACTCCGTACAGGAGACGCCATGTCTAGTCCTCATGCAGATCATACTGTGCTGGAATAGGAAAAGCAATCATCCAATCAGTTTGCATACAGGTGGTGTTGTTTGCAAGGTATACAATCCCGTGGGGGTTTACGGGCTCTGGATACCAGTGTATTTTGTATACATATACAAGATAAATGACCGCAATAATTGCATGGATGGAGTAGCACTTGGAACCACAAGAATAACGCTAGCTAGAACTATACCCGTATACCTCTTCTATTGTATGCACCATGTAAGAAAGAGGATTCATAATACAATCAGACTCTAGACTCTCCACGTTGGTCGATCTGCAGGTTGGTTTGATGAACGTGGCCCAGGCTATCCAACCTTGTTGCGCTCACCGCCTCCTCTGATGTGGCCACCTAGTACAGAGTACTTGACGAATAGTGCTTCACTAAGAGAGAGAGAGAGAGAGAGAGAGAGAGAGATCTTGGAGTCATCTCAATCTCTAAAAGATTTTTTTTTTTTTCATTTAAACAAAATTATTAGATGATTTAAAATGGGATGGTGGTGAATATGCTGATAATGTCTAACAGAAAAAAAAAAAAATAAAAATAAAATAAAATCTGCATAAGGCTACCAATGAGGGTCTCAAGACGGTAAAGGGTTAATACATGGGATACATCTCTCTCTCTCCACTTGGCCAGACCGAAATCAATCCAGACCTGTGATTAGGACCATGTGCACATGAGCGGACAGAGATTTCTGTTGAGTTTTACTAAATTCTAGCGAGAGGATTAAAATTATCTCTTATCAGACTGCTATTCCTACCACCGGCCAGTATCTAGGAGGAGTATCATTGCGTCGATTAATACTACATGTTTGCGGTCGGGCCGGCCATGACCTTGGCCAAGGTCAAAGGCATTTTCCACAGGGAAAATGAAGACAAAAGATGTTTTAAATTGAATACTTGTCTGGTAGGAATATGAGTGATTATTATGAGGTTGAGATCTAGTAGACGACTATTCATAGTATATGCCTTACTCCGTACATGCTGGTGGATACTACTTCTAGTAGTACCTAGCTGTACTCAGGTACCCCAGAGTAGGATGGACGGACCATTTGAGAAGAAAAATGCCTCAGCTAAAAAAAAAAAAAAGGTGCAGCAAGTATGCACGCATGAATTGAGAGATCCCTCCCCCTCTTAAGATCCTGATATCCGTGCTCTTTTTGACCACACTTTCAAGATTCGGTAGTAGAACAATAGGTAGTTATCTATTTAATCAGACATACTCAAAGAGAGGCAAAAATGTGGCCTTAAATGACCAATACGTGGTATTGACGGTAACAAAAAATTTCAAAAGTTAAAACCGACTCCTCAGCGGGACTCGTACTAAGTAGGTAGGTAGTATTATCGTATGGAAGACCCTTGTAATTGCAACGAATGATTCCTGTTGGCTCACAGCCTGCATACGGTTACCATACGGTTTCTGGATGGTGGAGAGAGCGGTGGAATGGCGTCAGAGCACGTCACGCGATGGGGCTGTGGGCGGTGGCAGGAAGAAAGCGGTTATGGCCACTGATGTATTTTACAGAGCACTAAATGTACGGATAACTAAAAATACGAAATGCTACAGAGTCATACATCATCGCTCTGCTCATTAGTTCTTATTATTATTATATCCTGCTGTTCTCTTTCTTCTTCTCATCTTTCTTTCTCTCTCCCTGACCCCTCAATCTGAATTTACTTCTTGCATCTCCCCTCTGTTGATCTCTCCTCTGGCTTATCAATTGAGATTCTCCTCTCTCTCTCTCTCTTGTGCCAGAGCTTCTACAATCTACTCTACCTATCTCTCTATCTCTCTCTGCTTTTGCCTCTCGTAATCATTATCTTTACCTTACTGGTAAGTCCTTCATCTCTCTCAAATCCTCCCCTTATCATACTTTCCCCCCTCTTTTCCCTCCGTCAATACACAATTCTGTTCTGGAAGAATGTTCGCGCTGTTTTCAGACGTTTCACAGCCTTTGGGGGTGGGGGCAGTGAGCTCAGCAATGCTATTAGCTTGATATTGCCTCTCTCTCTCTCTCTCTCTCTCTGAATGTATTGTGAGCTTGTGGTGATCTCCCTGGTTTGCATGGCTCGGGCCCCTCCCTCTCAGCTCCTTTCCGGACTGCTTCCCTTGAAATCGGGAGCGTTTTCTGCAAACTGAGAGATCAAGCTCGAAGCACCGGCCTTGTTCTTGCTTTTGCATGTCCTTTTCTTTCTCTCTCCCTACCTTTTGACACAACTCACCTCGGATATATTACGTTTCTTCAATAACTCACCCCAATTGTCATTATCTAGGGTTTCTTCGTTTTAATCAACGTCACACATTTATCTATCCATCATGACAACACAATCAGGCCCCGTTATCCCCCCTCGACCGTCAAGGTCGCCACTCGACAAAGGCACAACTTCAACCACAGATATGCCCCAGATTCCTCCTCGTCCTGCTCGTCGCATTGAGCGGTCCGTATCTCCTCTAAGTGCCAACTACGCCCCCTCTCCGCTGAACGGGCCTCCCAATGGTTCCTATCTGGCCCGCACAACCTCCAATGATTTGCCTCCTCGTCCCCCCAGTGTCGCAATCCCATCTCTTGGCGAGGAAGGCATCGAATACCAAGATTTGGATGTTGCCCACACCTCCGACACCCTTCATCATCTTACCCCTGCAGAGACACGCAATGTGGCCAGCGATCTCAAGCTCCATGCGCCTAGACCTTCGCTTCCCACTTCCAGCGCCAAGGCCAAGGTGCAGGCAGTAACACGCACAGACTCCGGCCAGGCTGCTGCAGCAGGCTTTGGTGTCATAGGGTCTCCTGCCTCCGCTGAACAGTCGGAACGCCCCTCTCGCTCTCTTTACTCTGCTGGCTCGCGTGCGGCTTCCTCAACTGCGTCCCTCGACCGCCCACGCTCAGTTCATGACAACGAACATGGCATTCCAGAGATCGGCCAGAGGGTCCCCATGTACCCTAATGCGGGAGATGTCCAGGCCCCCTCCCCGAGCCCGTATCTAGAACAACCAACCCAGCGTTCCGGTCGTGGCCACCATCGAACTCGCAGTGGCCGTGAAGCTTCGCTACCACCCGGTAGCTACGGCCTCCACGGACACGGTGTGCATGCCACCGACAAGTTCGAAAAGGCTTGGTATGAAAAGCACCCGGACGAATATGTTAAAGAGGAACAAGGCCAGTATGGCTCCGGGGTTGGAACCCCCCGTCCCGATTGGGCCTTGAGTCGCGACGATTTGAACAAGATCGTGCGCGGCTCTGCCGTAACTGGCTCTGGACTAGGTGGGTTTTGACATTCTCTCCACGTGAAAAACTCATGAAACCTGGCTAATACAAATATAAAGGCACATCCCCCGCTGTGACAGGAACTCCCGAAGAAGAGGTCGGTTATATCGCGTCCGACGAGTACAATCACCGGCTTTCCTCGCCACCACCGGAGTCGCAAGACTCGCGCCCAGTTATTGAGTCACCACTCCGCAACGCAACTGCTCCTGCAACTGAAACCAGAGACGCAGAACTGGATAAGGAAGCCCCCAGAGTCATCCACATCGACGAACCTTATCATCATCTTCATCATCCCGACGGGTTTGCTCAGACCGCAGACCCTACTCAGCCCACTCACGAAGGTGAGGGCGATGAGAATGAAGACGAACCAATCTTGGCCGCGGATGAAGTGCGCCCGGAATCTGCCTACCAACACCCTGCAATTTCCCCTACCTTCAGCCGGAGAGACAGCTTTGAATATGAAGGCAGAAGTCGCACTCCTAGCGTAAATGAAAGCCGTTCTAATAGCAGAACTGCTGGCCACCGCGGTAGCGCCCCTGCATTAGCCCGATATAACTCTCGTGAAGAACGTGAAGACACCCACACTCCTCTTGAGGATGTCGAAGAATATGAGCCTTTGTTCCCCGAAGATGAGACGAAGGAAGTCAAGCCAGACGCGGAACGCTTTAAGAAGCGCCCAGATGCGCTTAAGCGCCGATTCCCCAGCCAGGATATTTGGGAGGATTCCCCCAACAGTCTTCAACTTCATGCTGCTGTATCTACACCGGATATCCCAAGGCTCGATCGGTTTGAAACACCAGAGCAGGAAGAGGCCCGCAAAAGCCGAAACAGTGGTATTGATACCCACCAACTTGCTTCCCAGATTTTGAGCTCGGAAGAGTATGACGAAAGACAACCCGCACGCCCGGAGGTTGCTAAGCAAAGGTTCCCCAGTCGTGACATCTGGGAAGATGCTCCTGAGAGTCAGACACTGGTAACAACGATAGAGCCTGCAGAAGATCAGGTCACCAGCCCAGATATACCCTCTAAACCACTCGTTCCTTCCCGGCCTCAGAAGAAGCAACCTCCCCTAGTGGATGCCTCGACCAAACCTTCTTCACCTATTGAAAAACGACAGCCACCACTTATTCCAGACAGGCCTAAGCCCCAGATCCCTACTCGGCCAGCTCAGCGTGTTGCTCGTCCGAATGGCGATGAATCCCAAGATGCTGCAGCCAAAACCAAGCCTGCTGTACCCGCACGTCCCCCAGGAAACAAAATTGCCGCCTTGAGGGCCGGATTCCTCTCTGACCTGAACTCACGTTTGCAGCTCGGTCCACAGGCACCTCCTAAGCCACAAGAAATAAAAGAAGAGTCACCTGCAGAGAAGGGCCCATTGAGTGACGCTCGCAAGGGAAGAGCTCGGGGACCCGCACGAAGAAAGCCAGCTGTTGAAAGCCCCAGCGCAAGATTGCCTACAATTCCTGAGATCAAAATCACGGAGACCTGGAATGTCTGGCAAGTTCGTGAAGACGGCAATCTAGTGGTAGGAGATGGAGACAAAGGCGACCAGGTCACCACCTCTGCACCGGAGACATCAGCTTGGGACAACCCTGTAGCACCACCTTTAGCCAGGAACATTTGCGGAGATTCAGTCGACCCGCAGAGACTTCGCCATAAAGAAGGGGTCTCCCACCCTACAAGTCCAGAGCCAGAGGTGGAGTCAGCAACGAAATCTCCCGCTGTTCAGCCTGCCCAAGACGCGCCTGCTGCGGTAGAGATTGGACTTGAACAAAAACCTATTGTTGACCCTCCAGTTTCGGTCTCAGAACCGGTTGATAATGTTGCCGAATCTCTCGCTGCGGCTGCTGACGGCAAGAAGGCCTCCGACGGTGACGTGACAGCTTGATCGGATCGTTGATTATTCTTACTATTATTATAATTATTAGCGTACTGCTATTTCACCCCCCCCCCCCCACAATGTGCTGTTCTGTTTTTTAATTTTACCTTTCGCTTTTCTTGTCTTTTCGTGCTTGTTCGTTCCTAACTCTGGTCCTCTCGTTCGATCAATGATGCCGAAGCCGGAACAATAGTGCCTCGCTGCCTGGTTGATGCAGCCATAGAACACTACTCCTATTCCTCCTCCTTCTCCTCCTACAACTATCACTGCCGCTAACGAAGCACCGTGATTCGACATGAACCAACCCAGTTTGGGTAACTCTAGTTGTACATTCTTTTTTTTTTTTTTTGACTAGATGCTCTTCCAGCTTAGAACTGGGGGTTGGCTCCATCTGTCCTCGCCAACACTAGAGATTTTAATGCATATGACATACAAGTGTTAAATTCCCAGTTGTGCGCTTTGCACTGCAAACTTGGCAACAATTCTCTCTATCTTCTGAGAATAAAAAAAAAAAAAAAAAAAAAAAAAACCAAAGACAAACAAAGGATCTATTGTACTATTGTAAAATAAAGAGAGTATACAAAAAACTTGACCGGATAGACAAAAAGAAACAAGGAACTACATAGGTGGTCTATATAACAGTAAGAGTAGGGAGTACTCCGTACGTACTATTTAGTATATCTATCTAGGTATGATCTAGAGTGAAGTCCATGAAGCAGATAGATATTCTGCCACCATAGCTCAGTACCCAGGGTAATATACAGAGTACACACACACACACATATATATATATATATATCAGAACTCGCACAGCTTGAAACAGACTTAATTGTGTTTTCTGCATCTCTCAACCTTAGGTATGTATGTATGTATGAGTTGGCCGCATTATCTAAGCTTGAAAAAAAGAAAAAGAAAAAGAAAAAGATATCAAATTGGCTCTCTAGCTCTGACACACATATACACACCAATGGCAATTTAAAAATAGAAGGAAGCAGGACATGAATACAGTGCTAGTAATATTTTTTTTTTCTGTTGTTTTGTGATTGGGTATCATGGAAATAATATCAGGATCGCACCATCTAACTAGAGAATAAAAAAAATAAAAAATAAAATAACCGCGCGGCGATGAATAATATCTAGAAGAGAAGAGAAAAAAAAAAAAAAGGGGGGGGTTAAAGTAATAAGAAGAACTGCTGCAAGATGGACAAAACTGGGGGAAACTTAACTAGGGGGCAAATTTTTCAAGTCGCCTTTTCCGTCTTTGATCCATTCTGCGTCAACTAGCCGTTCTCTCTCAGCGTATAGTTGTTTGTAGGCACCGCGGATTGTACCGTCACTGACATGAGCAACTTGAGAGATTTCCTTGGCGGTTTTGCCATGGCCCATGAGGTAGGAGGCCATGTAGATACATGCCGCGACAATCGAGAGGGGAGAGCGTCCGGCAAGATCGCCCATAGTAGTCACACGATCGGACAGAGCCGAGGAGACGCTCGTGACTTGGTATGGCAGGTCGAGAAGATTGCAGAAACGGTTGCAAAGATCGCTGGGCTTGGTGGAGGTGGTGGCAGTGTAGGTGTCGTTGGGGTCGGGAACACCTCCGCTTGAGACCACGGCGTTAATACGCTCGAGGTTCTGAGCGGTGAAAAATTTCTCCAGCGCCTTGTAGATACGTCCGATTTCCTTCCTAGTTACCTTGGTGACGGCGAAGATTTCGGTAAAGGTACGGGGGACCTTGCACTGCCGGCACGCGATGAAGATACAGCCGGCGATAATCACATCCTGGGACTTGCCCTTGAAAGCCTTTGCATCATCGACAATCTTGAATAGATATTTTGCCGTATCGGCCACATTTTTCTGGATGTTAAATCCATCACAGAGAGCACCAATCTCCTTGTATGCGGCAAGGAGGGACTTGTTGGCCTTTTCGCTGGACTGCTTATTCTGCGCGCGATACAGATCGCGGACTCGACCGGAACCACCACTAGCAATTTGAGTCTCGAGCTGGTCACCATTCAGGAGTGGGTTCGTAGCATCTCCAACACGCGAGGGGTCATCGTTATTTTGGTCGTCGTTCGAGAAGGTACGCCACTCGGAGTGCATATCGATTTCTCGATCCGCGAGCACCAGTCCGCAAGAGCCGCAAACGGTTTCATGTGATCCGGGGAATTCTAGATTCGGGGGAACCTCTTTGCACTCGGGACAGATGATGTGGGCTGAGAGGTTCTTCTTCCACGCCGCGGTTTCCGGCCGGGCTGAAGGGGAGATAGCTGCCATTTTCTTAGCCGGTTTTGTAGCTGGAATACGCCCACGCGGTCGCTTCGTTATCTTCGATGCGTTGATGGGAAGCTTATTTTTACGCGCACAAAAACGAATGAATAGTGGCGAATACAGATTGGCGACTGTCGGTCTCGTCAATAGGAGAGGACGGCCGGGAACTGTCTCGTTCTCAACGATAATAATGAGTGTAATGACAGCAGCGGCGCAAATGGCGAAGACTTGGGATTTCAAGTCACGTCTCTGCGTCACTGCCTTTCATAGTCATGTTAGCCTGAAGCCCCAAGCGATATCAGGAAGACAATGGATCTTGTTGAAAGGATGAAACAAAGTCCACACGCATAGGTTCCAACGAAGGCCATGATGATCGAGACCTGTTTGCCACCCAGAAAATGGTTTTATCCCCTTAACAACTCGAATGAAGGGAGGGAGAAGAAGAAACGAAAAGAAAAAAAAAAGGGACCAGATGTCAAGAATCTACAAGTTGATGCTTTACCTTTCCAAGTTGGATTCTGATTCTGCGAACCAGGGGGAAAGCACCTTCCACAGGAAGCACACAAGAGAGAATCTCCTGATCAAACCTCCTGAGACCTTCGAAGCCTTGAAACCAGACTTCTCCGACCGCGATGAACCAGTCAAGGTCTCCGTGAGCAAAGCGTTCTCACGGAAAAGGGTCACAGAATCTGACAAAGAGCTGCTGCGAGCGGGATCGAGAAGATCACAAGGGCAGCAAGGGAATTTTGACAGTCAGAGTTTCAAGACAAAGGCCGTGTGAAACAACAAGGCAGTGTTTCGACGGGTGTTGAAAGAGAGAGAGAGAGAGAGAGAGTGAGGCAAAAGAGGTTGAGGTTGAGGTTGGGTGCCTGCACACCTTGCTGAGTCATCTGCCAAGCCGAAGTCTCCCGAACAAACGTCGAACTTCCAACTTCGGCTTCACGGACGAAACGAAAGCATTCCTGTTCTTGCAGACTCTCACCCAGTTTCCCCTCATCTACCACCTTGCCGCGATGATGTCTCAATCTCTCAGAGCGTCGGTAAGTTTAATTGACTCCTGTTTGATCTAATCTTTGCTTTGCTGGTGGCTGTTCCTGACTGAACCCTCCCCCTTCCGCAGCGCTCTCTCTTCGCCCGCGTCTCTCGCCAACAGGTTTCTGTCGCTCGCCGCACTTTCCTGACCTCCGCTGTTCGTCGGGGTATGTGACCCTTATTAGTTCCCTTCTCCCTGAATTCCTTCACTCCGTCTTTGATATCTCTATTGGTTGGTGGACGACAGATTCTAACAACGTATATAGCCGACCCTGTCCAGGACCTTTACCTCCGTGAACTCCGTGCCTACAAGCCTACCCCCATCAAGGCCGGCGATGCTGAGGCCCATGTCCAGAAGTTCAGCGCTCCTGCTGCTCCTCAGTCCCCCGAAGAGGCCAACCTTGCCAGTGATCTAGGTGCCTACGAGAGCCAGGTTGTTGAGGTTGAGGGCCAGGCCGCTACCGGCGAGCCCGCCCCTGTTGAGGAGAGCTGGTTCGAGGAAGAGGAGGAGGAGGCTCACCCTGCCCACTAGGTTTAATATTCCTGAGAGAAACCAAGATCTGGGAAAGCCGGGGCTGATAGACAATGGGCTGGGACTCTGAGACGGATGTCTCCTCTTGTTGATCCCTGAAGACGCTTTGTAAATTAAACCTCCTTGGAGCATATGAAGTTTCCTTTTTTTTTTTTTGTTACCATAGGCCGTTCAATCGTTCGAAAACCAACGTAGATTATGTATGCATATTGATCATCATCAAGAGGAAAAATGTACAGGGGCCCTTGTGTGGCGGGAGAAGCGGGATTGATATATCCGACGGAGAAGATCTTTCAACGCATTGTCTTATTATATACCCGAAGCCACTGGAAAGCAATACCGGTATTAACCTCTCGTTCAGGAATTATGGCCTGATGATTATTATTCTTCAACCAATGAGTGGATTAATAAGAAAAAAAAAAAAGACAGCTTTTCTTTGCTCATCCTCGAGAGACAACCCCTACTCAGCCAAACCATCAACAACAATAACGATATGTTTTCCCGGGCCACGCCGAAAGAGAGAGAGAGAGAGAGAGAGAGAGAGAGGTTTCCTTAAAATTGAAGCCTAGACGCAGGGGGCCGCTCTACTATCCCCAACAGGGAGCGATGTGAGAGATATGACAGCTCCAGAGGTCCACCTCAGACCGCTCCCTAAGCTCTCATCTTCTTCTCCTTTCCGAGATAGGAGGCTATGGGGACACTGCAGATGTAGTACGTAGCCTACGACTCGAGGACGGGATTCGAATGAGAACCAGTTGTTGATCAGGATTCATTCCGGAGAGAGGTGGGACAGAGTACTCCGTAGCTTGGGTAGTACAACATTCGAGAATTGCCGCAGGAAGTCAAATTTGGGGGAGAGAGAGAGAGAGAGAGAGAGAGAGATTGACTTGAAATGAAAAGGGGGGAATACATAGACAAGACAAAAAAGCTCTTTGGTGATGGGTCAGAAGAATGGCGTTGTTGTGAGTACTGATCAGGAACCATCCTATTGTCACGATGGGTATAAAATAGAATGTCCTTAAGTCCCTCACTCGATTTCTCTCTACCTGATATCTAACTATACTGGGAATCTCAGACTATGATTCAATAGTTGGTGGATAAGATCTGGGCAGCCTTGCATTGAGATTGAATCCTAGATTCTTTAGTACTCCGTAGTATCTCATTATCCTGAAGAAGAAGAGAAGACTTGGATTGTATGGTATGGTATTGTCATCCAGAGTCTGGTTATTAACAATTACTACTCAACTACTATTTAACTAGTTGATTAATTAAGTGACTCCATAGTTAATAAGGAAGAAAATACTCAAGAGAAACATTTATTTCTTAGACCTAATAATAACTCTGTTTTTAATATATTCCCACTCTCTTATAGTACCCGATCGGTACGCAGGAAAGTATTCAGTATGTACGGTAATCTGTATCCAGTCGGATGGATCTTCCTTGATTTTCCTCTCACTCTTCATCATCTTCTCACTTTCTCTCTCTCTCTCTCTCATTCCCTTCGTTACCTACTTTTATTAACTTGCAACACCAAAATAAAAAGGGGGAGGGGCAATAAAACATCCCCAAATTCAGGGTTCTGAGTTCAATTTATTTCCCCCTACCAATAATTAATCGTTTCTCCGCTTTTACTGTACGGAATTCCTCCCGTCCGTCGATCAAGCGCCCTCCCTCCTACGTTCGTTCCAGCATTAGCTGAGCTCACCCTCCTCCGTGTCCTGAGACGGCAACATCTTTCGGTCTTCGAGACTCCCCTCCCCCCTTTCGTTTCACTTCTCTAGAGAGGGAAAAATAAAATAAAAAATAAAAAATTTTTTGAACTCGTTGGACGGGGTTGGATTGTGCTCTTGTTGCCTGCTCCTACTCCGCCAGAGCGCTTGTTTCCTTCCGAACCCTCCCTCTCTTGCTTTGCTGTCGCCTTGGTGTCCCAATGTTTCGAAACAGAGATTGTCAACGTATGGTTTGATCTCTTCTGCCTGGAATCCATTTTTACATGGAGGAACTGGTCTTGTCAACACCAATAACAGCTACTTTCCACCCCCAACCGGGGGGGGTGAAGGTACATCTCTCCAGCGGCGCTTTTTCTGGTCCTCTATCCAGCATCGACTGACTGTCCTTGACCATGTCGACTCCTGCCCCCGAGATCGAGAACCCCATCGAGAACCCCCGTCAAGATGACCAGACTACCTTGTTGTCCCGGGCTGCTAGTTACAATCACCTTCCCAATCTCGCCGCCTCCGAACCCGGATCCCCCGGTCTGAGAAGGACCTTCTCAGATCTAACATTCCAGAAACAGCCCGAGTCTCCCTCGAAAGAGGATGTAGCGGCTGGGAAAGATATCTTGAGGAGGACATCCCTCCGCTCCAAGGACAAGTCAACCATTGCTGTCTCGCGCTTCACCGTCTCCACGGAAGATCTGGCCGAGGCTGCGCCTCCTTCAGAGCCTCCACAACCTGCAAAGGTGCCCCAGACTAGAGCGCCCTCGCCAGTTGCCCGCCCCTCCAAGGCTCGTTCAATGTCCGGAAGGTTGGTGAGCTTTGCTCGGAAACCCTGGATGTCAAGCTCTCCTTACCGTTCCCCCTCCCCCTCCTCTAAAGCATCCCGTCCCCCCCCTTTACCGGCAGACGACTCAGCCTCGCAATCCCTGTCCAAGAACCCTAGGAAACTAGACCCCGCTCCAGGATCGGATCCTGCTACCCCTTCCCGCAAGCGAACAATCTTAAACAAACGACCTCGGCGCCCCATGGTTGCTGTTGTAACGCAGAGTCGCAATGAAAGCCCGAGTACACCGAGTAGTCCATCCCCCCAGTCACTTATCACCAAGAATTCGTTGGACCGGCTTGCGTCTTCCATGAATATCTCGACTCCAGTCCTTCCCCCAATGCCCAAGATCACTGCAACTTCCGGAAATGTCTCCGGTAATCCGGACCCTCCACGCAAGAAGGATGAACTCTGGGGCGTCTTTCGCGGCCTCGAAGCCGACTTTCAAAAGTATGTGATCCCCCGAGAGAGGTGTCCAATGGCTAACGTCTTTCTGCTTTAGATTCCAATCAAAGTCCAGTGCTCTGAAAGCAAATGTCATTCGCTCGTCGCTCTTACCCTTTCTCAATCGGACTCATCCCCACATCTCTTTCAAAGAATTGCGACCCGAGGACTTGGATCGCCGAGTAAATATCCTCAACAAGTGGTGGACGGGCCTACTCGATATGCTAAATGGGAAGCACAACCAATCGGTTTCCGGTACAGATCGGCCAGTGTACCTGGAAGCAGTGGTTGGTATCATGACTCGATCTGAGTGGAGGATTCCCTTCCCGATGCCTCCCTCAAATGGAAATCCTCCAAAGCCGCTCAAGCATACCTCAACGTCTATTTCGGAAACCTCCGAAGCATCCTCGGGTTCGGACTTTCTTCTGGAGTCTATCCATCATAATATTAGGAACATCTTTACGCAGAATCTTTTGTCTCAAATGGCCTTCGTGGTGGAACGGATGTCCATGAGGCATGCTCCGGCCAGCCTGGTATCATTTTGCGGCAAGGCTTGTGCGTATGCGTTTTTCTTTTGTCCTGGTGTTGCAGATATCCTCGTGCGGTTGTGGAACACTCCTCCCAACATCGTCCGTAGGGTATATGCGGAGTGGCACCTGGAGAAAGGTGTCGGCCAACGTTCAGTAGCCCAGGATCTTGCCTTGAATTTTCCCATAGCTCTACGAACTTTGTCGTTTCACGCACCCCCCGCCTTGATTCGATATTTGCGTCAAAAGCCCGATGTTCCATTGAATACCTCCCAGATCCAATGGCAGAGCCCTTGGGTCTCGCGGTGGTGTGGAAGGGACACAGATCTCTTCTACGTTTTTGCTAAATACGTTCACCTTTTGTACGCTGATGCTATTCCTTCGGATCTGGAGAAGAGTCGACGCATCTTGGCTCCGGGATTGCTTCCAATCCATGCGCAGATTCTGGTGGCACTTGAGGATACCCTTTACAAGCAGTCGCAACCCCAATTACCAGATAATTCACACGCGACCACAGCCATTACCTTTGACGATTTCATCGAGGGTGCAGATGGGTCAGCCTCAGCCCTTCCGTTGGGGGCTGCGAACAGTCATCGTTCTATGGCGGAGAACCGCCTCATAATCCTTCTTCGCGACTTCCTTTCTGAGTCCTCCCTCGAACCCAACCATGCAAGATTATTATACGCTGAATCTTTCTGCATGATCATGAAAACGGCCGCCCAGAGGACGTCTCTATTTGACCACAATGCATGCTTCCTCCTGTGCGATTTGGTTGAGGAGGTTATTCCTATTATTTCGCGGTACTCACATTCTGTGGAAATGGATTTGCTTGACTGGAAATTCTGGCTGGAGGCTTGCGGGCAAATGATGCGGAGCCACAATTCACTCACGGAAGTGCGCGTATTCTCGTTTCTCTTCTGCATTTGGGGGACTTGGACGAGTTCAGAGGAGAGGAAGGCAGATCTTTGCCTGAGATTTCTTCTCGATGAGTCATTATTTTACCATTACTTTAGCCACTGGAGCCCCATGGTTCGTGCCTATTTCCATCGCTTGCTTTGTTGGAGGTTAGGGAGATTTAACGGCGAGCCTTCACCGCTGGATTCGTAAGTACAGTCAGCCATCCTACCATTGGGGTACTGGTATACTAAATGGTTCAACCATGCAGGGTTATATACGAGGCTCTATCTAGTCGATTGCAGCGTCTTTGGGAATACTATCTAGCCGTCCAGAACAAGGCAGAGAAGGGGCTTTCCGCGCCACTTTCTTCTGCGCCCTGCACGCCAGCGCCGGGCCGTCGAATCATCATTATTCGGTGTGACAACCAATTGTCTCCCTCCAATCTTTTCGTGTCCTTTGATCGTGTTGTTCCCCCAGCTCTCTCAGACAAAACATCGTTATCGAGCAGCCATTCAAAAACAGACGCCTTGCCAGAGCCTCAGAACTCCTCGAAAAAGCGATGGAACCTCTTAAAGGCCATGTTCGGTGGCTCGGCCGGTTCGAGAACCAACGGGGATATGTCACCCACGAGCAGTTCTGATGAATCTGACACCGGTATACCCGATGCCACAGTGGCACCCGACAAGGGTCCGGATGGCCAATGGCGGCTTCAGAATACCTCAGGGGAGGTCAATCGACCCAAGACAGCACATCAACCCTATTTTTTTAAATTCTCCCTGGAGTGGATGGACCGGCCACAGTGGCCTAGCAAAAATAAGCGGCTTTATACTCCCTGTCTTCCTGTCGCTTCCCAACTTCATCTTCAGTTTCGCAGATCTCTGCTCAAAACGGATGACTGCGAGACGCTCTCAGATGATGCCTCCGACCTGGAGACAGAGGAGGATACCCATGCGGCTGGGTCAGACGCTGGCGAATCCTCCACTGACACGAATTCCGACCCTAAGAATTTATTGCACCAACAACCAGATCCGAATATTGCTGCAGACGATAAACTAGTGTCAAGCAAGTACGCGGGTCGTGCTCTTGCAGAATGGGCGCAGATCGTTTCGGAGTGCGATAGCTTTTTTGCACGCAGACGCGATGAGGGTGTGCCTTGTGACCGCATGGTCGAGACCCCGACGCTGGGCGTTGAAGGTTTCCGAAAGTAGACGAGAACATCAGGACGTTTGGTCCCGGAAGACGTCAGCTCTCTTACACATCTTGCATTTCCCCTGCGCCGATTCTTTAGAAGTGGGATTGAAATCTTCGTCGCATGGCAGCTATGTCAGCTACGTTATTATAGCTTCCTATGCCCTTGACCGTTGCTTTTTTTTTGAATCCCCATTTAACCATATTTTTCTTTTTATTTACAGCATGGGACGGGCGGAGTACATGCATCTGCTGGGTAATCAATCACCTTCTTCCCTTCATCTCTTGTCTATTCTTTTTTTTTTTTCTCCTTTTTTTTTTTTTGGACTGGGGGTCTTTTTTGTTCTCTTTTACCACCGTTCTCTCATTTTCCTCCTGTATATATATAGCTTGGGCTTGATACATACTATGGCGCACCTCATGGATAAAGGTTGTCTTTTGCTTTGTCTTCTCTATTCTTTCTATTATCTTTTTTATTTATTTATTGATGAATCCACTCATAAGGTTGGGGTGGACAGGGGAGGAAGGTCTGAATTTATCTCTGTGATTTGGTCCTGGGAGCTGCAGTGGCTAGGTGTAGTACCTATGTAGGATACATGCGAATTGAGAAGAATATTCGGGATAATTTTCCTTTTCTCTTTCTACTCTATTCTACGATATTATAATAGAATACAAGTCAGGATCCGCCGCAGGAACTAACTACCCTAATGTCCTCTTCATCTACCCGTGATTCTATTTCCTATTTTTGGTCTGTAAATATTACCTGTTTTGGTATTCTTATGCGTTCAATTCCTATATATATAATGGATGGGTAATGAACCCTCTCTTGTTTTGGGGTGAAGGAAAACTTGGAGGAAGATAAGACTGTAGTACTATGTAGTAGTAGTAGGACTTTTATCGTGTGAGTTGCTATAGAAAATTATGTTCTACCGCAACCTGATAGTAGGTATAAGAGCCTACAGGGAAAAAAAGCCTCAAAAAACCCCCCAAAGAAATTCTAGTATGGAGATAGCAGAGAGGAGGGGCATAGATAGCTATCATCATATACATAAAGTATAGGGTATAAGAGCCATGCTCTATAGTTCATCATTGCCTAAGCTGGTGAAAAGGGAGGAGCATTGTCGAACGTCCTATGATCCAGAAAGACACAGAATGATATCCGAGTCGCCTGAAAACATCCATCCAATTTCATCCTGTGAGAGACGTTAGCAGGAATCCAATATCGGTCCAAGAAAAAAAAAAAATATGACTTACGCCATAGGCTACGTCCACAAACGTTGGCCCTGTTTCGCCAGGAGCAGCAGCAGTAGCAGCAGTAGCAGCAGTAGCAGCAGTAGCGCCGGTGAGGGCTTCGACACGAGTAACAAGCTGCTGCTTGTGGTTGTTGTATGCTAAGAAAAACCGAAGGAAGCCATCGGTCTGCAAAGATATTGCTTGGATATCGTATCCGGCTGAACATGGGGGGGGGGAGGTTTCATACCACTGGCCGAGGATGATGCATCTTCTGCTGTTGTCGTTGTCGTTGTAGTAGTGAAGGCGCATCCCCGTACACCGGGAGGAGTTCACGTAACAGGCTTCTATCATTTCAATGTCCTGCAAACAGGCTTGTGAGCTGAAGCTGGTAAACGGCGAAGTGTTTAGAAGGTAGATCAGATCAAAATTCGGTAGTGGTTGGGGTACGGAATAGTCGTCGTGATTATGCGGACTTGATATCGAGTTATTCGGACGGCAAATAATGGTGCCCAGGCTCGTGAATCTAGTGATACCTGGGCTTGCATCATAGTACAGGCCTAGAATATCACCATCGTCTGGATTATATATGTTTTTCGTTACTGTTTTGGAAGGTGGGAACTGCGGTCCAAGAGTGAGTGTCCTCCTCCCCCTGATAGTTTTGATCTAGATCCGTGTTTTAGTTAGTATAAATTTGCACGACAACGACATGGGCCGGACTTACAGCAAGATAAGAGGCTGACAGTGCATCGCTCTGATGCCAATAGATATCAACCGAACTTATAGCATCCGAGCAGTCGAGTTGAATATGAATAGGGCAACCATGTTGTTTACCATACCAATAGACAGAAGAATCCTGCCTGCGAAAGCCCGAATCAGAACGGGAGCAAAAGTGAGTTCCCAAGCCAACAAATCCCTCGCTAGAGCAAAATGCCGTAAGACCATACAAGTATTTATCTCTCTGTCGTAAAGGTACATACGCCATGAATCGCTGAGGCTGGGTAGCAAAGTCCAAATGCCGCGGCCAGTCATAGAAGAGCTTCGGAGACAGCCAACATAATTGGCTATATGGGACTGGAGGGATCCAAACGAAATCATGTCCAAACGTTGACTTATCAGGGGAACTGACAACGGAAATCTTGCAGATCTGGGTATACTGTCAGTGTGTCAAGTACCCTTTTTTTGGAAGGCAAGGATTCCCATACATCCCATTCAATGTACACACAAACCGGCATTCCCCGCTGGCAAGGAATGACAATAATGAAATTCTTACCATCTGAGTCGCTTTTGCTGGTACAGCTGGGTCCAGTCTCTGTCAAGAACTCCATCTTCTGAAGTCCGTAAATTCCTAGACTAAAGACACATGCAGCACTTGAAGCAGGCATCCGAATATTCGCGAAAGAATCGCTTTCATGGCCACACAGCATATGCCCCTGGCGGATACCACAAATATATCTCTCCTTGATAAGATGTGTAAAGTAGATCACAATATCTCCATGTAAAGAAATAGTCGCACTGCCAGCAGAAAGAGAAGTATCTGACCAAATCCCTTTCGCAGCGTTAAGTGCAAGTAAACACCGAACAGGACCGGGAGCTAGAAAGTCCCAGATGATCATAGTGAGTTCGAGTGGAAGTCTTCCACATCTCTTCAGCAGCTTCCATGGCATGCTTGCATCTTCACTACCTGGGGAAGTTTCAAGCAACGAGGCTACCGCTTCAGAGAGAGCATCATCATCATTCCTGTAGATCTCCTGGGGAAGCCCAGTCCATATCAGCGGTACCATCGCAAGACCGAAATTATAAATAGTGCGAGGACTTGCTAGATCCACCCCTGCTGTGTTACAGAGCGTATGAACAGAAGGGGCGTATCTTGCTTTCCTTCGCGGATGGTCATGGATCTGAATGCATAAGTCTTCCAGGTAGATTGTATGACTATCTCTGCCGAAAGTCATGGACCGAGTGACCACTGTGTCGCAACCAGGACTGTCACATAATATTACTGGCAGTATCAGCGTATAGTAGTTTACAGGCATGTTCTTAGCCGGACCTACCTGAGCAGAAGGATGAAACTCTATCGAACCTCTGCCCGCAGAGAGAGCAGTGGGGGATTCTCACATAGTGACGAGAAGACATTTCGAGTGTCTATTATCTGAAATAGATCATACTGGATCGAGGTCTGGAAAATGCAAGGAGCAGGAGCCAGCTATTTATAATCGAGCTGTGAGAGCGGTCTGCAAAAGAACCGAGGAGAAAGCTGGTCTAATGAGGAATATTTCACTCACTGCCTAGTGTTTCCAATAATTCATTACGGAGATACAGCTTATCATGGGTAGAAATTCTTCCATGTTTATCCTCTGAATTGTCTGGGACGTACATGGATAGATAGAATGAGCTATATACAGATAGACAGATAGGCAGGCAGAAAGACAGATACACAAACATAAAAAAAACGTCCAAGAAAGGTGGGTTGGATGGATTGATGGATAGATGGCTGGGTTGTGTTGTCCACAGGAAAAGAACAGAAACTTTGAGAGAGAGAGAGAGAGAGACAGTTCGCTATAGAGTAAATCGAGATAAATTGAAAATGAATCGATTGATCAGGATAGGATAGGTAGTTGGAAGAGAGAAAAAAAATACAAGGTAAGTAGTGTAGATAAAGAAACAGGTATAGATAGATGGCTGGCGCTTCTGAAGAGGAAATTAGGAGATGTCAGGAGATGTCTTTACATACGGCAGAGGTAGAGGTAAGTAGGGAGGGAGGTCTAATTGGTAGGGAGCTGGATGACGGGTGATTTTGTACTTGGGAGGGCGAACAAAAAGCAAGGGATATATGTGCATGAGAAGTGGTGGAGGTGTACTGGAAAGGGTAGGTAGGTAGATCATGTTGAGATCAAGGTCGGTCAGTCATGCAGAAGCTTGTCGCTTGCGTCGAGGATGATATCAGAGACTCGGTTCACCCATTCCTGGGCGAGAGTCCAGTTTCTCGTCTCAATTGTGTCCTGGATGGCTGGAAAGATAGCTGCGTCGTAACCGGACCAGAGCTGGGGCCCGAAGATAACGTGTTTGAATTGCGTTCGGTTGGGTACCTAGTATGGTTAATTCTGGAGGCTAAAATAGAAGAGGGATAGGAATAGATGCTTACCCCACCGCCATACTTCTTGTCAAGAAGGTTGGTATCAAGCTGCGCCATCCGAGAATTATGAGACATGCGCTGCAGGGCCATGACGTTGTTCTCAAACCCCCCAGCACCCCATACGGCGTCATGCCAGATGCTTGGCCACCTTTGGAACTGCTCGGCACTGCTTCGGAATTTTGCCGTAGCATTGTAAAGGGGCGTTAGGTTGACAGCGGACTCTCCCGCAGCCGCGTTATCAATGGGGACATCCTTGGACCGCGCCCAGTTCTCCAGGTTGACAACATATCCGGCTAAATGCTCCGCATATACCTCAACATCATAGGGCAGGATGGGATTGTCCGCAAACTGGATCAGCAATAATCCCCAAAACTGTCCCAGCGTCTTGTGATATTGGAAGCCGGGGTCACCAAACTTTGTCATCCAGTCATAGTTCTCGTGGCAGCTGTGATAGGGGAATGGCGCTCCTATGAACCCAAAGTCTACACTGGAAGTTCCGGCGATATCCTGGAAAGGTACGTAGTCGCTTCCAGCTCCGAGAGGCGCGAGTCTTTTTTGCTTCTTTTCCCAGATAGCTTTCAAGGTTTCGTTGGTGTTGGGATCCGAGATTCGACCGAGGACCTGCATTACAACGCGTTCAAACAGAGGGCATCCGGCTGCTTCAAAGTCTTTGCCGCTGACACCAACGTCAACATTGATGTATGCGTAGGCATTTTCCCGGAGGGAGTCAATTTTATCCTCCACGTGCTCGGTAGAGCCGATCAAATTGTATTCCTCTCCATCCCAGCTGGCAAATTCGATGGTTCGCAATGGTCGCCAGCCGTAGGTGAGGAGCTCTCCAAAGACCCTAACAAGTTCTAAGAAAACAGCAGTTCCACTTCCTGGATCCGCACCGCCGAAACACCAAGAGTCCCGATGGTTCCCAACAATGATTTTCTTGGCCGGCTCCTCCAGGCCAACGATGCGTCCAAGCACATTATATATGGGCTGACGGTCTACCTCATCCTGGAGGTTCATGAGATTCACTTTCGGTGACGACTCATCTCCAGTCCACCAATGCTTCACTTCTGGAACTCCGCCCACCCAACCTTCTGGGACGGTGGAGCCATGGCCCTTGAGCACCTGCAAGAGCCTTTTGGCATCGCGCCAGGCGAGGGGAAGACTCGGAATGCCTACCAGCCCTGTGGTCTGTTCGGGGCGGAGTCTCGTCTTCATTTTCGGGGTTGATGCGAAGCCTGGAGAAAGAACATCCCCAACGACCCACGACATCAAACTCACGGCGCCTCGTTGGACCCCGTCCGATGGCATGTAGCGTCCATCTGGGTAGGCGGGGCCTCGAACAAAGCCATCCTCAGCCGGATCGGAGTAAATGAGACATCCCGCAGCACCAGCGAGTTCGGCGGCCTTGACTTTCAGAGCCCGATCGGATTCAGTTCCGTAATAACGAACCAAGGCAATGGAACCGTTCAGATTGACGCCATGATCTGCTAGGTACTGGAAATCTTCCCGCGATCCGTAGTTGGCGTACACAAGGTGACCAGTGACGTTCCCCGATTTCGAATGCCCGTGAAAAGCCGGAGTATAATATTTAGGATCGCTGTGTTTTTCTTCGAGAGCCGCCTCCCATCTTAAATTGGGAGGGTCTACAATAGCAACCCTTCGTCCCTCAGCCGTCGGGTAATTCAGATACACCTGGTACTCTTCCATCTCGATTTCATCCAGGCCGGCAGCCTCAAACTCGTGTCGAATCCATTCGGCAAGGAAAAAGCTCCCCTCGCTACCAGCCAGATGGGGATATTCCGTCACCCTTCTTAGATTCTCCGCAATATTCGTCTCGTTGATGTGACCCTGAATGAAATTCTCCACCGAAGCTGCGCTGTACGACTGGCCCATCATAAATCGGGAATTGAAATTGAAGAGATCCGAAATGAAGAACACGTAGACCATGACCACCACCAGCACCAACCCAAACAAGCGCAACATAACCATGCAGCCATGCGTTTTCATGCCAGTCCTAGCGGCATTCAGGTCGATAGTGAACCGAAGGCTAGGCAGGAACCGACGGAAGGGAAGATTGATCGAGGAGAGGGTGCGAGTCAGGTTCGTGAAGGGTTTCGAGAATCGGGATCGTAATCGGGAGCGTTGGGAGGTCTGTTGGTTGGCATCCTCCACATCCATCTGATCCAATTCCCGTCGCAGCTCCTCCATCGAACCCCTTTCGGAGTCCGGACCTGAGGAGTCGAGATCATCCAGGCTGTTTCGAGCGGACTCAACTGTCGGAGGATGATATCCATGCGGTCGGGACTGGGGGGCCGCGCGGGCGGCGGCATCGCGATCATCCTGAAGTAGGGCCCGTCCCTCAGGGTTATCGCCTATCTGGTCGGATTCAAGATGAGTTTGGGAAGAGCTGGGGCGGGAAGCGATAGCCTCATCATAGGAAGGAATGGGGAGGGCTTCATATTCGTATTTATTATCTTTACTCATGACGGAAGAAGATACGGGGCTCCGGAGAGCCGGGTGAGTTGGACAGGGGCACAGATACTCGGCGAAGCGGGATCATGATCTGGGGGGCAAATGAATGACTGGTGTAGACATGCTCCCTGTCGAGGAACGACCGAAAGGAAATGAAAACCCTCAATAAGAAGGGAAAAGAACGAGAGAAGCGAAGGCGAAGTTGATATCCGAAGGTCAAGTGGAGTGAGTGTACGGGGGGGGGAGAGAGAGAGAGAGAGAGAGCGAAGCCACCGAGGAAAGGTAGGAGGTTGCTGAGTTAGTACGGAATACGGGGGTAGTAAGTTACCACCTCACTAGGTTGTTCTTCTTCTTCTTCTTCTTCTTCTTATTCTTCTTCTTCTCCAGTAGTGAAACCAATAATAATATTAATCCTAAAGAACCAGAGTCTCAGACCCACGCTCGGCTCTGACAGGCAGGAGATTTCGGTGGTTTCTCCGGGAAGTTAAAAAAAGATGTTGTTCGAGGAGACATTATTAAGACCATTCAGTCTCATTAACTAGTTACATTAGGTCAATAATGAGGCATCTATAACAGTAACAGTGAACATAAACTACTCCTACTTTTTATCCAATTCAGGGAAATTTCAAAGGTTTCAGACACAAGTCACATAAGCTGACTCAGCGCTATACTCCCAACTCTTATGTATATCACCTGACACACCGCCTTGCATGTGATCGGCAGTATCTGACATCATTTCTGACTAATCATACTCCCCTGATCTGCTGGTTTGATTTGATTTGATTTGACTTGATTTACGGAGTCCATACGGAGTACTCACACACCCTCTATCCTTGTAGATACATACTTCTCGGTCCCCAGCCGAAATGTCGCTAAACTGAAACTAAAAAAAAGCCAGCTTATTTTCTCGTCGAACTCTGCAGGCATGTCCAACATACATCCCATCCACTGGTCTTGTGGCATCGTGTCCAGCTTGATACTCTTATGATATCTAACCATAAACATCACTTTTGTCTGTAGTTTTGTCTAAGAGCACAGGTTTTCTGACTGATTGAGAATACCGTCCAGCCATGAGGGGGTAAGTAAATCTTGAAGGAAACCGATATATGACATGACTACGGAAAGATCCCTAGGTAGGAACCCTCGGGGTTCAAGCCAGCTACAGACGTTGATTTAGGAGAAAATACTCATTGGACGTGCAGACATTCTTTTAAGTGTAAAGCAGGAACATATGTATAACTTAGCAGGGTCCAGCATATCTTTAGTGGGGGGTTTGCATTATCCTATACTTCCTACGGTTTCCAGCTCTGCACGCCTCTGGGCCATCGTCTGAGATATCGCGGATCAAAGAATATCCTGAAAGCCTTCCATCTGGTTACTTGATCAGAGGGTTAGGCATCTCTTCCACCACACAAGCCGAATTTACCGCAAAGTTCCGACGAGAATTAAAGCCGTGAGTGGACCCGGCGGTGACACTCAGCGAGGCCAAAAAGTAGGTGGGATTTTAGAAGACGCAGGTGTCAGACCACTCGGAGATCTCCTCGCAGCGGGCGGGATTGAATGCGATTGTGATTGATCGGGTTGTCTAATCTATTGATCGATCACAACCATATTGCGCTTTTTCTCTGGCTTTCGGGTTCTGGGAATCATGGCGCCGACAACGTCGATTTTGACGATGGTGGGATAGCCCCACAAGATAAGATTGATTATTTTCGAGGATTATCATCGTGGGTCAAGGTTAATAGTATGAATTATGAAATATTACCAAGAAGATGATTGATGAGTCAATTCTTTTTCGTAAGGTACTTACAAGTTACGGGGAGTTAGGTAGGCAGTGGTGGTGGGAAGGGCCGATGTCGCTAACTAAGGTTTGGTGAAAACAAAGACAGTAAATACAATATACTGAAGAGCATGGATAACCCTGATACCAATATCAATTGAAGAAGAAGAAGAAGAAGAAGAAGAAGAAGAAGAAGAAAAGAATTTCACTAGTTTACTACTCTATCGCAAGTACCTAAGCTTAGGTATCTTGCTTCCCCTTCCCTTAGACTAGGCCTGAATGGCTCAAGTAGCAATTAGAGATTCTGTGCCTCTGTGCCTCTTTGATTTCATTCAACGGCCCTCTCCAACAATCATGGCATCGGTTTCTTTCTCTGCTAGCGAGACTGTTGAACTTCCGCTTGTCCGGTTCCCTAGCCTCTTTGCGAATTGACGCAACACAAAAGAGAGAGGAAGGAAAGTATCACAACAACGCGGTAGCTGTCATTCTTATTATCTACTTCGTAAGAAGGAAAGTGCCGAGATGACGCTTTGGTGATTGATCATTGAGAAGTTCCGCAAGTCGGCAGCAGGTACACAAGGTTTTCGGCGATCACGCAACTAAGATGAAATCTACACAGTACTCCCCATCACTACTGCCTTGCCCGAGCATCCAGAACAGAGAGCTGAGCTCCCATTGCACGACGGAGCAATGGAAGAAGCTCTAGTTATGTGATTCCTTCCAGCTAGCTCTCTGGGTGGGCTGTCATCGTGCATGTTTTAGGTTGCACCGGGGAATGAGACATTAAAATCCATATTTTGGCGGAGATGGTGAAGGAATCTACATTATCAGGAGGTAGATTAAAAATCCTTTTTATTTATTATTTTCTCATCCTAGTGATGTACTTGGTACCTGTAACTTTATATGTGTGCTCTGGTGTGGTTGGACACAACCAAGGTATATATATCTATATAGATCTAGGGAAGATACAGGCGGGATTCAAGAGTCGGTGAAAAGATATGGTACGAAGTAGATAGACGATGATTAAGAACGGCCAAGAAAAGATCAATTCATAACCTCCCCCTTTTTAAGATTGGAGTGGAAAAAAAGATGGATCCTCATCTCGTTTCCTTTCCTACTGCTTTGGGACAGGATGGAGAGTACAGCGTATACCAGATCCTGGAGACGAACAACTATCCTCGCAGCCATGGTGGAAATTAGTGGGTTGATCAGTGATCGTTTCTGGAGGAAGATTTCTGGAGGGAATTTCTACCTAGGAAATTTGAATCCGATTATTCTCTCCAGCAAGGTAAGTTAAGTATAGAGAATTAGATTAGGTACGAAACTATCTGATGTAGAATTCAAAGCCTCAGGCACGAGTTGCCCCTCGGAAGCCAAAAAAAAAAAAAAAAAAACGCCCCACTTTTGGCGGCGCACTAAAGTAGAGGGACACTAAACCGTATCGGGAAAGGACCCGCCAACCTTTTGTGCGTCTTCGAATCTTTTGCGATGAATGTTTAACTAACTATGAGATCCTGACTTGGAAGTTAGAAGTTAGGAGTCTAGTAATGATATGGTTAGGGACTTGTAAGAGGGGTCCGGGTTGGAGGACAGCTGTCGGGTTTCACTCTAACTGGCCCATTTTCTCCTCTCTCCTACTTATACTGCGGATTCCTCGCTACATTGCTCTCCTCCCTCTTCTTTATCATTGTACCCCCCTCGTCTTTTCTCTCTCTCTTTTTCTCTCTCTCCCTCTTCTGAATCTCTCTTCAACCTTTTCTCCCTCTATCCTCTTACCTTCTCTTTCCCATTTTGCGGTCTTCCTGTTTTTTCTTTCTTTGTGAACAGACACCCACCCACCCACCCACACCGCCGCCCTAACTTTCTTCCCCCCTCTTTCCCAGACCGCCATTATGTCTGCCCGTCCCCAGAACATCGGTATCAAGGCCATTGAGGTCTACTTCCCTCGCCAGGTATGAATTGTTCTCCCTACCCTCTTGTCTAATATTTACACGCATTGCCACTCAAATCATCCGGGACACTAACACTCCCCGAATCCAGTGCATTGACCAGGGAGATCTCGAGAAATTCGATGGCGTTAGTGAAGGAAAATACACAATCGGTCTCGGCCAGACCAAGATGAGCTTTTGCGATGACCGCGAGGGTAAGTTGGTCCCTAATCTGCTGATTTGGATCTCTTTACCTGACTGAATTCTGGTGCACTGCAGACATTTACTCTGTTGCCTTGACCACACTCTCCTCCCTCATGCGCAAGTACAACGTCGATCCCAACTCAATTGGTCGCCTGGAGGTTGGCACCGAGACTCTCTTGGACAAGTCCAAGTCCGTCAAGTCCGTCCTGATGCAGCTCTTTGCTCCCCACGGAAACACCAACATCGAGGGTATCGATACCGTCAATGCCTGCTACGGAGGTACCAACGCCGTGTTCAATAGCATCAACTGGGTGGAGTCCTCTGCCTGGGATGGCAGAGACGCCATCGTTGTCTGCGGTGATATTGCCCTCTACGCCAAGGGCAATGCTCGCCCCACTGGTGGTGCTGGCTGCGTGGCCATGCTGATCGGTCCTGATGCTCCTATTGTCTTTGAGCCCGGTCTCCGTGCCTCCTATGTCACCCACGCCTATGACTTCTACAAGCCCGACCTCACCAGTGAATACCCCGTTGTTGACGGTCACTTCTCCCTCCGCTGCTACACCGAGGCCGTGGATGCCTGCTACAAGGCCTACGCAGCCCGCGAGAAGACTCTGAAGGAGAAGGCCCTGAATGGCACCAACGGAACCAATGGCGTCTCCCACGATGAGACCCAGTCCGCTCTGGACCGCTTTGACTACATCCTTTTCCATGCCCCCACCTGCAAGCTAGTCCAGAAGTCTTATGGTCGCATGCTCTACAACGATTTCCTTGCCAACCCCTCTCACCCCGCTTTCGCTGAAGTTGCTCCTGAGCTACGTGACTTGGACTACCAAGCCTCCCTGACTGACAAGAACGTTGAGAAGACCTTCATGGGACTGACCAAGAAGCGCTTCGCCGAGCGTGTGAGACCTGGTCTCGATGTTGCCACTCTGTGCGGTAACATGTACACCGCTACTGTCTACGCCGGTCTTGCTAGTCTGCTCAGCAATGTCACTTTTGACCCCAGTCAATCCAAGCGCATTGGTCTCTTCTCATATGGCAGTGGCCTTGCTAGTTCTATGTTCAGCGCTAAGGTCGTTGGCGATGTGTCCTACATGGTTGAGAAGCTGGACCTCCACAACCGTCTCAACGCTCGCACTCTTCTGACTCCTCAGGATTACGAAGCGGTAAGAACTCCTGGGATTTTTTTTTTTAATTTTTTTTTTTGCCCTCTTCGAAACTGCGAGATTGCCAAATTACTAACTGTGATTCAGATGTGCGAACTGCGTGAGCATGCTCACCTGAAGAAGAACTTCAAGCCCGTTGGCAACTCCGAGACGCTCTTCCCTGGTACCTACTACCTGACTGAGATTGACGACATGTTCCGTCGCAAGTACGAAGTCAAGGCATGAATAATGAATAGCATATAATGGACATTGTTTCGATGTTTCTTTGACAAGACCATTGTCTAGACGGTCTATTAGATTCCCTCCGGCATGATATTTCCTGTTTACGCGTCTTGGTAGAGTCTGGTGATAGCGCTCGGCTCTGCGACTTCTTTTCTCTTTCTTATTTCTTTTGTTTATCTTTGTCGAGCATGACGGGATCCGACATTTTCATTTGGGGACCGGGATACTCTCTACAAAAGGCGTCGCTGGAATGCTTCCGGAAGAACTTTATAGGTCTTATTTAAAAGGTCTACCGATATTAATACTGTTAATCAAATCTACGAATCTCAATGAAATTACCTTTTGGATATGTGCGGATGTGCTTTATGATGGGGTGACGTAGAACTTTGCATAGCAGGAGATCGTACGATTCAAGGCATCAACGAAGACTGCTCCGACCAAGCTTGACGCCGTGCTTCCTTGCAGCTCCTGTTAGCCTCTATGGTGGTTTAAAAAAAAAGTAGCGGGAAATTGGCTTATTGGCTCTGCCATAGAAGATCACGGGCTTGAATCTGTTTTGTTTCCCGCCAACTCCATTTATCTCCACCTCACCTCCACCTCCACTCCATCTTCTTCTTCACCTCTTCATCCAATCCCAGGCCCAGAGAAGGCCGAATTTTCTTCAATTTCTGACTTGAGGAGGATCGATTCGTTTCAAATATGCGGGTGCTGCACGTCAGTAAATACATTCGACCTTGCTCCAAGCCCGGCGCCTAGCTGGGCCGTGGGTTCGGCGCGTACTCGGACCATCCTAATCGCTGAGAGCTGTCGACATTTCACACCCAAGACGTATTCTTAGAACAGCCCTGCATCCGGAAACTATCGCAGACGGGGGTTTAGACTCCTTGACTAAACCTGATTGCTGTGGAATTTGTTGTGGCCCCCTGCCAGCTCCGATCCCTCCCCATATCAACCTAGGCGCTTGCAGCCCTCCCAGCAAAGGACCACGCACTATGGAGGCGTCCCTGGCCAGATTCAACGCATCTACTGGCTTGAATGTACATCTGCTTGCCGCTCACTCATTGTGACCCGAGATGTTAACCGAATCAGGGTAAATTTCGCTCCTCTTGCTACCCAGAATAGACGAAACACACCCGTTGCCGATTATAGATCTCCTCTGGCGCTTGCTCGAACCATTCTTCAGAAAGAATTGCTGTTGATCTGGATCTAATCTGAAAATATGCAGAAGATGCAAAATATAGTAACATTTTAACGCGCAGCTCCTACATGAAACACTTGTGCTTGCCTGAGGATCGTCTGTCTCGCGGTCCCGCCCAGCAGGAACCGGCAGCTTCAATGCTGATTCCCACTATCTTTTCGCTGGACACACCCATAATGGCTAGGATCATGACGAGCTGATGGAAATTTCTCCATGTTTCAGGTTATTTGGTACCTATTCTTGTCTGTGTATCGGCCGCTTCTTATTTTGGCTCACGGGAACCCTGTTGCTTCCGTCGTGAAGCATTTAATATCCAAGCATTCCCCACGTCGTTGGTTTTACAGAAACTCGTTTTGGCCATTCACTCTGGTTATGAATTGGCTTTTCTATTTTTATTTTCAGCTCTAGGGCAAGCTTTTTCTCTTTCCTTTTCTTTCTTACCACTCGCTGAGTATACTACGGAAGCTGGCTCTTCCAACTCGAGCGATCCCAACGATCTATCTAATACGTCTGCCTTGTTTTCTTACCCACTACTTCCTGCAATCAAAAGTCAATATCATCATGTCCGTGGGATTTCCCTATTACCGGCCTACCACCCCTCCTGCGGTTACCTTTCAGGGGCAGGTTGGACCAGCCCATAATCGCAACGCATCCGACTCTTCTGTGTACTCCAACGATTCATCTCCTTGGTCTGCTATCACTTCGACGACAAGTCCAACGGTGGATTCTCCTCCGCGGTACCACCACGGACCTGCTCTTCTCCCGAAGATCAGGTCCCAGGATGTGGTCATTGAGCCTCCACCTACTGCCGGACCACAGCGTCATCGTCGGGTGCTATCCAATACTCGTAACCCTCCGGGGTTCCTCCCGTATCCACCCAGACGCCAATCCATTCAGCGCAATGTTGTTGAGGCATCAGACCGGTTTGCTGCAGCCTCCTCTGTGCAGAACTCCCCTACCTATGCCTCCTACAATGGCTCAACACTATCTTCCCCCGTGAGCATCAAGTCCTCGCACAAACGCAGGGAGTCTGGAGGGCATTCTCGATCTGGATCTGCCTCTAGTATTGACGAGGAGATATTGAACCGATATGGGTATCCAACTTACCGGCAGCTTCCAAAATATACTACGCAACCCCAACCTTCTCCTACCGCACCTGCCACCCCTGATATCGTAGTCTACCCCCCTCATCTACGCTCCTCGCCTGCGGAGCCTTTAGGAAGCAAAGCCCAAGAACCCGCTATCCGAACGTCTCTTGCACTTCCACCAACGCCCTACAGATATGCACAGGCTTTAAGTGGTGCTCAGGGGTCGTCCACTGTTGGACTTGCCTATCCAAACCTGGCGGCTGGCCCTCACTCAACTACTCTTCTTTCGTATTTGACGGGTCAAACGCAAGCAATTAATTTGGTCCGCAATCTCAGCGTGGTGCCCACCCGCGGCTTACATGATTATTTTTGGTGGGATATCCGCAACCTGCGGAGCTGGAGCTCGTTTTCTCTGCCCACATTCAATTCAATCAACGGGCTTACAAAGCTTCTGAAGACCACAATCCCCTCCCAGCTGACACCGCCAACGGTGGTGCCCAGCTCCAAATTGTCGCCAGACTCCGAAACCGCCCTGATCAATCTCATCCAAGACATCTACGCGCCTCGAGTGAATGCTGCTCTGGCAGTATCTCAAGGACCAGACCATCTATCTCTTTACACTGCCCCGGTTCCACACACCCCCAGCAGCAAGAACTATGGCGGGCCCCACTTCCTCGCAAACTATGCCTCCGACACCGAACAAACCAGCTCTGGCTTACCTCGCGGACGCCTAGTTGGAATTGCCAAGAGCTTCGACCGCTGGAACACGGGGATGCGCAACGAAGCGCCTCATCGACGGGTCGAGTACCTAAACGGACTCGCTCACCTGCAGCGGTGCATTCGCGAACACTCGTGCCGGTACGGATTCATCATTACTGAGATCGAGCTCGTCTGTGTCCGAGCCGGATGCGACGAGGGCGATGATGTCCCCTATTTCGGCTTCCTGGAGCTTTCCACGCCCATACCAACGAATATCGCGGCGCACACAGCTCGAACCGAGAATTGCTCCGCGCTTTATGCTTCTCCTAACTCTCCTACTCCCTCCGTTGACAGCTCCTTCGGGAGCCAATCTCCGCTACAGGAGAACTATCCCGTTCCAGCCTCGGAGGCACTCAACGTGCCAATGACCGCTAGTCTAGCCCTATACTTCCTCCTGATGCTCTCCAAGTCCGTACCACTCCCATCGCAGCCTTCCTGTCATCTCAACGTCGGAGGACCCGGTGCGCTCACCCGACAACGCACCCTTCCCGAGGGTAAGGACAAATGGATCCCGGAGCCCCAGATAGGAGAGAGACGGGACGCCAAGCGCGTGCGTGGCTGGGTTTGGCCACAGGACGCCTGGCACCGACGAGAGGGAGGCGGAGTTCCTCGGTCCCGGACAACTCTGGAAGTAAAACAGAAGAAATGGCACAAATAGAAGAGACTTAAAGGGCGGGGGGGGGGGTTGTTGTTGTGTTCATTTGTTTTACATTTTATACGCTAGCAATTTTGATACGAATAATAATGTAATGCTTCAATAAGCCAAGCTGATCAACCTGGAATGTAAGGAAAGGTACCTAATCTACCTACCTACGTACGCCGTTAATCGGGGAATAAGCCTAGATTATTCTCAAGGTCCTCAGAAGTATGGAAGAAGAGATGCGATGAATCCCACACTGTACGCAGCCCTCAAGGACCTTGGGGATCCCAACCTGGAAGTACCCTGGGGAAGCCATTCATCGCATCATGAATCACTCCTTACGACATTTACTGATTGGCCCATTACCCAGGTTTGATCTAGGTAGGGACCTATGTATTCCATATAAAACTCCTTCCAACCACCCACCCACCCAATTCAACAAGATTAAACCCTTTCTCCTACTATCTTAAGTAGTACGTTCCATTCTTCCTCAACCTCCAAAACAAAAGCTTAAAAAAAAAAGGAGAAAATGACCTCCTTCTCTTCTCCTCCTCCTTCCTACCCTCCCCTCCTAGACACCCTCATCATCGGAGCCGGACCGTGCGGCCTCGCCGTCGCAGCAAGACTCAGAGAACATACGCCCTCCGCCCTCTTCACAGACGAGGAACACCAGCGGTACCACTGGATCAACAAACACCGAGGGAAGATGAATATCGTCCGGGCACGCGGGGGGAAACTCAGGGGAGTGTCGTATCGGAGACGCCGCGGGTCCGGGTCTTCAGTTTCGGACTCTGGATGGTCTAGTTTGTTTTCTTCTTCTTCTTCTTCTTCTTCTTCTTCTGTCTCAGGGGAGAGAGAGGGAGCTGTGGAATCGGCTAAAGAAGAAGAAGAAGAAGAAGAGGAAAATCCGTCCCTGCTCGTTCTTGACAGCTCCGGAACGAAATGGCTGAATCGGTGGCATCGCGCGTTCCAAACACTCGAGATCCAGCAGCTTCGGAGCCCTATGTTTTTCCATGTGGATCCGGGGGACCGCGACGGGATGCTTGCTTATACGCGGGAGATGGGCAGGGAAGGGGATCTCTGGGAGATATCCGGGTGCGTGGGGAAGGAAATCAGTAAGCATAAGAGGAAGAAGATGATGAGGGGGAGGAAGAGGAGAGAGCAGCAGTATGTTTTTAATGACCCCCCCCCCCCCCCCCCTCTCCTGTCTAGCTTTACTTGCATCATTCAGTACCGCATTGATGGTGTTTATAGTAACGAGCTAACCAGGTCCAGGACGATCGGAAACACAAATATCGACGAACGAGACCGAAAGGACTACTTTTCTCCCTCGACCGGTCTCTTTGCAGATTACTGTGAGAGTATCGCTAGCCGGTACGGCCTGGATACGCCGGGATTGATCAGGGATTCCGAGGTGGTGGATATCCGGTATGATTTCCACGTCGAGTTGTCACCGCTGGACAAGATCTTTACTGTTGTTACACGGACCGGGGAGGCGTTTTATAGCCGGACTGTGGTGGTCGCTGTTGGGCCTGGGGGGAAGAAAATCTACCCTTTCCGTTTGGAAGGGGACGAGGCCCAAGGCGCGTGCCATAGCGCGGAAATCCGGACGTTTCCGAGTCCTAATGTGAAGAGGAAGATGCAGCAGCGACGCGAGACGAATGTCGTGGTTGTTGGAGGGGGGTTGTCGTCGGCGCAGATTGCGGATATGGCGATTCGCAAGGGAGTGAGTCGGGTTTGGTTTCTCTTGAGGTCTGATTTTAAGGGTGAGTTTCCCGTCAGGCGTTACTGCCGCGAAGAGGGAAGAGACTGATCTATTCTTGTTTGCTCTTTTGCAAGTGAAACATTTCGATATCGATCTGAACTGGATGGGCAAGTTCAAGAACTATGAAAAAGCAGCCTTCTGGTCCGCCGATACAGACGAGGAACGCATGGAAATGATCAAGACAGCCCGGAACGGAGGCAGCATCACGCCTCGCTACCAGAGGATCCTTCGAGAGCACGCTGCTCACCGTCGAGTCTCCATCCACCCGCGAACCGTCATCTGTAGTAAAGAGTACTGCAGTGTCACTCAGACATGGCGTCTCACCACTGATCCTCCCATCCCGGACCTCCCGGACATCGACTACATTTACTTCGCAACGGGAATGCACATGGACGTACGTGAGTTGCAATTCTTGGAGAATATGCACCGCGACTACCCCGTTGAGACTATTCAGGGCTTACCTTGCATCACGGACGACCTCATGTGGAAGCCCGATGTACCTTTGTTTCTCGCAGGGAGGTTGGCAGCGTTACGTCTGGGGCCTGGAGCGCCCAACCTTGAGGGTGCCAGACTGGGAGCAGAAAGAATTGCCTGGAGCATGGAGGAGGTGTTGGGGAAGCATAAGGCTGAAGATGCGATCGGAATCGACCAATCAAGGGAATGTTTCTGTGGACTGGGCAACAGATATGCGCAGTTAGCAGAGTGTTCACTCCAGCATATCTAGGACGTAGCCCTAACTCGCGCGCGCATTACACCTACTTCGTCCAACGCAAGAAACAGGGAGACAATTAATGCTCAAGTCACCATATTATTCCTGGGACTTTTCTATTCTCATATAACTCCTAGCTAATAATAAGTATACATACAGTCCATTTATTCTTTCATACCTCATGTTGTAGCCACCTAGCGTTTACTGCCTGTGAGGAAGCCTGCTAGAATCTGCATTAATGCCCTTATAAGCTATATCTTGCCATGAATGTAACCAGATAATGTTTAACCAGTTCGTACTAAAATCCGACGAAAGCTCCAGCGAGAGGGAAGAAAGACAGGAATGTAAACTGTTTGCAATCATCTATTAATTTGGGCAGTGTTAGTTACTAACGCTCTGCATCCAAAGCGAGCGTCGGTCCAACCGCATACCTATTGCGTTTTCTGGATTCCTTTCTGTATACACGCGTCGTCTCGATCGAATCGGAGCCCCCACGGCTTTCAAAAAGTGGGTGTGTGTTTCAACAACGCAACACCGTACAGCTCTTGAAGTGGAGCGAGAAGAAGGGCTGTGCTGGTGGGATTTGCTGATCTTAGTCCAAATGTTGAAAGACAGTTCCTGGCCGACGACCAACGGAGTGGTCCCGTACGGCAGGACTACGAGTAAGGTTATTACTACTTGGTTCCCGACAGGGGCGGGCTGGTTGGTTTATTGAGCAGGAGTCGAGAACAGCCACCCCGAATTGGTGTTGTATTCTCCAGGGAAGAGCGCAGGCAGTCAGAGGCCCGACGTGGGGATGGGTAAGCATGGAACAAATCGGGGAGCAGATTTTTCTGCTTTTGCCTACTTATCTGTGGCTGTGAGGTTGGTCAGTTGTGTTGCACTCCCGCTACAGCGATATTGAGTGGAGGTCAAGCAGCGAGTGGCTACACACAAGGGACGGACCCTAGCTATATGTATGTCCGTACTGGGTGAATATAGGCCTGGTGACATACTTCAGAAGGCTCTGGAACTCTCGAATCGGCTCTCCCTCCGCTCCAAGAAAGTTAGTATCTAGAGATCAAGAACGCCTCGGCGTAGAGTGCCACAGAGAACCTTGAAGCTCATGAGGAATACATATATCTCCATCCAATAGCGTCATCGCCTGCAGCGGAGGGAGTCCGCTCACACGGAGCGGAGCCCGCACTCCTTGCGCTTGTGGTTGTTGATACCGAGTACCTAACCTGGGTTTTGGGACGGGATACAGTATGGGCTGGAGAATCCGACCAAGCCGCATTGTGCTGATGTTGGTATGAGGGGAGGAACAAGTACTCTTACGGAGACTACTAGGCGCTGGTCTCCTACGACTCACTCAGCTTACGGTCTTGGGGTTAACATGAACCTTGCCTCGTTATAGCCTCTAATAGAAGCCAATATACTCCATAGGTACGTCTGCAGCACGAGTCTTCTTTCGTAGTCTTGTCCTGGTGGAATGAGAATCGGTGAAGATTTCGTGATCGTCCAAGCAAGGCTTCGACGATGTTGCCTACACATGTGATAGAGAACAGAGGCTCAACTGTTAGACAGCTCCCCAGAACCTTTAACCTTCTGCCGAGCATCTCACTCCTGACGCTCCACCTCCTGTTAGGGTAGTTAACGTTAGTTAGTTACCAACCAGCCCTTGGTCAGCCGCCGGAGTAAGCAAGCTCGCAGGCGATTGCAAGGTTACTGTAGGACTAGCCACTCCAGCAGTAAAGCTCCGTGGCGCGAGGCCAGTTTACCATGTGAGGACCATCGTCATCACCCTTGCCTCCTGTATTGAAAGTGAAATGAAGGAATATAGGCAAGACAAGGAAGTCGTGGTGGTGTTCAGCCACAACCGAGGCGGTGCATTTACCTTGGAGGCGATCATGCGCCACAGTTGTCACGCGGGAAATTCAACCTCTTTTCAACTTTCAACAAAACAGAAATGAAACCAAACAAAAAAAAAGAAAAGAAAACGTCAGGCTTAGGAATACGAACCCGAGGAGGTTTCTCGAGGGGCTTACTTGTCCAGATGTTCTCTTACTGCTCCGAGCCTAGCGTTTCTTGCCAGATTCTCAGCATATCGAGGCGCAGTTCAGTGGCCAATCATCCCACTTTCTCGGCGTCAAAGTCAAACTTGATGCAACTTGACCTCTGCTACCTAAACGGATAGGTAGACCCCTAAACCTCCGGGTTATTGGCGGCGTGCACTGCTGGAACTCTGGATAATTCGTGGACCGGCGTGATTTAGCGCCTTGGGTATGCCCTGGACGTCTGGGACAGTGGGCTCACTACAATATCTCCTCTTCCTGAATACACTATGCCGAGCACAAGAGCCACCATGAGCGAGGCAGGAGATATGTGACACGCCGGCATTCCTATCCCTACGCGCCCTCTCAGCGCTTAGGGAAATGAGCAAAGGATTGCTTTAGGGAGGCAATATTTGACGCTTCTTTCCCCTTTGGTTGGGAGAGGCAACGCCTTTCTTTCGATCAGTTGGGCTTGCAGAGGTCTTTCTCCCCTGATTCGCATCGAGGGAGACTGTTGTCCTGCCCGGTTTCACTTGGTGGCCTTTCTTTCTTTTTTCTTTTTTTTTTTTTTGCTGCCAACATGAAAAGAACCTACCGGAGTCGGTAGGACTGACCATTATGAAATAAAATAAACAAATTAAAAAAAAAGACAAGAAAAAAAAAACATAAGGAAAACAAAAAAAAAAAAGGAATAATAAGAAACCCAAAAAAATAAGATAATGCTGGTTCTGGTACCTCTGCACAGCCTCACTCACTCGATAACCCTGGCCAGCTACTCCGTACTTGACCCGCATGGATGTCTCTCCTCCACCTAATATTGACAATTATTAACGGGATATAACCCCTCTAAGGTTGTGTTCCGGGTCGACGTATGGAAGGGTATTTGTTTTAACATCGACAACCCGGCAAATTAGCACCGGTTGTCTGTCTATTTTTGCTCTGATGCCCTTACAGAATAACTTCCTTAACCCCTCTGAGGGCTCGTTTCCATCTCAGCAGCGACCAACTGCTCAAATCGAGATGCATCTCGAAATTCATCCGGACAATTTGAGTCCATCGTCTTCACCCGGGCAAACGGGTTCGATGGCCGTCACATCGTCGTCCTCTTCAGACCTGTTAACTGTGCATCACCATGGACCGCCACGAACATCACACTCTCTGGACGGGGAAACGCTGCGACCCCGTTCTTACTCGACTGCATCCAGTGCAGAGACGGTCGCGAACTCAGAGGCCCCGTCTATAACGGCACCTATCAAGCCCAAAATCTCCTCCACATCCATCCTAGAAGAGATTGATGATGTGCCGTTGTCTGAAGCACTGCAGCCAGACCGACACAATCTTGAAGATTTCGAAGTGCAAGATAATCGATTCCCATTCTCTCCGGGCCAGCTAAATAAACTGCTGAACCCCAAATCTCTGGCCGCCTATCATGCTTTGGGTGGCCTCGACGGCTTAGAGAGTGGCCTTCGCACAGATCTTAGGGCTGGGTTGTCGAACGACGAAACACAGCTAGAAGGGAGATTGGTATACGATACGGGGAAAACAAGCTTCGTGAACATTGAAACTGTCAAAAGTGCCGAGGGGGCAGATATACCGTTCTACGACCGAATACGGGTATTCAGCCAGAATAGGTTACCGGCGAGGAAAACCACAGGGTTTCTCAAACTGCTATGGATGGCTTATAACGATAAGATTATCATATTGCTCACCATTGCTGCCATTGTTTCGCTTTCCTTGGGTGTTTATGAGACCATCGACGAGGGCCATGGTGTGGATTGGATTGAAGGCGTGGCAATCTGCGTGGCCATTGCAATTGTCACTCTGGTGACGGCTCTCAACGACTTGCAGAAGGAAAGACAATTTGCAAAACTCAATAAGAGGGTGAGCATCTCCTCGCTTGCCTTGTTTGCCCTCGGCTTCTTTGGGACCTCAACTGACAAGCAAAGAATAACGACCGCGAGGTCAAAGCAGTTCGTTCTGGGAAAGTAGTGATGATCTCGATCTTCGACATCACAGTTGGGGATGTCCTTCATCTCGAACCTGGAAATGCAGTCCCTGCAGATGGAGTCCTTATATCCGGCCATGGGATCAAATGTGACGAGTCCTCCGCAACCGGAGAATCCGATCAAATGAAGAAGACAGACGGCTTCGAAGTATCCCGGCGGATTCAAGATGGCACGGCTACCAAGAAGCTTGATCCCTTCTTGATCTCTGGTAGTAAGGTTCTGGAAGGCGTGGGGACGTACCTGGTGACAAGTGTTGGAAAATATTCCACATACGGCAAAATCTTGATGTCGCTGCAAGAGTCAAATGATCCTACTCCGCTTCAGGTCAAGCTGGGTAAACTTGCGAATTGGATTGGATGGCTGGGCTCAGGGTAAGATGAAGTCTACCTGCTGAATCTAATATCTTAGGGTGCTAACGACCTACTTAGCGCCGCTATTGTTCTGTTCTTCTGCTTATTTTTTCGATTTGTAGCTGACCTGCCTGGTAACCCGGCTACGCCAGCTATCAAAGGAAAGGAATTTGTTGATATCCTGATCGTCGCTGTTACAGTGGTAGTTGTTGCAATTCCAGGTAAGTGTTGGGCTTTCTGAAAATCAAATCTACCCACGCCACGGCCTCTAACCTTTTACCCCCGGTTTTTTAGAGGGCCTCCCCCTGGCTGTCACTCTAGCACTCGCCTTTGCCACAACTCGAATGGTAAAAGAAAACAACCTGGTCCGAGTTCTACGGGCATGTGAAACCATGGGCAATGCGACAGTGATCTGCTCTGATAAAACCGGCACCCTGACCCAAAATAAAATGACTGTTGTTGCTGGAACCTTGGGGTCGAGGAGTTTTGGCCATAATGAACCTGGAGAAGATGCCGCAGCGGAACTCTTCAAGACATGCCCAGGCTCGGCTCGTGATCTCCTGGTCAAAAGCATCGCTCTTAATTCAACTGCTTTTGAGGAAGAAAAAGACGGGCTCAAGGAATTCATCGGAAGCAAGACCGAAGTAGCATTGCTCCAGTTGGCCCGAGACTATCTCGGCATGGATGTTGCCACTGAACGTGCTTCGGCCACAATTTCTCAGCTGGTCCCGTTTGACTCGGCTCGCAAGTGCATGGGCATGGTGTACCGGGTATCTGAGGGACACTATCGCCTCCTTGTTAAGGGAGCTGCGGAGATCATGGCCGACCACTGCTCTACGAGAGTGGAGTTTGTGGGAACGGAAACGATCACTATTAGCAAGGCAACTACCGACAACAAGCAGCAGATTCTTGATACAATTGAATCATACGCGAAAAAGTCGTTGCGCACAATTGGGCTAGTCTACAGAGACTTTAAGACCCCCAGCTGGCCTCCAGCTAAAGCCCTGCGCATGGTGGATGACCCTGAGTCGGCGGATTTCAAGGATATCTTCGGTGATATGACCTGGCTTGGAGTCATGGGCATCCAGGACCCTCTCCGGCCCGAGGTTCCTGCCGCGATTGCAAAGTGCCATCTTGCCGGTGTGCAGGTCAAGATGGTAACAGGTGACAATATCGATACTGCCACTGCCATTGCCGAGTCATGCGGTATCAAAACTGAGGATGGCATTGTCATGGAAGGCCCCAAATTCCGCCAGTTATCGGAAGAGAGAATGGACGCCATTATTCCCTGTCTACAGGTTCTTGCCCGTTCATCGCCCGAGGATAAAAGAATCCTGGTCGCGCGGCTGAAGAGATTGGGCGAAACGGTTGCGGTGACGGGCGATGGTACCAATGACGGACCTGCCCTGAAGACAGCTGATGTCGGCTTCTCGATGGGGATTGCCGGCACCGAGGTTGCTAAAGAGGCCAGCTCTATCATTCTGCTTGATGACAACTTCAAGTCTATTGTGACGGCGATCGCGTGGGGTCGCGCGGTCAACGACGCCGTTGCGAAATTTCTGCAGTTCCAAATCACCGTCAACATTACTGCCGTCGTGCTCACCTTTGTCTCATCACTGTATAGCAGTAGCAACCAGAGTGTCCTCAGTGCCGTCCAGCTTCTCTGGGTAAACCTGATTATGGACACGTTTGCCGCACTCGCCCTGGCCACAGATGCACCAACGGAGAAGATCCTTGCCCGGAAACCCGTCCCTAGGACTGCATCGCTATTTACCATTACCATGTGGAAAATGATCTTCGGACAAGCTATTTACCAACTCGCCATTACCTTCATGCTTTACTTTGCCGGGGAACATCTTCTTTCGAGCGTTCTCAGTTCGGATCAGGCGGTGGCCGACAACCAGCTCAGCACCATTGTCTTTAACACTTTTGTCTGGATGCAGATCTTCAACGAGTTCAATAACCGGCGTCTCGATAACAAACTCAACATCTTCGAGGGGATGCACCGGAATTACTGGTTCCTCGGGATCAACCTGATCATGGTCGGTGGCCAGGTCATGATCGTCTACGTGGGCGGCGATGCCTTTGGCGTCACAGAGCTCACCAGCGCACAATGGGGCATCTGCATCGCCTGTGCCATTGGATGTCTTCCATTTGCCGTGATCCTCCGTCTCATCCCCGACGAACCAGTGGGCGTTGTTTTCAATGCCGTGACCGCCTCCATCTCCTTCGTCCTGGACCCTATAGGCCGCGGACTATCCGCCACTGGAAGACCAGTCAAGCGTTTTGCGAACCGAATGGTGTCCAGACACAAGAGGAACAACACTAGCTCAGGAGTCCCTGATGCACAGTCTCTGGATGATTGGAAGAACAGCGGGCGCCATCTCTCTGGCGACGAGGAACAGCTTCCTGCTGTACCCCAAGTTATGATCACGACTCCTGATAACGATATCTCATACAGTAGATGACTGGAATTTTCTTTCTTGCTATTTCTTTTTCCCTTTTTTTTTTTTTTTTTTTTTTTTTTCACAGCTGTACTATACGGATATACGCTCACGGCCGGGTTACATTGCATTGCATACATGGGAGGGTTTGTTTCATAGATACCAATCATACGATAGGAGGTGTTTGGATGGATATTTCATTCATGTACTTGGGGATTTTTACACTGTTTTACTACCAAACCTGATCGCCGTAACTAAAGTATTATTTTTGGTCCACAAAAGTAGGTATACAAGTCCAATGTGCCTCAGGCTACAAGGCAGCATAAATACCTGCACTTCTTCACTCGCAATTCTTTTTTCTTCTTGTCCATGATTAATTAATTTTATTGTATTCATTTTTAATCCTTTTAAAAGGGTTGAATAATAATTTCCCTCACTTCTTAAAACAGAGAAATCAAACAAACGGCCCATAATATCGGTATCGGTCGGTGCCTTTTTCCCCCCCCCCCGCGTGGGTACAGTAAATGACGAACAACCTAACTTAACTAACTATCCCCAACTCCTCATAATAATCCAACTAACAACACGACGACACAGACCTTCAATTCCCACCTACCTCCCGACGCCAATATACACACACACACACAAAGCCAAGAAGCCATCAAAGAGAAAGAGAAAGAGAAAGAGAAAGAGAAAGAGAAAGAAATAATGTCCGCACCCAACTACCGCACAATCAACATCGATGCCCTGGACCCCGAGTCCGCGGTGAATTTCCCCATGGAAACCCTCCTTCCTGCCTCGCTCCCGGCCCCCGCGAACTCCAGCACCGCCGCAAATGTCGCCGCGCAGGTCCGCCAGCTGCTTCGGAGCGGTGACGCCGAGGGTGCGCTGCGGCATGTGCTCGAGACCGCTCCGCTAGGCGGCGACGACCGCGCAAAGGAGGTCCATCTCGCCACCGTCGTTGATGTGCTGCAGGGTATTCGGCAGGCGGAGATGGCCAAGGTGCTGGAGGGGGTTTGTACGGGTGGTGCCCAGGGTGGGGAGCGGGCGGATTGCTTGATGAAGTATTTGTATGTGGTTTTTTTTTTTTTTTTTTTCTTTCTTCTTCTTCTTTATCGCTTCCCTGTTATCTAGCTTTGAATTGAAGAAGGGGGTTAATACTGACATCTTGGTTGGGTACAGGTACAAGGGGATGATGATGGCCTCGCCTGCTTCCGGTAGCGGGGCCCAGTCACCGCGGAAATCGGTCTCGCCGCAGAGCACAGGGTTCACGCAGATTCAGGCTAGGAATTTGGGCGAAGGCGGCGGTGGACAGCAGATGAGTGTTCTGCTGAATTGGCATGAGAAGCTGGTGGAATTGACTGGCACTGGATCGATTGTGCGCGTCATGACGGATCGGAGGACGGTTTGAAAGGACTTCTTTGTATACATGGATGGGTGTGTGTGTGTGTGTCTATTCTATCATATGGTACAAGGTAGGGTTAAAAAGATTTTATGAATCGAATCCACCCCCTCCCAGTAGATCCTTCAGATTCACCTGTCCACTTCCCCGAGCCAACGGCTGTGCCTGTCCCTCCCCTTCTTTCCACCCAATCATGTATATCAATCTAAAGGTCGCGGGGATGCCTCTCGAATCTTCTTCCTTATGCAACTCGCGATAGATCGCTTCATTCGCCAGCAAGACGTCCCTCGATATCGGGCCCGCCTCGCGGTGCAAAATTGCGTTGTTCTCCCCCATCGCCTGCAGGTCCTGCATCAGTGCAAACGTGTCCGGATACTCCACGACAATATCCTCCACATCTACCGTAAGCATCTTAAATCCCGCCTTGTTGAGCAGCCCGCCGACATCCCGTACATCCGCGAGCGGGGATACATGCGGCGAGACACCGCCGCGCCGCTCGAGATCGGCGAGTTGCAGCGACGTCCGCAGCTCGAAAAGGGTGTCGCCGCCGAACATGGCCGCGATAAAGGGGCAGTCTGGTTTCAGAATCGAGTTGACCTGCGCCAGGAGCGACGGGAGATCGTTGATCCAGTGGATCGAGAGGGAGGAGAGCACGGCGTCGAAGCTGTTGGGTTCGTAGGGGAGGGTCGTCTCCAGGTCTGGAATGACTTCGCGGGTAATAGAGAGGGACTGGTTGAAGGGGAGGTCGGCATCACGGTGAAGGAGCGCATGCGAGGTCTCGACACAGGTGAGGTTGCCGATGCGGTCTGATAATGGCGCCGAAGATGGGGTTGTTGGGTCTGGGTTGGGGGTTGTGAGGGCCCGGGCGATGTTGCAGCTATTGGCACCGAGGTCGAGGACGTTGGGGAAGGTTCGTTTTATATCCTTTTTGTCTTTTAGTTACTTGCTTTTTTTTTTTTTTTTCTGAGGTGTAAGAGGGTATGGGTGGGAGTACCAGAAGTCGTTCACATAACCGCATAGCCACCTCGTCCTTGATATAGTCTACTTTTCGACTTTCTTCGACATTTCGAGCCGCCCGGTCCTTCTGTAAATGCTTTGTCTTTCGATTGAAGATCTCCAGCACTGGGTTTCCTGGTGTTTGGCTGGCGTAGGTTCGCACTGTCGCTGTAGCCCAAGAAGAGCGCAGGATGGGGCGCAGAGGGCGCAAAGAGGTCATTTTCAATTCTAGTGATATAAGACAAAAATAAACCGAATGAATTCAAATCAAAGGAGTATCAATTGGACATTTTGCGTGGGAGGAAAAGTGCAGAGAGCAAGTGACGTCGATGGGAAATCTTTTGGTTTGATGTCGATGGATGATTTTCTGCATCTCCGGCGGTGATTTTCCGCCTCCACGTCAACACAACAATCTCCCCCCTCAGTTGACCTCTGAGCGTCTGGCATTTGGTACGTGGCAATTCCTAAGAGAAGCAGTATTAATCTAACTTGCTGGATTTAACCCGTGCAGCATCATGTCGCGCCCCTTTCCCTACGCGTACATCTCTTGCCCGTGTGCCAATACCCCCGTGCCAGATCCCTCCAGGAAACGGAGATCCAGGGAATCGCCCCAGAAGAGCAGCCCAGAGAAACCCCGGGTTGAGCCTGAAATAGATGACGATGAGGATGAGCAGACCTTTGACCCGCGATCTACAAGGTCCAACTTCTCCCTATACCCACCGGAGCAGCTTCTCTATTGCGAGGACTGCCACCAGATCAAATGCCCGCGCTGTATTACAGAGGAGATCATATGCTGGTTCTGCCCCAATTGTCTGTTCGAGACACCTAGTAGTATGGTCCGGGGAGAGGGAAATCGGTACGTTCTTCCTCTTGGGGGGGGGGGGTAACTGGAGCTTATAAGCTAGCTAACTTATGTGGACAGATGCGGCCGGAATTGCTACGCTTGCCCCGTCTGTACTGCCGCCCTGACGGTCTCGACGATAGATACTACAGGACAACAGGGCCCCTGGGTGTTGGCGTGCTCATACTGCATGTGGACCACGCTGGATATCGGTATCAAGTTTGACAAACCCACCAATGTCCGCAATCAAATCACCAAAATACTCGCCGATGCGGCGGCCTCGGCATTAGGCACTCCTCGCACGCGACAGATGTCCAAGACCTTCAGCGAGCTTAAATCCCCGTTATCTACTTACTCTTCAATTGACGAACAACTCCCGCTACCAGGAGAGAGCGGCGGGGATGAGTCCTCTGCAACACAAGCAATTGCTGCCAATGGGCCCCTCACACCGGACGCACACTTCGCAGCTTTAAAGAATTTCTACAAAGGTCAACTCGCAGCCGTGAACGCCGCATCAAGCGATCCGCTAGGGGACTTCAGCAGTGGGTTCTCCTCTCCCGGCGCCATCAACCGCCTCATGTCAATCTACGCTTCGTCCTCCCGGCTCAGCGGTCTCTACGGCGGCTCCGGCAAGAAACCCAAACCAAAACCCCCCGTGATGAGAGAGGCTCTCAATTCAAGTGAGGGCCTTTCCATCCCCGCGCCTGACTGCGAAGCATCCATGATCCAACGTATGGTCTCCGACGACTGCGGCTGGGACGGGCTAGCCTCGATCGAACAGCGTGCGGACCAATCCCCCGACGCCCGCTTCGTAGAGGACCTCTTCCCAAAGCCCATTCTGCTCCGCACGAGACGCTCCAAGCGTTGCAAATCCTGCAAGCACATCCTCGTCAAACCCGAAAGCAAGCCAGCTTCAACCCGCTTCCGTATCCGTTTGATCGCTCTCAGCTACATCCCGCTGCCGACAATGCGCCCGCTCATCCTGCCTCCTTCCTCCTCCTCCTCCTCCTCCTCCTCAGCACCCTCATCTCTCCTATCAACTTCCCCTTCCAACTCCCCCGCGCCGAACCTAGACGCTCTCCCCCCACTGAAACCCATCCAGCTCCTCCTCACGCTGAAAAACCACATGTTCGACGCCGTCCGCGTCACTCTCGCCACACCGTCCGTCACCCCCGGCCGCGTTGCCTCCAAGGTCACCATCCTCTGTCCGCAATTCGATATCGGCGCGAACAGTGACGTCTGGGACGAGGCGCTCCAAGCGGCCGCTGCTGCCCCGGATCAGCGCTCCTCGCGCGGTGCTCCCTACGAAAAAGTCGCAGAGGCAGGTAAAGTTTGGGAAAAGGGACGCAATTGGACTACTGTTGTGCTTGAAGTTGTTCCGGGAACGTTACCGGGGCGTCGATTACCCAAAGGCACGGGAACCACAGCCGAGGAATCTAGCGAAATTTTTAACAAGACCACTAAAAACGACGACGACGACGACGACGAGGAGGGTGATAAGAACAGCAACGATGATGACGACGACGACGATGACGATGACGACGATGACGACAGCGAGAGCAAGAACGATAACGCCGCCACGCTAGACTGGAGCGGCCAGGCCAAAGACCCCAGTCTGCAGCTCCAGCCGGACGAGGATATCCTGGAGATTCCGGTCTTTGTGCGAATGGAATGGGACTCGGATAACCAGATCGAGCACGACCAGGCTGTTCCTGCTGCTGTTGCCGGACGCGGGTCGAATGCAGATACAGTCAAGAGGGAGTTGGCATACTGGATGGTGTTGGGGGTGGGAAGAATTCAATCCTAACTTCGGGGTATTTTCCTTGCGTATTTAGTTCTAGTTTATACCCTTACTTGCACTTATATACAATATATAGTTAGCTAATACATACATATCTACCAAACATGCTTATACTTATACATGAAATATACCTACCATACCGTTAAAAAAAAAAAAACACCAAGGGGATAATAATAATCTTTAACCAACCAGTTTACAAGAAGAATCTACAAGATGGATACTAGCTGGAAGAACGTGAAATGAAGAATTTTGGTGTATTTTTTTTTTCTTTCAACCACGCCGAACAAAAAGAAACAGCCCGGACCAAAACAGATCATGAGTGTATCACATCACATCACATCACCCCCCCCCCCCCCCTCCCTGTGCTTCCCCTTTTTATCTTTTCTTCGTCTTCTTCTGCTTTATGTGCCCATTGAGTGTAAAGAAGAGAGAGAGAGAGAGAGAGTCTCAGTCTGGAGTAACTAGACTAGACTAGACAAAGTGCAAAGGGAAATCTGGTGTGAATAGGAGAAAAGAAGAAGAAAGAAAAAAAAAAAAAAAATACCGATGCAATAAGCATGCAAGCATGCAAATGCAATTCCATTCCCATTGCTAAATCTGAGTATGTATCATCGGATCTTCCTTTTTTTTTTTCTCCTGTCTTGCCTTGACTTTGCCCTTTGCGGTCCACTCAAATTCCCTTTTTTTTTTTTTCAAAGTAAAAAAAACAACAACAAAATTATCCAGGCACACACAAAGAAAGAGAAGAAGAGAGAAAAAAAAAATTAAAAAAAGGGGGGGAAGGAGAAGAAGTCATCTAGAACTCAGCAGCAGCACCGCTCTGAGGGAACTCGAAAACCACAGCCCGGCCGGTCAAACGACGGTAGACCTCGCCGTAGGCATCGAGTCTGTGGTCGACACCGCCGCGCTCCTTCTCGTCAAGGACAACCTTGAGGGTCTTGCTGCCGTCCTCCTTGGTGCGGATGCGCTTGCCGACAATCTCAACGGGGTAGACAAGGTCGGTGAGGATGGCGTCGTGCACAGCGGTCAGAGTGCGGGAACGAGGACGCTTCTGCTTCTGGTTGGTGCGGGAGTTGACAGAGCGCTTGGGGCGGGGGAGGATGCGGCGCTGAGCAACGAAGAGGACGTGACGGTCGGAGAACTTCTTCTCGAGTTCACGGGTCAGACTGTTGCTCTTGTTAGTTTTCCTTCATTCTGGATGTTTTTTTTTATGCGGGGGTAAAGCCAGATAAGAATAGGGTGGATGTGCGTACCGCTGCTGGATCTTGTGGAAGCCCTGGAGGAGAGGGACAGGGACGAAGATGATGACGGCCTTCTTACCGTGGCCGACCTCAACCTATTGATTCATGTTGTTAGAGCAGTTCAAAACGTTTTTGAAGAGAGAGAGAGAGAAACAGCATGCTGCTTGGAGCAGTAACAGCGACGTTGTGGAAGGAAAAAAAAAATTGTCGGAGAAATCGTTCAGCGTCCAATTCCATTCTCCAATCTCAATTGCATCCAAACCATCTGCCACACACTCCTTTTTTCTTTTTCTTTATTCTTTTGGGTCCTTCTTTCCCCTTCTCCTTTTCGTATTGTGCGTGGGTGTGGGTGTGCAACTCCTCCTCCACTCCGATACATGTCATCTCCATTTTCAATCGCAACAGTAATCGTCCCCCTGCAACAACAACGGAATCAAATAGAAGAACAAAAATCCATTCTTACCTCACGAGCAGACGCGAACTGAAGGGGGCGGAGGGTGGCCTTCAGGTCCTGTGTGTTGCTCTCCAAGTCGAAGAGAGCGCCGGCGATCGCGGTCTCCAGCTCGGAGGGGTTCTGCCTCGACGGCGAGTTGGGGGCGATCTTGTTGATAGCAGCCATGATGAACACGGGGGGATGGGCAGACAGAGCGACGGATATCTGGCTGTGCTGCTGCAAGAAGGGGTGGTTGCTGCCCTTTGGTTGATTGTGCTGGCGGGTTGTCGACGGGAGAAGAGCAATATCTAAAATGCGACTTGGGGCCGGGTTTGCCTGCTGTGGGATCCGAGGCTTGGCGACTCGCTTAACGCCTGTGGTGCATTGCCTGTTGCGGTTTAGCCCCTGTCTGCTTAGGGGATGGTGCGTCCCGTGACCTGTCTGCCCTTCCTCGCTATAGAAGATACAATACTCCCAAGTATACTAAAGTACCATCGACTATAAACCTTGACGATTCTTTTCTCGGAAATCCTGTAATTCTACTCTGAACTGATGTATTCAATGAATGACCGCTTATGTACCATACCACGTATCGATACATTACTATTAATATCGCTGAGACGGAACGCCACGAGACACACACAGTTCATCACTCTGTAATGAACCCAGCAGGGACAAGATCTTGCAAAGGGAAAAAAAAAAAAAAAAAAAAAAAAAAAAACAAAGAAAAGAAAACGAAAGAGGGAAAAAAAAAAATTAATACACTATTAACATGCACACCCTTCCTTCGCAGTGGCAGCACCCCGATCCCCCAGGCTCACTCGCGAGTCGTCTCCCGATCGACCACCTCCCAGGGTAGTCTGGCCGGTGCCCGCGCCAGCACCTCGTCCACTCTTCAAATTGCTCTCGGGAATGGCATTGGCAATCGCAGTGAAGACATCTACAACATTCATTCCGGTCTTCGCACTAGTTTCGAAGAACAACAGGCCCTCCTCTTCCGCATATGAGCTAGCCTCCCGAGTCGACACCTTGCGGGCATCTCCGGAAGTAATATCCTGCTCGTCTGGACTCTCGCCGGTAGCATCCTCTCCCTCCGCACCCACGGACACAGGTTCGTTATTGGGAAGTGTCTCTCCGCTGCCGTCATTCGTCAAGTCCAGCTTATTGCCAACCAGGGCGATCACGATGCCAGGGCTAGCTTGTCGTTGCAGTTCCGCCACCCAATGTTTGGCCTTGGTCAGCGAGGAAGGTTTAGTCACGTCGTAGACCACCAGCGCCGCCTGGGCGTTACGGTAGTACATGGGAGCGAGTGAGGCAAAGCGCTCCTGGCCGGCGGTGTCCCAGATTTCAAACTTAATCGTTCGGGTCGGAAGAGAGCATTTTTGGGTCAGGAAGGCAGCTGTAGGAGTGAAGAAGCATCAGCATTTCACTATTCCAATCTTCCAATTGGCGCGAGAGAGAGCAGAGGAGAACTATATCGTCATCTTTGCCTCCCTCGGCCGGGATCCATCTCGGAGACTTACCTCCAATCGTGGGTTCCTTGTTCTCTTGAAAGTCATTGTTGACAAACCGCAGTACCAACGAAGACTACTCAAGATGAAGCATTCAGATTAGTTTAAACTCTCATTCTCTCCAATTACCCGTGTACACCCCGGGAAAAGAAAGCCGAGACCCAGCCCAAATCCAGGCCCAGGAAGACGTAGAGGTAGAAGAGGGGTCGGATAAAATCCAACGTACCTTTCCTACAGCAGCCTCGCCCAAAAGTACTAGTTTAACGCTACTACTCGGTTTCGGAGTATTCGCGGAGGTTGACTCAGACATGGCTGGAGAGCCCAACAAGAATGTGGCTATACACGATCAGGTCGTCTTGCAGATAATGCCAACAACAAAAGCTGATTTCTCAATCCAGATGCTGATTTCAAATCGCGAGGGGGTCGGGAACGGGGTATTCCAGGTAACCTAGGACACACAAAAAAAGGTAAGCCGCAAAACACGGAAGCAGACGAGAGGCCTGAGTTCGATCGGATTGAAGCAGGGCCTGTTTGATAGGCAGCAGACAACTGGGAAGACGCAGAGAACACGTACCAGCACCAAGAGGAGAAATGGCGGTGGGCAGAAGGACAGATTTGCTTCGATGGTGGACGATTTGCAGCGTCTCTAGCTCGTAGGGGGAAAGACTAGCAGCAAGTTACGAGTTGTCCTCAGACAGTTGGAGTAGTTTTCGTCAGATAGTCAGTCAGTCGATACACAGGTACCCAGTGAGCAAGAGTCGTTGGAGAGGCGGAAAGGCGGGCAGATGATGATGGATGGTACGAGGCCTAAATGGGTTTAGCCCGCTTAGACAATCATGCGAATCACCAATTGAGCAACTATTCTCCGTCATCAAATCAAATCCTCCAGAATAATAACTGAAATAAAGCTTTTGTTTAATTTTGGTTTATATCCTTCCCAGCGGAGATCACACCGAAGAAGATCGTCAAGGGAGGAACCGACTGTATGCCTCGTGGTTATCTGACATTTCATTCCATTATTTTTCTTACCTTAAAAATCTCCCGAAGGAAAGCAGTACCACCATCTACTTCGCTGGCAAAATACCGCACATCTGATCTGGAGTGAGAAAGAGAGAAAGAGAGAAAGGGAGAGAGATGGAGGGGGAAGGGGGAAAAAAAAAAAACAAAAAGTGAGAGGACAGTTTTACATTCCTAACACAGCTCTCACATACACATACTCACAATTGAACGGATCGAACGAGAGAAAGTTGCTCAGGCACTCGGCTGATACGAGCGATGAGGAGAAACAAAGAAACAGAAGAGTCTGGATGTGAAGAGACAGAACAAGAACCGGGGGTTTAGGCGTCATTTTTGAGCTTAGATGAGACATATCAACTCCCAAGGGGAGAAGCATTAGCAATTTTGACCCAAATCTCCAATCCAGTCTGATTGGTGGGAGACAAGACTTTCCATCTGGCCAACACTCTACCTTTGGGTACTGACACTACCCCAGCCACAGTGCGTCCCCGACAGATCCTGTGGTCTGTATGGCTAGAAGGACGGTACATCTGGATGCGCTATGCACAACGGAGGCTGTAGTCTGTAGACAACGAAGACACACGCAACAGGGCCAATGCAGCCTGGGGGCATGACGTGCCCAAGGGGAACGATCCCCAGCCAGACCTCTGGGGGAAAACCCTCACCACATTTCGTTTTCTACCATGGCATTCCGCTAGGTTACATACATGGGGCCAGTGTCGCACGGCATTGGGATTTTGCAGACCCGGTAGCTGCCCAAAAATGGAGCACATGCGAAACGACTGTTGACCAGGGTCTGCTAGATAATGCTAGGTCGATTAACCGCTGTATCAACAAATTAGATCTACCTGCACCTGTGACATCCCGTGAACCAACAATCAGGAAACGAGGGCGATGTCATCTGTGGTGACTCGTCCGTGTTCGAGCCAAGGCGCTTGTCTGGAGTTTATTTGTGGTGGACCAAAAAAAAAAAAAAAAAAAAAAAGATTGAGGGCTCGCCATACCAGCTTGCATTCCCAACAATATATTCAATATAGTACAAATGAGGACATAGATAAACAAAAGTACCACATTTGGCAAACAAAGGAAATTCAAAACAAAAGGGGAAAAAAATAAATAAAAAAATAAAAAAATCTTGGACCGCGAGGCCGAAAATTCTAATCTGTCTTGGTATCAACCCATGCTTCCCAAATTCAAACCCATCCTGTCTATCCCAAACGCCGACAAAAGAAAAGACAAAAGGAAAAGAAAAAGAACAAAGGAAATTGTCGAAAAGCCACAAATCAAGAATCTGAGAGCAAGCACTTTTTGTTCCAAAAAAAGAGTCATGGCCGGAGCTGGTTCGTGTCGATGAAATTAAAATAGAGATGTAAAAACGAAAAGTCCGGATATTCGGCCGAAGAGAAGAAAAAACATGGTCGTGTCGATCGAAGAGGTGAAGCGTTGGACCTCCACGTAGGGAGAGGACGGTATTAAAGATATCTATAGTGCCCGAAACCCATGGCGGCCAATGATGAATGTAGTATTACAGGAAACTGCGAAGCGAAGTTAGCGATGAAATGCGAAGCATTGGTACTGGAGCTGTCAAGAGTCACTTACAAAACAAATGGACTTCATTGCAGACACGTCAAACTGTAGGGGGCCATGGCGCCAATGAACAAAAACCACAAACGACTTTTCGCTGGACACAAGAAAAATCACAGGGAGCTCATTTCGGTGGTGGTGGTGGTGCGCCAGGCTTCTTTACTCCTGTAGTATCGTAGGCTCCGCGACCCATGTTGAACGCTGAGAGATCTCGAAGAATCATTGTGGACTCTGCACAAACAGCCATTGTTAGATAGGGATGTTGCTTCTTGGTATCACGGGGAAACGGCCACGGATAGGGGGAAAGGGTGGTGTGGAAAACAATTTTGGCAGAACTAATGGTGAAGGATAGATTTCAGGTAACCGGGAGGAACTCACTGGTTAAATAATAATGACGAGAAATTCTCCAACAATATTTGTTCAGGAATAAAACGAAAGGTCCTCTCGATTATTCTGATTCGGGTCCCGCGTTCAATGACAGAGCGGATATGCAGGCTAGTATTGAGGTACCCAAAGATCCAGGCAATATTGCAGCTGCAGGTGAGATCCGATCCTTATTAAAAAAGGAAAAAAAAAAGCCCACAACCCCAAATCTAAGGCAGGGTGACGCAGAGCAACGCAGAGCAAGCCTGTAGGGCAGGAATGCAACGCCAAAGTACCAATGAATCAAATCAGAAGAATGAGGAATGGTGGATATCCACGATTAATCGACACGTCTCTTTTTGAGGAGTCGAGACTTGTTTCTGGCGTAGATGACTGGCTAGGCCGCACGTAACGTTGTTCTTGTTGCAATATCTCTGGGGTATCTGATCTGGCTGGAAGGCCTCCCGCTGACGGTAACCACGAGCAAAGAGTGAAAAGGCCGCAGGAGTGGTGCAGATATGCTATTCGAGAAAACGACGCGATCGAAAGCCGGTAGCCGCGAGAGTCTAATGCAGCAAGGAGGGTTGATCCTGGAAAGGAGAAGTGCCACGGAGGTGGTCCGTCTGATCCGGCGAGAGCAAAACAATCTTAGGCCCGATCTATCGCAAGGGAGGATTGGTAAGGTCACGCAGAGTGGTGGGAAGATTGAGGACGAGAGAGGCACGGAGGGGAAGAGAGTAGGTAGGTAGGTAGGTAGGTAGGTAGTAAGTAGTAGAAAGGAGGAGGACAGGGTGAGAGTTAGCTTGAATCAAGGAATGAATGGATGAAGAATTTCCAAAGGCCAGATGGTAGAAGGGGGATCATAGCATAGATATATAGCTAGGGTCTTTCGTATTTTTTTTTTTCAAGCAAGGCCTAGTAGTAGTAAAAAGAAAAAGCGAAATATTATAATTAAACCAAAAAATATACCTATATAAAATAAAAAATAATAAAAGCAAGGTCCGAAAAATAAAGACCAGGGAAACAAAAAAATAAAAAAAAATAAAAAAAGTCGGGAAAATAAAATTAAAAATAATCCATAAATTCAAAAATATAAAATAAAATAAAAATAAAATAGTCGCAATAGAGTAATATGAATCGTCATAAAAAGAAATAATTACATGGATACTAATGCTAATACTACTAGTAGGAGGTAAGAGCCATCATCCCCAAATACCCATACGCAGTCCTACAGTAATCATGCTGAATTTGAAAACACTCTAAGAATTAATGGATGCAATCGAGGCTTAGAAGCTCTGCGGCTCTCCCGTCCCGATGGTAAGGTACGCGAAAGCTGTGGGTGCGATTAGTTCCATCCATACCCATTTTCTGATTTTTTTTACCCCTTTCTTTTTGTTCTTCGGGGGTTCTCTACTAAGTAACTATGGAGTACTGATTGAGGTACAATATTACACTACTTACTCCTGTTTAGTTACAGCTTACAGGTATTTTTGCCATCCGTCTCCCCCCTTCCCCTTCCTCTTCCTCTTCCTCTTCCCCTTCCCCTTCCCCCTTCACTTCTCCTTTGTCTTGATTCCGTTTAGCTTATCATGTTTCTCCATCTAGTATTGACTGACTAGACACAACTAGAAATACCCCCAGTGTGTTGAGAGTTCGTGTGTTGAGAGTTGGGAGTTGAGAGTTGGGAGTTGAGACGTGACAGAGAGAAAAGCTTCCCCCCAATGAATCAAGCGAATGGATAATTAACCAAAATTACAGTGAACAGACAAAGAAAGATGAGACAATGAGAACTGGAGTTCTTTGATTGCTTCCCCCTTCCTTTCTCTCCCTCCCTGATCCCTTCCCAAAATACAATACCGGGAATGAATGAAACCAACAAGGCCCCGATGGAGATCAGGTCAGGCCAGCCACCAGTGGCCAACCAACCATCATTGAACTGATCTGGAAAAAGCACAGAATTAGCCAGAAAGAAGGAAGAAGAAAGAAACATTCGAGCTCTCCACTTTCTTCTGGTACATCAGGTAACTCAAAGCTAGGAACCGACTTGTCGGACCACGACGGACAGGTTTGATGCAGCAAAGGGGAGCGGTGGGGAAAACGTAGCCGCTACAGAACCGCGGATGGATCCGAAATCCAATCCCTGTCCCTCTAATGGATCCGCTAGGGCTTGCTTTGGAACCTGGATGGTGTTTCTATCCATTTCTCGCGTGGTGCTGGAGAAGCTACTGGACGGCGCAGAATCAGGGGCGCTAAGATGGGTAAGGATCTCCTATGGAGTAGAATAGATAGAGAGGGAAAAAATGAAAAAAAAAAAAAAAAAGCCCTATAACATACGATCGTCTAGGCCATCCATCCTCCTTTCTTTTCAAGACCCCAAAAAAGTGTTCGAAACCCTTGGCTTTTTGTCCGCGTCTAACCCAATGAAGGATGAAACACACATGTTCTGAATTTTCAGAATGGGGCTATCATTATTGGTGGTGGCGATTGCCAATAACGCAATGAAGCAAGAATAACAATACCCGGCACTGTGATCGAGAGAGAATCCGCTTTGGGTGGAACAAAACAAACGAAGAGATGTCAACCTGTAACCCCTAAGCACGGGCATGTGAGGACTCCGTCCAGGGGTGCTTCCATACAGATCTTCCAGAATACCCCAATACTCCTCTTCCCTAGTCTTCACGACAGGTATGGTGAGGTGAGGATGGGAAGAGAGTACTGCGTAAGTAAAAGTGTCTCCAGCAGAGAACCGAAGCCTGACTGGTGGTAGGGTGGTTTAGGGTCAACTGTCGTCTACTTCTTTAGTCTCGGGAGAGTCGAGACCAGATCGCTCTATTAATTTCTTCTAGAGAGGTAGCTACAAAGCCGGTTTACAGAAGCTCCCTCCTAATTGATTGGTGTCAGGTCATACGTCGTGAGGTTTGGCCGAGAGACGGGTCAATTGATGATATACATCCAAAATGAAATTTTGAGCAAAAAAAGTACACAAAAAGAAACCTGCTGGTCTGAAGGATGAAAACTATCTTTGTTTTCTTTTTTATATTTTCCTTTCTTTATATTCCTCTTTTTTTTTGTTTCACCTCTTTTTCTTTTTCTTTTTTTGCTTTGTTCGATGATGGTCACGGGGGTGGGAGAGATCGAAATCGAGCAAGTCAAGTCAAAAGGGGGAAGCCAACACTAGTCCACCATCATATACCTCAACCTATACTATGGAGTACTAAGAGGTGGGTCTTCCAGGTAACGATCAATGATCCAGTTAATCCACATCTTCCCGTCTTCCCCCCGTTACAACTTGCGTACGCCGTATCAGTTGTACCACCACTATTACCGACACTGCCACCTCTTCTTCGCTGCTTCTAGCGTCTTGCCCTGCCGGGTCTTTCCTCCCCACTCGACTGTCTCAAGTTGTCAAGTGAGAGAGAAATTTGGAGCTACAAGAGCTGCCATTTGGCGGCTTACCTTTCCGTTCGTGCCACGGTCTCCAGGTCGGATCCTCTGGACCTTCTACCGGAATTCAGCTGCTGGCCTGGAAATGTCCACTCCGACCCAGGGTGGGATTTTCTGGGGTGACATCTGCGAATCGATTGATTTCTGGCGGATTCTAGCCCAAGTACAGAGTATGGAGTAAAGTAGTAAAATAGATTCCGAACCAGGAGTAAAATTGCCTGTCCTTAGGGACCGTACATGGGGGACAGACCGGTTTGACCAGCGCCGGGCGTACCCTGAACCTCGTTTGCCAATCCTACGGAGGATATCCGCCAGGGAGAACACAAATCGAAAGAAAAGCCTGAAGGATCAGCTTCCTAGCTTGATTGGATTTAATGCCAGCGATTCAGCCAAGCACCTTTCCCGGCGTCTGTCCGTCCGGGTAGGAGAAAACTCCCGGCTACTAGACTAGGTACGAAGCACATGTTGCCGGGATGACACTTTTTTTTTTTTTTCTTCCGGGATGACACTGCTCGTGTTTTACGATGCGGATGGTCCTGGTCTGATATTCCCAAGTCGAGCGTGTTTAAATTTCAGTTATTGTGAGTTGGAAAAAAATTCCCAATCCAAACCTTCCAGGTTGCACGTTGGATCGTCGGGGGTTGATAACGATAATCAGCCGGTACATACTCCGTACTTTGCGCTCATTAGCGGATCTAAAAGCACACTACAGCGTCTCTGAAGCCGGGGAGGAAGATCCGGTTGCTGTTGAAACCGTTGGCTAATCCACAAGACACCTAAACCTTTTTGCAAGCCGGCGTTTGCCCAGCCAGACCTTGCCGAGGCCGACCATGAGTCTCAGAAATTAGAATCCATGACATGTACTCCGTTTTCCCCAGGTTGGATTTTTTTTTTTTTTTTCAATTACCGACTGATGTTCCTGCATTGGGTTGTGCATTAAAGCAACTTTAGGTGCATCCCAGAGATACCTATCTGGGTACTCTAGCAGACGATCCCCACCCATCAAGCTGCAGGCTGCAGCGGAGCAGGTATCCGGATTCCAAAATGATTCTAGAAATCCCATCTGAGCGGTACATACAGTCCTTCGTACCACGGTTCACACCCGCGGGACGCCGGACCACTGCTAAGAATCACAGATCCAGCGTTTCTTTTCCGGGGGGTTGAAAAGCTTGGGCAATCCTTCAAGGGATTTGCTTGGGGTTGGTTTAATCAATCTCATTTCAGGTTATGCGTTATTAGTATTTATAAACATATGTAACTATATATGTATGTATATACAATAGAATAATAATTTAAATGTAAAGGATAATATTTCCAGGTTTGCATGAGTGTTTTTCACAGAATACATGCCATTACCAATCAATACCGCTAGAACCACCCAGAAACACAAGAACCGTTGGGCCTAAAACCAAATTATGGTACCTACCGAAGTATCTAGTATCTATCTACCTAGTCCGGAAGCAGGAGCGGGATCAGGATCAGGATCACCAGCCTCCCTTTCTCTTGAGCAGCGATCATCCTATTTAGCCCGTATCTGGTAAATCCTGACGCCTGGATTCGGCCTTATGATTAGCCACGTACATGGTTGGTGCCCTCTGATTATGATTTGCTGCGAGGTTGATCATTCCGGATGCGTTCCTGCGTACCCGCGCCGTTTCTTACTTTGCCTAAAATGGGCAGAATAGTACTGTACTGTACTGTACTGTACTGTACCTCACCTACTAGATTAGTAGTAGATTACTATAGTTGACTACCTAGGTACTTAATTAAGTGGTGTATACAGAGAGAGAGAGAGAGATTGTTTAACAGAATAGAACTCTGTGACATTCTACAGTACTCAATCCTAGTACTAGTCCTAGTAGTAGTAGTAGTAGTAGTAGTAGTAGTAGTACCTAGTAGATGTAATTTCAACACGGGACATTCATTCAGTTCGGGAGGAAAGAAGATCCCGAAACTGAGCCGTACAAGTACTTACGTACTCGGCTAGTTAATTTGGTAGTATTACTATACACAGTAACATTAAAAAACAGACAACACCAAAGTGACGCATCATACATACATACATCCATACCCAATCCATCGATCATATCATATCATATCATATCAATCATCTTCCCTGGGCTCGCAAGAGAGAGCTCAAAAAAAAAAAAAAAAGAAAGAAAAGAACCCCCCTCCCCCCCCCTCCTGAATTATTTCCTTCCAGCCCCTAATTCAGAATCGCTATTTACCTGCTCTGCTCTGCTGATTTGGATGAATGATTCGTTCTCGGGTGAATGCATTATCTGCAGAAACAGGGGCCCAGATATTGCCAACAGTTCAGGGCGGTTGATCTCGATTTGTACGGAGTACTCCGTAGTAGCTCATGGCAACCGGGATTCACTGCAGAAGATCAGAGCAAGAAACAAGTACTCACACTCAACTTTTTACTCAGAATTTAGCAGGGAATACGGAGAGTAGGACAGACGGATATATCTTAGCTAGCTAGGTGCATGTGTGATGTGCCTAGATGCAGATGTTGAAGAGCGGGAAAAGAAAAAATAATAATAATAATAATAATTAAAATTTAAAAATAATAAAATCATGGCAGATCTACCGATCTGCTGTGAGACGAAGCGGGAGGCTGAAGAGAGGAGGTCTGATCGCGATTGAGTACGGAATCTAGACAAGCCTTGCAGATTATTGGGATGCGATGCGATCGAGGTACGCAGCAGTGCAGCAGTACTGAGTACCTAGGTAGGGGAGAAGGTGGCTGAAGTTATAAAAACTAGGCGTGGCTGGTGCAGAACTCTGTAGGTATGAAGATAGAGAGAGAGAGAGAGAGAGAGAGAGAGTCAAGATACTTCTTCCTACGTACTTTCAGTAGACAAAACAAAGTACGACAGGTTGATGAATCGATCCAAGTGAGGCGGATCGAAAATCCACGAGTCTCCCCCTATCTCGTACTTTGTTCTAGTCCACGACGATCCATCACATTACCATTCCTGAATGAATATACATCACAATCTTTTCCAAGTATAACTACACACGTGCGACGGAGGACTTGTCACATTAACTGTTCCTGGAAAATGCCTGGCGAGAATCTCAGAATCATCTAGGAACTATTCCCCTGGAGATGCCGCTTAATCTCCGCCCGCCGCTCGCGAAGTATCCCAATTTGAGCTCCATATCATCCGTTGTTTCGTTCGTCAGGAATAAGTGGCTTGTACACGGGATAGTCGGAGATGATCTGAATCTACAGACAGTACCTTTTTGTCTCTGTAAATTACTCCCAGATCCACCCAATATTTTGGTACCCCAAATGTCTTCCCCGTTCCGGATCCAAATAATGTGTTCTTTAGCTTCACTTTGTTCCTCTCCGCCCCTTTCTTAGGAGTCAGTCTTTGGTGCCCATGTGATGAGAATAATCAGTAAGGCAAGCATCTCACCATCATGATCCTCGTGATAAATTAATATCTCATCCAGAGTCCGGTCAGACATTCCAATAATAGACTGTCAGAGAACGAAAGAAAGAAAGAAAGAAAGAAAGAAAGAAGGAGTTTGGCCAAGTTTCACCTTGACTATCCAGTAACCAAACTATCTCAAGCCACATTACATTGCATACTCTGGATAATCCCATCATCCTATGGAAGTCTGAAGATGACAATATACGGAGTACTCCGTATATGTTGTAGGATGCAAACTCCACGAAGGAAATAGTAAGCCTGACTCAATCAGCTATTACTTACCTACTTAATACCTAGTTAGTTAACTAATTAGTTAACTAATTACCTATAGGTAGTTAATGATCAATACTAAGATAGAGTTACCAGCTTATCGGGACGAGTACTTAATGATACTTAGATATATATCATAAGATATATGAGTACACCGTATAAACACTTATATGACACCCTAATAACTATTCATATGGGCTGAAAAATAACAGAAAAAGAAAAGAAACTACCATCAATACCTGATGTCCTTGCAGATATCTTACAAAGGTACTGGACTAAATATAGACTTCTTTCCGTACTTACAGTGTAGTACTTACTAGAGAGATAGTATGCTTTCTTTTCTTCGATTCCCGGGTTTGGAGTGATTCTTGGAACTTGCACCCTGTGCATGCATGCATGTATGTATGTATGTAGGTAGGTATGTAGGTATCTACAGATCTGGATCGCCTTGCTTAACGCAATGTATGTATGATTCATTCCACGGAATCTACAGAATCCAGTAGACCTGCATTATTATATACATACTATACATACATGGCTTACCCAGATGATGATAATGATGTATGAGCAAGCATACAATGATATGCCATTTCAAACTGGGTACCACTGGTTAGTATCATGTGAGCAGAACACACAACACACCTGTTACTCACCTGCTCATCAGTCTGACAGATCAGTACCTTCTTCGCAGACCCAGCCGCTGCCGTGATATCCACCACCGTCTGCTCCTCACTCACTCCCCTCTCGTTCGCATTCCAATCAAGCGCAAATCCCAGACTACGACTTTTCCCAGCTACTGTCTTCCTCAGCAGCGCGCTCCGCTCCCCGATGCCGCCTGCGAAAACCATCGCGTCTACCTGTCCGTCGAGCTTGACATAGTAGTTCCCAATGTATCCCAGGATCCGGTCGACGAGGATATCAAAGGCGAGCTTATGCGCGGGAGTCGGCGGGGTCTCGACGGCGATTTGCGAAAAGTCCGTCGTCCCGGTAAGAGCTTTCCAGCCGGATTGTGTATTGAGGATTTCTTCGGCCTGGTTTCGTTAGCATGGTTATTTCTTCTTCTTCTTCTTCTACTTTTCTAGTCAAGACCGACAGTGCTAATGTGCATGTCCTTTGTACTTGCAGCACTCAACGTCCCCGCGTCGTGCGTATAGTGGAACACGAGTCTGATTGGACCGAATTAGTCTCTCTCTGATTTAACATCTGCTATCTACGCAAGGGATAGTGATGAATCTAGCACTCACGATGGATCGATATCACCGCTCCGAGTCGCACCCGGTAATCCCGCCAGGGGCGTCAATCCCATCCTACAAGCCAATTAAAAAAAAAAAAAAAAAAAAAAAAAGGTCAGAGCTAGAACTGTCTCGGCTCCTCTCCCAAAGCAAGGAGAGATAGAAACGGAATCCTACGTGGTATCAACGGATCTCCCATTCTGGATTGCACACACAGAGGCGCCGCTGCCAATATGCAGCGCGATCAAGTTGGTCTGCTCGGTCGGTTTCTTCAGATACGCCGCCACGGAGCGCAGGATGAACGAGTAGCTGATCCCATGGAACCCGTACTTGCGGAGTCCGTTGCGCTGGGCGATTTCCTGGTTAATCGGGTATGTTTTCACGTACGGTGGTAATGTGTGGTGAAAGGCCGAGTCGAAGAACGCGATGCTCTGCACGGAGGGGAGTTCCTTTCTGCAGAGGCGCACGATCTCAAGCGCGGAGAAGTTGTGTCTAGAGCCGTCAACAAGCTGCAATTATACACCTCTCTCTCTCTCTCTCTCTCTCTATTTTTTCCCCGGGGCCGCGGGGGGTTATGCATACAAAGGAGCTAAATCCTCCAGCTTCTCCAACTGGTGATATTGAGATGATGTATTCTCTGCAATCGTCACCGCGGACTCAAAGTCCCCCCCATGCACGATCCGGTGGCAGATATACGCCACCTCTTCGCGGCTAGCCACCTCGGAAAGTTCAGGATCCCCAAAGCAGCGCTGGAGCAGGAAACCGAACCCATCCTGCGGCGTTCTGATGCTCTCGTTCACCTGCTCCTTGTAGTGCTTTGCGCCCCGGGTATACTTGAATACCGGCGGGGGGGCTGTAATGCCTGAAATCTGGGCATTGGCCATCACCTTAGGTTCTTGTTCAAAGGTATAAAAGGTGATTTTTACACTGGACGAGCCGGCATTGACCGAGAGAATTGATTTGGGTGTCATCATCTTGATAACAAAAAGGTCCAGGGGGTTGTCGACTATGGATATAGAGAAGGTAAGAACGGGGCTGGTTGATGGCTGTTGGAGGGTTCAAAATTAATCATTCCCTGAGTTTCTCTCTCTCTCTCTCTCTCTCTCTCTCTCTCTCTCTCTCTCTCTCTCTGACTGACGTCCACTTTATTCATGTTTCCTGGGGTTGGGAGACAGGGTTGGTGATGTCAGGCTATTTATTTCATCGTGACGTAGCAGTATCTCTGGACCTTTGACAGCGCCGCACTCGAATTGTTTGAAAATCTTCCTGATGGATCTATAATCTTTTCAAGAAACGAAAAGGATCGAGATTGTTTCCCTCAAAGCTAAGCTCTTTTTGATTGAGTTGCATCTATAGTTCATTCATTCATAACAACATGCCTGGTGAGGTTATTGATCGACCAAATCCCCCAGCCCAACCGTCGCATCTTCCCGATCTACTTGACCAGCTGCATGTTCAGCTCCAGCAGACAGCGTTGGACCAGGATGCTTGCGATGCCCTGTTCAAGTTTCGTCGGGCGGCATCTTATATTGCTGCGGGTGAGCTCCAACTTCGATTGAGAGAGGTAGCGATGCTAACGCCTTTCAGCAATGATTTTTCTGCAGGATAATGTGATGCTGAAGCGTGATCTAACGCCAGCAGATATTAAGCCTCGCCTTCTTGGTTAGTAATTCCTATCTGGTGCACACAGCATTCAAAGTCAATTGGCTAAATAAGATATCAAGGTCACTGGGGAACATGCCCCGGTCTGATTTTGGTATACTCTCATTTGAACTATATCATCAAAAAGTATGACCTAGATATGCTTTACGTTGTCGGGCCCGGGCATGGCGCCCCCGGCATACTAGCCTCGCTATGGATCGAGGGATCACTGGAAAAGTTCTACCCTCATTATGGGAGGAATGTAGATGGTCTGCGTAACCTCGTCTCAAGGTTCAGCACCAGTGCTGGACTGCCAAGGTTCGTTATCGCCTCCCCTCCCTTGGAAACTGAAGCTGATAGCTCGACCTATAGCCACATTAATGCCGAGACTCCTGGGGCAATCCACGAAGGAGGAGAACTGGGCTACGCCTTGGCTGTATCCTTTGGCGCAGTCATGGATAATCCGGACTTGATTGTCACCTGTGTGGTGGGAGATGGCGAGGCAGAAACTGGCCCGACAGCCACGTAAGTTGGGAACTGGCGGGTATAGCCACGTAATCGTTACTGATAAATTAGGGCCTGGCACGCCATAAAGTACATCGATCCGGCTGAGTCAGGAGCTGTACTCCCGATCCTACATGTGAATGGCTTCAAGATCAGTGAGCGGACAATCTTTGGTTGTATGGATAACAAAGAACTTGTATGTCTGTTCACGGGCTATGGCTACCAGGTGCGCGTGGTCGAGGACCTCCATGATATTGACACCGATCTTCACAACTCCATGTTGTGGGCGATTAGTGAAATCCGCAGAATTCAAAAGGCGGCGCGCTCTGGACAGCCGATTATGAAGCCTCGGTGGCCGATGCTGGTTATGCGTACGCCCAAGGTATATATATAGATGTATATGTCTTGTCAAAAGCGTCACATGAAAATGCTGACATACCTGGTTCAGGGCTGGTCGGGTCCAAAGCAGTTACATGGACAGTATATCGAAGGGTCCTTCCATTCTCACCAAGTCCCTCTTCCCAATGCCAAAACCGATGGGGAAGAACTGCTAGCTCTCCAAAAATGGCTTTCTTCGTACCGGCCAGGGGAACTTTTTACCGCGGCTGGCGATGTTGTCGACGATATCAAATCTATAATTCCCTCAGACAATAAAAAGCTGGGTCAGCGACCAGAGTCATACAAAAATTATACCGCCCTGGACCTCCCCGACTGGAGACAGTTCTGCGCGGAGAAAGGCGAGCAGCAGAGTGCAATGAAGACGATTGGCAAGTTCATTGACCGGGTGATGGTTCAGAACCCTCATAGCCTTCGCCTCTTTTCCCCTGATGAACTGGAGAGTAATAAGTTGAGCGACGTCTTGGAACACACAGGCCGGAATTTTCAATGGGATGAGTTCTCAAATGCAAGAGGCGGACGCGTGATTGAAGTTTTGAGCGAGCACTTGTGTCAAGGCTTTATCCAAGGGTATACTTTGACCGGTCGGGTGGGTATCTTCCCATCTTATGAGAGCTTCTTGGGAATCGTCCACACTATGATGGTGCAATATGCCAAGTTGATGAAAATGGTAAGTCACGCCTCCGAAATCTCTTTTTTCACATTCTGATCCATCGGAAAAGGCCAAGGAGACATCCTGGCATCATGACGTGAGTAGCATCAATTATATCGAAACTAGTACCTGGGCCCGCCAGGAGCACAACGGATTTTCGCATCAGAACCCGTCTTTTATTGGCGCGGTGCTCAACCTCAAGCCTGAGGCTGCGCGGGTTTATCTACCCCCGGATGCAAACACCTTCTTGACGACCGTACATCACTGCTTGAAATCCAAGAATTATGTCAACCTTATGGTGGGCTCGAAGCAACCAACTCCAGTATACCTCAGCCCTAGTCAAGCAGAGCGTCATTGTAGAGCGGGCGCGTCTGTTTGGAACTTCTGTAGTACCGAAGATGGAATCCGGCCCGATGTGGTGCTTGTAGGAATTGGGGTTGAGGTGATGTTCGAGGTAATCTATGCCGCGGCTATCCTACGGAAGCGATGCCCCGAGCTTCGTGTTCGTGTGATCAATGTGACAGATCTGCTGGTCTTGGGCACGGAGGGCGCCCATCCGCATGCGCTCCGAGACGAGGCGTTCGATAACTTGTTCACACCCGACCGACCGATCCACTTCAACTACCATGGTTATCCAAGCGAACTAAAGAATCTCCTCTTCCATCGTCCTCATCTGGATCGGGTAACCATCAACGGGTACATAGAAGAAGGGAGCACCACGACACCCTTCAACATGATGCTCGCAAATGAAGTGTCGCGCTTCCATGTGGCGAAGATGGCTATTATGGGAGCAGCCAAGTGGAATGAAAAAGTTCAAGTCCGGCAGCACGAGCTGTGTTCTGAGCTGAATCACAACATTGCTGAGACACAAAAGTATATTGTGGAAAAGCGCAAAGGTGAGTTTACCTCGACGTTGGACTGTTATGCAGTCGACTCAAAACTGACCGGTCGATAGATCCGGATGACACATACACTATGCCTGCATTTGACTGAGAGATCTGACCATGGGACTGAGGTTATCATTGTCTGTAATTTCCGCAGTGTTTCTGATAAGTTGCTTCTGTCGGTTGAGACGCCATCTAAATTGTAGTTGAATGAGATACGTTGCGAGTTGAATCCGACGCGTATGATATTCGTACCTGTTAAGCATCACCAACAATGCTATACTCTGCATGTAACGCAGCCAATTGATTGATAAAAGAAGAGGAGGAGAAGGAGAAGCAGAAGAAGGAGGAGGCCACCAGTAACTATCATGTGGCTAGTGCTGACGTAAGATCTCCATTGACCTCATCGTCTCTCCATGTATCAATCCACCTCACACTTGTCTCTCTTCACCTCCGACTCTTTCTCGTATTTTGTCATGGGTATCATCCTTCCTGCCATGCCGAATTTTTCAGACACTTCCCCTCCTTGATCTTTATGGACACGGTTAAATTTGTTGCCTATTCTAGAGGCGGTGCTTGAATCAAGGTCAGACAATTCTCAATGCATATCTATCTAGATGCCCTCAGGTTGTTTGAGAGAGGAGCTTGGCATTGACGCGTCCTAAGGGATTACAAACGATCGTATAGTGGCTGTGATTGTCCCAGGAGTCCCCACCATGACTACGAGATGGACACGCTCGGAGCAACTTTCACTATCAGTCTATGCCTAATAAGGGGGACCTTGCGGGCTCCTGTCTCTTGCGTCCCACTCAGGAACAAACTGCCGAATGAGATGCGGCCCGGCCGAGGAACGGTAGTAGGAATGAGTCAATCAGAGGGCTTTCCCTTGCGGAGGAGTCCCGCTAAGATTCGGACTTTACGATCGTAGCGAGCAAATCTATCCGCGTCCCGACAGAATGTTGGTTCGGGTTGGAAGAACTTTGGAGAAAGCTGAAATGGCGGTTCTCCGGCGATGCATTTACAGTTCAGGTCCTTCCCAGTGCCTTGCCCAGGCTACGCGGTCCCATTCCTGCAAATTTTATGTTGCGCCCTGCATGGGTTTGTTGTAAACTCAACAACTCGTTCATTTTACTCAGTGTAGTTGGTTTTCTGCGAGAAACGCAGCGATTCTTTTATTGAGAATTATATATCTCATTTCTGGGGAGTGGACGAGAGTCTTCCGCCTTTTTTCCCGTCGACCCCTCGAGACACCTTCGATCAGCGCGCGTTGACCTGTCAATATTCCCTCTTCGGGCAAGCGAGAAGTATCTGTTTCCCAACTGTCGACTGCTACTTTCCATCAACATGTCGCATCACAACAGTACAATTCCTTATGAAGTCAGGAAAGCGGTGCTCACGGGATGCCACCCTCTCATTGAAGGGCTTAACCCTGCCTATAGCTACCAGCCGTCGCTCGCGGCGGGCATTACTTTCCTGGTCCTCTTTGGCCTCTCCATGCTGCTTCACACAGTCCAAATGATCTGGAAAAGAACATGGTGGTGCGCCGTGTTCAGCGTCGGCTGTATCTGTAAGTAAACCCTCGTATACCTTCATGTAGACCGTGATGACTGACCAGAATTCCACTCAATAGCGGAGATCCTCGGCTGGGCAGCACGAACATGGTCTGCCGAGTGCCCGTATAACAGCACTGCTTTCCTGATCCAGATTTCTACCCTGATCATCGGTATGGCCTTCCCCTATCGATCTCAACGTCTCCCCATCAACTAACAAGAGCATCAAAGCCCCCACCTTCTTTACAGCAGGAGTCTACATCTTGCTTGGCCGGTTCATCCAAATCCTCGGCCGCGACTCCTCAGCCCTAAGCCCCAGACTCTACCTCTGGATCTTCGTCACCTGCGACATCGTCTCCCTTGTTGTTCAGGCCATTGGCGGCGGCATGGCCTCCTCTGCCGCAAATCAAGAAAACGGCAACACCGCCCCCGGAACCAACACGATGGTCGCCGGTATTATCTTCCAAATGGCCTCGATCACAATTTTCGTCGCTTGCGCCGCCGACTTCATCCGCCGGACCCTCCGTCGCCGCCTCCTCCAGTCCATGACCGGTAGCATCGTGCCCCTTCTCGCAGCCATGATTTTCTCCGTCGTGTGCATCTACATCCGAAGTATCTACCGTACCATTGAGCTCCTCCAGGGTTGGTCAGGGTATTTGATTACGACAGAACGGTTCTTCATCGCCCTCGATGGAGCAATGATGGTTCTTGCTGTTGGAGTATTCAACATCTTCCATCCCGGTTGGTTACTCCCAGATGCGCATGCGCAGGGCTCATTCCGTCGAAAGGACTCCTCCGATGATGGGAATGGGATGAGTACTGAGTTGCTTTAAAAACAGTAACATTCCTTGACTTTTCCTTTTTTTTTTTTTTTTTGGTTTCCCCGTCCTCTCTCGATCTCTAGCACTGGACCTTTCTCCCGCTTATTTGATATCTATCCTCCTCCTCCTCCTATCTACTTACGACATTATACATATATCTGCTGCGCCATTCTTGGTTGGGTTCGTTATTAGTATGTCAACCTTGTTTGCATCGTTGGATAGCATATATACATTTCCTTTTTTTTTTTTTCCCTATCCCTATTTGTTACGTGTATAATGATAGTTACACCTGAATGAGCTTCTGCACCCATTACATAGAATGATAAGATTTACAAATTTAGATTAAAAGTTTGAAGGTTACCTGCCGGGCTACCTAACCCCTAACTACTAACGTATTTCCTCTGAAGAAAACCCCCATAATACAAATAATGAAACAAATAAAAAAAGGGAAAAGAAAAGAAAAGAAAAGAAAAGAAAAGAAAAGAAAAGAAAAGAAAAGAAAAGAAAAGAAAAGAAAAGAAAAGAAAAGAATAGCAAGGAAGGTTAGAATCCATCAACACCTTCAATCCAACCATACGTCATTCCCACAATAACCGTCGCAGCAGCCCAGAGACTGCCCCAAACCAACGCCCCTTGCACAGTCGCCCCGTTGAGCGCGCCAGCCACTTGGACCACCGTATTCACCATCGACATCGCAGCGAGGACCGCCGTTCGGGAAACCAGAACCCTTGTGCTGTTTGACAAAGCGCCGAACGTCTTGCGATAGACCGTGCAAGCTAGATACTCGCCCTCGCGGGGCGCAGCAGCGCTCGAGCTGCTCGAAGGCGACGGAGTCCCCGTCGAGCTGACGAAGATGAAATCCCGCGCTGCCCAGCCAGCTGGGAGGAGGGCGAGGAAGAGAGCCGGTAGGCCTGCGGGGCCGGCGTGGGCCTGAGAGAGGGTGGGGAGGTTCTCGAAGTGCACGACTAGTTGGGCGGGGAGCCAGGTCTCGTAGCTGAGGTATAGCACGACGGTGTAGATGGCTGTTGCGACAGCGGTGGTGTACAGGGTGATTGCTGTGTCTTGTAGGATACCGCGGTTCGAGACGGCGGTGGAGGGCGCACGAGAGAGGTTATGAACGGAGGTGGGGTTGCGGAGGAGCATGAAGGGGAGAGCGGTGGAGAAGAGCACGATCGCGTAGGATGTTAATATGCTTGTGGGGCGGAGGTTGTAGAAGGAGGCGAGAAGCGCGTAGGTCGGTAAATGGATGAGGAAGACGAAGGATAAAGTGTCTCGTCCTGGATGGTAATCAGTATGGCTCGAACTGATATTTGTACTGGAAACCTGCAAGAACAACAGCAGCAGCAGCAGCAATAGCAACAGGGACACGCTCAAAATGAAGTTCTACGAACCGTCAAACCCGAGTATCCATGCCAATCCCACCTCTACAGCTTTCCACGCCATCAACCCCCCCACTTCCCACCAGGCCTCGAGATGCTTGCTCACACGACCCAATTCCCCAAGCGTAACCCCCGAAGTGAAGGTGAAAAGCACCGAGCTCAGGGCTAAACTTCCAAAGATCGCTAGGAAGAACCGCACTACCGGCGGGATCTCCTCGATCCATGTCTTTCGGACGAGGGGGTCCTTCGTCTCCGCCGCCTCGGCCTCGGACTTGTTGGTGTCTGCGATTACAGACGGGGTGTCTTTCTTGCGTTGCGCCATCATGGGGAAATTGGAGGGTTGGCCACACAAGTTAAAGATTGAAGATTGGATCGGACTCCACAGTCATGTAGGGTTAAAAAAGGCCGTAGCAAAAGCAGGCATTGAGGAAAGAAATTGGAAGCTGGGGATGGGCGACTTTCAACTACATACTTGGTGGGCGGTGAGCATGTGATGATGTCACGGTCGAACAAACGTCATCGGGGGTTGAGCTTCCAGTTGAGATCCTCCAATGAAGTCTGGATTCTTCCAGTGGAGTGGAAAGAGTACCAGGGACCCAGTGCGTAGGTCTGATTCTAATCATAGGTTCATATCGCTGGTGTCGTGGTAGGCATACTAAGTATGAAGTTAATGTACCTAAATGGATTGAGAATTAAAAAAAGAAGAAGAAGAAGAAGAAGAAGAAGAAGAAGAAGAAGAAGAAGGAGAAGAAGAAGTAGGTATACATCATGCCACAAAATATCAGTTCAAACATCATACATTCCTCTTGAAAACAAACCCGCTTCAGTCATCATCCTTTTTCTCTCCCTCCTGAACAGAGAACGCAATGCTTCCCTGCTCGCGACCTTTGTAGTCCCGCATGGCAATCTGATACTTGCCTTGGTTCCAGAGGTCCTTGATCGTCAGCTCTCGCGTGCGTCCTAAGCTCTCAATGTCTCCAATACGCTCCAGGGTATTCTCCAAATGCTCTTCAAATCCGGGGATAGAGCAGATCTCCCTGAATGCGATCTGCATGGCCACGGAATCGGCTCGAACCATAGCCCGAGAGTCAATGGTGAAAATATTCTCATGGTCATAGCTTTGGATAAAGTCGGCCCTCGTCATAATTTGCCGCGCTTCGTGAAGGGGGATCTCGGGTAAAATGTGACCACGGTCTGGGTCATAAATCTTCTCCATCGTCTGTTCCTTATCCACTAGTGCTTTGGCCAAAACCATTGCTGCCGACTATTTCTTTGGTTAAAAAAAATATTGAATCAAATAGTGGTTCAGTCGGCGCACTTACGGAGAACTTCTGTTCATCCATGACATCGTCATCCATTTCGGATCCCAAGATCCAGCATTTGTTGAGAAACCATGTCTTTTCGGCCGTGCAGATGCTGTCACAGATCTTCATGGGATCTGGCGCCTTTGCCACTCTGTTGAGGTAGGAGAGACGGCCCCCAACCTTATCATATACTTCCTCGAGAATATGGTCCGACAGGTTCTCCCCGAAATATTGTTTACGGTAATTCTTGAGGGCGGCCATTGCCTCTCCTTTACAAAGGTCTTTAACCGGGATAACTTCCATTCTTGTCGCATATCGTTTCAGCCTCTCATATACCCAGTAATCGTCACTATTCAGGACTATTCGGTTCCGGTCAGCATCAATAAAGCTTAGAATAATTGATTGGGGGGGGAAGGGGGAACCTACTCGTGGTCACCAGGTTCCCAGCTGCCCACTGTTCGGCTCGCTGCTGAATCATTTCGAGAAGATCTTGGCCATCGTGGTCATCCCGAACCAGGTGAGTACTGTTGATAATCAACACGAGGGGAGGCAAGCGCTGGCGTCTTCTTGCCAAAGCCACCTTCTCCAATTTGTTGAAAGCACGCTCGATATCCAAGAGCGCGGTAGTATCCCGGGGGCCTTTGATGCTAAAAAGACTTCCAATGTAGCTAGGGGAAACCGGTTAGAACTCAATAAAGATCCTAGAGGAGACGAGTTGCCTACTCTTCATGAAACTCGAAATCCAAAGCCTTTCCGAGCCGGATTCGAAAAATTTCCAAATCTCCATGTGCTTCAAACATTGCGCACCCTTCTCCATTGATCTTTCGCATCGCTTCTAACAACATGGAGGTCTTTCCCGTGCCCTTTTCGCCGATAAGTAGGAAGTAATGGCCGGTAATTTCGCCCGAAATAACTTTATCGATCTTGGGCTGCTCGTCTCGAACAAACCAGTGCTCGTTGTGGTGATACTGGTGCTTGCCTGCCTCCACGCCGGCGACCTCGAGCGCTGGGTCACCTGGCTTGAAGGCATTTTCCATCTTATCCAAGATAAGATACTTGTAGTAGCGGTGATAGGAGTAGCCAGCAATGCTGCATGATTCTCAGTAACCAAACAACAAAACAAAAGACAAAAAAAAAAAAATACAAAAATACAAATGCCTTACGTTGACATACCCTAGGACTGCAATTGATGCAAAGGTTGTTGCCGCCGCCTCGAACATTTTAAACACGGTGGATTTAAAGCCCGGCTCTGGGTTATTACCTTGGGCATTGTCTTGGTCCTGAACTGCCTGGCTTAGGGGATCCGGACCAGCGAGACCGACAGTCTGCGAAAAATTGCACCGCAAGCCGGGGGCTATGATCCCATCCATCCTCGGTGGCTGCCACAATCGTGCCCGGATTGAAGATACCCATAACCGATGCACCTTTCGATGGAGCATTTTCTTTTCTTTGATAGGGATAAGAAATGGAATTCATGAAAGACAGGAATGTCACCAAGAGAGAGATGGCGGTCACGAATTGAGGTAGTTGGGTATCTGGAGATGGGTATCGAAAGATGCTGTAGGTGACGTAGACGACAACTGATAGGTACATTAAGGGGAGAGAGAGAAGAGATGAACGAACCAAAACTAGAAAAATTGAGCCACCAAAGAGAGACAATAGTAGGAGGTGGAAAGAGAGAGAAAGACTGGAAAGGGTGAAAAGAAGGTGAGGTGGAATTGAGGTTGCTTTGCTTTGCTTTACTTTGTGTAGGACAAAGAAAGGATTTGCTGCGCCTCCGATCGACGGAGATCACTTTAGTCTGGTCTGGATCTTAACCGTTGGGGCTGAAGAATGTGGCGAGAGAAATATATATATATATCTATATATTATATTTATTTATCATATATATAATATATATCTATATATATTATCAGTATAATGAATGATTGCGGGAGAGAGGGACTATTTAATAACTCAAGTGTTGATAGACATATATATCCAGATCTCTCTCTCTCTCTCTCTATCCTCCGTACTCTTCTCAAGTGAAAATGATCCCAATTCAAGTTGCTCGTCATTTCTCTGAGAAAGTCTGCCAATATGCATTCCCAATCTTTCTCTAAACTAATTCACTTACTACTCAGATCGAGAGTCAAAGATCCGCTGGTCTTCCCTGGTCTTCCCTTTAACACATACTCTCTTGCAATTCTAATCTCTCTCTCTCTCTCTCTCTCTCTCATTCTCCTTCAACCTATCAAGACTCATAGTAAACACTGCTTTGAACTCACATAAATAACTACACCACTTGTTGATCAAAGACAATACACATCCCTCATGGCGATCACCTGGAACTCGGACGCTGAGGCTAAGGTATGTTCTTCTCCTTCCTAATGTATCTGGCTCTAACTAATATCCCTCGTCAGCTTCTACTCGGAATCTTAGAACAGATCAAGGGCACTAGAATTGACTACAAGGCTCTGGCGGAATACATGGGACAAGGTAATAGCATCTGGTTCAGAAAGGTCCTTCGAGGATAGACTCCAACTCACTCCGCATTAGGATGCTCGTCCGCTGCAATTGCGCAGCACATCTGCAAACTTCGTCGCGAATCGAGTGCTCGATCATCTGCCAATCCTCCAAGAACTAGGAAAGGCACCTTGTTGCCCAATCCTACCAGTCCCCCAAAGAAATCGAGACGAGCCCAGTCCCCTATAACACCAATCAAGAAGGTCAAGAACGTTCATTATGTTCCGGAGGACGAGCACGAAGACGAGGACAAGAAAGAGAAGAAGTTGATCATCAAGGGTGAAGAGGATGAGAAGAAATCGGTGTTTCCCATGGTTGACCTGGAAGATTGAACCTGGAGATTTGTTTCCCCTGCGCACGGCTCATGGGTGCTAGATCCTCAAGAAGGCTGGCCTTTGAATGCATGGATTTTCAACAGAACAAAAAATGAATCTTTAGTACTCGGTAGTCCAAGTTTCCCAGACTCGACTCTGTGCGGGTCGTCGTAATTTTCCTTCCCACCGCCCCGAGCACTTCCGAAGGTTTTCCGCATCCGCCGTGAAATTTTCCTCTCCGTTCCTCCAGCTTCATCTCGAGTCAATTCAATCCTTTCCCTTTTCTCCATTCCTGCCCTTCTTCTTTGCTTCGATTTCCTTGTTTGGATAGAGGGTGTTGTTGCGCTTGACTCAGTTGCCCTTATCCTTGTACAATATTCCTTTTCTTTTCTTTTCCTTTCTTTTCTTTTCCTTTTTTTAAATCCCCTTCCTTTCTCCCTTCCAATATACTTCTCAAAAATTTTCCCTTGCTCCGTTCCCCGGAGAGTTATTAGCTTGATCTTCCTGACTCAATTCACATTCGATTAATCCGACATCATGGCGCAAACCAATGGAGATATGGAGCACCAGAAAGGTTTGCCTCCCCCGGTCTTGACCAGCTTTCCCGAAGTCCTCCTCCTGTGCTCATCGACGTCGCAGAGTCTCCGGAACAGATTACCAACGGAACCAACCCTGAGGGATCCCAGGAAGACGATAATGCCGGTGGTAAGTGTGGTTCAGATTGCTTTCTTTCTTGCCTTTTTTTTTTTTTTTTTTTTTTTTTTGCGGTCAACAATCGTGGAATCTAACATACCTTTCACATCATCAGGCCTTTTCCAGATCTCCGTGAAGCTTCCTCATGAACCCTACAAGATCCAGGTCATGGTAGGTTTCCACCTCCAATTGTGGTAAAATACAACCCGGATTGCCACAGAGGTCCTAATTCATTCGTCCACTCTAGGTCTCTAGCCAAGAGCAAGTCCAGGATGTCCGCCAGTCCATTGTCGAATTGCCCAGCACATTCCAGTACACCTGCTTCCACCTGGAGTTCAACGGCAGCCGCATCAATGATTTCGTTGAACTATCCGAGGTTCCCGGTCTTCAGGCCGATTCCGAGATTGTCCTGGTTGAGGATCCATACACCGAGAAGGATGCCCGCATGCATGTCGTTCGCATGAGGGAGCTTTTGGGAGCCGCCGGCGACAGGGTCGATAACCTGCACGGTGTTAGCGCTGGCCTGTCGCTACATGACTCCATTGCTGCGGAGGTGACCGGTGACAATGCAGAGAAGGAGCACTCATTGTCCAAGTATGACATCTCGGGCTCTTCCTCTCTGAAAACTATCCTCCCCAAGGCCGAGGCTCCCGCTCCTAAGACGCTGAAATCTATCTCCCTCTCCCCTTGGAATCCCCCTCCCTATCACCTCCGCCAGAAGGGCCACCTGCTCTACCTCCAGGTGATTACCAATGAGGGAGAACAATTCCAAATCACCTCTCACGTGTCCGGATTCTACGTGAACAAGTGCTCGAATGGCAAGTTCGATCCTTCCCCCAAGACCATCCCGAAGAACGGCAACGCGCATTCGCTTCTCAATCTGATCTCCCAACTGTCGACTTCTTTCGACTCTTCTTTCGAGGCTCTGCAGGAGTCCAACAACCAGAAAGACCTCCTTACTACTTTCCCCTTCCAGAATTCTATCCCGTCCAGCCCCTGGCTTGTCCCCCCTCCGTCCTCCAGTGTCAATGCTCACCAGCCGGATATTACCCGATCACAGGAGAATTACCTGATCGCCGGTGTGGATAATGCGGAAACCTTGCGTGACTGGAACGAGGAGTTCCAGACTACCAAGGAGCTGCCTCGCGAGACTGTTCAAGATCGCGTGTTCCGCGAACGCCTGACATCCAAGTTGTTTGCCGATTACAACGAGGCTGCTGCCCGTGGTGCTGTTTTGGTTGCCCGGGGAGAAGTTGCGCCCCTCAACCCCACCGAGGGCCAGGATGCCCAGATCTTCGTCTACAACAACATCTTCTACTCTTTCGGTGCCGATGGTGTTGGAACCTTTGCCTCTGAGGGTGGGGATGAGGCCGCGCGTGTGGCCGTTGGCAAGGATGTTCTGGGCATCAAGGCTGTTAACCAGCTTGACATCAATGGCCTCTTTACTCCAGGAACCGTCGTCGTTGACTACCTGGGCAAGCGTATTGTTGGCCAGAGTATCGTGCCTGGTATCTTCAAGCAGCGGGAGCCAGGAGAGCACCAAATCGACTATGGTGGTGTTGAAGGCAAGGACGTGGTGGCCACTCACCCTGATTTCGCTCCGGTCTTCGAGAAGCTGTCCAAGGCCCTCCGAATCAAGAAGCACGCCGTCTGGGATAAGGAAGGCAAGCGCCATGATCTCGAGGGCAGTGTCGAGACCAAGGGTCTTCTGGGAACCGATGGCAGGAAGTATGTCCTCGATCTCTACCGTGTGACTCCGCTCGATGTCGCTTGGCAAGAGGAGGACGGCAGTGATGCCTATCCTCACCATATGTCCGTGCTGAGACTGGAATTGGTTGAGTCATATTGGAGGCACAAGATGAGCCAGTATGTGAAGGAGGAAGTGGAGCGCCGTCGCAGCGCCAAGGCCCAGGAGGCTGCCGAGCAGGAGAAGTCTTCGGACGCCACTGAATCAAAGGAGCAGGGCTCCGACGAGAAGAGTGAGGAGGCTTCGGAACAGGAGCGGGTCGATATTTCCGGATTCACTCTGGCTCTCAACCCTGACGTCTGCAGTGGCCAGGTTCCCCAGACGGACGAGGAGAAGGAGCAGTGGGCTAATGATGAGAAGGAGGTTCGCGATGCGTGCGATTTCCTTCGCGCTAAGGTCATGCCGGAGTTGGTCCAGGATTTGCACGATGGCGATGTTGGCTTCCCCATGGATGGCCAGTCTCTTAGCCAGCTCCTGCACAAGCGTGGTATCAACATCCGCTACCTCGGCAAGCTGGCCACGTTGGCGAAGGAGAAGGGTGCTCGTCTGGACGCCCTTTCGACCCTGTTGGTCCAGGAAATGATTGCCCGTGCCTTCAAGCACATTGCTAACCAGTACCTGCGTAATAACGTCCCTGCGCCTTTCGCTGCGTCTTGCGTTGCTCACTTGTTGAACTGCCTCCTCGGAGCTGACGTGAATGCTGCCCCTCGCGCCGAGATCGATGCATCTCTCCGCGCAATTTACCCAGAGGGCGACTTCTCGTTTGAGAAGGTCACCCCTTCAGCCCTCCGCGCCGAAATTGAGAAGCAGGTTACCCTCAGGTACCGCTTTGCTTTGGAGTCCGAATGGTCCAGCTCTTTGAGACACATCCAGCTTCTTCGCGATATCTCGATCAAACTGGGTCTCCAGCTCGGCGCCCGCGATTTTGCTTTTACCAAGGCCGAGGCTGAGGCGCTCAGCAAGGCTGCCCCTGTCACCAACAGCGTCAATGGCAACGGACATGATGATGGCAAGAAGAAAAAGAAGAAGAACAGCGACTCTAACTCCCCGGCCCGTGCTCCCGTTCAGGAGAAAGCTGTCGTCAGCTTTGTCGCCGATGACATCGTCAACATGGTTCCCCTGGTCAAGGACGCTTCTCCACGGAGCTCGCTCGCCGAGGAGGCCTTGGAAGCCGGTCGTATTTCTTTGATGCAGAATCAGAAGCAGCTGGGCCAGGAGCTCATTCTGGAATCTCTGTCTCTGCATGAACAGATTTACGGCATCCTCCACCCCGAGGTTGCCAAGCTGTATCACCAGCTGTCTATGCTGTACTACCAGACGGACGAGAAAGACGCAGCTGTGGAGCTGGCTCGCAAGGCCGTTATTGTCACCGAGCGCACCCTTGGCGTCGACTCCGCCGATACCATTCTGAGCTATCTCAACCTCAGTCTTTTCGAGCACGCTTCCGGCAACACCAAGACTGCCCTGGCTTATATCAAACACGCTATGGACCTGTGGAAGATTATCTATGGTTCCAACCACCCTGACTCGATCACCACTATGAACAACGCCGCCGTGATGCTCCAGCACCTGAAGCAGTACTCTGATTCTAGGCAATGGTTCGAGGCATCCTTGACTGTGTGCGAGTCGCTCTTTGGCAAGCAGTCGATCAACACAGCCACAATTCTGTTCCAGCTGGCGCAAGCGCTGGCCCTGGACCAGGACTCTAAGGGCGCTGTGTCCAAGATGCGCGATGCCTACAACATCTTCCTCAACCAGCTGGGCCCCAATGACCGGAATACCAAGGAGGCTGAAACCTGGTTGGAGCAGCTCACTCAGAATGCTGTGTCCATTGCTAAGCATGCTAAGGATATCCAGGCCCGCCGCCTGCGTCGCATCAACATGAACACCCGGTCTCTGGGCACCAAGGTTCAGCCTCAGGTTGGCCAGGCTGCAGCTGAGGTTGCCATACCCAAGGAAGTCACCAATGGCTCTCTGGACTCCAGGAGCATTGATGAATTACTGAAGTTCATTGAAGGTGGTGATACTAGCTCTTCGCGGTCAAAGCAGAAGAAACGTGCCGCCGCTAGCAACCCTAAGCTTCGTGGCACCAAGAAGTCGTCTGCATAAACCTCTTCTTCTTTTCCCTCCTATCTCTTATTAATCACTTGGGTTGGAATAATAATAAAAAAAAACACTTCTTGTGGTTCTTTTCTTTTTCTTTTCCTTTCTTTCTTTCTTTTTTTTTTTTTTTTTGGTGCTGACATGTCTTGATGGCCATATACAACTTACATTTGAGCCAGAATTTACACGGCCGACATATTGGATGAGCGGAATGTTTTTGGATTTTCTTTCCCCCCCCCCCCTTTTTTTGTATCTTGGTCAAATCTCTACTCTGCTTCCCTTTTGGTGATCTGGTTCTTTTTCTTACTTTGGCATGGATTTCTTCATGGGCAGTGCATAGCAGGCAAGGTCAGGTGATTTGCATGCTGTACTGGTATATCCGGAACTGTACTATATTATATATGATTGACAAGTATCTTCAATATGCATTGGAATGACATCTCATTAGAACAACCCTGGAAGATTCATGACGGACGGTATCTCACTGCCTCAGGCACCACTGCTGACCCGGCTGAGTCAGCCTCCCTGTTTACATTTTCGGGCCTGGAAAACAAAAAAACTCCCAACATCTTTCTTGATTCTACTGTTCTCCATCTTTCTTCTGCAGGCAATTCTCGTATCTTATACTCACATTGATCTTAACTGCATTGTATTTCAAGCAGGAATTATTCTGGTTTACATTTTCAGTGTCTCTTTTTCTTGGTTTTTCTTTGGCTTTTCTTTTTGGACGTCTTTATAGCGTGTATATTCTCCACCCCCCAGTATAAGATGGACGGGGTATGAGATTCCTACGGAGCAGAAACAGGTTCGGAGCATTTGAATACCAGATTCCTAAATTATTATTTTGGACAAAGATGAAGCTAATAGATTATCCGCCCTTTTTTGTTTTTTTCTCTTTTTCCCTACAGACTGTGAATCTTCCCCCTCCCCTCCATCCGCGTATTATGGAAGATATCCGACCGACCGCAAAATGGGCGAATCGAATGTTACGGCCCCTAACCTCCATTTACCACCGATTAGAGAAACACCACGAGATCGTAACGAGGGTGTTAACGTCGAAGACGAAGGAGAAGGCAAGCGCGGGGCTTGGTACCGAACGTGCGCGTGGACCTGCGAAAGCGACGGCGCTCAGGGCGAAGTGCGAGCAGCAGCAACAACAACACCAAGGCCTTGGCTACTCGGACGAAGAGGAACCGAACGATCCAGCTTGGATCCCTGGTGGGAAAAAACTGGAGAAGAGGCGCATAAGGCACAACTATTCGAGCCGAGGACAGAGGAATGGTGCGCGGAAACGCAGTCGATTGTCGATTCGGAGTCCTGAGACGCACAAGATTCTCCCTGGTGCGATTGAGATTGCGACGCCATTGATTACGGGGAAGGCTCGGGGGGGAGTGGATGAGTTGCCCTCGTCGTCGTCGTCGATTAGGATACAGCTTTTCCAGAATGCAGTGGCTCATGGGGAGACTGCTGCTGGGGTTGAAGAGCAGCGAAAGACGAGTCGCGCGACCAATAGCAGTTTCACACCATATCAGGGTTCTTGGAAGGAGATTCTGGATCAATCTGGAGACCCCGGTTTCGTGGGTATTGCGCACTTGTTGGATCGTGTTTTTCTTAAGTTCTTGAGAAGCACTCGGGTCGTAAGCCCGGGGGGGTTCAATAGCCCACAGGGAAGTGGACGAGGGGCGCGATCGTTGTTGTCGATGGCTGTGCGGCGGCTTCCGGAGTTTATTGCCGACGAACAGAGGATCCAGGATGAAGAGGACGAGAGCTGTGAGGTTGACATGTGCGATGCCTATTTTACGGAGCTGGAAGCCTCGTATGCACCAGGTGGGAATGGGTGGATTCCGCTCCGTGAGGCTGTGCGTTCTCAGGGAATTTATCTGGTTTCGTGCATGATACAGAGGGGTTGGATTACGAATCTGGCAGCTTGTCGACTGCTGGAGGAGTGTCTTTCCCAGGACGAGCTAGATGCCTTTGAGACGTTACTGACTAAATATCTGGCGACGGTCGACGCCTATCCTTACCCCACAACGTTTGATTCACGGCGACCACCAGGTCACCGTGACGATCCGGTTCATCTGCTAGGGGTTTACTATTCGCGACCGGGCAGACGACGTTCCTACGTGTTCGAAGAGCTTACTCGACTTCTGATGCGTCAAGCGGTCCCGCCAGAATGGATGGTAACTACCTTCTGGAAGCGATGCGTGGACAGCGCCATTAAATCGCTGTCAATAGAAGACCGCGACTCAGCTGCCGCGAGGCGACTCATCGAATCTGTGATTCTTTCGGCGGCCGGCGTTCACTCGACCACCCCAGGCTCAAATGATCTCCGGATACGGAATTTGCGACCACCACATCCTGTCCGTCTTCGAGACACCCGCGCGTCGACCGCTCAAACATCGGCTCCTGTCGAGGAACAAAGTCCCTGTCCTATCCCAATCCAAGACGCCCTCAGCAATCTCGTCGCTAGTCTCATGACCGCACTTTGTGGGATGTGTATGGCGCGCTCTCAAGCCGACAGCTTTAAAGCAAGGACCGTGGGCATGAAAATCCGAGATCTGGTCAACCACTTGGCTTTTGCGGTTCAGCGAACCATTGGGCTCGAACCAATGACTACAGAGGTTGAGGGACCGGTGTTTCAGCCGTTACGACGAGGATATGTGCTTTTGTCGGACTGTGCGCTGGAGTGCGGACGAAAGATCACAGCTGAGATGATCTACCATTCGGAGTCTGTTTCGAGACAAGCCATCGAGTCGTTCTTCCGCGCTTTGTCTTCTCGACAGGATGTGGTCAAAGAGTTGGCAGAACTTGTGTCCAAGGTGTTTCACTATTCAGGACCTCCCGGGCACCACGACCGGGGACCAGTGCGCACCCCCAAGGAGATCCGGGCCAAAGTGTCCCAACTCTCCCAGTTGACACGCACGCCGGGGGTTGCTCTGCTGTTGGGCAAAGTTGCTGCAGACTCCGCCATGGAACTCGCGGAGAAAAGCCTGGATTCGGATGACCATGCATGGGCTCTTGAGATTCAAGAGACGGTTGTTTCATCTCAGCGCGAAGAAAGCTTGGAACGGTTTCCTTTATCGAGCCAGGAGGAGTCTGGCAGGGACAGGACGGGGTTATATCGATGGGAGGACATCATTGGGGAGTGGGTAGCACGCACCCCCCCAGTGACCGGCTCTAGGACTGCGGCGATTGATATCGCTATGAAACAGAGAATCGGCCGCCCAGAGCAACCACGGGCGATTGCGTGTTCAACCAGCAGCTCCTCCGCTAGCTCTATCTGCTCGGAGAATACCATCTCCAGCGTGACCTCATCCGCACCGTCTATTTCGAAGAAGCGGCCCAGCGCAAGTGAGCCGTCTAGTCCCCGACCATTCAAAAAAGCATCCCAGGCACAGTCTCTGCAGCGACTTGTCGGAAACGAAATCGATTGGAGGCGTATTCCTGGGCGTTTACCCCTGGCCTCATTGTCTGCAGGCTCTGCATCCAATGATACCCCAGTAGCGGCCCGTACTCGGACAGCGCAACGGGAAATGTTACAGATGAGAACCTTGACGGCCCGGGAGCATGGTACCAGCGCCATGAATAATCCTGTGGAGCCACTGTCAAGGATTGAGGTCGTCATCATCAATAAGAAGAACACCCTATCTACACCAGGCAGAGGTTTCAAGGATTACCATGACCGGGAGCCTATTAGTCGGCGCACCCGCCGTTCCTTGCCCTTCAGCCGGACAAATATTGAGCGATCTCGCAGACGGCAGTCAGCACCGGCCACTGCTGCTGCGGCTACACGAAGACAGACCATATCTTCAGGTTCTTCTCCCCGGGTGGAAGACAGCGAAGATGAGTTGAGTTTTCTTTGAACAGCTTACAACTTTTTTTTTTTTTAATAATTCTTTCCTTCCCCCATCTTGGTTGTCAGTATGCAGGCAGGTAACGGAGTTCGAGAAATTGGGAGAGTTTTGAGGTTTTTTTTTTTTTCTATTTGGTTTAGTGTGATACCCAGGGTGCTACCTGTCATTTGTTCTTGGGGGAATTGATTCTTTGGACTGAGGGCCCTGTTTGTACTCTGTATATTGAGGTTATTGCCATGACTTTCATTTCTCCATCTTTCTGTGGGTTCAGTTAAATTAAGGAGGGTTCAAAGATAACCAGTTATAGTCGGCCAGCATCCGTCTGCAATCACTTTGCAGCAGTGAGTCTCCCAGTGTGACGAGTCTGTGACCTCGCATTAACACGCAGAATCCACTGAGTGCATACACTGGTCTTGTTAAATGAAGCCCATCTAGGGGCGCGAGGAGGAGAGCGGGAGGTCTAGTCAAACAGCCACCATTTCAGCACACAACTTTCTCCGTATTCTAACAGAAATTAATTTAGAGGAAGCGCGGGATCAGAGTACGAGGTCCCTACCTACCGTGTTGAGGAAAGAAAATGGGTTAATCTTGGTTTCTTCCGGACAAGTCCGGTGTTGTTAGTAGATGAAGACCTGACTCGAAGGGTCCCAGGATATCTTCTAGACGCCGGCAGGTCTCGGGTTTTCTTCTTCCCGCGCCAAGGATTGAACCCCTCTCTGGGTCTCTCTTTCGCTCGCTCGTTCTCTATCCTAAAGCCTCAACCTCTTGTCTACCTACCTGGGAATTCGACTCATCCTCTCCCTCCTCCTCCTCTCCCCTGAATACGAAATTTCTCTATTTCAGCCTCTTCGATTCGATCGGAAATGGTCGTTCAAACCTCCCAGATGCGCTTGCATTAGTGCGCCTCCGCTGGGGTGTTTCATCCTCGAGCCACTCGCGCTCCTTGACTCCTTGATCCCCTTGGACGATCCAACCCATTACTGCCTCATGATTTGCTCAAATCCCTCAAGATGGCGTGGCGGCCAAGCTGGGTTCAAGAACGAAAATTTCTAGGACAGTCAATGTACCTACACTATAGTAAAGTACACTGACAGATCGTCTCAATTGACCGCACGCAGGGGCTGGCTCCTCTGCTTCACTTTTGCATTGATAATTTCTCCTCTTGGCGGTTTCTTCTCTATCTCTGTTTCTGGGAGCTTTTTTTTTCTCTTCATCTTTTCTTCTTTTCTGTTCTCGTTTCTGTGGTCAAGGCTGTTGACAGCTCATTTACACATTCTTTTCGTTGCCCATCACCTCTTACATTCCTTAAGAAAACATAAATTTAACCCCCAAAAAAAACCCTTCTCTTTCATCAAAGCAGTTCATTGTGACCTTCGTTTGAAACCGCTCCAGCAGTCTCGTACCGGGTTCTCGTTCAATAGTACTTTAACAAAGTTCTTACAGGACAAGGACCTTGTTTGGGCTCTTTAACCCAGTCACTTTTCTTCATCCCTATCGGGATATATAGTCTTGACTTCTCTTCGAAGGGATCTCCTCTGGGCCCGAAGACGTGCTGGGGTCCATTCATTCTTTTTTTTTTTTCAGCGACACACTCTCCTTTGAGGATATTTCGTGGTATAGAGCTGGTTCTCGCGCACGATATCCTGACTTTTTAGTCCTTGCTGCCCCGTTGTAGAATTAGATTCGATTTTCCTATCCAGCTTGATAGCCATGGCTTCCTCTCTTCTTCTTTCCTTGTCCCTGGTTGGACTTTCTTTGGCAGCGGATCTCCAACAACGCGGTGGCCACCACGAAGCGAATCTGTTCTATGAGATGCTCCAGGATGACCTGGCCCGATACTCCCTGCTGGCACTGGGCTGCTTCGCTGCCCTCATCTATATCTGGAAGATGTGGTTCCGTCTAGCGGGCCACATGCGACGACTAGCAAGCTTCAGCAACGAGCACCAACGCTACTTCGTGCCTGCTCACTCGACCCTCGCAAAGCTCAAGAACCATGTCATCTACGCCCCATTGTTCCGCAACCGACACAACAGGGAGTTCCAGCTGTCTCGGGCGGTTAACATGGGCACCTTACCCAGCCGTTTTCATACGTTGATCCTTGTGGGGATCATCACCATGAACATCGTCCTATGTGTGGTGACGGTGCCTTACAAGTCGGATGAGGACACTGTCGCCGGTGTCATCCGGAACCGCACCGGGACCATGGCGACCGTGAACCTGATCCCTGTGGTTCTGTTGGCTGGCAAGAATAACCCCTTGATTCCTCTCCTCCAGGTGCCGTATGACACATTCAACTTGATCCATCGCTGGCTCGCTAGGATCGTTGTTTGCGAGGCTGTGGCCCATATCTTTGCCTGGGCTATCCCAAAGGCACAGGAAGGTACGCTACCCTGCTCGTGCGAAAAATTAGAAACTTGAAAAACCTGAAAAAAAATAAAAATAAATAAATAAATGCTGATCGTCAGTATAGCTGGCTGGGACGTTGTGGGTATGGTGTTTGGAAAGAGCAATTTCCTCTTGAGCGGCTTGGTCGTGAGTATTCTTTTCCATACAATAAATGCAGATGTATTGTTGACCTGTTTCAGTCTGGCTGCGCCTTCACTGCGCTTCTGGTGCACTCTCCCTCGGCAGTCCGTCATGCGTTTTACGAAACGTTCCGCCATCTCCATATTGCGTTCGCGGTCATCTCGATGGCCTTTCTCTGGATCCATCTGGACGGAATGGTCTCCCAGAAGTACCTCCTAGGAGCCATCATTCTCTGGGCCTTGGATGTTCGTTTAACCCCCCCCACCCCCGGTGTGGAAACCACAGATACCAGAAGCTAACCCTCCACCAGAGGTTTGCCCGGATAGTGATCGTTGTGTATCGTAATATTGGACGGAGCTCTACCACCGCTGAGATCGAAGCGCTGCCCGGGGACGCCATGAGAATCACCCTGAAACTCGCCCGGCCCTGGACATTCGAACCTGGCCAGCACCTTTATCTGTATATTCCCGCAATTGGGTGGTGGATGTCGCACCCGTTCTCGGTTGTCTGGAGTGACTCCGAGGTTGCCATGGCCGATGAGAAGGGCCTCCCCATGAACCATGATGATACGTTCGGCCCTCAGAAGACTACAATTTCTCTGCTTGTTCGTCGCCGAACCGGTTTCACGGACAAGCTCTTCCAACGTGCTGTGAACGCTGTCGACTGTCGACTTTCTCTGCGCGCATTCGCTGAAGGCCCCTACGGCGGCATCCATTCTATGGATTCATACGGTTCCGTTCTTCTGTTCGCTGGTGGTGTTGGAATCACCCACATAGTACCCTTTGTCCGTCACCTTGTTCAAGGATATGCAGACCGTACTGTGGCCGCACGCCGCGTCACGCTGGTGTGGATTATTCAGTCTCCCGAACATCTCGAATGGATTCGTCCCTGGATGACGAATATCCTGGCTATGGACCGTCGCCGCGAAGTCCTCCGAATCATGCTATTCATCACACGTCCCCGGAACACCAAGGAGATACAGAGCCCGAGTGCCACCGTGCAAATGTTCCCCGGTCGACCTAACATCGACACCCTGGTGGGCATGGAAGTGGAGAGCCAGGTCGGCGCCATGGGCGTTCTAGTCTGCGGGAACGGCAGTTTAAGCGACGACGTCCGACGGGTCTGCCGCAAGCGACAAGATCGGACCCAAATCGATTTCGTCGAGGAGAGTTTCACGTGGTAGACTTGGACGTGACGAATTCGCGCTGAAGTCTTTGTTTTCGGGGGAGGGGTTTCCGGCCTTGATATTTTGGGTCTGGCCTAGTCCCCAATCCGGCTTTGGCCCGATCGGTTGGTCTCTGTACAATGCAGCCAAAGAAAGACGCCTTGCCTACTGAGAGCCCCCCCCGCTTGCACTGAGTACGGAGCTTCTTCCCAGTTGTGGTGCTGGGGAGTTCGAGATCCTTTGGAACCTGCAAAAATATTGTCTCCGGTTTTTCCACGGGTAGCTACAATGAGGATCTGGGTTATTTCTGGTTTCTAGGGCTATATATCTATATATATATTTCGGGCTTGGATCCGGGTTTGCTGTAGATATGTCTTTCTGGCTCCGTAGCAATACTACCACTGTCAAAATGCACAGTTGACAACTTACTGTCGCGAGTACACCCAATTCAGTACAGTAAAGCAGTCAAAGATCGGAACGATTAGTTATCTGTTGGTTCTGCACGAAGCTTAGAAATCACCCATCTCAAGTGGGGCCATCGAAGCCGATGGCATCATTCCCATTGCTACCAAGTTATTTTGGCGGGTTAATTAATAATCGCCAGGACCATAGTTAACTACTTAACGAGAATGAGGGGGGTTGTCAAATCGCCCGCTGTCTTGAGATATAAAGGCTGTACTGTTGTCCTCTCTCGATCTTTCTCCTCCCTTTTCTCTCATCGTCAGTCATCCTTCACCATGAGTCGCCCCGATATCACTCTGTATACCGCCCAGACCCCTAACGGGATCAAGATCTCCATTGCCTTGGAGGAACTGGGGTATTTCTCTCTTATCTTTTCTCTGCCAATGTCCAGATCCCTTTGCTGACGTTGCAATTCCAGACTCCCTTATAAAGTCGAGAAAATCGATATTAGCAAGAACACGCAGAAGGAACCGTACGTTCCTTGCCTCTCCCTCTCCAGAAAGAAAGAGCTGAAACTCATCCCATTGAAAAAAGCTGGTTCCTTGAAATCAACCCCAACGGCCGCATCCCCGCAATCACCGATACCTTCACAGATGGACAAACAATCCGCCTCTTCGAATCCGGAAGCATCCTCACCTACCTCGCCGACCAGTACGACAAAGACTACAAGATCTCATTTCCCCGCGGCACCCGCGAATACTACGAAATGACCAGCTGGCTGTACTTCCAGAACGCCGGGGTCGGGCCCATGCAGGGCCAGGCAAATCATTTCTCGCGCTACGCGCCCGAGCGCATCGAGTACGGCGTGACCCGCTACGTCAACGAAACGAGGCGTCTCTACTCGGTCCTGGACCAGCATCTGGCGACGTCGAAGTCCGGGTTCCTGGTCGGCGACCATGTCTCGATTGCGGATATCTCGCACTGGGGGTGGGTTGCTGCGGCCGGGTGGGCGGGGATCGACATTGCCGAGTTCCCGCATCTGAAGGCTTGGGAGGACCGGCTTGCGGCGCGGGAGGGAGTCGAGAAGGGAAGACATGTACCGTCGCCGCATACGATCAAGGACTTGATGAAGGATCAGAAGAAGGTTGACGAGTATGCGGCGGAGTCTAGGAAGTGGATTCAGCAGGGGATGAAGACTGATGCTAAGTAAGGTGGTGTTTGGTTTGGTTTCTTTGCTGTAATGTCAGTTTTATGTCCTATACCTTTGTTTTTTAGTATCAAAAATGGCATAGAAATTTGATGCTTCCTTGTTTCCCCATGAAGTAACTATGTACTAAGTAAGTAAGTAAGTAAGCTTTGATGATGATTTCATTTTCATTTTCATCCTGCATTGAAATCAAATGGGCCATTAGTCATCTTCACGTGACCACAAGCTCGCCACATCGCGAATAGCTTCTTTTATTTGATACAATCGTCCTTTTTTCCTTCCTTCTCTCCACTACCAGATATCCCATTTTTACTTACCAACAGTTTAGCTTTTATCATCTACCCAAACGCCCTGGGAAAGATGGCCTGGCGAAACCAAGGAATCACAGGCTCCAATAATGTGCCTTTGGGCAATAGGAGACGCTTCGGTGGTGACAACCCCGAGGAGGAGAGTCGCACCGCGACACCTTCGTCCGCCGCCGGGGATAAACGTGGTCGAAGTCCTGTTCGAGGTATGTTTCTTTCTTCTTCTTCCCCCCTCCCCCCCCCTTTTTTTTTATTGTATTTTATTCCACTTTCAGTGGCTGCCTACGACAGACAGATTCTAACGTTTTTGTCTTTTAGCCGACCCCCCAGTTGACGGCGTGAAAAAGCGCAAGAAGCGCAACCGTTGGGGCGATGCTCAGGAGAACAAGGCCGCCGGTCTGATGGGTTTACCCACGATGATCATGGCAAACTTCACCAATGAACAGCTTGAGGCTTACACTCTCCATCTGCGTATAGAGGAGATCAGCCAAAAGCTGAGGATTAATGATGTCGTCCCCGCGGATGGCGACAGGTTGGTGTTTTTTTTTTTTTTTTTTTTTTCCCTCTCCCTTCCTTGTTGCTTTTGAATTTCTTCTCAGACACTAACGTCTTTCTTTTTTTTACTCATATTCAGGTCTCCGTCTCCCCCGCCTCAGTACGATAACTTTGGAAGACGTGTTAACACTAGGGAATACCGCTATCGGAAACGTCTCGAAGATGAGCGCCACAAGCTCATTGAAAAGGCGATGAAGACTATCCCTAACTATCACCCGCCTTCTGACTACAGGCGCCCTACTAAGACCCAGGAGAAGGTCTATGTGCCAGTGAATGACTATCCAGAGATTAACTTCAGTATGATAACTAACCCTCTAACTCCTAACCGTTCTTGTATTGCGTCTTCCTTGACTCTCGGCTCGAGTTGGGCTTACGATCAAGACATTGCTTTTTGGCGATGCTTTTTCGGCTCGCTTCTTGCTAACCCTTCCTTTTTTTTTTTTTTTTTTTTTTTTTAATATTTTGCTGGTTGATGTTGCATATCTATCCCTACCTTTTTTTTTTTTTTTTTTTTCAAAAACGATACCTGAAAGAAACATCATCGTGAACTAACACTTAGCTTTTTTTTGCTACCTTTTAAAGTTGGCTTACTTATAGGACCCCGTGGAAATACCCTGAAGAAAATGGAGAGCGAGTCCGGTGCTAAAATTGCTATCCGAGGCAAAGGCTCCGTCAAGGAAGGAAAAGGTCGCTCTGATGCCGCTCACGCTAGCAACCAGGAAGAAGATCTCCATTGTTTGATCATGGCAGATACCGAAGAAAAGGTCAACAAAGCGAAGAAGTTGGTGCACAACGTTATTGAAACGGTAAGCTACCACCCTCTCTTTTGTACATGGAAGTGTATTCCACTAATGTTTGCATATAGGCCGCCTCCATTCCAGAAGGCCAGAACGAGCTCAAGAGGAATCAGCTCCGAGAGCTTGCTGCGCTCAACGGTACTCTTCGTGACGATGAGAACCAAGCTTGCCAGAACTGTAAGTATAACCCGGACAGATATGAGTTCCTTGCTGACCAGTGAAAAAAAAAAAAAAAAACTAGGTGGCCAAATCGGACATCGCAAATATGACTGCCCTGAACAGCGCAACTTCACTGCCAATATTATATGTCGTGTTTGCGGCAACGCAGGACACATGGCTCGTGATTGTCCAGATCGCCAGAGAGGCAGCGACTGGCGCAATAATAACAACGGTGGCTTTGGCAACCGCAGAGCTATTGGCCAAGGTGACGCTGTCGACCGCGAGATGGAGGTAAGCTCATTCATTCCCGTCTACCCCCGTAAAATCACTTCATTGGTACTAATATTTTCTAGCAACTGATGCAAGAATTGTCCGGTGGCGCTCCTGGCCCCGACGGACATGCTCCTCGCCGGATTGAAGCTGGTCCCGACCAAGGTTATGATGACCGTGACGCAAAGCCGTGGCAGCGTGCTCCCCCTCCAAGCGATGTGGCCCCCTGGCAGCAACGCGGCCGTGACAATCGCCGCGACGACTACGGCGCCCGCGACCATGGCAGTGCTCCCCCATGGGCTGCACAGGGCCGTGGCGGCAACGACTATGGGTACGGATCGCATGGTGGCTATGGTGCGGCTCCTGGCGCATCAGCAGCAGCAGCAGCATCATCAGCAGCAGCAGCTACTACCGCTCCATGGCAGCAACAAGCTCCACCGCCGCCACCTGGTGGGCAGGCTTCATACGGATACGGCTCCTATTCTTCGTACCCTCCCCCTGCAGCGAGCATGGGAGCTCCCGGAGCTCCTCCAGGTCTGGGTGTTCCTCCTCCTCCTCCGCCCGGCATGCCGTCCATGTACTACGGTGCTGGTGGCAGCCCTCCACCTCCTCCACCTGGTGAAGGACCTCCTCCTCCAGTACGTTCATACCATCCATTTTTAATTATAATGGGGGAAACTTTTTGAACTAATTTGAGCTACAGCCGGCCAGCGACCAGCCCCCACCACCCCCTCCCCCAGCTTAAATCAAATATCACGTACATTTCCCTAAAATGAGGCAGGAATCAGAGCTGTTGCAAAAAGGGTAAGGGAGCAATCAGCTCTGATAAATGAGAGAGAAAAAGTGCGCGGTAGTCTTTAGCTCTAACCATTCCCTTGGGTTGCTTATTGTTTTTCTATGCGATTAATTAGTTCTTGCAGTATTTTTTCTTCACCTTAAAAACATTCCCCTACTAACAGTATTGAATGGACGGCTGAAAATTGCTGAATGTACAAGTATTTTTTTTTTCTCTATTTTTTCTCTCTTCTTCTTTTCTTCTTCTCGCTTTTCCTACTGCTAAATTGGACACGATGGGATGAAATGCGTCTGTTTGCTTCGCAGCGAATGATACGTATCCTTGGGCATCCAAGCATCACCCCGAATTCGATAATTGATTGAAGCAGATACTTGGCTCCACATGGACACTGGGACACAGACAGAATCTTGCATGGAGACCGGACGTTTTCAGTGCATCTGGGGGAATCCCTGGGTGAAACGGGGAAGCGGCTATTGTGTAGGATGACCGTACCAGTCAAAAACTACTTACCTACCAGGCACTGAATTATAGTATTATGTGTTATGTAAATAGGATTCAACTAGGTACATGCTCTAGACTTTCGATGAACGAGGGGAAATTATGTATGGAGGAGGATTGATTTTAAAGAAAGTATTGTTTATATATATATTCCTATGTATGTCTGCCTCTAGTAGAGTCAATTTGGAGTCGTTAAGCTTAGAATGAACATGGGCTGCCTCAGGCTTCTCCACATATCCCCAGAAATTGGATTGATTTCTATCTTCAACTCTTCAACAACTCGTCAAATCTTCATCATTGTCTCCTTCCCCCCCCCCCTCCTTTTCTCATTATTATTACCTAGGTATAATATTATAACCCCCTGACAAAGTGGCGTGTCTGCCCATCCTCGATTTCTCTTTCCTTGGCCTGCAGATGGCAGTACTCAGGAGGGGTTCCCCTTCATGATTAAGAATACCTGTCTGGCCCTTTCTTGGAACTCTTCACCGATTAATTCAATTCAATCGACTGAGCGGGAAGAACCTGCTTATTGGGAACCGATATGGAGGACCCTAGTCAGGCCTCATCGTCCCATGGGCCCTTACATTTCTCCTCAGGGCCTAGCTTTCACTCTCCAGCTAATAAGGACAAAAACAACAATGAAAATAATAATACTTCCACCTCTCCCCCATCTTCGTCCCACTCTCAGCGGAGATCTGGGCCGTTTTCGCCTTCAAAGTTCTTCTCTTCCCTGCGTCCTTCTGCCCCTGGTGGTAGCGATGGCACTTCTCGCAGTCGCACAGGAGGGCCAGAAGATGCCTCCTCAATCGCGAGAGACCGCCAGATGGGGAGTGCTGCTACCGACGGCGGCGCAAGATGGTGGGAGATTCGCCTCTTCCGCGGCATGATTGACGATGTTAAGCGCAGGGCACCCTATTACTGGAGTGACTGGGCTGATGCGTGGGATTATCGCGTTGTTCCTGCGACTGTATATATGTATTTTGCAAAGTATGCTCCTCCTCCTCCTCCTCCTTTCCAATCTTGATATGCTTTGCCTCGCAGGTACTAGTAAAAAGAGTGTACGGGATGGCTGATTTGTTTGGTCTCAGTATTCTCCCGGCGCTGGCGTTTTCTCTTGATATGTTCGAAAAGACACATCAGAGTTATGGTGTTAATGAGGTGCTGCTGGCTTCTGTGCTTGGGGCGGTGGTGTTCTCGCTTTTTGCTGCGCAACCGTTGGTGATTGTTGGGGTTACTGGTGAGTTCAACTGATTGGGAAACTGGGGGGAACTTAAATGCTCATTTTTTTCCCCCTTCTTTTATTGTATAGGCCCAATCACCGTCTTCAATTATACAGTCTATGACATTATTTCGCCGCACGGAACACCGTATTTGGCATTCATGTGCTGGATTGGCATGTGAGTTTTACTCGATCTTTAAAATTGATACTGATGCTGTGTGCTGACATCAACAGCTGGTCTTTGATCATGCATTGGATTCTCGCTATAACCAACGCTTGTAATGGGCTCACTTATGTCACTCGGTTCTCATGTGATATCTTCGGCTTCTATGTGGCCTTCATTTACCTCCAGAAAGGTATCCAGGTGCTAACTCGACAGTGGGGATTCGCTGGAGAAACATCCGCCTATCTGAGCATCATGGTCGCCTTGCTCGTTCTCATGAGTGCGTGGATCTGCGGAGAGCTTGGAAATAGCAATTTGTTCCAGCGATATGTCCGCAAGTTCTTGGAGGACTACGGGACGCCGTTGACCATTGTCTTCTTCACGGGATTCGTCCACATCGGCCATATGAGAGATGTCGAGGTGGCCACCCTGCCTACCAGTAAGGCGTTTTACCCCACAGCTGATCGTGGCTGGCTGGTACACTTCTGGGACATTGATGTGGGAGATGTCTTCCTCGCAATTCCGTTTGCCGTACTCCTTACCATTCTGTTTTACTTTGACCATAATGGTAAGCCTTTTGTTCCTACCAAGTCTTAGCGTCTCCAAGCTAACCAACATAGTATCATCGCTTATTGCGCAAGGCACAGAGTTCCCCCTTCGCAAACCAGCAGGATTCCACTGGGATCTCTGGCTCCTGGGGCTCACCACTTTCATCGCAGGGATCCTGGGCATTCCGTTCCCCAACGGCCTCATCCCACAGGCGCCGTTCCACACCACCGCTCTATGCGTCACCCGTAACGTCGCAGATGAGGACGACACCAACAAGGGCAAGACCGTCCGCATCACCGATCACGTCGTTGAACAACGCGTCAGCAATCTTGCCCAGGGGCTTCTCACACTCGGCACTATGTCCGGGCCCTTACTCATCGTCCTGCATTTAATTCCTCAGGGTGTCATGGCAGGTCTCTTCTTCGTCATGGGAGTCCAAGCCCTCCAGGGAAACGGAATCACACAGAAACTGATTTTCCTCGCCCAAGACCGACACCTTACGTCTCCCTCTAGCCCGCTTAAGAGTCTCGAGCGTCGGAGTGCCATTTGGGCCTTTGTTATCCTCGAGCTTGTCGGATTCGGGGGCACTTTCGCCATCACGCAGACTATTGCAGCGATTGGATTTCCTGTTATTATTTTGTTCCTTATACCCGTGCGGTCCTTCCTTCTGCCCCGCTGGTTTACTGAGAAAGAGCTCTCTGTGCTCGACGGACCCACCGCAAGTCCATTCACGATGGAAAGTGTCGGAGGTGTCTACGGTGGTGCCACTCCTCCCCAAGAGGAAGATACCAGTAACCGGCACTCAGGCAGCGGCAGCGTCAGCATCAGGAGCAATGGTGTCATGGCTCCCGTGACGGTAGATCTTGGCTCTTCCTCCGAGATACCGATCGAAAATGATCTTGAAATGGGCAACTACGAGAAACAGGCCCGATGGAGACGAAACCATGGGGAGTCGCAATGAATCCTAACCTAGACGTTTGCACATGATTAGAGTATGGTTTTTTTTTTTTGGTGTTTATCCCGGAACCTCAGCCGGGTTATTGTAAGTATTTTTGGATGTGAATATTGGTAGCCATGTTCAGAAGTGCGTGACTTTGGTGAATCTATGCATCGTTGGTTGATATGCTAGATGTGTTCTTTCCTTGGTAATGATAAAGCCACCATCATGTTAGACATAACACCAGCCACATTCTCATGCAGAAATGTGAAGGAAAATGCCTTGAAAATGGGTCTTTTTTTGAACTGATATAGTCAAATTCGCAGGCTTATACATATGCAACAGACTGCCAGCACTGAATCTCCAGCGTGTCTCTGCCTCTCCAAGCGACAATGTCGTCGCACAGGAATCAGTAATTGCTTGAGGAGGTCATGGATTTTTCAGAACCCTTTTTGCTTCTGGCTTGCCTAAGATCTACACCTACGATACTATGAGGTTCCATCTTCTGCCCTTATGTACAGCAGCTTCATCTTATGCGAGCTTACATAATATTATGCGGCCATGTTCCCGTGACCGCGGAATTCGGAGAGTTCGAATAAATACATATTCCCGCCTTACACCTTTCCCAAAGCACGGCCCATAATTATTTTCGATTATAATCCTCTAGTGGAACATAGTAAAAATCCACCGGATTTAAGAAGTCGTGTGTCTGCTTAGGTTGCAGCAGTTGCAGTTGCAGCGACTCTGGGGTGAATCGCCGAGTTACATAATCGAGTGTAGTTCCTAATTAGGGATAGTCCAATCGACAGATAAGCGGTGTCACGTGTAACTCTACCGCCCTCTGCGGTCAACTTTTTTTCTGCCGCAAGAATTTCGAAGAATTTCAAAAAAAAAAAAAAAAAAAAAAAAAAAAAACCTTCTTAACAATCAGTGCAGCGATATGGCACGTTCCTCTCGTCCAGAGTCCCTATCAAGGGAATCTTCTGTATCCTCTGATGCCTCCAGTGGGGGGGTCGAGGTAGACCAGACCGAATTGCAGACCCGTGCCCCAAAGAGAAGACGTCTCTCAGAGGCGTCCGCTGACGAGGAGGAGGACTCGTACGTCCCTGCAGCACCCCTCCCTTCTCTCTCGCGAATCAAGAAAAAGCAACCAAATAATGCTGCTCGCGTCGAAGAGAATGACAACCCGGTTCTGATCAAGGATGCTCTGGAGATTGGGTTACAGGATGCGGAGTCTTCGTTTAAAGCGCTCAGTGTGGCGCCCTGGTTGATCGGGTCTTTGACGACGATGGCGGTTCGCAAACCGACTGCGATTCAGAAGGCTTGTATCCCGGAGATTCTGAAGGGAAGGGATTGTATTGGAGGGAGTAGGACTGGTTCGGGAAAGACGATTGCGTTTGCCGTGCCTATGCTGCAGAAATGGGCAGAGGATCCGTTTGGGATTTTTGCAGTAGTTCTAACGCCTACACGGTATGTCTTTATTTCTTCTTCCTCTTCCTCTTCCTCTTCCTCTTTTTTTTTTTTTTTTTTTTATTTCGAAAGCAAAAAAAGCGAAAACTCCGGGACCCAAAAAAAGAATGGCAAGTGCTGATTATATATAATAATGTAGAGAACTTGCGCTGCAGATCTATGAGCAAATCAAGGCAATCTCCGCGCCGCAAGGCATGAAACCTATCCTCATCACCGGCGGAACCGACATGCGCTCGCAAGCCCTGGAGCTCTCGAAACGTCCTCACGTCGTCGTAGCCACCCCCGGTCGTCTTGCAGACCACATTACCACCTCCGGCGCCGACACCATCGCGGGCCTGAAGCGTGTCCGCATGGTCATCCTCGACGAAGCAGATCGTCTGCTCGCCTCGGGACCAGGCAGCATGCTCCCAGACGTCGAAACCTGTATCTCCACCCTTCCGCCCTCCAAGGACCGCCAAACCCTCCTCTTCACCGCAACAGTCACCCCCGAGGTACGCGCCTTGAAGGCCATGCCCCGGCCAGAAAACAAACCACCCATCTTCGTCACCGAAATCTCCTCCGAAAGCACCGACACCATCCCCCCGACCCTCAAACAAACCTACCTCCAAGTGCCTCTCACCCACCGCGAAGCCTTCCTCCACGTTTTACTCTCCACCGACGCCAATGCCACAAAACCAGCTATTATCTTCTGCAACCACACCAAAACCGCCGATCTGCTCGAGCGCATGCTCCGCGGCCTCGACCACCGCGTCACATCCCTCCACAGTCTCCTCCCCCAATCGGAACGCAACTCGAACCTCGCTCGTTTCCGCGCCTCTGCGGCCCGGCTCCTCGTCGCCACGGACGTGGCCTCGCGTGGTCTCGATATCCCCTCTGTTAGTCTTGTCGTCAACTTCGACGTGCCCAGGAACCCAGACGACTACGTCCACCGCGTTGGACGTACGGCGCGTGCCGGGAGAAGCGGCGAGGCAGTGACGCTTGTGGGACAGCGTGATGTGCAGCTTGTCCTCGCGATTGAGGACCGCGTGGGCCGCAAGATGGAAGAGTGGGCCGAAGACGGCGTGAGGGTTGAGTCGAGGGTTGCGAAGGGGTCCTTGCTGAAGGAGGTCGGGGCGGCGAAGCGCGAGGCAATGGTGCAGATCGACGAGGGAAGGGATGTGATCGGACGAAAGAGGAACAAGTTGAAGAAAGTCCGGTAGTGGGCGAATCTTGTCTATTTTACTTGGATATATAAATATAAATCACAGAGCGCTTTTCCATGGAATCTTAGACAGGGTTCAAGAGCATTCATTCCAATTTAACATGCATGGTATCGTGGATTCTCTCTCTTGTTTCTGTTTCTGTTTATATTCCTGGCTGGGCTTAGTTAGGTATACCCTCCTCCGTGTTGCCCCAATTCTCAACACATAACAAATAACAGCACCCCACACAACACATGTACAACCCCTAATCAACCAACCAAACACCAACCAAACACCTAGATAGAAATGCACTCATTCAGCATGCTACTAGTATCGGTACCCTCCGTATACACCTGACCCGAATAGACAGACAAGACATGTATTTTGTTGGGTACATGCATGTCAAATCATCCACTCCGAACCCCTCCCTTTCTCCGCCGTATTCATCAACTTCAGCAACCCATCAACGGCGTCGCCGCGCTGCCCCGTCTCCGGAACCGCAGCGCTGGGCGGACTACTCAATTGCATGGGCGATCCCGCCAGCGCGATATACGCATGCGTGCTGGATTCCGTATTGTTTCTTCGGTGGGATTTCTGCGTGGGGGTTTTTAACGGGTCTTCTTGGTCTTCTTCTTGGTCTTCTTCTGGGTCCTCTGCTTGGCTCTGGTTCTGGGCCGGAGTAATGGTTGGAGGTTGACGTGGTGTCAGTAGGGTATCATGTGCTTCGTCGTTGTCATCGTTATCTTCTTGCTCTTCTTCTTCTTCTTCTTCTTCTTCTTCTTCGGTGTGCGTTATTACGGGGGTTTGTTGCTGTTGCTGTTGTTGTTGTTGCTTCTGGGATAAAGTATACCCTGATAGTCTTGGGTATTTCCGACTATACGCTTCGAGCTCGGATACCCTGCGGTCGAATTGCGGGTCGCGGACGTGTCGCATGGCGTTTTGGATTCTGCTTCGTAGGAGGGTTGCTTTCTGTTTTTTTTTTTTTATTATTATTATTATTCAATAGTTGTTAGACATGGGTTTGGTATTTGGGGTGTGGGGTGATGTGTACTTCTTGGATGAAGAGCTTGCGTGTTTGGGGGTCCTCGGGGACGGAGCGTGGCTGGTTGGTTGGTTCTTCTGGTGCGGAGGGAGACGCTTGTATTTGTGCTTGGGATGAGATCTGGGCTTCGATTGGGGGTTGGTGTGTGTTCAGTGTATTCTGCTGTTCTGTTTGTTCGGCCGTGTCCATCGCGTTGGGCTATATCGAGTTCGGTATTAGCAGGTCACGAACGAACTCAACAGGGGGGGGGGGGGAGAGGGGGATGAAGAAAAAGAGAGGGAAAATAAGGATAGAAGAAAAAAATAGTCTCGCTTCTTCTTTAATGACAAGAAAACTCACGTTTTTCTCCTGAGCCACTCCCAAACGCGCATGCTGCAGAGAAGATGTGCCTGGTAACCTAGCAGTCTGCTGGACAGGCAGAGATCCGCCAGTCGTGGAGTTCTCATCATCCACCTGATGAAAGGGACGTTTGTGGGCAGTGAATAAGGGTGAAGGAAGGAGCTTTTTGGGAGAGGAGGAGTCGTTGAGAGTCCGTTTGATGGGGGAAGATACAGGCGACAGACACGCGTTGGCACTCTTTTCACTCAGAATTCGCCGGCCGTCTTTGACGGAGGTGGGGTGAAAATCGGGTAGAGGCATTGTATGAGAATTTCTTTGCAATTCCTGGAGGGGAGATCAATGGGGGAATATTGAATCCAGGTGTCGGATGGAGGAAGGTAGGTGTATGTCTGGAGGGACTTTTTGAGGGCATACCGGAACCCACCCGATATTGGTATATAGCGTGTGTCCCACGCGTCAAGCCTCCGTCCGCCCTTCTTTGCTGGATCTAAGACACTGACTGATCTGGATCGAAAATGAGAACATCCAGAGCCGCCAGGGATAATTAAATGAAATTCAATTCCTCTGGGTTTTGCTTTCACTGCCACAGGTTTGTTATGGCTGCTGAGTTGACATTGACGCGTCGGTACGGAGTATTCTGGGGACATTCTGAGCCACTCGTGAACAGTTTGAATGGGGGGTTTTTTTTTTCTTTCTTTTTTCTTTAATATATGCAGAGACATACAGGAAGTCTGTCAAGGACTAATGTACTTAAATCAAGTCTTTCGTTTTCCTGTGGTTTTCATAACGCTGTCTGTCTATTCCCTACCTAGGGACCTTGAATGCGTAACAATTCGTACCTAGGTAGAGATGAGAGACTTGTATCTTCTTATGTGGATTTAAATATGAAGAACAAGAAGAGAAGAACATAGATTCTTCAATATTAAAACCACAACCGAGGAACTACCCAAGTGCTATAGGTAGGTATCTATACAACTGTACAAAAACAACCTCATTGGATCCCAAAAAAGCAACAGGAGCTTTCCCCGCATTTCATCCATTTTCTTCCTGCATTCCATCCTTTAATCCCTCTTCTTGCTTCATTCTCTCTCTCTTGAATCGTAGTAGATCCCTTTCTATTGTTCATGTGAGGAAGAATCCGGATTGATTCATTGCATCATCATCATCATTATCGTCATCATAATTAGGGTGTCCATCTTCCTCTTCTCATCTTGTCTTGGTTATACTGCTTGGTTACTATCTACCATCTCCCCTCCCCCCCCCCCCCCCAATACCCTTGCTACCAGTCAGATAGTTGCTCACAATCACTCTCTCTTCCTCGCACCGATATGCGACCGTCGTTCGCAGTGCTGGCAGCCGCCGTCCAGGCTGCCGTGGGCACTGCCTCCACCCTCACTCCACCTGTTCTGCCCTTGATTGTGAGGAATCCCTACCTTAGCACCTGGCTCGGCAATGCGAGAGATGTTCCATGGTCCAAATGGCCCATGTTCTATACAGGGGAGGAACTTGGTCTTTCGTTGATGGCCCAGGTCCCCAGCACCGATGCCGTTTACCCTCTTTTAGGGAAGCCCCATGAAGCCCTATCGGAGTATGCGTATTGAATCGGTTCCCTCGGTTTTCAGCTCTAACGAGGACATAGATCATCAAACTTCAAATTTCCTACGTATCTTGGGGCTCATTACGATGCATCGACGACTAACCTGACCTACCGGATTGACTTAAACACCTCATCACCCTCGTCTCCTGTCGACATAACCGTTTCCTTTCTGTCCCCGATCACCCCAACATCGACTCTGCGGCAGTCGATTCCCGCTTCCTATATCACAATCTATGTTCAAAGCGATGTTACGGTCAATGTCTACATGGATATCAACGGTCGTTGGGTCAGCGCAGACCCAGCAAGCCAAATCACCTGGCAGTACGACAACGGGCTAGGCTCTGGCAACAAGCCGACGCTCCAAAGATGGCGGCTCCAAAGACAGTCACAGTTATTACTGTCTGAGATCCGAGATCGAGCCGAATGGGGCACTATTCACTTCACTGCACCGGCGGTGCGTGTTCCACTAACTCCCCAACCGCCCACCCCCTGTTGCTAATGATAAACTAGGATGTTCAATACCAATCGGGGCCGGCCCCGTTAGTGAGACGGGCGTTTGCGGCGAAAGGCTCCTTGACAAATGTCAACGATGCCACCTTTCGTGCGATCAGGGATCGGGAACCAGTCTTTGCCTTCTCCAAGTCCTTCGTGCCCTCTCGTAAATCAGGACCAGTCAGCGGCAGTGTAACCTTCACCATTGCCCTGATCCAGGATCCAGTCGCCCAGTTCGCCTCATCCCGTGGTCTCACTCTGATGCGACCTCTCTGGAAGGCCTGGTTTGGAAATGTCGAGTCTTTGCTCACCTTCCATTATAAGGATTTCACCAATGCCGCACGCCTGGCCTCTGATTATTCGACCCAGCTAGCCCACGATGCCTACCAATCCGGCGCTCAGGATTATGTCGATATTGTTGCGCTCTCTGCACGGCAAGTTATGGGTGCGACAACCTTTTCTGGCACCCCAGACGACCCAATCTTGTTCCTGAAAGAGATCTCCTCCGACGGAAACTTCCAAACCATCGATGTCATCTTCCCATCATTCCCCTTCTTCCTGTACACCAACCCGCGCTGGCTGGCATATCTCCTAGAACCTCTGATAGAACATATGCTGAGCGGACAATACCCTAACACGTACGCCATGCACGATCTGGGAACCCACTTCCCCAACGCCACTGGCCATCCAGATGGAAATGACGAGTACATGCCCGTGGAGGAGTGTGGGAACATCCTCATCATGGGTCTAGCGGTGGTAGACTCGTTGCTCTACGATAAGGATTCTGCTGCATCTTCTATTTGGTCTGCTCAGGGCGAATCCACGACTCCAATGTCTGGCGAAACTGCAGGGTATTTCCCCCTGAACGAGTTCCAGGTTCTTTCTGGAATCGACAAGCAAGATGGAAAGTGGGGAGGCGGTGCGCTGGGACGGAGCCAGGCACAAAAATGGATTCAGCGTAGTTACAACCTTTGGACCCAGTGGACTGGCTATCTGGTAGAGTTCTCTCTAGAACCTGCTAACCAACGTAAGTCGCTCTTTATGCAATCTTAGCAATCTCACTAATATCCGCCTAGTCTCTACGGATGATTTCGCTGGCTGGCTCGCGCTCCAGACGAATCTAGCCCTAAAAGGCATCATCGGCATCAAGGCTATGAGCAAGCTGGCTGAAGTAGGTGGATACCACGATGACGTCTCATACTATAAGGTAACTCTTCTTCTTCTTCTTCTTCTTCTTCTTCTTCTTCTTCGATAGCTGAACCATTTGACCGGCTAATACATGATTTCAAGAACATCTCCGACACCTACATCGCCAAGTGGGAAGAGCTCGGCATGTCGCGAGACGGATCGCACGCCAAACTCGCCTATGACTGGTACGGATCCTGGACAACTATCTACAACCTCTATGCCGATGCGCAACTCTGCTTCCACCTCGAAGGCACTAGCCTCGACCCATCATCCACTTACCAAGACTACGACCAACAACAGCCGCTCAAGCCACCCAGTCCATCCGCGCCCACCTCCAGCCCAGGCTTCGTCCCTCATCACATCTACACCAAGCAATCTGCCTGGTACCACAACGTCCGTCAAAAATACGGCCTCCCCCTAGACAGCCGCCATCTCTACACGAAAACAGACTGGGAGTTCTTCGCCGTCGCCGTGGCCAGCGAGTCTGTGCGCGCCGAGATCCTCGAGTCCGTCGCCAAATGGGTCAACGAGACCAACACAGACCTCCCCTTTACGGATCTCCATAACACGGAAGGCAGCGGCGGCTTCCCCGGTCCGAATTTCTTTGCCCGCCCTGTGATTGGTGGCCACTTTGCTTTTTTGGCCTTGCAGCGGGCTTGTAATGGCAGCGCCATGGAGGGGCTCGCGTTTTTGGATGAGATGCATGATCGAGGTTGAGAACCTAGTCGATGTGAATGGTAACAAGCATGAGTCTGGCTTTGGGTCTGGCTCTGGCTCTGGCTACGTACGGTTCTAGGGGTGATGACTTGTAACGGTGGCTCTGGCTGTCTCGTATTGTATCTTGTTTGGTTAGATGTGTGGCTGACTCGTTGGATATATATATATATATATATATATATCTGGATCTATAACTACGTATGTACGTATGTATATAAGTATGCATGTATGTATGTGCGGACAGCATCTCCACGGCACTATTTAAATAATAAGTACTCCGCACTCCGTACACTAAAGCATTTAGTTCCTAGCGGGCCCTGCTAGAAGTCTGAAGATACCGAGGGACTGCACTATATCGAGAAATATACAACAGAAAAGCACTATTATTGGACAGGTATTGATCCTCAAGGACCGAATCATATGAATGGATACCGTATAATGTATTCTTTGACCGATGAATGCTACACAAGTCTTCAGACTGTAATACAGAAGCAGATGACGAAACGAACAAAGGCCCTACATGAAAACCTACGCAATTACAAGGTCTGTTCTGTTTTGAATTCTCACTTTCCTATTTTTGACATTCAAATCAAATTACATGGGGAGGAGCCGCATCTTTTTTTTTTTGGGTTCGAAACAAAGAAACCTAAACGCGAGGATCGAATGAATTGTATCGTTCTTACTCTCGCCATTCCCACACTTGGTTCACGCAGACTTTCGGCGGAAGGATGAATATTGCCCTGCATGCGCTTTGCGTATAAATCCTTCTCGCATTCTTCCAAACCCTCCCCCCGCCCCTCCAGCGTATTCCTCTCCATCATGTAATTGACACAAGACATACTCCTTCAGAAAAGTTGCCGGGGGGGGGGGAAAGATGATGAAAGATTCATTTATTTGCCACCAAGAGTGGGGAAGTTCTTCTCGTCGACGGTGACGGGAGCGGGGCGGTCGGTACGGGGACCAGCACCACGGCCGCCACGGCCAGCGCCAGCGCCACGACCACCACGGCCACGGCCACCACGAGGAGCATTGCCGCCAGTGCGGGGGGCCTCGACGAAGCGCATGTCGACATCGACGAAGTTCTTCTCCTTGCGCTGTCTCTCACGCTTGGACTTATCATCCTTGCCCTTAATGTAGGCATCCTGCTCCTCTCCACGCTTCAGCTCCTTAGCAGCAGCCCACTTCTTGTCGACCTTGGCACCCTCGTTGGCGGAACGGACAGGCTTGGCGCTCAGGTCCTCCTGGGCAGCCTTCTCGGCCATGTAGTCGGCAAAGGACTTGGACTTGTCGGCGGGCTCCTTAGGCTCCTCCTCAGCAGGCGTCTGGGGCTCATTCTCGTCAGTCTGGGCAATCTTGTCGCCGGCCTTCTCATCATCCCAGGTCTTGTCGCCGCTCTGGTTACCCCAGCCCTGGTTCACCTGTTTGCGGGTATCACTTTACACACCAGATAGGTTAGCTGTGATAAACTCATCGATGCTATTAGTTTTCCGGGGGAAAAAAAAAAAGAATAAGGCTTACGTCTGGCCAGTGCGGGATTGGCGGTCATGGCGAGGGGGACGACCACCACGGTCGAATCGTCGGCTGGGCTCCTTGCCCTCCTCGGTGGGCTTTTCACGGTTGGTGCGGCTGCCGGCGTTACGGTCGCGGAAAGCTAAAGAACAAAGGAATCGGGATCAGCTGGATGCCACGCCAGACACGCACACACACACATATATATATATATATTAAAATCAACAGAGGGAGACTACATACCGGCCTCGTTGCCAGTGAAACGTCCACCACGGCGAGGGGCAGACTCGGCAGTACGGACGGGAGCCTCCTTAGGGGCATCGCGCTTGCCATGTCGAGGAACTGGCTTATCTAGGGCTTTTGTGGGAGGCTCGGGTTCTCTGTTGGGGTCGAATTCGGGATCATTGCCTATTGCGGGGGGGAAAGAAGGTCCAGGTTAGAATTGATATTGAAACATAAAAAATGGGTACCAAGCGTCGGAAAGAACGAGGTAATCAGGGTCATAAGCGATATGATGGGCAAGGTGAGAATTACCAAGAAGCTCGTAGAGGTTCTATAAACACAAAAAAAAAAAAAAAAAAACAACTCGTTAGCATTTGATGTTATCCATTGACTCGTGGAGATCTTCTTTTGATCGTTTTCTCTCTCTCTCTCTCTCTCTCTCTCTCCGTCTTGCTTTCCATCTCCAGTAGAGCTGAAAGACAAGAAAGACAAAAGAACACGAGTCGAGGAATCCCCCCCGCTGGCCACACATACCTTGGACCGGACGTCCGCCATGACGCCTGGTTGTATGAGGGGCCTTCCGGGGGAAGGCTCTCTGTTATCGCAGCAATTCGATTCGGGGCGGCGAGGGCTCAGGAGGGAGACAACGCAGGCAGAAAACCTCGACGAGGGTGTCGGTATCTGACGTCTCCTTTTTTGGGGATGAGGATGGAGATTGATGAGAGAAGGGGCGACGGAGGTTTGGAGGCAACGTTTGTGGTTGTAGCGGACGAATCGGGTAAGGTTCGCATTGCTGCTAAGCGAATCTGCCGCTGCGGCTTCTGATTGGTTGGAACCTTCTAGGGCTTAGGGTATTGGCGTCACCGGATCTTCATCTCTACATCACCACCTCCCCTTAGGGTTCCCTAGGGTACACTTCGATCCCGATGTACCTACCAGAGACAGAGAAAAGAGAATGAAATACATTTATCAAATAAGTATACAATCACATCCATCTCAGTAATTAATATCCGCCAGAATATATACTCAGAAGAGTCGAGAGTTTCTTCCCCCAACTGCTCGGCAGCCGTGCAGGAGTCTTGTAAAGCATGCTATACATCAATGATCTTCAACTTGAAATGTACATAACTGTGGGTTTCCCGTCTTCTTTTCTGGTCTCCTAATACTCCATCAGATCTTTGTGATCCCTTTTTTACCTTTTTTACCTTTTTTACCCTTTTTTTTTTTTTTTTTTTTTTTTTTTTTGGATGAACAGCAGCCAAGGACACCTACGTAGTCAACAGAAAACAAATGGTATCAACCACCTAACGCCGGCTAATGCTCAAAGATTCAACTTTTTGTCTGCCAGTGTTGGGCACCCACAAAATGAAAATTTGGTAAGAAACATGCCTGTCCGCGGCAGACAAGAAGGAAGAAAAAAAAAACATGTAGAATAAGGGACAAATCTCGCCGTTGATGGGATAATCAGTCGCTAATCATTGACGTGAATTATTTTGCTCGTAGCTAAAGGGAGTTTGGAAGTGCATGCTGGCACTCAGTCCAAATGGATCTGCATCCAGCATGGGTTCGTAGTTTCCGAGAAGGGAACTGGTGGTGCCGTAGGCGCCATTAGGTCCTTCTCCAGAGTGAGAGTGGTAGGCGGTTATGCCGTGAGTCGTCATGGGATGCGAGGCGCCTGGGACGGGCGCATTCGCATTGAAACCGGGAACAAAGGGGGACGCCGACACAGAAGAGTCGTGTTCTTCGTCAATCATATCCACCTGCGCGTCATATTCTTGCTCTAAGAAATCAGGTTAGATTTTCCATCCACAGCGAACCCACAGATACAAGGAAGATTTACCGAGCTGGTCATAATGTTTTTGGAAAGGAGACGGGTAATATGCGGACGGTCCCCGGGGGCCTCCTCGAGGTCCTAGGCCACTCGACTTCGGCTCGGTGGGTTCGGGTTGGCCAATGCTCACCGGCGGAGAGGATTGGCTGATATTTCTCGAGTGGGAAAGCATCTGGGAGCGTGCATGTTGTGCCTGGGGATCGACGGTGGTCGATGAGAATGTCGTTTGGAACCCATAGCCAGGGGACTTCGCATGAGATGGCGACGAGACATGGGAAGGCGGGGTAGCTTGAAACTGCGGTGACGGCATCCCATATCCATCCCGCGACTGAGAAAGACTGAAGGGTTCTTTCGGGGCAAGACCGCTGGGGTGTCGTTGGGCCGAGTTTCGGTTAACGGCCGCTTGCTGCAACGAGGGCGTCTTTGCCGACATGGGGCTCGGCTTTCCGGGACCCGCACTAGGAGTTGCAGCCTTGAGTCGCAATTCCGCTTGAACATCAATCCCTGGGAATAAGTCAGTCTCTATATTCTCGGGATATCGCCAATGAGTCGGGTGGCTAACCTTTTTCCAGGAGGATGCGTTCGAGGAGGGAGTTCTTGTAACGCAACATTAAGCATTCGTCCGCGGCTGTGCGATGGTTCTGCTGCAGGGTCTGCAGGGTCTCTTCATTGTGCTTGATGGTCGACTCGAGTTGACGGATATACTCTGTACGACGTTCCCGAAAAGCGGCCTGGGCCTGTCGGTTGCGCTGCTTACGTTCCTCAGAGGTAGCATAGATCTGGCCAAAGTCAGTTTTTTTTTTCTTTTTTCTTTTTTTCTTTTTTCTTTTTTCTTGGACAAGATCCGGGATCAGATAAAGCACAAGATAGCGAAAAGCTCCAGGGCGATATGCAGGAATATGACAGGACGATAAGGATGATCAATAGGAATGATAAATGATAAACACGATACGATGCGGGGCCCCGGATTGAACAAAGGGGGGGGAGGGAAAATAAAAATAACAACCACAAAAGATAAGGGTAGCAAATAAGAAATGAGAATGAATAAATATAATATAAAAAGTAAAAGTAAAAGATAAAGATAAAGATAAACCCTTTATAAAAAAAAACATATAAAGAGCAAGGTAGGGATGGGGAGGGCAGGATCGATCTTACGTACAGGTTTTCTTCCACCTTTTCGTTTCTGTGTTTGAGCGACATCCGGTGTCAAGACCTCACCTTCAGGATCAGGCGTGGACACTGCGGAGCTGATCGAGCCTTCGAGCAGAGGTTCTGTTTTGGGGACGACCGGGTCCATGGCCATATCATTTTGAGTTGGATGGGAGGTCTCGACCATAGAGACCATTTGAGTCTAATGAAGGGGGAATAGTCTAGAGAGGGGGAAGATATTATTCCAGCTACCCCTCTCTCTCTCTCTCTCTCACACACACACACACACCCACCCACAAGTAGTCTTCTTTAATTTGCCCGTTTATCCCCCCTTTGCCGATGAGATGGAAACACCCCCCAGACCTAGCTGGGGTTGAATGATGAGAAGGATTTGTAAACAGAAAGCAGGAGGGGGGGGGGGGGGGGGAATAAGGAAAGAAAGAAAGAAAGAAGAAGAGAGAGAGGGAGAGAGCTAGTCCAAAGTGCCAACCACCACGATGATGATGCTGATGATGTTCTCTGGACGAATAATAGCCAGGCAACACAAGAAAAGGAATTTCCCCCCGGCGGGGTTAAAGGAAGAAATCAGACGCAAGAAACGCGCGGCTGGGCGGCAGAGAGGGACGTGCGAGGGGTAGACGAGGCAGCGAGAGATAGTGACATAAAGGAAACAGAGGAGAAGAAGCAGAGTCAGTTGGAGAATGAGAAGAAAGGGCGAGGAAGTGGTCGAGGGGGGAAGTTGTGAGGTAAAATTATTTACTAAGAAGAACAGGATTTTAATAAAGGAATAAAAAGGAAAAGAAAAAAGGAAAAGAAAAAAAAGGAAGAAAAAAAGGAAGAAAAAAAAAAAGGCAGAAAAAAAAAAAAATTCAAAGTTCTTCTCGTGGAGAATTCCAAACTTCCAATTTTTTTAGAGAGAGAGAGAGAGAGAGAGAGAGTTAGGAACTGCTTGCATCCAACTTAATTAAAACTGGGGATCTTTCTGGAAACAATTTCTTTCCCGTTTATTATTCTTCTTCTTTCTTGTTCATAATATTGGCTTTGTATTGACTCTCGAGTACCTAGCGAAGTATTCTGCTATTCTTCTTACCATCTCTTTACCTCAACCACCCATTCTTCATGATACTACGTACTAACCATACCCAGTACAAACAGACGAGAAACTGATCCTATTATATGTTGCTGACCGGAGAAAAGTCTTGAGTGAAGGGGGGGGGGTTTTTTTCTCTCTTTTCTTCTCGGGCACGGCACCTAGATCCACAATTCCCTTCTGCGTCCTCGAGGTTAACAGGCTACACAAAGTCAACCCTAACCCAAGATCCGCCTTAAAAGGCCAGGAAGGCGGGAGGCGTCGCTCGTTACTCGTCCGTTGAGGCCTCTGGTGGCCCGTCCGTCGCCGCCGAGTCGCCGACGCGGCGACGCCATCTGTTTCCCCATACAGACAACAGGTGGAGAGGTTATTAGAGCCACCGTGGGTTGGCCTTTGGAAACTACTCCATATTTTCTCCCTAGAACATGCCATATCCATATCTACATACCGGAGTGCATGAAGAGAATGGAAGGGGGGGTCAACCCGTTCTATTCATTCCCATTCGTTCCAGGAATCCGAGGAGGTATTCTCGTGCCAGCCTCCGAACCCAGGATGAGATGAGATGAGACGAGACAGGGTTACAGAGGTGTGACCTGCAAACCATCGAGGTGCGCCCCATCCGGTTAACTTGAACCGGGTTGTCTCCTGGAGCTTGAGGCTTGAGCCAACAGGGCGATCGAAAGGAATATATCCGCGGAGAAGTTGGCAGCTTCAGAGATTCTTTTTTTCTAGTTACACCTACACGATATACTAACTGTACTTTGTGGAGGGTAATATTGGATTCCACTCTGTACCAGAAGAAAAAGAAGAAGAAGAAGAAGAAGAAGAAGAAGAAGAAGAAGAAGTTCGGAAATACAAGCCTATTCGAGCATCGACTAAATTTCCTTCTTGAGCGATGAGCCTGTTCCACCTGGCCTGGTTCTCGGGTGACTGATTTAGTACACTCAAGCGTCAAGACAATGAGGATGGAAATCTGAGTCTTCTGACAATCACAGCTTCACCAAAAAAAAGGAATACCAGAAAAACCACCCAGGATGAAAAAGAAGAAAAATAATGCAAATGAATCCCTTTCTCTTGTTTCCTTTTTGCAAGTTCCAGCATATTTGGGATTCGGACGGACAGGATAGTATGATCGGCGAGCTCCGTCTGGGGAGAAGGAGAGCGTAGGAGAGCTCCGATGTGAAACCTCCTATACCGGAGAGGGATCCTGATGGTCTGATGTCTGTTGATGAACAGAATCATATCATCTTAATAACCTGGAAGAATCAGAATCAGAAAAGAGAATCAAGGTAACCAAGGTAACTATGGAGCATCGGGGTTGTAAGGTAATTAGTAGTTTCATTCATCCATTAACCTACAATTCTCATTCAGTCATGATTCATGATTCATTCTGGATGATTTCATCTAACGAGAGTTAACTACCTACCAACTTGATATCTTGAGGAAGCAAAATGTCCAACAACAATAACAACCGCGGCTTGTCGGTTCCTCCACTCTCTCTGTCAGTCTGTCTAGATTTGTTGCTTATTCAACATTCAATTCTCCGCCTTCACATGAATTTAGTCCTATCTTGTCCGTCCCAATAGCAGCAACCTTTTCTTCTCTCTCTCTCTGTGTCTCTCTCTTACTATTCTTACCCGCGAGACCCAGCCCTTGCATCTACAATTAGTGATTCCGTGATTCGGCCTCTCTCTCTCTCTCTCGGCTGTCACAGATCATGGCATCTTCAACATCGCCCGCGTTAACGGCAGAGCAGACTCAGTCTCAACCCAGTGTCCCAGGGACCGAAGAAAACAAGCAGGAAAAAGAACAGACTCCAGTTTCTACAACGCCAGCTCCACACCAACCAACCCCCGAAAACAAAGACGACGATGAATCAGACTTTGATGAGTTGGACGACGTCCTCGATGACTTCAAACCCAAACCGGCCGCCGGCGCCACCACCACCACCACCACCACCACCTCCTCCTCGTCCTCACTCCCACCAGTCGCCGCAGGCAGCGCGGATGAAATGGACGAAATCGCCTTCATGAGCCAGCTTGAAAAAGACATGGCCAACATGATGAGCCAGGCCGCGCAGCAATCCGGCAGAGCAGACAACGAGGGCTTCGAGAACGGAATCCACCAGGGCGCAGACGCATTCACGAAACAGCTCGAGGAGAGCGGGATCCCGCCGGGGGATTTTCTCAAGCAGCTTCTGGCCGATGTGATGGCCGAAGAGGCGGCCGCGAATGGCGGTGATTCGGGCGCTGCAGCGACAACGAGCACCGAATCCGAATCCGAATCTACATCTACGCCGAAGTCTGCAGCTGGCGCTGGCGCTGGCGCGCCACCCCCGGACTCCTTCAATGATGCCATCCAGCGAACCATCAACCGGATGAAAGAATCAGGGGACAAAGCCACCGCCGCCGCAGAGGAGGACAACGCCGATGACTTGATCGCGCAACTGCTCAAGGCCCTCGAAGCCGGCACGGACGGCGCCGCCGGAGACGACGAAGGGGACCTCACCAAGATGTTTATGGGGATGATGGAGCAGCTCTCGAATAAGGACATGCTGTACGAGCCGATGAAGGAGCTAGACACAAAGTTCGGTCCTTGGATCCAAGAAAACAAGGGCAAGGGCAACGTGTCCGAGGCGGATATGGCGAGGTACGAGGCCCAGGCGATCCTCGTCCGACAGATTGTGGCCAAGTTCGAGGAGAAGGGTTATACGGACGAGGATGCGAAATGTAGAGAGTACGTTTGGGAGAAGATGCAAGCGGTATGTTTTTTTTTTTTTTTTCCCTCTTGTTTCTTCGGTAGAATTAAGCAAAATCAACCCATACTGATGATCTTGATATTCGGAATGCAGATGCAAGCAGCTGGAAACCCGCCCGACGAACTCGTCGCTAATCCCTGGATGGATGATTTGAACAAAGGTGGTGTCCCCGACTGCCCGCAGCAATAACCACCACCACCACCACGTACACGGTAATACCTACCGACCTCCTACATATAGCACTGTTACTTGAACACGATTTAGGGCGGTTTATCAAAAGACTGCTTAAAGATTGTATTGAAATCCTTTCCTTATACTTCTTCCCGACACGACTTTGTACATACATATATATCCCTATCCTATCCTATCCTATCATACAGCGTGATACCCAGCCATCCACCTAATAATACCCGAAAAGTGAAAGTGAAAGTGAAAGCTTCTTTTTCCTACCACCTAGTAGAAGCATCGATCGAGAAAGTAATCTCCGTGGATTTTCAAACACTGCCATGACCGCCAGCGACCAAGAGCAGAACGAACAAACGAACAACCAGTATTTTATGCACGCAGGCAGGCAACAGGAAAAAAAATCCACTCCCCGAAACACGCCCCTCCTACCTACCTACCAAAAACAGCACCTTAAAGAGACATATCCATATCCATATTCTGGCTGGGCGGACTGTGGTCCGCCAAATCCATAAAGATATCATCGTACTCGTCATCGCTAAATGACGAGCTTGCCTGGCCTGGTGAGACCCCGGGATCCGGGAACTCCATTTCCAGGGCACGTTCTTGTTCGAGATACTCGTGTAGGGCTTGGATTTCCTCTTCATCTAAGACCTTGTTAGATACTCGCCAAAAAAAAAAAAAAAAAAAAAAGAAAAGAAAAAGGAAAAGGAAAAGGAAACTCACCAAATCCTTCTTCTACTGTTCCTTCTCCTCGCTCAGATTCGAATTCAGATTCAGATTCAGATTCAGATTCAGCCTCATGCACTCCGATCGCCTCGATTTCCGCCCGGCGCCGCATAGACTCGATCCACTTCCTCTGCTCCGCGAGATTCTCCATGAACATCAGGTGCTCGCCGCGGGGCTCGAACCGGCCGGCCTCGCGGTCCTGCTTTATGCGGGAGAGGAACGCGTTGCGGCGCGCGGTTCGGGCGGAGGGCGAGGAGGACGGGTTAGTACGAGGGCGTGTTCGGGGGGACTGGGACTGGGACTGGGACTGAGACTGAGACTGCGCGACGAAACGGTGCGAGATGGTATCTCTGTACCGCTGTTCGTAGGTGGATGAGGTTTTGGAGCGCGAGGAAAGAGTTTGATGGTCGGTTGGAGGTGCGCCCCCTGCGCTATTGGTGGGTGGTGGTTCGGTGTAGAATGTGAAGAGTGGCTGTGGTTGTGGTTGTGGTTGTAGGGGTGGAGGTGATGAAGCGTGGGTGTTTGGTTCTGTGGAATAGGCGGGGAGTCTGCGGGGGGACAGCGGGGATGGGCGTGCTGGTGTCCAAGGGGATGCATTGGACAGAGGGCGGAATTGCTGCATTGGAGGCAGCGCAGCGAACATGGTGGTGATTGAAGAGTGTTGTGTGGTGAAGTTGAGGGAGGATTTGATGGATGCGGCAAGTTCTTTTTTCTTTTTTTTTTTGATGAGGTGACGCGTGGAGTAGAGTTCAATCAAGAGATAGGCACATAAATCCTTTAGATAGTCGTCAAGTACATCAGGGTCTTAAAGTGATGATACTCCGTACATCGCAGTTGAAGTGGCTGGACAATCTTGATGGCGACAGAATCGCGAGTCGCGTCTTGAACGATGCAGGGATGACGCGGGGTCACGGGAGGCTAAACCAAAACAAGACATATCGCATTCCTGAGGCTGCAAGGCACCTTTACTCCACTCTCATCTATATACCTGGGTACATTCAGACTGTCATTCCACGTGCTTGCTATGCATCACAGATCACAAACAAGCTCGTATTCCGAATCATACGCGATTGTCGTCTGCGCGGTCGGTCCTGATTCCGTCGTAGCGGTCGTTGTAGAAGTAGTAGAAGGAAATGATTGGCAGTCAAGCTAGCCTTCCCCAAACTTTCAAGAGAAACAGAAACTCAAGAACTTGACGGGTTGCATAAGCTCACGGGTCGCCAGACTTGACTGGATGAATAGCATGGGTGTAGTTCGTGTTAATCAACCTCCGGCGGCGCTATGGCTATTCCATATTGTGCTTGGGGATTTCTTCCGCGCCTGACTGGGCTCAAGAGCGGGGGATAAAGGACACACACTTGGTCTTGCTTGTTGGAATCCCTGCTATGTCTGTCTTGCTACTTTTGCTTAGGCGCTTGATGGCGGCAACGTGGTAACACGTTAGCCGTGGGCTGTGGAATTACAGACAGGGGTTGGGGTGGGTGTTGTTATAATTATCACGGGTGGGATGATCCCACGTCAGACAATTTGATGATTATGAATCATCCCCGCTAGCAGCTAACTAGATGGTGAAACAAAGGAAGAAAAGTGCGGTGCTGAAGTATTTCTGTCGATTAAATACGTACATATGATCAAATGAATAAGATATGCTTTTCCGGCTGCAGTTATAAGGCCAGAGTGCCACTCCTGGCCGTGAGAATAGAAGAAAAGAAACAGAAAATACATAGCTCACAATATCTCAGAAAAGGCTGTGCGTCGAGCGGGGGAATCGAAGATTGGCGAACCAACCATGAATGCTAAAACAAAATCGCTAAAGGAGTGTGGTCTTGAAAAAGGAATGACAGGGGGTCTATAAGAGAAACGCGACTGGGGTGTAGAATGCTTGCTGAAATAGCAAGCCGAAAGTAGAAACGAAGTAGGAAAGAAAAGGAAAAAAAAAATAGATCGAATGATTCCTCGCCCCAAAGCGCCAATAACTGCGTGATAATCGTACAAACTTTACAAATTTGAAAAGTAGTATCTTTCTACCGAGATGTCATCTGCTCTTCCCTACTCACCGACGAAAAGGACGACGGAAGCAGGGAATTTGTGAGTATTTTCTTAGAACGCATAGGGGTCGACCGTCTGTCGCCCTTGGGTTAGACATGAACAACTCAGATTAAAAGTTCGAAGCAGCATTGACTGGCCCAGGGTTGTGATATTGATCCAGAGTGGTCCTGAAGGGGGTGCCACCGCTGGGGTTAGGTGCCTTCTCTCGGGCACCAGAACCCACAGCAGTGCCACTCATGAGATCGGCAACATCGTCGTTATCACGAGCATTGCGCTTGCGGGCCTGAAGTCTCCACGCGACCACACCGATGGCACCAAGCAAGATAGCACCACCGACGCCGACCACGACACCAATAATGATTCTCTTCTGGGAATCCGACAGGCCAGAGTCGCTGGAGCCATCAGCGCCGCTCAGGCCAGGAGACTCGGTGGCGCTTGCATCGGTGTGAGTGCTGGTAAAAGTGGTGGGGACCGGTGTGCCACTGATAATCTCGGTGCTTGTGATGGTCGTGACGAATGCAGTCGCGGTGGACTTGGTGCTAGTACTGGAGGTGCTGGTGGGTTCCGAAGCAGTCGAATGCGACGATGTCGTCGTGGTCGACGACTCTGAGGTTGTAGAGGGCACAGTGGTGGTGGTAGTAGAAGTAGTAGATTCTTCTTCTGAAGAAGAGGAGGAGCTGCTCGTGCTGGAGCTGGTGGTGCTAGCAGCCGTGGTAGTGGTAGTTGTCGGCTCCGCAGTGCTCGTTGTGCTAGTAATAGTCGACGTGGTGGTCGAGGACTGACTGTCCGTTGTGGAAACAGAAGTCGCAGAGCTGGTAGAGTCGGTCAAGTCGCTCAGGGCGTCGGAGACGGCTCTGCTTTGGCCCATGGCGACAGCCACGAGGGATAGAGAGTAGAGTAAGAACGAAAGGCCTGAAAGACGCATGATGGGCTCGTGAAAGGCTACGAATCCTGGTCTGAATATGGAGCGATCGAGGCTTCCAGAGCCAGGATAATAGAAGTGGTCAAGGCGAAAGAATCTGGTGTGAACCTGAGGCTGACGGGATGCCCAACTCGTGACAGCTCAGGAGTAATCTTCGGGACGAGGGCGGGGGATTATTTCCAGTACGGTTGTCAGGGGAGAGCAGGAGGGGATGAACGAGTGACCACTACTCCGTACCGTGATGAAAAACGGGGGAGAAAGTAATTAGAAGGAAAAAATGGGTTGATATCGAGGAAACGACAGTGAGAGGAGAAAAGAGAGAGAGGGAGAGAGGGAGAAAGAGAGGGAAAAGACCAAGTGAGATAGAGAGAATGAAAAAGGACTGACTGGGGAAAAACCCTGAGGCATCCTTTTGCTCGACTCTTACTGGTTCCTCTGGGGGGCGAGAGCGCTAACTGAATTAGGCACATATGGTATTCCCTCCGTAACAGGTACCTAGCCTACCTACCTAGACACAGTAGTACCGTAGTACCTACGTACTATCCATGGATGTAAATTACATTTTCTCTTTTTATTTCTAGTTATTCTCCATTTCCTACTCTGGTACACCTTACCCAAGTTCAAACGGGCGGATTCCGGTAGAAATAAACCACGGGTCCAAGGGTGGTCAGCCTCTCCAGACTCAGGAGACAAAGCAGCCACTCATTCTGCGTCGTGTGAGACAGGGGCGGGATTTCTTTCTAGTTTCTACTAATAATACCTGAATAATACAAAGTCGGACGCCTGACCACCGAGACAATTTCCTGCCTCCCCGGTATTATGGAGAATTTTCTCTCCCTCCACTTCCAATAATCGAAGATCTTAAACGGGATCCGAATTATTTATGGAACTCCCTGAAATCCCGCGGTACTATTTTCGGTATATTCCAAGGAACTAACTTGTCCCTGTTCCATGTCACACTTCAAAGGGGTACTTATGTAACCCTTGGATACCTCACCAGAACAACGCACGAGATAGAGAATGTGCCAGTGGAATCTGTGCAGGTTCGTGTAATAATTATTCTAATTCGGATTATTATTTGGATTGGGACGCGAATAATTCTGCATTCAGGTACGCGCGCGCTACCGAGTACAATCTTGAATCAGGTATCCGAGATTTCCACTTGATCCGGGTGTGCCGACCCAACACTATGTAACGGGACATGTCAATCCTCGACCTTAGGTACCATATACATAGTAATTATAATCATACTCTAGGTAATCATAATTTCCTAGCAGGTACCTAGGGTAAAGCAAACAATAACTTAGTAGTAGCACCCTTCAAATTCTTCACAATCTCCGACCAAGCCGTGTCTCGAGGCCCCATTCCTCCCTGGCCTCTCCCATACTGTCCCTTCTCTGGAGTGACGAGTCTATACAGAGTACGTGACCCATTCCGATGCCCGGCTGGTCCATTAGGCTTTAGCTACCTAAGGTCTTACGCTACGGAGCAGTCCTGTCCAGTCGTATCCACCATCCACGCTGGCTCCATCGAATGATCGGCAAATAGACGCCAGGGCCGAGACACCTGTATTGAAATTCCCATACTCCGTAGGCTTTGTGGGCTCGTGGCTGGCTATTACAAGGATGTCGAGAGTTGCGGAACGTTCATCTTTTTGGGTGAGATTTCTTTGTTGGGTGTTTATTGGACGAATATACTTTCTTTCTTTGTCTTTCTATGTATCCACTGGTAAGTGTTGCTGAAATTCCAGGTTATCCGGCTGTATGGAGAATTAGCCGGTACTCAATACTTACTTGCCCCTTTGACCTTGGGCACATTTAAGCAGTTAGGGGTCAAATTTCAACGGAAGTATAATAATGCGGCCTTGGTTGTTTTAGCAACGCATAGCGCCGGATCCCTAGAGATTGCCGGGCCTATCTAATGAGGTACTGTACATTAAGTGGTTGGTTGCATTTCACAAATGCACAATACTCCGTACAGTCCTGTGCCTACTATTTACAGTACTTTTGCCTATTTCTCTTCGAACCCCACTAGGTATCTCGAACGGAGTGTTCGCAACCACCGAAATGAACAACTAGATGCCAAAATTCAGGTGTACGGAGTAGACCCGGGCCTGACCTGAACCGAGCGTAGTTCCACGTGCCAAGTATCTCGTCTCCAGCCGCCGAGGTAGATATCGACAAGGGAAGGACGAGAGCCAGGTCGAGAGCTATACAGATGGGCATCGTAGAGCACGATATTTCGTCATCGTATGGTATTCGAAAGGAAGGGCGGTCAACTTTGGTGATCGTGACATATTCAAGGAGTCAAGAATTCTCATCAAAGACGCTAGAGTTTATTTGGCGGCTTCCCTTTGAACTGGTCTTTGATTTCTTCCCTGAAGTACTCTAGAAACCGCTTTATTCCGGGACCTGAAGACAACAGGCGAGATCAGCATCATGCCAACACCCCCACTTCCAAGTTCCAAAGAAAGAATAGAATGTGTACCGTTATTCTCCAGCTTGGTACCTCCCATTTCCTCTGGAGGTACTCCGTGTCTTATGTGTTGGACCTTCCGATGAACTCTCCCAACCAGGCGATGAAACGTCGGGCTACCCAGCAGCTGGACGTGGAGGAATATTAGCATCGAGAGGAAGAATGCGGAAAATGCAAAACGCGTACCCTGGCAGTCAGCCAGACCTAATTAATTGAGTTGCCCATTAGTATAGGTACTTGGTTACAAAAACGGTCGAGTTACCTCAAAGGCCCGTAATCCAAACCATCGGAGAACCATCTTGGGATGGAATCAATAGTTCCCTCAGACTATTGTGCCGTTGGAGGAAAATCATCATCAGGGAAGGTTTTCAGTCAAGCATTTTGTCAGCAGCAGGTCTTGAGGGTCTATGGGCCAATCAGCAATGGGAACAACGGGTAAAATACCTCCTCGATGTCAGTGCTCAAGTGGGATGTATCCAGGAGGTTAGTTATATCTATGTTGACAGTTGAGCCAGGAATTGAAGGTACCTAGATACCTAGGTAGTCTGTTAGATCAAGCCTTAATCCTGACCAACTCTTTAAAAGGAGAATTTCCAAGATTGCCCGATTATGTAGTTCGTTACCGACATCTATTTTCGATCCCACTGATAATCTCGATCACGATAATCAACCTGAGGTTCTGAGTTAATTAATGCTACTAGTTAGTGTACAATTTTCTGATCCTGGAGGATAATTATTTCTCTCTCTTCTAGCAACTTCTGCTCCTTCTTCGCGCCTTTCTTCTTTCTCCTTTTGCTCAGCATCCTGAACCCTCCCAATACCTAGGTAATCTTTCCCCCTCCGAGGTAAAACTTGCCGCCACGTCTCAGCAAGGTGGGGGAGATTGCATCTTTCTAGAACTGTCGCGTGCGGCTTGGGGAAAAGATATATAGGAAAGTCCCATAATTTCGCGAGGGGTAAATTCTTTCATTCCTCTTTTTTTCTTTCCCTTCCTGCAACGAACGCGTTCCCTGCCTGCCGATCTCGCGGACTTGCCCAAGTGCTTCGCGGCAGCCATAATTACAACAATACGACCACTATTCAGACCTCTGATTCAACGAGTGGATTTGGTTCCCGTGGGATCTAAAAATCTGGCCAAGCAAATCTCGCGGAGGAGCAGCTTCCATAGCTGTCTCGATCTCTCCACGCTACAGATATCATCGTTGCCACCCCTTCAAAACCGCGCCTCTATCGATCCGTCTGACACTTCTGAGGGGAATATTTACGCCATTCCCACCTCCCGCTCTCTGTCCCCCGATCCTCCTAGTTTTCGCAGCGACTCTGCAAAGCTTAAATCGACTAGGAGACGGGTTTCCAAAAAGGCGCGCGGCGTCCTGGGTAAGGTTCGTGCCTTCCAGAGGATCGCTGCGGCCAAGATGGCGCATCCTACCATCAAGATCGACACGAATATCCTGTCGACCAAGCGCTCGCATCCGGAGGACAACGAGGACGGTGCTGAAATTATAGATGGGCCGGAGAATGATAACCCCGCACTGGAAGCCGGAGATAATGAATGCATCCCGCCCTTTCTTTGTCAGTCAGTTTTAGGTGGGTTTTTCGTTCCCTACTTTTCGAGAGCCTAGCTCATTTCTTATCACTTCGGTCCATGGGCTAATATTCGAACTATTCTATCAGAAATCCATCAGAAATTTGAAGACCTCGAATGGATGCAGCGAACACGAATCGCGGAAGGCATCCAGGCAAACGACCCCTCCCATCGTTGGGCGTTGGAGGGGGACCCCGAGGTCAAGGCTAGGAATCGATACGGGAATGTTCAAGCATGGGCAAATTCTCGCATTCACCTCCGGGTTCCTGAGGGTGAATGCGATTTCATCAACGCATCGCCTATAGTTCTCAAGGATTCGGTTTCTCTGGAGGAGCGGAGGTACATTGCGACCCAGGTAAGCGCCGGAGAGTTGACTTGAGAAAAGCACTGCTAAATTAGTGACAGGGACCTAAGATTGATAATATCTCTCACTTCTGGCATATGGTGTTCCATGAAAGCGAGGATGTTGGGGTTGTTGTTATGTTAACGCAGACGATTGAATCCGGTCGGGAAAAGTGCTCCCAGTATTTCCCACTTGACCTTGACAACCCTACGGTGCTTCTGCGGAGGGATGATAATGACCCATTTGTGGATGAAGATGAGCATCAGCATGGGGATGAAGACTTTCTTGGTCACCTGACACTCTTGGAGTGTACTTGGAATGCAGAGTCGAGATCCGAGATCCGAAAACTTGAGCTTACTCTAGGCGAGGAATCGAAGATCGTGTGGCATTTTCTCTTTGCGGGCTGGGCAGACTATTCCAAGCCTGTGGGTGAGGACCGCGACGCACTCCTCCAGTTGATCAAGTTGTCAGGGTCGAAATGCTCATTGCAGAACCCACGGATTGTACATTGTAGCGCTGGGGTTGGGCGAACCGGTACCTTTATCGCCCTTGACTATCTCTTGCAGGAGCTCGAGACCGGCGAATTACTGAAAGCTAGCGACCCAGAAACAGACCCTGTTTTTGAGACCGTCAACCAACTGCGTGAACAAAGAATGATGATGGTTTACAACGAGATGCAGCTCATTTTCATTTACGAAGTCCTGCGAGAGCAGACTGATGCCAAAATGGAAAGGGCCATATATGGTATTGCCCGGCGCCCATCGGAGACGAGGTCTGCAAAGATCGCCAAGCTTTCCAATGACTCCTACTTACCCGCCTACAAACCAGAGCTAGAAGCCGCAGAGGACCACCAGCCCAGCACCCCTATGAGAAGCAGTTCCGGAACCCCAGAAGTGTCCGATGATGAGTGAAACCTTCTGTCTCGGCTCGTTGCTGGTAATAGCTGATAGCTTGTTTATATTTATCGCCTAATGCCCTTTCTTGACACGCGGCTTGCATTCGGTCTCTCCTTTCTAATATCAATTCTCATGACTGCCCACGAGTTCTGATTTGCATACACTTTCATGTCTTGATTTTTCTTTTTGCGCGAACTTGCATACCGACTTGACCTACCTGTTCAGATCTGAGTTTCAATTTTAGTTTTATGATGGTTCGCTGCGCTTCTATTCAGAACATTGCCAATGTCTGTCTATTGTGTCTTTATTTACCATTGACTACCCTGTTGCAAGTTTCCGATGACGGCTCCAGGAGTGAGCCCCTTTATTTTCTTCTCTTTTGCTTTGGCTCCTCCGATAAGCCTAGATATGTTTTTACCATATTCTTTTTTACTTCTTGCATGTTATTTATTTTAGCTGTTCCTTCCTAGCATTAGAACTGGTGTATATCATACTTGATTTCGAACTTGGGATGGAATAAGCGATTATATCTATTTGTACCTTGTAGGGCTACTTGAACCTTGTTTTTTGCGTAGCTTGTATTACAAGACTTGGTTGTTTTCATTCATTGACCCTAGGGGTTGTATATAGAGAGATCCAAATTACAGGGCAGATATTGAGATATATATATATATATATATATATATATATATAATATTTAGGACGACTACCACCATTCGCGCCTAAGGCAAAACTCCTTTTTCAGTCCTATTTACACGCTAGAAACGAATCCAAGAAAGAATAAAAGAAAGAGAGACAGCGAGAGAAAAAGATACAGAATGTAGGTATACATATGAGCTCAATCGGATGCGTGCCGTGCCGTGCCACAACACAACATATTTCCTGGAAATCCAGTGCTGGGTTCATATCCGACGTAGCGTTTTTCTCTCATTTTGCCAAGGTCATGGTGGAGTTATAGTAGGGGAAACTCAGTAAGCGTGTAGAGAGAGAGAGAGGAGAGACCAAAATATCATAACTAGAACGAGTCGTGAGCAATCATGGCAACGTTACAGTAACATATCAGGTCAAAGCATAGAACCACCGAGCCTGGGGTCTCCAAAGTGAAGTGGCGGGATAACGGCGGTAACTGAATGAGGCAGAAAGGATAGAACGGATCAAACGATTTAATCACTCCTCTTCCCTCCCTCGACTCGATCACCCTTAAACGGGGAAGAAGTAGCCTTCTGGTCCTCGCGATCCGCCGCTGTAGTCCCCGTCAGAATGCTTGGATCGTCCCCATCCTCTGTATCCCAGTTATCGATGGCGTTCTCGTCCCAGTTGTCCACCTCCTGCTCGAGGTTTACGACGCCGGACTCCTGTGAGCCCAGTCCATCGCCGTCATGATGGTGGCCTGGTCCCATGCCTAGCTCGACGTCGTCGTCCTCTGCGCCGGACCCGTCGCCGAGAGCCCCGAAGCGGGACTTCCGGCGTCGCTCTAGCATGCGCCGGTGGTACCAGCTACACAGACCGACTGCGCCGAGGCTACCGACGATGTTGGCAAGGAGGTCGAACGGGTCGAATGACCGGCCATTGGGGAGGAGACCCTGTAGGATTTCGGATCCAACGCCGAGAACGAGCGTGCAGACGATGAGGGTGAGGTGGAGGGTGCGTCGGCGAGAGGTGTCTGGGATCCAGTAGAAGACGAGGGATATCAGGAAGAAGGTGACCAGGTGCAGAAGCTTGTCATTGGGTTGTAGTCGGGCTGGTACGGAGGAGGATTCGCTGTGGGGTAGGAGACCGATATAGGCGGCGAGAATGAGGAGGACGACGAAAGTACCTAGAAACCAGGATAGTCAGTAAGTAGCCAGCGCTTGGGGAGAGTATATGGGCCATGGTGGTCAGGTAACTAACAACTACAAATGGGATGCGATCGAAGAAGGAGGAACGAAGACAGAACGGAAAGCAAGGTAGAGGAACATACCGGCGAAAGGATAGCGGATTCGCATGGTGGAAATGAGCAATGTAGACGGGTGTAGTCAACCGATGAGACGGAGGATAATATGAAGCTGTGGCAGACGACAAGATCGGATGGATGTTGGCTCACGTCATGTGAATTTATGGAGATTCATATTCAGGCTCCCATAAAGGAAGTCCATCACCCATCACCCATCAATTCTAGGAGAGATTTTACGGAATTGGATCTTATTCTATTCTATTCTTTTTTTTTTTTTGAATTTTCTTTTCTTTCTCATCCCACGTTTGCTATGATCACGAAAGCATATTGAATCTTTTCCAGGTACTCGGAGTCAAAACTGCACGGTTGGTCTGTAACTGCGGCCACCGTTCCTCACGGGTTGACCTGACTTCACCTCGTCCGTTCGCGCAGAGAACCTTGGACAAAACTCCCCATCTTTGCCATCCGAATCCCCCCCCATTTCATCTCTTTTGGCCCAGGAGACATCTTCCCTCGTTTACTTGCTCTCCGTACTTTGTCTCTATGTATTTTTTAGCCACCCAAACACCCCAGTTATCCCCTGTCCGAACCTGATTATAACCGTGGAGAAACGAGCCCCCCTCGCCCGCCCCAGGACCGGGGTTTTGGAGCGAGCATGTCGCTCGGACACCACCACGCCTGGCTCCCTCCAGGTCATCTACGCCCTCCCGACGATCTACTTGATGCGCGGTCGGTCAATGGCTATTCAAAATCATTTTCTGGCTCTAAGACGCCTCAAATGCGCCGCTCTGTCGACGCCGACGGCCCTCACGCGGGCAATTTGATATCGGAGGCCGATCTTGCGGCGGATGAGGACCCACGCATTGCCCTATTCCGCGATCTATATAAACGCAGTGAGGCGAAAATAAACGGCCTATTTTCTGGGGAAAAACTCACAGATGATACTGCCGGTGCGGCTGTCGCTGGTGCTGATGAGCCCCATGTCAAAGACGAACGCGCCGACGAAGCGACTTCCCCCCCGCCCCCTGTTAAGAAACCTGCGAGAAAGCTAGATGACGACGATTACGATGACTACGATGACGATGACGATGATGATGAAGCTGAAGCTGAAGCTCCGTCACCCCCGAAATCGAAGACTGTCGGCCTTTTTCAGCAAGCCAGTGCCATCCCGTCGCCAGGTCGTCCTCAACGCGGATCAATCTCCGGGGGCCCAGACAACTCCAAGGAAATAAAGAAAGAGACTCTTGAAGATATCCGAAAGAAATTAGAAGAAGATAAGAAGGCGACAGAGGAGGCGGCCAAGAGAAGTTTTCATACTCTGTTTTACACCCTGGAGAACGATAGAGATGCGATGTTGGACCAGCAACGGCTGGAAGAGTCTGAGAGACAAGTCGAAGCCGAAATGTCAGGCCAGGTGAATGCTGGCAATCACTCAGCTGCGGGCTCAAACGGGTATGGCTCGCTGAGCAACGCGAACCTCGGCGCGTCAAGCTTGACCCTGAAGAACCTGATAGCAAGAATTGATATGAAGCGCACAATGGTCCAAGCTTCTGATGCGGAACTCCGTAGCCTAATGAGTGAAGTTCGCAAGAACCGAAGCAAATGGGCTAGCGAGGACAAGATTGGCCAAGAGGAACTTTACGAAGCAGCGGAGAAAGTATTGAGTGAGCTCAAAGCGATGACAGAGCATTCTACTGCTTTCCTGACTCGTGTCAACAAGCGTGATGCACCCGACTACTATGCAAGTAAGGATAACCCTGCACTAATCGCGACGTCCCAATATGTCGATCCTTTCTTTTTTTTTTTTTTTTTTTAGAAGGTTACTAATTCTGCCACTAGTCATCAAACATCCCATGGATCTCGGAACAATGACGAAGAAGCTGAAGGCTCTCCAATATAAGTCGAAGCAGGAGTTTGTGGATGATATTAACTTGATCTGGGCCAACTGCTTCAAGTACAACACAACCCAAGATCACTTCCTCCGAAAACACGCCATATACATGAAAAAGGAGACTGAAAAGCTTGTCCCCCTGATTCCGGAAATTGTTATTAGAGATCGAGCCGAAGTCGAGGCAGAAGAACGAAAACTTCAGCTTGCTGAGCTTGACGGCGGGGAAGAGAGTGATGATGAGCCGATTATGTCCTCTAGAGGCAGAAAAGCCCCTGGAAAATCATCTAAGAAAGGCGCCGCACCGGTTCGAAATACCCCTAGCGGGTCTGAGCCTCCTACTGGCACCGCTTCGCAACCTTCGATGCCTGTACGTTCAGACTCCGATCTTCCCATGGATGGGACTCAGAATGGGTTTGCAACTCCACCCCCTGGAACACAAACGCCGTCCGATCCTGCCGGAATCGGTGGCGTTCCGGGCGGACAGGGTGATAGCATGGAAATTGATGGACTCGGAGCGCCGACTGTCGCACTTAGCGCACTGCCTGGTCCCGGCATAGAATTTGCAGACCCCGAGTACAAGGTTTGGAAGCAGGTCACGAAGAAAGATCGAGCTCTCATCGCTGCAGAGAGACACCGCCTCTTCAAAGGTGACAAGATCAACTCCGACGAGCCCGCTCTACTCAGAACCAAGGCTGGTATGAGAAGGTGGCTGAGGAATCAGAAACAAATCAGCACAGAAGGTGATAAATCCAATGAGTCAGGAGCGCAAAATATGGAACCTGATACTGCCGCGGAAACATTGGCAGAAGGTATCGAGGTCGAGGAGGACAAAGTCATCCCAGATTATTATGACGTGATGTCCGGTATTCCTGATCTCCCCGCCCACTTGCACTGGAGGGAAGATTCTGAGGGGCATATTGTGGATGCCTCTGAAGAATTCTTGAGAGTTCTACCGAAAGGATTGTTTACTCAGCCAGATAGTAAACTTTCCCGGAAGATGGACGCAAACATGAGGCAGATGCAGGAAACACGGAAAATTTGCTCGAAAGTTGGTATTGTGAAACAGATGCAATTACAGTCGCAGGTAAGTGTTGCAACGCCCAGGTGACTTCTATCTACATGTCCTAATTTATTGCAGATGTACCAGAATCAATTCCAGAAATACCAGCCGGAACCTTTCCTCGAGCAAGATGTCCAACCACACGTCCTGAACGATGAAGGGCCTGTAATTGCTCCTTGGGTTTGCAAGGCTGCGCTGCAGCGCTCGGTGGCCAAGGTTTTCTATCATACCGGGTTCGAGGAGTATCAGCCTTCAGCTCTTGATGCTGCCACAGATATGGCTTCAGACTTTTTTCAGAAGATTGGTGAAACCTTAAAATCATACATGGAATCGCCCAAAGTCCCAGCTACTGGGCCTATGGAAACTACGTCGTCATCTCAGTGGAAGCAAGCCTATACCGAGCCCGAGATTGTACTTCATACATTATCTTCAGTTGGTATTGATGTTGAGGGTCTTGAGTCCTACATCAAAGACGATGTCGAACGACTTGGTACAAAACTGGCAACTGCGCATGAACGCCTTCGTTCGCTGCTCTCTGAACTTTTGCGTCCCGCACTTGCCGATGGCGGTGAAGATGGCTCTAATGCCTTTGCAGATGGCAGTGAGCAATTCGTTGGTGGTGACTTCGCAGAAGATATAGATGAAGATTTCTTTGGGTTCAAGGAGCTAGGGCTGGATAAAGAATTCGGGTTGGCCACACTCAGCGTTCCATTGCATCTGCTTCAAAACAGGATGTACAACGCGGCCCAGGCCCAGAATACAAGGTGAGTTACCTAGCTGTTCAAAAGGAGTACCGAATGCTGACCAATTTGTAGCGCCTCTCAATCTGTAACACTCTTTCCTCCTCCCCCCGCATATCCACGTATCACATCCGAAACCATTTCCTCGCAAATTGGCCTGGCGCAAGCCTTCTTCCATGCCAAATTACAAGCACACAACAACGAGCCGTTGGTGGAGGATCTTGAATTGCCACCGAAGCAAAGACTAATGGCTACTCGGCCGCGTCTTCCTGCATCTGGAAAGATTCCACCTCCTTCTGGTCTCCCGGGACCCACTTCAAGTCCTCAAAAACGGCCACTACCACCATCTGCTTCTGCGTCTAATGCTAATAAAGCTGGAGCCCCTGAACCTAGCAAGAAGAAGATCAAAAAGAACAGTGGAGCAGCAACGGGAGTCGCTGACTCTGTTGGCGAAGAGGATGGCGTTGCTGGCCGTGATGGCGCGAAGGCTTTGAATCCGATCTTGGCCAATATGAAAGCCAATGTGGCTACCGATGACGCTTCTGGAACATCAGTCACAGAATTCAGCAGCATCAAGAGTGGCGCGGGAAATTCTGCTGTGTCGGATGCTCCTGGCGCTGACAGTAGCGGTCCGACAACCACCTCCAACGCTGACCAGAAGACCAATGACAGTACTTTACCCCTAACCAACGGGACTGTGGGGGATGCATCATGATTTATGATCATTGTGTGGGCTCTTCGATATTTGATACCCAGGGCTTTTTGGTGAGCAAGAACTGGCGCTTCCTGGATTGCTTCAGAAGCATTGTGTGCTCCTGTTGGAACTGTAGAACTTGGCGTGGTTAACCCGTTCTTTCAATTATTGTTTTCATCCATTTTCCATGTTCTTTTTTATTTTATCATTTCTTAGATTTTTTTTTTTTTCCGGACGTGGGTTGTGCGATACAATCTGGCTAGAGAGGGCTGGTTCATCTTTTATGTTTCCGGAACCTGGATTTGAGCACCCACAAAGGAAAGACAATGGTCTTGAAAAACGACCCAACTTCTTTCTTTTTCTCTCTTGATATTGGCATTCAACGATAACCTGGATTCCCTGGGAACTGGCGGCATCTATTTATCTATTATTCTCTTCTGCCTTGATTCCTCCTCACATGATTACTTCTTCTCCTTCTATCTTCTTCCTTGTCTTTTTGACCTCCTCAATCTTTCTCTCTCTCTCTCTCTCTCTCTCTTCCTCCCTTGATATTACTTGCATTCTGGATTCTCGAATAAAGGCCCCGGGCGACTCCCGTGGAAGCGAGGCGAGCAGTCAGCTAGGTGGACGGGGATCAGCGCTACTACAGACAGTGTCACCCAGCATGGCATAATTCTGATATTCCTTCCCATACCAGCCGATCTTAATCATATCCTTCCTATTTTTGTATTCTAATTCCTGTCCTTGATAATTCACATCTGGTATTAATGTCTATCACCACTATTGACTCTCTCTCTCCCAACCAAACCCCTTGCTTCCTCCCATTGCGCAATAGTCAGAACAACCAATCGCAAAGGGAATAAAACCAAGGGATCAATGAATAAACAAGCAAGCTACTTTTTCATATAACTTGGAGTTCTACATATAAGATGATATCAAGCCACTTCAACTCCTGGACTTGTTAACGCATGGGTTTGAAATAATTGTCACCTGTTTATTTATCTATAGTTACTTAGGTTTGTTACAGGGCTGACTAACCAACCATACAAGTTTAGTTAACTAAAAGCCCTATGTTTCTAATGTTATAACTTTGCGCCATCGGAGTAAAAGACAATCGAGTGGTATTGGCCTATGCTAAGTACAAATTAAAATATGGCCTGCGACTTCCCAATCACGTAGTTCCATCTACTTCCAGAGTAAGTCAGATCCCGTGGACCAGTCCATCGCTAGCCTGAATTTTGTATTTAATGTGCATGGCTGTCAAAGCTATGAGCCTAGAAGTTAGACTGCGCAAAAAAGAGCAGAAAGAAGAGGAGAGCTTTGAAAGTAGCCTTCCAACCCATGTACTAGACATAGATTTGTTTGAAGAGGCCCTTGATACTCTAAATGTACCACATGCTGAAGGGCAACCGGTTTGATGTCCCGTGAATAGGCAGAAGCCTGGGATCGATTGGCTTGTTCTTAGGCTTAGGGTTGGTGAGTTTGATCTCTGGCCCGCTCTGAGGACCGGAGCTAGCCGGGGCATCATCATGATGTCGCGCACGGGTTGCGATAAGATGAGCGTAATAGACCGCGGGGACTGTAGAGTTCCAAATTAGTATGCAAGTCCTTGACAAGGGAATCTATTGGTACTCACATAGAGAAACCGAAGTCGTCGACCGCATGTATTGATAACAGTGGTCGTAAACCAAGTTCTCCAATTCTTGAGGACGATGTTTGATTTGGTCGAGGATCACATGATAGTGAACAGGACGAGATGTTCCCTGAAGGGCGATATGCGAATACAATAAGAAGTCCCAGTCATGGGGACTGGTAACATCTCTTTCGATTAGGGTACCCGGAAGAGGGTTGCCGTTCTTGTCTGCTGAGTTGCGATCGCCAGGCTTTGGGAACGCACGGAGATGGTGACGTTTGTTAGCTATGACAACAGTGAATTTTCCTTTCCATAGGTTATTGGTCAAATTCATAAAGATTGACTTCATATCAAAGACTTCCTGGTTAAGGACGTGTTCGAACTGTCCTGTGGACACTCCATCGCGGAAGTAGTACACGTGCTCAGGAGCACGGCCACCACCGACCGTTGACATCCACTCGCGGATCAAAGGAGTCAGGATGACCTCAATATTTGCTCGTGCTATGATCTCCACACGATCTCCATTTGCCTCACAGGCTCCCCAGTAGCGTCCGCCAAAGGTATCCATGCAAACCGACATTGCTGCCAGCGAAGGCAGCCAGACGCCGTGGGGCGCATGGGAGACGTCAGCGCCGATAATCATCGATCCGGGTCTTAACGCTGCTTCGTTGACTTTAGGAATGGCCCGAGCCGTGGTTCCTCCGAGCTTTGCGTTGACTTTCATCAAGACATTGGAAACGTACTGAGGATTTGCTTTGGCTACATGTGCCGACTGCAACACCTGGGAAGGCACTCCCCAACGACAGTCGCATGATTTCTTGATGCGAGAGTAGGTAAAGGAGTTTTTGTCTGTAACGATGACAACGAGCAATTGGGGATCCTTCTGGAACTTCACTCCGGTGGAGTTGTACAGTGTCTTAATGGCTTCGCCCACATCCTCCTTTAATTCGACAACAAGAGGGCGTCGCACCACATTACCTCCGTGTCCAGAGTATCCTTTCATTAAAGCGTCACAGAATGCTTCCACCTGAGTACGGTTTATCGCATTGCGCTTTCCGGGAAAATAGCCGACACCCCAGCAATCGAGAGGCCTTTTGTTTGGTTGATAAAACTTCTTTCCTCTTAAATCCCAGCGCCCATTTGTGCCAGGGTTGCAACGCTGGTTTGCGCCAAACTGAATATCGGGGGCTGGTAGCAGACGGGCTTTTGTACGGATCATATTGCTGTCAACCTGCAAACCGAAGGTTTGAAGCACGGGATCGTTGGAGTGATCAAGCATTTTCTTCGAGTTCTGAATTGAATTCAGGCGATCCGCTGGCCGGGACGCAGCATACTTAATCATCTGAGAAGTTTGGTACTCGTTCAGTTTCCACAAATACCGGTGAAGGCCATGGATTGTTAAAAATTCCATGGGATAAACGACACCTTTTTTCGTCATTTCAACCATCGGAAGCTCCCATAAGCTGATGACGATATTGTACTTCTTCTTGAAGTAGCCTTCAACGCTAAGTCTCTGCGTAGCTCCGGTGGCAGGATCTTTAATATCGAGCATGTAGTTTTTGGCATTGCAGTTGATGAGACCCTTGATAATGAAGTTCGTTCCAAGAACCGGGCAGCCGCGGTAATGTGGCTGCACCTGGAGCTTTTTGATACGCCGATGTACTTCGAAGAAGGCAGACGATTCAGTGGTACCCCCATGACCATCCGATACGGGTTTCAAAAGATGAGTTAAGTGCTGATGGTCTCGGCAGTCCAGAACGGCCATTGCTGCACCCACGAGGGACGTGCGAGCCCAAAAGCACGTATTGGAGACATCCACATTGACTATAAGACCGCGGTTCTGGAAAAAAAAAAAAAAAAGCTTAACCTGATGAGTTTGGAGAAGTGATGAAGGAATTGACTTACAAGGGCAGGGCGAATGGCCTGGTACACGCCTTTGAAAGCCAATACGCCATTTCCGATATCCCTGTATTCGCCATTTTCATCGAAGAACGAGCGTTTGATAGCGAGAAATTTCCCACTTGGGAATTCTCGGAGAACATGATCTAGGAAATCTGGGACGGTCAATATACACATCAAGCCTAGGACAATCAAGAAGACTAACTCAAAGCTTCCAAAACAGTTTCTTGCATGGATACTTTCCCGTGAAGCCAGCTGTTTAGAGCAGCCAGATTGACAGTCTTCGTTCGACGAACCACCAGACGGAACGCGTTTGGTATTTTACCAGCAGGGCGGCCTTGCTCGGCATCTAGGTCAACCATGATGTTGAGTCCATTGCTGTACTCAATGAGAGACCTGCCTCTGGTAAGTATGTGTTTGGAAAGCTAGCCTTTGGGTACTTACCAAGCCAGCTTTTGTCCGTCAAAGATGATCTGCTTGAGCTTTGACTTTCTGGCCATCGAATTCCACACTTTTTTGACCACACCACTCTTCTCCACGCCATTTCCGATATGGACCTAGATTGAGTCAACAACATGAACTCCTGTAGATAACTGAAGTAGGCTCAAGGAGAGGCACTCACGTCATATTGATAAACTTTTTGGCTAGGGTACTTGGTGATGGCGTAGGCATTCAGCTGAAGTTCGATTTCTTTCCCGGTAGCATTGAAGCCATTACGAGGAACAGTCGCAACTGGAACTGCATACTTTACCAATTCGTCAGCATCACGAAATCGAAGGTGCCGAAGCCCACCAGGGAGGCTGTTGATCTGATCAAGGTTTTCCATGATAACAAAGAGGAAAGGAAATAGGGGTACAGAGGAGGGTGCAAGTAAGATTATTATGACAATTGATCAAGTAATTCCGCTTGACAGTGTTGGAAAACGGAAGATGGAATAGCAGAGCTGGGAGCCAGGGGAGGGTATGAAGATAAATATGAAGAAATCTCCCATATGTATGGGGTTTTCGGGCAGAACTCCAGTCCATTCAAACAACAATAAGACAAACATAATGAATATCGGCTTTCTGCATCAATGAAACCCAGGTGAATTTCCATAGGCTATGATGATGCTTTTTTAATTGATGACCAGAGTGAATGTGGGTGGGAATACAAAAGAATGGAACATCAAGAAAGCAAAATTCAAGAAGCAAAATAGATTAGAGATATGAGAGGTAGAGGTTAATGAGCTGAATAGAATAAGGGAATCACAACTTGCAGTTAATGGAAAGAGGAAGCGTAAACACAGACATACCAGATGATTCATAGAATACGCCCCAAAAGGAAGGTCAACGTTTCGGCACATATCGGTGATCAGCTTAGCCTTATCCAAAGCTGGATCCCCGACTGATCCAGGACCAGGTTTCGCCATCTTTTCAGTTGAAAATAGAGACCTTGGACCCGTTGGTTATGATAAGTTGGCGGAAATCGAGCGATGGCCAAACACCGTGATCGAGTCGAATCAGGTGGAAAGGAGAGATCCGATGCGAAGGTTGAAGGTAAGGAAGGAGGAGAGAGTAAGAAGAGAAGAGAACTGGAGGGTCGAGATGAAGAAGGAAGGATGTGTTGAACAGAGGAGAGGAGGAGGAGGAGAGGAGGAGGAGAGAGGGAGAGGAAGGAAGGAAGGAGTGAGAGAGAGAGCGAGATATTTATGCGGTGGCCAGAGGGGGAAAGTGTTAATTGGGGTCAAAGTGAGGGGAGTTGAGTTGAGATCGAGACAGGAGAGTCATAAAAGTTGATTCAATATGGGTGAAACAAGAGTCCCCTTCCCTATTCTACTACAGACGATGCAAATCTCGGAATTTACCAGCATCTTCTGAAGAGCCCGTCATTTCCCCGCGTGGGAAGACTATCTGGCCTACAAGGATACTTGGTGTGCCTACTTGGAGGAGCGGATTAGGTATGGGCAATATCAAGATCTTAATGGTTCAACTATGATATTTCTTGTTCTTTTGGTATCTCAGGGTTCCAAATCTGTACAAATCGTAGAAAATATACCAAACCAACACAACCAACAGTGCGTTCTGATTTTAGACTCCACCCGCAAAATTTTTCGTACACCCTGCAAAACAAAGACGGAACGCCGTTTTATCGAATGCAAGTGACATTGAATACTGACTGTAGGTGTCAAAGCCTTGTCAGGCCAATTATATCGGGGAGGGGGGGGGGGGGGGGGGGATCGATCATCAATGAGAAGAAAGGAGGAAGACGGATGGAGATAAGGCGAGTTCAGGCTAGTCTTTCTGGTCCTTTGGATGCAGTATTATCATGAACGGTAGGTTCCTAGTGGGAATCAAAGTGAGAAAAGAATCTAGATTGAAGGAAGGTAGATCAGATTCACCTACCAGAGAATGTTTGTCCCCCAATGGTTGTTTGTCCTGTTCCAAGGCCCCGTGCAGATTGGGGTAGAGGGATTTGGGAAATAGAAGTCGGCATATCTATCCGGCGGATAAGGTCCACCATCTTCTCGGGAGAAAACCTTCCCGCAGTGTATGTCGATGCGGGAGGGATAATACTGAGAAGATACACGATGTCCCGGGGCAAGGGGGCAGCTGAGCCTTGTGATCGGTACTGGGAGCCGGTCTGAGTCCCAGTCATTGGTTGGGTTCGTTTCTGCTGATCTATCTGGCGTCTTTGGGCAGTCTTCAATGGTGACTCAGCCCGAACGAACTTGCGAGGTCGTGTTATATCGTCATCGAAATCCTCCAAGGGTCTCTTTGGAGAGTTCGTCACTGACGCTTCTTGGTACCTTGAGGTAGGGGTACCATGACGAGAGATGATTTGCTCTTGAGGATATGCTGATTTCGGCCGTGTCTGAGAGGGGGAGATGATGGGTCGTATGGCTGTAGGATCGAAGGAAGGAGCAGCGAATCGATGAGAAAATTGTTCCAGAGTTGGATCATCAGGGAACAGTTCACGCATGCGGTTTTCCAGGTTTATGACTTGGATTAGATCGCCGTATCGCGACTCATATTCGTGAAGGAATGCGAATATGGGCTTCGTCTTCTGGACATTTTCCGGGTTGGAAGCAAGCTTTCTCACCGTCATCTCGAAGACTGCTCTGGCATCTGTTCAAGAAACGATTAGCAACTGGGATTCATCATTATGGGACCCGGGGTGAAGAGCAAGCGATGTTAACTTACTAATGACATCATTTATATCAATCAAATGCTTTAGATATTCGAGTGCAAAATTCTCGTCGTCCGGGAATAGCTTGGCACCTCGTTCGAAGATCTTTGTCGCTGCAGGATCCTTATAGCAATGGTATTCGATAAGGGCGCTAGCAATGTAGACGTCGCTCGTGATCCGGCCCTTCTTGCGAGCATCTGCAAATATTTGCCGGGATCCAGGCATTTCTCCCGGCTTGCCCTTACCCTGGATACGCCGCATCGCACGCATAAGGCCAATCCAAGAGAAAGAGATAGTTTTAGATAGAATTCCTATCTGGATGGCGTGTGCATTTCTGACCGCCTCGATTTGGGCGTTCTTAACAGATTCTCTTGCTTTTGACTCACTTTGGTTATCGTCGTCGTCGTCGTTCCTCGTTTGCTGTTTTTCGGGGTTAAATTTTGCGAAAGTTTCCTCGAGACGAGCGACGTCTTGGTTTTCCCGCGTGCGAGCTTTGGCAATCAAGTCGTAAAGAGCATCGAGAAGCCTGTCATATGGCTCTCTCACCTTAGCTCCCCGTTTAATAGGGTCCTGCTCTGACTCCGAGGTAATTTCCAATCGATCGGCACGTTTAAATGCAAGCAGGCAGCTTTCTGGGTTAGCATCTATGCCGTTCTTCAAGAAGTCATTTCCTTCTGTCTCCATATCATTGAGGAAGCAGAATTCAGCTGCTTCAAACCAGATCTCTGGAAGAAACCTAAGGGCCATAAGAGCTTGCTTGTAAACATAAATTACACGAGATTTGAATGCAGCGAGGTCTTCTTCCTTTAGAACAAGGGGGTCTCCCTTTTCCCACTTAATCCAACGCTTCCAGATTTCAACTTGCTGCATGAACTCTACATCGCCTTCAGAGCCAGGGACAGGGGGTAGCCTGGGCAGTGTTGTCCGGACTAGATCTCGTGTGATATTCTGTAATTCTGTAAACGAACTCCGAGCAGTCATATATGCGGGGGATTGTTCTTGTAGAAACTTCCGGCCCTAATCGTCGAAATAGATAGCAAGTTAGCGCAAATCCAACGAAGTAGGAAGGGAATTCGAGTTACCGTGAGTTTATTCAAGCCCATCTCGAACTGATCGTATTCCTTCCACAGAGTATTGACTGCCTGCATGGGAACACAGATCGCCTTTTGATATGCTTTCCGCAGCAAGTCCATTTTCTGCTGATCCTGCCACCCAGAGCCGCCAGCATTCCCCGGCCCGGAACGAATGAACTGAACATAGTCGGTCCAGATAGACCCAGAATCCTTATCGACGCCGATGTATTTGAATGCCAAGTCATACGCCGAAGAGATGATCCTCCGCGCCTGACCAGTTGTGTCTGTCGTTAAAGGGTTACGCCGGCGAACGTAGTCTAAGTAAACCGTCCAGAGCTGAACAGCGGGGATTGTGAGGAGTGTTCTATTGAAGATTTGCTCCAGACGAAACAGCTCATTGAGTTCCGATTCCATGCTTGCATAAGCAACCCACGCTTCCGCCTGTAAATGGATCAGTCTTTACTCATCGGTACAGAAGAATGGGGGGGGGCAGGTACTTACCGAGAACGGGAAGACCTTCAGGAATCTCTCATATACATCTCGGCAGCTATCAATTCTATTGCGGCTCCTGTGCTCATTAATCAACTCGAGCCAAGCTGGGATGTCCCCGCGAGGATCTTCCTGGATTCTGTCTTCCAGAATGCCAATGCGATCATGAGGCAAACGGCCCCTAGATGTGGAAGGAGAATCAGGCGTAGGAGTAGCTGTAGCGCTGTCTTGCGCATTCTCAGGCTGCAAAGTACGTGAGTTGTACATATTCTGGCCTAAAGACATAGACCCATCATTTTTAGAGGCGACAGGAACAGAAGGAAGAGAACTATTAGGAACATTCTTCGCGCTGGCAGAGTCCTGCACAGCTTCATCCAAAGATACATCAGGGGTAGAAGTAGCTTCAATTGCATTTCCTCGAATGGGCTGCGAAGGTATAGTATTCACGTCTTCGACACCTAGTACACCTGGAGGCTCATAATCCGCATCCCCCGTGTCATCCTCATCCTCATCCTCGACCACAAACCCCCCAATTGTTCTGGTTTTCGGCTGAACAGAGGTACCCAAGACAGGCACCGACATCGAAGCCTGGGACTCAGGTGGTGAAGGTGTTTGGGAAGGGAAGGCATTGCCAGCCTGTTGACTAGGGTCTGATTCTTGGGGGGGAGAAGTTTGGGTCTGGGGTTGCGCGTCTGAAACGGGGGAATCTGAAGAAACATTTTCACTTGGCTTGAAATCTTCCTCGGGAGCGGAATACTGGTCATGGAGTGTCTTTGAAGGATCATATTCATCTGAATCCGAGCTATATGCATCCTGATCTTCATCAACCCCATTATAGTCCCCAGAATCTGCATTCATTGCCTGAGCCTGGAAGAAGGCCTGCTCAGCGTCATCTTCAGCCATGGGAAACGGAAAGTGGAATCGTTCCGGGGGTAAAAATGACGACGAATAGAAAAAGAAGAGATAAATAAAGATACTGGGAGCAGGGAACCTGTCAGGTTTGGTCAGCGACTGCGGAGAAGACCCCGAAGATGGTCTCTCACGAGGGGGGGGGGGGAACACCCACAACAAGGCAGAATTAAATTCGTGAAATTCGATACAAGCCCCGGTTTAAGGCACAGATGACAACCCAGATGGGAAAATCGGCCAGGGGAGATATGTCCGTAGAGAGCGGGCAACACGGCTGGAAGAAGCACACAAGTGAAGCTGGGGCAGAAGCTGCAGCTTGCACGCCATCCGCAGTCACGTGCGAAAGGCGGTGAGCGCGAGGGATGCGTCCACCACACGCGGCGCGTCGTCGATCCTTTTGAGGTTGTTTAATTACTCCCGCCTGTCTGCTACACTAACTATCTAGCTGCATTTCTCCCCTCGATGGGACTTCTTCCTTGAGTTTTCCTCCCTTAAATACTGTGCACGGCGCGTTGGTCCCTTGACTTGTTTATTTTTATTTTTCATATCTCCGTCTGTTTCACCCCCTATCCTCTACCACCCTCGATTTCACAAAACTCTCCCCCCCCCCCCCCCCGCCCTATACCAACGGTCAACGCCCCTTCTATATAAACATGTCGGTTGTCTCTCTTCTTGGGGTGAAGGTGTTGAATAACCCTGCTCCTTTCCTTGCTCCTTACCAGTTCGAGATCACCTTTGAGTGTCTGGAGCAGCTTCAAAAAGGTGGGTTGGAAATTGAGCCCCTTCCTGGGCTTGGGAATGCGCCTGTTGATTCGAAATTCTAGACTTGGAGTGGAAGCTCACCTACGTCGGTTCCGCGACCTCGTAAGAACCTCCCATTACTGCAATCCTAATTTCTTCTTTTCTATACGGTCACTAATGTGTGTAGTTCGGAATATGACCAAGAGCTTGACTCCCTGCTCGTGGGACCCATCCCCGTCGGCGTCAATAAGTTTATCTTCGAAGCCGACCCACCAGATCTCAGACGCATTCCTACTTCTGAAATTCTTGGTGTGACCGTGATCCTCCTTACCTGTAGTTACGACAGCAGAGAGTTTGTCCGTGTGGGATACTATGTGAACAATGAATACGACTCGGAGGAGCTCGCCACCGAACCTCCTACCAAGCCTATTATCGAAAGAATTCGCCGGAATATCCTGGCTGAGAAGCCCAGAGTGACCAGATTTGCCATTAAGTGGTGAGTGCACCTACTACAACCATTCTCACTGATTATGGATGCTAATTCCGTTTTAGGGATTCTGACGAATCTGCTCCTGCCGAATATCCACCTGACCAGCCCGAAGCAGATGGGCTGGATGACGATGGTGCAGCTTATGGTGCAGAGGAGGCAGAACTTGAGGCTGCCCTTGTAAGAGAGCTGGAGGAGGCCGAGAAAGGGGATACCGTCAAGGGCGAGGACCACGACATGGAAGGTACCGACCACCCGGCTATCAAGGAGGATGAAGAAGAAGACATTTCCGACGCGGAGAGTGAGGATATCGAAGACGAGAGTGACGACGATGACGACGATATCGAGGAAGAAGACGGCGGCGACGCCGACGAGGATGTCGAGATGGGCGACGATGCGGAGCCCAAAGACGACACCACCAACCCCGCCACCCACCACTCCCACTCAGAGGTTATGGTTCATTGATTGAATTGATGCAAAAGGCAACTGGATCCTGCCACTCCCACCACCTTTGCTTATTCTTTATCTGTTGCATGATTTTATGATTTAAGTTCCTACGTTTCTCTTAACGATCCCTCATCTATATCACCTCTCACCAGAATCGCACGCACCCGCTAGTTTTAACGATCTAATAGAGCGAACATAAATTAGGAAATGAAATAGTTCCGCCCTCAATGCTTACTTCCACCCTGGGCTAACAATGCAAGGACCACGAGACCCCTGAATCTACGTACGCACACAACCCTTCCTAGTTAGTACGCAGTCAGGACAACTCATCCTCATCCTCATCCTCATCCTCGTAGTTTATGTGGCATGTCTTTTGCGCACCCGCATGCTCGCCATCCATCCCTAACGTCAACCAGCGAGGGATCGAGGGATCGAGGGATAGTATACCGTATGATGTCTTCACTCCTACAAAAGGTACTCCGTACTCCGTACTCTGTAGTGGAACACTTATTTAGATACCAGTACTAAGGAGGAGTAATAGTAGGAAGTCCTAGCTTAGTAGGAGGTATAAAACACTATACCTACCTACCTTAGGTCCCTATGTATAACTATATCTATCTATCATTCCAAGTAACACCACTACACTCTCCAAAAAAAAAAGAACAAAAACTTCAGTTATATAGAATTGAAGATATCTCACGACATATATATAAACCAAGATTGCAAGAGGAAAACAACGATAATAACAGTCACCGCTTTTCCTCACTGCAGTCAGTGAGTGAGTAAGTGCATCATTTATTGTCTTGCACTGCATGGGTTTTCTTGTAGTCTGTACAGAGTTAGTAGTACTAGTAGATACATAACTATTTCAGGAATATGCAAAAAAAGATAACTAACCAATCCACTCTCCTACTATTGAAGAGCTGTTTTTTTTAATGATACGCCTACATGTTTGGGGTTTATGGATATGGCTGTATTTAAATTGTTTTCAGAATGCTTTCGAATTCTATTCTATTTGGGGGGTTGTGTTCTCCTCTGTACCTCTTTTTGTATGGAGCCTAGTAAAAGGAACCCCGAAGAGAAAATACCAGACGCAGACGTTTGGGTATTTGTATTGTTGGAGAAGTTCTAAGGTACTTCCATGGTATCGAGATCCATATCATGTTTCTTTTCTTTCCTTGTCTTTTTTTTTTTTTCTTCAAAGAAACACGATATATTCATATAAAACGCTGCTTAAAACCCGAACTTCGACCCAAGTACTATGAGATTCGTCAGCATATATCAAACTTGAGAAATGTAATTCAAATGTACTCACCACCTAGCACTGCTTTCTTCTTCTGATTCTGAACATACTTGTTGACATCGCGGGCCCAGTTGTTACTGGTCTCCTCCAGTCTGTCCATGTTGTCCCCTGCGAACCCGAGTCGTTCCGTACGCTCTTGCACCTGACGTGTCATGTAGGCAAGGTACCCTTCCTCGTTGCCGGCTTGAGCTGGCGGCGTTCGGCCCTCTCGAATAGCTCTTCGCCGCTCTTGCTCTTCTACTCGCATCTGCTCTTGCATTCTCTTGGAGGGAGGTCGATCTGGACCGCCGACTTTTGGAAAAAAAAAAAAAAAAAAAAAAAGGTTAGTTCACGGTATCATCAATCTTCGAAAGAGATAATGAGGGAGGGAAGACGAACTCAAGATATCCATGTCGGCGGGTGAGATATACTGCGTGCCGGAAATCCACTGCATATTAGTGATTGTAGGACGGAGCGGGATAGTTGCTTGCGGGTTGAAGAGCTGGTCTTCCGAGGGGCGCCTGTAAAAGTTAGTTAGATATGCCCCCCTATCCCTCCCAACAAACAACTCGAATGGGGAGATTCCACGTACAGTTCAATGCCAGCCCCCCAAACGTTGAAAAGTCCTACTTCTGACGGGCTAGTCCAAGCTAAAACAGCTCCGTTGGGTGACACCGTGGCGGAGGAGAGACGGCTCATGTCGGCCGTTTGGCTAATTTTGCTGCTGCCAATTTCTTTGAGACCGGGAATGGAGAACGCTCGTGCGTTGCCGTCCCCGAACAGCCCAACTAGACAGCATCCTCGACCTTGGATATTGACCACAGCAGCAGAATCACATAGGTAATCATTCCAGGACCGGTGCGCGCCCTTAGATGTCGCGGGCTTGAAGATTCTGCAACCAGAGACGGTCACAGCAACCACCGCCCCGTCGACTCTAGCGCCATTCCTCAAGCCCCCAAAGGCATCTGGTGAGGCTAGGGCTAGATTGCCATCATCTGTATTGATAGGGATGATGTTGATGACCTTATCATCCAAAGGCACAGATCCAGCGAACGAACCCGTATAGGTGCCACCGTTTGATGGCAGGATCTTGAAGGTCGCCAGGTTACCTCTGTTTGTGCCCACAAAACAGCAGACGCTGGAGTAGTCTTTGATATATATTTTTCAGCACGATTCAATTGCGACAGGGTATCATAAGAATACATACCTTCACCCTCCAGACTTAAGATACCAAATTCAACGCTCGTAGGCCATTCTGGCTGGGTCTCCCCAGTGCCACGAGATTTGAGAAAACTACTCCTCTTGTTTCCTTTTACTAGCTCGGACACATGGGCCGTGTGGATGATTGCGGGCCCCCGAAGGTCGATGATGACCAAGTTACCACTCTGGAAGCCAGCGGCAACGAATCCCACTGGGCTGTGTTTAAGGGCAGTCACTGGACCTTGCTGCATATCGAGCAGGGTCAATGGCAAGAGACCCTGTTTCAGACCAGGATCGGCTCTGTGTGTAATATTGGTCAATTCCCCGGGACCCTTGTTGGTTCCGGGAGACTCCTCGCGACCGAAATGTTGGTTACCACCCCATCTGAATATAACAACCTCGCCACTTTTGAGACCAACTGATAATTCGCCGGTTGATCCTCCCAAAGACATCTCAGAGACCTCAACATTAGCAACCCGGCCCACAGCGCGGGTCAGATCAACTTGAATAGTGTCCGAATTCTCAATCTCATCGTCATGACCTACGTCCCACAGGCGAATGATACCGTCGGCATGTGCTGCGGTGATGACGTTGCGATTTTCCAAGCGCTTTAGGGGCTTCCTTGCCTCTGCGCCACCTTGAATAAACTTTGGTCCTTGAGATCTTCTCTCCTTCAGGCCCAGCCAGGCGCCACGCTCCACGGGTGATAGAGTGATTTTGGTTACGAATGGGTGGACGAGAGCAAGAGAAGGAGGTAACATGTTGGTAGGGGTGATGGGATGCCCACTCGGGAAGCTTAGAGTGACCAACTCACTCGAGGATAGAAGAGCAATCACCGCAATAGGGTCATGAGCGCCAGCATAGTAGGGGGAAGCGCGAGGAATGAGACAAAAGCTAGTAACCACAGCTCCTGGAGGAACTGGAAGCTCTGTTCGGCGCTTTGGACTTTCGAGATATGTTTGGATGATGGCCCAGGAGGATGTTTGATAGTTGGGGGTCGGGCCCAGGTCCAGAAAAGTAAGGCCTTTGTTTACATCTCCTTTCGGTTTCCCCCCTGCTATGAGCAGAGCAGTGTCATCACTGTTATCCTTCACACACCACGCAATGTCAGTGATAGGGTCCTTGAGACCACTGGGTGCGTCTGATGAAGACGGTGGTCGCGCAGGCAAAACACCTGGTTGATCCACGTCGGCTGTAGTGATTGACCGGGCTAAAAGCTTGCGGCCGTCCTTCGAGTCCCAGAAGACTAAACTGTTATCGTCATGGACAGTTAGTACAAATATACCATTTGGATGCCACAGTGCCCTAGTCAATTTCGGTTTGCGCAATTCTCTCGACGGGACATCGCCATTTCCCCCCAAAGCGCCTGCAGGCACTTCATACTCAAAGTATTTCTGTGCTATATTTTGTTTGAACGAGAAAACCACCGCTCCTTCCGGGTACCCAATCAGGATCTTGCCGATATCTCGGGGCGAGAAAGCCAAACTGACGACCGGACAATGTCGCACTCGAGTATTACGCTCAGTCCATAGATTTGGTATTCTAAACGGGGTCATGGTTTCACGATCCAGATCATAGGCGATGATGTCGCCTATTCAAGAGAGTTAGCCAAATAGAATATACGTATCGGTATATCCCGGATTGCATGTAGTGATAGCGCGTGCCATACCATTTTGCAGGCCAATGAACGCATACTCGAGACTGGGATCCGTAAGCAACGCGCTTGCATGGCTTGGAGGAGCGTATGAGACTAATGTCTGTCGGGTTTCGAGAGAGTACACGGAAATTTCGCTCTTCGAGTCCACACTGACCAGCTTATCGGCGCAAAACTGAAGGAACTTCGCGGATGCCTTTCGGGGCAAGGGAAATATGACCGACACTCGTCCCTGCCCAAAAACGTAGATCTGACCATGTCCGAACTGAGACTCGCTGGTGCCGACAGCAAGGAGCGACTGAACGGGGTCGTATGCGAGGGCACTGATCTGAGAATTTACACCGCATCTAGCCACCTACAAAAAGACAAGTCAACAACGAGGGCCCGGATCAAGTGAAAAAGCAGACAGGGAAGAAAAGAAAAGGCTGCTGCCTACATCGTCAATATCGAACAGTTCCGGCGAAAGAGTTCCGGATAAGTCTTTCTGGATACCGGCTTGCTTTCCCCGCAGGAAATGCGCCATTTGCTATATAAGTGCAGCGCTTCACATAGAATAGGGAAGGGTGGAGGAAGAGAGACAGTGAGGGAAGAGAAAGAAAGAAAAGAAGGGAGGAGGAAAGAGACCTGGTGGGGTTTTCTTGTTGTTCAAGAAAGAGGAATTGAAGGAGGGGAGGAGGGAGGCCTAGAGGTGAAGACGGGGCTGACGACATTCGTTGATTTGGTGGTGTCGGTGCGGTTCAGCCCCGCCCTTGGCTTCTGGCTCCCTTTCGTGTTAACTGGACACGGGTTGTTGTACTGGACATATATATATATTATATAATAAGTAAATTGGGAAGGAATGGATATTGTATGATCGGTCTTGGGATCATATTGCTTATATAACTCTATATATATAATATCCGGGAAGGTTGGTTGCCCAATTTTTTAGGCCGGAACCACAAAGTATCCCTATTCCTAGAAAACGCCCCCGTACAAACGCCCAAAGAGAGAGGGAATCCTCTCTCTATGATGCTCATCTCTTTTGCCATCAGCCTTTCTCTTGAGCCTGCGGCAAAAAAAAAAAAATCTCACGTGGCTGCCATTTCCCCCAGCGTCGTCATGAGTTGCCTCCTTGCATCGATCTCAGCGGTCGAATTTCGATGGTTCCGATAGTACTGCGAGGTGATTTGGTGGATGGAGCGATAGCAAGAGTATCTAGACATCGGGGTCAGCAACCCTGTGCGATAGTTGTGTCTTGATCTGGACAAAGGGAAATATACGCACAGGAGTTGTCGAACCCTTGACAACTGGGCTTTCGAATCGCTAGACCCAAACCCGTCTAACATAGCAGCAGACGGTCGGTCGAAAAGCTTGGCCATAAATAAATCGCCCCAGACTGCATTGCCAAACCCGGAAATCCCGCACAACCGTTTACTATCCGGGTCAACAAGGACCTGTGACGGTTGGCCAAAGTCGATCATCACGAGTCGCGGAAGAACGACCTCGTCAAGTGCGGGTGACAGCCAGCTAACACGATGTCTAATCTCAGCGTATGGAAGGTTCACGAAGACATCCTCCGAGTCACGAAGTATACCCTCGAGAAGGATGAGAAACGCCTCCCTCCAGGACCGTTTCCCACCCCCTGCCGCCACTTGTCCGAGGGATCCAAAGGAGTCGGAGATGTGCTGTCCCATTCGCCTTGCTAGGAGCCCTAGACTCCTGTCAATGGCCTTTTTTTCTTGCGAGGTAAGTTGAGTCTCTATTTCTTCCAGCGTGGACCCTGGAATATGATGTCGTACGAGGCACGAGGGTCCCAGCAAAGTCCCCAACGGATCATAATGGAGAAGCAGTGGAGTATATGGTAGTGTGCTTTGATTTAGGAGAGAAAGAGCCCGGGCTTCTGTTTCCAGCGAGACATGCTCCCAGCGGAGAAGCGGTGTTGTGGGCCTCGGTGCGCACTTCAACAGAACGTGAGTTTCATTCGATAACCGGACCAGATAGAGGGAGTGTAGGTGGCCAGCCATGGGATACACCCTGGTGACGTGCACTGGTAGGAGAAAATGCCGCTGGAGTATGGCCCCGAGTTTCTCGGAGACCTCTGCTTCTAGTTCTGGCGGAGCTGGTTGAAGAGGTGACATTATGAGGTAGGAGAGAGAGAGAGAGAGAGAGAGAGAGAGAGAGAATATGCTTTAACAGTCCGCGAATGGCATTATAGCCAAAGATTCGCGCCTCTTTGCAGAGAGAATCGGACAAGGGGCCATCGACGCAGGCTGACACAGAGGCTATAAGTGTTGGGAAAGAGGAATCAAGAAGGAGCAACACACACGAATCCTACACATCATGAAGATGGGCAACAGTCAGGGCTGTAAATTGGGTGGTGATTACCGATCGCATCACGAACCAGTCTCCATCGTCCATAAGCGAGCTTAACGTTGCGCCTACTGGGGAGATATGTAAAAGATCGAGAGGGAAGGTAACGCGCTGGGCATATTCGGACACATCGCAATTCATACACTGGAAACTCGCCTAAGCCTCCCACTCTTAGAAAGGTGCGACAGGAGCGAATGGATTGGCCCAATCAGGAGGTTTCTTTGCCGAGAAAGAACCTCGGAAGGACCCAGAAGGGGGTCGACGGTCGACCTCTCATGGATCCGTTCATCGTACCTCAGTTGACACGATCTCTGTGGAGCTTCGGCCCGTTACCACCATCACGAGCGCTGGACTGAAACCTTGGGGGTAATTTATTAGCACTTTCCTGCTCAGTAAAGGGAAAGACGGGGAATGATTGAATGGCTTTACCATTTTTTCTGTTGGTTGTACTCGGTACAGGAGGTCACAATGAAATGAGTTGCTCCTGAACATTTCCTGCGAAATCAACCTTACAGTAGTCGCTTTCCCTTTCCGCTTTAGGTCCAACTTGGCGCCGCTTTTTGCTTATTTATTCTAGAAGTAATCTCTAGAGAAAGTAACTAGTATGGACCCTAATCTAAACATGGGAATACTCTCAAGTATTAATAATATTACGTTGACTTTTGATGAAGTAGGCTTTACTTAACTAAAAGAATATTCAATACGCAGTTTATACTAGTCCTGTCACGGCGACCATGTGACATGCAACCAAGTCTTTTGGTGCATGCCTCCATCGGAGTCCATCCTCTGCTATCTCCCACATCAGGGATAGCCTATATTTCAACAGAAAGAGGTGGCAGAAACGGGCATATACAAAAGTCTCCTGCTGCTAACTATCACTTCCCAGGGAGAACAACCCCCTGCTGCACGGCCACCATCTCCGCCAACCCCTTGAACGTCAAGGACGCGGACAGCAACTCCTGAAAGGAGACCTCCAGCCCGAACTCCTTGAACAGCCAGTTCCGCATCTCAGCGCCGATCATACTGTCTAGCCCGTAGCTAGCCACGGACGGCCCGTCCAGGTCAAAGTCCTCCGCGGCAATCAACAAGATGCGGCTGACCCGCTGGGCGATGAATTGTGCGATCACGGTCAGAATCTCGTCGCGCCCGGCAGACGCGACAGCAACATTCGCCAGAAGACTCTGGAGCCCGCCGGACCCTGAAGAGGTCGACGATGCTGCGGTCTGGCCGATGATGCGCTCCACCTCGGCTCGCAGGTGGACGAAGCGGGCATCCGGATACCAGGAGGCGTCGGCCGCCTGGCTGTCCGACGAGTGAACAAGCGCCTTGGCCAATTCCGCCGGCTCCAGGCCCAGGATAATCTGGGTGTCTGCGGCCCCGTCTTCTTCCAACGACGACGCCTTGCGGCGGTGGCGGCGGGACATGGCAACTTCAAAGCCGCGGAGCATCTCCTGCTCGTCGACCCCGTACATCCCCTTGCGGAGCAAGGCGGTCTCGAGCGCGGCGTTTTCCGCGACGACGCCCACGTCCAGCACCATGGGAAGGACCAAGGACACGACGCCCGGCCGGTGATGTAGCCAATGTTGCCAGGCCAACGTATCCAGGAAACTGTTGGCCGCGCTGTAGTTGCTCTGACCGGGATTCCCCAACGTCGCCGAGATGGAGCTGGTCATGACAAAGAAATCGAGATCGTCGGCAACGCCGCCCTGCAGCAGCGCCTTGGAGAGGCTCACGGCACCCTGCACCTTGGGATTCACCGCGGCCTGGAACCGGTCGCAGTTCATCTGCTCAAAGACTCCATCCCGAAGAACCATCGCGGCATGGACGACCCCGCGGAGGGGACGCTCGGCATGGACCTCCTGGACGATACGGATCATGTCGGATTCAGACGCGGCGTCCGCCCGGAACACCCGCACAGAAGCACCCGCGGAAGTGACAAGATCAACTACATACGCTGCCTCGGGTTTGTCGGTACCGGAGCGGGAGACAAACGCAAAGTGTCTTGCGCCCCGTTCAATCATGAAGCGGGTCAGGCTGCGGCCCAGACCACCGAGGCAGCCCACGAGGAGGTAGCTAGCGTCAGGGGAGAAGCTCAGGCGTGGAGGCTCGGGGGTGACCTATCGCGAGATGTCGCGAATTATCATTAGCAAAAGTTCTAAATCCCTCGATAGAGAGAGAGAGAGAGAGAAAGGATATGGATGCAATCAAACACGTAACTTACCCGCACAGGGCTCTCATGGTAGCGGTACGTGACGACAGCGGGTTTATCCGCAGGGATTTCGCGTAGAAGGCTGCTGGATTGACTCAGCTCGCTGATATCGTACACAGACTCGACATTGTCTGCCAGCGCAGGGTATTTCTGGACGAGATCCAGCGTCTGCTGGAGGATCGCAGACGCCGCAGGGGCATGCAGAGTCTTGACACTGGTTCGCATGAACGACGCTCCGCGGGAAAACGGCGCCGAATCCAGGGCGGACTCCAGCCGCGCGTCATTCAAGACGAAGACACTGCGTGCCGGAAGGTGCCGCCACACTTCCTGGCTCAGGGGAGAAAAGTCGTGGGCGAGGATAACCCATCGGCGGTCCGTTTCACGCAGGGGGGCGCGGATCTCGTTCATATCATCGGCAAGGAGGACACCGCCGCCGTCGATCTCAAACTCGCTGAGATACTTCTGTCGCTCTTCGGCCGAGCGGGCGACGAGGCGGACATCCCAGCCCAACGCCTTGCCTAATCGGACCAGTGCATGCACCGTGGGCACTGGACCAGGGAGGGCGAGAATGCGGTCATTGCTGCCGACCCTGGCTGTGGTGATGCACATGTTGACCCCCTTGGAAAGCGCGGCTACGCTCGCCAAAAGCTTCGTCGTGCCATGGTTGGTAGTAGCATCCCAGCGGACGTAGCAAGCAGTCCGGACGACGGTGGCCAGCGATTCCGTCGTCCAGCCAAGCACTTGATCGCCAGCCGCCGCAACGTCGGCACGGACGGACGAGCCACAGCGAAGCACACGGCCAGAGACGACTACGGGCCCATTGGGGGTCGTCTGCTGCAGCTCAGAGGCAAGAACCTGCATCTCAATCTCGTCCGACCCGAGGGCGGTTGATGTTTCCGGCTCGCCGTACGACCAGCGGAGCTGCCCGTCTACGGTAGAGGATGTGAGACGAACCCCGTCGGGCAGCGGCTTGGTCTCGGAAACGCGAGAGGCGAGGGGAACGGGGGGCGACCATTCCGTGTTCAGTTGGTGGTTGGGAACCACGCGAGCAATATTCATCATCCCGTTGTGCAGCCAGAACTCGGTATCCTTGCCTGAATCCTTCGTCGGGGCGTCGTGCAACACACTCAGAACTGCTTCTGCCACCTCTCCGGGCTGTGTCTCCTGGTCCACGTCCAAAAGCACGATTCTTGCCGAGGCCTGCTCAGACCGGATGACCCGCAAGAAACCTGGGACCATGCCCCCGAAGACGCAAGCCCCTTGTCGGACGCCCCGGGTCAGCCAGACTGTGGGTAAATTGGCCCGAATCAGGGACTGGAGACCTTCAAAGGACTGGTTATTCAGACGGTTGAGGAGAGTACCATCGCGGTCGTCGACAATAACGGCTTCTTCCTTCGCTTGGTTTGCTGGCAGAGTGAACTGATCTATAGTCGTGGTCTTGGCAGTATGTGCCTTGTCTGACAGGTGAGTGACGAGATGCTCATCCTCACGCTGACCGGTCTCATGCAAGATTGTGAGGTGTAGTTGCTCCTCATGAACAGCCTCGACCAAGCCGGCGTGGTCCCGGGTGAAGAGCCGGACAAGACGGTTACCCTTGAGAGGATCCGCAACCGAGACCTCGAGCACCGGATAGAGAGCATTTTCGTTCTCCACACCATCCATAACGAAGAAACTCTCAGCTGGCTGCGACTGAATCAGCCATCGGCCGTCCTTGGGCAGCCTAAGGACTTCTTCCGGTCTACCCGACAACACACTTTCATCGACCATCACCAAGTCCGCGGCCCAGGCAACTGCAGGATCCCCCCCACTCTCAAAGTTCTCCGGGAGGAGCTGCTCATTCGGCTGGATAGTACTTACGGCGCAAGACGCTGGGAGCCCCGCTGACACCGCATTGATCGTGTCCGGGGTATGCTTGCCGCACAGGAGGACGGCCGTCAGTGGATGCCGATGATGGATCATCTGGACCAATGACACGAGCACCTGTGCCTCCGATGCTTCTTTCGGCCACAGTGTGGCAGAGGACGATGCTCGCAGTCGGAGAACGTCCGGCTTCCAGGAGATAGTCGCAAAAGGAGCGGGGTTGGTCGCGTTGCTCGCCGCATTCGCGGGGACGGCTGCTTCGTAGGCCACACAGCGCAGGCTCTTGACATCGACCAGCACGCGACCGCTCGGTGCCATCAGCTGCGTGTGCGTGTTGAAGTAGCGGCCCTCACAGCTGTCGGTCCAGGCCACCGCCGTGCCCATGGATCCTTCTCCCTCCCCGTCCCTCGGGAACCGGAGCGTGACTTCCTCGAGGCGAATGGGCACCACTCCCCAGGGCATCTCCTTGTGCTTGCCGCGGTGGATGGAGATGATTATAAGCTGGAGGCATGCGTCGATGGTAGCCGGATGAATCACGTACCGCGACTCATCCTGAACGACATCAGAGCGATTCCGGACCCGCACCTCGGCTTCGGCATGCTGGTATCGGCGGTCGGTGCGCACCTGGCCCAGCTGTTGGAAAGTCGGGCCGTATTGGAAACCCACGCGGCGCAAAGCTTCGTACCAGCGTTTGCCCGAGACGCGCTGCGTGAGTAGTGAAGGAATAACGGGGTGTTCGTACTTGTCAGTCACCTCTGGGCCGGCGGAAATTTTGCCGCGGGAGTGGGAAACCCACTTGCCCTCTGAGAGTGATTCAACGGAAAAGGCATACCAGGAAGTGCTGTTGTCGCCTGTCAGCGACTGCTGCTGCTGCTGCTGCTCCAAGCGCAAGATAATCTCGACTCCCGTGTCGGTTTCCGGGATGACGAGAGCGGTGCTGATATCGACATCGCGCAGGAGAACCTGTCCGACTGGGCGTGATTCCGCCTCGGCCACCTGCCGCAGAGCTTCGACTGCCAGCGATATATGGCCCGCTGCCGGGAAGATGGCGGCACCACCCAGCTGGTAGAATTCAATAACAACCGTTCAGTTAGTTACTACGACTTGGGGGAAGGGTGGGTGGGAGGGAGGGAGGGAGGGAGGGAGGAGAAGCTTACAGCATGATCCTTGAGCCACGGAAGATCGCGCTGGCGCAGAATGTTACGCCACACCCGAGACTGCGTTGATAGACCGGTGATCTGCCGGCCCAACAGGTCATGACGGGGCTGGACGAGACTGCGCTGTTCTGCGCTAGCTCGGGGTTCCGTCCAGTGGCGTTTCTCATAGTTCCACTGGTACGGCGGCAGATCCACGAGAAGACGATGCGACTTTGGCTTCCGAAAACTCAGATCTGTATTCTTTCCCTCCTGCTCGACGGCGTTCACGGCCTCCAAATCGACGGGGTAGCTGGCCACGAACAGGGTACCCGCCACCGAGAGCAGTTGATCGGCGTCGTCTTTGTTGCGGACCAGCGAGGGCACATAGAGCAATCGATCGAATGCATTGGCCGCGCAGATCTGCTTGAAGGGACCCGCTAGAGCGGAATGCGGGCCGACTTCAACGAGGTATTTGACTTGCTGGAAGGCCGGGTCGGTTCCTAGTCTGTGCACAGCCGTATTGAACAGGACTCTTGAGCGCAAGTTGTTGCTCCAATAGGAGGGCGGAAGCGAGTCCCTCGCCATGTCCACCGGCTGGCCCGTCACTGAGGAAATCATGGCGGACCGCGGACGGCGCCAGCACAGATCGTGGCCGTTGAGACTGGTCAGAGCGCCGGCTAACAGCGGATCATAGGCGGCACCTACTGCCGCCATATGGGGCGAGTGGTAGGCCTGCCCTGTCTTGAGCTCGCGCGCAAACACCTTGGCGGCGTCGAACTTTTCCTTGACCTCCTGGATGCAATGGGACATTCCACTCAGGGTGACACTGCTGGGGGAGTTTTCGCAGGCGATGCACAGCTGCTCCGGCGCATACGGAGCCAAATAGTCGCCTAGAGCATCGGCTCCCAGACCGATGGCCAGCATCGACCCCGGGTTGGAATGCTCGCGGACGGCTCGACCCCGGCAGTAGGCAGCGAGCATGGCTTCAGGAGCGGACAGAAGACCCGCCGCATAAGCCGCGGCAATTTCCCCAGACGAGTGTCCCACACTGACAACGGGGGTCACACCCCATTCGGAGAGAAGGTCTACGAGCGCAATCTGCACAGCGGTGCAGAAGGGCTGGGCAATTTCCGCCTCATGAATGTTGCGCGAGACGGTCTCGATATCGCCTCGGAGGAGGTCGACTAGACGGAAGGGAGGGGCCGGATGTAGGCGCCCGAGGACGTTATCCAATTTCCGGATTGTCTGAAAGAACGAGGGGAATGTCTTTGCTGCGATCTGTCCCATTCCCGCCCATTGTGCCTATTGGGGACGACGGCTGTTAGCGGTTGCACCGAGCATTGGATGGTGGTCGTAGTAGGAACAAAGCAACTTACGCCTTGGCCGGTGAAGAGGAAGCCGACCTCGGTAGCCACAGGTGAAGCCACACCAGAGCGGACGGCAGAATGATCAAACAACACTGCAGCAGGAGCTTGAGCATCCGACGCGATGGCAAATGCCCGGTGGCCCCACCGAGTCCGGTTCAGATTGAGGGTGTATGCCAGATCCATCACGTAGTAGTCTCCGGATACCTTGCTGATAGCTGCGACATTGCGTGCGAGGGTTGCCTTGTCATGGGCCGAGAAGCACAGCAGAAATGGTCGATCATGGGAGCGCGTATAGGGAGCATCGTGCTTGGTGCGGGCATGCTGATACCAGGGATACAGGGACTCAACCGATTCGATGATGACATGGCCGTTGGTGCCTCCATAGCCAAAGGAGGAGACGCTGGCTCGGCGGGCTGCGAATCCCTGGGGCCATGGGTTGGTATCGACATTGACCTTGACGTTCCACTCCTGCTCCTTGACTGCGGCAGTTCTTTTGTTTAGTCAAAAAGGAAGAAGATGCAAGAAGATACACAATGAACGTTTTAAAAACATACTGGCTGGATTCAATCTTTGGAAGTGAGCAACACCAGGGATCATCCCAGCTTCCGTCATTAGGGCCGCTTTCATGACGGCGAAAATGCCACTGGCAGCCTCGCTGTGGCCAATATTGGGTTTGACCTGTGTTTGGTGCATGATGTCAGTTCAAGACCGTCACGCACACAGATGTCGGAGCCGCCCGGGGGGAGGGGGGAACAGGGAAAGCATACAGCACCCAAGAGGAGTGGCTTCTCTGGCGACCGGGTATCATTCATCGCACTGGCAATGGCCCGGACTTCAATCGGATCGCCTACGGGTGTTCCCGTTCCATGCAGTTCAGCATAGGCAGTAGCATTCGGGTTGAGTCCGGCTTTCTCGTATGCCATCCGGACGACAGATTCTTGCCCTTTGCCGCTGGGATGAGTGATTCCCATGCCTTCTACTTTTCCATTGCTGTGGATAGATATAACCCGGGTTAGGTCTCAACTTTTGTGGGGTCATATATGGCAAAAAAAAAAAAAGGGGGGGGGGGGGGGAGGAGGGGAGAGAGAGAGAGAGAGAGAGAGAGAGAGAGAGATACGTATTGACGGCACTTGCCCGAATCACTCCTCGGATGGGATCCCCATCCCGAATCGCATCTTGAAGACGCTTCAAATACAAGGCGCCGGCGCCTTCAGCGCGGCCATAACCATCGGCAGCTGCATCAAAGGTGTGGCAGGTCGAAGTCGGAGATAGAATTCCCAATTTGGCCGTGTTCATGTGCTGGTCGACGGTGATGATGAGATTGACGCCAGCGACGAGGGCCGCATCGCAGTCGCGCGCACGAAGCACGTTGGCAGCATTATGAATGGCGTAGATGGACGACGAGCATGCGGTGTTGATGGTGAAGCTGGGGCCCTTGAGGTTGAAGACGTTACCAACCCTGTTACTGATGATGCCAGGGTCGACACCGGTGGCCGCGTAGTTGTGGCGGAAGTCCGGGTCTCGGATTGACATTTGTTCTATCAGCAAGATTTGTGAGCATTCCCGAGAAACTCTGAGGGAGACATGGTTGCCATGAAGAGGGAACGAGAAGCCATACGATAATCCGAGGTGAATGATCCCACGAAGACCGCGGTGTTGGAGCCTGCAACCGACTCGAGCGGAAGGCCGGCGCTTTCCAGACATTCGTAGGCGACCTCGAGGATCTTTCGCTGCTGGGGATCCAGCCATTGAGCCTCAATCGGGGTCATGTTAAACGCGGTGGGATCAAAGTCCTCCGGCCGGCCATCGAGGAAGTAACCCCCGGGCACATTGAAAGACCCCGGACGCTCCAGGTTGGAATGGTAATAGGCATCGATATTGAACCGGGATTCAGGAACTCGCGGGGTCTGTCCGGATTGCTTCTTCACGAGCATGTCCCAGAACGAAGAGGGAGAGTCGACTCCCCCGGGTAAACGGCAAGCTGATAGGAGTCAGTCAGATTAGTTGGACCACAGGGGGATGGGCCATTGACTTACCCATGCCACAGATGGCAATCGGCTCCAGCATAGGATCATCTCCTGGTGGGCTATACGTGCGATGAGGCATTTTGGAGAGCGGAGAGTTGCCAGTAGAGGGACACAGACAACAACGACTGAGTGGCACTTTGAGTTGCTCCTTTTGATGATGTTGAGCTAGAGGGATCCAATATAGATTGATATAACCTAATCCATTTCCCTTAGGATCTATCCCCCTCGGAGGAATTGAGTAACGTCTCGGTGGGCTTCAACACCAGAGCAAGCCCCGAAAAGCTCGAGATCGGGCATTGGTCCTCTGGGAAAGCAATCTTCGGCCTGTACTTGCCGAGCTCCTTGCTCGATGAGTCCGGCCATCACGGTCCGTTAGGTCCACCAATTATATGAGGCTGTCTGTCATGAGTCAAGCTGTGTCAATAGAAGAAGAGAGACGGAGGGCCGCCGTCGTCAGACAGTCAGACACGACATAGCTTCGACGAGACGATGAATTTTCCACTTTTGCTTCAATTTTACTTCCGTGGCCTGGCTCTTGCGGCCACTCTTCTCCTCTGGGGTCTCAGTGCCTGGAATGGTACTGTCAAAGCCCTCATTCTCGCCGTGTATCATGGCCGGTTGGCGGACGACACTCCCCTACAGACGACGTACACGGGCATCCCGCCGATAGACCTTCCCATCGCCCTGCTCGTGGCGTTTTTTTTCTACGGCACCAACGGCTCGGTCCCCGGGTATCAGCTCTTCTTGCTGGATGCGTATTCCACGTTGCAATCCGCGTTTATCTGGTTGTATGTGGAAAGCTTCCGTCAGTGTGACGAAAAGCCTCGATGGATTGCTCGGTGAGTACTTGGGCGAACTGACTGAGTGGTGAAAGCCCCAGCACACTAAACAAAACGCATGCGCCATCATACAGGCCCGTCATCTTCGGTCTGCTGTGGCAGGGATTTGGGGCCGCCATTTCCTTGCCCCTGTATTATGCGCTACATCTGTCTTGGCTCCTGAAAGCACCACAGCGCGCCACCAGCACGGTGGACCCGCGCGGCGCCCGAGTCATCCCCATGGGCTACCTGCTCGGGGCGTTCTTCCCCGCTGTCCTTGGAATGCTGCCGACCTGGACCGGCGCCGCCTCGTCCCGACTAGCTGCAGGGAACCACCAGCGTATCCTTGCGGCATGGCAACCGGACCCGCTCTGGGTCTCATGGATCATTCAATTGGCACTGCTGGGGTACGACAGGCTCAGCCGTCGTTCTTCTTCCCGACAACAGAACAGCCGGACCTCCTCCCGGTGGGTCCGAGGTGCGTACTTACTCGCGGCGATCTCGTCCGCCTCAGGGCACGTTTACACCATGATCACGGCGGGATTTGATCCGCAGCTCCGGTTGTGGGAGATGTACGTCCCCGCCGGTTGGTCCGGGCCATCATCATCATCATCATCATCATCTAGCATCTCGGGGAACGAGGAAATTCTGATCCGAGGGCCGTGGCTGTTTCTGCAGTGGGACTTGATCATCATCAGTTTGTCGAGCGTCTCCTGGGTCCTTGTGCTGCTTCACCAGGCATTCGGGAAGAAGCAAAAGAAGAACCTGGGGCTTTGGACGATTCAAGTGGGTCTCCTATTGTTTCTGGGGAGCGTGGTGATCGGGCCGGGGGCAACCGTCTCATTGGCACTCGTCACAAGAGAAGCAGAGCTGGAGCGATTGAGGGAGGAACATGCTCATTCGTCATAGGGACATAGGAGTAGAAACCAAGGGACCTACTACCTACTACCCACCTACATAGTCTAGAGCACATGGAGTAGCAGCGCCGATTCGGGCCGAGCTCCTCCTGGAGGACCAAAAGTCGTTTACTCCGAGATTAGTACTTATATCTAAGAAAAATGCCCCCGTATACCATGGAAATACCTGCTCTCCCGCCAAATGGTCTTTTTTTAAGAGGAACTCCGCTTCACAAATAATGTCCAGCGTGACGGGAAAGGTCATCGCGATCACTGGTGCTGCCTCAGGGATCGGGCTGGCGACTGCCAGACTTCTCGCGCAACAGGGGGCCTTCCTCTCACTGGCCGACATCAATGAAGCCCGGCTGGAAGAAGCGGCCGCAGCACTTCGCCAGCAGTTCTACCCAAGCATTACGTCGAACGGCGGGATGGACCCCGTTCTGACGACTGTGGTCGATGTCCGATCCGCGCAGGCGTGCAACGACTGGGTGCAGAGGACCGTCAACCACTTTAGCCAACCTCTCTCGGGCGCGGCCAATCTCGCCGGCGTCTTCGGGAAAAGCATCGGGCAGGAAGTCGGGGCCGTCCGCAACATGACGGACGCCGAAGCAGAGTTTGTGCTCGATGTCAATTGTCGGGGCACGTTCAACTGTCTGCGCGCGGAGTTGGCACACATGAAGACCGGCACCACCCCCCGAGGCCGCCATGGAGGCAGTATCGTGAACGCGGCGAGTATTGCAGGCTTGATGGGTGTGGAGCACAACGGCCCTTACGTGGCGAGTAAACATGCGGTGGTCGGATGGACGCGCACGGCGGCCAAGGAGGAGGGGAAGAGGGCAATCCGTGTGAATGCGATTGCTCCGTAAGTGTGATGATGTTTTCTTATTATTTCTACACTCCTTCTCCCAGGATTTTGCCAACCCGTCTTCAGTGGAATCATTGCGACGCCGATGATCAGTCAGATTGAAGCAGCGGCCGGGACGACGGAGTTGTTTGGAGCAGGAGACCCGGGAGCATTGGCCCGCAAGGGGGATCCCGAAGAGGTAGCGGCGGTGGTGGTGTTTCTGCTGAGTGACCAGAGTAGTTTTGTCAATGGGGTGGTGCTTCCCGTGGATGGAGGGTGGATGTGTTGATGAGACAGACCATCCAGCGAACTACACAGGATTATCTAGTATCAGACGAATCGCTTCATGAAATGCCGGGTATTCTACCACTGGTCTAATTCCTTCTAATCCTAGTAAAACAGGCGGTTTAAATCCCGCGATATCCAGATCAGGATAGGGTTGGATAGAGGCCAGATGCTTCCGAAAGTAGTAAAGATAGTTAGTTGCTAGCAGTATATAATGTGAACTTTAGACAGCTATGCCACCAGACGGTAAGCTAAGACTAATGCTATCAAACAACCTGCCAGATACACTGCCGACTTGCTGGCCCAGGACATCATCGTCTTGCCCTTGTCCAGAGCATGGCCGTTCTTCTCTCCCTCCCACGGCAACCGACCCTGTGCAAACCCCCGACCAACTTGCACGTAATCCAGCTTGGGAGCCTTTCGAATCAGCTCTCCTAGCTGGTCGGTCAGTTTATGATCGGCCTGGAAGGGCAGCACCCAGCAGGCCACGAATTTCGGCACTATCCCATCCCACGCCTGGACCCTTGTGATCAGCGACGAGAGTTCCATGATCCCACGCACTCGCTGCACCCGATCTCGCTGGTACTGCCGGAAGACCTTCCCCAGCGTGGCCCGGCTGAGTCGAGCCCCCTGATGAGCCGCCACCGTCTGCGCCAGATGGTTGCACAGCACCACGATGGATTCCATTGCCGAGTTCCCTCCCAGCGCAATGTTAGGCGTCACCTTGTGGACGGAGTCGCCCGCCAACACGATCCGTCCATGCGACCAGTGCTGCAGAACGCCTTCTTCCAGGGAGATCAAGGAACCCCGGGTCCGCTTCCGCCAGATGTCCCCGAACACGAGCCTCTCACAGATCGGATGGCCCGCGAAACTGTCGGCCACGGCTTCGGCATCGGCATCCGTATATCGTCGTTTCCGCCGCGGCTGCCCCGAGCCGTCGAGCTCGTGGTGGTGGCGTTCCAACCGGACGAACACAAAGAAGAACAGCTTGTCCGGCTGCGTGAGGAACAGAAACGAGCACCCGTTGTCGTGGACCACGGTCATATCATGTTCGCCTAGTGCTTCCGGTGCTACGGGCGGCCCCATTCCCACCAGGCATTTCCACCGCGTGACCATGGAGGTCTGCTCCTCGTCCTGGAGCTTCTTGTTCTGCTGGTTGGCCAGCTCCCACATTCTCTGTCGAACCAGGCTGTGCACGCCGTCGCAGCCCAGTACCAGGTCGCCTCGTTCAACGGTCCCGTCGTCGAGCACCACTTCGACCCCATCGCTATCCTCAGTCACATCCCGGACCCTGCATCCAAGTCGAAGGAACGACTTGTCCGGGAGGCCGTCATACAGGATCTGCAGAAATTGTCTCCGTTCGAGGAGAAGAATGTCGTGTCCATGGCTTTTTGTTCCGGGATGTCCTTTTTGTCAGTGAAACAGTCCCCTCCACTTATGGAACATGTATATTGGGGAAGAGAGTTGAGTCTAGGAAGAGAAAAATGGTCACAACATACTTGTCACGCACGTTCCTAAAGAACCGACTATTGCTCCAGACTTTCCCATCAGGGCCTCTGGTGATGAACCGATCACAGGGGTGACAGGCCGCGCGCGCCGCATCCAGGCAGCCCATCTGTGACAAAATGCGGGCTCCATGCGGGTAGATGGCGATGCTGGCTCCCACCGGAGGAGCCACTTCTGAGGATCTTTCGAGCACGACGTGATCGATGCCCGCCTGCTGAAGAGCATGCGAAGCCGTCAATCCAGCCACCCCGCCTCCTACAACGATGACGCGGAAGTTGGATATCATTCTTGCTTGGTTAATGAGCGCTGGTATTTTCCCTTCCTGGTATATAATCAGTCGTTCTCTTTTTTTTTTTTTTTTTTTTTTTTTTTTTTTTTTTGGGGACTAAATGAGATCTAAAAACTCACACTATAACACCACATGGATGAAGTTCTTTCCCTCCAAGAGAGATCATCAGACAAGCTTCGGGCCGAGAGCTGTACATTCATCTCTCTGAAATTGTCACCGATAAGGAAGTGATTATTATGCCTGCGAGCGGGACTGTCATTCGGTCCGAAACCAAATGGTCATATTGCCCGAGCAGTAATCCATCCGTATACACTCAACTTTGATGGGAAATACAGGTTGCCTTCCTTTCTTAGGCACCTATTTGTCTATAGTAAAAAGTGTAGCCAGCACACACACACACACACGTCCCCAGAGTATCTAGTAGCTTCAGAAGGGTGGAACATGGGGTGTATACAATGCACTGTACACTTTCGGTCCAAATCCCCCGGACTGTTTCTAGGTCCCCACCAAGAAAAAGGGGGGAAAAGAGACAGAACGAAACACGGAACTGGAGGCTAAATCGAAAAGAAAGGGTGAGACTATAGTTGGAAGAGTATTCACTACAGCGCAAGACTACGCGGGTTGAAGAAATGCTGATGCGAATGAGAACAAGTCGATAATTGGAATCCAGTATTCAGAACTAGTTTCTCGAGTCCATCTATCAACATAAACAACTTTATGGCTTGGGAATGTACATAGCTATAGAATCAGCCTGTTGATGGTGGTAGGGTTAGGGTTAAGTAGAATCTCTACGCCGAGGTTAATCCGTTCCGGGCTTCTTCCGAACCACTTCAGGAGGAGGCTGTTACTTGTCTTCATCTTCCCACTGCGACAGACCAGTCTTTTACGGCCATGTTTGCCAGATATTCATCAATAAATCCATTAAAGTCCTCCGGTTTGTACGGCTCCAGAAACTCAGCCACTTGATTGGACTTGCGGCGGCTGTTCAATCCCAGGTCGCGGAAAAGAGTGTCGACATACTTTATACACCTCCATATATTAGTACTACCAATGGCAAAAGAAGAATTTCCACAGGAGCTGAGAGAGAGAGAGAGAGAGAGAGAGAGAGAGAGAAGGTTTAACCTACCGGGAGGAACTCGTATAGAGAGTACGGCAACTTATGCCCCTGTGTAAGATACCTCTTGCGGGTCCACGCATTCCACAACGAGACTTCCCACGCCATCTCGTCCACACTTGGCAGGTTCAGTTCCCCAAGCAGATACAGGATACTCCAGAATGACTGCACCTCCGAGACTAGGGGCGTCTGAATGGTGTGGATCTGCCCCAGGATGGCGACGGAACGGTCCCCTTTCTGCGCCAGTCCGACCGGGATCGCGCGACGATACAGCCTCCACTCGCTACGGTGAGTCGTCCCAATGCGATCGGTATGCTTGAGATGCGGGGGTTCCGCAAGGAAGGGTAGTTGCTGGTCCACCACTTTCTCGGCCGCTGCATCGTATTCCCTCCAGTCGACAACCCTGTCAGAGGACGGCGGCGCCTTGGGCGAGGACAGAGGAAGTCCCAGTTCGGCCTTGGTCTTGTCATCGAACATGTCAAAGTGATTCCCCCAACCGGTGCAGAGGACCAGACCGTCTACCTGTAGCGTCTGCCCGGACTGCAGGGAGAGATGATCACCCTTGATGGTGTCAATCGCATCTCGGAGCACGGTCAGGTTGGGACTATGCAGGGTTGGCCAGAAATCCGGGAGAGTGACGACTCCCAATCCGGAATTGGCCCAGAAGACACTGGGGAATTTCAGTAATTGTGATGAGCCTCTCCCACCGATGATCAAAGAGGTTCTCTGGAAAAGTACACACACACATACACAGAGAGAGAGAGAGAGAGAGAGAGGGAAAAAAAAACCCACCTTTGTCGGTCAATTTCCGGTCTCAGCATTTGAACATGATCGCCCTTCGAGTATCCCGCATGGGCGTGACTCAAATAGGTTAATGCATCCCAGAATCTACCTACGCACCACCGCCCGATAGGGTTCCGCTGAAACGCCCAGCACAACGGTCCCTTGATGTTCAAGATAGATGGTGTCAAGTACGTCATCAGGCGGGTCGATGCGAAAGCGATGGGGTTCACCAGCCCCAGAATCTTAAACGGCATGATCGCCAGCGGACCGGCACCATCCCGGCGGATGATCCAGGTCACCTTCTTCCCCATAGAGAGGAGTAAGTAGACGGCATCATAGGCGGACTTGGCCGCGCCCACCACGGCGACGTGCTCCACTGACCCGTTCTGTTGCAGTATGGGAATAGAGCTGCCCAGATCCCGCGAGTGAATGATCGGGACCGTGGCGGTATTGGCGCCAGGGTACTCCGGCGTATAGGGAATCGATGTTACTCCCGTGCAGACGAGGAGCTTCTCTGTTCTGATCATGTCGCTGGAGTCTTTAAATGTCAGACGCCATCTCCGCTTGTCGCCTTCTTCCCGTGCTGCGTTGGTAACGAAGGTGTTGAAGCGAATCCGGCGCAGTAGATCATGGTCCTCCGCGTACTGCTGGAGATAGTTATGGATCATGTCTCCGGTGACATGCTCATCTTTGGGATCGCCACCATTGGGGGGCATTGCCGTATCGGTATAATTGAACAACTTTGTTCAGCGGAAGCGTCAGAGAGATTGTTTGGCATTTAAACTCTTGGAAAAGCAGAATTACTCACCCCAAGCCGAACTTGAGCGACAAGATTAGGATAAACACGGTCCCGACTCCACACTCCTCCCACGGTGCTGTCATTGTCGATAATAATGAGGTTGGCCGCGGGTCGCAAGCGAAGATATGTTCTGGCGGCCACCAAGCCGTACCATCCTGCCAAGTATCAGCTTCTTTTCGTCACTCACACGGAGAACAGATCATCATGACAGATCATTATGAGGATCGGGAGGGTTTACAACCTGCGCCAATGATAGCGACATCCACCTCCTGCACCTGGTCTGGCATCATGGTCGGTAGGTATTGTGCTAATTGATGCTGGATGACAGTGGTCGACTAGGACACCGTTTTGATGGGACTGCCCTACACTCTTGATATATCAACCAATAGCACGAATCCAGAGCCAGATCAAGACAGACTCGATCTGGATGAGAGAAAAAGAGAGACCTGCTACACCTGCTACACTCCGAACGGACACATGTCTCCGTTTATAGCCATCGCATGAGAAATGCCATGTTTCGGGCAATTCGGCCCGATCGGTCCAAATCGGCTCAAAGCTCACTCATAGGCACTTGGCTATAGAGGCTATAAGAGATTAGAGCACAGTTGTTCGGACATGACAGCAGTTGATGGAAGCGCGGAAGGTGGGGGTTGGATTCGGGCAGTGTACCTGGGAATCTACAATCAATCTACCCGCACTCTGACAGAAAGCGGCGAGAACCAATAATCCAATGAAGAGCGGAGCCTTCTGTCAACAGCTAAAACATTGACTATCATGGATGTTGTGGTCTATAGCCTACCTAGGTATGTGGCCGCTAAGGCCAAGAATGACAAGTAGAGACATCGTATCGTGACTTTGAAAAAAAAATGGAGCAAGAAGACCCAAGGATGAAGCCAGGGATTCCTGATTCAATGGTACCAAAAGCAAATCTAAGCATTCCACTTTTCTCACGAGTATCGCCGTTGAGAGTCCAGCTCGAGATGAATATCATACTGGGTACTGAAAAAGGTGGAGATATCAGCTTCTGCCGCCTGCAGCTCATGCTCTAGCACCCCCAACTTCAATTTCCATGCACCCGTTTCCCCCAAGGCGGCCTGGAGATTTCGGAATTCCACCCAGCGTGCGGTATTGGCGAGGTTGGCTGTCTCCTGTAACCGGGCTACCAGGATGTCCAGAATTTGAAAGGTTTGGTTGATATCCAGGGTCATCCGCCGAGCCCACACCAGATACTCGGCCACGGCGGTGGTGATCCCCGCAATATATGCCTCGTTGGCGGAGGTTGCAGACACAAACCGGATGAGCTCACGGAGAACCGTGCACTCATCGTTCCGCTGAGGCGGGTCCTGTAGCTGCTGCTGCCACTGGTGATCTCCATTCAAAGCACGAATAGTGCGAAGGGTGGGCAGACGGGGACTGGGCGGACGGACCTCCGGTAGTGCTGGATCATTATTGATCGACCCCCTTCCGGTGGGAGCAGACAAGTCCTGCTCGTCTAGTAAAGGGGGTGGAGAGGACAGGGACGAGGGCAACGATTGTAGGTGCATCTCCTCCTCTGTAGTAGTAGTAGTAGTAGTAGTAGCAGTAGTAGTAGCAGTAGTAGCAGTAGTAGTAGTAGTACTCGGGCCCCCCAAGAGACTCGCGAAGGGACTCAACACGCCCGCCAAATCCTCGGGACCAGGAATCTTTGTCGCCATATCGCCGCTTGATTCATCTCTCAGGGGTGCCTCCAGTGACAATAGAGCCGGTTGGGATCCACTCAAGTGCGAGAAAGGCGGCGGGGAAGCCTCGATGGAAAACAAGGAAGCGGTGGGAAGATGGAAAGGTATCCCATAGCCGTGGGACGCGGAAGGGCAGATCAATGATGATGACGAACAATTCAGCCTTTCCTCCGCTCGGGCTAGTTGGAATTTTCCAAGTGTTAGCAACCGGGGTGTGTGTGTGTGTGCTTTCTGAGAAAGGAAAAGGAATATATGCACGGCCTCAATCCAAGTAAAATAAGCACGAATGTTTACCCACCCAGACGATCTTGTAAGTCATCAATTTTGGCGAGTAGATCGTTCTTTGACTGCCTGGTGGACTGCACGTAGACACATGTCTCCCCATGCCGCTTGCACGTCTCGCATGATGGCTGCCCTCCGTCACAGCGGACTTTGCGATCCCGGCAAGTTCGACATGCCATGTGTCGGGATGAAGCCGTCATGCTGGTGACAAGTCAGTGCTGACGGAGATGGGATTCTTGATGAGAAGATAAAGGATGTCTGGACTGAGGCCCATCTGAGAATCTACCTGTCTTAGAACCCTAGTGGGCGCGGGTGGTCAGCGATCCAACCTAAAAGGCCCCCAGACCTCTGTCAGATCTATTATGTAGCCAGCAGCAGGCATTTTCTATTCTGGAATGGCATGGTGGTTGTTTATAATTTATTTTATTTTATTTTATTTTATTTTTTGCGGTACAATCAACGAGAACTAAAGTCGCATCTCTACCGTGCTTACATGACGCATATGTATGTACGAACTTGCAAGGGTAATGCAGTAGTGAATATTCGTTGACCCAGTCAACGGTAGATATTCTCGGCCATTAGTTGATGGTGGTGCTGCTCGGCGACTGCACGGCATTTTCTTTTTCTGTTTACCTACACGTAGTAAGCAGCACATCTGAGGGGATCAGAGTAGGACCAGGGGAGCCTGGGGTAGCTGTATCGGTAGGTAGGAAGGAAGCGAGTGGCGGCAGAGCGCATCTTATCTTGTCTGATCTGGGGTTACGGCAAGATCCGTCGCGGGAAGATCCGGCGCGGCAACCGAATTCCGCTCGCCTATACTCTATTACTCCGTAGTCCGTACTTTCAATGGGTACGTGGTTGGAATTCTGAAATTAACCTGGTAGATAAGAGCAGACTGCAGGATTCGGTCTATTTTCTGGCACCTTGATCCTGACGTTTTTGCAATGCTTAACGCGTCTTTTCTAGGAAGTGGTTAGGTGAACAGGAGTAAGCACTAAGCAGCTGAAGGAATAAGACATGACAAAGAGAACCGGACTCAACGCGAAGCACTGCCAAAGACTTGCGATAACTAGTTACCCCCCTGGTACTTAACCCGGAGAATCCGGCTTCCCCGGGAGCTATTTTCAGAAAGCCTGGCGCCATTGTTTCGAGATGATTGAATTGCATTGTTTCTCGTAGAAGAACCCATTTTCCAAGGGCTTCCGTGAACGAAGAGCATGAGAAAGTATCACTGACATCAATTCTCGGCCCTTACGCCGATCGATACCATTTTTCTCCTCCATGCTCGGGCCGGGCATGACACAATCTTCCCGACGGCGGCCATCTCGATTGTCTCTTGTGATGGAAAAAAAAAAAAAAATAAAATAAAATAATATACACGGGTCAGCGAGATATAAAAGACATCCGCCAGTTCGTCGGATACAGGGTTCAGCGATGAATACAACTCAGCTTGAAGTGTGTGTAGAGAACAAGATATCAGGCCAGAATGAGTCCTCCGATTCTCAACTTCCCCAGCCTTCAACCCGCCATTGTTTGGAAGGTCAATGCAGGCGCCGCTCACTCAGTTGGTACGTTGTAGAGCGCCCCACCACCATCCCCCGGGTAAGAGAATGCTTACACTTACTCTTTGTTGAATCGTCCATAAATCCAGGACGCCGTCAAAGTGGACCGACCCTGATACATTTTGTAAGAGAGAGACTCCCGGTGAAGGAATATCGTGTCTTGCATGGGTTTACTGACAAGCGAGGGACCAGGAAACTCCCACCGGCACGGTCGAAACCGTGGAGGGCTTTGAGCCCCAACTCAATGGCAAGATCGTGTTTGGTGCTGACTGGCTTGAGTTCGATCCGGACCAGAAACATGCCCGTATAAACATGAAGGCCATTGCCACGTACCGTTCCTTGCCTTGCATTGTAATGCCGCGGGGCCAGGGGTGATAACTGACAATGTTTGCCCAGGACCGACGACGGCAAGGAGATCAGTTTTGGATACACGGGAATTATTGAGCTCAATGAGGCGGTGATGAAGATCTTTAATCAGACGCCGGATTCCGTGAGCGTTCCATTCGGCTTCAGCAGTGAGTGTTTCCCTCTTGCGGGTAGCATGGCTGAGACTCTTGCTGAAAGAAATCATGGTCTTAGCGGGTGCCCACTCCTTCTTCAGCGGCGATCCCTCCTTGAAGGAACTGGAAAACATGACCTTGGTGGGCAATGGGCGAATGCTAGTGGATCCGGAGACTCGTGTGATTACCGTCGAGTCTCGCCTCTCAAGGGTTGTTCCTGCTACGGGATTCGATTGAGTTGATCAGGCCTCCTGGGAAACTCAAGGCTCAGTTGGAGAACTGCAAAGAATGAGCCCACGCAGAGGCAACACTTGATTGATGTATTTAAGAATATCTACAAAGTTTCCCCGAAGCTTGATGCAGGTACCAGGCTCTCCCAGTTACCAATTCGCTAGCAGTAGTGCACATCATGGACATGCGGCTTACCTAGTATCCGCTACCCGCCATCCATCAGTGTCTGTAAGAAGCTCAGGTGCTGACTTACATCCCTTACTTCCATAACATCTTCTACATTCTCCCTGCGTAAATGTGACCGGCAGTTCCTCTCCATTCACATTACACGGGAATACATTCCGGTCAAGTCTTTGAGGAGAGCTTTCTTTGTTGACTTGGGATGGTGGTGGTGGTGGTGGTGGTTCTGATGACTGAGTCGATCTTAGATTAGTCGCCGACTCGTCATGAAGACAACTTCAGTTGATTCTCTTCCGTCGGAATTTGGAATTGTCTCGTACGCAGTTGATGGCAGAAAGACAAGGTTTACCCACTGTGATATATTTGAGCATTACTATAGCAGTAAATTCGAACAGCGCCAGAGTTCTCTGTCCGGCAAAACTACCCTGACGCTGATCCCAGTAGTTTTTTTTCACGGCTAACTAAAGGAGCAATGCCACAGAGGAGCCCATCAGTCCCTAGTAGGAGAACTCCTGTCCAACCAAGTCCTCACTGAGTCGCCACAGTCTTTCGGCTTCAAAGCTGCTCGTAGCCCATGGTTTGACCGTGTCCACCAGCGGATCGGAAACATGGCAGTCGATCAGGTAGGCCCCGTTGGTGGCTATCGACAGTCAGTACATTGTAAGGTCGTCATCTCTCCTGTAGACAGGAAACTATACCCTTGAGACACGGATCAAATGCCGCGTAGATGTGGGTTGCGGCTCCTCTTTCCAGTGGTTTCGCGTCGAACTCCTTCCACCCTTCCGGGTTACCCAGAGACTTGTCCGCGCTCCCTAGCAAGAGTCAGTCAGTTCCAGGCCTGGTATCTGTGTGTGTGTGTGTGTGAGCAGGGAGGAGCTCGAGATTCCCTTACGCAGTTCACCAAGCTCCACGCCCCAGTCCAAATGATTGCCCAGGTTGGTCCAGATGACTCCTGGGTGGAGACTGAAAGCCTGGAGATTATGTTTCATCCCAAGCTTCCGGGCCAGCGAAATGACAAACAGCATATTAGCGGTCTTGCTCTGACCATATGCGTACCAGCGGTTGTACGTTTTCCCATCCTGCCCATGCGTACATTACTGTTAGTGTTGTTTCTTTCTTTTTTTTTTTTTTTTTTTTCGTGGGTGAATCTAGCCAACTTTCATCAGATGAATGAAAAGAAAAAGAAAAGTACCTACATCAAAGTTATAGTCATGGAACCGGAACGGGTTCAAGCGATGACCATCGCTACTGACCACCACAATTCTTGGCTCCCTGGCAGCCACAATCTTCTTCATGATCAGATTGGTGAACAAGAACGGGCCGAGATGGTTCGTGGCCAGATGGGACTCAAACCCGTCGGGGGAGAGCTGGTAGTCCACTGCCATGATTCCGGCATTGTTGACCAGGACATCAATCACGGGAATGTCGTCCCACGAGCTGTTGACCTGCGCGGCGGCCTCCCGCACGCTTTTCAGGGAGCCCAGGTCAACTTGGAGCGTGCGGACCTGGATCTCCGGCTGGGCTGCGGTGATCTCCGCGGCCATCTGGGCTAGCTTGTCGGCATTGCGGGCGGCGAGGATGAGCCACGCAGGTTTGGCCTTCGCGATGGCTTGGACGAAGAAGCCTCCCAAGGAACCCGAGGAGACGCCCGTGGTCAGAATGACCTTGCCCTTGATCAGGGGGGCGTAGTCAGAGACGAGTTCATCGGTGGTGGTATGAGTGGTGTAGGGGGCCGGCATGGTGATGATGGTGTATGCTAAAGGGAGAGCGGTTGTCTAGAGAGGGGTATAAGTAGGTTGGAAGGGTTTCGTTTGTCCTTTTGATTTGTAATATAGTCAACTAGTTAACTAGTTAACTAGAGTTCTATTTGGCCATCAGATGAGATTTTGAAAGCTCTGCATGTACAGGGAATTGAGAACAAGGCATGAAATGAATCCTCTGGACCGACAACTAGGCAAGGCAAACCCTACTCCGGTTGACCCCGGTGATTTGTAACTTTGGTAGATGTTTCAACAGGGAATATATGCACATCCCATGCATGGCCTGAGGTCATGTTCATGGGCCAGGAGAAAGGATACGATGGGTGGGGATGTACTGCTTCATTGTGATTTGGCTGTGGTGACTTAGTTCCGGGCGACTTTGCCCGATGCTATCTACTCGCTTCGGACACTATGCAGTACATATGCTCCCCCTCTTTACTCGCTAACTAATACAACACTTGTCCAATGTATCATCCACCTATCCACCTCGGCCCGGAAGGCCCGAGCCTACTGTCGCCCTCCTCTCTACTCCTCTTTCCGGTTGCCTTTGGCCACAGTCGTATCAGTAGTAGGTAGCATCAACAGTTCATCCCGGACCCAGTTGAGTCCAAGGCACACACTTCCCGGCCCTGCAATCAAGACCCCACCAACAATTCCTACCAGGACCTTTGTCCCGGCCCATCGCTGATGATACCACCCTCGGGCAACAAGCACAGTGCGTAACTGCGACCAGGCCACCAAGATTCCCACAATATATCCAAACAATTGGTCCCAGAGGAAAAAACTGAGCACTCCGTCTCCCACCGTGCGCGTGGGGGTAACCGCAACCGGAGGGATCAGTAGTCTCGCCGGGTGGAAGTCGTCCAGCGTCTCGGGGGCCCAGAGGGTCGGAAAGAGAACGGTGGTCAGGCTGATACTCAGCAGACCCATGTGGACAGCAAAACTGATCCAAAGGGAGACGGCGTACACTATTCGCAGTGTAGTCCTGCGCGTACTAGCAGTAGTGGCATATTTCTCTCCGTCTCCTCCAGCTAGAAGGAGCACGTAATGAAAGACCTGCATGCTGACATAGACCAGGGCGGGGAAGAGGTTCCATGCCACCAGGGCCAATTGTTGAAAATCATTGGATACCACGCCAGGCGAGGGGAGCGCCATTGCCACCGCCGGGAGAAGATAGCCCAGGATAAGACTGGGAAGAACCAGCATGATTCGGCGCGGCGGGGCGCTGGATTGGATGCGCAATTCCTCGAATGAGGGAGGGATGGCGTTGTCATAGGTGACCAGAGGGCTGTTGGCAAGGTACCAGAAGGCCCAGAATGGACCGGTACACGCGATAGCCGACAGTTGGAACAGCAGGAGCCAGAGCGTCGTCCTGTGTGTCTGTCAATACCTAGAACCCTATCTAATAAAATCAGCAAGAGACGCACGACTCACCCAATGGGGATAGTGGTCCTCCCGGATTGGCTCCGTCTCGCACTATCCACATAAATCCCGGTCAGCACGCTGAGATACTGCGCCAGGAAGTAAATGCCAATGGCAGAAGTGGCCGGATGGGATCCATCCACGGCTTCCCAGAAAAACACCAGGAGCATATCCAGGAGATAATCAATGGGCCAGACGATGCCCGTGATGCGCGTCCGCAGCGGAGACTCGGTGCCAGGCAGGATATAGGGTAGATTCGGTCCATGAAGGGCCGTCAGGAGGTGGGACAATGAGCCATCCAGGACAGTCCGCCCCCAGGTGTGGTATGTCCCCAGGGCACTGAGCAGGTATAGGGTTGCCTTCAGTTGATTCCGGGTTGTCGGTGCCATGGTGATAGGCTAGAATCCACGCACTCGTATACTGGGACTATTGCAACTTCCCCCGCCATCGCCTTATTTATGCCATCAGTCGGAGGATTCATTCTCGGTGGCCAGAAGCAACTCGGGCCGAGACCACCGAAAGGATGACGACCTCCTCGAGTCGATTTCTGGGGATTTATACCACCAATGGTGCTATTGTCCGCCAGGGTTGATGCAGGTGCCTGTCGCTAAATTGTGCACGAAACCAGAAACAAGGGTGCGGACTGGTATATACAATCCAACGAAGACGACACTATGGCCGCCCTCCTCTACACTCTGTGCTTCCTCCCCACAAGCCTGGCCACCATCGGCGTAGGTCTTTCGTCCAGCGGCGTCACGGAGCTGTTCGGCAACTCTTTCGGTCTGCCCAGCGAGAATGCCACCTATGATTACATCGTGGTCGGCGGAGGCACGGCAGGTAATGCGATTGCCGCACGACTGGCCCTGGACCCGGCCAATTACTCGGTGGCCGTCGTCGAGGCCGGTTCGTTCTACGAAGTCCTCAACTCCAACCGCACCCAGGTGCCCGGCTATGACTTTTACTCGGCGCTGGCCAACTTTGTGGGCGGCTCGTTCGAATCCCTGACCAATTTCGGCTTGAGAAGTGCACCTCAAGGGGTACGTCTGCACTCGTACGAGTATGCTTTTTTTTTTTTTTTTGCCCCTGGTGTTAGTTACTGACTGGACGTGTATGCAAAGGGTTACAATGGACGCGAGATCCTGTATGTTGCCGGGCAGACTTTTGGCGGAAGCTCGGCCTCCAACTACATGGGGTATGCGCGCGCCACCGAGGGCACATTTGATGAATGGTCCAAGATGGTCGGCGATGATCTCTGGTCCTGGGACAATGTGTATCCCGCGTACAAGAAGAGCTGTAACTTCACGGCGCCCAACTACAACAAGATCGATCCGTCCTTCAACATTTCGTACGATGCGTCGGCCTTTGAGCGCACCGGGGGCCCTCTCCAAGTATCGTACGGCAACTATCTCGGTCCGTATGGTCCGTACCTGGAAGAATCCCTCGACAAGCTCGGCTTTGAACGCCTCCCGGGACTCAACAGTGGGCGACTGATTGGTTATGCCACGATCACGACTGCCATTGATCCAGAGGAAGCCACGCGCAGCAGCTCCGAAACCTCATTCCTGCAGCTGGCGGCACAGCACTCGAATATTAAACTGTACCCACAGACACTGGGCTCTCGGGTTCTATTCGATGAGAACAAACGGGCCACGGGTGTCGAGGTGCAGACCAACTCGTTGATGTCGAAATTCAAGTATCATCTCAATGCGAACAAAGAGGTCATTGTCTCTGCCGGTACCGTAAGTCAATTTTTCGACCCGTGACCCTTGAGTGTTTCCCATTACTCACCCAGACTAATCCTCCTCCTCTCCTCTGTTAGTGGCACTCTCCTCAAATCCTGATGCTGTCCGGCGTTGGCCCATCAGAGACTCTGCAAAAGTACAACATCTCGGTTGTGGCAGACCTGCCCGGAGTAGGTCAGGGGGCGAGGGTAAGAGTTTTTCCCTCTTCAAAAAGTGAAAAGTGCACGATAAGAAGCAAGAAGCTAATGCGCCTGGCATATGTCAATAAAGGACCAACCGTGGATGGCCCTGTCGTATAAGGTCAATGTGACCACCGGCACCCAAGTGGCTGCGGGCAATGCCGAATTCTCAGCGGCCCGAGTGGAAGAATATCTGACCAACCAAACGGGTCTGCTGTCCAGCATCGGAGGAGGCCAAGCCCTGGCCTTTGAGAAGTTCCCGGCCTCCTTCCGTCAGGAGTTCAGCCAATCCACCCGGGACTTCCTCGACACGTTCCCGAGTGACTGGCCCGAGGCCAACTATCTTTCCCTGGAGTATGGCTCCTACCCGTCCGACCTGGGTGCCGACGACAATTACCTCACCATCGGCTCGGCCCTCCTGACCACCTCTGCCCGGGGCAATCTGACCATCCAGAGCGCGGACATCGCCGATCCCCCGATCATCAGCCCCAACTGGCTCCTGGACGAGGGCGATCAAGAACAGGCCATTGCTGCGCTGCAGCGGATTCGAGAGATCGCGTTCAATAGTACCATTGTCGAGGAAGAATATCTGCCGGGCTCCAATGTGACGACTCGCGCGGAGATCCTGGAGTGGCTCAAGGATAACATGAGTCTGATCTACCACGCCACATCATCCTGTAAGTTTACCCTCTTCCTTTATAATGGGCCTATCCCCAGGCGGGTGAGCATTGTCCAACTAATGGCCCTTTTCTTTTACCTTGGTGTGATATTTAGGCAGGATGGGTGTTTCCAACGATACCACCGCCGTCGTGGACTCTCGGGCCCGGGTGCGTGGAGTGACCGGCTTACGGGTCGTTGACGCCAGTGCTTTTCCTTTTGTGCCTCCAACATTTCCGATGGCCACTGTTTGTACGTCTTTTCCAGATTCGAGAAAGACAATCCGCCCCCGCTGAAGAAGTTGGTGACTAACGAAATGGTTGCTAGACATGTTCGCTGAGAAGATTGCCGAGTCGATCCTAGATGGTCAGTGATGGAGACAGCCTGGAAAACTGCCGAGGACGTTCCAAGGACAGTCATTCTCGGCCTGTGTACGGAGTACATATAAGAGAATACATGTGCAGACTATACTAGTGGTTGTTTGAGTGAGTGCTGTTTCTTGGATTTTAGATAGTATAAATCTCTCGACCCTTCCTCGGCATATATTACTTTTAAAAAAAGTAGCAGCTCCTAGGTACGGAGTATAATATTCCAGTTCGTATAATCCGTATTTAGGATGGCGGTGGCTCGGAACTTGGGCTATAAAGCTCCGCCAAATTGAACCTTTTTAACTTGTCGTAGTCACTCCCAGCAACGCTCATGCCAATTACATTCTATAACGAGATAATGGTTAGCAGAGGGTGTTGCTTGAATTTTTCGGGGTCGTACCTGAACCACATCAACGAGAATGATCAGATCATAATTCTTCAGATTCACAGGGTGCTCGGGCCCAACAACATCTGCAACCGTCTTGATGACGATATCCCTGTTGAATTTTGAATTGGCTCTTACCGACGGCCGAATGGCGTACTGTAGATTGGAATTTGTCACCTGAGAAATTCCCGTAGAAAAGGGGAGCCGGGGGGGGGGGGGGGGGTCGCAAACCTTTTTCGGAGGGCCTCCGGAATGGAAATGCGGTTTGAGAATCTCCCGCGCAAAGGCTTCCAAATCAACACTAAGGGTTTTTCGAATGGACCGCACTGGTGTCATTCGTTGGATAAAACGGCTGCGCTTTTTATTTGGGTTGACATGAGCGTCAACGCAGATCTGGTGCACGAGCTTCTCAGGATCAATTGATTTATCGAATTTCACGAATGTTACTGGCTTTCTTCAGTCTCAATCACGCTTTGCTCAGGGGAAGAATTGACAAACCGCAGGGGAGATCGGTTTTGACAGCTTGGAATAAGGAGGATGGTTTTGCATTGGCTGGCTTCAGCCCTTCGACTTCTTTGCGAATTTGCGCCTCGATATCATCCTCATCGGAGTCAGGCTCCTCGTCATTGGCGTCCTCGTTCAGTGCTTCCACACTCTAAAATGGGCGATATGTTAGAAGCCGGTAATGCCCGGAGGGCCACAGAAAGCCCCCGATGCAAAGTCTCCCATGCATAGTGAACCAACCTGAGTGAAAAGGTCCACGGCCTCAGCACCGCATTTCTTTTCTTTGCCTATTTCGGAAGTCACAAATACTCCCCAATCACCGCTCTCGATGTTTGATCGTGCGCTTTGTGGCTTTTGCCAGTTCCCGCCCTGGATCACATATCAGGTCTATTGTCCAGGCAAGCAGCAGATAGTTGTCTAGGGGCCAACCTTTCTCCTCTTATGGGACTGACTGGAAGGGTCGCCGCCACCAGGCATCGTTCGCTTCCCAGTCTCGGCCATTCACAAAATTTAGCTACCTTCCAGCTGGGCTTCGGCCGAAACGAAATAGCTAGGTGAACACGTTCAATCCCAAAGAATGCGACGGTGAGAAGTTCGCCTCTGAACAGACTTCTCATTGCCCCTCTCCCAAATTAGAATATTCTTCCTGTGGTGAAGGTGGGGTGTTGTAATAGTCCGGTTTAGGTTTAGCGCCCCTGCCACCCAAAGCTACCTAGATCGTTCGAAACAGCTTCAGAGGTCAATTGGAATAGCTATTAGCAGGTCCCTGAATCAAAGGTAACATCTGTTCTGTTGGCTGATCGGAATATTTTTGCGCGGGTCTTGGAATGTCATCCCTGAACATCTTATCAAAGGCCCTGGCTAGGAGATGTTTGAGACGGTTAGCTACCTATCATGCCACCTTTTATTGGGGCCTGTCAGCCAACCAAGTTGTCAGAGTGTCTTAAGATTTATAACAATCACAGCTTGAAAAGCATGACATCACGTTGTGTCCATGACGTACGATTTGATTTGTTGGCATGATATGGAGGACTTATCACTGCTTAGGTACTTACTATATATATCTTCCGTCAGCATAACCCCTCCTGAGTGTTTCCCCCTCCTTCCCACACAATTACTTTGTTATCATCCTCCTTCCAATATTCAGTTTAGAACCATCGTCAACTTTTCGACTGGTCGAAATGGCAACCGACATAGCTACAAGGGAGCTTCGTCAGCCTATGGATGTCGCGGAATACCTTTTTCGTCGTCTCCATGAGGTTGGGGTACGTTCGATCCATGGTGTTCCTGGTGAGAAAGGCCCCAGCATCTTATTGATCCAACTACTACTGACATGTTGTTCTCTCATAGGGGACTATAACCTTGTTGCTTTAGATTACCTCCCGAAGTGTGGTCTGCATTGGGTTGGAAACTGCAATGAACTCAATGCTGGTATTTTCAATCACTCGGAGTGGCCGGAGCTGTAAAATGTGACATCTAACGCTCAATCCTGCAGGTTACGCCGCCGACGGTTACGCTCGAGTTAATGGAATTGGTGCTTTGGTAACTACTTTCGGTGTAGGCGAGCTCTCGGCACTCAATGCCGTTGCTGGAGCCTTTTCTGAGTTTGTGCCGATCGTTCACATTGTTGGCCAACCACATACAAGGTCGCAGAAAGATGGCATGCTGCTGCACCACACCTTGGGCAATGGAGATTACAATGTGTTTGCTGCGATGAGTGCCGGAATTTCAACGACTATGGCGCGATTGAACGATACTCATGAGGTGGCAACGCTTATCGACAATGCTATCCGGGAATGTTGGATTCGAAGCCGGCCCGTCTACATCACGCTTCCTACGGACATGGTGACGAAGAAGATCGAGGGAGAAAGGCTCAATACCCCAATTGACCTCTCCCTCCCCCCTAATGATCCTGAAAAAGAGGACTATGTGGTGGATGTTGTCCTTAAATATCTGCATGCTGCGGAGAGGCCAGTAATCTTGGTAGATGCTTGTGCCATTCGCCATAGGGTGCTGGAGGAGGTTCACGACTTGATTGAAGCCTCTGGGCTGCCTACATTCGTGGCCCCCATGGGCAAGGGAGCTGTAAACGAGGCTCATAAGTCGTACGGCGGTGTTTATGCTGGCACTGGATCTAACCCTGCAGTCCGCGAGCAGGTTGAATCTTCGGACCTTATCCTCAGCATTGGTGCCATCAAGTCTGATTTCAACACCACCGGCTTCTCCTATCGCATTGGGCAGCTGAACACGATTGACTTCCACAGCACATTCGTCCGCGTCAGATATTCAGAATATCCGGACATCAATATGAAAGGGGTTCTGCGCAAAGTGATCCAAAAGATGGGTGCTGTCAATGCTAGACCTGCTCACTATGTCTCGAACCAAGTGCCAGAGGTTGAGCAAGCCTCAAGCACGCAAGCCATCACCCACGCCTGGTTGTGGCCCACGGTTGGCCAGTGGATGAAGGAAAACGACATTGTTATTACCGAAACTGGCACTGCAAACTTCGGAATCTGGGATACTCGGTTCCCCCCGAAAGTCACGGCTATCAGTCAAGTCCTTTGGGGTAGCATCGGCTACTCCGTCGGAGCTTGCCAGGGCGCTGCATTGGCTGCCAAGGAGCAGGGTAATCGCCGGACGCTGCTGTTCGTTGGTGATGGAAGCTTCCAGCTTACTGTACAGGAAGTCAGCACAATGATCAGGAATAACCTCAATCCAATCATGTGAGTTCTGCCACATCCATATGTGTCAATCTTAGTGGGTGCTGATATAATATTAGTTTTGTGATTTGCAACAACGGCTATACGATTGAACGGTTTATCCATGGATGGGATGAAGGCTACAACGATATCCAGACCTGGGATGTTAAAGGAATTCCTGTTGCATTCGGCGGAAAGGACAAGTACAAGGGCTACAAAGTCACAACCAGGGATGAACTTACAGAACTGTTTGCCAATGAGGAGTTCTCCTCGGCTCCATTCTTGCAGGTAAGCGTGTCCGGCATCATTGCCTATTCTTTCACCCAGGTACTAACTCAGAGTAGTTGGTTGAGCTCCATATGCCCTTGGACGATGCTCCTGCGGCTTTGAAAATCACGGCTGAAGCGGCGGCCTCCAGGAACGACAAGAAGTAGGGTGCACGTAGCATTCTGCAGGGCAAGGGGGGTAGATCGCCTAATTGATGCACGACAACTCGAATTATCTATTCTTTTACCCTAGAGAACTTAAATAATAATGACCACTCAATTGATCACTTCAAGTTCATCTTGCTTGCTCCCGACTTTAGTAGACGAACTAGAGCCCTTTAGCCTGACAAGAGTATATTGGGAAATGGTATGAGTGGCCGGTTGACCAGGGTAAGGTGGACCATGTACGACCCGGACTCCCAGACTATCTCAAATAGTACTCCGTAGTACCGTACGGCGTATTCGCTTTCGCACTCTGCTAATCCGAAGGAAAAGCGAGATATTGAAAGGAAAAGCGAGATATTTCCAAACAAACCAAAGTTGGTTCGTGCCTTATCGCGCATTTCACGTGATTAATTAAGGTGTCGAGGCGCCAAGACAACCAACGCATCGGAGCTTCTCATGAAACATCGGGCTGGGGCCTGGACAGGTTCCTCCAATCTTGCGGGCAGTCCTGTTCTCCTGATTTTACTTGCGAGATCGATCCGGTATCCTATGTGCTGTTGGGCTCTGGAAAGCTGTCATGATCTAGCTCGAACCCTAGCGATTTTTTAAAAAGGCTATGGTAGGTTTTTCGTTGCCCTTGGATCTTTTACAGCCGTCGTCCCCTTTCAACAGCATCGCATACTTTATAAGGGGTCCCTCGATTTCGAATTTTTTTTGCTAATCCGGGAATTCGTCTGCCGTTAGATTGGTTTCCCCCGTTTATATCCAGCGTTGGCGCCTCCTCTGGTGATAGAATCACTTACTGCCCGCTTGTTCACGATCCTCTCAATCAGAAACGACTTACAAGCCCATGAGTGCGTGGCTGATACCACCCCTGTTACGCACTGATTATTGCACCGCACCTAGGGCTTGGGGAATCGGCTTAGGTGCGAGCTGAACATCGCATATGCACTGGCAGACACTCAATGAGACGCTTGATCCCCGTTGGTTAGTCCCATCTTGATCACGATCAATCACCCGGACATAAGGGCAAGATTTAAGAGAACATTTTTGGCTCCGGCGATGGTATTCTTTGATGGGACGTGAACTTTGTGAATCCATCGCCGCTAGATTTCAGGGAAGCGTAAAGGACAGGCCTTCCTGATCCTCATCTTGGTAGCCCGATTTTGATCCGACCTTAACCTTTTTGCTACAATTCCTAATCGTGTTGGTTATACGCTGGAGATAGCCAGTATGGATGGCCAAAGGCAGCAACAATATGTCCCGGGTCCGCCCCCTTCAGCTACCCAGCCCCAAGGACACATGATGACACTACCGCCTCCTCCACCTCGATACCCTCCAGCGCAACCCCAGGGTGTCGTACCTCCTCCGCCACCCGGGCCACCTCCTGGAACAGGATATGGCGCTTCCAAGCTCACGAATCCCCAAATGCCACCTCAAAGCGCCCTTGGGTGGTCTAATTGGAATGGGCGAGGGATTCCCCAGTACCTTCCGCCGCCTCCCCCACCTCCGATGACGCACACTAGCCAGTCGTCCTTCACTCGTCCGTCAGCTCTCCAAAATATCAGCGGCACATCTGCAACCTACGTTCCACAGCCTGGCACATTCGGCCCGGGAGTTGGAATACCTGGTTTCGATTTGCACTCACTTCCGTCATATGATACGTCGGGGACTTTGATGGCTAATGATAGACCACGACCACCGGTGACCCCGTCATATGGACATCCCAGTGTTGATTCTTCTGTCTTCAAGAGAGACGTAGGCATTCCGCCTACCCCATCAACTCGAAATATCTCTTCCTCCCACGACAACGCCCATGATATGGTCTCTTCTGGGATGGCTACAGCAACTGTTTTGAACACTGTGCCCCAAAATGTGCCCCAAGCGAATGACTTGACGAAGTCTTCTAGCCATCGCCATAAAGACAGTAGTACTGCTGTTGGAGGTATGTCAGCTAGTGAAGCTGCTGTGCAGTGGCCTTTGGATAGGGTACTACTGTGGCTCGCCAAGAACGGGTTTTCCAATGAATGGCAGGAAGCTTTTAAAGCACTAGAACTTGAAGGAGCTGATTTTTTGGAATTGGGTTACGGACAGAACGGAAGGCCTAACCTGGGTAAATTACACAATGTTATCTACCCTCAGCTTGCCAAGGAGTGCGAGGTTAGCGGAACGATATGGGATTTGGCTCGTGAACGAGAGGAAGGGAAGCGCATGCGCAAATTGATCCGTCTAATCCATGGTGACACAGGTGCTGATAGCGGCGTCCCTTTTCAAAGGCATCGCGAATCGGAGGATGTCCAGGCCAACGTTCCTGAGGAACCCCCCGAGCTTTCCCCTAATATCACACATGTGCCGGCTTCTCCAGGACCTACTGCGGCGGATCTTTCTAATAGCCCTAATCTCAAAGCACCCAAGCTTGCTTACAACCATAGGAATAGCGTGCAGATGCGCTCCTTCACAACGCCCGTACCCAGCAGTCATGATAATGGGCCCCCGGATCTTGCGATGAATGATGGGAATACATTTTTGTCTCGGTCGGATTTCTCACGGAATGTGTTGGGTAACATTGGGAGCGATTATCAACGGAAAAGCCCTTCACTTTCTAGTGAGAATGGAATCTTTGCAATTCCTCCTGTCCGACAATACGAAGATAGTCCCCAAAGCGGAAGCCCGGCCACACAGCATGCTACCTTGTATCCGGGCCCATCTTCATCCACAAGCGATTTGAATAAATCTGGACATTCTCGCGTCAACAGTGCAGAGTCAAGCCGTCGGTACTATGAAACATATAAGCAAGAAAGCTCTCGCGCCTCACCACAAGAAATATCTAGTCGCCAGTTTGGTGGAGAAAATGCTTCATCTTATCCAAGGGATCACCGCATGGGATTCCTCAATTTCTTCAAGAAGAAGACAGCAAAGGCCGGCGATCCCAGCTTCCCATCTCCTGAGGATCAATTCCCCGAGTCCCCAACAATCTATGATAAACACCATTTTAATAACAGCGATATTTCCGTGAATGAACGGCCGTCTTCTGCCTCTACGTCAGATCATGAAAAACTCACGTTACGGACTAAACCCGCCTACAAAAACAAAAAGTTCATATTTGCAACTACTGATGGCTGGACCTATCGCCTGATTGACACAACCGACATTGACTCGGTGGAGACACTCCGTGCTGTTATTTGCCAAAACCTTGCCATCCATGACTGGCCTGATGCCCAGATTTTCTTGACGGAACCTGGACTCATGGATCACGAAGACCCTTTGAACGACACCTACCTGACCCTTTGCCAGAGAACGAAATCAGACTCAGTTGGCTCTCTTAAACTGTTTGTTAAGGGCCCACAGGTGCGACCTGGAGTAAATAACTCTCCTAAGTATGCAGGCCTTGGGGTCACGTTCTCGGATAAGCCTACCCTCTCTCCTACATCTGTCACGGTTCCCCGGAAACCGTTGGATGGGGAAGCTCTTAGTAGGATTACCTCACATAATCAGGCAAAGTCTACTTCTCCACAACAATTCAGGGCCCCTGCTGTGAAATCCCCCAGTAACCCTCAAATGCCCGCTGGAACATCTCCAGTAGATGGTGAAGCGGAGACAGCCCATCAAGAGGATCTCAAACGTGAAGCTGACCGTAAGCAACAAAAGTCCTACCGTATACCCTCAACAGTACCACCCAGACAGGATGCCTATAGCGAGACCGGTTACCGTCGTAAGGAGGTTATCAATTTCGACAAACCTCGTGTATCTCCTTACGAAGACAAGAAGCCTGAGATGCTTGTTCCTTTCCGCAAGCCACCTTCAGCGCCTCAGGAGTCTCAAATGCTTACCAAAGTCAATTCGCTTAGAAAGAAAGACTCTGATCGCCCTCGTCTTCACCACACCCCAAACCAGCCACCTGGCATTAAACAAATGTTGGCTGATATGGGAAGGATGACCGGCTCTATTGGGAAGCCTCCGTCAACACCTAACTCTGCGATTACTACGACTCCAGGTAAGATGATTGATATTGAATATTTCCGTCTGCCCCGGTTTTAGACGCTGACCTAAATCTATAGATGAGCCCCGAAGTGCATTTGACTTGACACTGGAACAAAGTAATCACGGCACACCATCCCTTGACGATTCCAGCTACTCACCTGGAAATGCTACCGTCTCCTCCACGATGTCTAAATCGACAAACCAGTCTAGGAAATCTTACGGACCGGAGTTTGACTTTGAAGAGACGGAGGTCTCTTTCCAACGCTCACCTGTACCGCAGGAGGATTCTGATAATGATTCAGATGATGGGTTGTTTGCAATCCCATTAGTAAACACCAAAACACCGACGAAGGGCAACGCAAGCGTCCCAGGTTCCCCCGAAGCCCAGAATCGCCCAAGAAAACCATCGCTTACGGTGAATACTGGAACAAAGCTGCGAACAGGGCTATCTGTCAGCTTTAGATCTCCCAGCGCCAGTCGAGAGACATTTGCTAGCTCGGTTGGTGATGCTAGTGGTCGGGGGGCACCTTTCTTCGATATGTCTGCTTCACCAGAAGAAGAAAAGCCTCCAATGCGAAGAGACTCCTTTGCTCGAGGTGATATTTGGGCGAGTCGTCCCCCAGTTGAGGGAGTTATTGACAACCTGGACGACTTCTTCCCTTACATTGATCTCGATGCTCCTTACCTAGATGGGCAGGGCACATCGCCACCGACCTCCCCTGCAAGCAGGACCGCGATCAACACTGATTTGAGCCACAAAGAAAAACAAGATGGACCGCCTTATAGCATGCCACCCCATCCAGGCCCGGTTGACGGTATTGTTGGATCAACAGAGCCAACAATGAAACCACAAGAAAAGGGAGTTGTTGCCCGCAGGAACATCAACCGTTCTGGCGGCGGCCTCACTCGCATGAAATCGATTCGAGAAGTTGCCAAGGGTGCCAACCAAGCCAGTAGGAACCGTAGCGTTGTCGCATCGTCTGGAAATCAAAAAATGGGACCGCACCGTCGCAAGAGCACCAAAATGTTTGGAGCAAAGATTATGCAAATCAGCCCGAAGCCTGGCAGCCGTCTCAGCCAACTTGATCCGATTCCTCAAAATAGCACACCTTCAGGTTCAATACCCCAGAGACAGCCTACCTTCCGCATCGTGCGCGGTCGACTTATCGGTAAGGGAACTTACGGTAGAGTGTATCTCGGAATGAATGCCGATACTGGTGAAGTTTTGGCAGTCAAACAGGTGGAGATCAACCCAAGAATTGCCGGGCAAGACAAAGATCGAATCAAGGAGATGGTTGCTGCGATGGACCAAGAAATTGATACAATGCAGCACCTTGAACATCCCAATATTGTGCAATACCTTGGATGTGAACGAGGAGAATTTTCAATCTCAATATATCTGGAGTATATTTCCGGTGGTTCAGTTGGAAGCTGTCTTCGAAAACATGGAAAGTTCGAGGAGAGTGTGGTCAAGTCCCTTACGCGACAAACTCTAGAAGGCTTATCATACCTCCACCACCAAGGAATCCTTCATCGTGATCTGAAAGCGGACAATATCCTTTTGGATGTGGATGGAACTTGCAAGATCTCCGACTTTGGCATTTCGAAAAAGACAGATAACATCTATGGAAATGATTCCTCAAACTCCATGCAAGGGTCAGTATTCTGGATGGCACCAGAGGTTATCCAGTCTCAAGGACAGGGTTACAGTGCCAAGGTGGATATTTGGTCTCTTGGATGCGTGGTGCTCGAAATGTTCGCTGGCCGTCGACCCTGGAGCAAAGAAGAGGCTATCGGTGCTATATACAAACTCGGAAGTCTGAGCCAGGCACCTCCAATCCCAGAAGACGTTTCTATGAATATCAGCCCGGCCGCGCTCGCCTTTATGTGGGACTGCTTCACTGTGTAAGTTTCTTCTCCCATTTCCATTTCTTTTTGCTGAACAATACCCCCCGTTTTTAGTGATACCTATGACCGTCCCACAGCTGAAACCCTCCTCACCCATCCTTTTTGCGAGCCGGATCCAAAGTATAATTTCGCCGACACCGAGCTCGGGGCGAAGATTCGCCATGTTCTTTGAAACCATGCTAGTAGTAGCTACATGAGGGAAGAGGCAACCCGCTGAACCGTATATATATATATTCTATTCCCCTTTGCAGTTTTCGCAGATTTGAATGGTCGTCGCCTCATACCTAGCTCTGTTATTATTCATTCCGTATCGATTTCCATCTAGGGCTTCATCATGTTGTGTTGTTTTGTGCCGGACGGACATATCATTTGGGTTGTTTGTCAGGTTCGGATAGTTTTCTCTCTCCCATATCTTAGCGCTACATGTATCGTATATTATTATTATTTTCTTGGTCTTGCAGAAACCCTAAGCATCCCCCCTTTTTTTTTTTTTTTTTTTTCAAATCCCTGGGTTGCCGCGGTTTCTAGTGACGAGTACGGAGTCGGATTGTTGCATACTTTGGAATGCTGGCTATGCTATGCCAATTGGAACGTGGTCACCCAGCATTGGATGAACATGAACAATCTCATGACTGCATAACTTGGGTGGTTATTAGGGATCCTTTGATCTAATATTTACATTCAAGTTTGTAGCACGTTTCTACTACCCTAACCCTAACCCTAACCCAAACTCAAGCTCATCGAAACTGGGATCCTCGACTACCGGTCCTACTCATACTTCGACTCGTGGTCCCATCATCTTCTTCTTGAGTCGAGATTCCAACTCGGAAGATCCCCTCGCACCACCCAGCAAAAGTATCCACATCCCATACAGCATCCTCACGTCCCTTGCCCTTCTTACTAACTGGGTGTCCCTTGGTCTTCTCTGAAGACGTGTATTTATCAAAAAACTCCTCGTAGATCTGGATTACACGGTCCTGGACAGCGCCTACCAAGGTCTCTTTCATCCGAATGTCATCTAGATAATCGCCCAGAATCTTGCGGAGACTCGGGACCTCGTTTTCGATATTCCGGCATGTGGGGTAGATTAGTTCTCCACGCTGCAGGTTTCGCTTATCGACGAATTTGACGGGGAGGGAAGCCGTCATCTTCGTGGCGAAGCTGTTGATGAAGTCGTTGATTATGGTTCTGAGTCGGCCATCGAGCTCGACTTTGGCATCGAGCATATTCTCCACGACTCGGGGGAGTAGACCGTGGCCGACGAGGCGCACTAGGTTGCGTGGGTTGAAGAGACCCCCGCGTTCGCGGAGTTCCCAGAAGGTATTCGTGACGCCGGAGAAGTCGAATGAGACCTCGGGGGCGACGTACTCGATGTCGAAGGCGACAATCTGTTGCTTTAGAATAAGTAAATGGCTCATCAGGAAGAGTTGTCCGTCTGTGGCTGATTTGCTGGAGATGAGTAAGCTGGCGTGGTGGAGTGAGGCAGTGGTTTGGTGAACAATTTGGTGTGCAAGATCATCGAATACAGTGGACTGGTCAAGGTGCAATTAGCGCTTTGCTTGGCGGAATTTGGGGGGCAAAAGGGGGGGGGGGGGGGGGTAATGGAGGAGAGTACATTTACAAGACGGTATATTCTGCTGAGAAGCCATACTGCCTTCCGCAATGTTGGATACCATGCGGCAGGAGCACTTTGTGAGTCGTAATCCCATTTCGATTCTTGCTCCGGTGGCGAATCCGCACTGTCCTCGGAGTTTTTCGTTGGTTTGGGGATGTTTACAAAGGCATCGGCATGCGAAATCTTTCTCCCTGATATCTGCTGCTCTGTAACAGATATTGAAACCTGACTGTTGCGTGAGGGATAATCGAGGTCCTCAGCACGGGGCTTGAAGCGCTCAATCTCATCACGGAGAAAAGCCTGTGCGCGGAATACAAGACGGGTCTGAACGTCTTCTAAAGCGGGCTGGATCAATGCTGAAAAGTCCAGCTGGTTCAGATCGACATGTTCTGTCTCGTCTTCCTGGTCAAATAAGTACCGTGTTTGAAGAAGCGTGCACAGCTGGCACAGCTTTACAATCTTGTCTTCGTGGATTATTCTTGGCCGTAAATGGTCGTAGAGCGGCTCGCAGATGGTTTCTAGGAAGTCATATAGGCCCCCCTGTCCGTGAAACCATTCACCCCATAAGTCGAATTCGTCCAGGCATACTCCTCGGACATAGCTGATGCTTCCGCGCGCAAAGGCGACGAGATCTTTTGATGTGCTAGGGGCCTGCACAATCTCGCCGAGCTTTTTACGAACTAGCGGTATGATGAGCTTACCGCGTGTGGCGGCATAGTTAGCATGAAGTTCATTGAGGAGACTTTGGTATTCGGCTTCCGTGCCTTGATCCGGATCTAGCGGCGGCACAGCTCTCTTCTGGATTTCGAGACCGATCTGCTTTAGTTCTGGCGCGCCAACTCTGAATTTGGCATACAGTAGAGCTGACATGGCGGTGTCATTAAGTTGTTGATCTGAAACTTTCTTTGAGACACTTGAATATATATCTCGTAGGGAAGAAACGAAGTGCCCCCGGATGAGGGTAAGGGCACGTGTTAGAAGGAGTCGGTATCGGGAACGGTATACATCTGCCTCCTTCTGGTCGGACTGCAGGCTGCGGATTAGCTGATATATCTAAATATAATAGAAGCCGTACTGACGTGAGTCTCCATATAGTCCAGGCATTCGTCCAGCCGTCGTAGCATGTCTGAAAAGTCCTGCCCGCGCACAGTATTCCCCGCACCTGGAGCGTTCAATTTCCTTGAAGCGGGATCCAAAAAGTCATAGAATTGAAGATTGTATTCGATATCTGCTACTAATTCTGAATCGCGATTCTGAGCCGATAGCAGACCCTCGCATTGCTTCTGGAAGCTGGAGGTCTGTGAATCTACTGCTTTGAAGTCTTCGGAAAGGCTGGTGAGGAGATTAAGTGTAGACGATGTATCGGAGAGCAGCATATCTAGATGGGACTTCGACATCTGCAGTTCATCAAGACACGCCCTAATTGCAGGTAAAGGTCAGCTTTCCACATCACTGATAGACACGGACTGGGGAAATGCCTACTGGTACTCATCGTAGCTGGCCTCAAGCAAGCTAGCTTCCGCTTCATTGTACCACTGGGCAAATTCGAGCTCATTATGAATTTCGGTAATTACATCCGGGTCGTCTGGAACTGTCTCTAGTTTTGGAATCTCCTTAGCTTTCAGTTCAATGGGCATTCCTGACGGGGCGGTTTGCCGGCGACTTCGCTGTCCCGTAGCTTGCTGAGCCATTGTCGAACCTTGAATGGGGACTGTGGTCGGATGGATATCTAGAAAAGAAAAGGGTCAACCAAGCTGCGCTTCCTACAGCGCTATTCAACGAGACAAAAGACCATGCCCTCCCTTTGGCTCTCGTATTTTTCGCATGTCGACGATAATCTTGAATGCTCTGTGATTCTCCCCGTGGCCGTTTTGGGACCGCTATTCTGCCGTATCCTTCCGCCTACGCTATCCTGACGCAAACGAGCTTCCTTTGCCCCAGTCTTGCTTTTGCCATCGTTTGAATCCAAAACCAATCGATATAAATATGCGCTTTTGATGGAATTGTGAACAAACAATGTGGATATCTCGGGTACGGCAACCGGCGACCAGTGGCGTCGCTATCTCGCGTCGTCTTGCAAGAAGTGGCGTTCGTCCTATTGCTGTGCTTGGACGGCGAAATTATGCGACAACCGAGCAGAACCCCTCTGAAAAACCTTCTTCCTCTTCCTTACATTGGATCAAAACATCACTAGGGCTTGCGGGAACAGCAACCGCTGCTTTTCTCATTTACACGTACGCGACGAAGGGGGATGCGAGCAAGATCTCCAAGAGCTTCCCGGACCTCTCCAAAACGGCCGAAGAGCTGAGCTCTGATTTCGTGCAACAGAAGAGAAGCCTAAAGAGCCCGGGGGTTTATGTTTGGGGAACAAATGTCTATCATGTGGTTGACCCAGAATCTAAAGATTCCGTCGTGAAGACCCCACGGAAGATGTCTTACTTCGATGGGCAGGTGCTCAGAGATCTCAAGCTTGGAGAAACATCCGGCGCTGCGATTACTGAACATGGTGACTTGGTGCAATGGGGCAAGGGATATTCGGAATCTGACTATAAGCCTGCGAAGACCCTTACCGGGAAAAACTTGATATCGCTATGCATGTCCCATGATCGTATTCTGGCTCTGTCCGGGGACGGAAAGGTTTACTCACTTCCAATTGCTATGCATGACCAGCTGTCCGGGAGGAAGCCTGAAGAAGGCTCCTGGGTGCCTTTTTGGACTGGCAAAGCTGGTGTAAGCTACCGTGTACTGCAGCCAAGCTTGAAGCTCGGTGAGAAAGTTACTGCTATCAGTGGCGGGTTGGAACACATTCTTCTCCTGACCAGCTCCGGACGGGTCTTTTCCGCTGCTTCGTCTACCGAGAATTTCCCTTCATTTGGGCAGCTTGGTATCCCTGGACTGACATGGGCAACACGACCTAAGGGACCAGTTGATGCTTGCCATGAGATCAAGCTACCTAAGGATTCAAAGGTCACCCAGATTGCCACCGGCGAATACCATTCATTGCTACTCACCAAGGATGGCCATGTTTTTACCTTTGGGGACAACTCTTTCGGACAATTAGGAATGGAGTTTGATCCGTCGGTGCCATTTTGCGACACCCCGGCCCCCGTGCACTTCAGAAACCTCTATCGCGGGGGAGTCTGGCATCTTCAAGCCACCGGAATCGCAGCTGGAGGGGCTAACAGCTTCTTTGTAGTTGACGTGCAACACGCCATTGGACACGATGAAGACCCAAGGAAGATAAGTAACATCATATCAGATACTTGGACCTGTGGACGAGGTATCTGGGGCGCTCTCGGAACCGGAAAATGGACTCACCTCCAAGATAGCCTTACCAAGGTGAAGGCGTTAAGCGGGCTTGTTGAGTACGATGAAAATACGAAGCATATAATTCCGATCCGACCTAGTGACATTTCTGTGGGGACGACGCACGTTTCGGCAGTATTGGACAACAAAACACACCTCGATGCTCCCTCTACATCGACCCTAGACACCGCCAATGATTCAGGTCTAGATGTGCTCTGGTGGGGAGGAAATGAGCACTTCCAGCTCGGAACTGGAAAGAGGAGCAACATATCCAAACCAACCCATATCAACATCCACCCCGGAGCTGGATTGGGCGATAAAAATGATCTAGCCAGACTTCAGATTCTGCCTTTCCATAAGGGCAAGGTTGGTGCCCGGAATGTGAACATGCGCCAGAGAGTTGAGTGTGGCAGACACATTTCGGCTGTCTACTCTTCTGTGTAGTAAAAGTCTCTACTCTTCAGTATTTTTTAATGATGTATTATTATTAGCCTTGGATTTTTTTTTCTTAAAAAAAAAGAATCATGTATACTACATACAGATATATATACTATAACTATAGTTAGTTACTATCTGGACCATGACCAAGTTTTGATTATTTCCTGTGTTCATATGTATAAGGAGGTGACCAAAAGTCATGGGACACGCGCTAGTAAGAATGGTAATCGGATCACAACAACACTAGTATTTTATTATGACTGGTTAGATACTATGTAGTTACTTCACTCAACATAATCCATTTTGAAGCTATTCACACCAATATTTCGCTCTCAAAGACGACCTCCTCGGTGTTTTATACTTGCCTGCCTGCCTGCCTGCCTGCCTACTTGCCTGCCTACTTGCCTACGCGCCTGCCTGCCTGCCTTCCTCCCTGCCATGCCTTTCTTGGGGATCGAAGTACGCGCTCAAGTACTTACCTTATGGGCCCTTGATCATTCGACTCGCGATATCTCCAAACTACTCGAGGTCCCTAAGTCCACGATTTGGAACATCATCAAAAGGGCACAAGAGCGTGGATATGATCCCAAAACAAGCTTCCGCCTGAAAATAGAATATCTTGAAGATGGGAAGCGTTCTGGTCGTCCCAAAGAGACATCTGAAGCTTCTAAGCTTCTAGATTCTCAGTGCAATTAAGCCTTGCGGGACATGGCTTAAAAAGCGTACGACTGCTGGAGGCGCTCCTAGGGATACAAAAAACTACAAAGGAAGGACCCCAGGAGAATATTCATGCATAGATTGAATATTTAATGCGGCATGGCATGTCCAAGAGATCGTTCGATTGGAAGGTGGGAATGAATACCGGGAAGGCAAAGAATGGGTCAATGCTAGAAGTTAGAAAGACAAGCGTTTAAAGGGGCAACTCTCCACACAGCAATTCTGTCCCCGAAGCGCTTTAGGTGGGTGGGAGGACTGTGAATAGCTTCATTTTTTTGGATGGCTTAGGAGGTGGTAGGTTGGGTGATGTATCTAAACATTCAATTACTATGGAAACAACCAGTGTTGTTACAGCCTGAATACCATTCTTACTAGCGTGTGTCCCAGGATGCAAACAAGACAAACAATCTCAATTCCGCGGAGGACGCTTGGACCAACGCTTATCCCAAAAGAAAAAAAAAAAAATTGCAGCGGTTGAGCAGAGAAGAAACAAAGCTACAGTCCTATCCACATTGATTCTCCCCACAGTCCATCATGCCTCGCGAGAATCAAAAAAGAGGTCGCAGAGCGATCGACAAGGCAAAAAAGGATGAAAGCAAACGGAAACGCGAAGAAGCGCCCGAAGACTCCGTGGCCAAGCGACTGAAGCCTTCGACAGACGAGAACGCGATTACTGAAGGAGCAGATTACATACCGTTGGAAGAAGGCCAAGACGGTGCGCCCGGCAGTGATATGGAATTTTATGGTCTCCTTGACAGCGATGAGCAAGAGTATTTCAGCCGAGCGAACGAGATGCTGGAGTTGAACCAGTTCCAGGATGCTGAGGAGAGGAGGTTGTTCGTGGACAGCGTGTACCGGGAGGCTAGAGGGAAGGAGTTAAAGATTGCGTGCAGTCAATCTTGTTCGAGGCTTATGGAGAAGTTGATTTCGATGTCGGACATTTCCCAGATTCGAAGACTCTTTAGCAAGTTCATCGGCCATTTCCTACAGCTTGTGCAGCACCGATTCGCAAGCCACTGTTGCGAAAGACTTTTCATCAATGCTGCGCCTGGAGTCACCCAGAAGGTGTCGTCGAAGCCCAAAGGAAATACGCGCGGTGAGGACGAGGAGGAAGACGACGAACCGGAACCCGAGCTGTCGCTAGCGGAGATGTTCATGAAGGTTGTGGAGGAGCTGCAAGGAAACTGGGGCTATTTGTTGACGGAAAGATTCGCATCGCATACAGTCAGAGTTTTACTTCTTGTACTTGCGGGGGAGCCAGTGGATGTGTCGTCGAGCGACTCGGTCGTGGCTAGCCGGAAGAAGGAGAGACTAGGACTTGTGGCTCGAGAGACTGAGGAAGTGAACACCAGCACCGAGAAGAGGAGCGTTCCAGAGTCCTTTGAGAGCACACTGAAACAGGTCATGCAGGACATGGTCTCCACACTTGACGACACATACCTCCGCGCACTCGCTACGCACCCTGTTGGAAACCCGGTCTTGCAGGTGCTGGTTCAGCTGGAGCTCTCTCATTTTGGAAAATCAAGCGCTAAGCAATCCAATGCGATAATCAAGCGGTTGATCCCCGATGAGAATTTCCAAGAAGGGTCAGAAAGCGTGGTTTTCATCCGTGGTCTACTTTACGACCCTGTTGGCTCTCGTCTGCTTGAGACTATGGTGCGATGGATGCCCGGAAAGATGTTCAAGCCCCTCTACAAAAATTTCCTTCGCGATCAGATGAGTTCTCTTGCGCGCAACCAAACCGCCGGATATGTCGTCCTTCGGGTCCTGGAGAGACTGGGAAAGGACGACTTACAGGCAGTAATGGACCAAATTGCACCCAAAATACCTAGTCTGCTCGAGCGTTCGCGCACAATTGTACCCAAGGTATTGATTGAGCGCTGTCTTGTCCGAGGAGTTGACACCAAGCCCCTTGCCAAAGCCCTAGAAAGTGCCTACGACTCCGACCCAGCTCGCAGGCTAGAGCAAATTCTCAAACTGGAGACCGAGGCTTCCGATGGCGAGGCAAAGCCCGAGTTTACGAAGAACCCATCCACTCAGGATAGTAACCCGGCATCTGCTGCCGCGGAGAAGCTGCACGGCTCCCTGCTTGCCCAGACAATACTTACAGCGCCGGGCCCATTGAGTGGTCTCATTTTCTCCGGTTTATTGGCACTACCCTCAGACACTTTGCTGAAGATCTCCAAGGAACCAACAGCTTCTCGTGTTGTACAACAAGCTCTGACAGCATCTACCTCTACACCACAATTCCGCCGCCAGTTTACCAGCCGCTTTACGGGCCACCTGAAAGAGCTTGCACTTGACAGCAGCGGGTCCCACGTGGTTGACGCGTTATGGCCAGCAACCAAGGATATTTTCTTTGTCAAGGAGCGAATGGCACAGGAACTGGTACAAAATGAACTTGCTCTCCGCGACTCTTTCGTCGGACGCGCCGTATGGAGAAACTGGGCGATGGATCTGTACAAGAGACGACGGGGCGAATGGGCCGCCAAAGCCAAAGGTGGTGATACCAACAACGGCCCTGGCGAAAAGCCCATGTCCAAAATTGAACTCGCGCGTGCTCGATACGCTGCTAAAGCCAATGAGAACATGAAGGAACAGCCGACCCCCGTGGCCGCGGAGCCATAATCGAGGAAGGTGCACAGCTCGTTGCCCAATCTTTTCCTTAGCGGTTGTTGACGGTAAAAAAAAAAAGCATATGTCGTATGAATCCAGGAGTTTAGGGTCATAAACGGGTCTTTTTGAACCAGGTATTATTGTTCTTGTATAGAAGTTTATGGGTTAATCCTGAAGCATACATTGTTATCCTGTCGTCAATATTTAGCTCAATCGCACCAAATAAGCCTCATCAAGTCTCTCTTCTATTTTACTATATTGCGCGATCTTGTTCTCTTTTCTCTGTCTTCTTCTATTGATTCTATATACGCTACTAAACAAAAATCACAGGCTTCCAGGCCCATCATGATGTCACGGCTCCAGTTATCATCGCCAACTCCAGTGGATCCGAGAAGAACTAAGAAGAACTGTCGCCCCGCACAGAGCTGTTGATTCCATCATTTTTTTTCCTTTTCTTCTTTTCTCTCTTGGATATTTATGTATATTTTATGGTGATATTTGTGTTTGTTTTCTTTCTTGTATATCCTTGGAACCCTTTTCTATCGTTTGATTCGCCGAAATGGCTGCATCCGCTACTGCAACTCGCGCAGAAGAAGTGCACACTGTGAGTCAGAAAACGCATCGGTACCCTAATTCTCTCCAATTAGAGGAGTCTGGTCTAGAAAGCACATAAAAGATATATATACCGAGCTAATACCACTTTCCTGGGCTCTATCTAGCTTCTAAACGCGGTCCAAGACCTCCTGATCCCTTTCATCCGGTCTGCGGATGACGACACTCTCGCGACGCAGACAAACGGCGTTGACAAGACGCAAAATGGAGTCAACGCGAATTCCACGCCCGGAGGGACATCATTGGTTGATTATAAGAGACCCGAGGAACTACAAAACATCCTGAAATTAGAGCTACCACAGCAAGGTAGCGGACAAGAGGGCTTGATCGAGGTCCTCCGCAAAGTCCTCCGATATTCAGTCAATACCTGGCACCAGGGATTCTTAGATAAGCTGTATGCGTCGACCAATGCGCCTGGGGTGGCATCGGAACTTATCCTAGCGGCGCTCAACACAAACGTTCATGTCTACCAGGTTTCGCCGGCGCTTTCTGTGATTGAGAAGTATACCGGGCAGCAGCTGGCGGCGATGTTTGGGCTGAACGGGCCAAGAGCCGGCGGAATTTCCGTCCAGGGAGGATCCGCTTCCAACACGACGTCTATTGTGATTGCGCGCAACAATCTGTTCCCTAGTACGAAGAAGGACGGAAACGGGGACTACAGGTTTGTCCTCTTCACCAGCATCCATGGACACTATAGCATAGAAAAGGCCGCCCAGATGCTAGGGCTGGGGAGTAGCGCTGTCTGGGCTGTACCGATTGATGCGCAAGGCCGCATGATCCCGGCAGAGCTCGAGAAGTTAGTACAGCGGGCACTGCGGGAGAACCGGACTCCATTCTACGTCAACGCGACGGCCGGAACAACCGTGATGGGATCCTTTGACCCCTTCGAGGAAATCGCCGCCATATGCCACAAGTATAACATGTGGATGCACGTCGACGGCTCCTGGGGTGGATCCTTCGTCTTCTCCCAGCGCCAGCGACACAAACTGGCCGGTGCCGAAAAGGCAGATAGTATCGCCATCAACCCACACAAGATGATAGGAGTCCCCGTAACATGTTCCTTCCTGCTTGCTGCGGACCTGCGAAAATTCCACCGCGCCAACACCCTACCCGCCGGGTATTTGTTCCATACCGAGGATGCGGAAGCCTCCGCCACTATGACAACGAAATCCGAACTGGAAGCCGATTCCCCCGAGGTATGGGATCTAGCCGACCTCACGTTACAATGCGGACGACGCGCAGATTCCCTGAAGCTCTTCCTCGGCTGGACATATTACGGAACAGCCGGGTACGAGCGACAAATCGATACAGCGTGCGAGATTACCTCGCACCTTGCGACCCTGGTTGCCGAGAACTCGGATTTTATTCTGGTGAGCAAGAACCCACCGCCTTGTCTTCAGGTCTGCTTCTACTATGCACCGGGCGGGCAGCTATTGCGGGCCCGTGGCGTTGTCTCGAACGAGATCGAGAGAGCTCGGGCGAATAGCCGGGTGACGGAACTCATAACGCATGCGCTTGTGAGGAAAGGGTTCATGGTTGACTTTGCGCCCCCGAGTGGGGACGACAATGCAGTCGGGAACGGAAAGTTTTTCCGCTGTGTTGTTAATGTGCAGACCACGAAGGAGACCGTCGAGGCTCTTGTTCGCGCGATTGAAGAGGTTGGGCCGTCGATTGTCCAGCAGCTCGAGGCAGACGAAGCTACTTTGGTTCCGCGGAGAAGGCCCGGGGAACGAGGCCATGGGCCGGTGGTGGTTCATCATGCTTAGTGGGGTATTAATTTTGTGTATATTTCAGATTTATGCTAGGCAGGAAAAATGGGTTTGGTCTATATATCAGTTGGCTGGCATATAGAGTCTCAAAAAGGATAGAAGTGAATCAAAAATCATATATGACGTGCAGCAGCGTAGAGCCTGAAGCTGTAGTTGAATAGTTCATTCACCTACGCAGCAATTCTTTTCATATTCAAGTAGCTTCCTACTTTCCAATTTCCACGCGCCTCTCCAGGACGCTCCGAGCCTCTGCTTCACTTAGACTCTCAAGGCCTAATTCTGCAAGCATTTCCCTCGCACTCTCGTTATCTTTAAAAAGTCTCTTTTCAACTACCCATAGCCCAGGGTATCGGCTGGCATCTGCTGCCCCTTCCTGTGCCACAGTAGGCTCATCATCGCCTTTGGATCCATGGGCCTTGAGATTCAGAATGAGAAGGCCCTCGTTGAGCTTTTGGAGCATCTTTTTCGCTCCTCCTGCTTGCGCTCCGGAACCAAGAGCCACGTCGACGACGCCGCAGAGATGGTCAACATCGCTCTCCAATTGTGATGCGCCAGAAGATGAGAATTTGTTTTTGAGAAGTACGTTACTCCAGAGGTAAGTCTGGGTAGAGAGAAGCACCTGACGGATTATACGCCGCAAGGGAGCAACGCCCAGTGCGCGGGAGAGAAAAGAAACGGTGGTGGACAGAGCTTGCATAGCCGGGACAAGATCAACGGTGGGGGGTAGAGGCCCTGTTGTGGAGGCCGAGGGGCTCGAAATAGTTGCCCAGGTGGACACGCGAGTGTAAGACTTAAGGGCAGATCGCATATTTGATGTTAGTGTTGAGGTGATTACAGACTCAGATCGGAGTCTTAGGCGACGATATGCAGATGCCGTCTCATCAAACAAAGCACCTTCTGCGCCTTCACCTTGGGATCCGGTACCTTGACCGCCGTTTACAGCCGGAGAGGTCCTGGAAGCCACATCAGCAACAGACATAGAGCCTGCAACATTCTTGCCTCCATCTTTGTTCTGGCGGACGCGTTCTTGAAGTTCCGACCAGAGCTCGACAAAGAAAACTTCATTACTCCAGTCTTCCATCTTCTTTTCCAAATATTCCGCACTTCCGAATACCCTGCAAAGCCGCTCTAAACCGGCAAGACCCTCAACGCTGGCTTGACCGTCCGCACCCTGCACAGTACGGCCAATTGCAGATGTCATCGTAAGATAAGCTTCGAGGGCTGAATGCAGACGCTCGTGAAATTGGTCGAAGATTGTGATTTGGATATCGATGAGAAAACGAAGCTTCTGGCTGAACGACGACAAAGGCTGGTATCGTTCGGTGATTGTTTCCAGCAGGTCATTCACGCGGATTGCAGCTTTTGTCGGCTTGGTTGCCGACGACTCGACGCCTTCATAATCAATATTGCCACTATCAGGGGTGTCCACGATCTCCTTATAACGGGCCAGCGCAAATTCTTTCTCGACCTGAAGCCAGCGGTCAAACCATCCTTCTTTAGACAAGACCTCCCAGGTAATTCCCTTCCATTCTTCATCCGAATACGGATCTGGCAAGTAATTCCACGTCTCGCGAATGTCGTTATCGAAATTCATAAGTTCATGAACAAAGTGACTTAGTAGTTGAGGGTGAGACGAGATGTGTGGGAGATAGGTTGTTATTTTCTGCCTTAACATTGGCAAGAGAGCTGTAATATATGCATGGGAAGCATTATAAAAATTCCACTCTAGCTTCGGCCCGACAGCCTGTGCCTGTTGGTCAAAGATGGGTTGCAGAGACGAGGCGAAGAAGCCCCCAAAGTTATTGATTAGATCTGTAATGTGAGCGAGGAAATACTCGGGCTGAAAGTTCGAGTTAGATAGTTATACATAAAATAAGTTCGAAGAAAATGAGACTGTACCTTTTCAAGCCTGTTTGTTGGTTTATCGCCACTAAAGTGGTATCTAAAACGAAGCTCGAGCGGATGAACCATCACCTCCAGTGGGAACAGTATTGGAGGGTCAGCACTCTTATGATTTGGGGCAGATTCACGGCCGCTCAGTTCCCTAAAGGCAAAAGAAAGTTAAAAACCAACGCAAATAAGAGAGTATAAGAGATATCGTACGGGGTCTGCAAGTCGAGGAGAAGCTCCACACTATCGGCCCATTGCGCCTTGAGGTCTTCCGGGAAGTGTAGCTCCTTGGATGGCCATTTCATCTTCTCCAAAGTTCCCTGGAGGCGCTTCGTAAACTCCCCTTTCATTTGCTCTTTCAGTTTTGAGGCTAGTCTCCCCACATAATCTACCAAGTGAGGGCTCGCCCCTTCTGCGGCGGGCTGGGCTTCTTCGAGGGAAACAACGATATTCCGTAGTCTGGAATAGGACGCAATCGCCAATCTAGGCTCGGAGTGTACATTTCGCAAGGCCTCCTTACTATATAATATATCAGCAGCCATCTCCGGCGCAATATCCAACTCAGACAAGTGCACCATACCTCAAATCCTCGGCGTCCTTCAGTAACGCAACATAGCCTCTTGACAGCTCAAGTCTCCGAAGTTTCTTTATGCTTGATTCAAATCGCTTCGCTGCCTCGTCACTAGCATCGGATCCTGTAAGCGCTTTGAGACGTTGATCGATATCGGCCTGTTGCTCATTGAAAGCTTCTGCCCGTTTGCGAGTAGCCTCGGCATGGTCGTTAGATGCTTTGGTGGCATTTGAAAGGGCTTCCTGTGCTTCTGCTAGCTATATATTATCTATCAGCTAGTTGTTTGCAACACGGGCCGAGATGAATGAACGGGAAGATGCCCTGACCTGCTTTCGTTGAAGCTCATGCTGAGCCCGCAAGCTTGTGAGCAACGCTTCGAGACTTTCCAAATCAGCAGATATCTGAATTTTATCATTCAGGTAGTCGTCCACTCTCATCCGCTCATGCGGCGACAGGGTTGATACGGGATTCGTCATTTTGGGGGGGGGGGATGGTGGTGGTGGGGGAGGGGACACCGAGTTGTTGGTGAGGACGAGCTGTGAAGCGCAAGGTGTCGCCAATCAATCGGAGATCGCCATCAACTCCGCCTTAGCCCAAAACAACAACCTCCATTCCTCTCAACATCGATCGTTCCGGACGCCATGGAGTTAGGTACGACTACAAATTTAAATAATCATATTTCGTCGCAGCCTACATGACGTGACGTCCTGCGATGTCAAGTCCCACCAAAAAGCGTAAAAGGGATGCCCCGGACCCTTCTACTCAAGGCACCCGCAGCATAGCGTCATTCTTCCAGTCACAGGCGGCCAGACAAGCGCAGAAAGAATGGACACCATTATCATCCCAGAAGGCGCCTGAAGCCAACGACCAGAGTCTTTCCGATGAAGCTCTTGCGCGCAAGCTTCAGGCCGAATGGAATAATCAGGATGTGACCGCAACTGGTACAGCTACAGGCTCAGAAGGTGGGCCAGCCCCAGAAGCTTCAATACTCCCGGAACCTGTAAGAGAAACGAAGAAAGCCAAACCGAAAAATGTGCTTTCGTTACAAGCTTCCGCCGGCGCAGAGGATACGGTTTCACCCTCTGTTCCTTTCGATCAGACCCCTTTGACATTTGATTCCACCAAGTACGCTCAAGAGCTCAAAGCGCACTGGGCTACGGAAGGTGGAAATGCTTCCTACGCCCTCCTTACCCAAGCATTCGTACTCGCAAATGCAACAACTAGTCGTATCAAAATCGTCGATACATTGGTCAATTTCCTGCGTGTTCTTATAGAAGGAGACCCATCAAGTGTTCTCCCCGCCGTATGGCTAGCAACTAATTCCATCTCCCCTCCGTATCATGAGTCGGAATTAGGACTTGGGGGGTCTTCAATATCCAAGGCGTTCAAGAAAATATACGGTCTCAATAACCAAGGGCTCAAAACTTTATACGATAGACTTGGGGACGCTGGTGACGTGGCATTCGAGGCAAAGAAAAGACAGAGTTTTACCCTAGTGAGACCAAAGCCACTAAGTATCAAAGGTGTATATCAATCCCTGACCAGGATTGCGATGAGTAAAGGGAGCGGGAGCCAGGAAACCAAACAAAGAATTGTGGAGAAATTGTTGCAAGACACCCGCGGCGCGGAAGAAAGCCGATATGTTGTTAGAACACTTGTTCAGAATCTCCGAATCGGGGCTGTGAAGACGACCATGCTCATTGCGCTTGCAAGGGCATTCTTGTACTCGAAACCAGACGGGGCGGAATTCACTACCTACACGCAACAAGAATTAGCTCGCCTCAAGAAAGACGAAATCACGGATATCTATAGCAGTGCGGAAGAAATAGTGAAAGCTTCTTATGCCCGACACCCCAACTATAACGATATCATTCCTTGTTTACTGGAAATTGGGGTCACAGAGGAATTACTCTTACGATGTGGATTACAACTTCATGTGCCATTACGACCAATGCTGGGCAGCATCACACGAGATCTGTCGGAGATGTTAACAAAACTCCAAGGTCGCGATTTTACCTGCGAATTTAAATACGATGGACAGCGCGCCCAGGTGCATTGCGACGAGAATGGGAAGATATCCATTTTTTCGCGGCATCTCGAACAGATGACAGAAAAGTATCCTGATCTTGTATCGCTAGTGCCTCAGATCCGAGGAGAGGGTGTGTCGAGTTTCATTCTAGAAGGGGAAGTAGTCGCCGTGGATCAGGATACACGCGAGTTGCAACCCTTCCAAGTCCTCACAAATCGAGCAAAGAAGAACGTGGAAATAGGAGCGATCAAGATAGCCGTTTGTCTTTTTGCATTTGACCTTATGTACCTGAACGGGACGCCACTCCTAGATCGACCGTTACGGGAGCGAAGGGGACTACTTCGCAGTCTATTTGTAGAAATTCCGAACCGGTTCACCTGGGTCAAAAGTCTTGACACAACATCTGCAGATTCCGAGACTGTCCTAGAGTTTTTCAAGAGCGCTACAGAGAGCAAGTGTGAGGGTATCATGGTCAAAGTTCTTGATAACGAGGCAGCCGCCAATGGCCTCAGCAGTGCCAACACAGCAAACGAAAAAATAGAAGCCCAAACCGGGACGAACGGCCAAAAACCGGTGAAAGGTGGCCGCCGCAAGGCCTTACTGTCTACTTACGAGCCGGACAAGAGACTAGAATCCTGGCTCAAGGTGAAGAAGGACTACAGCGCCTCATCGGAGACATTAGATCTAATCCCCGTAGCTGCATGGCACGGCAACGGACGAAAGGCCAAATGGTGGTCCCCCATCCTACTCGCCGTCCGCAACCCAGACACCGGAAGTCTAGAAGCCGTAACGAAATGTATGTCCGGCTTTAGTGACAAATTCTACCAAGCGAACAAAGACAAGTACGCCGAGGGGAGCCCAGATGTGATATCTCGGCCTAGCTATGTCGAGTACGATGGCGAACCAGATGTATGGTTTGCGCCACAGGAAGTCTGGGAAACAGCCTTTGCAGACATCACGCTCAGTCCGACTTATACAGCTGCCCTTGGCCTCGTAAGCGAAGCGCGCGGCCTTAGTCTTCGGTTTCCCCGTTTCGTGAAAGTCCGCGAGGACAAATCTATCGATGAAGCCACGACAGATGACTATCTGGCGTTGCTTTATAGGAAACAATCTGAACGCGCACAGTTAGAAGAGGCAGCAGATGCAGCTCGAGATGTGGAACCGGAGGATCAAGAATGATGGATGACTATGTAAATCAGGATTTGTGAGATAGACAAGACCGACCGACCCCTCTTGGATTCGCTGGATGTACAGCAAAACCGCTATTCCAAACATGTTGGGAGATCACTGTTCGTTTATAGTACCTATCTATATATTTGACCCGCTTAAATAATATACGGCTCCACATCACAATCTTCCTCAACATCAAACCGCTCAACCTTCAGATCTAATTGACCAATTCCCCTATCCGGCGGTACATCCGCGATATCATCCGACCTCACCCATCCACCAAAATCTTCATCACTAGCTAAACAAAAGCCCGCGGGTAGGGACACACGCCCCTCGACCCCTTTCAGAGCCTCAGAATGGGGAACCCAAGCCGCTCCTGTACTCTGAAAGCCGCCTTCATTCCCATGGGGAGAAGGCTCCCCAAGCAACACACGCGAACATCTCGTTTCCGAACCCATCAGCACCCTCATTGCACCATGTCCGTCGCTACTAGCAGACTCGGGCTCAGAGCGGAAAAAACGAACCTCTCTGATTTCCGCAGTTTTCGGCAGAAATATTTTCTCCCGAGGCACCAGAACAGGTTCCTCTCCGGGACCCGGTGCAAATAGCTTGATTCTGAAAACGGTTAGCTCAGTGCTGCTCTGGGTGAAATAAAGCTCTGACGGGGTCCAGGTGAGGCTGAAAGGGAGCCGTGAGACGGGTAGGGATTCGAAACTTCCGAGGTCGATCTTTGTTCTGTGGATCTGCGTGGGTGGAGCGCGGGTGGTCTTGCGGGAGGACAGTCGGTGAGTTGTGACGAACAAAGCGAGTTCGAGGGGAGGCGGCGAGCTTTCCGATTTGGATGACGTTGATGAATCTTTCCTCTTTGTCTTCGGTGTTTTGGTTGACTTCTTGGACGGCTTTTGTCGGGCTTCGAGAATCGCGATATGGAGGTATTTACCGCATTTGGAGAAATGACACTTTGTAAACACTTGACGGGCTGAATGGAGATCGTTAGTTACTTTCGTCTGCTGCCAGCAGTAGATGATCCGGGATACTCACTGTATGTGGTGGTAGGTCTGAGCTTCCGCTTGAACCATGTCTTCTGGCTGAAATCCGCAAATAGAACATTTCCCGGACTCATGGGCCAGATAACGAAGGGCTCAAAGGGATGCAAAGCAGGAGGAGAGTCATACAGCATTAAATCTAACTCTCGCGAGAGCCGAAATATGCATTTCAGTCCCGTTTCAGAAATACTAAACACCCGAAGTGATGCCTCCAGGCCTCCTTTTTTGTTCCCTTTGCGAAGACGAGCCTTTCCGTATCGAGAACGGAGATGTAATTCACCACCAGCATCTGAATCATATTCATCTGATTCATCAAAGAGGATATAAGCGTCATCACCGTCAGACTCATCATCCATAAAGCCGCGAAGGAAGCGCGAGCCAGGTGTCATCCCCAAACCACCAGTTTCGGGGTCTTCTTCCTCCGACTCTGGTTCGCTGGGAGAATATTCGGTAGATTCAGTTCCAGAGCTGTCTATATAGCCTCTGAAAATAACGATTGCATTTTCGTCGTTGATAGCCTCGTCAACCTCTGTTGAAGCCTCGCTCCAGGTCTCGTCGCCAGAACTCCAATCAACCCCAGTTGCGGCCGATGATGATGATGCAGATTCCTCACTTGCACTAGATTCTGAGGAAGAGTCATCGATATATGGTAGGTCGGAGTCTTCAAAGTCGTTTTCTTTTTTATTTTCCCAACTCTCATCGAAAAGTTTATTCACGTCTTGCACTGGATCATTAGCATCTAACATCCCCTCACCAGGAACCGGCGCGCTCCGCCGGCTTGTTACTATGACATGTTTTCCTTGTGTTAGGAATTCCTCAAAGTAGGGCGGAAATCGGTCCTTTGGGTTCTCATCAACATTTAACTTGTGGAACCCCCCAAATTCATCCCTCATATGAAGCTGAGAGCCGATGCGGAGGCTACGGGCATCGTAGTCGAATGCAATAGGCTTCGCTCTTACTAGTCTCACATTGAGATTTGCATCGTCATTGTCAAAGTACAGTTTAGAATTTGCACTTTCTTCGTCCACCTCGAGCTTTTGTCTTCGTTGTAATCGTGGCTTCCCAAATTCATCAAGCCGCCAGGTTTCACAAACAAAATGAAGAGTCTGTGCATTTCGAGATCTAGATTTATCAGTAAACAACCAGGCAATGAGGTAAGACCATGTGGCATTCAAAAAAAGTTCAATGTACTCACACAAACTGAACCAGATAAACAGCCTTGCCACAGGCAGAGTATCCTTCATAACAATGCGTGGTTGTCCGTATGCCATCCTGATCGCCTGTGCTCAAAGCAAAACTAGAATACCTGCTCCGCATGTGCGACATGAAGTTGTCGGCTCCTAGCGCTCCAAAGAGACATCGGTCAATTTGACCGGCATATCGAGAGAGTATACATGACTGGCTTTTGCAGCATCCACAACCTAATAAGTAGGCCCACTCATGTAGAAAAACCCGGTAATCCTGAGAGAAATGTAAATTCGGTTTTCGTGACGTTGATTTGATGAACCAGTTTGGAAAAGCCCTCTTGAGAAACCTGAAGCGATCCGGTTTTCCCCTAAGGGTAAAAACGCCAAACTGACTGTCAACGTAGAGGTATTGTAGCTGGAGCAATGTCTGGAAATTGGGAGATTTTAGAAAGGTTGAGATCTTCTCTGTAAGATCTTTTGATGGAGAAACCTCGTCAAGGTGGTAGTACCAATATTTAGCTGTATACCGCAGAAATACGTCTTTCTCTGGGGACTCGCCGTCTGCTGTCTTCCATTCACCACCCACTTTCTCCAGAAGGTTGCTATATCGAGGCTGAGACAGGTACTGAAGGCATAATTCTCCCAATATGGAGGGGTCAATAGATACGTTTTCTGCGTCTTCCTCGCCTTCACCCAGGATGCGAGGGTTCTTTTTTACAAACTCCTTTACCGTTAAGTGGAACAGTCGACAACGCTTCTCAACGCCATGTGGCCCCGTTTCTTCTACTATCATGGGAGAAAGCAAATTCTGGATTAGTTTTAAACGTGGCTTCCTCCGGTCCAGATCGGATTTGGAAGAAGGATTTGGGTTTCTGATCAACCCGATGGCATCGCTGAGCTCGCTTACAGACACTGGACGGCGAGAGAAGCATACAATGGAAAATATTTTGCTATGTCTTATTAGTATGAAACCTGTAGCATGGTTAAGATAGTCAGAAAATACTCACGCCGCTAAGTCTCGATACGAAGTTGGAATACGTTTGAATTGGCGTCGGTAATACTCGTTGATGTCATTCGGTAAGGAATCATTGATGAGAGACTCCATATCCGCTATACTCTCGGCCTCCTCGCTGAGACTATGAATCATATAATAAGCCCAAAGAAAGTTCCCTTTTGCTTTCCCCTTCAAGAGCTTAAACCAGAGCTCCTTTTCTTCGGATGTGGTGTCGATATCGTCCAATTCTTGTATTCCTTTCTCGAAGAGGAGTCGAATATCGGCTTCATTCTGGTTTGTAAGATGTATTCTTGGATAAGGGTCCATTTTTTTCATGATTGCATTGTGCGCTTGGCTGGATAACCAAAGCCTCACCGATTTCTTTGGGTTGTATGTAACTAATGAAATCAACGATTGCAAGGTTTCTTGGGCTATAGACCACCTCTGCTCCGCCAGCTCTTCATCTAGGCCATCGATGAATAGATAAGTTCGTGGGAGAACCGAACAAGATGTAATGGCACTCATCATGCTCATAACATTCCTAACTGATGCATTTAGGGCTTCCGTTGCACGGAGCACAGAGTCTGGTACGTCCTTCGTAGATTGTCTGACGTTTTCAAGTACCTGGCCAGCCATTACTCGAAGCAAGTCAATGGCAGAGTTCTCCTGGTCAAACCGGAAAAAATGAAATGCTGTTGCAGCTGAAGGATCAGTGTCTTGGACGTATTGAATCGCCCGTGAGCAAAGCATCGATTTACCCGCCCCAGGATCTCCACTCATCCAGAGGATTGGGAATTTAGATGTTTCCGCGGTCCATTCCTGGAATTCGGTTGTTTGGAAAATCCATTCGGAAGTTCCTGGTATGTGATTCGCTCTGTTACTGTCGTGGCGACGGTGATTCGCCTCTAAGATATCTTGGAAAGTGCCTCTGACGCTCAACCATTCTTTCACGCGATCAAACAGATGGACTAGCAATGCAGTTAGTAAATTAGGGCATAGTTTAAAATAGAAGAATCATGCCTTTTCTATGCTCTTGTTCCTGTTCTCGATGTTGCGAGTTTGCATCCCTTTCAATTTGCGCTCGACCTTTCTCCAGCATATCTGCGCGGTCTTTGATCTCCTCGGCGTCCCTTTTTAAATCTAGGATGATAGAATCCATCTTCTTGGTGCTAAACGGTGCAGCCGACTTCAAAAACATATTAAATGCTACATTATATTATGTAAGGGCGAATATCTCATAAAGAGGGGAGTTAAATTATCACTTACTATTTCGCTCGCATTCTTTACGAACCCGGGCCCAGAAACGCAAGACAGTAATATAAGATCGGCAGAGCAGTGTCTGCATGGATGGATCTTTATACAATTTGTCGAAATAGTTGATACGCTCGATATGGAAAGTCAGGTCTTGAAGCTGCTGCTTGATTGTTTCGAAGAGACTTGCGAAGCGGTCTGCGCACTGCACACCAGTTATTCATATAGCTCATTTCATTTAACCGTAAAGTAAACCGATGTATAGAACAAGGTGCGTCGTAAGGCTGAAAAGAAGACTGAATAAACATAGAACACTTACATCGAAAACAATCCTCAAAGCTCCCCAAATAATCGCAGCAGGGAAAGGGTTGGCTTGACACATCGTATCTATAATTTCATAGTACTCCCTCACAGCAGTTATAACCGGTTTGACTATGTGATTGAAGACACGCATCGAGATCTTTTGAGATACTCTTGCCTCTGATTCTTCCACAAATGACTTGATCCATTCGGGATTGGCCTGGCCGCATGCATTCCAACCATCGAGTATCAATTTTCGAGTATTTTTTTTCTCGGGTAGGGAAGCAACATATGCCATAAATGCTTTTTCGAAAGTTCTAGATAGTCAAAACCAGGTCGTTAGTTTGTAGCTAAAGTTCAGGTCGAAAGGCCTTACCCATTGCTGGACTCGTCTGGGTCTTTTTTTTCCATGTTCGCTATCATTTCTCCCAAGAAAGGCAGCTTGGTTTCCAGGTAGAAAAACAGACACAAGAATGGTTTTAGTGGAAGAAAAAAGAAAACAAGTCGATCTACACATTCAACCATTTCACTGGCCATCATGAAACGAGGGTGACATGGCACAAGACTTAACAGCAAAGAGTGACACTGACCTCCTCCAGCTCCAGTGAGACGGGATAGTCGGAATTGCTGTCATTCGCCAAATAACCGGAGGCCTACAGGATGCCATACCGTCTTAGGGAATCGTTTCAAAACTCCAAGCGAACAGATTGTGGGATGAGCTGAAGCGAAAGCCTAGCCCCTCATTTTTTGCCTGGTTCGCCTGATCGTGGCCTAAGCTCTTTCACCGAAGGCATTTAATCCTCGACTACAGTCCAGGAGGATTTCCCAAGCTTATGTATAGACATTGCTTTTCCGATCTTCAAATTCCTGTTCTAAAAACAAGATGGCAGAAAGTACCGACCAACCAAAAGATCCAAAGGTCAAAGAGGAGAAGGACAAGGACGATGCGGGATCACCAGAGAAGCGCATTGCACGCTATGATGAATAGTAAGGATTCGATCTTATTTTTCCGATATTTTGAGATCGTTTACTGACAGCGGAATGCTTGATTATTACCTACCTAGTTATGACTAGTAGGATGTCCCAGCCTTGAATTCGCATCAGTAACTCTTCGAAGCTAATTGGCCTTTTTTCTCTCTCGAAAACCAGCCGCACTTACAACTGGAGGCTAAAGAAAACAGCAAAGAAAGAGAAGCAGAAGAACATCAAAGGCTCAGTACTCGTTGTGCGGCGCATCATCACAACCAAAGGCCAATATCATTCTACAGATATTGATATCAGAAGCCCCATACTGGCGGAGACACTACGGGAACTAAATCCAGGAACCGAAAGCTTAGTACAGGAAAACCCCCCAACGGTACCTAAGTTGAACATGCTCTGTCGATGCTATGCACCAGCTGATTCGATTGTTTTCTTCTCCGTTGCCAGGCTGATCCGGTTTTGTTTTATCATTCTCGGTTTGGGCTGAAATCCGCTCTTGAAGCTGAGAAAGCCAAGGACCATCCGAACGAAATTCTGGTCAATGATTTGACGGTTGCACTCACTTACATCGAGGAGGACCATGGCAAGAACATCGCTAGCATGGATTCCTTACTTAGTAGAGGAGAAATCACATGGGGGCTTCTCTGGGCTCTGTTCACCCCCGGTTGCCTTGTCTACCACTACCACCAACTGACACAACAGAATCAGGTCCTTCGCTTCCGTCAGGCTAGAAAGACGAGAAGACCCAAAGATTTCGTCTTTTACTGGAACATCATGTGCGATATCATTATGTTCGACGGCATAAAGTTGGGGTATGCCAAGGTTGAACATTTCGATATTGACGAGTATCCAGGAGCCCGTAAGATTAATGATCTTAACATATTTCCGTTGGACTTTGCCAAAAACAAAGACGCTATTTACACGCATGCTGTCGAAAGAGGGAAACGGTATTGCGGGATCAGAGACAAGTCATACTTAGAGTGCGATGGGCCGGCAATGCGAGAGATACTCAATAAGGACCTCGCTCCCAAACAGTTTACATTTTCGGTAATGGACACTTGCCTTCCTGTCCTTCGTGCTTTACGCAAGATCTAACAGCTTACAGTCTTTTGGAAGAGCCATGGTGGATGCAAAGTCGTTCAAAACCTTCGAACCAAATGCCACATATAACTACCAAGTATACAGACAGATCGAGTGTGAAATTCCGGAGAAAGACGACGAATTTGCAATATGCAGCCCCATCGTCGTTGGATTCAGCTTTGGTGCTAAACTCTGGGGTAAGGCTCAATCTTAATTTCCATCGCAACCAAACCTCCTAACAAGACATCAGGCGGACTCGGGATGGACTATTGCCGTGTCATCCAATGGGGATACGACGCCTTCAACTCGTTGGTTCTCGACCCGAACAAAAAGAAGCTTGTTCGTGCCCTAGTCACCCAGCACACATATAAAGGCGAACACTTCGATGACATCGTCGCCGGCAAGGGAAAGGGACTTATTGGTCTCCTCAGCGGCCGGCCAGGGTGCGGTAAGACACTAACCGCTGAAGCAGTGTCCGAAGAAACCCGCCGCCCACTCTATTCCGTCAGTGCAGGAGAGCTGGGAACAGATCCCGCCGAGGTAGACAAGCGCTTAACGCTCATCCTGGAACTTTCCCAACGATGGAATGCTATTCTTCTACTTGACGAAGCAGACGTCTTTCTGCAAACAAGAAACGACACCGATGTAGTTCGCAACGCGCTCGTCTCTATCTTCTTACGACAGCTAGAATACTACAAAGGCATTATGATTCTCACCACAAACAGGATTGATATTTTCGACCCTGCCTTTGAAAGTAAGGAAGGCCATCTATCTATCTATCTATCTATCTATCCAAGTAAATAGACCCGTGAATGCAGAACCCAGCTGACCTAACAACCCCACAGGCCGAATCCACTTTAGTTTCTTCTATCCCGACCTGGATTTCGCCTCCCGGAGAAACATATGGCAGATGTTCCTGACCCGGCATACCAAGGAAAGCGACGAGCAAGCCCGCCCCGGTATCCAGTTTAGTGAGAGTCAGTTGGACGAATTAGCACAGCCACAATTGAATGGTCGTCAGATCAAGAACCTAGTTAGCTGTGCGCGGTCGCTTGCGTTTGATGCGAATGAGTCCCTGGATATGGAGCACTTGCGTTCCGCGCTTTGCGTTGTGTCGGACTGGTCCAAGGCCGTTCAGAAAGAGGCACCGGCGCCGGGAAATGGGACATATTGATTTGCTAACCTGAACTTCTTCGATATTATGTCCGAGTCGGTTCATACAAATTGTAGGGATTTCATTTTATGATTATATTATGTCTTGTCAAAATCAAGTCCCGTGGATGTCCTAGGACATAGTACTGAATAACTTGCAATCATTCACACTGGGATCTATGTTCTCGAATGTTATTACAAAGGAAACCCCACATGGTGAGACGCGATTTCAAACAATTACAACCAGGCATTCCCTTAGTTGATCCTATCGAGATTTCTGCCTGATTGTCTGCATGGATCTTCTGAGTTCCTTGTCGCTAAGAACAACCACCTGCCAGTAGGTTCAGGTTGGGAATATCCTAAATAGGAATAAACGTTCTTTTTTTTTTTTTTTTTTTTTTTTGGATACTTTACTTACCTATCTCTTTCAGTGTATCGTACTACTTATATCTACTCTTTAATATTTGATTTTGGGAAGAGAGTCATGTATACGTTGGTTTTGTTCATACAACCCGGCTCAATAATCAAGGAGCCTAGCTGGAATATTTTTTCTCCTATCCACAGTTCGAGCAAGGAGCTCGTACATCTTCAACACAAATATGAATGGAACGGATGCTAGTGGGGGATTGAAGTATGCAGATACTCTCCAAAATTAAAAAAAAAAAATGCCATAACGTAACATGGGGAAAATGGGTATGTATGTATAGACAGCATGGTAGGCCCTATAGGTATTAGTTAACATAGCTGGTCCTGTACAAGGGTGCGATAAACCACAGGGGAAAAAGGGAAAGGGAAAGGGAAATGGGAATTGTGGCAAGATGAATTAGATACAATAATTGGGGCATAACAGTGGGATTTATCCCGTGGTGTGTACATATCAGTCGTCAATGGTCATAATAGGAGTCCCACAATAATGAAAGGGGCAAGGAAAGAAAAATGGTAGGGAAAAAAAAAGGAGGTCTATGGTCGTAATTCTCCACCCAGTTGCAGTACAAGACCAGGCCCCTTTGCGCGGTTCTTCGGGCTCTCAACTCCAGGGGGCAGGAGGTTATCGAAATTCGACCGCTTTCTGCCATCCTTGGTTGCCAGAGGGGTCCGAGCTATCCCTCCTGGTGTTCGACCACCCCAGACTGGCTGGGCTGGGCTGGGAGTGACGTTCACAAAATCAGCAAAGTTGAACTGCTGATTTGGAGTGCCGAAGTTGGGGAACACGCCCCCCCCTCCCGGAACCGCATGTTGGCTTGGGGGAGTGGAAGGAGGGAAGGCTCGGGGTTGGGGTTTTGCAATGCTGGCGGGTGTTGGAGAATTGGCAAGATAGAGAAGGAGGTCTGCCCCATCCTCGTGACGAAGAGTGCGGTCGTTCCGTGAGAGAGACGAATGCTTCGGTGGGGGAGTGCGAGGGGGCGAGGAGCCCACGACGGAACTCGCATTCCGAAAACTATGCACAGGCAGGTCCGGGTCATTGTCATCCTCCGAGTGGACATGGTATCCGGGGGACGAAAACTCAGGGATTGGAGCCGTTTCGGCCAGGGGTAGGTGGTGACGACCGGGGTGGTGTTGGCGACGAAACCCGGGGGAGGACTCTGGTAGTTGATAGGAGCTTTTCCAGGACACACGGGTCGCTTTCACTGGGCGGTCTGTAATCGAATCCGAACGAAGACGTTTTCGACTAGCTGACAGCATGGGCTGCATCATCCGCGAGTTGAATGTTGCAGCATGCTTGTTCCGGGATGACCGAGGGAGCTCCTTGGAATAGGAAGCCGTTCGTAAGGGAGGTGAAGTTAAAGGGGTTTCGCAACGACTGTGGGAGATGTCCGAAGAGGAATCCGAAGGCTTGTCACTTCCTAAGAACTGTAATCCACCACCCTGGCGGGATTCTCGAACCGGAAGACGTCCATTCTGGTACTTGACCTTGGCAAGGCCCAGGCGATCTTGGAGGTTGAGGGACACCTACAAATTACAGCAGCCGCACTTCGGTTAGAAAATTCTCCCTTCTTGTGTCTTTTTTTTTTCCCTTCTTGTTTTCAGGAGTGGGAGAGCTACTTGACCTTCCCAACGAGTGGTCACATACCTGAGCAATGTCAATTTTGCGGATAGTCTTCTCCGGGTTGGACAGGACCATTGCGTGATTGAATGAATGGGGATGGCGCTATTGACGCAGTGAACAGGAGATTGGAGGAGATCATAAACCGCAGGAAAATGAGAGTCCGACGGCGAGGTGTTCCAAACAGGGAAAAAAAGAAGAAGAAAAAGGTTGTGAGAATCCAGGGGAGGGAGGGACAAAGGGCGGGTGGAAGGAGTGAATTTGGAAAGGAAGCCCAATTGGAGCACGGGGATGAGTTAGGCGGGTTTGGTAGGGCAGTTTAGTTCCTGGGGAAGAAGACGAGCTGAAGTCGATGACGAGCACCACTGCCTCGGAACGGAGTCAAATGGCAGTGAAGAAATAATACTGATGATAATAGAAGGAAAGGAAGCAATTTGATTTTCCGGGTGTGTTGTCTGGGAGAAGAAAATACGCAGGAACTTTTTTGTCTGGGTGGAGCAAAACGCGTGCCATCACAAAGTATCCCTGGTTCGTCTACATTCCAATTGATCTAAGTGAATGAATTCTCGACTTACAGTTGTCCGTACACTTCATCTGGACGGAAGGGAAGGGAACTCTGTTCTCGATCTCAGATTAAACAAAGCATCCTTACGGTCCCTTAGACTGGAGACCGACCGACCGACCGACCGACCTCCTTCTGCGCAGGTAGAAAAATTCTGGTCCCTGGGACAGCCCACTCTCTGGAATGCCAGCAAATTCTCCGATTCATCTTCCCTCCATTCCTCCTCCTTTTATCGGGCCCCAGCATTCCACTGTCGATCAGTGCGAGTATCCAGCGCATACCCGGGCGGAATCATGCAAGTGGCAGTAATATCCATGTTCTAGCCCGAATCTCTCGTCCATTCCGGTCGATATCCTGCCATAGCTCGGACCAAGTTCTTTTCCTCATTTCGATTAGTGTCAGAAGTGCTGGCTGGCGAGTGAGCTTTTTGTCCCTAGATCGAATCCTCGCGAGGGGTTGTTCTAGAGGTTGAATTATGAATCTGATGACAGATGTAAGATCCCGAAACCAGTCAAACATGTCTTGGTTTTGAAGGGGTCAGTAAGGATACCTAATATTACCAAGATTCAAGCGGAGAGCAAGAAGGAGAACGATGCGATCATTATGGAGACGTTGGAGCAACGACTAAGAGAGATTAAGGGGAAAGGAAGCAACAATCAAGATCAAGAGTCCAACCAGATCCACCAGAGAAACTACGAGACGGAGATATGCGCGACGTGGTCAGCATTCGAAAGCTTCTTATGTCTGGTATAACTGAACAAGATTCTGTATGCTTGGTATAACATGTAACTCGCCAATAAGCGGAAGATGACGATCTGGTAGTTCGCGATCTCCTTTTCTTAGTTTGGAACGTGAGGAGCCACTCACTATACACTAGTTAGCAGTACTCCATGAGTCCATCAGAGTCCATTCTAGGGAGTGGTTGAGAAAGGGGCCAGAGAGAAGCCAGTTCCTGGTCATCCCTCGGTTCTGGCATACCTAGGTAAAGGAAGTAAGTACGGAGTAGGTGCAGAACAATAAACGACAGCAATCCTGGTCACTGGTGCACGCCAAATATAGCAGACGATCTCTGGATCTAGTCGTTTTAGTGGTGAGACTAAAACTAGTCTTCAAACCCACACACACACACTTCGTCTATTCGCAAATATGATGTTGGCTGGTAGTGACCCACTGTATGAAGAAGAAGAAGAAGAATAATATTCCTGTTAAGATTGCTGAGTATGAGAAAAGAAATAAAGAGAGTAAGGAAGTTATCTATCTCTGACTGGTCCTGGTCGAACAGCAAGTGTCTCACTTTAACACCAGAAGACAATTTGACCCAGTTAGTTAGTTATTATTATGTATTATTATCAGTTACTAATTCTGATCCAAATGAAATCTCCCCGCTTGGATCGCTAGTGATTGCATTCTTTTCCCTGTTACCTATCTGTTTATCCATCCAACTTGGATTTTTCTTCTTCTTCTTCTTCTTCTTCCACTTCTTCTCTCGTTTCTTTTCTTCTGTCCTCCACTAATGAACGACTTCTTTTCCTTCCTCCTCTGTACCTGACCTTCTAGTGGATGCGGGGATTGCTTGTTCCAATCATTCATCAACCACCACCGCAAACGGTCGCCTACTATCTGTCCAGATCGGCTCTAACTACTCACCACCTGTTGGTCGTGAATCAAGAATACAATCAAGCTAAAAAGAAAGGAAGAAATTTCTGATCAGCTTCGTCACTCGTTTTGTTTTCTCTTCTTAATTTTCTGACCAGTTCCTCGGGGGACTGTGACTTGAAAAAAAAAAAAAAATACCCAAAGGCTCCTAGCAGCAAGAAACGTCTCTTTCCTTCCTTTTTTCATCCAGTCCTCTATACCTCAGTTACTACTGCCTCTTCTTCTCCCCGTTGCATTCCAGATCAAGCAGCAAGAGCAACAACAACAACAACAAGAAGAAGAACAAGATTAATATAATTTCTCAGCTCTGTCACCATCCTCATCATGCCCCTCTTCAAGCAGCTCCGTCGTCGCTCCAGAGCGAGCTTCCGTACCACAAAATCAACAGAGACCAAATCCAATGAATCCCAGTCCAATGGTGAAATGACCTCGGGGAAGTCGTCCTCGACCCTCGATACAGCTTCGTACAGCTCCGTCACACCTCCATCCTCCATCAAACCCAATCTCTCCTCCCATAACCTCCCCGCGCTGAGTGAATCCAATGGCAGCACCAACGGCACAAGTCCTTCCCTTCCTGTGCCGCAGCCACGACCGCCTCCCCTGATGCCACCCTCCCAGCGGAACAGCTATTTTGTATGTGGAAAAATATACCCCCCCCCCCCGCGCCAATTGGCCCGTGTAACTTCTTCTGACCATCGTGCTTTGATTTCTACAGGGTGGTAGCTCGCCTTCCATCAATGGCGCCGCTCGATCGCCACAACCATCCTCTCCATATGCCCCGAGAATTATATCCATCTCGGAAAACTCATGGGTGCGTTCCTTTCCAAGTCTTGTCTGGCCCTACTAGCCGGTCAGTGGTCGGGCTCCAGCTCATTCCTGCGCAGGTACATCAAAAAGTTCTACTGGTATATGGCCAAGTCGGAGATCCAAGACAACGCCCACTCGATGGAAATGTGACCGTCTTTCATCATCAAGATAATTTCCCACCCGTGACGTGGCCAGTAACATCCTCCCATTTCAAAGCTCTTGTACATCTAGCTCCAGGACCCAACCGTCTTCGCTTTGATTTCACCTCGACCAAATCATCATCCACCAGTCTTCACCAGGCCACCCATTCGTCCTGGATCTGTGTCAACTATCTGCCCCTGGTTAATTCTCCGCCTCTGCATCTCGTGATACTACTCGGAAAGGACTCCGACGGAACATTCGATGCGGTTCCGGAGCGAAAACAAAAGGAAGGCAATAACCTGGAAACCGCGATTCGAAAATATCGCATGGCTGCATACCTCTGGCAAGCATTCACTGGGGAGCAAATGTTCCGGAATAATTTCGGACGGAGGTGCTTCCGTTTCGAAGAAGAATGGCAGCCAGGCACCTTGAGTCAGCGCGATGCCACGAATGGCCAGATGCGGAACGAAGCCAAGGTTCATATCGTTCGTACTGATAAAACTGTCGCAGAGTTACGGGACCTGGAGTGCGCTCAGCAATACGGCCCCGCCACACGTAAGGACGACCTCTTCCAGATCGCTCAGGAAGCCGTCAAAGCCCACTTCCACTTGCAACCGGGTCAAAAACAGTATGTATCTGTCCTGCTTCTCGACTCTCATTGGGATACGGAATCCCAAACCATTACCGGCCATGCCGCCCTGGGTTCGGGCCAGGGTGACCTGAAGATGGCAATGTTCGGCTCCCATTGTCTCCAAAGCTACCCGTCGAGTCTGGAGGATGTGGTCGACGCATTTTCTGATTGCACTCGAACCAACACGGATTACATCGCCAACGACCATGGCGAGGCCGGATCCAGCTGGGAGGTGGCTAATCTAGGGATTGGGGCTCATCTTCACGAAGTTGGCCATCTCTTTGGCTGCCCGCATCAAGAGTCGGGGATTATGCTACGAGACTATGTGCGCCTCAACCGATCGTTTATGACCCGTGAGCCCTTTTCGACCCGAACAAAAATCCAAGGCTTAAACCCATGCCTACCCCAAGACGAGTGTGGGTGGCATCGCCTGGATGCCTTACGTTTCCGCTTCCACCCTTGTTTCCGGCTCCCTGGCGATCCCCCCATCAGCTCGGACGACAGCGTTCAGGTCTGGCCAGTCGAGAACGGCAAGATCTTGCTCACAGCCACGACTGGAATCGCATTTATAGAACTGTACGCGGAGGGCGACCAAGTCAGCCGAAATTTCATCGAATACGTCAATAGTGAATCCACCAGCAACGGACTACCGAGGCAGGTTGTTTTGACAGAAAGCGAACTCCGACAGCGCGTTTTCGGCAGCGAGAAGGAGAAGAAAAAACAGATCAGACTGTCTGCGCTGTCTGGCGCTCTTGGGGTATATGCCGTTGGCTCCATCAGTAGTCTGAAGACCAAAAATTCTCAGGTGAAACTTCCCAAGGGGGTTGGTTACCGCGGATGTAAACTTGGCCAATCGCAATTGCCAGGGAGTCAGCCAAATCAACTGCTTTTAGACTGTGCTTTCGAATCCACCAAACTTCTTACGTCAGTCAAGGTGTACCACGGGGCAGCAGTGAATGGACTGGAATTTTTCTATGAGGATGCTACCAGCCAATTATTTGGCAATAGGGGAGGAAAGCCTGGTGGTGATGATTTTGTGCTTGGTAAGCCCTCGCAATATGTTCCGTTACGGAAGATCGTGTTTGATTGCTAACTGCATCCAGATACTCGACGCGGCGAGATTCTTCTTGGTTTCTATATCCGTGCGGGAGAATGGATTGACGCTATTGAGATTTTGACTAGCCTGGGGAGAAAATCCGGCATCTTTGGTAATGCCCGTGGGGGTTCAGGGTACGAGAAAACTCTTGTGTTTTGGTGTTCGTATGGCGGCTGTCTTGTGCTGATTTCTCTATTCCAGGTACAACTTGATCCCTCCTCTGGGTTATAAAGTTGCAGGCATCTCAGGATCCTGTGGCGAATGGGTCGATGGCTTCTCTCTAATCATTATGCACTGATTTCCCCTCGAGGAGATGACCGCCCCATAAACACCTCACGTCCGTATAGAGAAACGATCCCAGGATTCGTGCCTTGCGGGCACCCTCCTTCATCCCAAGGTTTCAACCCTACTCTAAATCCCAGCTCCACCACGGTACTTTGGGACACTACATCCGGTTCCATCGGTCAACTTGAGTCTGTTGGGCTCCCCGCAAACTCTAGATTGCCCTTTCTTTTTTCCTTTTCTTCTTTCTCCCTCTCTCTCTCTCTCTCTCTCTCTCTTTTTTTTTTTTTTTTTTTTTTTTTTTTTTCTTTGCCACAATTTAATCTTGCTCGGATACACCCACATTTCAGAGCTATAAGAGACTATAGCTGAGCTGCAGGGCCTGCAATGCGTGACATACCATCGCTATACATGATGCGCTCATTTATTTTATCTCATGTTCAGGAGGGTCAATGTTTATATCCTTTTCATTCTTGTTCACATGGGCGGCGCTCTGGGTTTGCTTTGTCTTTTGTGATGCTTATGTTTGGGAGTTTGATTACATGGCGCATGCAGCATTCACAGTAATGTATGCCATGGGACAAGCAGGACTTGTGGACCATGGCTTGTTGACTGCTGTGTTTCTTACACATAATTTGATAATTCGCTGGGTGGCTCATAGATTATATATACCACATGCATTATATCTGTTTCTAGCTGAGAAGGGTAAAATGAGATACACAGCACCATATTACCTACATCAAGTAGCTTTCAATATGATAGATAGAGATCACTGTCCCAGGATTGTTTATCCTCTTGTTAGATTAGTGGTCCCAACAGCATAGCATGCTCCAGAATAATGCAGGTGCAAAAGATATATATCACTCTTAGAGGCTGTCTACAAAAAGAACTGTTGGAAACCAAGTACAAATAAAACTAGAAACCCTCAGATTAGGTATATATGGGTTAGTATGAAGAGTGGTTGATGGTTGATGCTTACCTTAGGTACCAGGTAGGATCTAACTAATTTACCTATCTTGCACTTCCAGCACTTCTTTCCTACTTCAGGTCAAGATACTTTGAAACCTACCTAAGGTACCTAAGGTATGCACACCTGGACGTATAAAACGACATCTCACCGTTTGATCATTCAAGTTTTTTTTTTTTCTCTCTCCCCCACACCAACATCTCCTGTAACATGGTAAAATTCTACCAGCCCCTTGGTTTTCGTTCTGTGCAGGGACCAGAGCGATTGGATTTGGAAGCATTTATAGTTGAAGGGCGGATCCACTTGAGACCCTCTCCACCGGCACGGATAAACGAATGATCCGTGGTTCACGTGATATCGGAATAGGGGTGCGTATCGAGGTAGTCCTCAGATGGTCAACTATGTAATCAATAACTCACTTTAACAGGTTTTGCCCTGCATTTTTGTGAGCAACTTGGGCCTCTGGAGGTGTTCTTCCCTACATAGGGTAGAATAGTTTTAAAATGACAACAACCCTCCCTCTTCTCAGAGGAAACAACATCTCCCTAGAAGACGCCTTGACAGATGACGATAATATCCTCCATCGATTAGATTATCCACAGAAAAAGGAGGAACTCTGGTCGTACTTTCTCTCCCACAAGAGTGATATCGAAGAATTGGTGTCCTTCCATCTTCACGCGAAGCACTGCCGGGTATCCGACGAAGCTGACTGGTTATTTGGAAGCTACAACGTGTGCATTCCAGTCTATATTGACCTGCTGTCTGAGGAACGCGTCCTCGTTCGAATCCCCCTGCCTTTTAAAGTCGGAGAGGCGAATAACCCTGGAAATGTGGATGAAAAACTGCGGTGTGAAGTAGCTACCTACATCTGGATTCATGAGAATTGCCCAGCCGTCCCCATTCCCTCCCTCTACGGGTTCGCATTTCCTGATGGGCAGACTGTAAGTGGGCCTAAATGATATTTCTTTAAAACAAATTAACTAAGTAGTCTATTTATCCTAGTTCGCTAAACCATCTTCTGTATCCTTTATTTCTCGGCTCCAGTGGCACATTACACGGACCATCCGCTCATGGTTGGGGTTTCCTATGAGATGCCCCTTCGTTAGCCTTCGACGGTCGAACCCATTGACAACCAATGGGTATATGATCATCAGCTTTATAAAGAACGGCCAGATGCTCTCTAATTCTTGGGCAACGCATCTTCTTGAAGATAAGACACGCAGGCAGACTCTCTTTCGTGACCTCGCAAATATTATGGTTTCGTTAAATCGGACCCAATTTCCGCAAATAGGGTCTCTAACTTTAAATAATAATGGTGAAGTCAGTTTAACCAACCGACCCTTGACCCTACGACTCCAAACATTTGAAAACGAAGGCATTCCTACAATCCCAAGAGACTCAACTTATCGGGCTGTGGAGCCCTATATTCTGGACCTTCTACAGTGCCATGACAACCGCATTTACTACCAACCAAATGCCATTCATGACTTGAATGACGGTCAGGAGCAATTTGCCGCTTTAACTATAATGCGTGGTCTCCTCTGTCAATTTATATCTCGTCAATATCGCAATGGACCATTTGTCTTTACGCTTACTGATCTTCACCCAAGTAATATATTTGTTGATAATAACTGGCATATTACATCTCTTATTGACCTGGAATGGGCATGTTCTTTGCCTGTTGAACTACAAACACCCCCTTACTGGCTATCTGGTCGGCCTATTGATGACATTGAACATGGAGAGCATCTACAGATTTTCGAGAAAATTATTAATGAATTGATAGATATATTCGAAGCACAGGAGCAAAAGATTCAAGGCTCTAAAGCTTTCCAGGCCCATATCATGAGAACATGCTGGAATCGAGGAAGTTTCTGGTACTTCCAAGCTGTACATAGCCCAAAGGGACTCCTCCGGGTCTTCAACGAGCATATCCAGCGCAGATTTTGTGAGGAGCATTGTAGCCAACGAGTGTTTGATCAAACTGTCAGTCCATACTGGTGCGTAGGAGCCGAGGACTTTATTCAAAAGAAGGTGGAGGAAGAAGCGGAGTACAAAGATCGGCTGGGAAAACGGTTTGGTGATTTTGGTCAACGATTTTGATTCTGTTCGACCCTCTTCTGTTCGGTGGCGCTTTGGACATCGGACAGCTATCTGGGTGCCTCAAAATCGGGTCCGATTGTTCGGGCAGAGCCGCGGCTTTCCATCGCAGCTCCCCGTAACGATCGCCATCACTGGCATACTGTGGAATTCTACGGTAAAATCTCTCCATCGCTAGGTGGTTTCTCATTAGAATATTCCAATAAGGCTTGTCTTTCAAGTCGTCACCGAGATCTAGCCTCTGTTAAGAGTAAAAAAAAACCTCAACCCTAAACCCTAAAAATAAAACCCCTCATCCTTCACATATTCTGGTATTACGTATCCTGATGCCATGTTCAGTCTTTCTTGATAGCTGACAGCTGTTTACAATCTGAGTAACTGGGGGAATTAGGGAGGAGAGGTGTTGAGGTCGGATGAATTCAATCTCACAGTAAGATATCTAGAGGGTAGAAAGAACCTCTTTGTATGTGGTAATAAGTTTTCACCAAAAAGAACCCCGATACTAAGAGAAGAACGTAAATTTGGTATTTTTGCTTACCAGATTGTCGGGTCTTGTCCCGCCGGGGGGGGGGGCTGAAAGTTACCTTTTCCAGAGTAGTACATATTGTTTTTATCCATGGATGAACTTTCACTAAGCTAGAATGGTATTTTATCCAAGATGGATTCTATATGTTGCCATGTATGTCCCAATAATTGATGGATCATTGATTGCTTGAGGATGGGTGTGTCTGCTCCATAAATGTCACAATCATTGGGGGAAGCAGATTAGTTCAAATCTTTGCAAATGGGAAGCAGGATGTCCCTACGTACATAGTACTACTAGGTAGGACTAGGGTAGTGCTCAGAGCCCCTAAGCGGCTAGAACATCGCTCGCAAGCGGACTCTAATCTCATCATGGCTCTGATCAGCGTCTGAACTACATAGTGCACACTGCAGCGTAACTCCTCGCTACTCCGTAGATCGTGGAGCATGGACTTGAAAAGTTGATTGCTTGGTGGACATGTCAGGCTAACAGTACCAATCAGATGAGGGTTCCCCCCCCCCCCCCCCCTTTCTTTCTTTTCATCTTTCTTGTCTAAAACAACGAAGAAAGCCCGTGCCTCCTGAGAGAGGGAAGTTTCCTCATCCTCTCACTAGCACGGCTTCTCTTATCTTCTTCTCGAGATGTATTGTTGATTAGTGCGCAAGATGGCAGTACGACGCAACCATGATGCTATCAGCGTTTGATTAAGTTAGCGGTAGATTGTAGTCCCGATGGCGTCCGCGTCCCTTTGCCGGTTTTCCCTTTTCGGTATCACCCGGATGGTCTGCCCAGCAAATGGGAGTAAGCGCTGATAGCTTACAAGCTGTGTTTGGAATTGATTACAAGCGTCAATGGATGCATTGCAAACTGCTATTATCGAGAGGTCTGTTAGCACGAGAGACATATGAGGTAATCGGATCCCTCTTCTGGTATCAAATAAACATTTCCGGGTGGTGCCAAAAGAAGCACAACCCTTTTCTTCTCGCTTTGCGTGGAACGAAAGATCTCCCTCCGTCGGGCCAAACAATGGTTCCTCGACTCACTCCAGATTTCCGCTTACAATACACTGCTTATGTCATTTATATCCTGCAAGACTCGTATTACCAAACTCACATGGCCCGGTATTTGAAACCGTTGGAGATGGTATTTTAGACTGCTGATTGGCGGGATGTCAATCCGGGCGGTTCAAATCGGTATTCCAGTACGGAAATGAGACGATTTTTACCAGACGGTCTCTGTGTTGATATCGGGTATGGCGCTAAGACATCTTTCCACCAAACCGCCTTGGATTCCAGATGTGCTTTTCGTCAACGACCATCGTCAGTCGTCCTGCAATGCTCTGCCACCCCATCCATACCTACCGTAAGTAGCAACTAAGGCGCTATTCAATGGGGTGCACCCATTTAACATTGTATGCTCATTGGGCCAGAACATGCCTGTGCTCATGTTTGACTTCTGCTAACTATATCTTTCCCACACGGAAATTCTCAATCGTCTTGTTGGCATAACCCACGGAACGAGTATATTGACCGGGAATCTACCTCTCGGATTTTACCTAGATTCTGTTATCAGCATTCTGGTGCTGAAACCACGATCTCCCCGGAGACTCGGCGCGCTTGGATGAATCAGTCCACTATCGACTTGTGGTTGCGCGATGATTTCAGTGTAGCCGAAACGGAATTCTAATTCAATCCCAAGGAATTGATAGTCTATCAGTATTCAACGACGATCTGCTCGTTGAATTGGGATATATGGAACCCTTCATCTGGTGGGGAATGGCGAGAACCACATCGATCTTCTCGCCACGTGATGCTCAGGCTTCCTCGAAATCTTTACCTACCTATACTTAGATAGCTGACTTTACACTCAAGCCCATGATTCGCTTAGGATAAGCTTCCTGTGCCCGGAAGTCTTGAGGATGATCATGAGTTGAGTCTCCTACAACATTGACCTCAGCTTTGACAGTTTCCTAGTCTCCCCACGAAGAAGTTCCTGAAATATACCTTAATTTCACACTTGAGCCTGGGCCAGCATGATCGAACTTTGATGATATATAGTTTCTGCTTGCTAGCTAGCTAAGGTTATAATATAACTTCGGAGATTCGCAACGACCGAAATTCCTCAACAGCACATGGGGTGTTGGTATTACCTATTCCGGACAGCATTTGACGGCATTCCCACTGTTTACTATGTACCCGGAGTTTCTCAACGGCCCACATTCATTGGAAGGTCCCTGCGGTAGTGTGCTGGGCTGCTGGTTATTACGACTGTGGCTTAACCTAGAGTACCCGGAGAGGTTAGGTATAAGAATAGCCCCTCCCCCATTGACATTTTTAGTCTACTCCTAGTGACAGTTCCATAACGGCTCTGAGATCGGACAATTTTAGCTTTGATTTTTTATTACATTCCTCATCATTTTAGAGTTGATCTTATTCCTGTCATGAAACCGAGGTTTTGTTGCTTTCGGAGAGACCGGAGGGTTTGAGTCAATCCAACTTGGTTTCCCATAAGATATGCTGTGATTCTAGTACTTGACTGGGCTCTTTCCCTTTACATGAAGCACGAAAAGTCTACTACGCCCCTGAAGCTATGGGGAGCAAAGTAACGAATGTGATAAATACAGAGCCATACACTCCAATCCTTCCAAAAATACACTGTTCTGTATTGTTTGTCTGTAACCGAAGAATACAATTTTTGGGGATAATACCTACTAAATACGGGTCTGTATGCTCCACCGTGGATACCCCCGCAGGCTTCATTGGGCCCCCGTCCGATTCCGTTCCAGCCAAAATCTCCCAGAAATTACCTGTAGGTGTATAACTCGAACCAAGAGAGAGAGAAACAACAAGGACCGAGTCTCAGTACAGAAAAAGGTGATGGAAATAGACAGAATATAAGAGAGACAGAGTTTCTAGAAGGTTTTCTTCTTTCTCCTCGTTTCAATCCAATATTATTATTACCTATACCTCTTTGCGCCCTCGAACAACATCCATCCATTCTTACACATCATCACCACCACCACCACCAATACTTTTCACATATCGCCCCTTTCTGCTCTTTTATTAATAACTATCGCATTCTTTCCACAATTCCTTGGGTTCATCTTCCTCGACTCTTTTCAAATCTAATTTCCTGCATTTTTAAGTGTTGTCACTCATAATATTGTGGTAGAAGGGGGGGGGAGAAAGCACAACTACTAGACTCCCCTCTTACGCACCTACCGACTACTAGTTCATCATCCAGCACGACCGCAGAACTTCTATTGCTGCCGTCTCCCCTCTTCCAACCATTTTATCTCCCCCTCCAACTCTCTTGCTGTTTCATTCGGTCGGAGGGAAAACACTCATCCCAGGTTTTTTTTTTCTCAGCGCGCGCATACGCACACTCATATACCGCTGTCTTCCTCAGTCCTATCTTCCACCCCTCCCAACTTTCTCCCAAAGATCTTCGTTTCTTTATGCGTTGTATAACTCGTGAGCGCTGCATATATTCGCACTTCCCGACCCGTCGCTCTCGTTCAGATTTGCTTTCTTCGCCATCAATACTCTCATCTTGTTGCGATCTTCGACCTGCCACATCTTGCGGCCGCTCTCATACTATGTTCGATCGCATGCTGTCTCGAGAGATTTGAACATAACGATCGAAATCTCGCCTGCGTCTCCAGACCGCAGTTAAGAACCTTGCAGTTTGGGACAGGGATCTCTCCCAGACTGCGATTCTTACAGGCCGGGACGCTAGGTGAGATCTGGATTACTCTGTTAATCCGGATGTCATCTTTACACCTGCGCTTTCTCTCCTCTTGCCCCAACTCCAACCGTTTGGGCGCGTAAAAAAAAAAAAAAACACGCTGCGACCGAAGCAGATTATAATGTTTCGCAACAGGTATGTCTCCCATTATCTCCATTGCCCGCACATACTGCACATTGGGTTCAATGATCAACCCGGGGCTGACCGGATTCATTCTCCGTCCAGACAGACTTCCCAAAAACCCAACGATGAGTTGATACGACGTTTCCGGAAAACCTTCCAAGATCTTGTTCTTCCAGCAAAATCAGTAAACCCACACCGCAGAGATCGAAATTTTAATAGCACAGTCCCGCTCGAACCTGTTTCTCCAACTAAGTACGTTACGATATTTGTTCCTTTCCCTTTTGCAAAAGCGAGGAAAATACCGTGGTTACTGACTTGAATTACAATTTAGGTTCAACATGGACCCAGACGCCATCCCGCAGCCCACGCAAGACCCGCACCCGCAATACATGGCACCGATGGTTGACCCGAACTCACTTCAATTCATTAACCCTCTGAGCCAACCACATGGCTACTATACTCCTAATTCCGGTGGCCTGGGCGCTATATACCATAGCCAAGCCGGTGACCTTCACACGCCTGGCATGGGTATGAACATGATCACCCCCCTCTCCATTGCGCAGCAGATGCCCATCCCTACGGATGGCTCGGGAATGCCTCTCGATCAGTATGATCCGCAGTATATACCTCCACACTTTCAAAACCCACAACCTTTTGGCCCTCCATCATTCTTTGCACCCGGTGCATTTGTCCAGACCGACGCAGGTTATGATGCCGTAGACGAATCCGTTGATGAAGGGTCTCTAAATGATGTCGATATGCAGGGAAACACACAGCCACAGATGGCAACCACGGCGATGCGAGATTCTGAGAACCAGGATATCCCAACCCCAGGCGAAAGGTAAGTTTTAAGGCCCCTTTGCACCCCTTGCCAATTTTTTTTTCCCCGGTGGTTAATCATATGTATATCTACTAGGTTCCGGTACCAGGTCACGCTGCGTGCTCCCACCGCTATGATAACCCACCAGAACGAAATTCCTGTCACATATCTCAACAAGGGCCAGGCCTACTCCATGTCCGTTATCGATTCAAACCCACCGTCTTTAAATTCACAGCCAGTTAAATACAGAACTTTTATCCGTGTTTCATTCCAAGAAGAAGAACAACGATTAAAACCCGCTACCTGCTGGCAGCTGTGGAAAGAAGGACGGGGGTCTAGCGAAGCGCATCAGAGGGGTGGCAAGCTCCAGGCTGTCGAATATGTGGATCCAATTCAGGGAGGGATAGAGGATCAAAAGAGTCGGCAAATTCAACTGGAACACTCATCATTTGACGGCTTCTGTGTCACCTGGTCCCCGAGTCCAATAACTGGGACATCGGAATGTGCCATCTCTGTTCGCTTCAACTTCCTGTCGACTGACTTTAGTCACTCAAAAGGTGTAAAAGGTATCCCAGTCAGGCTATGCGCCAAGACAGAACGGATATCAGGAGGCGCCTCCGACACTGCAGGCAAAGAATCGGAAGTGTGTTATTGTAAAGTCAAGCTTTTCCGAGACCATGGTGCTGAACGCAAGCTGTCCAATGATGTCGCACATGTGAGGAAAACGATTGAGAAGCTTCGACAGCAGATCCAACAAAATGAGATGGGCGCTGGCGGTTATGGTAAGCGCAAGCGCAGTAATGGACCCGTCGCTTTCAAGAGCTCGGATCCACGCCCAGCGAAGATATCCAAGCATAAACGGACGCTGTCCACGGGTTCACAAGATGGTTCCGGCAAGATGAGTGTTGGGGATGATCTGCTCGAAAAGCTGTCCTTATTGCAGGACATGTTCTCGTCGACCAGGCCTGTAAGTGTTCTGGGACTCCAGGGGGATGAAAATGATGACCCAGACATGTACCCTGTTCAACTCCCCGATTCTCGCAACTACATAAAAAAGGAAAGAGTTAGCCGTCAATTTAGCATGGATAGGAATACGCTGCAAACATTATCTCCAACAAGCAGCAGTATGTCAATTAGTTCCCCATGTCACCCTCCAAACGCTCAACAAAAAGGTGCTCTCTTCGAGTCCGACTTTTATGATTTGCTAAACGCTCCCAAAGAGAATTCGCGGTCATCATCCGAGGTCCAAGGCGACAGAACCCTCCTAAAGCACCCCGTGAAAGTGCAGAGGGTGCCATCGGGAGACGCCAGCGCGCCTACGGGTTACATTAAAGCGGTGGACATTGACCCAACTTACAGACCACCAGCAGAGCGACAACCTAGGCCAAGTAAGTAGCATAACCAAAAGCCGCAAAAAGGCTGCCAGGCTAAACAATATCTTAGTCGCTTGCTTTTACATCCGATTTCCCCGAAACGCTCAACATCAGGACGACTATTACCGGGCGGTTTATCTTACCGAGCGTACAGTTCGTGACTTGATGGAGAAGATTTCCGTGAAGCAACGAATAGACCCGCAGCGCATCATGCGCGTACTGCTTGTTAAAGAAAATGGCCTTAGGATTATGGTCGACGATGATGTGGTTCGCGAACTTCCCGATGGGCAAGATATGGTTGTTGAAATCTCAGAAACCGCGCCGTTTGAAAGTAGCACTGTTACCGCAGGCACTAATGCTTTCACCCCTCCAGTAGAAGTGAAATTGAGATACTAAGCTCATCCCGGCCAGTGCAGATAATTGCTACTTATACTTTGATCAATTCGAATCAAGTTTCAGACTTGGAGCCACTTCAGTGACCCTTTTCGAAATTCAATCTACTTTCACGTCAAGTCTCAGTCAATTCACCTGCGCCTGGTGCGCTTCAATTTTTTGGACGATTTCCTCACCGCCCAAGTTCTCTTCTGTTTTCTTTTCGGAGTTTGGTTCCTTTTTTTTTTTTTTTTATGCACTGACTTTGGGGCGTTGGTTCCGGGGATAATAAACGAGTCTCCGAACAATAATACTCCCTGTGTTTATATGGACATATGCTGCTCTACTGCTATTCTTGTGCCATACTAATCCTTTTTATGATATCCCACGTCTATGTGATTGTCATCATTGTCATTATTGTTGTTGTTGTTGTTGTTGCCGCTGTGATATTGCACTGGCTGTCAGTAATATATGATGGCAGATCTTGCTTCTTTTCGTGATTATTCTCATTGTGGTTTCGCGGATGTGATTGAGGGACGATGCACACGAAATAGATACCCTCTTATTTCAATTTGTCGAAATTGCGTTCTGGTTTCGTTTTATTCTGGGTTGTTATGCCCCGCTTCTTGGAGCCATGGGATCATGACCAAGGCTCGGTTCAACAAGTGTGTTAACATGCTTTGCAGTCTCGTACATGAGAGAGAAAAAAAAAACAACAACAAAAGCTCTGTCAGTGGATGTTGGGTTGGACCTTTGGGAGTGGAACACGATGGGGCTACTCCAGTGTGTCAGATCGGGCAGCGGTTCGGAATACGTTGGATCTTTGCTCAATAGATTTTACCTTTTTTTTTTTTTTTCTGTCACTTTCCTATGCTGGTTTAGAGTAGGTTTATGATAGGGTGAGTCTAACTTATACCAAGATATAGAATAAACAATCCAGCAGAAAAAAAAGCCTCACTAAAATCCCAAGTTTGCCCATGTGCACCTAGGTATGAAGTACCTACAACTTACAAGGTAGAGTCAGTAACCTCAGTTCGTCTAAACTAGAGCAAGTAAGTCCCGAAATTCCCTCCCTCGTAATATGCAGGGTCACTTTTGGGGCGTTTAGTGCGTACCTAGGTAGAGCTCTGACAGGACTCGAAACCTGCGCTCAGACCATGAATTTCCATTGGCACCGGCTTGCTTTTTTCTGAGATTAAGTGATTAGGCATGTTGCCCTAAAGGGAGGTCTCGCCAGTCCACCATCGCGCGGAAATTAGGCTTTGGTGGTGTAACTGGAGGTTATATTCTGGAACTCCTGGTGCACGGCGGCATGATGTCGTCATAGTTGCTGTATTTCCCTGTGGCTGCAAGATTTCCTTGGAAAAAAAAAAAAAAAAAAAAAAAAAAAAAAAAGAAAAATGGATCTTCACGGAGCGTGCCGATATCGATGTGGGGACTTGACATGCCATATGGGCGGTACATACAGAGTAGGTACCTAGGTAGGGAGCTATCCAGGACCGGCCAGGTACGCTTACTGTAATTTTCTAAATTGTTCCGCAAAACTCACCCGCTGGGTGTGTTAAATTACGTCTGTTTTTTTTTACACAGTCCGTCAGTCAGATTTGTCACTTTGACTTATTCTTCTGATAGACAGGTCCCTGGTTTGTCTAACCATGGAGCAAAAAGGGAAAGAAGGAATTATCCAAGGCAAGAAGGAACGACCAGAGAGTCTGTCGTACCTTCTAAATCTGGACGAGTTGCTTGAGTAACACCTGACCGGCGACCCTACCAGCTTCATCCTCTTCATCCCCCCCTCCCTCCTTCTTTGTCTTTCATCCTACTCTTCCATCTCATCACTCTACATTCAACTTCATCTCTGTACTCTTTTTCATCCCTGGTCGTGCCTGCTCATTCCATACGGCTCCCTCTTCCTTCTGATACCCTCCCACACTGCTGAAGGTTCCTACTTTCGCTTGATTCATTCGCAGAACCCTCCCAAATTTAGTGGAAATGGCTCACAAGATCATCATTTCCCTGGCTATTTGCCTGCTGGCCACTATCAGCTTTGCAGAAAGTAGGCACAGGACAGCATCCAGTCAACAAAAAGCTGAGATTTTGCTAACAATGCCAGAAAATGTTGGGCATGTGGATGTTGACCTGGTGTGGGATGAATCCGCCATGGATGCCTTCGGAAGTATGTTCCTGTATTGTCTCATGATACCATTATTGCTCCAGCTAACAAATCTCTTGAGGAAGACCCCAAGGCCAACGAAGCCACTGCTTTTAACCACAAACTTGTCTATCGTCATAGTAAGTTCATCGATCTTCTTCATCGCTTACCTTCAACTTCATGGCCAAGTAACACATTTCTAGCGACTGCCACTGTCACCGTCACCGTCACTGAGACCTACTGTGGACCAATTCAACCCAGTGTTTCGGAAACCTCTCCTGTCACGTCAATCCCAGAGGCGTCCCTTGTTCCTGGAACTTCTGTGGGCTCTGTTCCTCCCACTGAGCAAGCCCCGACTTCGGAAATCCCTAGTCCTCCAACTTCGACTGTTCAGCCCACTTCTTTTTCTTCTTCCGAGGCCCCCAGCACATCCAGCGAACATACAGCCACGCTTCCTACTACCTCCTTCGTTTCTGGACACTCTAGCGCAGCCCCAACTAGCACTGTTTCCGTGGCTCCCACTTCCAATGTTGGCTGCATGCGTGGCGGAACGATTAGCGCTGCGCTTGCATTGGCACTAACAGCTCTTCGGCTTTTCGCTGCGTAGGATAGGGCCGGTTCCATTCATCCCTCGTTCCAAGAGTTGAAGATACCTAACGACATCATACTGTCTACATCTAGTACGGTTAGTTATGTTGTTAGTTTCTCACGTTCTACCTCGGAGGAAAACCACATCAAAAAAAAATTGTCCTTTTCCTTTTATGTTTGATGGGGATGCAGCCGTGGCTATACCATACTGCACCCACTGATAATACTCATGTCTCTAGTCCAAGCGGCTGGTTCCCGTTGACGAAATTAATTAATCTCATTACAATTTGAAGTAAAAAGGTGCGTGTTAAATGGTATTCTCATGGGTATCTTCGTATAAATCACATATATCGCCCTTTTCAAGTCGTATTATATACGGACTGCTGAGCGGGACCACCAGCACACCAGATAAAGATAAAAGCACAATCTATCTCAAAAAGTCAAAAGGCCCAGACGCCCCAGCACGACCGACACTTACACCCACTGAACAAATATATTTGACAATCAACAGCCAACCCCGCGTTATCGGACAAGAAAGGACCAAAATGATCTGGGTGGTAGTCTGTCTACACCTCCGAATCCCCAAGAGCCTCAATCTCCTTGGCCAAAGCGCATATGCGGCACCCACCACCGACCCTATCACGCAAAAGGCGCGCGGTGGTTACCTTTGGACCGACAGTTCGGGAACCGGAGAGCGAAATTTCATCTAGGGCTGGCGTGCGGGATGGGGAAAGAGGCCTCGGGGTGTGGATGGCTGACTCGGCCGGGGTGTGGATGGCAGAGAGCGATCCGGGTGAATGGACGTGGGATAAATGAAATGCGTGGCCGCAGGCAAAGGCGACGAGGATTTCTTTTTCTAAATGGGAAGCGGGGGGTTGTGTTAGTATACATAGCCAGCCGTTTCTTGATGGAGTACCTAAGGGATAAGGGAGGGTGGGGATGGATGAAGATGATGTAATCGAAGAAAGTGGGGTGATATAGTTGGTTATGAAAGGAGAGAGAGAGAGAGAGAGAGTGTGTGTGTGTGTGTGTGTCACTTACCATTAGCACGGAAAGGACGGTGACAACCTGCGCACCTTCCAGCCTGTGGTGAGGGTGAGTTGGATGTCTTCCCGCCAGCTGCCTCCTTTGTCTCGTCGTTGTCAGCTACGGCCTCAGCTTCAGCCTCAGGCCCCGCAGGCTTCTCTTCGACAACGTTGAATTTGATTCCTCGTCGTTGGCCGCTACGCAGGGTGTCCATGCCAACTGCAACTTCGCTCTGGAGTACCTTGGCGGCCCCTTGACATATGATTGCCTGGAGGTCGTGCTCGCGCAGCAATCGCGTAAGGCCCTCCCTAAGACCTTCGATCTCGAGTCCGCTGGGAATACGACGGACAAGTTTAATCGGGTCGATGGAGGTTCCAGCTTCTACGAGCAGACCATGAATGAAACGGGGTTTGTCCATAGAATAGTCGACCAGGTCCTCCCAAAGATCTGGATCATCCTGGGATTTAGCAAATGAGATAGCCTGGGATACGTCTTTCAAGTCAGAGAGAATGAGATTCAAGGCTCTCTTTGTCTGTCCCGTTTTTGACAAGAGGTAGATGAGCTCCTGCGTGAAATGGCGTTGTTCACAGATAGCCACGGCTTTATCAAAAGAGTATGAGATGCTAGTCTGCAAGAACTCCATGAGTAAGGGACGGTCATACTCCGCAAAGAGTTCCGCAGCTGTATCCGCAAACCGATCAATAAGTGCTTTTCCTTCATCGGCCGCTAATTTGCTCGCTGCATCTCTCGTACTACGCCCCCGCCGAGGCTTTTCAGCACCGTGAGGAAGGAATTCTCCTCGCCAAAGAGCTCGTAAATAGAAGAAGAGAAACAGGGATTTGTTAGCCGTCTGCAATTGCTCGATAACGATAGCTGGTGGGACAATTCCCGTGTGTGCCTCACTGACCAGCAGTTTAATAGGTTCAGCAGTGACTTCTTCGAGTTCGGAAATAGGTGCTGACTTCATTTGCTCCTTCGATACGCGAATCATGATAAATGCGGGAATGTCGTCTGAAAGCGCATCTAGAAGCCTGTGATCTTTGATCAGAGCCATCGCAGTGTCTGCATCTTGAAGCCGAATATAGCAGCGCAATGCTTCACTGTAATGACCGCCAGCTAGGTACAGTTTAGCAAGGCACCTGGTCAGGACTTGCCAGTCATTTGTATCGGGAGCCACGGTTTTAGGTTCGAGTTGTTCCTCGACGGTTGCGGTCAAATCTTCGACGTCGAACAGGTCAAATGGCCAGGAGTCTATAAAGCCACTAAACTTTTGCCGGTCTTCTGTGATATAGTGTTCCAGGATGGCTTGGTAAATCGTGGAGGATAAAGGTGGGTGTATATCAGTAGGAAGAACAGCTGAAATTTCATCGAACTTGTCTTTCTTGATGAATAACCAGGCCCAGTGTTCCCATCTTGGTGTAGTATTTATAGCCTTCGCGCAAACTCCAGCAGCCTCCTGCCATTTACCCCCCCCGCAGAGCTGCTCTATCCAAAGCTCACCAATGCGACGTTTTTCCAACTCCGCAGCCGAGATACTACCACGGTCTGTGGCTGTTACCGAGGACATATCGTCGGCAAATAAATCGACCAGACTTTGAGCTCTCCCCCCCTGGGTTATGGACATGCTGTCTCCGCCCTCACTTATTGGCCCTGCTGCTTCAGGATGTTCATCGAGAAGCCTCCAAGCTTCATCGTACCTGCCATGGTCGTTAAGCCATGCCAAATGATCTGAAAGGCTTCTTCTAAGGGCAACAACGCAATCATAAGGACTATGAACAAATATCTTAGCACCTGTGCTCTCTGCAACCTCCTGCACTTCTTTCGAGAGAGGCTCATGAGGAGGAAGTCGCCGTGATGCAAAGGTACTTGGTGCCCTACTAGAAGCCTTGTCTCCACTGCTCGCAGTACTGCGGATGCTCGCAGCTGAACTAAACAACCGTGCAGGATACATTGTAGCATCCCAAAGACCAGTTCCCAGGGTTTCCAGTGCTCCGCGCTGCGAAACAGGGACGTTCATTTTCCAAGGGGGCAAAACACACAAGTGGTAGTCCGACGACGTAAGGCTCTGATGGCGGTTAACCGACAAAGTGTCGGCACTGAGCTCCTCTTTGCTTTCAATGTCAATAATTCGAAGCTCAGGCTCTAGCCCTTGTGGTCGGCGACGTGCACCAATGTGAGCCCCATCTTGGCTTCCATGCTGGTCCGGTGAATCATTTTCTGCCTCCATGTACGCGAGGACAACCAGGAGGCTAGGTGTATATAGCGAAATTCCAGATATAATACAGTCCGTTCGGAGTCTAGAAGTAGGTTAGTATCTGTTATACTATTTGTCTTATGAAACTTACATGGTAGCAACTTCAACTGATCCAATTTTCTGGTCTTTATTGCTCTTGTTCGGCCGATCAGGGTAGACATGGATTACCCACACGGTGCCCCCCCAGCCTACTACCAGTTTTTCCAACCTTTCCTTGATCACTGTAGATTGGGTTGGGGTTGACGGCTCATCAACTTCTGCTTCTCCTTTGCCTTCTAACATTGCGTCATGTTCCAAGGCAGTTTCGTCCACCCATTCAGCACGAGCTTTCCAAACACTGGCCATCTCCTCCCATCCGGGACGATTGGGACGATCCGTGTGGCTGATACGTTTCCATGCGAATTCTGAATCAGCAGAATCTAAATGGAGGTTTGATCGCATAATTTTGATCCCTTCTTCATTAACCCAAGCCACATACTTTCCGGAAAGCGACCATTTAATTGTGCTAATAGTTCCTTCGCCACTGTGCAATACAGTGTCCTTTCCAGTGTTGGGCCCCAGTCCAAGAGCACCAAACCAGTTTGAAGCAGCAGCCGCTGCACCTCCCATTGTCGTAGAATTGGTAGTTACGCCAACCCGGCCTCCAGTAGTGAGAATTAAATCCCCTGCTCGTCCTCCCGACAAGAATGACCGATCGCTCTTGTACTCTGGTGAAAGAGCGACTGCCTGGACCGGCCGACCGAAATTTCGCAAAAGAATATCCTTCTTATCCACTAACGATGCAACACATACGTTTCCATCGATTGAGGAGGTTGCAACATATATGGAGTTCGAAGGAATTGCCGGAAGAACGGCTTGAGGGCCTGGCTTGGATGGACCTCGGATACTACCTCCGCTGGATAACGGTTTTGCGGGCGCTCCTTGGTCTTCGGCAAATCTACTAGAAAGATCATGCTTCAAATTAGGCAGAGGAGGGGGGAACGGCGAAATCGAAATCGATGTAACGCTTGCAGAATGTGCATGGTATACGCGAAGGGATCGAAATAAAGGTAAGGACAGTACATGCTGTCGAAGATTAGTTTGTGAAGCTTTGTAATATTCGTGAGCCACCTACAATATTCCCGTTATGCGTTCCAATTATCTAAATTTTTATCAGCATTATGCAGAGCATGCGCAATAGGAAATCCCATACTAGTTTGTCTCCAGCGGCGAGGAAGGAGCTTGTTGCATCTCCGTTCCGATAAACGGCGCCCAATTGCTTGGTCAAATATTCATACTTCAGGTGCGGCTCATCATCTTCCTCTTCCTCCCCCTCACTCTCATCCCCTCTTGGTCCTACTTCTGTTTCAGTCGAGTCTTCGTCGTGATCGTGATCGTAGTCGTGGTCGTCATTAATGTCTTCGGCCTCGGTCTGTGGCCGCGGACTCTGTCGGGGGGTAGATCGGGCAGGGGCATCCTGGTCCGGAGTATCCTGGCGGGAGCTCTCCAAAGCCTCTGTCGCGCCAGGCGCGTCCATGGCGAGAGGCTTTTACGTACCTTCAAGTAAAGCTCTAGCTCTAAACAGAGACGACGGAGGGAAGGATCATGACATGGATGGTCGAGCTCCTGGACCTGGGGTAGTTCCTAAACTAACCGCGTTGAGGGGATCGTTTCTGACTAAGCAGCCCGCTGTGTCGCCGCTTTTTTCGGCTTCGGCTTCTTTCGCTTCACTATCCGATGAACACCGGAGAGTCCGCGTCGACCTTACAGATCCTCTGATTTCAGGATAATTTACAATCTATTATGAGATGCGCTGAGATTCCTGCTTTCTTTCCCTTCTCACGGTCGCTATTACCATGTTCGCGCGACCGTTTGTCTCTTCAATTTGCAAACGGCCGGTAGCAACTCGGCTTCTCAGACAGCCCCGAAGCCAGCATCTCCATGCATCATCCCCATTGAGCCTCCCTCGTCGAAAGGATTTCTTCTCCTCCAATGCATTCCTCTCCCAGAAGCAGTCAGCAGTTGGTGATACCGCCGATGAATCACAACAAGAACTTCACAAGCAGAAAAGGAGGGGTGGAAGGTCACCCGCGGCACCGACTTCATTACGAAGAGTTGCAGTAGAGGCCCAAAGATCGAAGGATGGGTTTATATCAAAAGCACAGCTGAAAGAGCATGGGCTATATCAAACGAAGGTTTGGATCCCGCATAATTCTGTGCAGTTCCTCACTAACTTGTACCTTTACTACAAGGCAGTCACTGCCTACGCCGTAGCCGAGCAATTCAATATTCGCATAGTCAGAGACATCCTTCAGGAGAAAGGCTACGAACCAGACCCCTTAGCAACAGGCCTATACCCTCAGGTTGTCCATATTCAAGTTCCTCTAGACTCCATCCGGCGAGTCAGCAATCCTAACACCACCGGTCTATCCTCGGACGAGGTCGGCGATATCTTTGTCTTCCCTTCTGGGACGGTCGTCGCGTGGGCACTTCCTGAAGGATTTACGTCTTTTTTGGCAACCAGAACGCTACTTCCAGCAGCTGAAGGAGCCCACATTGATCACCTGGAAACGGAAGACCTCGAGTACGTCGAGGATACGCAACGAGAAAACAGCAGCATTAAAGGCGATACCATTATTCTTGGGACCAAGCCGAGTATGGAGCTTGCGGAGCCGCAACCGCCCGGTCACCAGTCCGTGAATACAGTCTTAACGAAGGTCGCATTTTCTTCTGGGCTGGCCCGAAGCACAAAGCTTGCTGTGCTAGAAACGCTGCTTTCCAATTACTTTGAATCTACGAGAGCAATTCCGACACTTCTGTCTCGAGGATCCCGCCTTCCTTTCACAAGAGACTTCATTCTTCGAAAAACGGGCCAGCTACTTAGCGTTCGTGCGCAGCTAAATCTCTATTCAGAACTCACAGACTCTCTCCCGGATATTTTCTGGGATAGTCGGCATGAACTTGGACTTGAAGGATACTATGAGCAGGTAGGGCGAGCACTCGATGTAGGCATTCGTATCAAGCTGTTGAATGAGAAAATGGACTATGCACAGGAGATAGCCAGCGTTCTCCGAGAGAGATTGAGTGAGACACATGGCCTCCGACTAGAATGGATCATCATCTTACTTATTGCTGTCGAGGTTGGCTTTGAAGTTCTTCGGCTCTGGAAAGAACGGGCCCAGGAGCAAGCGTCTGCAGAAGGGAAGGCTAGCAACGCATGAATATTCTCCATCCATGTATATTATTATGACATGATCCTCTCCTTGATGTTGCACGTCTATTTTCTTGTTATATATTATACCCCCTACTCTTATTAGAATAAAACGAAACATTCCAAAGTTGGGATTTAGTTCTTCTTCCTTCGGCGGCTGACTCTACTAACACGTGCTCCCCTGATAAGCTCTTATCAGCAGACGGATGCCATGTGACGTCTTGCGGTCAGTCATATGACGCGCATTGCACGTGCAGGTAACCACCACAATCCAAGAGCTGCCTTGAGCTCTTAATCATTTTAAAGCATCTCAATTAATTTGTTTCTCTAAAATATCTACATTTTTTATCATTGGAGAAATTGCTGTGACCTTGGAAACCACCAGCAGTTCTCAAGTTACTGCAGGCCAAAGACCCTGTCCACAATCAGCCCAAGTTGACTCAGCACCCCCCCAGGTACCTCCAAGAAGCCTAATGGAGCAAGGGTTACTCGATAGTATCCCTGGGCCTCAGCAAATCCTGAGGACCATAACGGGCTCTCTAGGCCTCTCGTCTATTTCCAATCCTGAATTGAGCCCACCAGCTCATACATATCAGCAATGCCCTCGGGCAGAGCTTAGCTGCAAGACCAGCTATCATGGCCAGGATACATGCTGTTTTAACTATCCAGGAGGTCAAATGCTCCAAACACAGTTCTGGGATGCTGATCCAGCGATTGGACCGGAGGATTCCTGGACTATTCATGGACTCTGGTGAGCTCTAATCAGATACCCCAAGATCGTATCACAGGCCTACCTCTGCTACTCAACAAGGCACTTGGATTACAATTCCTTTTCTAATACTTCAATCATATGTCTAGGCCAGATCACTGTAATGGAGGCTTTGATCAGTTCTGTGATTCAACTAGAAAATACAGTAATATCTCTCTGATTCTGGTTGACGCCGGTCGAAGAGACCTCTTGGATGAGATGACCATGTACTGGAAGGATTGGAAAGGCGATGACGCGCACCTTTGGGAACACGAATGGAACAAGCACGGTACCTGCGTCAGCACGCTCGAGACCCATTGCTACTCCGACTACTTTCCACAAGAGGAAGTTGTTGACTACTTCGACAAAGCAGTCGAGCTGTTCCGTGGCTTGCCTACTTACAAAGTACGTCTCCCCTACCCTTGGCCTACAGCCAAAGTAGCTATTTCACACACACACACACACACACACACACACACACACACACACACATACCCAAGTTCTTAAATATGCTAACTGGACTAGACATTAGCCAATGCAGGCATTGTACCCTCGCACACCGAGACATACACCCGTAGTGAGATCGAAGATACCCTATCTAAGGAGCACGGGGCTACCGTCACAATTCGATGCCGATCCCACCATCTAAACGAAGTATGGTACTACTACAATGTTCAAGGACCCCTGCAAACTGGGAAATTCGTGGCATCTGAACCAGGTCTGTCCTACCAACTAGACCCATCTATCTTTCTCTATATTATCCTCCATTCTCATAACAGAATACTAACAATCCATCGCTTCTAGACGGCCAAACATCCAACTGCCCCAGCACAGGCATCATCTATCAACCAAAGACCCCCCGCAAGAGGCCCGGCCACGAACCCACTACAACCCGACACCCTTCCGAACCAACAAACCCCCCCGGGATTCCTTTTCTTGGAAGAGGAAATCTCATGGTTTCAGCGATGGGCACTCAACGAGGCTGTATAATCAGCCGCGGAACATGGTACACATCCGGCACATGCGCAACCTTCCGAGGGAAGAAAGTAACTGGTGCGTTATTCGCCCCCTTTCCCTTCCCACCTTCCCCATCTAACCTGATAAACTCTTGGACAGACGATACATTCACGCTCGAATCGCGCCGAGGAATCTGCGCAATCGAAGAGGATATGTTCACCTGCGGTCCCCATATCTCATCTCCAATGGAGTTCAGTGTAAGTTCTATTCTATTCCACTCTTAAGACCTATAATTTTTTTTTTTTCACATTTATGTATATATCTATATTTCTCGTTACTAATATTGAATGCGCAGCTCGAGGACGGCAAACTCTCTTACCGCGGAAACACGAGTTTCTTCGCCGACAAAGCACCAAAGGGCACAGTGCAGAGCGATATCTTCGCTTCCGAGGACAACCACCCCATTGAGTTGGCAATTACTTGGAGAGGGGGTCATTGAGATTAGTATCTCAATGTATTCATCCTCTAATTCGCATTGGTTTCTTGCTTTCTGTTTTTTTTGTATTGGCTTTGGTTCCGGGTTCATGTTCATTGTCTACGATATACTTGCTTATTTACTACTTGGGACAACTTAGACAAATAGAGAATATATAAAGAAATGGTGTACAACTAATTACGCATAGAGGAGTTGCAATAGCAAAGAGGAAAAGAGAGGTAGATATCGCCAGTGGATCTCATTCGTAATCTAGAGTACAGGCCAACAGACAACTTCCCAAGGATTGGGCCTGAAAGCATCGAAATCACAATACAATGCTCTGCTCCTTTGGCTCTCTCCATAGGTAGAGTCTTGAAACATAAAAAAAACGTAAACATCATAAGCAAGCAAAGATAGGGTGGAAAGACAAATATCAAGGAATATCAAGCATCATCAACATTAAGCATGAAGAACAAAGGAAAGGACGGCCTGTAAAGAAAAACAAAAAAGAAAAGAAAAGCAAGACTCCGGTCTATTAAGCGGTTCAGTTCCCTCAAGAGATGAGAGAAAGAAGAAAAGAAGCAGAAAAAAAAGTCCCAGAATTGTCGTACATGTGCCATTGAAGGAGAGAAAAAACCCACCCACCGAGAAGGTAGGTAAAAGAAAGAGAAAACCAAAATGCGCGAAATTTTTGGGGTCAAAAGCGTCAAAAGAAAACAGTTTAGTTCGCTCAAAATCGGGGTCGTCGTAGAATTGTACATGAGTCTCATATCGTGCCATGCTATAAAAAGAAATCGTTGTCATAAGCATGGTTCCAGTCGTTGATAGTCAGAAGTCGTGAAGAAGATATATTTCAAGATATACCACATTAGCCATTATCACCTCAGGGTCATTGCGTCATCAAGTCCGTGTTCAAAAGTTTTTTTTTGTTGTTTTCTATTTCTCGGGTCTCATTCAGTCCATGAAGAACTCCCTGGTCATAACATCGGATGATTGCTCATCCATGTGGAATTGGAAAGAGAAGAAATCATCTCCCATTGGGTGACTTGTGGAGAAACTCTTTCCTGGGAGGAGATCCATGCTACTATCAAACGACGAGGTGTTCACATAATCAGGAAACGTTGCCATATCAGGATCAGTCAAGTCCGCGAAGTCGTGCTTTCCATAGCTGGTGGTAGCGTCTTGGTTCATGAAGATGTCAAGGTCAGACGGGTGGGAAGCATCGCTTAGGGTTGGTGCTGTGTGTGGAGACGACAGAGCATGGGCGCTTGAACCTGAAACCGTCGAAAATGAACAAGCAGTGGAAATAAGCGGCAGGCCTGTCTCTTCAATAATGCTTTCAAGCGGTTGTTTGGACGGTGAGAGCGGCAGCATTTCGTCTTCGGAGATGGGGGTGACTGATCGCGGGCTTCCGGTGGCCGATGACTTGCTTCCCATGCCGTATCTGGGCGACTCGGGAGGAGTGAAAGTGAAGACTTCGGGGGGGAGCGAGTAATTAGGATTGCTAAAGGCCACCATTTCGCCCGCGCAGCTAGAACCGTGCAAACTCATATTTTCGAAGATCTCTGATGGGGGCGTGTTTCGTGAAGTGTCCGACGCGGAGGAATCATATGACGGTTTTTCAGCGATCTTTTGACGAGTTCGAGATGCCTTGTCGTGTCTCTCTTCCATCTCCGGGCGGTGTTTCTTGGGTCGCCCTCGCTTTGTCGTCTTTCGCACAATTCCCTTGTAGCCGCCAACGCACATTCCCCTTTGTCGATGTCGGGTCAAGGCATCGTGCCTTGCAAACACATTGCCACATAAGCATTCGTATGGCTTGTCTCCTGTGTGAATTTTGGCGTGGCGCTTCAGGTCATGTCCACGAACAAAGCACTTGTTGCAATGATCGCACTTGTATTGACGGTCACCTAGGTGAGTCTGCACATGGGACTTGATGTTTTCCTTGCGGCCAAACCGCCTCTCGCAGCCAGGATGCAGACAAACCCATTTCCCGTCTGCCGGATCAGGTCCGTGGATATAAGAGGCAATCTCATCAATGGTAACGCCGGTTTCTTTAATCGAGGCATGTACCCGAGCATCAAGGTTGAGATTATCGATCGAAGCGACTCGGGGAGAGAGCTTGGGCTTTACCACGGACGCACTTGACGGTGTGCCTACTACCGTCTTCCTGGAATTCATACGGCTAGGCGTTGCAGGGTAGATTGGGAGCTTGTGCTTCGTGTGACAATGATCTTCGGCACTTGGCATGGCTGCGAGTTCGGGGGAGGATGTGAAAGACGAAGACCCTGAAGATGGGGGATAATGGCCTTGTGATATATCTTCCGACTTAGATATCTCGAAACTGGAACCCTGCTGGTAGTCAAACGAATCAAAACTATCAATGGAAAATGACGCTGTATTAGGGGGGGAGGGCATCTCAATCTTTGGCTGGGAAAACGTCGTCCCAGCCACTCCTTGAAGGGATTTGGCGCGCTGCATGTATGAAGACTGGGACGAGCCAGCTGTGGCGATATTCTGGCTATTTACCGGAGTTACTTGCATGTCTCCACCGTATTGAGCAATATCTACTGGTTTACTGAATGGTGTTGTTGCAGGGGTAATGGGAAGATATTCTGTAACTCAATCAGCGGCTGTATAGGACGTCGTCGGACTTAACATGCACAGTGGGGGCTTACGTGTGGTATTTTTCTTGGGAGTATGTGGACGGTACGAATTGCTTGCGTCCGACTGGGTTGATTGTCGCCTCATATTTGTGGGACTTGTTGCATTGGCTCTGTGTTGCATCGTCGCAGCAATGTTGTCGTGTTTATAGATATCCCAGGCACCATTGTCGAGAAGCTGGCCTCCGACGAGTGTGTTGTTGCACTCCAGGCTAGCATTGTGTAGCTGCTGCTGCTGCTGTTGAATCAGGTTCAGGTTGATGTTGACGTTGACAGGCTGGCTATCAAGACTCTGGTCTTCGGTTTTCACAAAGGCTGGGTTCATGTAGGATATATGTTGCTGGTTTCCATGACAATTGCTGTTGCTCAGAGCCTGCAAGTCTTCTTGGATGAAAGCGTGGCAGTCAGTGGTTACAGAAATCGGGGCTGAATTCGAAGCGAACGACATATGTGGCTGATGTTGAAGTACTGTTTGGTTAGTGATGTGATGAGAACCATCTTGCACAGGCTGTGGTCTTTGAGCTTGCACGGCCCGCTGGTCCAGACTTTGGCCGCGGCGATGGGCGTGATATCTGCGCAAAGCTTGTGGGGCAAGACTCGGAGGTTTTGCAGCGTCGAGAGCGGTTGGGGTTGAGATTTGCCGGCGATGTTGTCGGTGTCGCCCTTGGACGGCACTATGTGGGTTGGCTAACATGGCGGGCAAAGAGTGCTCGCACCGAACGGAAACTCGTCGCAGAATTGATAAACTGGCAGTTGACAGATCACTTTGGTTGGATCTATGAAATCAGATATGTAAGTATATTCCCCCGATGCATGCTGCACAGGCTGGATGGGGCTTCAATATACCGACCTCACGCAGCGCTAGCCGTCCGGCTGGGCCAAACAGATGGGAAACGAAGACCGTCCTGTACCAGTGTCAGTAAGTGGACTCCTAACGAAGGACACAAACTAGAAGGAGAAGTTTGAGAAGAGAGCCGACAGGCCTCGCAACAAAGGCAAGATCAAGACGTTAGACCGCTTTTTTTCCGGCGGGCTGGATCTATCTCAAGGCTGGCTGCGCCTGTTCTTTAATCTCCTCAAGAAAAAGACGAAGATGCAAATCAATCGAGGTCCAAAAGCGACTCGCGCGATTGCTAGACGAGTGAAGCTCAAGATCTGATGGAAGTAAATGGAGAGCAATCCCCAAGGAAGTTAAGGTATTTAGAGGTGGGAACCCGGGAAAGGTGGATGGAGTTGGTGAAGCTATCCACGGTTCAGATCAACAATGGGGGTAGTTGGCCCAGCAACAGAGCTCCAGGCGCCCAGCGCCCTTGGCATGGAATCGGACGATTATTTGCGCAGGCAAGAGTGGATCGATTTTTTTTTTTTCATTTTTTTTGGCGCCCTGGCTCAACTAGGCTAACCGCTGAATACGAAGGTACGGAGGGGGAGGAAACAGATGGCTCGATCGCAATAAGGCTGCGCGATCTGGTCGTTTTTTCTGCAAGGAGCTAGTCCTGGTTCCCGCCTCGCAATCCTCCGTATGCAATCTACGCATCCCCGGCCCGTCTGTGGCCTGTGAGGGTTTGAGACATTATTACTCATAAATCTCCCTTTCCTCACAATAGTTCACTAATAATTGACCCCTATCAAGGTCCTCTCCGGTCAATTATTAACTACTCCCAGGAAAGGGCGGCCGGCGGTTTATGGGAGAAAGTACGGAGTACGGGTTTGATACCTTCAATTCAAGGCATTGATGACATCAGCGTCAACAAAGTCCCGTGATTCGGGCTCAGTCACATGACTCTCGGATTCAAGATACTCCGAACAAACTACACTAACCCGAGTTGGGGATTTTATCTTCACGTGATCACACACAACCGATTTTAACGAACCCAACCCTCCACATTCAAAGATCTCTTCCTCACGATCTCCACGAAGGTTGAGGAAGACAAGTCTTGTCGAGGTGAGTCTCAATATCCTTCCAAGAAAACGCATTGTTATCATAATTCAACCCCGACTCTCTTCTCTCTCTGCGACTGCGCATTTCACAAATGAAGAGGGCAAAAAAAAAAAAAAAAGGAAAATAAAGAGCGCCGGAGATGACACACACACACACACACACCCAAAGCCTCATCGCAGAAAGCTAACCACCCCTCTCCATTTCTAGGCCTTCATCAAAATGCAGATCTTCGTCAAGACCCTTACGGGTAAGACTATCACCCTCGAGGTGGAGTCTTCCGACACCATTGACAATGTCAAGTCCAAGATCCAGGGTTCGTATTTTAATCTCTCCCCCCTCCTTCTCTAGATCATGAAACTAATTGAAAAAAAAAAAAAAAAAAAAAAATAGACAAGGAGGGTATCCCCCCTGACCAGCAGCGTCTGATCTTCGCCGGTAAGCAGCTCGAGGATGGCCGCACTCTTTCGGACTACAACATCCAGAAGGAGTCGACCCTGCACCTTGTGCTCCGCCTGCGTGGTGGTGGCAAGAAGCGCAAGAAGAAGGTCTACACCACCCCCAAGAAGATCAAGCACAAGCGCAAGAAGACCAAGCTCGCTGTCCTCAAGTACTACAAGGTTGATGGCGATGGCAAGATCGAGCGTCTGCGCCGCGAGTGCCCCTCCCCCGAGGTATGCATATCCACCCCTTCATCCCTTTTTTTTTTTTTCTCGATTCTCGGGATCTATAGCTAACAATTCATCTAGTGCGGTGCTGGTATCTTCATGGCTGCTATGCAGAACCGTCAGTACTGCGGAAAGTGCCACCTCACCTACGTCTTCGATGAGTCCAAGTAAACGGACCGTATTCGGGTCGGAGAACCCGCCAGTCTTTTGCACTTCCGGTAGTGTGTGTCTAGCGATGGCAGTGTCGGGGTAACATGGGATTGGCGTGGGAGGTTTTAGGACGTGTGCGTTATGATCGTTCTAGAAGAGCCTTGATATACTCAAAACATGAATGAAAAAATCTTCTCAAAAAAAAAGACCAAAAAAAATATTCCGTATTATATATATATTGTAGTCGGGATCTACCAGGTTTCGTAGGAAAGATAGTATGTACAAATCAACCAACAACGCAGTACTGCATGCCTATCAACTGCGGTATCAGTCATCACCAAATCAAGCATTAAAAAAAAAAAAAAAAAAAAAAAAAAAAGGACACAAATGAATGAACACCCGACAATGTCTTAAGGGAAACCGGCCCTCATGTTATCATACTGGCTATCGGGATAACTGATGGCATTCTGAGACTGATCCAAGACCGAAACACCCCCGATACCATCAACAAAGGTCCCAATCAGGCTGCCGTCTGCTTTATTTGCAGTCTTGCCCCCCTTGTCACCGCTTGTCTCCCACCACATCCCACCGCCGAGCTGATGCTGCTTAATGAAGTTGACTTTGATCTCACCCATACCGACGGTGTCGTAGGAGATCATAGTGCGAGTCGACGCATCATAAGACCATGAGGCACCAATGTTGGTGTCCAAGTACTCGGTCGCTCCTGGCCGTGGAAGAGCCTTGTAATCCCATACACCCTGTTCCCAGCTTCCCTCGCCGACGCCAGAGAAAGGCCTTCCGGGGCCATCGGTGTTGGTAAAGGCACGGCCGTATAATGGCATACCCAAGATGATCTTGGAGGATGGCACGCCTCCAACTCGGACGTAGTGGTTCACGGCCTGGATGGTCGAGAATGGGGTTGATTGGGCATTATCGCTGGAAGGATAAAGATTTGCCTGGTGACCAGCGTTGGTATCCCAGCTACCAGCGTAGTCGTAAGCCATGAGGTTGTAGAAGTCCAAGTAGGGCGTCATCTCCCGAAGTCTAAGCTTGTTGTAGTTTTCAGGGCCTAGAGATGTTAATTCCATATCGCCAATGTCAATAGGAGGTGTGCGTACCGGCGGGACAAGCAATGGTCAGGAGGAACTTGCGATTCGCTCCTGCAGCGGCATCCAGTGTCTGCACGGCTTAGTATCGGGGTTTTTAGAAGAAGGGAGCAGTAGAACATACCTCACGACACTTCTGGAGGAGGGACACCAAGTCCTGTGCCTGTTGGTCATCTATAGCTTATTAGAATCCCTTTTTATGGCGTAAGATTCGTTCCAAACATACTCTGGGGATACTCCCAATCAATATCAATGCCTTATTTAATATCAGCATCTTGTCAATCAGGCCTCTAAGGAGAGAGGAGAGGGGGGGGAAATACCATCAAAACCAAGGTCAGTCACGAGCTTGGTAGCAGTCTGAGCGAAGGTAGTGCGTCCCGCATCAGTACTGGCCGGCTGGGCAAAGTTCGAAGAATAGGTCCATCCTCCAATGGAAAGCAGGACCTTCAGTTGTCTATTCTGCTTCTTCAACAGGAAGAGCTGCTTAACACAGCCGTAGACATTGTTGCCCGTATCATTCCACGAATCAGTGGGGTAGTGTTTTTCAATGTCGGACCAGGTGTCTGACAGGTAGCTGTGCAGTAGTTCAGCCTTGTGTTAGTGCAGAACTCAATTGGCACACTTACACTTCGCCCGAATCCGGACGGACATTGGCAAATGCATAGAGAACGTGGGTGAGCTTATCCGCAGGGAGATCCTGCGGGTTATAGTTGCGACCATAGATTGCCTACTTGATGATGAGTTGACATTGGATATATTTTCTCGCAGTAGAGTGGGAGAAAAAAAAAATAAATAAAAAGACAAGAAGAGCCACTCACCCAATTGACAAAATAAGCCACGGTCTTCATCCCGGATGCCATGGGGAGGGTAGTAGTAGATAGGTTCTTGAAAGCTGTTGGATTCCTGAGCTGTGTAGGCAACGGAGGGGTGTTACTTCCAATGTAATGGAGAAGGAGAGCAGCAGCAAGAACAAGCAGAATGCACACGGCATATAAGAACTTGGGGAAAGCCATGGTGTACTCACTCAGAGGGAGCGTTCTTTGAGATAATTCTGGAGCCTGCTTTGAAGCTGTCAGTCCGGGATATCATTTAGTTACAAACCTGGGTGGGGGAGGAAGAGAGAGGAGCTTGTCTTCATCCAATGTATTAGGTACCTAGGTAGGTATAGGTAGGTACCCAAAATAACAACAATCCCTATGATTGGCTGCTGGTTGATGAGGCGGTGCAATGATGGAATTCTGGTGTAAGAATGTGGCGCAGTGTGGCTTGCGAAAGGGGCTGCTTAGCTAATCTTCTGGATTTTCTCCCAGAATCCAATTTTTGGCACAATTTCAAAATCATATTTATATTCGTACTGATTCTTGGAAGCACATCAGCATGAGACCTGTGGCTTGTGTGATCCTGCTGTCTGACCTTTGCATGCCCTCATTCTGAATCACGATGTGACTGCATCTCTCCAATCCGCGGAAAACCAAATCCATTGATAGAGAAGCTAAGTGGCTGACTTCAACTAGAGGGGGTTCCTGACCTCTGGTAATGCCTCATCGAGGGAGGAGTCATGAGAGCTTTTGCATTTCCCTGGGGTTGATAAGCCCAGAGGAAACCGGGGGAGGAAAGGCTATATCCAATCTCAACTGATTTTCAGCATCATCCAGCATAGAAGGCACATGATGATGTTCAGGTTGGAGATCATGAACCTAAGCATATTTCGCCAGCCTGCTGTACTTCACGAACGGGTGAAGATGATTAGTATTTCAATTATAGTGCTGCCATAATATCATAGTGTCCTGACTTAAAACCTGACAGCAATCGACTGGGGAATTCGAGCTAACTTGAACCAACTGGACTATCTGGATTCCTATCACATCATCACTATAATAATAATAATAATATACAGCGTACCCATACTCATATCATACCCTAACCATAACATATCCACAGTAAAAAAAAAAACAAATAAACCCACCCACTAAACTAACTTAGATACATAACTTGGCTTCTGGAAAGTCCTCAGCTGAACTCACCCACTAACACTTGTTCCTCGGGAGCTGATTGGCATCTATGACGTTAAGCTACTGCAGGGCTCCTTAGCACGGCCACGACACACTTTTTCTTTCTTTTTCGTTCCGACACTTGCATTTCACTATCTAACTAGCTAATACTAATAGTAGATATGTGGGATTATATCCACTAAATCCTTCTTTAGGGTTCTTAGTCGCCAAGCCGATATCCTCTTTTTTTGCCTCCGCCCACGCCCGGTTGCGGATCCGGCGTTCGTTTCAGCTGGGGTGTGTACAATATGTCACTGCAACGAACTAGTTAGTTACTTAGTTAACTATTCTTGTCATGTTTAGTGTACTATTAGTAAACTATAGTATAGTAGGTATACTATGAACCAGAAGAAAAGAAATGGATGAATCTCCCTGTCTCTCTACTCCGTTAGGTAAGTTCGTAACAATATATAATAGAATAGGGTTTTGTTTGAACTACTACTAGTACCCCCACGCGTCAAGTAACCTGGGCCCGTTGCATGTTGCTAAAGTCTAGACTCCGCTGTATATGTACTTCACCGGATAATAACTACTACTGTAGGTACAAGGCAAGACAAGTACACTAGTAAGACTAGTTTAGCTTGATAATGGCAGTGACTGACAGGAAACGACACGACTAGATCCAACCAGTAAGGCACCTTATGTAGGTGCTACTTTAGTAGCAGTAGGGCGATGGCGTCTGTCAGGGGGAAATGATGGCGTAAGACTAAGGTGGGTAATCTCAGGATTTACCCAGGTAGAGCACTCGTGAAATGATGGTGGATTGATTATTATTGTTCAGTAAAATACAACTGGAAGAACCGAAATTCATCAATTTAGTCTTGGCCAAAATACCAAGCTTGTCCTGTCTCTCTGACTGGTACAGATAGGATGGTAGCTCAACGTAGAAATTTAGTCGACAAGATAGAAGAAGTAGAAGAGAAGAAGAAGAAGAGCCTCGCTGAGGATCGAACATTGAATGTGAGCCAGCACTTAGGGATATCATGTCATCATAGATAGTACAGTAGGGGAAGAGACAAAACAAATAAACAGATAGAGAAAAACAGAAAAGACAGTATCACACAGATACACATAAAGAAGAAGAAGAAGAAGAAGAAATATAACTTTTCTCTCCTCCAGATAGAAGAATCAATGCGTCCTGCGCATGATCCTGCAGTAGCAGTGCCATCACATATCTCATGACATCCTGGAAATCATACTTGGGAGTTCGTTCATTGCCTTTCTACCTTTCTGTCCGGAAGGATGAATTGCATGGTTCAATTGCAACCCAAAGCTTAGTTACTCTGAACCGAACATAAGGTCGATTATGGATGTGACCGGATCCATGAAAGAATCGCCTCGAGGGACGGGTCATCGTTGAGCCAGTGGCCTGCTCGCATATCAGCAGCGCGGAGGTCAGCAGCCACGTATTGGTTCGTCACTCCTGCGAGTTCCTGCCACCTTATTAGATATGATTCTACACAGGACCAAGGAAGAGAGGGAAACAAACCTGACGGAAGGTATTGCCGATGGCTTTCAATTGCGGAGAATGCTGCGGTCCTGGTCGATGTCCGCGAAGGATATTTTCGCGATGCATAACCCATCGCTTTGCTGCTGCTGCGCGGAGATAGATTCGATGCGCTTGAAACCGTCGGGCGCTGCCATCGAGTATGACCCTACTGCATGTTAGAGAGCCAAATCATAAGACATTGAAGGAATTGGAAAGGTTACCTTTGCAATTGGACTCGTTCCGCTTCTTCGTTCGAGGCCTGAGCTGGCAGGGCGCTAGGACTGTAGCCCGAAGCCATCAAGGCGTTCGCAGCCGCTAGACAGTCTCGGATTTCTCTGAATCCCTCTTCCGCTTGATCTTCTTGCGATGCGCGGACGTTAAGCTGCGAGATATGCACGAGGAGGGTCCGGTAGTCATTCATGATTTCTGCGACTCTCAAGGCGCGTGCTTGGTTGACTATGATATTGAGATCCTGTTAGTATGGGATACCGCTTGCAATTGAGGGCGAGAGGGCAATGCATACGCCCGTCAGCCATTGTGCTATTGATTAGATAGTTGGAGCTTTTTTTTTTTTTTTTTTTTTTTTTTAATAATATCGTGGGGAATAACGACAATTGATGAATTAACGAAAGAGATGACAAGTGAAAGAAAGAATGAGAGACTGTCTAGCTCCTTCGAGTAGGATAGAATTGAAGTGATCCATGTACAATTCCAAGTTCCCTCCGGTTGTGGGTGAGATATATACACTCTCCCGGGCCACCTTTCTTGGATAGAGGTTTGGACCATCATCGCAACGGACGGAGAGAATTGCAGAAAGCGGATCATCATTCGTCGTGGCTGGCTGCACCAATGGATCGCTGATGTCGGGAGATCAGAGACATCACAGCTGGAGATGATGCCAAACCTCTGGTGGATCTATACGGAGGGAGGGACCGGGACCCGTGGGAAAAACCATGTGTTCCAAACAATTTTAGCTCTGAATTTTTACTGGAGTAGACTCCCACAAAAGAAGCAAAGACCTTGGCCGCTAAGCGCGAGCCTAAGCAGCTGGGCCAGGGCCGGAGATCATACATACATGGATGGATGGGATTTGGGATAAGAATAGATTCGAACGTGACAGGCTGAAGGAATCTGGTTGATAGATTGATTAATTGACTATCCAAGTGCTGGATCCCAAAGAGAGAGTGGAGATCCTGTATGCAGTGGTGGAGAGAGGATAGCACTCACTCTGGTAACTGGGAAGAGGAGCCAGCTGGGTGTCAAACTAGTTTGACATTGTGGATATCGCCACACTCTGTCTGAACAAGAAAGCGTTTATACCGAATAACAAAAGACCCGAGATGATGAGATTGGATGGAAACAAGTTCAGGAACCACCCAACAGAGCGAAATCTTTACAGCTCAGCCACAGCCAAACGCCAGCTGAACAGACACCTCATGCAGCCTTAGGCTCACTCTGGTGGTTCTTTCTTTTCTATCACGAAAAAAATGTTTCAATTCAATCCGGTCTCCAAGAAAGTAACTAATAGTTAAATCCAAATATTAGTTAACGTACTCAAGTCTGTCATCATTCATTTCTTGATAAGAGGTCGTCAAACTATGACGGTAGAAAGTTGACCGAAATGAATTCAATTTGGTCTAACTAGGAAATAGAGAGATGCTTGGAGGAAGCATGGAGATCTAGAAGGAAACGGTGGCCTTAAATACACAGAGTAGTCACGTGTCGCTATCTTCTTCTTTATGGTGATGCTGCTTTATGGTGGTGCTGGTTGCATTCACTGAGTGCAGCACTCCAACACACCCCCCTTAGCGACACGTTTATTACATGAAGCTATTCAGAGTCCATCTCCAAACTGCCAAAACCCAACCTCTCGACAAATTCATCAAATTTCGCAGTTGGTAGTGCCTTAGTTAGTCCATCAGCGACATTGTCCTCTCCACCTACCATTTGCAGCTGAATTCTGCCATTTTTGATTGCCTCTTTGACAAAGAAGTAGCGAATGTCTATCCAGCGGAGTATAGACGTGTAATTTGGCTTCTTTACCAAAGCAATAGCATTTGCAGAATCAGTATGTAAAGGTATGGCACCTTTTGCAGACTTTTCTAGTCCAATAGCCGTACACAGCTTTTGTAGCCATATCGCTAGCTTCGTTGCTGCATCCCATGCAATAAATTCAGCAATAGTTGAACTTGGGGCAACCAGTGATTGCTTTGCTGATCTCCATGCAATTGGTGCTCCAAATATGAAAAATATGAAGCCTTCTGTCGACTTCTTGTCTTCGCAATCTGCATGGGAGGCGTCAACATATGCATGTAATGGATCATCTGAATAACCTAAGACTATTGCATAGTCTGAGGTCTTCTTCAAATATCAGAAAACTCGTTTGACTGCATCATAGTCTGACTTGCTAGGATTATGATTCCTCCGTAGCAGTCGTGTTGTTGCATATTGAATATCCGGTCGGGTCCGAATAGTAATCCAATTCAACGATCCAGTCAGCTCCTGGTAGTGGGCAATATCATCTTCACCAGCAGAGGCACACATGGCGTCTGGAACAACGCTGCTAGTGTCTGGCGTCTCTCCAGTTGATTTCCATCCCGGAGTCATTGGTGTATGACATGGCCAAAGACCATGGAAATTCCATTTGTGGAGCATCTTTTGGATGTATGCATGTTGGGATATTAATATTGGACCACTGAGCAGTCTGTAAATGTCGTATCCCAAGAATCGTACAGGTTCACCCAGTCGCTTCAATTTGAAATGTTTTTCCAGCTTATCCATGAATTATTGAATATTTGCTTCATCAGGGCCAGCAACTATTGCATCATCAACATAGATAATAAGCATTAGCTGCTGGTCTGGGTCATGGTAGAAGCATGGGTCTTCGTTAATTGCCTTCATGCCAATTTTCACCAGAATATCATGGAATTCCTCGTGCCAAAGAAATACTGACTGTCGTAATTTATATAGGGCTCGGAGTAGTAGACATACCACACCATCTTGCTCATTAAAACCAGTCGGTTGGCGCATATAGATCTTTCGATCCTTGATCATCGCATTAAGATAGGCAGTCACCATGTCGAATTGTGCCCATTTCAAATTAAAACGAGCAACCATGCTTAAAAATAGCTTTACCAAAGCATCTACTACCACTGGGGAGTAGACTTGGTCAAAGTCTATGCCTGGTTTTTGGAAGTTTCCACACACAACCCATCTTGCACGGAATTGCAACACATTATTATCCACATCTGACTTCAAGTCATACACCCATTTTCCTGGTAAGACCTTTGCATCCTTTGGTAATGGCACAAATTCATAAGTCTGAATAGCTTCAAGCTTGCTAATTTGACTTTACATTGCTTGTATCCAGTAATCCTTTTGTGGTGACTTCATTGCTTGGGTATAGGTCTGTGGGATTCTGACTTCATAAGTCTTCATGGGCTTGATCTCTGGTGTAAAACTACCAGGATCTGGTAATGCTGCAGCAATTGTGTTGGGTGATTCTTCTGGCTTTGGATAGGATCCTGGTGGACGAGGCGTTTCTGGAAGCATTTTTGGAGGTGATATGGACCGGGATTGAGATTATTATTCCCGTTTTACCTCCTCTTCCTGTAGTTGCTTTGCCTGCTCATCTTCAAAGCGAATACTTTGGTATTGACCCTTTGTAGATCTTGAAGATCTCCGTGGAGCAGTAATACTGCTACTAGTATCCCTACTAGCAGGATTCCATGCCTTCACCTGGTCGACCGTTTCTGCTTTCCCAATATTGAATTTGACCTGCTTTCTGGTCTTCAAACGCTTCCTTTTTGGTGCATCCGGAGTTGTTGGAGCATAGTCATCTTCAGAAGGTTCCAAAACTGGTGAGACCTCCCTGTATCGGGTAAATGACTCTGGAAGCCTTTGCATTGGTCGTAATACTGGCATCCTTTCAAAAATAGGTTGACCAGCATATGGATTATCCACAGTAAAACGGTCGATTATTCCTTCATATCCACCCTGCCTAGATTGTTCCTCCACGCTAGGTCTTACTATCTCCTCCACATCCTTGCTAATCGCTCGATTGTTTCGCTTGGCGATGGTTTCGGAAACAGCCCCGGAGGCAGGCCCAGAGGCAGGTGGCCGCTCGGGTATGATGAGTTCGATACCTGCCTCTGGGTCGGGTAGGGTGGTTTTAGCGACAGCCCCAGAGGTAGGTGGGCGCAGATATATCAAGTCGGCACCTGCCTCTGGGTTGGATAGGCTTGGTTCGGGTAGGGCTGGATCAGGTGTCAACGTTTGAATTCTCCCTGTAATAACTTCGTTGTCATTTGCTAATGGTAAGGTTTGGGGAATAGTGTTGTTTTGAGATGCACTATCATGGGTTGTTCTTCCCCTTTCAGCATTAATAGATGCAGTTGCTCCAGATGGACTATTATTATTTGGTTTTGGTCCATTAGGAAGTCGTGATTGCATTCCATCCATTCCATCAGTATCACCTTCATCAAATATCACATCCCTTGACTGAATTATCTTCCCTGTATCTGGATACCATACCTTGTAGATATGATCTCCATCATATCCAACCAGTCGACCAATTTTTGCTCTAGACAACATTTTCATACTTTTAACCCTATCCTCGTGTGGGATATTCACAAATACCTTGCATCCCCATACACGAATATATCGTAGATTAATGTCTCCAATTGGGATATTCAATCCTTCACAAAAAAGTTGCACGGGTGGCTTTCCTTCATCATTACCTTCCCTGACCAACCTATTCAAAATATAGACCGCTGTATCCACACTATACGGCCACATTGTTGGCTCCATTTTTGCTTGTATGCACATTGTGCGGGCAGTCTGGATCACATAGCCACCAAACCGTTCAATAGCGCCGTTTTCCTCGGGGGTTCGTGGTGGTGTTGGTTCACATATAGTGCCAAAATCCTTGCTTCACCTAGCATACTCATTAAATTCAGGAGCAGAGTCAAATCTGACCCTTCCAACATGGATACCAGTCATATTCAGCCAACCATTGTGCATTTCCTTTAATGCCTTTGAAGATTCGCTTTTCGCCTTCAAATATCGTGCAAAAAGGCATCTAGAATGATCATCTAGAACCAGTAGGACATACCTAATACCATCTCTTCCAATTGGTTTGATTTCTTGGAGATCCACGTGTATGAATTGCAATGGTTTTGTCGCACGTGGTTATGGTTTTCGGGATATCTTTTTCTTTGATTTTGACAATTGACATGCTTCGCAGTGTGGTTCAGTATTCCAATTAGCAGCAGGCAAGTCATCAGTAGCCGAGTCATTACTTTCATCATAAAGCATTGCCTTGTTGCGCTTCAATTGTTTAATTGATAGATGACCTAATCATCGATGTAATAAGTCCATTGGTATGGTGGGCATGATCACCGCCTCATTCAGAACCAAAAATGGGACATTGTTATCCAAGACAGTGTATCCAATTACCTTGTCTGTTGCCATCTCACGAATGCATTGATTTTTCGAGTCAAAATAGATTCCCAATTCCACCTTCATTCTTTCTGCTGGCATCAGGTTGCATGGTGCATTTGGATTCCAAAGACATTCCATTTGGTATGATGTTAAAGTACCATCATCCAATTTAAATTGAATTGTCACTTTTCCACGACCTTGGGGATATACTACCTTACCATCGGAGGTGATAAAACCATAATTCTTGAAGCTATTTGGATCTTTAATTAGGTTGTCAAAGAGATCACAATTGTTGCATACTGCATAGCCTGCTCCGGAGTCACATAGCCACCTATTCCTGAAGGTAGTCAATGTCGAAGCTATTGGTATGTTGACTCCAGACAGCATGAAATTATTGGCATCCGGAATAGCATTAGCTTGTACAGCTGGGGTAATAGCTTGGTTTTGGGTCGAATTATTCCTATTCTTCAACTTGTGTGGCTTGAAGCACCAAAGTGTTGAAGTTGGTCTCCACCCTTCCTTCCGCTTGTCAATCACCAAATATGGGCAGTCCTTGGTATCATGTTTTTCCTCCTCACAAAATGGGCATAGCATTCCAGGTTTCCTCGATCGCTTTAACCAATAGTCAATATGGCCTGTAACTGTCACATTCTGTGGTGGTGCATGTTTCCGCTGTTGCTGCTGCCTCCTTCTATTATTCATCGTCAGTTGAGAATTTGGTGTATTCGTGGCCGGCATCGCAGCATTAGACATGATATTAGACAACAGATTCTCCCGAACTTTGTCCTTTACCGCGTTACATATAGCATAAAAATGCTTCCATGTAGTTGTTTCAATAGGATTGTCACCTAGGTTGTTCAAGGTTAAATCCACGAAGCTCATATTGTCCCTTTCAAGCTCCCGAAGCATCACAGCAACTGCTTGATAGGGTATAATAACCATTTTCAACCTATTAGAAGCATTCGTCTTCCGGATAAAGTCTGATACAAACTCATCAATAGTTGCATAATTCTCACGCTTGATTTCGACAGCTTCTCTCCATGTCCGGTATGCATATCTTTGACCACCACCAACAACTATCCTTCGTAACTTCCGTATGAAATCATCTGCAAAGATGTGTGGGGCAGCATCTATTAGTAGTTCCTCTACTAGTTTCTCGCTTATTGAACGTAGCATCCAACTAGCTGCTGTTTGTGAAAGAAGTTCCCATAATTCGTACTTAGGATCATCAAGTTGTGGTCTAGGAATATTGCTTTCAAGAAGCTCATCCATCTTGTGAAGCCTTAGCTCTGTTTGTGCAAATAAAGCCCAGATTTCGAATTTTGAATTATTTTCCAACACCATTATCGGGCTCAAGTTGAATGTGCCATTCTTCAGCTTTATTGCTTGATTTCGGCCATCAGTAAACGGGGTAGTAGCCATCGAAGGTAGGTGTGGTAAGTCAGGGATGTCAGGATATCCGCCAGGGGTAGATTCAGTTGCCATTTTGGTCAAATTGTGGAGATTTTCCACACACTATCGCCCAGGTAGAGTAACACAACAGCAGTACAGGTGGTGTAACACAACAGCAGTAGGTAATATTTCTGCCAGGATCTCTTTCCAATCAGGGAGCAGATCACTGTACAGGGGTACAGGGGTATGATAAGAGTTTTAGAGGTCTATGAAGCATAAAATAGAACCTCAAGGAGGGCTCATAACCTGATAAGAGGTCGTCAAACTATGACGGTAGAAAGTTGACCGAAATGAATTCAATTTGGTCTAACTAGGAAATAGAGAGATGCTTGGAGGAAGCATGGAGATCTAGAAGGAAACGGTGGCCTTAAATACACAGAGTAGTCACGTGTCGCTATCTTCTTCTTTATGGTGATGCTGCTTTATGGTGGTGCTGGTTGCATTCACTGAGTGCAGCACTCCAACATTTCTTTTCCGACGGTGGCAATTTTCCCCTCCCAAATTATATACTCTGTTGGCTTCTCCAGTACTGTATTATCATCATATCCTCCCCTGCAGGTTCTCTTGAACCTGTAAGATTGAGAAATTCCAACGTCAACTTCTATCTATGCGTGCTGATGCTGATATTACTGTCCGCCCCTTTCCCTCATCAATCAATTATCCATCCAGGTCCATATCCATGAACAATCGCCACAATCTCTTCAAGGAGCGTCCCCCCCCCCCCCCTGCATTGGGCTTGCCTGGTGTCACCGTCTGCAAGGAAACCTTACTTACTCCCACGGAACCCGGACTCTGTGATATTGAACAACCAAAGGAAAAAAGTAATCAATTCCTCGAAAAAAAAAAAATTATATCAAAGTGCGATTCATGTATCGTGTTGCGTCTACCAATAAATACGATTAATCCTTTTCGCTGATAGCCTGCAGCCGTTCATCGATCTCTTCCTCCGTCAGAGCTCGGAAGTTGGGATCTGTGCCTTCCTGTCCGTCTGCCCGGGGTCCCCCGACAATGCCAATCTCCAATTCGTGCTTCTTGAAGTCCACACTCAGCACGCTGCTCAACGCCGTAATCCCCAATTCCACCACTTCCTCCCAGCTGCCCTCTGCGTAATCCTTGTTTTTCAGCTTCTTCTCCAAGTGATTGAGGGCCTCCTGCTGTTTCGGGCCCGATGCAGTCGCCTTGTATCCGACGTAGTACCCAGCCGGGTCACACTTGTAGAGTTGTGGGCCATTCTCCGAGTCGACAGAGATAAGTGTCATTGCAACGCCTAGGGGGCGCATGTAAGCCTGCAACACAGATTCGAGTCAGTTCCCAGTCTTGTCGTGGTGAAAATTGTGGAATGAAGTCCATATCCAAAAATAGTGGACATGCAAGAAGAAAAAGGCTGGATGATGATAACGCACCCTTTGTGTGTAAACCTGGTTGATATTGGCAAGACGCTTGGCGAGGACATCGCAGGGCATTTCGTAGCCGTACTTGTATCGGAATTCAGCGGCCTCGCCACGAGCACGATCAACACAAGCTCGAGCATCTGCGATGGAGCCGGTCATCACACAGCCCACTGAAGGAGAGAGCCGGAATACATGCGAAACGGACGATGGGTCGATTAATTTATCCTAGAACCATTTATCAGAAATGGAAGCGGATAATCGTCGTCCTTTGGTACCGGTCAACCTACGGCGACTTTCTTCTGGGACAACACCACGGCACAATCCTTGCCTCTCACACCTAGAGAGGTGATGTTTGCAGCGGTGATGGCTTTGAAGGCATATTCTGTGGGGCATAGGACTCCTGGTCAGTGATATCTCGATCATAGGACTTGGTGCTTGCGAGAGAGGTGGGTGGTGCAGGGCCGACCCAGGGGAGCTGTATCGGGCGTAGAATGTGCATACCAACTTGATACAGACGACCTTGGTCGGAGAAGATCGTGATGTGTCTGTCGTAACCTGCGCTTCCTGTTTGTGGGGGGAGAGAGAGAGAGAGAGAGAGGTCAGCCAATGAAGTCATGTAAGTCAGGTCGGTCAAGACGGTTCGGGATCCTACCGGACATGGCTGCGGTGATAGAAATCAACAACTGGGCAACAGAATCAAACTAGACAGAGAAGATGATGAAGAGAAAAAAGGTATCACAGTGCGGGGAGAGGAGGAATGGGGGATGAAAGGTGGTTGGAGTGCAGAGGACGCGTGCTAAAGGGTGCCTGGCCGAAGCTCTAAGCTTCTGGGCCCAATTTGAGTAAGCTCTATCGTCACCGCCTTCAGCCTCGATGCCCATCAAATTCTCTACGTTACGGATGGAATTCCTCTGCTTGGTATAACTAATTTGTATATATGTTGTTTCTATGCTCTAATACATATTTATACACCATAAAGCAGTATATGCTGGAATCTTTTGGTTGACCAAACCAATCATTAAGTAGAAGGACGCCGCCATGCCAAAGAATATCAAAACTTTTTTCACTTGAACATCGAGGTAATCGCGGAAAGATGGATCATAGAAAGTTCCTCCTAGGAATCTAGGACGAAGAGGATGAGGATGAACTGTCAGAATCACTGTCACTGCTTGATTCTGACGACGATTTGCTGGACTTGGTCTTTTTTCGTTTCCCGTCGTCGCTGTCGCTGTTGCTGTCGCTCTCGCTGCTGCTCGAAATTTCGATAAAGGCAGTCCTATTCTTCTTCTTTTTCTTGGTTGGCTGGCTCTGAACTGCAGTGCCTTTTCCTTTCTGCGGAGGAGCCTTGAGCTTTCGCATCGTGAACACCCTTCCGTCAACAGCAAACAGGACGACTTCGGCACGCTGTCGCTTTTCGAATCGTTTCACGAGCTCTGCATCACCAACAAGAGACTCCGGCGTAGTATCCGTCGACTTGCCCTCGGCCAAATCCGTTCTGAAAGCGTACACTGCCTTTCTGTACTTCACCATCGGCGAATCAGTCTTGTCTTCGGGCTCTTCAACATCCTCTGTAGATTCCGTGTTGCTACTCTCAGGTTGCGTTTCCTCAATGTCCGTCTTGACAGCAGCCCCGGCGACTTCACGTAGCCGCTGCTTTGCGGCTTCGCCCTTCAATCCCTGTAGGTAAGAAAGTAGAGCGGTGTTATACCGAACGGGAACATGCTCCAACGATAAAACATATTTGAACAGCTGCGTCTCCCGATTCTTCTGAAACTTCCACGCAGATCGGCTGCTATGGTAGAGGCTAAGGTAGGAAAGGATAGGAGCATCGTGGGCTTCCTCTTTCGCCGCGGAGGCATCATTCGTCGTAGAACCATTCGAATTTCCCTCCTTGCTCTTCTTTTTGTCTTTCTTCTCTTTCTTCTTCTGCTTCTTCTTCTCCTTCTTGCTGGCGTCGTCGCTTTCATCATCCGCCTCGGCTTCCGCATCCGCCTCAACCACAGATTGGTCATTCATATCCTCATCCTCATCCTTATCTTCATCTTCATCTCCATCCTCGACCTTCGCGTCCGCCGCAAACGAAACCCTCTTCTTCTTTTTCTTCCGCGACTCTACCTCTTTCTCCTCCTTTGACGCATCCTCCTCCCCACCCTCGTTATCATCCTCCTGCAGCCGCCGTTTCTTGCTCTCACGCTTCTGCTTCTTCCCTTTCTTATTCACTCCATCCTCAGCATTCTCCTTCTCTTCAACCTCGGCCTCAGCCTCAGCTTCAACAACCTCCTTTCTTTTCTTATCCTTGCGCTTCACTGCTGAAGAATCCTTTTCCCCATCTGTCGTATCCTTAACGCGCTTATGCTTTTTCGAGGCGCGCTCGTCCGGCGAATTTTTCTCACCCGCCATGAAATGCAAGCGAGGCGCAGGCGGAGGCGAAGGCTAGATGACTGTATTGCTTTTCGGGGGTGCTCTTTGTCGCGACAATAATTGATTCCCGGGGAGCACTGGAATTGGTAGAGAAAAGGGGAAGGGAAGATTTTTCGTAGTTGTGGTTGAGAACTTGGAGTTGGGGAAATTATTTTTGTTTGCGGGAAAATTTCCACGGGAGGTGAGGTGCGCGGGATCCGTATTTTTCGAGGACGTGGTTTAAGTAATGCCAGGGCTAAATATATATATATATAAAATAAAATAAATTAAGGAATATATAAAACTCTCCATTTATGGGTAATATGATAATATGATATCTATATGGACAAACGTACGTACAATCATCATTTACATTACCATGCCAGTTTTCCCCTTCTGGTTTTACCTGTTCCAAGACTCCGCCGGCCAACCCGAGCTTTATGCTTCGATACCGTATAGAAGAAAGAAAGAAAGAAAGAAAGAAAGAAAGAAATATATAAAAACAACCAAATTGATGTCAAAAAATGAACCGCTGCTGTCCATTTGAATCTTTCTTCTCCTTACTTAGCTCCTGTGGCGTCTGATGACTTTCCGGATTCGCTCCAGGTGGGCCGGCTTTACGTCGTGCTCTCTCTCTGTCTCGGGAGTTAACTCCCGTTGCTCTTCGTCTACGAACCGGCTCATAGACCTCGTTGAAGTTCATCACGACTCCTAGGAAGCGCATGTCGACGTCCGGCTGGTAAGCAAGATCACCTAGTAGCATGTTGAGTCTTGAGCGGAAATCCGCTGAAAGATCCCGGAGTCGCACACGGAGCGAGGCGAGCATCTGGTCATCGGTTGAGAGATCGTGACCGGCAAGGGAGGACGGAGTGCCCATGTCATCGACGACGTTCGCGATGTTTGGCGTGTAGGAAAATGAGGATGACGCAGAGGCCTTGTGGGTCGGTCCGTGACGGGACGAGATGAGATCACGCTCCGTGACCCCCCACTGGCCTTGGGCGGTACGGGTCTCGATCTTTGCATTTAGTTCTTGTCTTCGGGTGAATTCTGCGACGGAAAAGGAGTATAGTCCGTCTACTGCGTCCTTGTATGCGAGCATTGTCTTGAGGATCTGGTGTAACTGGCTCAGAAAGCCTTCTTCCGGTTTGCTCGTAGAGCTGCTGGAGCTGCCCTTTGATGAGGTTGAGGAACCTAGGAGACCCTTGTGCGTGATGGAGTTAAGGTACTTCGTGTGGGCTTCAATCAGGTCGTCAAGCGTGCATCCTGGTTTGGAAATTGAGGCCTCTAATTGATCCCAGCTAGACTCGATGACTTCGAAGAGAATGTAGTATTGGAGTTGGCAAACGAAATGGATCATCTCCGCAATAGCGCACCTGGCTCGTTTCCAATCAGCGCCAACCTTGTCGTCGACGCTGCCCAGTACGCCTCTGGCCCCGGTCATACAACGTCGCCAGGTGCTGCCCAGAGAAAATTCCACACGCTTCACGCGCCACAGGAAGTTGAAGACCTTCAGGTACTGAGTGGAGCCCCATGGGGTGATGACAACGTCTACGGGCGCATCGATCTTATACTCCAGAGTAAAGCAGTCCCAGCCAATCTCACCATGGCTTAGCTCCAGCATCCGCGCATCCAGACGTCGAAGAACATCAGGCGAATCATATTGCGCATTTGAAGCACGAATAGCGTGCTCCAACTGGGCAGTCAGTGTATGCCTGTACTGTGAGTTTGCGGGACGATCGAGGTTTGAGGCCAACGACTCCATCAATAAAGCAATGAAATCTCCTTGGCCCAATAATAAATATTTCTTCAGCGCGCGGAGGTGGTCGAAAAGCTTAAATTTGTCGTCCATGAGATGAATTAGTCGTGCCATAGTAGTCTTGTAGGCTTCGTCAATGGACGTTTCGAGGCTGGCGGTATCACCGTACCGGAGTTCTTTGGAGGCTTCCTTGGAATACGCTTCGACCCATGCAGAATCACCACAGCCATATCGAATGAAGTTCAATGATTTCCCGATGAGGAACACCTTCTTTGCAAAATCCTGAGTGATAATTGACGGCACCATGTCGTCGTCCAACTTGTATTTATCTTCCCAGACGCTGGTTGCAATACGGCGTGGATCTGTACTCGGCCTAAATTCCGGCTCAACGACAAAAAATTCTTTGTACGGGTCTGATAGTTCGCCGTCGTAGATCCACAGCCGTAACATGTCATAAAATGGTCTGGTAATATGGGTGAGAAGCTTCTCTGCGAAACTGCATACGAAAGGATCTCCGTGAGAGGTCGAGAAGCCATGGATCAACGAGATCAACTGGCCACCCTTTTTGTCTGTAACATGTCAGAGCGGAAATTACTCCAGAAAGATAAGTATGCTTACTTTTCGATTCTTCGACAATCAAACTCATTAACCGTAGCGCCATCGTCGCATCCCTCGTCCATACCACGCACCTTTTCAAGGTAACGCCACTCTTAGACCCAGCAGATTCCTCGGGAGCAGCCAGTGCCCTACGAATCTCACCTTCTAATGTCGCTACTAACCCTAGGTAAGAGCGGAGTTCGTTTGAGATAGCTGCCCGCAAGCTCTGACTAACAAGCCCTCCGCCACTGCCTTCAACAAACGTTGAAAGACCCCGATATAACAGACATGGCTCTGCTAGGGCGTTTAGAAGAGATACCATGGGGAGCGGCAGGGTCGGAGGTAGTTTAAGCGTTGTCGCAGAAGAAAACTGTAGGTCGGAAGATGATAAACCTTGTAAGTTAAAGGGTAAATCGCGCAATAATCCCTGCTCAACGGGCCGCGTTGGGTTGTCATCCTTCTCCGGGTCCCTGGGGTGGCGATCTGTAGACAATTGCTCCTCCCCACGAGGATCTTTCGTCGTTCCCGGTTCGTGCTGACGGCTCATCCGGTGCCTCTCTGACCCTGATCCATGATCCGCATCTCGTTCTCGCTCCCTCTCCAAGTCTGCACGCCGTAACGAAGCTTTGCGCTCCATAAGCGCAGGAATCTGAGATGCAGACGAGCTTGCAGCTGGGCCATCTTCGTCCGAGAGTTCTGCCATGCCTCGTCCAGCCCTCTGATCTTTCCATAACATCCGTTGTAACTTTGTTTGATCCATCAGCGGGCTGCGAGACCGTCCGTCATCATCGGCATTTCCTTCTGAGTCATCTGAGGTAGAGAGTCGATAAAGCAGATAGAGGATTCCCCATTTTTGCGACAGGACCGGCTGGGTTAAGAGACGAGAGTATAAGTTTGAAAATCGGACAGCCTTATCAGGGCTCGCATTCTCGCGTAGCAGTTTCCGTTTTATCAAGTCTGAGGCGTTGTTGATGTTCTCTCCACCTGCTAAGCTACCTCGACGACCGAGGCCTAGACTCCCTGGAACTCCAGACGGCGAGGAAGGGTCATTCGCGGCACTGGAATGAGCATCAATAATACGCCATGAGCGTTCGAGATGTTCCTGATGCTTCTGTTCTTCTGCTGCTGCCAGCGCTTCTTCAGCATCATCCAAATATTCATCTCCTATGGCAGACAGAGGTAGCGGCGGAGTTAGAGAGTCGATGAGCTGGGAAAGGGCGTCATCAATACGACGGGGACGTGACGGGTGACGGGTCGACATTATTTATCCGCTATCTGACTCAAACAATGGCCGTTTAATCGTGGTTTACCCTCGCTCGTCGTGGAGGTATCTTGTTCACTATAATGGAATCGGGAGAGGACGCGACACAGACGCGCGGGATTCCCAACACCGCTGTAGAACACGAATCCGGCAGAATCAATTCCTATGCGAACCTTCAGTGATGGCTGCAATTCTAGAGGACATTCCATGCCTTCATTAAAACTCAAAGAACACCTGCACGCAGGCTAATAAATCAAAACCTCACCACCGATAGATCGCGAATGTGGAGAGAGAAATGGGTCGTGGTTGTTTGCTCTGTTTGATCTGGGTCATCTTTCGCCAAGCCTATTTTGAGCTGATAAGAGAGACCACTACTTTGCTACTTATATCACTGGATGGGGCATTCCAATGCTGCAATACATTATATACCTAAGTAAATATATCTATCTCTCTTTGAAAAAAAATTGTATTGATCTGGGATTATCATTATTTCCAATGCCAAACAGTCGAGATGGGTATAGCCTGCCATCAAATGTCAAAACAACCATGTAACCAAATTAAAAACTCCAGGGTAATGATAAAAATCCTCACAAGTAACATCGTAGGCATGTTCTGCAAGGAACTTTTGCTCCCGGTAGGCCCACGGCCTGAATCGTGTAGGGATACCAAAACAAGGCTATGCAACCCTCAATCCAACAAACACAAGGAGGAAAAAACACTAAAAGAAAGGAATCGCCGTAGCTTGCTCTCCGCACCCCCCCAAAACTATGAACTATCATCATCGTCGTCGTTGTCGTCGTTGTCGTAAGCATTGTTGGCATCCAAATAGATCCGTGAATATTGTGGATACGGAATGGGTTCCCAGCCGATGTTTACAGGGAAACCCCTTAAAAATCTAAGCAATGACTCCAGATCCAGCAGACCCGGGGCTCCATCGGAATCGCCTGAGGCCACCCCGAACTGCTTCTTGACCACAGGCCGCAGATGCTTTGCCTGCGGTGAGGCTATTGTCTCCTAAAACAGTCCCTACTCCGGTGTTTGCCTCTAGCTTACCCACTTCTCTACCAAGTACATATCCAGCGGAAAAGCTGATGGCGGAGAAAAGCACCACAACGCCGGCACTGATGACCCAAGTCATAACGGCCGAGGAAGATTCCGCATTGCCTGTTCGACGGCTCTTTTTGGTAGACGAATGGCCTCCACGGTCTTTGGAGGTGCTTGAACGGCGCTTTGCACGGGTGGAGGAAATTCCCCGTGGGGAGTATGGTGGTGGAGATTGTTGATATTGTTTGGGTCGCTGAGAGTGGGGTGAAACGCTGATTTCTGTTTCGGAAGGAGGGTCATCCTCGCGGGCTTCCTCCCCCATTGCCACCGATTCTGATACAAGGCGGAATGACGCCGGTTGCGCTCTGGAAGGACCAGAAGGAGAAGGTTGCGGGTCTGATTTCGGAAGACCTCGTGCGGCGGCGGCGCACGAAAGCAAGGTAGAAAGACTGGCGCGCAGAGCCGCATCGTGATCTGCATGGTGGGAGGGTGAAATCAGATTGTATGGACTGTGCTGTTGGTTCGATGGTCGTCGAGCAGAGTGTGCACTAGCTTGCGAGCTCCTTCGGATGGCAGTTCGACGGCTGGATGTGGACACTTCGCTGAGAGGCTGAGAGCGACGTGCCTCAGTGGGCCTGGTCCAGGAAGGGTGTTGAGAAGCAGGGGGGTGTGAAAAGACGTTTGGTTGAGGGATAAATGGCGATGAGCTAATACGCATTCCAAGTGCGGTGGAGCTATCATCCTCATCGCTTGAGGGGCTGGCATCTGGCGCACTGGGTTGAGGTAGGTAGGAGTCAACATGGGTTCGCTGGCCGATATCTTCATTCGAGCTGCTCAGAACACGGTCTGATTCACTCTCACTCTCTTCGTATTCATCTTGACTACTGCTAGGCTCGCGAGACGAGTAATCAACCTGCGCGGTAGCGACAGCCGCAAGATGTTGTAGACGCCGGCGGCGACTGCGGCGGTAATGACTAGATTCGTTTTGTTGAACACGGAGGCCGGTAGTTATGATGTCGTCATTGGTAGCAGCCGAAGACAGGGACGAGGAAGACGGCTGCGACGATACCTCAATCCAGGAATCTATATAGTATTGGAGTGAGTACATGGCTATAACTGTGGTCATAGTACAGAATAGAAGCGCGGTATGGAACAAGAGGTAGATGCATGTCGGGTCTTCTCAGCGAAAATCGCACAGGGACAGACAATCCGGATTCAAAATATCTGGGTTGACACAGGACGAAGAACAGCCTACCTTCTGATCTCGTGGGTGCGACACCCGATGGCAAACGTGACTGAGGGGTCTCCCACGTCATTCGATTAGGAGCTCTGGGTTCATCCTGCACCTGACCCAGAAGGTCATAGTGGTTTGGCTGCATAACGCTGAAAGTCGAGTCAGCAAAGAGAGAAGTAGAGCAGAGAGATGAGAGACGGGCAGAAAGATGCAAAATGAGAGAAAACGGAAGATACGAATATGAGGGAGGGGAATGAGATCAATCAATAGTCAGACCACAAAGGAAGGGGGAGGGCCGCATACTCAGATATGGTACGTCCGACTGTTCAGAGCGGTCAAGATGGATAATGGTGGGGTTCGTGGAGAAAGCGACCCAGACTTTAGATCTGTTGAGGTATGTGAACCAAACAAATTGTCTGGTAGAGGCATGCAGTTTAACAGTCAGAAATCAGGCCTTGGAAGTAAGTTGAAAGAGAAAAGAAAGCCCAAGGATATTGCGTTGACAGAAGTTGTGATGATGATGAATAGTTGCGAAGGATCATTAGATAGATAACAGGTGACTTGCCTTCGAACACCTGCTCCATGCACTGGCGATCGACACACGACTAGTGAGACCACCCGAGCCGAAGATATTCGGACGCCACGCACGAGGAAAGGAAGAGAGAGAGGAAGAGAGAAAAAACAAAGAAGGGGGGGGGGGGGGGAAGGGGAGAAGAGGGGGTGGAATAGGGCAAAGAGATAGGAGGGAGAAAGAAAGGGAGATAAAAATGCATGCATAAACTGAAGGAGAATGGAGTAATTCGCAGCCTGAGGGATCATGCCAAGGCTCAGGCTGCAACGGCAGGCTGGCAGCTGACCTTAGCTTATCTAAGGTTCACCAACATCGAAGGAGATCTTGTACTTGTACTTGTACCGGGATATGCCTAATAACTAATGTATTATTCATTCATTGACCTAAATCTATCTCAGATTGAATCATTCCGTACATGAGACTCCAAAAAAAAAGAAAAAGAAAAAGAAAAACAGCGACGAAACTTTTCCTGATAGACCCTGAACTTTCACACAGAATACTGCTACAAATGTTGTTGAAATTGAAACCCAATAATCAACGGATCATGGAATTACCTTGCAAGTTTAGAAGGTCACCTTGGTGCCCTTGTACTCGGGGATACCGCCACGGGCGCGGTTGGGGGGACCGCCGGCACCACCGCCGCGTCCACCAAAGCCTCCACGGCCGCCGCGACCACCGCGACCGCCACGAGCACCTCCACGAGCACCACCACGGCCACCTCCACGGCCACCGCCACCGTTGTTGTCACGGGGAGTGCTGTAGTCCAGACGGACAGCACGGCCGAGGATCTCAGCGCCGTTGAGCTCGGAATAGGCCTTACGAGCCTCATCAACGGAAGAGAACTGGACGTAACCGAAACCCTTGGGTTGGCCGGACTCTTGGTGAGTGGGCAGACGGATACCCAGGATGGAACCCGCGGAGCTGAACACCTCACTAACGGAGTCTTCAGTGGCACCGAAAGGAAGGTTTCCAACGAAAAGGGTGTCGCTCTCGGGGCTGGCCTGATCACCGAAGGAGCGGGCGCGGTTCTGGGCGCGGTCCTTGAAACCACCCTGATCCTTGTTGGCAGGGCGCCCGGTAGCATAGTCAAGGTTGATCTTGCGGCCGTCAATTTCGGCCTCCTTCATACCCTCGAAGGCCTTGGCGGCATCAACGCTGTTGGCGAACTCAACATAGCCGAATCTAGATACGTTAGCACATCATCACTGAACAAGGGGCAGGTGGGAAACTTACCCACGAGAGCGGCCGGTGTCACGCTCAGTCATGATGCGCACACCAGAAAGCTCACCGAAACCAGAGAACTCTCTCTGAAGCCACTCCTCATCCACGTTCCAGGAAAGGTTACCGACGAAGAGGTTAGCGGAAGCGCCAGGGGCGGGGTCGGTAGTCTTGGACTTCTTGGAGGCAGGAGCAGGCTCCTCCTCTGCCTTGCGCTTCTTGGACTTCTGGGTGGACTCTTCGCTTTCCTCGGACTCGGATGCAGAGGAATCGTCGGAGTCAGAGTCGGAGGAGTCTTCCTTAGAAGATTCCTATATCAGTCAGCAACATGAAGCTTCGCAATGTTAGAAAGACACATACAGTCGCAGCCTTCTTGGCCTTGGCAGGGGCTTCTTCTTCGCTCTCGGACTCAGAATCCTCACTCTCGCTGGATTCAGCAGCAGCCTTCTTAGGGGCAGCCTTTTCTTCCTCCTCAGACTCGGATTCAGAGTCAGAGGAATCGGAAGAGTCAGAGGAGTCAGCCTCGGCCTTCTTGGCGGCCTTAGGCTCAGCCTTGACCTTCTTAGCAGGCTTTTCTTCCTCACTCTCAGTCTCACTCTCACTGCTAGAAGCGTCCTCCATCTCCTCGTCGCTGGACTCAGAGTCGGAGGATTCAGCAGCCTTCTTCACCTCCTTCTTAGCAGCAGGCTTCTCCTCCTCGCTCTCGCTACCAGAACTGGAAGAATCCATCTCCTCATCGCTGTCGGACTCGGACTCCGAGCTGCTGCTAGGAGTGGGCTCCTTAGCCTTGCGCTTAGACTTTTCCTTCTTGGTGGCAGCCTCACGAGCAATCTGCTTGCTCTTGGCCTTGGGAGACTGAGTGGCCTTGGACACACCAGAATCCTTGACCTTGCTCAAAGTCTTGTCGACAGCCTTCTCGGCGCCCTTCTTGGTAACGGACTTGGTCTTAGACATTTTGAATCTATTGAGAACATGTTAGCCGGGATGGAAGATAGTGGGCTATATTGAAGACGGCAAGGGATCACGCACCTTAAAAAATATTTGTTCTAGATGAGAATCAAACCAGTTTTAAAACACGCAGTTTAATGGTGCGGCAAACCCTCTGATCCCTCGATCACCCGATTTGGAAATCCCACTGAGTTTGAAAATCTCGACAAGTAGAAGAGATTTAATACGGACGCCCACAAGTAACCCACAACTGACAATGTTCAAGCCCACAGCAGACAGGAGATATGCAACCGTCTATGATATGAAACCCACGAGATAATTCCTGAGATCCCACAGAATAGATGCTACAGCCCACAGCCCTCAGTGTAATAAGCCCACAAACAAGACGTCTGTTGAAGTGTACCTGGTAAGATACAGTTTTCGATAATGCGTCAGCAATAGAATTCTATCTCAGAGAAATCAAATCAAGGCTTGAGACCAAGTTAATATACTTGAACCTTTCCTTGAGAAAGAAACAAAAGGGTTGACTGGGGAATAGAGGAAGAAGAGAAAATTTTTTGAGAGACTTTGAACTGATAAAAGGAAGAGGAGGAAAAAAAAAAAAAATTGGGGCAGGCAAAAATATTTTCACACCGCCTTCCGTGCTAGGCCTAGAACGGGCACTACGGCAATACCAAAAAAGTGGGTACCTGAGAGGTACTTTTGGTTGTTCGCAAATATTCCCCTGCCAGATTGTCACTTTGCGGTACCCTTAACAACCACACTGCAACCCCACGGTTCTGGTTGCCCAGTCGCTCTTTGCCCGGTCTTCTTCTTCTTCTTTTCTTGTTTTAATATTCTATTTTTATTGCCAGTGGTCAATGGGATCCTACTGGCTTGCTCTTTTCTAATATGGCCCCTCCTAATCCGTCTTCCCATCGGCCCCGAAAGAAGAGAAAGCTTCCTTTCACTGGATCGAATAACTCTCTGACAGTAGACGCTGGAGAAGGGAAATCTGCACCTGCTTTCCCATTGGTATCGTTTTTATGGGGTGCTCGGGCTGGTGTATCGCAATGGCTTATTCTGCCTCTTATTCTAATGACGGTGGGCCTGTTTCGCTGGGCAGTTAGTTTGTGGGGTTATTCGGGTGAGCAGTCATGGCATATTATCAGGTCATGAAATACAGGAACATTGTATAACTAACCAGGAGTAGGTTTCCATGTACCTCCGATGCATGGTGACTTTGAAGCACAGCGACATTGGATGGAGATCACTATCCATCTGCCTGTGTCCAAATGGTATACGTACGATTTACAATACTGGGGCCTTGATTATCCACCGTTGACAGCCTACCACAGCTGGTTACTAGGAAAAATGTACGTCCAAACATAATTGCTGTTAGCTACTTTTACTGAGGCTGATTCGGAGCAGTGGTTCTATTTTTGACCCCGCGTGGTTCGCTTTAGATGAGTCTCGCGGTTTCGAGGATGACCATTTGAAAGTCTATATGCGCGCAACAGTCATTGTCTCCGAGTACCTTGTTTATATCCCTGCTGTTGTTACGTTCCTGCGTCGTTTCACCCGAATGCAAGCTGTTCCGGTATGGTCCGCCTCCATTGCTCTATCTGCTATCCTCCTACAACCGGCTACTATCCTCATCGACCATGGACACTTTCAATACAACACTGTGATGCTCGGTCTCTTTGTTGCTAGCCTGGATGCTATAATGGCAGGACGTATGCTCTGGGCGTGTATTTTCTTCGTGGGAGCTCTGGGCTTCAAACAAATGGCCCTATACTATGCTCCCGTCATGTTCGCATTTCTCCTAGGCATTTGTATGCCCCCATGGACGAGATTCCGACGTCTTCTCTGCATCTCGCTTGTGACTGTCGCTGCATTTATGGTGATATTCGCTCCACTCATCGTCGGAGCGGTTGGGCCTGAAGCTAGAAAGGATCTTATCTCAACCCTGGAGCCTCCTCTCTTGAACGCACTTCCCGTTACGCTGGATAAGGAGTCTTGGTTTTACCCACCTCTCTTCCAACTCACACAGGTTATTCACCGGATCTTCCCATTTTCCCGGGGATTGTTCGAAGACAAGGTGGCGAACGCTTGGTGCGCCATTCATACCTTTTACAAGTTGCACCGCTTTGAGGCCGAGTTGCTTAAGCGAGTATCGCTTGGTGCCACGCTGGGATCAATTCTGATCCCATGCGCTATCATATTCCGCCATCCTCGTGCTTCTATTCTCCTTCCCGCCTTTGCGACTGTCGCATGGGGCTTCTTTCTCTTCTCTTTCCAGGTCCATGAGAAAAGTGTATTGCTACCTTTACTTCCCATGACGTTACTCCTTTCGGGCGACGGAGGTTTGAATAAGGATACTCGATCCTGGGTTGGATGGGCCAATATGCTTGGCTCTTGGACCATGTACCCGTTGCTCAAGCGCGATGGCCTTCAGGTGCCGTATTTCGTCATGACATTCCTTTGGGCTTATTTACTGGGCCTGCCTCCAACATCATTGGAGATCTATCGTCACCAGAAGCCGCCCGGGGAGTCGGAAGCGACTCCGGAGCCTCACCTTCTTTCAAAAGTTATCCATTCTGGGTTCTACCTCGCTATGCTAGGATGGCATGTGTTGGAGGCCTTTGTCCCCGCTCCACCCGGAAAGCCCGATTTGTGGGTGGTGCTGAACGTGCTCATCGGTGCCGGGGGATTTGGGATCGCGTATCTATGGTGCCTCTGGAGATTAACCAGCCAATCTAGTCGGATGGACCACAAAGTCGGGGAAGATGTTGGAAAGAAAAATCAGTAATCAAGCGACTTCCGACCGACTCTTCAGTTTAGAACCAGCTAATTGACAATGATACCCCCTTCGAAATTTCTCGTTTACGGAAGAAAGCAGAATTTCTATACATTCATTTTGATGATAATATACGTACATGAAAGGAGAGGTGGTCAAAAAAAAAATAATCAAAATGCCCACTAATGTACAATAATAAACCTAGCGAAACCCAACCCATAACACCGAGCTAATGATTCAATCGCCGAGCCTCAACTCTATCACAAAAGTGTTCCGACGCCGATATTTGCGGCGTGTAGTGTACAGAAATCTATCATGTAGTGGCGCTTGGCCATGCATCAATCAATCCACATCATCCGATCGACCGATTCACGCCTCGACAAGAAGACAGTTTTGTTTTTGTTCATGGAGCGAGAGGGGGCTAGATAAGAGTCTAGACCTTGAATCCGTACCCGGCCATGCAGGACTTATACTGCTCGATCAGCGATTTGCATTCCTGCGTCGGATCATCGGATTTGGAGAAGAGCATGCAATCGTCTCGGACAGTCTTTTCGGTTTTGCATACGCAGCAAGGCTATGTAGACGGGTGTTAGTTCGGCAGGCAGTGGAATGCTTAACGGACCACCTGGGAGCCCTGTTCATTGGTGACATGGAGGACAGACCTTGGGCTTCTCTGCAGGAGTAGGCTCAGCGGGGGCGGGGGTCTTTTCAGCTGCGCCTGGATACAGATTGTTAGTTTAGTAGCTCATCATTTTACGGTATGATGATGTTTGGGCAGGTATTGTAGGAGTCGATGCTGACAATGCTGAGAGGGAAGAATGGCGAAGGACCTACCGCTGGAAGAGCCAAAGAGCCACGACATGATGAGGAATTACACTTTCTAGAGAGAGAAAACGGAAGGGGAGGGAGTGTAAGAAAGGAAAATGCAGACAACAACGACGGAGAGATATCAACAATACTAATACTAATAATAATCAATATGTGAGATGGTGAAGACGTGCTTGCTTGATTAATAATTTGGATGCGGAACTGCGTACCTGGACTCTGTGGGACACCGGAGCAGCGATCGGGGATTTTTTTTCCCTCGTGATTATTGTCGCTGCGGTTTCTTGACTGTCTTGTGCTTTCCCCTCAGCCCTCATTTCGATCAACCACTCTTTCTCTGAGCGCTGCTTGATTTGGTTTTCCTTTGAAGATCGAATCATACAATAAGCAGAACTTCTCATATTTCTTTCTTTTGTTGTTCTTTCGTGCGATTTTCAATCTCTACCCCTGAAATTACCCCGCCATGGCCCCTCCAAAGGTCTTTTCTCTTGAGGGCAAGGGTCTCAAGCTGGACACTGCTGCCGACATTGAAGCCCATATTAAGCCTCTCGTTGAGAGCACTGATTACACTGAAGTCCGTCTGGGCGGAAACACTCTAGGAGTCCCGGCTTGTGAACGCCTGGCTGCCGTCCTCTCCACCCAAAAGTGCCTCGAGGTGGCTGAACTTGCGGATATCTTCACGTCGCGTCTGCTCAGCGAGATCCCCGACGCTCTGACCTTCCTCCTTAACGCGCTCCTTGAAATCTCGACCCTTCATACCGTCAACCTCTCCGACAATGCCTTCGGCGCCAATACCCAGAAGCCCCTTGTCGACTTCCTTGCCCGCCATGTCCCTCTCCGCCATCTCATCCTGAACAACAACGGTATGGGTCCCGAAGCCGGCTCAAATATTGCCAAGGCGCTCACACAGCTTGCGGGGCGCAAGGAAGAGGCGCGAAAGGCAGGAAAGGGGGCTCCTCTCCTGGAGAGCATTGTCTGTGGACGGAATCGTTTGGAGAATGGTAGCATGGCCGCCTGGGCACGTGCCTACGAGGTACATGCGGCTGGAATGCGCTCCGTGAAGATGACTCAGAATGGAATCCGCCAGGAGGGTATCTCGCTTCTGCTGAAGGAGGGTCTCCGCCACGCCAGCGCACTGGAGGTTCTTGACCTCCAGGACAATACCTTCACGGTCATGGGATCTACTGCTCTTGCCGGTGTTCTTGGTGGATGGCCTTCTCTCCGCGAACTTGGCGTTGGTGACTGCTTGCTATCTGCTCGTGGAGGTGTCAAGGTCGCCCAGGCTTTGGCTGAAGGAAAGAACCAGAAGGTTGAGACTCTGCGACTGCAGTATAATGATATTTCCGCCGAGGGTGTCAAGCAGTTCTTGCATGCGACCAAGACTGCTCTTCCCTCTCTGCGCCGTATTGAACTTAATGGAAATAAGTTCAACGAAGATGACAACAACATAACTGAACTCCAGGAGATCTTGGAGACCCGGAAGGAGGAACAAGGTACGGATGACGACCCTGAGGATATGTGGGGAGTGGATGAGCTTGATGAGCTCGAGGAGGAGAGCGAAGAGGAGGAAGAAGAGGAAGAAGAGGAAGAAGAAGAGGAGGAGGAGGAGAAGGCTGAGAAGCTCCTTAAGGATACTGATCGGGCTGAGAATGAGAAAGTTGCTCAGGTCGAGGATAAGGATGTCGACAAGCTCGCCGAGGCTCTTGGCAAGACGGCCATCTAATCACTATTTCTCCCAACATACCCCTTATTAAATACCCCTATACCATTCTGTCTTGGATTTACCAGTGCTGTGGCAATATTTCCACGACTTGCATAATGGGAGCTGGATACTTGGGCATGACCGATTGGCAGTCTAATCACAAGCCTGCATACGTTCGGCTTTGTCAATGGAGGAGGGTCTGCAAGCAGTACCCACGACATGGCGCGATCTTTGGAGTGCTATCTACCCTACTTCCCATCGAGAGCTATACCTAGCCCAGGGTTCATTTGGTATTCGCTCTGCCTCACAATTGAAGCCCTAGAAATCATCAGATGCTTCTTATTTCTAGAGGAGAGAGATGTATAACCCGTCCGTCGCCTGCCTATCCGTCACCCCAGCGAGCCTGTTATTAGCCCCCCCCGTGATGTATATAATAATGCTTTAGAAGACCATAAATCACTGTGCCATATGCTTCGAAATAAATATGAAAGTCTACCACAGTATCTCGCAATTCCATGTAGGGCCGTTGGCTATTCCAAAATAGGCAGTTGGAGGCTTGGCATCGAGATGGCGGCTCGGAGGACTTCTTCCTTGCCTTCTTGTCCAGTTCCCGCTTGCAAGCCGTCTTTCTCTTCCCTCCTCTCTCCTCCTCCGTCCCTCTACGCTCTCCTATAGACTGCACGGGCTCGGTTTAATTCTCTTCTTTTGTTTTCCTCCGATCTAAATCTCGTTCGCTAATCTTGCGCTTCGGGGTTCAAGTCCGTTCTCTCGGGCATAAAAGTGGTAGTGAGTGCGCGCCATCTGTCTTTTCCTGCTCCATCTTGGTTCTGCACCTTTGAAATTATCGTCCTGCTTCGCTGGATCTCCTCGCGCTCGGGGTCTGTGCAAGTTTCTTTTTGCGCAGCTTGTCATTAGAAAAGCCCACTTTCTGCTTTCCAAAACCCCTCTCCGGCAGATGCATAGCAGCACGTGCGACTGGCCGACACCATTTTAGAGGCGAGGAATCGAGCCCATACGGCTATGGAGTGCAGGATGGCAATTGATTCTGGATTTTCTCCCCAAGACCTCTCCCATATTACCCAGCATCTCTGCATAACTCGCATGCTATGGGCTGGAGAACCCCATACTCAACTCGTGCATCTGTCTGTGCTTTGCGCGGCATGTCACTCGCCTCCAGCTTACTCGGCTGTTACCTTGTCAACTATACCTTTTTCAATACGTGACCTCTAACTCTCTTTTGTAGGTGCCTTAGAATTCACCATCCCCCGTCGATACCGTCGTTAGAGCACCGTGGCGATGGATGCCAAAGAAATTGAACTGAAAGCAAAGGCCCTGACAAAGGCTGCAACTCAGAACGAGCCTGCGTCCAATATCGTATCACTCCTAAAGGAGCTGCAACAAGGCGTGAAGGCTACAGAGGATTTACTGCGATCCACCCGCGTTGGGATTATCGTCAACAAGTTCAAGCAACACAAGTCACCCGAAGTCGCGCGCCTGTCGAGTGAGATTGTATCCAAATGGCGAAACGAGGTCAACAAGCAGAAGGCCGGTGGGTCAGCTTCAGCCAGCCAACGATCGAGCGGATCTCCACGCCCAGCCCAGCACGGAACCGCCTCGCCCGCCGGGTCGACTCCCTCGGATAAGCTGTCCAAGCTCTCAGTCCCTCCGGATAAGCGGACGTGGAAAGCGGACGGGGTTGATGTCAATCAGACAGGGAACCGTGCCCGTGACAACTGTATTGGACTCATGTATGATGGGCTGTGTTTCAACTCTACAGAACCCCCAAGAGTTGTGCTGTCCAAGGCCGCAGCCGTGGAAGCAGCCGCCTACAGCGCCTTCGGTCCGGAAACAAAAGAGCCATACCGCACGAAGATCCGTAGTCTATTTCAAAACCTCAAGAACAAGTCCAACCCAATGCTTCGCGTGCGTGTGTTGGGCAACGAAGTCACCCCGGAATACTTTGTGAAGATGACCCACGACGAGCTCCGATCCGCTGAACAGCGCGAGCAGGACCGCAAGATTCAGAAGGAAAACATGGACAAGGCCATGGTGGCCCAGGCAGAACGCAGTATCAGTACCAGCTTGCAGTGTGGCAAGTGCGGCCAGCGCAAGGTGACCTATACCGAAGCCCAGACCCGGAGTGCTGATGAACCTATGACGCTGTTCTGTACATGTATGAATTGCGGAAAGTCATGGCGGCAGTAAATTCTTTCTTCTTCTTCTTCTTCTTTTCTTCGATATTGCTCGATATGTGAATTTACTACTACCAACGGCGAGGAGTTGAAGGTTGTTTAAAAGGGGGAGGACATTTCCTTGGCTAATGGAGACTTTCTCTAGTATTCTTTTTTTTTTCTTTTTCTTCATTCCATCCGGTCATCCATCCTAATCGATTGGAGTCGGAATATTCTTATTATTACTACTAGGTAGCCTTGCAAGATAGATTTTATGACAGACTGTTTGCTCTTTTACCCGTCAACCTTAGCATTTACGTCATCAGTATACAAGTACACTTCTTCTCTTCTTCCCTCCTTACTTATATCATCTCCCAAACCAACCAAGCACGCCCCAAGAAACAAATCCCAAAGAAACCAAACAGAAAAACAAAAGAAAAGAAAAGAAAAGAAAAGAAAAGAAAAGAAAAGAAAAGAGAATCCCTCCTCTCCCCAATCCACTCCCTCTGCGCCTCTCTCTCCCAAAACACCACCACCTCCTCCTCCTCCTCCTCCTCCTCCTCCCTCCTCACAAACTTCACATCATCAACCACCTCCCCCGCAAATAATCCACGAACATGGCCTGCCGCAACTAGCCCCCTTCCTCGGCCGCACATTCACCGGCCCAGACGGCATCCGGGCGTACTTCCGCTTACTGGGGGAGCTCCTTCTCATCGACGCGACCTGGGGCGGTGGACGTGGAGAAGATGGTTGTTGTGTTGTATGAGAAGAGGAGGAGTGGTGGTGGTGGATCTTTCTGGATCTTTATTTGATTATTTGATTATATGATAGGGGATGTAATAGTCAAAAGTCTGTTATAGGAAACTTGAACCCGTCTATGCGTGCCAATCAATCCAGCCAACGTTGCCCGGTTCCCCATCTGGAGTAAGGAAGACTTTGGCGGGGGAATCATACGGGTTGTATTCCTTGCGATTCAGCTCCATCGTAGTGTTCGATGAAGCACGGCCGGTGGCATTAAACCCAGGCCCGAAAGCTCTGTACTCCGCCATAAACGTTTCGTTGGTAAGGCGGCTAACACCGCCCACAACCCAGTCAATGTAACCGATGGGATCAATGCTGGCGTCCTCGGAGGTGAGGGCGAAGATGGAGCGGTGCAAGCTGTTCCATGGGCGGCCGAGGGCGCATTGGCCAACAATCTGAGGAGCAATCGAGGTGTTGGCAGCCATGACGGACGAGCCGACCACGTAGACGCCGTATTTGTTTTCGAAGGTGGTCTCGGTGCCCTTCCAGGCAGTAATACCGCCACCACAGCCGCGGAGGAGGATTTCGGAGGACTGGATCCAGGCGGTGCCAAATCCGTACAGGAAGTCGGTTTGGCCGGCAATGATACTTTTGTAGAAGTATGCATTTCCGAGTTTACCCACGTAGACCTGGGGGTTGTCAGCTTGTTTTCTGCCTAGGTTACTATGGGGGAGAGGCTGCGCACCGTATCCTGATAGGAATAGAACCCGCAATAGTAGAAACCACCGTTGGCACGGCTAAAACTCAGCGCATGCGCTGGGCCATCAGAGAAATCAGCCCAGGTGTTTGTGAAGTCGATGTTGTATACTTTGAAATCAACGTTGCCAAATGGCGTATCCTCTGGCACAGGATACCCCGTAGTGCCAGAACCAGTGTAGCTAGCATCCAATGTAGGTGCAACAACCAGGACACTTGAAAACACATTGTCAACGCTTTTGCCGGTGCCATCATGGTTGGCTTGTGCCCATGTAATGGTCACCTGGTTCTTGGAGGCATCGGTAAGATGGTCTGTCTGGCCAAGCAAGGTGATCGGGCCACAGCGGGTGACGTTGAGCTGCTCCTTGTATTCGCCTGCCAGAACCAAAATTGTTTGCGTACTGTCATCATTTGGCAGAGACTCAATGGCTGCCTGGACGGTAGAGAAGTGCGCCTTGGGGTTGGACTTCGACACAATGATCGTCCCTTCGGGGCAAGCTGTCAGAGATCCCTGGCATTGGCGGTGTGACTTTGGCGGTATACCAGCTGCACATGCCAGCCATGCATTGAGAAAAAGCGGGAAAAGCCAGTAGAATAGTCTAGTCATTTTGCCCATGCCTGTTTGAAGGAAGCCACCGGGTGAGTCTGAAGAGTCACCCAACCTCAACGTTGTTCATGCCAATATCATCCCTTATGTAGATGTAGGATTGCTCGTCATTTCCCCGCAATTTCGCCTGATTCCTGGAGATTCAACGCGGGGAAATAGCAGAAGTTCCACCGCGAAATGATGAGAAACCCTGTTCTGTTTTTCTAGGTGAAGCATCTGCTAACCGTTGCAAGCATCCCTTTGTCCAATTGCGCGCGGCCTCAATATCGCTTAGGAGATTCGATCAGTCGCTATTGCGGAGAGATGCACCAGATGAGCGGACGGAAAAATCCGTGCGAAAAGCGACGGAGAAATGCATCCCGCCTGTCAGCATGGTGACATTTCCATTGTGGGAGAGGAATGATTTCCCTGGAACCAGAGTCTCCAATGCCAGGTAGGGGCAGAGACAGCGATGGAGAATGATGATAGAAACGAATGAGACTGGAGGTCTACAGGGTATTGAACGAGGGGTTGAAAAGAAAAGAGGTGAAAAGCTGAAGTCACAAGGACGAGCTGCCTGAGGCAAGGTGGTATCTTCAACTTCAACTTCAACTTCAACTTCAACTACAACTTCCCCGTCAGGTACGCATCCAGGATCCCATACTCTGAGCTCAGTTTTCATTAGTGTTATCTATTACTTCTCCGCTATCACGGCGGTTCGATATGACTGATTCCCAAACACTCAGTCGTCATCAATAAATGACTGCCACTACAGCTCGGCCCCATTGGAGCTAGTCACAGCGAGAGACAGCCCAGCCGATGGAGCTGATGACGAGAGCTATGGAGATGGCAATTTCCCAAAGCAGGTGGGAAAAATTATGGAGCCCAGCTTCGGTGAGACTCCTGGCCCTGACTGACTCGCTGGCTCGCTACTACGGTGCTCCATCCACTAACTAACATGGACGAAAAATCAGCGACGGATCCAGGAGCAACGCAACGAGGTTCACGAAAGGTAACAATTAATGGGTTATCGGGGGCCGATCCGAATCAAATCAAAAAAAAAAAAAAAAAAAAGGGGTAAATCGTCATCCTGGCGCTTATACTAATTATAATTGTACTATTCTCTAGTGCATCACTGTGCATACGGAGTACAGGACTATCCTCCACAATGGGAGTACGGAGTACCGAGAGTCGAGCCCGGAAATGATTCCCCCAAATCGGGTCTGGAAAGTCGAGTCACTTCAGTCTCCGGGGTTGGGGTTCAGTTTACAGGTTCGAACATGCATTTACTAAAAATAAAAAACGAAATTTCTTGAAACCCTTGATTCACTAAATTTACCACTATTAATGACATACATACATGTAAAAGAAAAGAAATCAACTCTATCAACTTAGAGCAAGTAATAGGGGGGGGGAAAAAAAATCTATAATACGGGTAAAAAGTGCAAAGCTGTGAGACAGCCTATGCATGTATGCGCAAGCGATATCCAGGTGGTATGAAATAAGGAACGGGTGCAAAAGCAAAAACGCTTACTCCTCTTCATCCTCGGGAGAAGCGCGGGCACCAAGGGTGTAGCGGGACTTGCCGTGGGCATCAACCTCGTGCTCGATAGCCAGCTTGGCGAGAGCACCCAGCATGTTCTCGATCTTGGTGTCAACCACGGAGCGGTTCTTGCGGCCGAGGTTGTCAAGACCAGGAATGATGGTGAGAATGTAGTAGACGACGGCAATGATGACGGTAACACCAATGGAGTAGGCCCAGATGACAACGACGGTGACAATATCGGTATCGCTGTGGATGGAGAAGTGATCCTGGCTGGGGGGGCTGGTCTGGTGGTAGTCGCCGGCGAGCCAGCCGAAGACACAGAACAGGGTGGCGAGGACATCGACAATGAAGATGGCGAAAACCAACTGCCACGAGGGCCAGGTCTTGCCACCACGGGTGACGAAGATGAGCCAGTTCTCAGTGAGGGAAACTTCAAGGAAGAGGATGGACTGGGGAGAACCGAAGTTCTGGATGATACCGCCGTTCTCAAGGAAGAGAGAGGCACGGATGATCCAGGTACCAGCAGCAAGGAGAACACCGAGGACAACGGAGATGACCCAGATCTTGGGCAACTGCCACTCGACGGGGCGCATTTCGAAGTGAGCATTATCGTAGGCAACGGCAATGGTAGCAAGATCAGCAAACAGAGCAATGAAGACGATCAGATCGGCACGGATGGTCTCGTTGATAATGATCATGGAGGTGACGAGGTACAGTTCCAGATGGATACACAGAGCAATACGGTACTGGATGTAGGCCTTCATACGCTGGAAGATCTGGCGGGCAAGCTTGATAGCATCGACGATGGTGGAGAGACCAGGGGCAAGGAAGACAATATCGGCGGCAGCCTGGGCAGCTTCGGTGGAACCCTCGACCGCAATACCACAGTCAGCCTTCTTGAGGGAAGGAGCATCGTTGACACCATCACCAGTCATGGCAGTCAAGTGACCACGCTGCTGGAGCATCTCGACGACCTGGTACTTGTGCTCGGGGAAAACTTCAGCGAAACCATCAGCCTTCTCAACGAGATCGTACTGAGCAGAGCCAGCAAGACCACCGTGGATGAGCTTCTCGGAGTCGTAAACCTTGGTCGAGAGAGCAAGCATCTTGCAGGTTTCCTTGGCAATGGCAAGAGCATCACCAGTCAACATCTTAACGGACAGACCGAGGTGCTGGGCCTCAGCAATGGTGTGGGCAGTGTCATCACGGGGGGGGTCGAACATGGGGTACATGCCGAGCAATTGCCAGGGCTCACCCTCCTTCTGGACGGCAACACCGAGAGAACGGAAACCACGGCGAGCGAACTCAGTAGCCTTGTCACGGAACTTCTGGGCCTCCTCCTCGGAGCACTGGGACATGTTCAAGATCGCCTTGGGAGCACCCTTCGCGCAGACGTAGCGGACACCATCGCAGGTACAGACGGTCGTAATACGCTTGGAGACCGGATCGAAAGGAGTGTACTTCTCGGTGATCCAGTTGCGGGCGAGAATTTCACGGGCCTTGGGGTAGCGGCGGAGAGTAAGAATGGTGACCTTGTCAATGGGGTCGAGGTTCTTGACGTTGTGGTTGGAAGCAATCGCAGCAACAGCCATCATCCAGTTGACATCAACACCCTCGTTGACGTAAGGCTCCCGGATGGAGAGCTGGTTAGCAGTGAGGGTACCGGTCTTGTCCGAGCAGAGAATATCGACACCAGCCAGGGATTCGATGGCAGTGAGCTTCTGGACAATGGCCTTCTGCTCAGCGAGGTAGGCAGCACCGACAGCGAGGGTGGTGGTGGTGACAACGGGAAGACCGACGGGGACACCAATGATCAGGAGAATCAGGGTGTACTTGAGAAGACTCTCGTCCGAGTGCTCGGGGGTAGCGATCTTGAGGTGACGGTAGAAACCACCAATCCAGGCAGCGAGAATCCAGAACATGACGAGAACGAGCAGAGAGGTACCAATGTTGTCCATGACGGCCTTGAAGTGACCCTGGTCCTTGGCGCCCTGAACGAGAGCAGCGGTCTTACCGACGAAGGACTGTTGGGCAGTAGCAGTGACGACAGCGTAGGCCTTGCCGCGCTTGCAACCAGTGGTGTAGTAGCAAGTGTCAGCCATGTACTTATCGACAGCGAGAGATTCACCAGTGATGGCGGACTGATCAACGGCAACAAGAGAGACACCGACGCGAGCCTCGATGCCACCATCCTCATCCTCATCATCCTTCTCCTTGAGGGTATCATCGTTGGCAGTGGCGAGGTATTCCTTGTAAGTCTCGTACATTTCAGGCTTGTCGTAGTCGCAGATCAGACGAATATCAGCGGGAACGATGGTACCTTCCTCGATAATAACCTGGAGAAGATGCATGTTAAAAACACTGGTTCTTCGAAAGTTGGGTTCAAGAGGGGGGGGGGGGGGTAAAGGATTGGCTTACAATATCACCAGTAACAAGCTCGCGAGCAAGAATTTCCTGTTCCTGGCCATCACGCTTAACAACAGCCTTCATGGCAATGTCACCCTTGAGGGAAGCCACCACGTCGGCAGCCTGCTTCTCCTGGTACCAACCGACCACAGCGTTAAGCATCAGAATACCAATAATGACACCGAAATCAATCCAGTCACGCAGACCAGCAGCCAAGAGAACAGCCAATTCCATAACTAAACGTAGGCATTGCGTCAGTCAGCACGCATACTCCAATGCCATCCTTCCCCCGTCATCGTAAGATCATTGCGCACTCACCATAGAGAATAGGACCACGGAAGTAACCAATGAACTGAATGAAGAAGTTGGTCTTCTCGGTAGTCAGTTCGTTCCAGCCAGTGCGCTTGCGACGAGGTTCGACCTGGCTGGAAGGAAGACCAGAGTTCATGTCGGTCTCCAGCCATTCATCGGGGCAGACGAAAGCTTCCTCGGTACCATCTGCGTCCTTCTTCCAGAATGCGAAGCCGGACTTCTTCTTCTTCTCGCTCAGAGCACCAGCGCTGGAGGTAGAGCCGCGACGCTTATCACGAGCAGTCGAGATGTAGCGGTTGAGCGCGGCATACTCGTCAAGGCCAGCGCCATCGTTCACGTCAGGAGCAGTGCGAGAATGGTCACCATTCTCCACGTCAGGAGCATAGGAAATCCTCCGCTCCGCCATTGTTGCTTCGGCTCACAAAGCCCTTAGAACCCAAAACGATCTGAGCAGAGGCAAACACAGAGTGGCAGGAATGGCGTAACAGTCGGACAATCCTATAGAGAAAGAAAGAGAGAAGAGAGGGGAGGAATGGAAGGCGAGGGGTGGGAAGGGAGAATGCTTTAATATTCGCGGAGGGGGGAGTATGATTTCCACGGGACCAGGACAAACACGTCTTTAGTCTCGAAGCTCCAACGGGCGGGCAACTTTCCCTGTGCGTAAGCCCACTTTTTTTTTTTTTTTTTTTTTTTTTTTTCCCTTCTTTCTCCTTCGTTTTTTTTTTTTCTCATTTTGCCTTTTTTTTTTTTTTCCTTATTAATTTTCTCTTACCGTTTTCAGCCTAGTGTCACCGGGAGCAGTTTAGCCACTGATCGAAGGTTCGCTGTCCCTGGTTAGGTAACTTGTAAGGTCATTCACATGTACACACACATTTCCGCTTAACGGCACGCACCATTCCCGACTAGTCTCAACTGGGGAATTTTCTCTTGTTTTTTTCCTCATATTTATTATTTGTTTTTTTTTTTATTACTTATTTCCCTAGATTTCGTCTCCAAGGATGTGGGTCCTTTTTATTACCAACCTTACTGTAACAGGGATAGTCCAGGATGTAGAAAAAAACTCTACTCTTTCCCTTTATCATCATCTTCGACAGGACTCTTTGGTACGGCATTTTACGCCGCTTACTCGTTCTCTTGTGTTGATGTCTCGATGGGGTAATCCCTTCTGTACAATCAATGGCACTTGGCATCCATGACCGGCAGACTTGTGCCGAGTTTTGCCCCCCTCACTCTCTCCATACTGTCGGCTCAAAGAGAAATTTACGGAGTAACATGAACAGGGCGCTCTATCTTCTCTCGTCCGGGATGGAGGAGGCAAAATCGTTTTCTTTTTTCTTTTTTTTTTTTTATCTCAGAAACTCTGGGGATACTACAACCCCGATTTTATCTCGGTCGGAGGCAAGATACTTTTCCCTTTCCTCTTCTTCTTCTTTTTCTTCGGTTTTTTTTTTCACTACAATTGAAGGGTTACAGTATCCTGATGTAAAATACAAGACATTCATGTCCAATCAATCAACCCGGCAGAAGAAAAAAGACAGCTTCAGAGTCCAAGAAGTTGAATTTCTGGGTTATGACTTATGATACGCTGGTACACTACCACATCAATAGTAGTCACTTTTTGCCGCGTGCGGGTTCCTCGTTAATTTTCCTGCTTCTGCCCTTTTTCTATGCGCGATTTTCTTCCGGACTTGCAAAGTCACTAGAGAAGGATGATAGTAATAGTTAATCAAATTGATCGTAATAATCCCCCATCCGCGAAAAAAAAAAAAAAATAAAATAAAAGAACGTCTTATCGGCAATCATGGAGGTCTTACTCACTTTTTCCCATGTGTCGCCTCGTTTCCCTTCCGGAAATAAGACTACAAATTGAGGAGGGAAGTACTACTGTTGTCTTACTGTCACATTCTTCTGGTTTTGATTATGTTTCTCTTAAAATTTTCTGGTCGTCCTGTTGTAGATAATCCTCCGATCCTGATGAGGTATTGGTGACTGGACAGGAATCTGAAATTGGGACCACGAGCTCATTCAGACGGCAACGCAAGGGGGGTTACCACATATTTCCAGATTCGGTCATGCAGGGCCAAAACAACAACAACACATACTTTGATTATGAAGGAATGGATCTCATTATTACATACTTGAGGATCCTATTAGCTAGTTACAGGTAACTGTTCAATTGACTACTTCGAGACTGGCCCCATCAATCTCTCTTTCAGTTTCCTCGATATTTAATCTCTCTCTCGTTCGCCATTGCGTCGTATGCAACTGAAGGATCTCCTCCACACCAAGCTGTCTACCATCCCTGTAAAACACCGGAGTTGAGTGACGACTATCCCCCACTCCTCACTCTTCTTCCCACACCAATCCCCGACTTTCTCGTCTAAACGCGGTATTTTCTTGTGACTGGCCAGCATCCATGGGCGAGACTCCACTCCATTTGCTCTTCTTTAATCAAACTTTCGCAGAGCTTTGAATTCTACTCCGTAATTATCATCATCATCATCATCATCATCATCATTATCATCATTAGTGTTAGAGTGAGAATCACCATAAGTATTCCGTAATAGTAGTAAGTGATAATACCAGATAACCGCATCCATATCTTGCATCTGGAGTTGAGATCCCGCCTGCGGTCTCGATAGTCTGACAACCCCTAGGTATCACGAAGGACCTACATACATACATACATACACTGTAAATGTACTCTGTACTCTGTATGCGTTTTTAACAGGAAAAACAACTCTCCACCCAAGGTTCCGCAGAGGCAAAGAAAAAGTGAAAAAAGAAGAAAGCCGGACAAAATCCCACCCAACCGGCGGTCCGTATATCCAGGATCCAGATCCTCCTATCTATCCTGTCATCATCTATCTGTACAGTGTACACTGACGGGGAATCTCCAGGTCCAGCAGAAGGCTTGTCCTGCTATTCAATCAATCAAAGTGGTTGAACTGCCAACCTCGCCAAGGTTTCTCCTCCACAACCTTTTAACTAGTGAAAAGCTTTCCCCTGGGGTGGATAGTCGAGAGTCGAGTCGAGGATCGAGAGTTTGAGCTCGCGACTTGGAAATTCCCATCCTATCATCCGTTTGGTTGTTTGTCGTTGACTTGGTCTCCAGGGAAATATTAACTACCCGTACCTAGGTATCTCGTTCGTTATTACTACTCTCTTACTCGTACCGAGGTATCTAGATATATTAACCAGCTAGTTATTGAGAATCTTAAAAAAGATTATTCTCATTCCTTGGTGCTTCTTCCTTCGCCTGCCTGGGTGAGGCTTTTTACGATCGGAACAAGGCTCGTTTTGAATTCGGGTTCATAAACCTTATCCTGTTATCAGTGCTTAGGAAACAAAGTACCTATCCTAGGTACCTCCATCTTTCATATTCAACCCCAGCAGTGTGAGTCCAGGTATTGCGTGGAGAGCATATCTATCATATCTCACCACCTGCAGGTGTTCAACGAGGCCACGTTATCCGGCTGCAAACGTTGTGTACGGAGTAGGGATGGGGAAACGCATGCCAAATGCGACCAACTCCACATCCAGCTCAAAAAAGAATTCCTGTAGAAGAGAGAGAGAGAGAGACAGAAGTTCAAGAAAGAAAGAAAAGTCCAATCCAGTCTGGTACCTAGGTAGGTAGCAGAAGTAGATGATTCGAATGGAGAGAGATCGACGTGGAAATAGGATAATTTACGACGTTGCCATTCCATACCCTGCTGTGACGTATCGAAATCGTCTTCCAAGAGAAGTCGAGACTCAAGAGTAAAAGGAGTGCGCCGGGAGGTCCGAGGAGGTGGCATACCCTGCGAGCGCTTTCCGCGGCTGCGAAATAGTTACACCTGGGGATGTACTCTGGGATGAGTTAGTTAATAGTTAGTTAGTTAATGTCGCAACGCTTGGTAATTCCCCAAAGCCAATAGTTAATAATAATACTCATCATAATAGCCCAGGATCCTGAGGTTTTTTTTTTTTTCCATTCTCTTCGATCTCAATTCTCAATTCTCGTCTATAGTAAACTCTCCCTATGGATAGATGTAGAGGTAGTACTACATTAAGTAGTAGCAGACTATTCTCACTATATTAATGACGTCCTCGAGAAAGAGTCAGGTATACTCCGTACTAACTACTCCATACTTCGGTACGTAAGGAAATGACTGGCATGGCCTTGACCGAACCAAAGCCCGCCAGCGCACCCCCCCCCCCCCCCCCCATACGTTAACTCCTAAGAACCTAAAGAGGTTTGCGATCGAATATCTGGGGGATTCTCACCAACGCCGGCGCGAGTCGTGCAGGCAAGAAACGGACATCTGGCCACGTCAGCCAAGAGCGGTTTTCCACGCCATCTCTGCCGCATGGCTCTCGATGGTGTGGTGTAATATGTCAAGGAATTCTCCTCACAGGGCTGAATTAAGTGTAGGTATCCTTTCTTTGTCTTTGACAAATTGAAGTTTTCTTCTGACAGGTTGGGAATACCGAGGGGATTGGAAAAGTTACATATGGATGTTCCGCTAGTGGCTCACCAGCCGAGATGGCGCTGATTGCTGTTATTACACTACGCGGTACTAGCAGTATCTGGTGAGATTCTTCTTTCCCTGTGATTGGATTAGAGTAGAGTCGAGCAAGCTTGGGTGGGTGCTGTCTGTACTCCGTACAGAGGACTCGTATAGCTCCCTCCAGCTAACTGTACATAGTTAGTACCAAATTGCACAGCTTTTTTTTTTTTTTTTTTTTTTTTTTTTTTTCGCCGACAACTTCTGGTTACTGGTACCTGAGATAGCCACCCCACCAGATACCATGGAACCCGCGTTTCGGTCGAATGTCAATTCGGCCCCTATCCAGCGGGTTTAATTAATCTTCAAAGTACCTAATCAAAATCTGGACTCTGCTGGAAATTTTGGAGGCTGGGAGGTAAGGATATATGAAACAAACCCGCAGGTTATCATCTCAGGACTCCGGAAGCAGTAATAACAAGACAAGAACTGCCAACTATGACTAGTAACTAATATTAATGAATATTGATAATGATGATTGACATACTCCGTAGTCCGTACGGGGAGCAAGTCATGCTGATCCCTGCTAGTCCCAATAATAACACAGGCATGTAAATTTGTTTTTTTTTTTTCAGGAAGTGAACAAGGGACACGTGAGAATTCAGAGAGAGATTTCACTATCTAATCTACTCCGTACTACGGTACCCTTGAATTCAATCAAGCAGAATGAAACGACAAATGGCGCCAATCCATCATACTCCATAGACGGAGACTGAGAGGAATAGTGCTCCATATGCTCCAATATATCCCGCACCACACGGTATACCTGCCAATCACTTTAACCCAACGTAGTAGTAGCCAGTACTCCGTACAGGCAATAGTCAGTGGGATTGTTGGTTAGTGGGCGGTGAAGAGAGGGTCCTCCGGTCGCCGGAGGAACTTTGTTACGGAACTTACGATACCAACTTTCTGGCTGGAAAGCATCCCACACCGGTAATGGTCTTCTTCCTCCTCTACACTAAAGCCAACTATCGACGTAGGTGTAGGTAGAACATACCTACTAACCTTACTCCGGACGGAGCACATCTGGAGCAAACGAGGCGGGCTTCCAATCATGCGTCCGGAGTACCGTGGGCCATATCAATCCGCGAGATCCGTTCTCGACGCCTTCTAGAAATAATTTTTTTTTTTTTTTCGTGGGTCTGCTTATCTAGCTGCAATCCAGTCAATCTATCGGCTATCCTGTCCCCCTTCTTCTAGCATACTACGTTGGGCCCGATCATGTCATCATAGAGACGGTTGTATGATGCTCAGACCATGTACAGACTACAGAGTTATTATCGTCAATGACAAGGAATGCCCGGATGTCGGCATGCTGTCAGAGAAAGTAAAAAAAAAAGACGAATAAACTACGTCATAACTTCCCCCGTGCCTACTGGAAGGAAGTCTGGAGAATTTTGCAGCTGCTTCCTGGTGGTGGTGGCAACTGGGGGACATTCAGGCTTGTTAGGTTACGGCGTTTTGCTGTGTTCGGCCAAGTAAAATTGAGGTCGAGAAGCGAAATTCCCAGCTGGGTTAGCGCGGCCTCTGGTATTTTTCTATCCCCAATGCAGTAGGATTGGAACTAGCCCTAACTTTAGTCAGACTGTCGGTACTCCTTCAGTTAGTTATCTTACACTGCAAGCCTTTGTTGAGGATTCAAAAACAAAGAGCAGAGATTTATTCCCCCCCCCCCCCCCCGGATTCCCTACCAGAGAAGCAATGGACCTGTTCTCCAGCCAGGGTCTGATTTGACCTTTTGGGTATTCTGGACTAATCCTGCCCCCAGCCTGTGCTTGGCTTCTGGTACCTACAGTAGTTTCCCAGACTACGCTCCATAAATACTGCCACTCACAGGATAAACAGGAATAAATTAATGGTGAATCATGATAATCAAATGCACGCTCCTCACTCGTCCGAAGGCCCACTTTTGACGATCGCCCGTGCCAAGCTGTCTCATCGATGATCTTGGTGAGGGATTTTCTCGCACTTGCCCAGCCCTCTTTGCTCCTCCATCCGAGGTTGTTCCCCCCATCAATGAATTTATTGATATCATCTCAGTATCCGTAACACCGCGCGGAGGAATGGGAAGGAAGCGCGAATGCCAAGAGCCAAGAGACCGCGGTCTCTTGCTCCCATCCGGAGTAATAATCCCTTCACGGGTTCTCCGATTCATGAATCCTCTCGGGCCTCCTCAAACAGTTAGCTAGGTTCCTTAAAGACGGGAGAACTAGACTAACTAATCGACAGAGCAGCAGGAGCAGGAGCAGCAGCTCCGTAAACCTGTCTCGAACTAACTCACTAACTAACCCAAGGTCACATTAGTGGGAACTAAAACAATACCACACTCTTCTTTCAAGCTTCATCCTGCTTTCGAAACATCCAGGAAAAATTGGCCATCCTTTGAACAAAAAAAAAAAAAAAAAAAAAAACACCCCCACGAGTCATCCAGGATGAAGCCAAAGTGGATGAGCGATTTTCAGGTTTGATTTCGCGCCGGACGCCACTTGACCATATCTGTTAAATCGCTAGGACTAGGATAATTAAGATATCCGATTTAATATACCCTAAAATCATATGAAATCCTCCGTGCGCTACCCTGCTTTGTAACTACCTGAGTTAACTACGTAGCGCTTGGGAGATGCGGTTCAGCGTCATTTTTCCCCAAGGAGAATTTCCCGACCGAGTCAGACGGCTCGGGCATAGAATAGAGAGTCCTTGGGGAATTTCTCGGACTCGGTGCTAGACCAGGCCGGCCGTCGTTCGTCGTGAATCAACAGAAATTCGCCCCTACAAAAAAAACCCCTCATAGAATACATACCCTCGGGGCATAAAATCCTTCAGTTTAATCCCGGTGTCAGAGTTAGATCCATCGGGAATCGGCACGGTTCTACCTACCGTCCGCTAGGGGTGGCCAAGAAGTTGATATCGAACAGTAGAACTAACTACATATACGTACCATGGGTAGGAGAATTCTCGCAACATGGTTCTTTATTTTTATTTTTATTTTTTTTTTTTCCTTCTGCTCAACTCTGGAAGGGAGACTTTTTCTAGAAAACTCTAGAACTTTTTGAAAACTTTTTCGCTGCCGAGTTAGTTCTTTCTCCGGACAATATGATGCATACTTTTCCAGCATTTCATACTCAATAATGACAAAGGAAATTACTCTTCTATAATATGAAAACTAGAATCCCTGCTATCTCTTCCTATTAATACCCGTGGAGTACTACTATGTACATACCTCAAGTACATCATTTCACTATATATATTGACTCTATAGGCAGCGTATCCATCACAGGATCATTATTCCACTGCTGCCAAGGGATCGCTGCATGGATGGACACCATCCCCGCAACTCCATTCTCACCCGTCAGCAGCAGTACTACCTAGGTGCCTATCATGTAACTAGTAGTAGTAGTATACTACCTAATTGTATGGTAAGGGTAACGAGGAGGTATCCCACCCAGTGTAACACAACACAGCCTGTAAATACGTCCTATAAGTTATGTTATAGAATCCCGGAGAGCTTGGCTGCGCTGGTCCAGAATGCAATAGTCTTTTTTTTTTTTTTTTTTTTTCACAACACACAGACAAGGGTAGGACTGATTCGAGGACGATACATACATAGTACAAGTTTTACTTGGGTAGGTACTAAGTATCTGGTCAACGTCTGGGTTGAGATTCACGTGTCATGCTCGTGGGAATGGGTACCTACATATGTTAGGTAGGTAGGTAGACTTACAGCAGAGGGACTCCGTACTTGTGGGTTGATGAAGGTACTGTTAGTGGAGGGATGCTGTATGCAGGTGTTAAATACTTCAAAGAGACTTGCTCGACTCCAAGATGTCAATCATGCCCAGAACGGTAAACAAGTCACGGTAATGAGGGGGAGAGCAGCCAAAGTCTGGGCATGCAGAGAAATCAAACAATTCAGCCTCTTCAAGTCTCATTTTGCTCAACATGACCAGGAACAGCGTGGGTGGAAGCAAGATTGACTTATCTGAAGTTCATTGTGCTTCTGGATACCCATTCCGGGAAAAAAGAAATGTTGTTGTCGGTCTCTCCACCTCTTATGGTGTCTGTTTTCTGACCTGGTTACTATAATTAATACCCGGAGTGGGAATTCCCTCTCCAGTCTCCACGAATACAATAACCCCCCTCTTGGCAGAGGTTACTCTGTACATATATACCCTCCTTGCGTCCGCTTCCGGATCCAATCGTGTTTCCAGAAGAACAGGAACGGAACAGCCAGCCCCCTTTCTTCCTCTCGCATCCCTTGTTTAATAACATTACAAGTCTCTTGGTGAGGATTATTGTCTGGGCAGGAGGTCGATGGTGCACTGCCCCTGTGAATCGAACTGGGTACGTGACTCGTTCAGGAGTCAATCGAGAATCAGTTAGTTGGTTGCTCTTCTATAGTACGGATAATAATAACGAATATGATCTACATCGGTAGCTAGTAACGATGATTAAAAGTCACCCCAGTTGTAAGATAACTATTGAACCATGCTGATCCTACGTCCTCTGTATATTTCAATTTATCTGCTTGGAGAGAGATAGAATACTTTTCTCATACGCACTATACATCCCTCTACCCATTACCAAGTATAGAGAATCCATTTCGAAGACCCCTCTATCTCTATGATTCAAGACCTGATGAACGACAGAAGATAGGCCTCGCGTTCAAGGCATCATACGAGAGTGAGTGAGTGCCTATTATATTAAACTACCTAGGTAGTTATCATTTTGGTTGTTGATATCAGTTTACACGATTTTCCAGAGAGTGTCAAAAAGCTTGGCTTCGTCAATCTGGATAATAATCTCGCAAATCTCATTTGGAATAAAGAGAAACTGAAACGGTGAGTGTCTGGGTTATATTATCATAGCATATCCTGAAGCTTACACTTACACTTGTTGTCATTCTAGCTATATTGTTGATTATTGGGAGGCATGGACTGGCAGAGTTTATCAATGGACTGACGATGAATATTACCTATTGGGGGGGGGGGTCTACGAAGTCGATTTGACAATGAATAGGTTTGCTTAACCTGAATGCTATTTATTACCCGAGACGGCTGGTATAGGCGGAGTCTCGTTCATTGTATGTCGAAGGATACATCATCATGGTTATCGTATGTTGGGGCCTGTAAAACTACCAACGCTCGGTGGGGATTTCGAGCAATCCTTATCCTTATATACAGTAAGCGTAGCGTACGACGGTTGAATGATTAAAATTTAATTTTCATGCCCACCGAGCATGGAACAAGTAGACCAGGCATGCGCCGTTCAATGGCAAACTTGGCCCTCCACCCAGTGCAGTGTCCAGGGAGAAGAACGGCAGGATCCAGATCAATAAGATCCTTGATAGTGCGTTCTGTCTGGACTGAGTCACTGGTGGCAAGATGAAAGCCTCCAATAACTGCATGCAGAGGAACAGATTTACCTGCAAGCTTGATTGCATGTTTGGTACAGTTGACCACCCCAGCATGGCTGCAGCCAGTGAACATGACAGCTCCTTTGTCTGAGACTGATGAATTAGTGGAATGCATATGATAGCCTTGGGGCTTTGGCACCAGAGATTGAAATAGGAACTACCTTTAACCTTGCACATGATGAATCGCTCGTCAGCAATGATCTCATCCGAGACCCAGTCGTTCTCACGCTTATCGAACCGCATCCCACCCTTGACGCCGGTCTCGTACGGTGTTTGGCGAGGGATCTCACCAGATATGAGAAAGAAATCATCCAGGACTGTGTGGGTATCACTATGCTTCTGAACTGTAGCACCGGCTGCCTCGATCTCTGCAAAAGAAGGATCTGCCTGAAGGGATATGATATTCTCCATCATGGCAAAGCCTCGATAGTCGGGACGATCTGGATGGAGATCTACTATGAGATCTTTGGCGAGACCTTTTGCCTCCTTAGCATCGTTGATCATCTTAATGGCCCGGGGAATTCCTCCTGCAGTGCTTTAGTCTTTGGCCGGTGGTTTGCGGCGCGGGAGCAAGCAGACCTGAATGATCCCGATGCCAGTGGGACAGATGAATCAACTCTACAGAAGAAAGATCGGGTCGCAGGCGTCGAGCATTTCTCTCCCATGCATCCTCCTCGGGCCCTGCGTCGAACAGGACCGAGTGCTTCTTATCGCCTTTGGTCGCAGTCTAGAACGGTTAGCAAAGCCAAGGGACCTTGCGGGGACCAATCAATGGAGGTGTCGCTCATCCATACTATAAGAATCGATAGGCCATGGGCTGAACAGCAGATATCCTCCATCTGAAGCTCTTTATGGGCTTCCCCTCGGTCCTGTAGATGATGGGGTGAGGACATGGCCAGATGGCCCATCAGGCCAGAGACCTGGACGGTGTCAGGAGCAATTGTCGACATGGGATCCAGCTCATTGTCGATGATAACAACGGCTTCTAGCGAGTCCACTTCGACTAGGTTCAGGTCCGCCATGGTGGTGGGTGTATCTCAGAAATGGCCTGGATGGTTGAAGAAGGAATAAGTTGAGGAGGGGCAAGACTTTGGGGCTGAGGTTCACATAATCATTCAGGATCTGGGAATATATATATATACTATGTAATGTAATATAAACCTCGGAACTCCAGACCAGGAGAACGTAAGGAGACGACGCACTCCTTTATATTTGTTGAACCTACAGTAAACATCAAACAGTTCTTCTATCTTTTCTTCGTCTACTTGAATTAGCAGGGAATCGTCGATCCCCCAGGAACCATAGAAGTGAGATCTTGTCCTTCCTTGTCTTCATCTTCATCTTCCTAACATCTTCCCTTTAGCCTCGTCTTTTCTCTCTTTTTTCAATCGCTTCATCTCTTTAGTTGATCGGAATCTAATCTTCTTCTGGTCAATATGCGCCTTCTCGTCCTCCTTTCTCTGTTTCTCCTCACCACCCCCCTCACATCTGCCAAGTTTAGTCCCATCTGCATCAAAGTCGTCACAGCGCTGGCCAGCCGACCGAACGATTTATTCGAGACATTTCAGCGCGAAATCTGTGACAAAGGATGCCAGCCAACGGTGCCTCACTGGGATCTCTGGACTCGTAATAACACCTTTGTCCCGGCTGTGCGCAGTGTGATGCGACACTTGAATGCTCCAAAGCAGGAGGAGGCTATGGTGAAACTCGGGGATGAAGTGGCGGACATCATCAAGCGCCGTTGCGGACCCAAACTCCAGGGACGCGATATCTGCGCAGACTCGGACATCCTGGCTGCCTTTGGGAACTGCTTCAAGACGAACTTTGTGAGGGCTGCCATGAGCAACTTACCAGCCTTGCTCCCGATGGCTTCTGAGCCAGTGTGCCGCAAACAATATGAATATCTCCAATCGGACGACCTGTGGGACGAAATCATCCCGAATAATATGCGAGAGTATGCGAGAGTGTGTAAGGAGTTGCGATGGGAGCCAGTGATGGGGGGGATGAATCTGAATACGTTCTCAGGCGCCTTCTTTCCTTGATGACGAGTGTACAAACAATATATATCGTGAGAGTATCTGGTAAATCAATCAAGTAAGAGAGATATTTATTACCGTACTTGATTAATTCAATGCCGTTTCTTATGAATTCGTCAGATCTTTCTGCCTGAGGTGTCCAACAGCTGCTTCCACAAATCTTCGTCTCACCTCATCGCGAATCAATCATAAAGATATCCCATCCCACCCAAAACAATCTCCAGTGCTTGTCTTTATCGAGCATCATGAGACCCTGTTCTAGCTGAACCGGATCCTCCCTTCTTATGCCGTTTTCCACCGTCGTCCGCGCCCTGCGGCCAAGCTCATCTTTCACGAGCTCCGTCAGCTCTCCTCGTGCTCGACTTCATCCTCACCTGCGCCCGCACGTCTCTCCCTATCCTCGTCTATCATTTGCTCGGTCGCCTTGTAGATACGTGCACTCTAGCGAATTCCAACCTTTTGTGCCTCCCTCTCCTAGCTCCTTAGGCAAACCAAAGCCCGCAAAGACCTACACGCGAACCCGCAGATGGCTCCGTCGCCTCTTCTATCTATCGCTCGTGACTGGTGTCGCGTACACCGTCGACACCCAATTCAACGCTGCCTCCCTAACCCGCACGGCTCGGACATTTACGCTGGGATTACTTGTCGCAGTGGACTATAAGGTCAACTTTCGCCCCAACCCGCCACTTGCCAGCTCCATTGCCGCCGTCCATGCTCGCAACGCGGAACGACTCTCAAACCTCCTCCGACAAAATGGTGGTCTCTACCTGAAGATCGGCCAGGCGATTGCCATGCAATCGGCTATCCTGCCGCCGGAATTCCAGAAGATGTTCGCCCGCATGTTCGACGACGCACCCCAGAACGACTGGAAGGATGTGCAAAAGGTTATCCAAGAGGATTTCGGCAAATCTGCAGAGGAAGTCTTTGGTGTGTCGTTTGCAGGCGATCCTACCAAGGGAGTGATGGAACGTACCGCCAGAGCGAGTGCCAGTGTGGCCCAGGTTCATTGGGCTCGTCTCCCTGATGGGAGAGAAGTCGCGATCAAGGTCCAGAAACAAGAGATTGCCCAGCAACTGAAGTGGGATCTCTGGGCATTCAAGTATGTCCGCCTATCACTCACTGCCCCAGTATACGTTGTATTGATACTAATTCGCGATATGAAGAGTCGTGGCCTGGATCTACAGCAAAACATTCGACATCCCATTCTACAGCCTTGTCCCCTACGTGAGCGAGCGCCTTTCCCTCGAAACCGACTTCGTAAATGAGGCAGACAACTCCGAGATGATGGCCAAATTCGTCGCCGGAGAACCCCGACTCCGAGACCGTGTGTACATTCCTAAAGTCTACCGGGAGCTCAGCTCGAAGCGCGTGATGACAGCCGAATGGATAGAAGGCGTACGACTCTGGGACAAAGACTCTATCACACGTCCCTGGCGCGGAGGCTGGCGCGAAGGCAGCCCCGGCTGCCACGGGACCCCGCTGGATCCCCCGCAAGCCAAACCAAAACCAAAACCCGCCCCGCGAACCTCGACCTACAAGATCAAGCCCGAGCGAGATCATTGGCGCGGCTGGAACGGCCGCGGTGGCCTAGGCCTCTCCCTTAAGGATGTCATGTCCACCATGGTCGACCTGTTCTCCGCCCAGATGTTCCTCTGGGGCTGGGTCCACTGCGACCCGCACCCAGGCAACATCTTCATCCGCCGCAAGCCCTCGGGCCAGTCCGAGCTAGTGCTAATCGACCACGGCCTGTATATCCACATGGAGCCGGACTTCCGCCACCAGTACGCGCGCTTCTGGAAAGCCCTACTCACCTTTGACAACCAGACGATCTCGGACATCGTCAAGACCTGGGGCGTCACAAACCCGGATATCTTCGCCTCGGCCACGCTCATGAGACCCTACCGCGGCGGTAACCTCTCCACCCAGCAGCACCTCGAAGGGTTGAGTAAATCCGAGCGCGCCCAGCGGCACTACGAAATGCAGCAGGCTGCCCGTAAAGCCATCCGCGAGGTCCTGGGAGATGAAACCAAGTGGCCGCGCCAGCTGATCTTCATCGGCCGCAACCTGCGCATTGTCCAGGGGAACAACCAGTTCCTGGGCTCTCCTGTGAACCGGGTCAAGATTACGGGGCTGTGGGCGTCGCGGGCGCTGGCGGAGTCGCCGGACCTCCCGCTGAGCGAGAAGATCAGGAACTTCGGGCGCCATCTGTTGTTCCGAATGGTGCTGTTCTCGAGCGATGTCTTTTTCTACTTTACCAAGGTGCGGCAATTCCTGCATCTCGGTGGTGGAATGGAAGACGACATCGAGGCGCAGATGCAGATCATGGCGAAGGATATGGGCGTAGAGCTCAACCATAGCGTGTTCGAGGGCTGATATATAAAACCATTCTTGGTTTGGCAGACCGGTGATTATACACTATACTCCTATGTACATTTACTTATTAACGAAAAAAAAATAAATAAAAATAAGAAACACTCCTGTCATGATTTATCGGCGCACAAAGCGGTTAAGAGGGAACTGGGTATCTAGCGAGCATCTCAAGCAAATCACATCACGGTAGGCATAATTTTCGTTTCTCATAGCCCATGATTGCAATTCGAAGAAAAAAAACTGAGAGGAAGAGAAACAAGAAAGTAACCAAGAGTAAATAAACCAAAAGGGATAAAAAACATCAACAGATAACTAGTTAACTAGTTAAATGCGCTTGCTGACTGAGTATGTATTTTGAACCACCAAAAATGGAAAAAAAAAAAAAAAAAAAAAAAAAAAAAAAGAAGACACACCCCGCATGCAAATCTCAGAGGGTATCATATCGTATTGTATATATCGAATTAGGGCACAGCACTGGTCTCTCACTACTCGGCGTTCATGGGTGGTCCCATTCGGAGAACCCGAGAGGGCGCCATTCCTGACCAGGGTAAGAGGTACTCGACATTATGATTTCCTCGCTTGAATCATTGTCTGCCGTGACAGGAAGCTCAACTGGGGTTTCGAAGGTGTTGATTGCCCGGGCCCCGCTGCGGTGCGGATGTTCTAGGGGTGGGGGCGGATTCTTATTTTGACCAGTTTCGTGACTTTCGTTGAGCTGTAGAGTTGGGACAGCGGGATGACCGGAAGGAGAAGGAGCTCGCTTCTCATCCTGCAGGTACTGATGCGGATCCGACTGCCCATGTTCCTGTGCGTCTTCTTGGTAGCTGGGTAATCGGGTGCAATTGAGGACGCCTGCCGTCGTTTCCTGCCGCCAGGTGGCTGATGAATCCTTGGGAGTGTCCTCGGATTCACCGGGAATCGTGATCTTCCAAGGAAGTTCTTGGTCGCCCACGCGGCTTGTGCGTGGATTCGTCCTGAAGGTTCCTAGATTGAAGGCCGGATCTGAGGGGTCGTTGTTGGGGAGGTCTCTTTCCTCAGGCCGCGGAGCAAACGTCTTCGGACTGCGGGAACGGAGATGGAGGTCTTGAGCGTAGGTGCGCTCTTGAGAACGGCCGCGGGATGGCGGTGTGCGGGGGACTGGGGAGGGGAGCGGGGAACTAAGTCTAGGCGATGAGAGGTGATACTGCTGCTGCGGGCTAGACGATAGAGGATGGTATCGTGGAGATTGAGGCGAGAGTCGCGCGTGGTCGGTAGGCGAAGTGTAGCTTAATCTTGTTCGGTTTTGGTTGACAGCGCTAGGTACATGCTCGTGCGCTTGAGCGAGAGAAAACGATTCGGGCGACTCGCGCGCAAAGTATCCATCAACGGGTGGGCGCTGGCCTTGGAAGTTATTGCGACTGCCGGTAATGGAAACAGGCGGTTCCTGATTGTCAAAGGAGGACACAGAAGAGCGAGTGATCCTCCTCGACGTTGGCTGTGACAAGACTGGTGCGAGATATTGTTGTGTCTTTCTAATGTCTTGTGGGAAAGACCCAGGCCGTCCCAATGATTGTGTCTGTTTGTGCTGGCTGCGACCAAAAAGTCCCTGGTAAGGTAAGTTAACAGCCGAATCCAGACCAGACGGTAATCAGAAAGGGAGGAACAAGGAGAAACTTACAGTCAATCTATTGAAGGGTTTCTTCGAGGATTGTCCAGCCTTGGGATCGGGCTGATTTGACCCCATTGAAATGCCGCGAAATCGACTCATGCTCTTCAATTTCTCCATGCGCGAGGAGGAATGTCTATGGGATGCGGGGTCCCGCGACGACGAGGAAATCTGTTCTGGCGGGCGCGACCAGTCATACTGTATGGTGAGAGTTGATTGGGGCCTGGTCGACGAAGGCGGTTGACCAGGTGAATAGGCAGATCCGTTCAGTCGGTTCTGTTCAGCCCCATGACCTGCTGAAGCGCCCGGAGAGAGCCTTTCAGAATAATCGCTGTGGCTTGTCCTGGCGCCCAAGGTCCCGCCAGGATTACGCGGCTGGACGTCACCTATGTCGGATGGGAGAGAAACCAGAGAATAATTATCCTGGGCTGATGGCAGAAAATTAGCCACGACATCAATTGTTTGCAGGAATGGGCGGATGGACTCACCAAGCTTCTGCGAAAGGGATGGCGGTGGGCCTAGATCGGCTTCCTGAGCACCCAATGATGACACTGACGGCAGCTGGCCAAGGGTAAGATGACCGTGGGAGCCGCCTCGTCGATGGTCGAATGCTGTTGTTGTTGAGGTTGTTGTTGTTGCTACAGGGGGCGGACTACACCTGCGACTGCGAGTTGACAAGTCTTGGATAATCTGGGACTGTGATTGAGGGCTTGTAGTAGAAAGTGAAAGATGATCCGGACGGTTCCCACGGGGAGCAGAGGCTGCATTATTATTATTGGCCTGTAAAATAGCGTCGTCCTTTTCATTGTCTTGAAAACTGTCGCAGTTCCTCGACGATGATGCCTCTTGGAGTGGCTTAGCGCCCGACTGCTCCACCTCTTTGCAGTCAGCACGATTATTATTACTGGGTGGGCGAGAAGGTTGAATATGCTCCCCTGACCCCTGGATGGAGTCGCTGGGGCCTGCTGGGCAATGCTGCTGCTGGTCGTCTTCCCGGGGAGCATACGCGCCCACCAGCGCTACGTCGTCACGACGCTCAAAGCTTTGTCTCTGAGCCATTTGGTTGCTTGCATTGGGGTCGGAGTATGCGGCTGGACGTCGTACAAAGGCTTCCTCTCCGGCAGTGGGCGCCAATCGATCATCATTCCAACTTACTGTCCATGGTTTACTCGTAGGGGCGGAATAAAGGTCCTCAGAGTCGGCTTTTATGGTCGGTAGGCCCCCCAAAGGCGCAGCAGCACTTTCCTGGTGGCCATCTAAGTCTATGTCAGACTCAGCGTCAGGCTGAAGGTCTGAAAGGCGCACAGGTCTGTGGTACCCACGCATCGATTGAAACCCCTATATCATCACCATTGGGACATTAGAGGCGACAGAAGCGAGAAGAGACATGGAGAGCGGAGGAAAGGAGAAAGGCGAAGGCAAGCGCAGAGGGAAGGGAAGGCAGGAACAGGAACAAACAGGATGAAATAAAGGGCTGATGGAAGGAGAGAGAAGATCTGCAAGCATCCAATCCTGTCACATTTTGAAATGCTTATTGACATATTTTCAATTACAGCATGCCCTGGTATCAATCAAATAATAGCTGTGTAGGCAAAATAAAACAGGTAGAGTGATGGACCGTAATTTAGGTATACATAACCACACGCTTCCACCTATTGAAACAATGGAAAACAGAAGAAAACCAAGAGAAGGCATGCATGAGAGTGGAAAAGAAGAAAAGAGCAAAAGAGAGAGAGAGAGAGAGACATCCTTTGAAATGAAATTAAGAATCTACCTTTTCAGATCCTCCACTACCCTTCAATTTACTTCGGCCCTTAGAAAAGAGACCCTTGGCAGCCTTTCCGGCTTGACCCCCTAACATTCCAGCCGTATGTAGAAATTCCTTTCCTACCTCTTTCCCCTTTATAGATCCAAGAGTCGCAGACGGCCGCCTTATATGACCCGATGTTGACATAGATCCTTCTTGATGCGAAGAGGTGAAAGTTCCCAGGGAGGATAACTTAGGGAATTTCGCGCGGGCCATACTCGGCTTGGGGTCACCAACAGGGAGTTTGGAGCTGCGCGCAACAACGTCTGCATGTTCTGGATGGGCGCGAATGGTCACCTGAATCCAGTGACTCAAGCCGGTATCGATAGTCGCAAACTGGTCTCGGGTGCGGTTAAAGGCTTTGACCCGCTCCTCCGAGGACTGTATACCAAGGATATCCTTGAAGCCCAGCAAACCTGCTCCAATTGATGCTGACGGGGTTGAAGTAGGCGGTTCCGAAGGTTGCTGGTCGGAGATTAATTGCTGACCCTCTTCTGCACGCGACACATCCTCGGCAGTTTGTGGCTCAATAACCTCCGGGGCATGGCTGCCTGAAGCGATACTGGCACTGTCTGTGGTGAATGGAGGTACAATAGTGAGAATTGGCTTTTCAAGGCCAGGATCGCTAGTACTGTCCTTGGACTCTGTTGTATCAAGGGACTGTCGAGTGGCCATGGGCACTGGTTCATGATGGATGCTTTCTTGGGAAAGCGGAAATTGACCTGGCATAGCCGCTGGTGGAAGAGACGGAGCTTGAGCTACAGGGGTATTACCCTCATCTGAAGATGAGGCTTCCCATGAAAAGCGTCTTTGCAATTTGGGCGGAGCCTTCTGTTGTGGAACTAAAGCAGCAGGCTCGGTCGGAAGAACCTCGGACGCTGTCTGGGGAGGATTGAATGCAGGGGCAGGAACTTCCTGAGGGGGGGTGGTCGGTTGCTGTTCGCTCCAATATGTTTCATATTCGCTGGGGATGAGGCTGTCCTGTCTGGCTGTTTGGGGTGGGGTATCCTGCTCTTGTTGATCGGAAGGGGTGTTTTCTCGGCTCAAAGAGCGGATAATCTCTTTCCTCAACCGGTCATTTTCTGTATCCTGGGGTGAATTATCCGTGCTCATCGACGGAATAATCGCTGGGATATGGTCATCAGATGTTATTACGGGGGAATCCGTTATCACATTTATTTGAACGTTAAGGGGAGCGGGTAGATCTTGCTGCGAGATGGCTGGAGGAGGTTGGATAAGCTCCGCGTGGGAAGATTGTTGCAGAAACAATTCTGGGATATCCTGGGGAGGGTCGGAAGGGGTCCTTGTAGAAATCTGCGCCAGCATCGAGGAAGGACTCGCGTCCGGGTTGGTAATTACCGGTGTTCTAGAGGGACTATTGCCAGGGCTTGGAAGGCTTAAATCCCGGCGATGACCAGGTTTAAACGCAATGTTGTCCTCAGATGGCGCGTGCGGGTTCTCATTGGATTCTTCTTCAATCGTAGGTGTCTTGTCCTCGTTCGTTGCTCGACGAGTGATAATGGGGCTGATCCCGGCAGTGCTATCGCTGTTTGAGCGGACCACACTCTCTGCAACAGTACTCGGAGTCTCGGGGACGTCAAAAGCTTGATTCACCGCTGATCGAAAGCCGAGGGAAGGGTTATGCTGTAGCTGAGTGGACTGAGCTTCAGGTTCCGGGTCTTTTTGGAATGTGGACTCAGATTGTGTAAAGAGTTGAGGACTGAACCCGGATAGCCGCTTTACATCAGGTAATGAAATCGTTGAAATCTCATTTGCTGGGGGTATAGCAACATTTGGACTGTCCAGAGCCTCGAATTTCCCTTCTGGGGTAGACTCCACCGCAGCTTGCTGGATCTCAGCAGAGGCGCTGATGGCAGGGGGCGGGTTTACGGAGGGAGCAACGGCTGGCGCAATGTCATTGGAAGAAGATTTACCTGGAGCATGTTGTTGGCCCCTCTGTTCCTCTCGCATCCGTCTGTATAGGTCGGCTGGGCGTACGATTGAAGCTGGGGAGCTGGCAGAGGCCGCCGGACCTTCCGGTGGTGCGGTCAACGCCTGATCTGCCCCACGCGAACGATCTGTACTGGGGGCCGCAGATTGAGATGGGTCGTTGGAGATGGTACTTGCAGTGTCTGCAGTACCTTGGTTCACAGTCGCTGGATGTGTTTGAGAGGCAGCTGGCGGGGTTTGATCGTCATCATATTCATATTCCCCGTACTCGTCCTCGCCCCAATCATCCCCATCATACGAGTACTTCTTCGCCTCAACCCAACGCTTCGTTTTTGAACGATTCACATTTGTTCTGAAGGAGACAGGGGTATCACTGTTTGGATTGGGAGATAATGTATTGTTGGAATTGGACGAGTTAAAGGACCTTGAGAAAAAGGGAAAAAAAAAAGGTCAGTGAGATGCCTCACATTGTCAGCGCTGGCAGTGCAGCAACTTACGGGTTCTGATACGGGCGCGACATAGCTATGGCTGACTGGATTTCTCCAGCCTAGCAGTAGTGTCAACAATCAAGTCGGTGTAGAAACCCCTATCAAGGCGCCCTAGTGCTAAGTCTAGATTGCGAAGTGGACGTTGATGGCTCTTGCGACGGTCACCAAGATACAAAGCGGAGAGAGTAAGGCAACAGGTTAGGATGACGTGCGGGAGGAAGGGCGGAATGGAGGTTGTCCCACTATAGTAGCCGCAAGATGACGTGTAAAAAAAAAAAAAAGGGAGAATTCTCCTCCTTATGATTCGGTAGTTTTTCCAAGGAAATTGAGAAGAAAAAAGACCAGGGCTGGAATTCATTGATTATTCTTATTATAGAACATGGTGGTGGTTTCGTTCTCCTGAATTATCGCTGCCTCGGTGCCTCGGGCATACATGGGGTGTGGCTGGTGTTGGGGAAGATGTGGCTGTGCACCATTCTCACGTGCCGGGGCGGTGATGGCACTTAACCCGTTTCGGCAGAGGGCGAATCCCGTGATCATCAGTCCGATTGGGAAGGACGTGTGCGGCGACTTGAAACAACTTGGCTGGCCTCATCTTTCCTGATACTCATCACTCTTGCTCGAGTTAGAGAACTATGGCACGGATGTCTCATTTCTAAAAGCTATCTCTGTATTACTTCCCATGACCTTTTTTTAATCGCCTCCGAATCTTCCGTTCCCTGGTGCTCCAACCCATCTTCTATTTGCTGCCTCCTTATCGATTAGGTCCCTTTTGTCGCATTACGCTCCTTTCACATTTGCGGAGACCGATTATTGATACTGCTCGATATCCCCAGATTCTATTTTTTTTTTTCCGCTGCGGCCCTGCAACCTGTGATATGGCCGGACCGTCGATTCAGGACCGCACGGTCGAGTTCCGCGCCATCTTAGGACAGGCCCAGAAACGTATCTCATCTTCGAAGGTTGGCTCGCAGCGACAGGCGCTGTTGTCGGACTCGCAGCGACGACAGGCAAATGGTGCTGCAGATGGAAGTGCACAAGGTGGCAAGGGATCTAGATCGGAATTCGCCCGACGCGCAGCTGATATTGGACGCGGTATTACGGCGACGACGGCGAAGCTACGAAGGCTCGCAGAACGTGAGTATCACAGATGAGTTTGGCTTTGGCAGGACCTGATTTTATCATAGTGGCGAAACGCAAGACTCTGTTCGATGACAAGCCGGTCGAGATCTCCGAGTTGACATATGTCATCAAACAGGACCTTGCGTCTCTAAATCAGCAGATTGCCTCACTACAGGCACTCACACTTTCACAGCACCCCAAGTCTGGACGTCCGAGAGCGGACCAAGAGGGAGAGCACAATGATAATGTATGTCAATTGCCACTCAAGGATTCATAGCTGGAAAGGGGGACACTGACGAATACCTGTTCTCTAGGTCGTGGTTCTGCTACAGGGAAAGTTGGCGGATGTAGGTGCCAACTTTAAGGAGGTTCTCGAAGTCCGCACCAAGAACATCCAAGCGTCGCGTTCTCGGACGGAGAACTTCGTATCATCTGTTTCGTCCAAATCACAAACCGCCCTAGACCCCCAACGATCGGACTCTCCCCTTTATCCCTCTGGCCGAAGGACACCGCAACCAGGCAGCTCTTCCGATTTATTGACCTTGGAACCCTCGAACCCGTCACCCCTCGGCCGCTCACCAATGCATTCCGACCAACAACTCTTGATTATGGAGGAAGCCCAGTCGAGTAACTCGTACATCCAAGCACGAGGCGAAGCGATTGATGCAATTGAAAGGACTATCAGTGAACTGGGAGGCATTTTCGGCCAACTGGCGCAAATGGTCAGCGAACAGTCTGAGATGATCCAAAGGATAGACGCCAATACGGAAGATGTGGTGGATAATGTGCAAGGAGCACAGCGTGAATTAATGAAGTACTGGACACGGGTGTCAGGAAACCGGTGGCTAATTGCCAAGATGTTTGGAGTATTAATGGTATGCTCACTCTCGGTTTTTTTTTTTATATGATTGTACCCGTTACTAACCTAGCCATAGATCTTTTTCCTTCTCTGGGTGTTGATATCAGGATAGATACGCCCGTCTACTCTTTTTTTTTTTTTTTTTTTTAATAATGTATTACTATTGGGTTGCTCTTCGTCTTTGCGCCCCAACGAATGACGCATATCCGTTGTAGTATTGGCTCTTTTTCTTTCTCTTCATTACGCCTAGATCTTTTCTACGAGGATCCTACGTTGCTCCAGCTACCATGTCTTTTTTTTTTTTTTTTTTTTTCTTTCTCTAAGAGCGCATTTGGACTTTTCCTTCGAGTAAATATGTCAATTCTTCATTGATAGATCAACGCTGATACAGCGGTGCACACTATGGCTTGCTATTTCCTTTTTCCTTTTTTTTTACATACCTTGCATAGCTCCTATATTTCAAATTCACTAATCTGACTTTATATACTTTTTGCTATATATTTTATCCATTCTTTGATAGGAAGTATCCTTGGCTGTTGGCTTTCGGCCTTTTTTCTTCTTCTTCACACCGTCTATTTACTTGTGGGATGAGATGGGTTTTATACAGGGTTAGAAAACCTCGAGGTCCCGGATTACGACTTGCCTAGATACGTAATAGGTAGGTAACGTAACATGTAGCAAAGTAGGAGGAGGAGGAGGAGGAGGAGGAGGAGGAGGAGGAGGGAAATCGGTAGAGTTGTTTGTTCCCTTGACTACCCAGGCTATGAATGGTGGTCGTCTATTGCGTGAAAGTCATCCTCGACGAGTTGCTGTTGAAATTGATCCAACAGGTCATCCCACTGTGTCCAGTCGATAGGCCCCGTTGTGCTTCGCTCTTCAGAGCTAGCGGCCCAGGCTTTCAGGATCAAGGTGGGACTGCGTCGTCGCCTGCGGCCGAGGCTCTCGTAGTACCGAGGTACAGCTGGTGAGTCGATCGAGTTGATCCGAGCTGTGTCGCGCTGTCTGGAAAGAGTGCCTCTTCGCGTCTCTTCTGAGCGTTGCCTTTTGCGGCACGGTAAACACACTTGGTACCATGGTGTGAACAGGAAGAACAGGGATCTTTGCGATCGCATTTCACTTTTTGTTTCTGGCAGACGAGACCAGATGGATGGTGTTTTGGGGGTTCCTTTTGGAATTGATGGCGCGTGTCCGGCGCCGCCATCACGTTCGCTCCGGTCCGCCATAAAACGATGGCAGGTATATGTCGGATTGAATGAACGCAATTCATTGAGTAGTATAAGACCATTATGAAAGCTGTGGACGGGAGGTGGTCAGATTAACCTGGGCAGAAGGAAGGAAGGAAGGTTGACATTGAGTTGAAGTGTAGTTGAAAAAGGCTCAATCAACCCCGCCAACTAGTTAACTAGAGGGAAATGAAGGATTTGCCAGCACAGTAGAGGCAGGCAAGTACATAAAATGATGGAACAACATTCATTCAGTCATTATGATAATAAGGGTATAATCAAAGGACAAGACTAAAACATTCGCGTCGGGAGAAAGTGCTTCGAATCGTCCTCCTGTTGGCTGAAAGACTGAGGAAATGCTGCGAGGGCTGCGACAATTGCAATGGCAATAAAGAGCAATGAGATCAAGGACCAGAGAATCCCCCAGCAGCGAGACGAGCCTCCGTATCTCTTTGCAAAAACGCTGGCATCGGAGGAATTGACTTTGCGCAGAATCAAGTCGTCGCACTGTTCGTTTATTAGCGAGGCAAGACACATCTGGTATGAGCTGCTGCACTTACAATATCCCAGACACTGTACAGAGCAGACATAACGCCGATGAAAAGCTAATAGTTTACGATTAGCGTCTTGCAAAGAAAAGGGTTCCTGATGAGGATCTCACTCACTACAACCCATTTCAGAGCTTCTCCATGCGCGATGAACCAGCATGCCACCAGCAATCCCACGGCAAGAAGAACCGTCAGAATCGTCAACCAATCCCGCCGGGCCCACCAGAGAGTGAGCAAAAAGCAGACTCCCAGAATGATGCTGGCGACTTTGCTGGCGATAATATTAAAGCCGGCAAAAATCAAGAGGGCTCCGATGATGGAGGAGCCGAGATAGCCAGCCGGGAGCGTGATGGCTGTGATGCCGCCTTGCATATGTGTCACTCCACCCTCATGGGGATCCAGCGATATAGATTTGACTCGGCCTCCTGTGCAGCATGCGGTGATGGCGTGGCCAAATTCATGGAAAGCAATAACTAACATCTACCTCAGGATTGTTTAGGGCCGGCGATTCTCATATCCCAAAGAGCCGTGAACATACCTTGAACGGCCAGAGGGACCAGCGCACGTAGGGCAGATTCCATAAAAGTGCGATCACGACAACATAGGCCGCCATCACCCCGAGAGTCACAGCTTGGGTGTGATTGACCGTAAGATCGCGCCTGAGTAGATGAGGCTCTGCAGCCTCGACAGCGTAATAGGGGGCCATGGGGTATGTATTCGTTTCCGTCGTCGCTGCGAGAACGTTGAAGATGGAAATCCAAGTCCCAGGCGTATCGCATTTTAATCCCATCAGGAGATTTTTGGGGCCTACGCGTTCTACATTCTTTCCTCAAATGGTTAATTCAGAATGTGGCTGGGAAATAGGCTATTTTTAGCGCTGGATATGTGGCTGGGGCTGTGTTGTCCCGCTGGAACTAATCCAATCATCCCTAAGGCTGACGATATACTGTGATTGAATAGAGTAATAAAAGCAAGTCAAGCTACAGAGTAGAGAAGTTGGATGTGCTAGTTATGCAGACATGACGAGAGTAGCTCAACCCTCGAAACGAGCCCTAATGACATCGACTTCAAGAAGCTGATACGACCCAACTCCACCAAAGTCAACAACAAATCTACCAAGTCTTACCGTTCTCACGCAGCGGTGCTACCTGTTTCGTCTCATGCTGTAGGATGGGAGAAGCATATTTCTTGTCACTTGGCATGACGAAGGTACCGCTGCCGAGATCGAATTGTTTCAAAGGTAACCTTAGGGCTAAAATAGTTGATGCTATACGGAGTACGGTGATGACGCGTTAAGAGAGGAGAAGCAGAGCCTGATGTGATGCCAACCAATCCTGCCAGGATATCTGATATCGGGAAGATTCGGTATAGAGAAGATGCAAGGTCTGGATCTATTCACCTGGATTCCACCTTGACTCCGTACTTCTCCGAATCTGAGCCCAGTCGTACCTATAGGTGAGTGTGACCTAAGCTCGCACGGTAGTATAGTTCAAGCATCTCCAATAACCGGGAGCCTAAAGACTAGAAGATTGACTCGAGTCATCATGGATGTGTTTCTATTACGGCCCAAGACCACGCCAACTCGCATTGGATTTCATCCCGGACCAGTCAGTATCTTTGCTCCTTGATCTAGACTCTGCGGGACATGGCCGGGAACAGGTGGAGATCTCCAAATCAAGGACTCTGTACACATTGGCGAAGTGACCAGTGGATTCTTCGAGCTGGTAATCATCTTGGCGCATACCGCGAACGGGAGGCGGTGCAGTGAGCGTCGGTGAGAAATCACCCAAAATTGAAGCCATCGGAAGAAGTTACGCATCCTGAGATGACATTTTGGCCTGTTTCTCAGCGTCTTACATGTTGAAAGGCTCTCCGCTGTCATCCTGTTTTTCGGACTACGAGAATGCGGTCTAGGGGGTGCTTCTCTCTACCTTGGCATATGTATCCACCGATCGACCTCAAGTTAATGGCTGGGATAGTCACTCCGGTTGTGATCACGATTGGCTGCGGATTCTCGAGCCTACAGTTCTTCCCCTCAAGACCGGCCAAGATTCATGCCCAGAAGCTTCCCCAAGGCCGGGCCTATCTAGCCATGGTATCTGGTCGGGTCAGCCGCATACAGACATGCAGTGCTCTCCTCTCTCGACACATCCATTTGAAACACGGCGGTGTAACACCACCACGCGATATGGGTGGTTATACTCCGAACAACCTGACGGCTTCAGGAATCGATTCTTGGCATATGGGCTATTGATTTTCTATCGTTAGGCTATGACGGGGGTTATAGCCGGGGCGGATTCCGAGCGAGAGCATACCTAAGTTATAAACCAGAGCGACACCGCTGCCCTAATCTGTTCCTAAGCTGATTTCCCTCGTGCCTGGTAATTCGAATCTATCCCGGTGAAACTAGACCTACCCTAAGCCCAAGAGGTTTCCCTTGCGATTGATAGAGAGAGAGAGAGAGAGAGAGAGAAAGAGAGAGAGTGTGTGTGTGTATGTGTATGTGTGTGTTCTCTTCCCTTTCCACGAGATACAATGCAACGCCCCGAGGCACCCTCAATTGAGATAGAACCGATCCCCAATGTAGCAGGAACTGGCAACAACCGCCTCACATATTGGGACGCGCCATCGGGGGCTCCAGGGTCTCAGTATGAACCCAAAGAACCCGTAGGGCTCTGGTCCGTCGGCGGGAGTACCACCGTCTCTCTCTCCGGAAACCAAGCCACTCTCTCAGACGACGACGGAACAAGATGGCAGTCCAGCCTGCTCCGGCACCTGAACGCTAAGATAGACACGCGGCACACGGACCTTTTGCTTATCATCTGTGGGTTTGTGAGTGGCCTCGTGGACGGACTGTCCTTCAACGCCTGGGGGAGTTTCTCCAGCATGCAAACAGGTATGTACGCGCACCACCAAAAACCAAATTAGCTTCTGGGGATGTAACCTTCTTCTTCTTCAGGGAACACTGTCTTCATCGCCCTGGGCGCATCCGGACAACCCGCATATCCCGCCTACCTATGGGCCAAGTCCCTGATCGCCCTGAGCGTGTTCATCACAGGCAACATCCTCTTCATCAGGGTCTCCCGAGCCCTTGGCGCGCGTCGCCGATGCACCCTGATCCTCTCCTTTACCGTGCAGAGCGCGGCCCTCCTGGCCGCCGCCCTGCTCGTCCAGTTCCGAGTCGTAAGCCCGCGGCCCGAAGACCCGCGCGCCCCCATCCAGTGGATGCAGGTGCTCCCGATCTCGCTGCTGTCGTTCCAGGCCGCGGGGCAGATCACCACGTCGCGCATCCTGGAATTCGACGAGCTCCCGACCGTCGTGCTCACCACGCTGCTGTGCGACTTGCTGGTGGATCCGGATCTGGCCGCCGCCTGGAAGGCCAACCCGAGGCGCAATCGGCGGGCAGGCGGGTTCCTGGCCTTGTTCTTGGGCGCCATGACGGCCGGTGGGCTCTCGAAAGTTACTGAAATGGCTGCGAGTTTGTGGCTTGCGATGGGGGTGAAGGTGCTCATTACGGTGTCTTGGTTTGTGTGGAAGGCGGAGCAGCGAAGGAAGGGCCCCGGGCTGGGAGATGTCTGATCTGGTTATTCTGGTTGCATTTGCTTGCTTCTCTGGGTTATTCTCCAAGGGTCCACTGACTTTTAGTTTATGTTGATGTTGATGTTGATGTTTATGAATGGTATGAGGATTGAACAATAGACACGTTATCCTTCCGTCTGCCTACCACAACTTATGAAATCCTACTTGGAAGTTCAAGATGCACTTCTAATCCGATCCCTTCCGATCCCTTGTACATTTCTATCATACGAGCTTGTTGAGCTTGCATCTTGTATCTAGGCTTTAAGATCTCATGAGTGAGCGGATTATAGAAACAAGGCTAAAATAAATCTAGTCAATCATGACTCGTACTATATGTACTGAGTGCTTTAGCCAAAGTCTCCGTTTTTGTACAGTCCACCAGGGAGTCACCAAACGCTGTTTCCTGAATCAAACATGTATCTCGATAGAGAACAATTGCGAAAGCCCAAGCTGGACTCGGATGCGATGCAACGCAGGCAGTAAAAAATAGAACCCATAACCCGCCAAACGCCAAACCATACCTTCAACGTAGGAAAAAGGGGAAAAAAAGAAATATTAAGGTATTGGGTATCTCGAATCATTTTGACTGGATAGTGGCGGCATGCGACTGCCCAACCCGGATGCCCCCCCTCGGCCCATGCCTGCGCGCAGATCAAAGTCGGGGTTGTTCTCCAGCAATACGTCTTGCTTCATCTGAGCCGCAGTTTGGCCCGGGAGAGGGGGCGGACGCCATTTCGGGTTAACGGGTCGTTCGGAGATCGATGTGAAATGGCTTACTTCGCTAGCAGCAAGTGAGCTCGGGCGTCCTCCTACATTTTCTTTCGGTTTTTGCTCACTAGAATTGCCTGCTGTCAAAACAGAGGGTAGCCGCGTATTACCCGCTGCGGGCTCGGTGCGACTTGCAAACGCAGGGTCAACATCCTCATAGTAAGCACTTCCAGAATGTGATCGAATATGGTGTGGTTGCTGCTCCGGCTCAGCCGGTTCGTACGCAGGGTTGGGCGCTGGCGATGCTGCGTTACGCGGTTCGTTAGGACCCCAATTGGCGCGAGGGGGAACATAAGATCTAAAAGCAGGGCGAAAAAAAAAATAAATCAAGATTAGCTAGATAACAAAGAGAGAGAGAGAGAGAGAGAGAGAGAGAGAGAGAGAGAGAAAGGGACACGGCTTACGGTGTCCGACTGTAGAGGCTTGAAGGGCTGATGGGCTCGCCGTACTGGTTTGTAGAGACAGCATGAGGCTGATGCGAGTCTAGCAGAGCATCCTGGGGATCCAGATCGCGCCTTGGCTGTGGTGTCATTTCAATTGACTGGCCAACGGGTCTTGAATCTGCCGATACAGCTATTCCGATGGGACCGGGAGATTGGCGGGGTCCGGTGGGAGGCGAGGGTCCGCGGTAGCCGTATTGATCTTCACCCATGGGTGGGCTCATACGTGGTCCAGGTCCAGGTCCATAACCTCCATTTGGTTGTGGTCGATATCCACGGCCCATCATTCCTTGAGGCCCCCCACGTATAGAACCGCCGCGCCCTGGAGGGGGAGGACCCCGAGGACCAGGCCCGTAGGGACCTCCTGCGTAGGGACCGCCACGGCCATATCCTCCACGGGGAGGGTAGCCGCCACGACCGCGTGAGTTGAATCCTGGAGGTGGGCCTCTCCGGGGATCGGAATATGGGTCGCGCATTCGGGAATCTGGTGGCCCGGGTGGCCCCAGGGGCCCTGTAGGACCAGGGCGTGCTCTAGATCCGGGACCGTATGGCGCTGGGGGCATTGGATTTCCGAGTTCATCACGCGAAGAGTTGTAAGGGACCGGGTCCCCAGGTATGCGTGAAGGGTACGTACTCTCCGACATCGATGGATTGCTCCGGGAGTTCAAAGGTGTCCGGTCGTCGTCGCTCTCGCGCGTATCGGCGGGGAATGTCGCGAACGTGGGTGCAGAATCGGAGCTGTGCGAGGCAGTAACGAAAGCTTCCTTGGTTTCGGGCGGGATCGACTTGGGCTCACTCAATGCTGCAGCGGCAGCGTTCTGGCGATTGTAGTAATTCTCCCCATTCATCTCCGCGTTTTCTGCAATGCGTCTCTTCCGCGCCTTGCGGCTAACGAGGGTCCGGCGCATCGCACAAGTAACCACTCCGCAACTGACCAAAATGATGGTCGCAGCGAGTACAATCCACCCACCCCATGACATATGCGGGACAAACAACAGGATATCCACCAGGAAGGCGAGTAGAGACACGAGGAGGGTTGGAAGGAGAAGGATCAATAAGCCGAGCAGGTAGCGAGGCGAATGCGATGGACCGTGGAAGTGAGCTGCTGCGGCGAGACACAGGCAAATCAGAGTGAGCAAAGCGGCGACAGGGTGAATGATCAGGATGGACGAAAGCGATCTCCGCGCAGACGAAGGCAGATTGAAATCATCACCGTCACCGGTGTTATCGATGTCCTCTGTAGACTATTTAGCACCGCGTCACCAAACAGGGGAGAGGCGAGCGACGGACGAGTGGTATATCCGACATGGAGGTTGCTGCATTTCCCAGCTTTACAGTACCCAAAGACACCGTATTCGACATTTTCAAAAGTGGCGAGTGGAATGCTTTTAATGATGGGGGTAGAGAGAACGGAGAGAAGTAAGAGAGCGAAGGCGATTAGAAGAAGAATGGTCAACGGTGTCGCAGGTTTGAGCAACATGGCGAGTGACGGACGCAGTAGCCGTCAAGGCTACCGCGATAAATTAGGAGGGCGATGAGGAGTGGCCAAAGGAAGCAACGAGAGATCAGGGAGACAAAACCCCAGATGATAGCACAAAGAAACAAGGGGAGAATGGGGGTCCCTGTAGAGTTACAGGATTGAGCGTGGCATTGCTTTACGGCGGCTCACTTTCTCCTGTGTGACACACGCTTCTGGGGGGAGGGGAAGGGGGGAAGAAGGAGAGAGGGGGGGGAAAGAGGGCGGGGAGGGAAGAAAAGCGAGAGACAGATCTTGTCCAGACAAGAAGAAATGAAGATACGAGCCAAGAGGCAAAGGATTTAGTCCGTGATGGAGAAGAAGAAAGGGATTGAGAGAGAAGGAAGGAAGGATAAACGAAGCAATATCTCACTCAATTTACTTTACTGTTAGTGTGATTCCTGAGATCAGGTGGTTGTGTGCTATGGTCACGTTTCTCCTGGTTGACTTCAGAAGAATTTATCCATCCTATCTGTACCTCCTCTCTTCCTCTTTCTCGTTGCATCTTCTCTTCTTCCTGTTCTGTTACACTAATTGATAGAAACCACACTGACCAGTCGTTACTTTAACTCCATCGGGTTAAAATCGACTGCCAAAGTAACCCACTACTTGTGCGCCATGATTCGTTCTCCCATTCAGTCTCACCATGTGGAAGAGCCCACTTGCGTCTGGTTGCCCCCGCTAAACGGTACGTACTCGTTTGGAGTTGGGGTGAATTCAAAGTCAAGGAGAAACATTCCGTCCCACTGAAAACACGCTTTTCATATTAGACGGTGAGAAGTACACGGGAACCGGAGTAAGGTCGGATCCTATCATCGGCTATTTCTATATTTCGCGAATTTCCGAATGGGGGTCGAATTTTGTCTCAAGCTCAACCCAATCCCAAAGTTCAACCGGGTCCGAGAACCATAAATTCGTGTTTCATTGTCAGTTAGGTATTGGATGGTGTCTCAGAGTTTCTTTGAATCTGGTTCGGTCCAAAGCCTCTTTAAATGACTTTTTATAGTCCCTTCGAAACAATGGGTACTTATCTCGACGGACTCGACAGCGGAGTCTGTGTGGAGCATTGCATGCATTTAATGGGTCTGGCGTAATAATTTAAGGTCTTGTCACTGTCACTTGAAAGTAGAGTGCTTATGCGAGATTGAAGTGCCACTACTACTACTAGTAGTAGTAGTACTTGGTATTGAGGCCAGACAGATCCAACTGAACCTGAACCTCAAGGAACCTTGGGAAGCAGGGATTTAATCACAATAATGTATGCAACAATTGGCAGCAATCACCAACAGCTTGGGGTTATCGAACCTACTGCGCTCACCCTGCACTAGCACTGTAGTACCCAATATTGCATAGTATCTACGTAGTAGGAGTAGTAGTAATAGTAGTCTCTTACTCGTACTCGGCTTAGTCCCTTGGCCAAAACGTTTCCGTCACGGAGAGAATCTATGAGGCTGTCCTGTTTGGAGCGCATTGCACTCGTAGTCATGGCTTGGTGCAAAAAGCTATCGATCTCCGGACCTCCTCTTCTAGGGGTTTTCTAGAAAGACAGGTCGAAGTAAATATAGAATAAGATTCACCCAAAACTCTTATTATCCGAGACCTTATGATCGGGTATTGTAGTGGAAACGGTACATTCCACCGCGACGAGATCTTTTTGGCTACCAATGATGAATTCACCCTGGTCGTCATTCAACTTTTAAGAGTTGTGATCGTGAGCTTGTGCTGGATGGTGAAATTCCCGCCATGGTTGTCTTTTGGCAGTTGGAAATCTTGTGATAAGGATGGAATGCCTTCCTTTCGTCTCTTATGATCGAGAAGTCTCCGCACTTGGACCGCATCTACAACGCAGAGATCGCTAGTTATTATGTTCATGCTATAAATGGAGTTGCGTAAGTTCCCGGACACCATGAGGGGTTTCTCACCTGTACACCCCGTGCTTTCGTGATTCTAAAGAGTCATGCGATCTCGCCTCGACCCTGGTGGGTGATGCGGAGTTGCACCATGACGGCGGTTGAAGGGAAACCACCTCTTGATCAATTTATTCACCATTTATTGGCGACAACTGTCTGTACCAAAAAGAGAAGAGAAGAGAAAAAAAAAACAATATGCCCAGATTTTGGAAAGCCCCTTGGATGAAATCCAAAACCAGTCTGAATGATGACGAGCGAGTTCAGTTACTCCCCAAACGACGAAGCTTCAACCAACTATCAGCAACAGATGCCATTTCGCAACCACTAGGAGCCACACTACCATGCTCTCAGGCTTTGTCGCAGGTGTGCTATGTTGGATTTGGGATTGGGGGTGCTGGTAACATTCGCAAGTCTGTTTTGCTCTACTTGTTCCCCTTGCTTTCGATAACCCCGACACTTACTTTGAAAATAGGGTGAAAGCGCGTGGAGTTGAGGAAGGCAAGGTCGTCTCCTAGCTAACAGTTGGTGACCTTGACCTTATTTCTCGCGAAGAACAGGGCAAGGAAAATACCTGTGATGAAAAGTTATCCTGAGTGGAATCAGAATCTCCACATCATACCTAAGATCCTTGTTTAATATCCTCTCCGGAATGTGGTAGTTACCTCATTCCCAGTTCCGTCGCGAAACGTCTGGCAGGTCTAGCCAAATCTCTTGAACCTGGATGGGAATCTTCAAAATTAGCTTTCGTTGTTTTATGAGTATAATTATTGTTATTGCTATTGCTATGGTATAGGGCTTACCTGTATGAATTGCTGTCTTTCCCTGCAATCATGAATTGATAGTTCCCCCTAACAGTTCTCAATGTATGAGACTTGATCACATTCTTTCTTTCTATTTTCCCTAGCATAGTAATTACTCTATGAATGAGGAGGAGGATAGATCTAGACTTCCTTTCGTACCTTTGTCGCGATGGTGATCATTCTTACTGAGATTGTCATGCTCGGCCCAGCCCAAGTATGCAAGAATTCATCGGCCTCATCCAGGTCATATAAATTAGCCGAAGGGGCTACCATCGATCCTATTTATGAATATTTTTCTTTTCTCCTATTACATCTTGTCCAGGTCGGACTTTTTGAATTGGATTGCTTTATGTTGGTCTATATGATTGCTTATACTTAGGTGCATTGTTGCCGTGCTGCTAGTAATGGCATCCTCTCTCCCTTTGCTTTGGATCTCGGTGCTGGCTCTGCTTTGCGCCAATGATGTTTTGGCCACCGATCTGAACAAAGGGAAGAATGAGGTCGTTCCTTGGATCGATATGACCCCGACTATGGAGTATATACCTCACTACTCGTATGCATCTATCCGCTGCCCTCCAGATCCATGGACTCTCAGCTAACCGTAGTAGAGGAATTCCCTTTACGATCCAGGACTACGACGCGAAACCATGGCACAAATTGAAAAATGTGACGCATCATGCCTTTTCACCAGCCACTTCTTGCGCGTCCGGAACAGGGACCGCTGGATTTTGGTACGAGAAGATCCAACATAACGGACAATCCTCCTTCCTGCTGCCAGAATACAAAGCCAAATACAAGGTGTTTCGCAATGTGGTTACAGAGTATGGTGCCGATAATACTGGCCACAATGATTCGTCTTCAGCTATCCAGTCTGCAATCAGAGGTACCCTCCCCTTTTCCCCCCTCCTCCTTGATAGAGCGTTTTGAATTTGCGAGACTCTGACACGAGAAACAAAAAACACTAGATGGTCCAGCTGGAGGCCCTGCGCGTGACTCCCATTCCATGGGAACGACTGGTCAACCGGCCATTATTTATTTACCAGCAGGAGTCTACCTAATGAAAGCAGCGTTGCAACTTTATGTGGGAACTGTGCTGGTGGGAGATCCGTCTAATCCACCGGTGCTCAAAGCAGCGCCTGGGTTTTCGGGAGACCATATGGTTTACGGCAAAGATCCCAATTTCGGGGGAACAATCAACTTTTACATCGGGATCAAGAACATTATACTGGACTCGACGGGGTTGGATCCTGCGCTGGGGATGAATCTTCTGGACTGGACCGTTAGTCAGGCGACTCAGCTGTCAAACGTGGGGTTTAACATGCCTCATGGTACAACGTCTCATGTGGGCCTGACGACACAGTATGACTATAACAGTAATCTTATCTTGGTAAGACCGTCTCGATAGGTATATGCAACACCAAAGCAAGTACTGAGAAGCAATAGAATGACCTGTGGTTTAATGGTGGAAACATCGGCATGAAACTGAGTGGCCAGCAGTGGGTTTTTCGCAATATCAGTTTCTACGGTACATCTACGGCGGTGCAAGCGGGAGCAACAGATATCCTCTTCCTGGGCTGCCGTTTTAGTGGCAATCGAGTTGGGATTGATGCGACTGGAACCTCGGGATCCTTGACCGTGATCGATTCCAATGCTTCCGGAGTAGACACTTTCGTCGTCGCAGCCAATACAACTGGTGCAGGGAATGCCATCATCTTGGAGAATGTACAGAGCTCGGGGACTACAGTGAGTGCCGGAGGTGTCGCGATTCTTGCCGGTAGTGTTTCGGATACTTGGGTGCATGGTGACGTGGTGAGTGAGCATTTTGATCCCAGGGAGACGGGGCAAAAACAACAGAAAGACTGACTGGGCACTTAGTATGATCCTGGAAGCACCAACATGAGGAGAGTTAGCGGGGAAACCGTCAGGACTGTGCGATCTTCCACCCTTTTGGATGGCGACAAATACTTCACCAAATCCCCACCAACTTATCAAGAGTACCCCGTGGGGCAGGTCTTGAATATTAAGACAGTTTCGGGGAGGCCTGTTTATGGAGATGGCACAACCGATGATACCCAGAACATTAATCTGATCTTGGCTGAGAATCCTGATTGCAAAGTCATCTACTTCCCGGCTGGTACTTATATTGTGACAGACACCATCTTTGTTCCAGCAGGGAGGCGCATCATTGGAGACGCGTTCGCTTCAACCATCAGCGGTGTCGGCAGCAAGTTCCAGGATTCTGCGTCCGTCCGTCCCATGATAAAATTTGGATATCCAGGCGATATCGGTGTGGCACAGGTCAGCGACATGATCTTTACAGTCGCAGATATCCTGCCCGGGTGTAAAGTAGTGAGTCTGTTTCTTTCCCCTCGCTAGCACTGCCAGCTAAGGGCCATGCTGTAGGTCGAAGTAAACATTGCTGGGTCGTCACATGGTGATGTCGGCTTCTGGAACACGCACATCCGAATCGGGGGCGCAGTAGGCAGTAAGGTCGAGACCCAATGCGCTGGTAGCCCAGACCAGTGCAAAGCCGCCTGGGGGGTGCTCCATCTGACCACGACCTCCTCTGTTTACATCGAGAACATGTGGGGATGGACCGCCGACCACGATCTCGATGGAAACAACAGTCAGACTATCTCTACCGGACGTGGACTCCTAGTCGAAGCGACCGCAGGTACCTGGCTTGTCGGCACCGGATTCGAGCATCATACTCTCTACCAGTACAACTTCGAGGGCGCACGCAACGTCTTCTCAGCCCTGCAGCAGAGCGAAACACCTTACTGGCAAGGCCCTGGGAACACGCTGGCGCCGGCCCCCTGGCAGGACAACGTGGCCCCCAGCGATCCTGACTTTTCTCAATGTGCTGCAAATGATGCGCTGTGTCGCATGGCGCTGTTTGAGCGAATCCACTCGTCATCAGATCTCTTCCTCTACGGAGGGTGCAACTGGGTATTCTTCAACAATGGAGGCAACTGCAACTCAAATAACGGAAAGTGCCAGAAGAACGCGGTTCAAGTACTGAATTCGCATCCGATTTATCTATATGGAACGAACACGAAGAGCACGATCAATATGGTTCTTGAAGGCAACGTAGCGGTCGCAACGGAGGATCAAAATGCTGGTGGCTGGGGAGGAGTCATTGCCGCGTACCTGTACGATGCTTGAGACCCCAAAACGTGGGATGTCTCTCAAGTCTTCTGGATTCCGTACGTTTCTTTGCATGATAGTCTCTTTATTTTGGCATTCGACTTGGGGGTTGATTGACAAAAATTGAATCATTGGTCGCATTCTTTCCAGACACTGGAGAGGAATCGGTACTCCGTATATATAGTATAGACCTCCACATATATCATGATCATTTCTCGGCTTCGCTTTGAATGCCATAACACTTTATTATATACTCCGTACTTCAATCTATATTTGGAGCTTTAATAAATAAAGGTAGCATCGATCGGGCCGCAACTTAAGCTTCTCTCCTGTCTGGCTCTCCATAGCTTTCTGCCCACTGCCAACTCAACCCCCAGCACAAAAGTCAACCCATTCATCTCCCTGACTACAATCCTGAGTGCCCCTCCACGTCATTTCCTGGCCTGAATCGTATCTCCAGTCGTGCGAGACCATGTTGGATCGTGGTGGTTGTCAATCTTATTGGCTCTAGTTTTATCGTCGGGCTCTCAGCGCTGCTGGGTGGCTGGGTGTGAAGCTATGAGGGGGCTGGCAGATCTTAAGCCAACCCCCTCGCTCTCCAGATCAATGAGAGCTTCGTCTTCTAATCATGAAATTCCAAGCTCTTGTCGTTAATTGAAAAATTTTCATCCTGTTCATTCTTCCTCTATTCCTCCATAACTTGCGTCTTGGTGTGTTCTAGGAATGTCTGTCCGGCGCTGCCAGTGAAGCTTCCCGCAAATACTCCGTACTGTACATTCCTCGGCCTTCCCCCCACCGTCATGCTTGCCCCGGCATCTGGGAATGTGAGTCTGCGGACAGTCAGCTGTAAGTAATCGATATCGGAAGATGGGGCTGTGTCTAACATCTTGCAGCTAGTCGACCGCAACTGCTCCGATCCGAGTCGCAGCAGTCCGCCGCCGCATCGGACGACTACTATTCCCTCTCAAGTCGTAACTCCAGCTCAAGGTCCCCGAGCACCACCAGTCGAGCCACTGTTGTCCGCTATATGACGCCCAATTCACGCCCTGTATCTCGTACTTCGTCTCCCAATGTCTCGCGAACGATGTTAGCCCCACCCGTTGTTGCTCCAAGGGCGGGATACACGTCGAACGCGCAAGTTGCGAACCGGGATACTTTCACACCCATTAATAGTGCAGAGCAGTTGACTGAGGATCGGGATATGTCTGAAGGAACCAGTGCCCCGGCTGTAGAGGACAGCTATGCAGGCCGGGGCCCAACACCTGGGATGGATGATTCCCCGTACATTCGCTTTGCGATCAACCAGCTCACACGAGATCCGGAGGCCAGTCAGTCGAGGAGAACAAGCGAAAGTGGAAGTGAATCCACTACCGCCGGGAATTTGGTATGGGACGATGATCTAGGCCACTTCGTTCGTGCGGCTACATCTCCAGCCCAGCAGCCACTACTCACTCCGGAAAGAGATCCTCACAACTCGGTAGATCCAGAGGCGTTTGTTGCGGTTGATCCACCGGAGGGGAGCCTGATTCACCCGCCGCTGGATTTTGTGCCTGTGGTGCTCAGACCTGGGGCCCTCGCTGTGGTTATTTTCTGTGTACTGCTTATGATTTCTGGTGTCACTTTCTGCAACGTTTGGTCCAAAGATCATCAAGGGATCTGGGGATACAATGGCCGCAGCGGTTCGCGGTACTTTGTTTTCCAATTCCTTCCGCAAATTCTGGGAGTCGTTATTTCGATTTTGACGATTGTGGTCCAGGCGGCAGTTTATCGTGTTATGCCGTTTGTGACAATGGCGTCCGAGAGGCCGTTTGGGAAGGTTTTGCAAAAAATACCAATTTTACCGCGGAATTTCCTGTTTCCCGATATATCTCATTTCATTCATGGCGAGGCACTGGTGGGGTTTTCCTTGTTTACGATTTGGCTTTCGAACTTTGTTGCAGTACCTCTACTGGGTTGTCTTTTTCAAGCGAAGTGGTACGTGATAGACGGCCAAGGGAAGTGGCAATGGGCTACGGTTACGAGCATTGGATGGACGTTAGTTTCGGTCTATGGCCTTCTCGCTATAGGATTGATCCTACTCCTCCTTCGCTTTCTTCGCACCTGGTCTGGACTCATGTGGGATCCAGTGTGTCTAGCAGATTTGATATGTATCGTCCAGCGATCCAATATCCTGGATGATTTCGAGTACTCGGAAATAGCCCCAGACGTTGGGAAAACCCTTGATTCCCGAGTTCTTCGTCTAGGCTATTGGCAATTATCTCAGCGAGCCCATTCCGGAATATTCTATGGAATCGGTGAAGCGGGTGCGTCAATTGGAAATCCATCTCTGCATCGGATCGAGAAGAACCGTCGAGACCAGCCACATGGCCTATCAAAAGTCTCATTTGACGTGGAGCAACAGGCCGTTTCCGAAAATGACGATTCCGACATTTACTCACCGTCTATTCGCTACCGATGGGCTCCGTGGTTTCTCCGAAAAACGGCTGTGGTCGGGTGGACTGTTATACTCTGTGGGCTTTTCATTGCGTTTGTGGTTGCCAGTTTCCTTCACCACGCTATTCAAGACGGCTTTACTCCGCGTCTACCGACTATGCCATCTGTTAGCGCGTTTTCATCATCCAACTTCTTATACAGTTTAATTCCGGCCTTCATCGGAAACCTCATGTTTCTTGCATGGCAGCACATCGATTCCTATTTCCGAGTGCTTCAACCCTATGCAATGCTCTCCTCTCCCGAAGGTGCATCTGCAGAGCAAAGCCTGCTCCTCGCATACCCGTCTCTCCTTCCATTCCAGGTCACGGCCATAGCAATTATCAACAAACATTACAAGATCGCCTGGATTTCTCTGATGAGCGTCGTCTTCGGAGCGCTTCCGATCTTGGCTGGAGGGGTCTTCATGTCGTTCTACTATCCTTCTGAAAATGATATCCGTGTTGGCTCACTCATGCCCGCCTTCTATACTATCATTGGCTTCTGTGCTGTATACATGATCTCATTCCTGTGTATTTGGCCCGGTCGCCGCCGTTACTTACCTCACGACATTAGCACACTAGCCGACCAAATGAGTTTCCTCTACCAGAGCCCACTTCTTTCGGATAAGTTACTACGCGAGCCCCGCAGCAAGACAGACCTCGTCACCCGACTAGTTGTTGCACCTCCAGGTGAACAGGAGTTCCCTAAGTACGGATTTGGTATCTATGTAGGTCGCGATGGACGAGAGCACTTGGGTATCGATCGCTATCGTCGACCAGGCCGGGCTGATATGCTCATTACCACGGGATCGATGAGGTGACTTGTTTTTGTGACTGAGATGATGATGATGATGATGATCATGATTATGTTAAAATATGTCCTTCCGATTGTTTTCCTGATACTACTACCATGATTTGATGATGTGCATGCATGCATGGATGCTGTTTTATGGTTGACGAACACTAATGATAATGAGATATGCTGACGAGGTGGATGTTTTCTATTTGGCGGTCTTTTACTTGATGTTGACTTCCATAGCATTACCGGGCGTTTTTAGGTAGATTTTATATCCCAATGCCTACTGTATATTTTGCTCTTTCCAGACAGTTTCATCAACTAGAAATACATCGTATACCCTAGATTGTAGGGCTGATAAGGTCACGTTGGGATACTGAGTCAGCCTCCACGTGCGCAAGTAGTTAGCCCCCATCTTCATCTTCTTCATCATCTGGCATCGTCCAGACAGTCCCTGTTTGAGGGAGTTGAACCTATCATCCGATGCCGTAAAAGATACGATAAAAGTATCACGTACGATGGGCCTCAATCGGGGCTTGGCTCACCCATCAGTTGTTCCGGCCATTTCCTTCCAATCCTGGTTGGATCCCGCAGCATGGTATACCACGGAAAGCCCAGTACGGGCTGTCAAAGCTGCCGCTCGAGACATATCAAGGTACGTCTTTGTGCTTTGACTATTTCCCATATTTTGACAGTGATATATTCTAACTTGGATCTGTATATGGATAGTGCGATGAAACCCGTCCTCACTGCAAAGCCTGCGTCCGCACAGGTCGCCAGTGCCCCGGATACCCGCACCCTCTCGACTTTATGCTCCGAGACCGAATAGCATTCACACGCAGAGGACGCAGCACTTCCTCCCAGACACCGTCCTTCGTCAAAAGCGACGACGCGGCAGGTCCAAGCGAGGTCTCGACTATTCCCTCTGTCACCCGCGCCGTGCAACCTGGCACACCCCCGGTTTCAGCGGCATCCTCCCATATCCCGAGTACCCTCTGCCTACCGATGGAAGACACGGTGACCTCGCTTTTCTTCAATTCGTATTTATATCTCCCGAAGGACCCCCTAGTGAGGACAGGGTTTATGGAGCTTCTCCCGCAGTTGTTCGCGACCGCTCCGTTGGATTCTCATTTGCGACTAGGCACGCTGGCCGTGGCGTTCTTCTCTGTGGCTGCTTGGACACACCAGGAGTCTCTGCTGCGATCATCGCAGCAGTGTTTTGTAAAAGCGCTGTCGCGGACTCGGCAGGCGCTGCAGGGTAATATTGATCAGAATCTGGATGAGATTCTTATGACGGTGTTGTTACTGTCCACCTACGAGGTAATGTTATCCTTTCCTTTCGGTTGACATAACTGCGTATGGGGGCGCTGACCCCGGACAGGAATTTTGCGCTATGAAGGAGAATAAACCTCCGTCTAAAGCGCATCTCAGGGGAGCAATTGCTCTAATCAACAGTTACAGCCCCGAACGTCGGAACTCCCCGCAGTCGAAAAAATTGACCAATGCGGTTCAAACACAAATAGTGAGCCTCGTCCTATTTCTCTTCCCTTGCGCCGACTAATAGTTCAGATCAACACCTCCATTTCCGGGGCGTTTCCTCTAATCCAGACACCCGATGCCTGGCCACTACCCCTTTCAGTCCCCGAGTTTGCCTCCTCACAGCTAACAATGGCCACTACCGAGGTGGTTAAGCTCCGCCAACGGTGGATGCGCGTTTCCGACGCATCCTACATGGCCGAAGTCGAGTTAATTCTATCCCAAGCCCGTTACATCGATAGTCAGCTTGTCGCCTGGTCGCACTCTCTCCCGGAACACTGGATTCCTGCCGCGGCCTCCACCATCCCGCCGTCCGTCCAGAAAGCCGGCATCTACCAAGGCCGCTGTGACTGCTATTCGGATTTCTGGATCCCAGCGACCTGGAACTCCTACCGGAATTCACGCCTCGTCGTCCAAGAAATCATTCTCCAATGTTTGTCTGTTCTTCCGGGTCGCGCAGAGGCCATCAACGCAACCATAGCCACAATCCGCGCCATCGCGCTGGATGTCTGTGCCACGGTCCCTTTTTACTTGGGGAGCCAAATGGCATCGGTGCAAATGAACCCTAGTCTCGTCGAATACCCCAAGGCTGAAACACGGCGCGTGAGTCAGGCGCACCAGCAAACTGCTCCATTACTAGGTGGATGGTTCGTCTTTTCTTCGTTAGAGACTCTTTGCGCGGTGGAGAGTTTAACCGAGGACCACAGGGAGTGGATCAGGGGCCAATTGCAGCGGGTTCTGCAAATATATATCTTTGGGCCCGCTAGGTTATGAGCATTAAATGTACATTTTCCATGTTCGTCATTATATTTTAGTGTGTTATATAGAGTACATATAGACAATAGACATATATAGAATAATAGAAGTGCATAGATAACCGGGAATAGCGGGGATAAGCTTATCGGGCTGACAACATGGCACGTGACCTAACTCTCGATCCAAAGCCTCAGCGTCCAGGCAGACATCTTGCCCACGACCAAGCATCATGATCTCACGTTTTCTTCAATTGTGCGCGGATTGCCTGAATATCTGGATAATCTAGAGCTGCTTGCACCGTTGTGTCCATCCGATATCACAACCTCATCCATTACTGCACTTGAGCACACGGCGGGCATCAGTCACAACCCACCCACCTCGGGATACAAGAATCACCAAGGAAGCAAGAGAAGAGAGGACCAAGCCGTAGCTGAGCGACCCTGGCCCTTGCCCTCCTTTGAACAAGCCGAAAGTACAGGAAAAAAAAAAAAAAAAAAACCATGTTCTCCTCCTTCTTCCGCTCAAAACCAACCGACCCCTCCTCTCCTCCTCCGGCACTCCCACCGACGACGACCCCAGCAGCACCAGAAGAACAAGAAGAAGAAGCAGCAGGACAACCCCAAGCAAAGACCCAGACCCAGACCCAGACCCAGACCCAGACCCAGAACCGGAACCACGACCAGGACCCGCCGAAACTCTGGACGCCGCAAACAAACCGCAAGCTCTTCTTCGGCGGGCTGCTCTTCTTCTCGCTCAGCGTGCTGGCGACGCGCCGCGCGCTGCGACGACGCCACCAAGCCTGCGTGCCGCCGTTCTACACGTCCTCGCTCTACCATAAGCCCAAGGTCAACGGGGCCGGGGAGGCCCTTGAGGCGCTGAACCTGGCGACGCTGAATGTGGTTTCGTTCGGCATGATGGGGGGCGGCGGCGTGCTGTGGGCGATGGATATCAATGGGTTGGAGGATATGCGGGCGTATGTGCGGAAGGGCATGTTGTCGTCTGAGGAGGCCGGGGAGCCGTTGACGGAGTCGGATAAGGAGTTGGAGAAGGAGGTGGAGGATTGGATTCGGAAGTATTTGGGGAAGAGGGTGGAGGGGGATAAACTTCGGGAGTTGGAGGAGTCCTCTAAGTAAAGTAAAGTAACATGTTATGTGTGTATGTATGTTTATGTTGCATATGGGGCGCGGGTGTGTGTGTTGCGTGTAACTACTACTATATCTTATCTTGTACATTATTAGGAATTGGATTTCTCTCTACTTTACATCCTTGTCTTGGTCCATTTTCTCGTATCGCTCTCGCGCCGTTTGCCTGGTTTTCTCCAGGAATTCGTCGTACCGGTTGCGGGTGTTGCGACCGGCTTCTTCGCTCGCTTCGCCGAGTTTGCTTCCCTGCGCGCCTAGGCCGACACCTTGAGCGTAGACCTCTGTCGTGATCGGCGCGGTCATGCCGGTGCCTTGCGCACCTAGTCCGGTTCCAGCGGACCAGCCCATTTTGCTCAGTAGTGAAGCGCCTTTAGATGTACTTTCGGCTGGCGGAGGGGACTCTGGCTCTGCAGCTGGAGCGGGCTTGGTGGTGGTTGTTTTCGAGCGGCCGAATGCCTGGCGACGCTCGCGGGCTCGATCTCGGTATTCTGGAGGTTGGGGGACAATTCCATGTTTGATGAGTTTGCCCATGGCTTTCGTGATGACATCTTCTTTCTGCAGGTTACCGCGATGAAGCTGGCTCAGGCGCTCGTGACGGTTGACGTCTGCCATTGTCTTAAATTGCCGCATGCAGAGGTAACAGCAGTTTCGGGTTGGATCGGCGTACGACTGACGGGTTGGAGCAGTTTCCGAATCAAATGGCGACGCTTTATTTTCTGACCCGTGATCTCCCGCGACCTTCTCATCACCATCTTTCTTCTGAATGCCATGCAGCTCTGCATGACGGTCACTCCAGAACTGCAGGTGAGATGGCATTGCCATCTTTTTGGCTCCCGCAGCACTAGCAGCTGCATCGGCCTTTCTCTTTTTAGCCTTTTCAGCGGCTTCCTTGCTTTTTGCTTGGCTATCCAACTGGCCAGTTGAGGTATGCTGGTCATGTTTGAGCCCTTGCTGTTCCGTTTCTCCAGGCGAGACTGTGAGCTCGGTTACGTATGCTTCTTCGTCCCAGTACATGAGTTTTAGCGATGGGTTATTCAAGGGACTGAAAGTGAATCGTTCGGTACTTGCGCTTGGGTTCATGACCGGCACAAAGACACCCGCGTGGATGTAGCTGACCATGACCGGTCGAGATGAGATAGTGAATTTCTCAAACGAATTGAGCCGGGAGACAGCCGCTTGCGCATCCTATACTTTGTGAGCGACGTAAAATAAGCAAACGGCAGTCGAAATACCTGAATCGTAGAAAACTCCGCGAACCCATAGCGCCAGCTCTCGTTACTTCGGCGGTCCCGAACCAGCAGAACACGCCGGATAGAACCCTCCCTAGCTCCTAGGTTAGAGTCACCCGTTGTTGACGCCACCTTCGCTCCTTTCTTTTGGCCCGAGACGCCATCGGCACTATTGTTCGCCGGTCGATACAGCTTGGCCACCCCTTTTGCTAGCAGTTCTTCGGTGACGGAGTGTTCCAGTCCCCGAAAAAGCAGGAACTGGGAGGCCTGGTTTTCAGGGGCAGCGTCGTTATCGCCATGGTTTTCTACCCTCGGCGCGGCTATTCCCGGGGGACCTGTCGGACCAGCATCTATCTTCGTCAGCAGAAATAACCATACAGCACATGAGTTCAGACATACCAGGTCTTGGAGCTTGACATCGGAAGCACTTCTGGCGCGTAGAATAGTTGACGATGGAGCACTGAGCGTATTAGCATTGAGCCACACAGAAAGCATGCTAATACCCACCATCATACAGGTCCAGTCACTTTCAGCCCTGGCTCTAGCCCTATCCTCTCGCTCGCGGCTAAATGCGATGCGCACTTTCGTGCCACGGTCATCCTGGGCGCTCGGACCACACAAGTAGATCAAAGGAAAGTTTCGCTCAACAAAGGCACGGGAGTAGCTGATATTTCGGAACCGAAGAAAGCCCAGCTGACGAGATATCTCTGCGCACTGTTAGTTATCCGCAATATCCGCAAAAGCCTAGATGCTTACTTGTCTGGCGATCCCGAATCACGCGAACCTCCTCGAGTCCCTCGATGTGGTAGAATTCTTTCAGTTCATTCGATACCTATTCACCGTGTTGACGCACATCTCAGTATCATGCTATAACGGAAGTTCGTATCGTGAAGCGCAACTCTGGAAAATCCGATGCAATGCAGAAAGATCCAAAAAAAAAAAAAATGCAGAAAGGGAGGGAAGGAGTTGCCCAACGTCTTCTTCTGCCATATCCACCGGTAGGCCATCCATCATCACCTCTCGACTCTCTTGTCCATAATGCGACCGACTTCGACGCGGGCTTCGACTTCGACTGCGGCTGAAGCTCCTGGTTCGACTCCGTGACCGATATCCTTCACGATCTCGATCGCGGTAGACGTGCCGTGCGCGTCTGGGGGGGGACCGCGAGGCCCTCCTTCGCAAGTCTTCGCGGTCGCGGCTTCGATATCGGGGTCGGGTATCGGCATGGTCTCGGGAATAATCACGTCTCCTATCGGTGGCAGGGCCCCGAGGAGGGGAGTGTGAGGGACCTGTATGTGCCAAATTAATGAGACAGGCTCAATATCGCCTTGAAATATTGGGGAATCTGGTGCGGGGATAATATACCTCCAGGCGAGTGCGAACGGGATGGGGAACGGTCGTCATACATTCGACCATCCCTATCGTCCATCCGGGGGAAAGAACGATGAGATGGTGCTGGTGGATATCTAGTATCCTCGGAGTGGAAATGTGACATGATCAATAGACATGAAGAGCAAAGGTAGAGAGGATACAAGAAGAGGAGGAAATGCAGTGAAAACAGCTTCATTGTCGAAGCCGCAGTAGAGCGGCAGAATTACATAGACCGCCTTTGTATAAACGTCGGTTTATCAAACCTCAATTCTGATTAATTCAAAAAAAAAAAAAAAAAAAAAAAGAAGTGTCCCTACTGCTTAGTTTAGCATGATCCAATTCAGTTTCTATAACTATGTGTTTCATATTTATGCTCGTATGTCTATATACAACCCTGCCGTGATCCTCCTGGGGCTTGTGGCAGGCTTTCTTCACGCAGGGGATATATCAGTGCTTGAGCGGACGAGGCGATTTCGAGCCCTAACGGAATCGAAGAGTCTGTCAAATTGAAGAATCAGCTAGACCGGATGCCTTCATGCTGTAAGGAAGTCTGTAGATCGAGGTCGAAGAACTCGAACTGTCTTACTGTGGGTTCGGTGAACCAAAAGAGCCCGTATTTTTGAACACGTCCTATTGGCATTGTTATTGCCACGCTGAGCCCCTTACAACTCCTGCTATAGATCGACCTTCTCTCTCTTGGTTTATTGCCACAAGAAGTCAGCTCGGCGGAGAAGGAATGCCCCGTGGGGAAGAAGAGTATAATTAACCCCCCGCACCCCCGCAATTCCTTGGCCTCTCTACCCCTACCTTACCTCTCCCGTGAACCCTGGAGATAGTAGTCAGTTCGTATCCAACTCCCTCATGGAACCTTCCCGTCGACGTCAGCATCATAGTTGTGATCAGTGCCGGAAAGGCAAGAGGGCTTGTGACTCGCCGGTTTGGAAAAATCTTCTACTTTGCTGTTGGCACATTCTGACCTGTCCGTAGATAATCAGGGATAGTGGCTTCAGTTCTTGCTCCAACTGCAAGAGATGGAAGAAGAGATGCACGTTTGATTGGCTTTCCTTGAAGAAAACAGAGCCAAAGAAACATCGGAGGACGAAGGAAGCTAGGAGTACGAGCAGCCCACAAGAGCACGATGAAGTTACTTCCCTCCCGCAAGAGAATCTTGACAACCTGGGAGCTGGAATCACACCTACTGAACCCTCGGATTTACCCTTACCATGGCCTTTGACACAGACAGGTGCAGTTGCCGAACTGTTACTGGGAAGCGACCCTGATGGCGACCAATTCGGTATATCTGCACAGAATCCGAACACGCTAGATACTTTACAGAGTCACGGTGGGATCCAAGACTTTGGAGAGTCCCTATGGAGGCTGGATGACAAGCAAAGTCTTTCCAATTTGCTACCTGCTTGCTGGAGCAACGCTACGGAAATGTGTCAAATACTCGAAGAACACAGCCCCGGACTGACGGAATCACACCCCTCTTCTGCTGGGTCCCCCGAGATTCTGGACCGGAATAACGGTCTCTTTCAGTCTCCCTCGGAACCAAAACAGGCATATATGCCACGGTCGAGCAACCAAATCGATTTCTGCATCCTTTCGGATAAGACGGCAGATAAATATGTGCGGTTGACGATGACGCAGAATTTGATCCGCATATACCACGACAGCATGGAGAATGCATTGTCTTGCTGGTTGACAGAGCGGAACTGTCCTTACAGCAACCTGGCGAGCCACTTGCTCTCCGGCGAGAGGAACGAATGGGGCCCAAATTGGACAAACAGGATATACGACCGAGTCTGTCAGTTGGATCGTGCGTCCTCGTCTTTACGAAGTCGAAGTTTAAGCATTACGGAAAACATGACTGCCGCCCGAGTTCTTCATGTATCAATTATGGCGTTTGCTTCTCAGTGGGCCCAGCATTCTCAAGAACCGAGCGATGACTCTCTATTGGCGCCCATCGCACCTAGTGAGCGTTCTATGCGAGAAAGCCTTTGGAACCAAGCTCGCCATGCGTTGGAAAAGGCAGCTGGGATTCCATCTTTTCGAATTATCTTTGCGAATATTTTATTCTTCTTCACCCAGCGTCCGCTGGACAATAGGCAAGATATAGAGCTGGACGAGCTACTTGATAATGACTGTGCACCTCTGTTTCTTGAAAAGGCCCTCCGGCAACTCGTCACTTTTCGATACAAGGTAACTCGGCTTCAACGTACCTTGGAAAACCGCAATACCCCTGCAAGAGACTTGACACAGGGGAGGCTCGTTGACCGGTCCGATGTCCAATACGCAGGGGAAACCCCTCCTGAACCTCCGCGGGCGAACCCAATTCTTGTCAGTTATGAGTCTAGCCATACTTTCAACCTCCTATTCTGGTTGGGGGTTATGCTCGATACTCAGGCTGCCGTCATGTACCAGCGTCCCCTGGTGATCTCGGATAGCGACAGCCAAATTACCTCTGTCTCACCGCGTATGTTTCATATGGCCGCCGACGACGAGAGCCGTGTTGACCTAGACGGATGGAATATTCAACCAAACGGAACACCCCCGGAAACGCGGGATCTATGGGGCGACCTATTCCTTCATAGATCGGCTGCTGCTGCACACCAAGGATTCGACACGAATGTGCCAGGCTGGCCTTATTCCTACAAGGAGGCAGCGGAGATACTTTCGGATGCAGCGCCTGTCAAAGTCTTGCTCTTCCGTCGAATTACCAAACTCCAGACACTCGTATATCGAGGCGCCGGGCCAGAATGTCTCGAAGAAGTCGTTCAGAATTCCCTGCTTGTCTATCGACACTGGAATTCCACATACCGGCGATTTATCCTTGACTGCATGGATCATCACTCCCAGCTTCCGCCTCGTATCCAGTCGTGGTATGTTGTGCTTGCCGCGCATTGGCATCTCGGCGGCATGCTGCTGGCGGACGGGATAGAGAGCATCGACCGCGCACGGATTAGCTCCGACTCTCATCGAGAGTCTCGCGAGTCCATGGACTTGATTTCAGCGCTGAGGAGAGACAATGCGGCTGGGATTGCTGCTCTTGCCCAGTGCTCTCTCCATTCGCAAGAGTCCGTCATCCAGCGCCGCCCTGGATTCCACGATTCCCTCAACGAGACAGCCTTCTTAACGGAACCGTTTACAGTTCTGCTAATCCACGCCTTCACCAAAGCGGGATATATCCTCATTGACAACATGTGTTTATCGCAGCGGTTCGTCCATTGTAAGCTGGACGGATCGTTTGAGCAACTGCGCCAAAATTGCGAATTTTGTATCCGCTCCCTGTGGTGTCTTGGGAAACATTCCGACATGGCATCTCTAATGGCCCGAAACTTGTCCAGAAATTTGGATTCGAAGCTGCAACAGCATTGGCGCGGATATCCGGCCACTTATCCTGAGCATTTCAGAGGAAATCGCGGTCTATCCTCGGCTTTTGATTCCGTGTATGGCCTTTCGGATGCACGGCTTAGGATGGACGATTATAGTTGTCCGTAATAATTGAGTTTTTTTTTTTTTTTTTTTTATTACATACTATTAAGAAACATGGTTCGTAGTACAACTAGTGTTGCCCTTCCTTCCATGCACCGAGTCAATCCTGCCTAACTCCTGGAAATCCCTAAACGCGAGAAGAGAACCTGCTCCAATAAACGTATACACCGCCATCCCCGCGACTTCCTGGGGTCGTCTTGCGCAATGATCTCTTTAGCTGCCAGCGTGTAGCAGTTGAAGACGCCTTTGGAAGCTAACGTTGATGTGGCGGTCGATATTGGACCCAGTCTCTTCAAGTAAGGGCTTGACGCGATATGCCCGCGTTGGCCACCATCGTGACGAGCAGGCTGATCCAGTGACAATTGCTGTACAACGGAGGGCACCGGGGGGAGGGAGGGGGGAAACAGAGTTGCCACTGAAAGGTATGTATAGCTCAATGAATGGATTATTATCTGTGCTTGAGATACTTATTACCGTAGTCCTATCTGACTCCGAAAACTCGCCGTAGAAATTTAACCCTATTTACCTTACTTATCCCTTCATCGCTTCATTCTCATATGACAGAAGAAGGTGAGATGAGACCTTTCCCCCCTTTTCTACCCTAGACGATATTCTCAACCCTCACGTGCGCTAGACTTGGTCCTTGTTCAGTTTTCGCTGAGACATGGAGGGAATGCGACAAGATAGATCACCAACAGGCAGCTCGAAGGGAAAATCCACCGTTGGGAGGAGCAACGCTAACAGTAGATACCATCCACCCAGCGAGCACGCGAACAGGATCGCACCACCAGCCTATAAGGTGGCAGTTGAGCGTTAATCATCTGGTCTCAATGGCCAACGGTTGAGATGAAAAGGGGGAAAACAAACTCACCACTTGATAACTGTGAGCAAGGGATGCGTCTTGCGTTGCCCTGTGAAAGTAGGAAGCTGCCGTGAGACCCAGACCGACGACAACCGTGAACATGATATACACCAGCACCAAGTTGGTTCGCAGAGAGCAGATCAAGTAGAAAAAGCATAAGATTTCGAAAAACACGAGGAAGAATCCTGCATCGAATTCGGGAGGTTAGGTTTCAGGACCCCGAAGAAGGACAGAAACAGAAACAGAAACAGAAACTCACCAAAGGTTGCATTGAAGCCCTGTGTATCTAGTCCTGCCGTGGGATCTGTAGCTGATGGCGAGTACGCTGCGTAGGCGCCGTAGAATGGTTGGAGAGTTGAACCGAGAGTCAGATAAAAGCTAGCTGTAGCACCACATCATCAGCGATCAGCGATCAGCGACCCGTTGCACCAGGCAGGCAGGTAGGTATGCTTACCGAACGACATGAAAACGACGCTGGAGAAAGTGTTGCCGATGATGAACTCCAAGAACCCCCCAACCATCAACAGAATTCCTCCGAAAAAGAAGTATGCTCCGCTATACGGGTCAATTTCAGTTGGAGCAGGAGTGTGTTGTGCTCCCGAAAGGAATCCGCAATTGTGAACTTGACATACATATTAGCCGCACCGTTGCCACCAGCTCCTCTCCACCCCATAAGATCGCACGACAATGGCGTCAAGCTTATCACAAAGCCCGTAATCGCACTGGAAGAAACGAAATTAGCGGATGCGCTGCGGAACAGCCCCAGGATGAGTGTTCTTGCATCGGAGTTGGGTTACCAAGGACCTGTCGCAGGTTTCCCGCGACTGGGATCTTTGGGTTCAGGTAGAGCTTTTCAAAAAGCTCTGGCGAGATGGATACGTTTCCAGCTGTCCGTATCCTATGAATTGCAGACGACCGAGTCTCCTGTGGACCCAGATACTGGTCATCATGGTCTGTCGGGTTTTTGAATTCCTCGCTGTGGCTGTCCATGGGGAGCTGCTTGGCTTGTAGGTGTTGGAAATCTTTTCTTGATTGCAATAACCACCGTCCTGCGGTGTAGAGAGCAGAATTTATAGCTTCTCCTTTTCTGGGCTCTATGATTTGGAAAGTTGTCTCTTCGTTCCAGCCGGGCAAGAATCTAGACTTAACGGATCGACAACGCTTGCCTCCGCTATTCCGGGGTATGGGGGTTGGGGTATGGGGTAACTTCCACTACTCCGGGGTTGTGAAAACCAGAGGCGCGTTATGCATGGTTGCTCGTGATCTTCTTTCTTCATCTGGAGTCTGGTCAAGCTCAAAGGTCTATCGTTTATGGGAACCAATGATCCGCAAGATCACTCGAGCACAAAAATCGAGTTCGTTGAAACGGAAAGGCGCGAACTAGACCAATAAATTAGTTTTGCCTCGTTCCATTACAGATAGCTGTGTCCGGGCTGACCAGAAAATCCTTTTACTTTGACTTTCCCTTGCTCCGTAGACAGGTTGAAAATGGCCATTCCAAGGAATGACTCCGATTTTACCATTTTGCGGCTGCAGATCCCAATAGGCCAGGTTCTGCTCACAGGTATGCTGGGATGCAGTAGCCTCGTTTGCAGTTTACATCCGCGGATGAGGTGTACATCCCCGTATAAATAAATATATGTACTATACTACTGCAATAGAGGATCACGGCTATAATTCCGGGCGGCTCCGCTTGAGTCTGATCTGCATAGTTGTAAGAGCGGGGGGGGCGGGCGTTGTCCTCCACTTTTTAGGATTCCATGCGGTTCCGCATGAAGAGAACGCAGGCCGTGATACTCGAACCTCCACTGCTCTATCTGGGGTGCCTAGGAGATCCTAAAGGATACCTCACATCTGCGGAGCCGCTGGATAGTTCAGATGAGGGGATATCCCCAGCTACATCGTATGTAATCAGAGGGCAGATGGCGATTAAATACGAGGTCTCAGCCCTCTCCTCCTGTGGATTAAGGAAGAGTCAGAACAGCAAAACAATTGCATGTACCCCATAAATAAGTCTTTGAATTGAAATCATGGCTACTCCAGACGTTCAACAAGTGCCTTCCCACATGCGCACAGTTCCTGGTTCTTTCAATATTCCTGTTGCCCGGTTCCCCAGTGTTGCAAAGAATGAGCCCATCAACGCGGACAGAATCGCATCCACGGTGGTAGATGCCTTCAACAAGTCTCTTGACACACAAGACTTCCAGAGCATCGCCGGACTGTTCGTGGACAACGGCTTTTGGCGCGATCACCTGGCACTCTCGTGGAAGCTCCGCACAGTGCAAGGGTCCAAAGGGGTTGTCGAATTCCTCCAAAGCTGCTCCGAATCAAGGGACGGCTTGAGACTGAAGAAAATCGCCCTCGATACAAGTTCTGCCGTGCGCGCCCCCCAAGTATGTACCATAGACGGAACGGGGAGTGTTCCGGGCGTCCAGTTTTTCTTCACGGTCGAAACCAAACTCGGCTCTGGGATGGGTGTCGCTCGTCTGGTGTCGGAAAATGGAATATGGAAGATCTTCACCCTGTACACGGGGCTTCGGAGCCTAAACGGGCATGAGGAAGCTACATACCATCGAAGACCCAAGGGAGCCGAACACGGAGGTCGGCCAGACCGCAAGAACTGGGCGGAGAAACGAGCAGACGATGCTGCCTACGAGAACGATAAAGAGCCGACTGTTTTGATCATAGGTAAAGACCTTCCTTGACTCACAGCCACAATCGAGGCTTCGCTAACGATGCACGTTAAGGAGCCGGGCAAGGTGGACTGTCAGCGGCAGCGAGACTGAAGATGCTCGGTGTCGATGCCCTCATCATCGACAAAGCCAACCTCATTGGGGATAATTGGCGCCTACGGTATCGCCAGTTGGTCCTCCACGATCCGGTTTGGTACGATCATATGCCGTATCTCAATTTCCCAGCCCACTGGCCTATCTTCACCCCCAAGGATAAGCTCGCCGAGTTTTTCGAGTGCTATGCAAAAATCCTCGAACTCAATGTGTGGATGAAGACAACCATCACGCGGAGTGAATGGAATGGCCAAGAGGGAAACTGGACTGTATCCCTCTCGACCAGGCAAGACGACGGCACTTATGTCGAACGGACCTTCCACCCACGCCATATAATCCAGGCAACCGGGCATTCGGGGAAGATGAATATGCCTTGCATTCCGGGGATGGAGAACTTCAAGGGAGATCTCCTCTGCCACTCATCCCAGTTCCCTGGGGCCGCGAAAAACAAAAGAGGCAAGAAAGCCGTGGTTGTCGGGTCTTGCAATTCCGCCCATGATATCGCACAGGATTACCAGGAGAAGGGATACGATATAACGATCGTTCAGCGCTCCACTACTTGTGTGATCACCTCCAAGGCCATTACCGAAATCGGATTGAAGGGATTCTACGAGGAAGACGGGCCACCAGTGGACGATGCAGACATTCTACTCCACGGCACTCCCATGCCGGTTCTGAAAGCGCTCCAGGTGCACGTTACGAAACAGCAAGCGGACCATGACAAGGAGCTTCTTGACGGGCTTGCGAGGGCTGGGTTCAAAGTCGACCGTGGCCCAGACGGTGCGGGACTTTTCATGAAGTATTTCCAACGGGGCGGCGGCTATTACATTGATGTTGGCGCATCGAAAATGATTGCAGACGGCAGGATCAAAGTGAAGCAAGGTCAAGAGATTGCAGAGATTCTGTCTGATGGGATTCGCTTCGCGGATGGCTCTCTGCTCCAAGCCGATGAAATTATCTTCGCCACAGGTTACGAGAACATGCGATCCCAAACCCGGTTGATTCTTGGAGACGAGGTTGCCGACAAGGTCTCTGACATCTGGGGGTTCAATGAGGAAGGCGAAATGAGAACCATATGGCAGCAGAGTGGCCATCCAGGATTCTGGTTCCATGGCGGCAATCTCGCAACTGCACGATACTATTCCAGGGTATTGGCCTTGCAGATTAAGGCCCTGGAGGCTGGCCTATATCGATATGGGGAGAAGTAGACAGAGTGAACTACTATCTTTAAACCTGTTTCAACACAAACCTATCTATACATTCACCTGGTTGATACATATCAGCCAACGGCATATCATGCTAGGAATATCGTAGGCTATGCTCCACCTAGGGAGTTGGATAGATCTTTATTTCGCTTAGGATAGAATAGTCCTCTAGAATGACATTTTGGCTTAAGTACGCCTTGCACTGGAAGACCTGAAATCTTACCTTGTTGCCAGAGTAAGCAGGGACGGGCTGTATCACAGGCACTCGAGCATACAAACGCAGAGTACTTTCCAGTTCCCTATCCCCTCAAAGACCCCGCATGATACCTATGAATACCCCGGACTGATTACAATTATGACCAGGCAGTCTGGACTTGCTGAGAATCCTGCGATAATCTTCCCCGCATTCGGCGTACTCCAAAGAATAGTATCGGATGAAGGGATCAGCTGCTGGCCACATCCATGTAACTAATCACCAGTCACGCCAAAACCTAACGGGATAATGGGCAAAGCACGGAATGAGAAATGCAGCCGTGTGTATTCAGGGATCGGTGCCAATCAGAGTATTATGAGCGGTGCGTGTGTGTCTACCTGTGGATGAGGTGACAGCTGCTCACAAAGCCTATAAATATCTCTCCCCGCCACAGATTAGAGACTGTCATTGTGTCATGAATGAAGGATTCAGTTTGAGAAGCTCACTTCCCCCATTCTGTAAGCACTGATTCAATAAGCACTGATTCAAAGGACAGCATGAAAGCGCTCATTTACACGAAATCCGGAGCGGTGGATATCGTGGACCGTCCGGAGCCGACTATTCAGGCACCGACAGATGCCATCGTGCGCATGTTGCACGCGTCCATCTGTGGCACAGATTTACATATTCTCAAGGGCGATGTGCCCAGCATCCAGCCCGGGGTTGTGCTAGGCCACGAGGGAGTTGGGGTTGTCGAAGCGCTCGGGGACTCGGTGAAGGGCCTGCAGGTTGGTGACCGTGTAGTGATTTCCTGCATGACCTGTTGCGGTGCGTGTCGATTCTGTCAGCGCGGCATGCCGTCTCACTGCGAGGATGGTGGATGGGTTTTGGGGAATCGCCTCGATGGCACCCAGGCCGAATACGTTCGGGTCCCTCACGCGACGCTGTCCCTGCACCGTTTGCATGATTCGCTCGACTCGCGCGCCGCGGTGACTTTGTCAGATGCGCTCCCGACTGGTCTCGAATGCGGGGTCCTCAGTGCCAACGTTCAACCAGGAGCGTCGGTGGTGATTGTGGGCGCCGGTCCCGTGGGGATGGCAGCTCTACTCGCCGCGCGCCTGTACACCCCATCTCTCATTGTCATGGTCGACTTGGACGACTCGCGTCTCGCAATCGCACGTACCCTAGGTGCCAACCATACAGTGAATTCGTCCGCGCCGGATGCCAAAGACCGACTTCTGTCTCTCACGCAGGGCCAGGGGTACGACTCGGTGATTGAGGCCGTTGGCATCCCCGCGACGTTCACTTTTTGCCAGGAGCTGGTGGCTATCGGGGGAAGAATCGCAAATGTGGGAGTCCATGGGACAAAGGTAGACTTGCATTTGGAAAAGCTGTGGGATCGGAATATCAGTAAGTATACGTAAGGAGGACGGGGTTGAGTTTCAGTATATTGACTCTGGACAAGGTATCCACATGTCGCTATGTAATGCCACCTCAACTCCGCGTCTGCTGCAACTGGCAGAGTCGGGTATGCTGGATCTCAGTGCGCTAGTGACGCACCGTAAGTCTATCCGAGGAATTCTTCTTCGCATGCGAGACTAAAAGTGAACGATAGACTTCCCTTTCCCCGAGGCGGCCACCGCATACGACACCTTCAAAGCTGCATCTGTCCATGGGGCCCTGAAGGTTGCCCTTGACTTTATTCATGATTGAGTTTGAATTTGCTTAGTACTAGTGGCACAGCATTGGTTGATATGATCGAAGCATATATGCGTTGAGAATGGCCGCGCAAGAGGATTTTTTACGATGCTCTTGTCTATACTTGCGAATCCATGTCATGTCATTTAGGGAGAGAAGGTTAATATGATGATCAAGGCTTCTCATATGTTACAAACACAGGCAGAGAGGCACAAATAGTATCAACCAGCCACTAGCCTTGTAAAAGGTTTTACAAACGCTCACAGGCAAACCCGATGAGAACGAAAATACTCGGGATGAGAACCGCTATAGGACCCAGCCAGGGCACCAAGTTATGGGCAAAGAGCGTTGCTGCTAGGGCAAAGCAAGCCAGTATGCCGATGGTGATAGTCTCCTTGACAGCTTTAATCCATTGAGGTACGCCCGTCTTCTCCTCGAGAATAAGCCCCCACGAGCGAGTTGCTACGCCCGGGATGTATTCGATTCTTTCCCTCACTTTCTTGGGCGTGGAAGCAAATACTCTGGCCTCCCCGATGGGGGGCAGCAGCGCTGTAGGGGCGAGATATGGGAGCTCCCTCCAATCTAAAGCGTCTTGCTTTAAGAGATAGTGGAAGAGTCCCTGGCGCAAATACAAGCAAAAGGCCCCGAATTTTCTAAATATCGCATATCTGGCTTTCAGTGCCTCCATGCAGACTTCATTTGCGTGAGGGTTATTGAAGTTGTGAAGAAGATATTTGCTGTCCGTGAGGAGATTCATACTGCGTGCGGAGGCCGAAGATGAACGTTGAAACTCCCAGTCGGCAACATCCTTCTGTGGCCACTTATTCTTTCTCACTACGGCGACTTTTTTGTTCCCGGTGGGTTCGAACTGGTTCCTTGTCAGTGTCGTGGGATATATACACCGTCCTTGCTGGGCTGGAAGAGCTACCTCGATAAATTTAATTTGCTCCACGCCGGGCCTGAAAATGCGGAGGACACCCAGCTTTCTCCTGTATTTTGACTTCATTGCTTGAAACAACTGCATATCGCGGTAGATATTAGTGACTTTTACATGGGCATATTTGGAGAGACCGCCGCCCCGAGGTCGGTAGCACAACAAGATCCATTTGGGGACTCTGTCAGCGTGAGCGGGCGTAGGGACATATGGACGACGTCTACTGCCTGGCCGACTCCTGCTGGAACTACTTGGACGGGGGACAGATGTGTGATTTCTAGAAGGATCCCCCTGAGGACTCCCGGGTTTCTTGTATTCAGGCCCTTCCGCGGGCTCAGCAGGTGGGAGGTCGGTTCTGTCGCCGTTCAAACCCAAGCTCAGACTTGCCTTCGCTCTGAAGCCGTTCAAATGGGTGACGGTTGCTCTTCCAATGGCGAATCGACTCTCTGGGATTTCGTGTCCGAAGGGCATGAGAGAATACACATTTCCCTCACGAACCCCTGATACGCGACCCCCCTGGAGAACTGGATCATCGCCTTCCATTCTTAGAACCAGGGCGCCTGATGCAATCTCCTGCGTAGAGAATAGGAGACGGGTGTCTGGTCCCTCCGCCACAGGGTGCTGCTGCGGGAACTGAATATTTACCAGCTCATGCACCCGTAAGAGGGTTGTTCTCCAGGATACTGTGTGGTCCCTGGACTCGTCAATTGCATCTGACAGCGCGTCTGTCAACGCGCCGGTCCATTCCCCGTTTGCGTTCTCATATTCCCAGGCGGTTTCCCGTGCAGCCGCCGCCATAACTCGCACTGCTTTGGGGTTACCGAGAGGATACAATTCCGCAGAAAGCTCCCCCGTTTGGCGGAGCCGTTCTATATGTTGCCGTAGGTCGTGATGCTGCAAATCAAGGATCTTCTTAGGGAATGCTCTCCGGCCATGCCCGGGATGACGAGCCATTCGTCCAGCATGGCAGCAGTCCAGGATGATCGTCACGTTCTCTGTTTTCTCGGTGGTCTGGTGCAGCAGATGCGACAGTTCAATGTCCAGGATCCCTCGAAAGTCGTTCCTTGTGCTTGCATCATAATCCACTGGTAATATGAACTGCAACTGCCAATGTTCATCTGCGTCTGATTTCGGTGTCTCTACAAGCCCGCCATGTCCGGAATAGTAGATGACGACCGCATCGCCATCCGTGCTTGCGTCGATTAGATCGCGCCATGCAGTAAGAATCCCGACACGGGTTGCGTCCGGACCGCAGCATCGAGTTATCTGAAAGTTCTGCCTACTAAGGACTTTGGAGATCGTTTCCACATCATTCAACGGGCCTCTCAGTCCACGGATGGGACTTGCAATCAATAAAGCTCGCTTTTGGGATAGCATTTCCAAGATGTCAACAATGTCTTATCGAGAAAGCGGTGCCTATCATATAGGCTCAGCGAGACATCCAACTCTGGAAACCAAAAGTCGACTCTCATCGCTCCGGGGGAAACTCCCTAATAAACCCAGGTCGCTCTTTTGTAGTTCCAATAACAAGGCAGGAAGGATTCTTCACTTGTAACTAATGTCCAAGAAACGTCTAGAGTGCTGCCACGTCATTTATCATCTACAGTTGCAAGAGGCTGCTTTGCCCATAACCAAGAGGAGAGGCATCAGTGGTGGAAAGAGAGTCTGATCCACGGACAGAGGATATCACCCGGTTTGTTGCTTGATAGATCTAGACTTTCACCCGACCTCGAAATCCGCTTATACATACAGCCGTTGGGAGGAAATCAGTGGAAACCCTAACCAACTGTATAATCCATGGTTGCTCTCAGCCACACCTCGTCATGGCACTTTTCTGGGGCTCGATATCCCGGAACTAACAGGCGGTTTCGACCTAGCTAACAATACCTAAACGAAATAAACAAAAATCTCTTGGGAAGGGTGGATTGGTGGTGTGATATTGCCGAGATAGGGTTTCTTATGAACGGACCGTTTAGTGTTCGGGCTTGAATAAATGCTTTCGCTACTATTTAATCGATTCTATTGAAATCCGTCAAGGACGTATAGAATCCGAATGAACAAGCGCTTCACCGTGTCCTGCGCGCTAGAATTAAGCGGCGACATTGAATTGCGAACATGAGCCACAAAGACAACACCCCCCTGGTCATTAGGAGATATCCTGTCCTGCAACAGGTATATGAAGCGCTCGGCGGAACCCCCTTATATACGCATCATAAAGGAGATTTCAAGGCTGCTCTCCAAATCGCCGAGAATGAATGCCAGACTAGTTCTTCCGTCGGGGGCACCACACTCGCAGCGGCCCTCACAGGCCGGGGCATCGTGAGAACACTACAGGGCAACTGTTCTGCTGCCCTGGGGGACTTGGATTCGGCAGTTGATATGGCGCACCCGGATTTACCGCTCCAGATGCTCGTCTATCTGTATATCTATCAAGCCACGCGAACACGGTATAAGCTATTCCCGGACCTCGGCCCTGCAGAGGCAAGGGATATCCAGTATCGGTTCGATAGTGTGGAGACGCTCCAGGAGTGGCAGGCGAAAACAAATCCCCTTGCCGTGGCATATTCTACAGATCCGCCGTTAAGCGTGGTGCGCCTGGTGTTGAGACTGGACCAGGAAGTTACCTCGTTTCCACGAGGGCGTCCTCGAAGCGACGCCACGTTCCAGGCAGTGCAGAGGGTTCTTCTGTCAACTTTCGATACGGAGTACGAGGCCTTGGAACTCTTGCATCCTGACCCTGGCCTGCTGGGGCAGATCAGACTCCTCCGGGCGCGGATTTCAGCCCGCATGCACGGCGCAGGTGAAGAAGCGATGAAGGATGTCCAAACGGCGGAGCAACTGTTTCGCACAACTGATGATGTTGTCGGGTTGGCCAATATTGAACTCGCGCTAGGTGATTTGGTCGCTGCTCCGCTCTCCTCGCCTCTGGTTTGGAACGCATTCCTGGCGGAGGGGACCTATGACACGACCTCGTACTGGCAGATTGACAAGGCAGAATGGGAGGTTGACTCCGGGCACATCCGCGAAACAATGGCTTCGTACCAGAAGGCGCTGGACCTGTTTGCGTCTGCAAATGTGCGGAGGGGGATGGCGGCGGCGAGAATGCGTCTCGGATACGTGAAGCTCCTAGAGGGCATGCGACTGATTGACTACGAGCTAACATTTGCCGCCGCAAAGGATGACTTCGAGCTCGCGACTGCGCTCTCTTCCGAGGCAGGGGATGCCATGGCCTTCCAGCTGGGCGTTGCGCAGCTGGCTCTTTGCGCGATTGGACAAGGCGGCCAGCCCGAGCAAACAGCACGCGCTGCGTCGATTGGAAGCTGGGGCTGTAGAGAAGGAAGCTTTGGGTTTGCGTTGGGAATTGGCATTTTCTTCGCGCGCATAGGCTGGCGATGGGTTAACTATGTGGGCGACTATGAACGGGCCCTGGCGTGTTTTAGACTTGCAGAGACCCTTTTTGAATCTCTGCAGGCGCCGCTCTCGCGCATCCACTCCATAATAGACCAGCTGAAGGTTTATCAGATGCTGGGTGATTTCCCCAGCTGCTCGAGGGCGTTGGAATGCGCCCTGGACGAGTGCATCGCGGCGCGACATCAGGAACCGGGACTTGCCGCTGAGACTACGCAAATGGCCAGATGGATTTCAATCCAGATGCTGGGGCTTGCCACAGGTAGAGCGGCTCCACACCTTATTGAGCGAGTACGGGGCTACATACAGAGTATTCGGGACACGCATGAGCCGTCACACCAGGAGGGTCCGCTGTCCAGCCTCGATATCTTGCAGAACCTGTTCCATCAGTTACAAGCCGGTGAGAGTCCTTCCGGTGTAGAACCCCCCCTGGCGCAGGAAATGCAACAGCACGACCCCGCCAGTCAGATCACGGACATCTTTTTGGAGTCGCAGTTGAGAGACTCGGAGCTCTATCAGGATCTCTACAGCGGCAAAAAGGCGGAACAAGAGGGGGATATAGAGACAGCCCGTGCGCTTTTTAGCCGGGTACGATCGGTGGCGTCGTCCTTAGGTTCTCGCCGCCACTATTTCGATGCCCTCGCATATGCCTATGAGGGAGAGTTCGAGCAGGCAGGGGTTGCCTACCAACAGTGTGCGGCTCAGGAGCTGGGGACGACGGCATGGATGGAACGGACGGGGCTGGGAATGGCGCTGGACGACGATCGAAGGAGACAAGCCGCGAGCCGGGCCTTGAGCTTCTTTTGTGAAATTGGCCGATTCAATGAAGCCCAAAATTGGCTGCAGCTTCTCGAGAAAAGCTGGCCCGACTGGTGGAAGAAAGAAGGGCAGACCTGGCTCTCGCTTGGCCGAATCGCGCAGGTCCAGGAGGGTGTGGGAAACCTCGAGTCCGCGCTCCAGATGTACGAGGAATGTATAAGTACGTTTGAGGCCCAGCGTCGTCGTCTTTCCATCGACGGTTTCAAAGTCGCCTTTGCGGGGGACTCTTCGACCGGCGCGTTGTTCTTTGACTATATCAGAACCCTACTGAAGCTGCGAAAGCAGCCCGATATGGACGGCTCCCCGAGAAGTCAACAACTCGAAGCGAAGATCTTCGACGTGGCAGAAAGAAACAAAGCGCGGAGTCTTCTGGACCTCATTCAGGGTGGCGTCGCTGGCGGCATATCCTCCTCTGACTACGGTCCGTTACGTCGCTGGCGACGCCTCAATGCCTATCGAACAAGCCGCTGCGGTCTACTAGAACAAGAGCTGCACACTGACAGGCCGGATCAGTCCAAGGTTTCGGCTCTCAAGGAAGATATCGCGAGTGTCGAACAGTTGATCGCTACGGCAGAAAACGATATGTCCGCTGCAGGACAGCCCGTGCGATCCGTGACGGCAGAAGTGAGTACTCTCGGTGCTGTATGTGAAGCACTTCCTCATGATATGTTGGTGTTGGAGTACATGTTTAATCGCGATGATTTATTTTCATGGGCTATATCCTCCGATGGTATGGTGAAGCTTCATAAAAGCTCATTTCCAAGGTACTGGCTCGATAGAGCCGCCAAAAGGTTCCATGAAGCCTGCAAAGGCGCGCTGCAGCCAGGAACCCTAGGGAAAGAGCTTGCTTCTGAGCTCCTGGAACCATTTCAGGAGCTGATGCAGCACTACAAAAGACTGGTTATTGTGCCGCATAGCTCTCTCCATCTCGTACCGTTCCATGCATTGCCCCTCACAGACAACAGCCCGCTTTCATCTTCGCATATCGTGACATACCTTCCGTCAGTGAGCCTCCTAAGATTCCTAGACTCCAGGGAAGTCAAGGACGACCAGTCTCCGTCCGTTCTCGCCCTAGGGAATCCGTCTAACATGTCGTTCCAAGACGTGTACGGACAGCACCATCCTGCGCATCCTCTGCCGGGCACCCGGCAAGAAGTATCACTCATTGCCGAGATCCTGGCTGGAAGCAAAGTCTTCGTGGGCGACGATGCCAATTCGTCGAATCTCCGTGCACATATCCATGACAACCATTCTATTCTGCATCTTGCTGCACACTGTCGACTAGTTTCAGAGATCCCTCTGCTCTCCTCGATAAGTCTCGCCAACGGGGATGAGCTTTCAGTGCTGGATCTCTTGAATATGCAGCTTGATGTCGATCTAGTTGTGCTGAGCGCCTGCCAGACAGGCCAGGGCACCCTGACAGCTGGCAACGATGTTGTAGGGTTCAGTCGTGCACTACTTGCCGCTGGAGCCCGGGCAGTGCTGGTCAGTCTGTGGCCAGTGGATGATGAGGCCACCTGTGAGCTCGTCAGATATTTCTACCAGGGTGTCAGTAAAGGCCAGTCATTCCCAGAGGCCCTCAATGCGGCACAAGAGACGCTTCGCCACAGTTGCCCGTTGATCCACCCCCAGGTCAGCGCTTCACATGAGATCCAAGCGGAGGGCAATCAGAAAGGGCCCCGAGCCCAGGATCACAGACGAATAGCGCTCCCTCGAGACTTGCAGCCCCCGGAGAGTCTGCACCCTGTAGACTATTCGTTGCCCGCATTTTGGGCACCATTCATCCTCATCAGTGGGCTAGGTCAAGGTTATTCACAAAAGACCACAACCAAGGACAAGCAACCGGTTACTGGGGCAAATAATTCTGAGCCAGCTACTACTCTCTCGACGAGGAGTGGATGGCATGGTGGTCTTCTTACTTGGCGAATCGTAAGCAATGCTGTGAAATTTCTCCTTGTGCTTGTATGGGAGAGGATACTTTTCCCGAGTTTAGAAGCCTTGGAACTCGTGGAAAGGCCCCAGAGGGAGGGCGCAACTCGAATCAGATGGAGATGTGTATGTCACTCCCTCCTCGCCAATGCAGAAACCGAACGGATTAGAGCTAATAAACAAACCCAGGCGTGCGGCAAAAAGTTCTACGGTGATATCGAGGGCATCTCAGACGCTGACCTAGACGACGTCACGCAATCTCTCTTTTCAGATACCGAGTGTGAGAATAAGAAGAGCGACGACAGTGTAAATGTCCCGACTCCGGCACGTAGAATACCAGACCAGGGAGCGCAGGCTTTTCTTATCCAGCAAACCGTATCAAAGTGGCCGGTCAACGTTCCATCGGACCTCACGGGACTGCAGCAAGCCATAATAAAGTCGAACGATCTAAGACTCAGTGACCCTGACAGGGATAGGGCCCATCCCGCTCTTCTGGACTTCCAGCACCAGGCAGACCAAGTGATCGTACGCACGATGGACGGCATCGAAGTCGGGTCCCAGCAGCTTCCGAGTCAAGGATCATCGGCCAATCCACTCAACGACGTTCTCATAGTAGCGGAACAGCTGGCACGAGCGCAGCACTTGCTCGCGCTTGAGTGTGAAACCCCGGAAGAAGCGCTGAACCACCGAGTCGAGACAGAACTCGGGCTAGTAGACAACGGCAACCGCGGCCGGATTATTCGACCAGACGGCAGCGATAGCGTGGCAGAGCAGGATCGAGTTTATATCACACTGAGGAATAAGGGTGGCGGGACCATCTATACGTCCGTCTTTGACGTCAATGTCGCGGGGAAGATTTCTTTGGTCTCAAGCCATAGCCCCATGGGGATCGAACTACCTCCTGGCCGGTCCTCGACGCTGGGATGCGATCAGTTCGCGACTCTACTCACAGGCATTGAAGTTACGTGGCCGAAGGGGGTCCCCAAGTCGCAGCCGGTCAGCGAGCAGCTGGTCCTTGTTTTCACAGATCGCCCTGTGGATATCAGACATCTGGCGAATCCAGCGGATCGCCCGACGACGACGCGTGGAGCCCGCTCTAACCTGGAGCAGCTGGTATATCGGATCTCATACGGTGGAAGTCGCGATCTCGGTGAGACACCTGGGATTGCGTCCATCTGTTATGACGTTCTCCAGGTTCCATTTTCTCTCCATCCTAAAGTAATCGAGCCCGCTTCCACGCCAACAGACACCTCTGGGCAGACTCGCGAGGAAGAAGTTGAACCCAAGGTCGATTACTCCATTGGGGAGTGGCCTGGGGAAGAAGCGCCTCTGCCAGGGGATGAAATCCCAGCTCCGGATGCGAATGCGCAGTGGAGGGCCCTTCCGTCCCACCCACCAGCTGCGGCTGCAGCCCCGAAGGTAGGGACTACTACTAGTGTTCAGCGAACTGACAACGCTCCTTCACCCGTCCGTCCTGGCTAATATCGATATATAGGGAGTCATAGGTTCGATTGTGAGAGCTACTCGACGCATACCTCCTTGCGTCTGGGTAGTCAATCAGCACTCGGAGGCCATCACAGTTATAGTATCCAAGTACCGGCCGAACCGTCTGCTCTCCGCCGGGGGATTGACTGCATCAAGCGCCGGTGGCGGTTTAAATCTCAGCACAACGGTAGGAACATCGACGTAGCGATCTCGGAGTGGGCCATTGCTAACGCACAGAGGGTCATCTAATATAGACTTTTACCAGTCCGGCTACGAAAAAGAAGCTCGCGCCGCAGAGCAGAGATCCTGTCCGGTCGATGGCCGTCTTTCCCCTGTGGACCAGAAAGGAGGGCTTTGGGGTCATTAGCATTTTCAAAGGTCCTAGCGAAACCCTGTATATCGAGAATGACAGGATCCCGATTGGATCCACGGCTTATTTTACGAATCAGCCTGATATGGTAGTTCGGGGATACTATGGGCAGGAGATCCATTAACAGGATTCATCATGCCTTGTGCTGTTGTACCGTGTCGGCGTGTCACTGCTGAAGGGTTTTTTGTTTACTTTAGCTCTATAATACTATTTAGGATGATCTCTTTCTTCTTGACTCTCTTGGTTTATACTGGGATGGATGGCTATCAGGTATCAATATGCTCAGTTAGGGCTTAATTATATACAAACTACACTCACTATTCACCAGTTCTTTTTTTTTCATATACGTGGTGGATGGCAAGTAAACGTTAAGTTGAGTATTAATGTACTTGTACTTTTTTTTCCTTATTACTTTTGCTTTTACTTTCTACCTGGCCAATGCACACTTTGTAAAGAATCAGATGTTCTTTGTATTGTAGCAAACCCAATCTACCATGATAGAAAGGCCGCTCAGCTAAGTACATCCATCCATCCATCTCAATTGTGCGTTCTGTGGAAACATAACAAGTCATAAGTAACAAAGTAACGACAACGCTGCAGAAAACACCATGCCAGTAAACAAGTCCATCTCGCCCAATCCAGCTGGATGATGAGGAGCAATACAGTCAAAGGACGCATGCAGTAGCTACGATCGAGTACCCTTTGGGCAGCAGTACTGGTTCTCCTTTGCATCTTCTAACGAACCTAGAGCACAGGGGGGGGATCAGCTACACAGATGCCGTTGTAGCAGTAGCCACCCTGGCAATCACGGTCGTTGTGGCAGTTAGGGTCAGAAGGAGCACGAGCCTCAAACTGGGGTGGAGGAGGGTCTGCAATGCAGATACCATTGTAGCAGTAGCCACCCTGGCAATCACGGTCGTTGTGGCAGTTAGGGTCAGAAGGAGCACGAGCCTCAAACTGGGGTGGAGGAGGGTCTGCAATGCAGATACCATTGTAGCAGTAGCCACCCTGGCAATCACGGTCGTTGTGGCAGTTAGGGTCAGTGGGAGCACGAGACTCAAACTGGGGTGGAGGAGGGTCTGCAATGCAGATGCCGCGGTAGCAGTAACCGCCTTGACAGTCACGATCGTTGTGGCAGTTAGGATCAGCAGGGGAGCGACGGGCAAAGCGCATCATTGGAGGAGGGTCTGCAATGCAGATACCATTGTAACAGTAACCGCCTTGACAGTCACGGTCGTTGTGGCAGTTAGGGTCAGTGGGAGCACGAGTCTCAAACTGGGGTGGAGGAGGGTCTGCAATGCAGATGCCGCGGTAGCAGTAACCGCCTTGACAGTCACGATCGTTGTGGCAGTTAGGATCAGCAGGGGAGCGACGGGCAAAGCGCATCACTGGAGGAGGGTCTGCAATGCAGATGCCATTGTAGCAATAGCCCCCCTGGCAGTCACGATCGTTGTGGCAGTTAGGGTCAGTGGGATCACGAGACTCGGGGTGAAGAGTTTCGGTGAGGACAGGACGAGAGCGGACACAGATGTGGCTGACGCAGACGTGACCCTTGGGGTTACTTTTGCAATCATCATCGGTGAAACAGTCCATGGGGATGAAGTCGATGGCTCGCACGGTGGAATCGTGGTCATTGTCTATGGGAAGATTCGAGGTTGGGTTCAGTTAGAGATAGGCTTGTCAGTGTAGCAGGGAATGAACCTTACCACGTGCTTCAAGAGCATCAGATATACCAGAGGCAGAGGTCCATGGGTGGAGGATGTCGCTGACCGCGAGGGATATGAAGAAGAGAAGAACAAGGAGCTTCATGTTGGAAGTGTGTGGCAGATCGGAAAGGGTTGATGAGATTCGTAGAATGGCGAGGAGGAGGCGATAAATGAGAGGAAGATGGGGAGAAGAAAGAGAGAAGAGAGGAAGAGGATGCAAGAGAGCAATCTTTATAGACAAATAAGCGAGGTCTGAATTAGTCTGTTATATCTCTTGGTGAATAGCATCATGAAAAACTACTCCAGGGAAACAACCTGGCAGTGAATAAATATAGGATTTGCGCATATTCTTTGTTCACCTCAGAAGAGATGGGGGCAGAAAAGCTGAGGTCTATAAAGAATTCTTTCACTAAATTATGTTGTTGTATGTGGTGGTAATCAATGCAGTATAATCCGGGGTAAAGTGGTGGTGATGGCCTTTGAAGGCATACAAAGAACACTCCAGATCCAAGACTAAACTGATGCAGGTAAGCAATTCTGAATGGAATCGACAGCCTAATCCTTGCATTTCTTCGACTTTGATCCTTGTTCGAAGCTGTAATACTATTAAATCTGAATAAATGTGGTTAATAACTGTTGGATGAATGGGGGTTTACCTATCTGGACATTCTTTGAATAATAAGGGCCCTGGTTCCAATAAAGGTAGTAAATAGATGGGCATTCAGTGGCATTATATGTTCATCCCCGGATGCTTTCACCTCTAGAAGAATCTCAGGCAGGTCGTATATCCCTTGTATACAGAGTAGTATATCATCATAAAACCATTCATATTCCTTTGGATCACTAGTAAATTAACCATACCGGGCGTTAGCAGGTTCATCGTCAAACCAATCTGGTGACACTCCGTAGTTCATGACAGTGCTTTTCACTTTAGTATAGCTTTCATATGCCTCCTGTCCATTCTCCTTTCCAAGGCCACTCTCCTTGAATCCACCCCAGGGGGATGACGGGTCGTTGAGATGGTGCCCATTAATCCAGACAATCCCTGCCTCGATTTTGTCCGCAACCCGATGCGCCTGGGCGAAATCATTGGTCCAGACAGAAGCCCCCAGCGCAAATGAAGTGCCGTTGGCGACTCTGATAATCTCCTCCTCCGAGTCGCACTTCAAAATGGCAATCACGGGGCCAAAGACCTCGTTGCAGGCCAAGTCGGACGTTTCACCGGTTTCGATAATGGTCGGTTCAAAGAAGTACCCTTTGCCATCGGTCGTGGACGTAGGGTTTCCACCACACAGGATCTTCCCTCCTTCTTGCACGGCACGAGACACAAACCCTGCACATCGTTCCACGGCCGCTCGAGAGATAACGGAGCCAATCTGGGTCATCTCATCAAACGGGTCACCGACCCTCAGTGCTGTTACTCGTTTCACCAGCTGCGCCCTGAAGCTATCGTAGATGTCTTTGTGGACTAGCAGTCGGCTCCCTGTTACGCAGGTTTGCCCGCTAGCAATAAAACTGGCGAACAGCGCGGCCTTCACGGCCTTTTCCACCTCAAGACTCGGGAAAAGGCAAACGGGGGCCTTTCCGCCAAGCTCAGCCGTGATAGGGATCATATTTGCTGCAGCAGATGGCGCAATCGCCTGGTATGTGGCAAGGCCGCCTGTAAGGTCCATCTTGGCCAGGTGAGGATTCTCACACAAGTATTTCCCCGTTTCTCGGCCGTATCCGCCCAGAATCTGCAACACCCCATCGGGAAGACCAGCTTCTTTGAAAAGTGGGCCCAGCTTCAAGACAGATAACGGGGCGAGCTCGGATGGCTTGACGATAACCACGTTCCCCGCTGCCAGGGCGGCTGCGATCTTCTTGGTCGCGATCAGGAGCGGATGGTTGTATGGGGTGATCTGGGCGACAACACCCAACGGGAGACGGGTAAGTGTATTGACTACGGGGCCTTTGAACGGGGTGACCCGACCTTCATGAACACGGGCCAGCGATGCAAAGTATTCAAGCCATTCGGGGATCCGGGCTAGCTGGGCGCGCATTTCACGGATGGGTCGGCCGGTCTGACGGGTTTCCAGCTCGACGAACTCGGGGATACGAGCGCGGAGTAGGCTTGCTGCTTTCGACAGGATTTGGCATCTCTCAGAGGCCTCTGCGCGGGACCAGGTTCCATTGTGGAATGTTTTCCAGGAGTCTGCAACAATCTTGTCCACTCCTGCTTTGGGGGTAGAGTCGATCGTCGCAATGAGCGTTTCGGTGGCGGGATTGAGAACATCGACCCGAGCCAACGTCGGGGAGGTATATGTTCCATTTACCCAGCTTGATACATGCGGTATGTCTGCCATTTTGGCAGCTATGTGCGATGTGCTTTCACTTGGATGCAGTTGGAGCTGGAGTTTTAAGAAGCAGTCGGGGGAAACCCCGCAGATAAGATAAATCGAAGCCCAAGATAATCTTATTTCGATCTGATCAGAGATACGCATAAAAGAGAAAAAAAAGTGAGCCTCATACAAAACCAAGATTGATGGAGTATTAATCACATTTGGATTCCATCTTTATATTATCTGATCATATATTAATCCCCGTATGTATAACGCCGTATCCAAGATATCCAGTTGCGCACCTTTTCCATCTATCTATTCTGGGTCTTAAGAATAATATTCATGTACCTGAGCAAGTTACTCCGTTAGACACCGGGTTCCCATTCCAACCACAAATCGGATCAAAAGATTGAGTACTCACATGCCCATTCCAATCAACGCCATCACAATCCCTACCACGCTGGGACGTGGCACGACGTGATTGCTCGACGCCCACCCTAGGCCGACAATAATGCATGTCTTGAGCTGGCCGACCACGGCTCCGCTGACGGCACCAGCCGCATCGACGATGTAAAATTGGGAGAGATTGACGATGCATGCAAAGACACCGCTCTATTAACCCTGTTAGCTAGAAATCGAAATCAGAGAAGGGGGGATGGCCTACTAGCAAAATCAAACTCCACATAGACGGCGATATCGTCGACACCACCGGGGATGTCTCCGTCCACGGAATCGCACACAGTAGCAGACAAGCACTGATGGGCGCCTGGTTGAGCAGCAATTGCATGCTGCTGAGCTCGTAGCGCTTATGGTAAACCCCGATCCATACAGCGTAAATTGAACTCGCACAAACCCCGGCCAGGGCAAAGACAACCCCCCACGCGGAGGTGGTACTCCCGTTGTCTGCAGTGGGGAGCGAATCGTAGTAGGTCACAACCCCGACTCCCACGCAGAGAAGCGCGAGGGGCAACATAGCCGCCCGGGGGATTTTGGCGCGGTAGCACATGTAGTTGAGCAGCGCGACGGTCGGAGTTAACAGTAGTCGGGCGAGCTGATGGAACATGACTGAGGAATAGGCGAGCGACAGGTTCTGAAGGACGACTTGAATGCACATGGCCGCTGCGATGGGGATGATCTGGATGACGCTGATACCTTTAGGCACAAAGACGCCGAAGCAGCGTCGCGATGCGATCCAGAGTGTAGCGCCGGTGATCGAGAAGTGGTATGCGGCGAGGGAGATTTGGCGGTTGCGAAAGGAAATGTCGGACATGATGGATTTATTGGTGAAGACCTTTCAGAGTGTTAGTCGACGCTGGTATCTCAACCCCGAAAAAAGGAAAAAGGGGGGCTTACAATTCCAACCGTAGAGACGATATTCAAGGCGGTCCATAGGAGGAATCGATTGTTGCGACTTGGAGACTCCTCATTGACTTCTTCGAGGGGTTTTTCTTTGTAGTCATACTCATAGTCTTGCTTCTCCACAGAGGCGTCTTCAACATCGGCAGCGGCCAGGGAGGAGGAGGAATTGATCAGGTTGGACTCCTCATCGTGGCGTTCCGACGTCGAGGGTGGATAAATCATGGCGGTGGTAGGACATCCATCACCGCAGTAGCGGACATGCTGATGGTCTTAAAGTAGAGATGGAGAGACACCAGGGGCCTGTCCACCAGTCAGCCGAGTTACATAGAGAACCAGGTCGAGAACATCACAGCAAATGCAAGCGAAGGAGTTGGATTGGCTGGATGTTACCCAAGCATTGCTTACATATCACATTTTCTCTGACAATCCTGAAAAACGCCAAAAACGCCATTTGGTTCTAGGTAGACTATCGGAGGAAGTTGGCTTTTGACGGTTGAGACTAGACTGACTAGTAGGTCGCAGTGGATCCGGGGATGGTACGGAGTAGTTCGGAACTACAACTATATACAGGGGACATATGTAACTGGGCTTGACTTGACCTGAGTGAAGCTACCGAGACGGTTACATGTTCTACGGAGTACTTGTACTCAATCCATGGTTATGCTTAACTCGAAAAAAAAAAAAAAAAAAAAAAGATCCTCGGCTTACACCTGCAAAGTATTCTCGTATTTCGCATAGGGAATTCCCACTAGAGGTCATACCCGAGCCAATGACCAATTCAAAATTCACTAGTTTTGAGACAATCACACAAGATATCCTCTGGGATACTCCAAATCCCGCAGTCGAATTTCGGGTTTGGACCACGGGATAAACGACGTGTTCCATTGGGAATATACCGTCTCCTCTCCCGCCAGGAGCCGGTTCAGATTCATCCGCGTGCTATACATGATATTCCACGACTCTGCCTCCCGGTACTCGCTGCTCGTGTAATTCTGAATATCAGAAGAACGTGAGGCAGGTCCCGCGGGCTTGAAGGTCGAAATGATGTTCGGGTAAACCCCATAGCATCGGATTTGCTCGCGGCCACTCCAGCCGCCACAGAGATCGCTAAGGGAGGTATCCACCTCGACACTCCAGTCTAAAGACAGAGCCGCGAGGATCTTCCGTGCCCCCTCGTACGTCACCGCATATCCATACATGCAGCACCCTGATCCTGCGCGATACACAAACCGCGTGGAGTCGATCGAATACTCAGGGTGCTTACTTTTCCAGCTGTCGGTTGGGCCAATCTTATCGTCCCACGGACCTCGACGATCAACACTAATGGTCGTAGGGTCGTCAGGGATAACATAGAGCTCGGTGGTATTTCTTTCCTGCGTCGTGGCACATCCTCCCACCCACAACAGGTCCCAATTGGTGCCGTATGGTGTTTTCCTCGGCGCCTTCTCGTTGTTCGTGAGCTTTCGGACGCCGCGCGCAAATTCCCGCAGCTGCAGCCTCACCGACACATCCCAGTCAGCGTCATCTTCCATGATTAGAGCTGTCGCATAGCGGTTCTCAACAACGCTGCAGGATATTACTTAGTCTGTATTCTTTCAGTAGTTTAAAAAGAGAGAGAGAGTTCAATTACCTCCGAAGTGCATTCATATGAGCGCGCCAACACAAAACGGCGGTGTAAGGAACGTTGGGTCCATCCAGCCTCTGATTTCTCAATTAGCACAGGGTCCGTTGATATCAGATTAAGGATAACCAACATCAGGCAAGGCCTTTTGGGACACCTCTCCCGGCCGCACTCCGTCTAACCAATCCACATTTATCCCAGAAATCGACGCGGCCAAGGTCAGAAAATCATGCTTGTCCGTGCGTTCCTTCAATCCAATAGCGTAGACATGCTCAAACTAGAAGCGAGTTAGTATACCTATACACCTGATTGAAAGACTGCAGCGACGAACCCCTAGAGTTTCGTTTCCAATGTGATCAAACACGGTGTTTTCCAATCGGGTTCGGCCCGCATGAATTAATCCTCGCGTAGACTGGTAGCCATCTTGTTTGTTGAAGAGAACAGCAACCCCCACACAAATACAGAATACGCCCACCGCCGCTTTGATCAATCTCGTATTCCACCGCGTTATCATAATGGCCGCCGAGAGTCGTGGGAATTATCGAAGCAAAACAGTGTCAACAGGAGCAGAAGGTGTCACCATCATCAGCTCGCAATTGTTTGGGTCGGAGGGGCCGTTGTCATCATCATCCTTTTGAATAAAAATCCGGACCTCTCCATGCGACCCTCCAGCACCATCTACCTGACAGGATACATTGTCTTTTGTATTCCGGATAGAGTTGGGTGGTTGAAAACGGCTCTGATTTGGCAATTACCCAAACAGGTATGTACCTTTCCGTCCATAATCCCACCAAATGATCCCACTCTATTCCGGATTCGGCATCTTCTCCACCCAACTTGGACATTCATTCCGTTCTCGGTTTAGACTAGACCCACTCCGATTTCACATGATCGACAACCTGTTTTACTAATCCTCGAGTACTTTAACTAACTAGTTAACTAGTTACCTGTCTATTAATCTCACAGTGCCACGTACTGGCTGTGATTAAGTGTGATTGGTAGATAAATCTTACTGGCTGTGGCCTTAAGATTCAGGGACAAGGGCAATCAGCAATGACGTCATAGCTGAGTTGGTGCCTCAGGACATACTCGCGTAGAACAAAGTGAGGGAAATAAAGAAGCCTTGGGATAATTCTCCCGACTACAGCCATGCTTCAGATTCTGGCCTCTCTTGCCTTCGATGCTGAGATAGCTGTCTTTCTTTCGTGGCCTGCACTGCCCCTCGCGATCGGCCTCTGTGGATCCCAGAGCTCCCTCACCTCCATCTCGCTGGCTCTCTGCTGGCTCTCACTGGCTCTCATCCATATCTTGACCCAACAATCATCCTCCATTGACGCTCTAAAACAACTGGCATCCGCCGACAATTTCGCCGCTGTCTCAATATATTTCATGCTGCCCCTCCGCTCATCGCAATGCTTTTTCGTTTATTCCGCAAAAAGCCCAACATTTCACCATCCGCCCTAGATAGTAGAATTCTGTCAAAACACACAACCCCCCCCCCGTCCGACTGAATCTGTATGATGAGCCCCTCAGCCGCCCTCGTTCAACCCCCAAGTGAGATTCATCGCGCATGGTGGAAAGAATGCTCCGTCTATCAGATTTGGCCTGCCTCATTCAAAGACTCCAATGATGACGGCGTCGGTGACATTCCCGGCATCGTCTCGAAACTAGACTATATTCGCGACATGGGAATCGACATTGTTTGGCTATGTCCGTCGTACAAATCCCCCCAGGTTGATATGGGGTACGACATTGCCGATTACTATAGCATCGCAGACCAGTATGGCACGGTCGCAGATGTGGAGAATCTAATCAAGGGATGCCACGACCGAGGCATGAAGCTGCTGATGGATTTAGTGGTGAACCATACGAGTGATCAGCACGAATGGTTTAAGAAATCGCGAAGCTCCCGGGATAATGAGTTCCGTGATTGGTACATCTGGAGGCCTCCTCGCATTGATGAGAATGGGAACAGACACCCCCCGAACAACTGGGTTTCGCATTTCCAGGGTACACAATCACTCTTCCTTTTTCCCACCTCCCGCTGTAGGGCTCAGAACTGACCTGTCGTATACAGGCAGCGCGTGGCATTATGACGAACTAACCGGCGAATACTACCTACACTTGTATGCCGTCGAACAACCTGATCTGAACTGGGAGAACCCGGCTGTGCGCAAAGCCGTTCACGATATCGTGCGCTTCTGGTTAAATAAAGGGGCGGATGGATTCCGCATGGACGTTATCAACTTCATCAGCAAGGACCAGGCCTTCCCTGATGCTCCAGTTAACGACAAAGACACTATGTGGCAATGGGGCGATAAATATTACGCCAATGGACCCCGGCTGCACGAGTACCTCCAGGAGATTGGAAGGATCTTGAATGAGTACGGTGCCTTTAGTGTAGGCGAGATGCCGTTCGTTAAAGATACAAATGAGGTGCTTAAAGCTGTGCGCTACGATCGGAACGAGATCAACATGATCTTCAGTTTCGAACATGTGGATCTTGACCACGGTCCCTGGGGCGACAAGTTCAAGCCGGGCAGCTTCAAACTTACCGACGTCAAGGCGTTTTTCGAGCGCTGGCAGGTTTTCATGTACGAGAATAGTGGCTGGAACGCGCTGTACTGGGAGAACCACGACCAACCGCGATCAATTGACCGGTTCGTCAATCCGCCTGTAGCTCTCCGACAGACATCCGGAAAGATGCTCGCTACGGTTCTGGCCTTGCAGGCGGGGACTCCTTTTCTTTACCAAGGCCAGGAGATTGGAATGGGCAATGTGCCTCGCGAGTGGGGAATGGAAGAGTACAAGGATATTGACTGTCTCAATCACTGGGAGAGGTATGTCGTCTCCTGCTTACGCGAAGCGCCAAACACATGCTTAACTGATCATATCGCAGACTCCTCAAAGCCAAACCCTTTGACACAGAGGCACAGCAAATCGCCCGGCAAGAATACCAGAAAAAGTCGCGCGACAACGCCCGCACGCCCGTTCAGTGGTCCGCGGAGCCAAATGGCGGCTTTACCAGCGCTGCCGTGAAGCCGTGGATGTCCGTCAACCCCGAATACCTACAAGTGAACGCAGCCGCTCAGGTGCAAGATCCCCACTCGCTGTACAACTTCTGGGCGTCCGTGCTGAAACTCCGCAAAACCTATGTCGACATCTTTGTGTACGGGAACTACGAGGCTGTGGATCGCGACAGCCAGGAGCTTTTCGCGTTTACCCGCACCTACAATAGCTCGAAGGCATTGGTGGTGGCTAACTGGACAGCCGGGCAGCTTTCCTGGGATGCAGCCGCCCATAAGGTTGAAGCCAAGGAGGTGCTCCTGGATACGTACGGGCCTGCGAGCGCAGTGCAGGAGAGGTTCCGCGGTGGGAAATGGACGCTGCAGCCGTACGAGGCGGCTGTTATCTTGTTGAACTAATACCCAGACCTAAAATATATTTGATGGGATTTAAATAAACAGGGGCCTAAATTTGTATCTAGGGTTACAATGGTATATATATATATATATATATATATATAATATATATAATAAATAAAATATATATATTTGGGACGTATCAGTAGAAACCTAAGGCACCAACTTCCCCTCATCTCCGTTCCGCGAGTCACACACACACACACACACACACATTCTCATCTCAACTCAACTTTTTTACATCGAATTTAGCTACAAAGTTTTATCAGATTCAATCCCAATCTACAAGCATGTCCTCTGCAAACAACAACAACCCACCTGATTCCCAATCACAACCACCACCACCACCACCACCACCACCAGAACAAGAAGAAAAAAAAGAAGAAGAAATCCCAGCACACCTAAACCCAGCCACCTACCCACGAACCCTAACGATCCCGCGCGCCAACATCCACATCTCATTAACCTACGCCCCGCTGGACGCAAGCCGCGCGCTCTCCGCGATCTCGTCCGCCGCCGCGGGCGCAAACGTGCTCTTCCAGGGCACGACCCGAGACAGCTTCGCCGGCAGACAGGTGGCGCAACTCAGCTACACGGCGTACGCGCCGCTGGCGCTGAAGTCGCTCGAGGCCATCGCGCGCGAGGCCGTGGCCGCGCACGGCCTGGCGGGCGTGTACATTGCGCATCGGCTGGGCGTGGTGCCGGTTGGGGAGGCGAGTATTGTGATTGGGGTGTCGGCGGGGCATCGCGGGGCGGCGTGGAGGGCGGGCGAGGAGGTGTTGGAGGAGTGTAAGAGTAGGGTGGAGGTGTGGAAGAAGGAGGAGTTTGTGGATGGGGCCGGGGAGTGGAGGGCGAATAGGGAGAGGGATGCAGAGGGGGGGTTGTTGGTCTTGACTGGTTCTTAAGTTCCTTTGTAGGTTTATTATCGTAGGTTATGGTACATTGCTTGGTTGGTACAGGATATGATGATATGAATGAATGAATGAATGAATGAATGAATGAATGAAGCAAGATTAATCCCTCTTCAATGGCTTGCCCTCTCTCTTCCAGTCGTTGATATGTTCCATGATCGTGTTTGTCGCGGTGTCCGGTGTATCCTGGCGTCCGATACATTCAACAAAGTCGCCCTCGGGATCTGCACTCAATCAGCAAAACTCATCAGAGAAAAGCGAAAAGAAAAAAAAAAAAAAAAAAACCCCCTTACCCATCAGATAAAAGTAAATGCTGTGGTCAACCAGGTAGTCCTCTCCTGGCTTCACATCCCGCGGCGTACTAAAGTAAACCCGGTACTGCCTGCACACATGCTTCACCTCCTCATACGTCCCCGTTAACCCGATGATATCCTTGTGGAACTCCTGCAGATAAGTCCGGAGCACTTCGGGCGTATCTCTCGCGGGGTCGCAGGTAATGAACACGGGGAGGAAGATATTCTCGCCCTTGGTGGCGGCCTTGACCTGGTCGATGATCTCGGCCATTTTGTCCAACTCATCGGGGCAGATATCCGGACAATGAGTGAACCCAAAGTAAACCTTGACATATCAGCACATCCTGCCTGTTGTTCATTCCTCCTGTCTAAAAAGGAAAAAGAAAACTCACAAAACTATACTTCCCCTTCAAATCCTCCGCCGTAAACTCCTGCCCATCCAAATCCTTCAACACAAACGGGCCCCCAACCTTCGGCTTCCCAACTCCCTTGCTCATCTCCGCAATCCTCTTCCGCTCCAACCGCTCCTTCTCCACCCGGAAGTAAATGATCATCGCCCCGCCGGTAAGCACAAAGAGCAGCGCCGCCTTCCACGAGAACGGACCGGTGGAGTTGCGGGCGCGGAGCTGGCCCATGGTCTTGGCGCGCGCGCGGACGGAGGTCGTGGAGAATGCATGTGCGGTTGCCGGTGTGGTGGTGCTGGTTATTCGGGGGATATGGCGTGGGCATTGTGAGTGGAGGGAGGCGGCGGCGGCGGTGGTGATGGGGGTGGAAGGAAATCGAGCGGCGCGGGATGCCCGGGTGAATACCCTGGCGAGAGGGCGGATGGATGAGGACATGTTCCCAGAGACTCGGAGGTGACTGGGTTAGGATAGACCGGTGCTGGGTGAGATGAAAAAGAGACGACGCTGTTGGAGTGGCCGGTTTTGAGATCTCCAGATGCTCTTTATCCGGTTTAGCGCTGTTGCCTGGGGCACCAACATTCGGAGCTATCACGTGGAAATACGGCCTAAGGCATACAACATACTTTGTAGTATAACTCTACTATATTCCTAGGTAACTATTATTACTGCGAAGGACAGCCAAAGGGGATTGGAACCGGAATGATGCTGTATATTCATGAAACCAAAATCATCGACTAGAATTACAAATAATTACTTGCGCTTCCTGACTCCCAAGTCTATGCTATGACAACCATGATCGACGAGGTGGAATTGGCGGCTTAAATAATGCAGAGGAAAGGAGAAGGAAATTTTCGAAAAGATAGTATCATCGCATAATGCTGGACCCGATATCGCATCACATAATCGCGTGGTTGAATCGAGAAAATCGAGGGCGGGAAAAAAGAAAGAAAAAAAAAAGGAAACGAAAACGAAAGCCACGTTTTTGTCCGGTGGAATGTCAAATACGCTTTGCTTATTATGTACGCCCCAAAAGAAGAAGAAAAAAAAACCTCATCTCGGTCAATGTACACTCCTGCTGGCTTGACTGGCACGGCTCGCACGACTGGGGGTGGTCCGGGGTTCTTCCTCCTCGAGAACATCGCTCAGACGGGTAGGATGGCGATGACGAGGAGTGAGCGACTCCCATCCGGCTCCGACACCCCAGCCAGATCCGCTGTAGTCCACTGCTCCCTGGTCATAACCAACATACAGTGGCGCCGAGGAAGGCGGCATGGTGCTGGTCGCATAGCGGTGTTCACCCTCTTCAACTGATCCCTGCTCATATTCGTCGCTTTCCTCAGACATTGGACGAGGGTAGACGATTTGACGACCTTGTGAATTATGAGCATAGCTACCGTAGTCCTCCTCACCGGGCTCGCTGCTGCCCAAGCCAGGACCATGGGACGGTTCCTCACGCCGCTCTGCTGTGGTTTGAGCCGGGTGGGTACCCTCTTGCTCATAATATTGACCCGCATACTGCGCCGGGGTGTGCGAGGCTGTAGAAGTAGACGGCTGCGCTTGGGAGCCCTCAGTGAAAGGATCAGTTCCAGCCGGTGACGCCGGGGTCTCCCCGTATAGGTGGTCTGGGGTGGCCCCCATACTGGCACGATGGTCGCCTCCGGGAAACGGACCATCGCGAGTGGGAGGACGGGCGGGATCGCGTCGACCAGGGGGCCCAGGGATCATTGGCACTACCTGGACTCCGCCCACTAGGGTGGGTTCTCCATTACGAAGGGAGTTGGTGCGGTCCCGTTCTTCTTGTTCGCGACGGCCCAACTCCTCCCAGGCACGACGAGCCTCATCTTTCGAGATTTGCAGTTCACGACGCATCTCTTTCAGCAACTCTTCAATCCGGGCCTTGTCCGTTTCGGACTTTTGCAGGGATGTGACCGCCTCGCTTCGGGCCTGTCGCTCGGTTTGAACTTGCAATTCGAGGCTCGCCTGGAGTTCCTTGGCCCGTTCTTGTTCGGCACGGGTGTCAAAGAACCACCGTTGGAACTTACGCTCCGAGGATGCGCGTAAGCGCTGCAGTTCCACCACGGCATGAAAAAGGTTAGCACCGGCGGCAGAAAGATCGGTGACTTGGCGAGCCATTTGTTGGCTGAGCGGATCCCTCTCGAGGGCCTCATTGTTCAGCTCAAGCTTGCGAATCCAGTAGCCGGTCAGGCCCTCCCAATGTGATGAGAGAGTCTCCCACCTTTCGAACGCATGTGGGAATCCGACACGACGGGGTTGTTGCTGCTGCTGCTGCTGTTGAGGTTGAGACGTAGCCTGCTGGCTACCACTGGAAGGAACTTGGGTTTGCGGAACAGAGGGCTTAGGCACTGTAGAACCCGGCTGCAGCGGAGCGGAAGTAGTAGGCGGCCTCTGCTGGCCTTGAGCTGCTGCACCCGTGGGTATTTGAGGCTGAAATTGAGGGTCTGGACGGCGAGGGCTCGTTGGTGAGGTGATCGGAGCACCAGTGGCGGTGCGTTCTGGCGCGGGCGGCCCTTTCGGTGCCGCTCGTCGTTGTGAAGATCTGTCGCCAGCAGCGCCAGCAGGGTAGGGTTGGGCGGGAGCGTGTTCCTGCTGAAGTGTGCGCCCCACCTCGTCCTGTTCCCGGTCTTTGGCCTCCTGCTCCGCTTTCCGGCGCGCTTCTCGATCTCGGCGCTGTCTCATAATATCGGTGGGCGTTCGCACACCACTGGGTGGATGTGGGTTCACGGGAATCGGGCCGTGAGCCGCCCGTGACGCGCCATTCTGGCTGCGGCCATTGCCTGCCAGCGCGGCAGAACCAGGTGCTCCTCCCAGGTCGGACATTGACGCGTTCACTTCTTGCCAATCAGGAGTAAACGGAAATGGCTTTCGAATAGCTTCTTCCAACGCCCAGAGAATAGCCGATGCTGTGCGGGAAGAGACGCGGGTGGATCGACGAGGCCAGTAGGATTCGCCTGAGATTTGCGGATTCTCGTCGAGTGCAGAATCGCTATTCTCGTCGTCGTCGTCGTCGTCCGTTTGTGGTTCAGGAGCGGGTCGCACGAGTACTGGGATGGTCTGTTCTATGTGAAAAGGTCGTCCCGATGCATCTACCGAGCCCGGTCGTCGCGGCGAATAGCGGGAAGTTCTCCGGATAACACGGGGGCTGCCCTGTTGCGCACTGGGAGGGGAAAGGGGGCTGCGGGTGGTTGGATTCGGCGCAGGACGAGGAGCAGCCTGCTGCTGGCGTTGCTGGGAAGGGGTCGTAAGCGTAGAAGGGTCGTAAAGGTCGTAGGTCTCGTCAAACGTGCGGTGGGATGGATGATACACCGCTGGGGTGAGGATGGGGTGGGATGGAGGCAGATGATGCGACGACAACGTGAGAATGTGCGAGCTTCCGAAAGTTCAAAGGGATTGAAGCACGTTAATCTCGATCTGATACAGCTCGAGCGAGAATGGCGACTCCAAAAAAGATGGGTCTCGTAGGAAGTAGTAGGTCTCTGGAAAGGCCGTAGCAGGTAAGTATGGAGGAATTAATTGACAGCACGGAATGTGGGTAAATACAAGCGCTCAAAAACGAGAGAGAAAGTAGGAAGGATGGCGACGCAGTGGCTGGTCGAATGAGGGCGGGTGTGGAATTCAGATGGCTGGGGGAACCAACCTCCGAGCGCTGCTACTAGACCACAACGCGCGCTGGAATAAGCCCGTGGTAGTCATGGAGCAGAGCAGGCAGAGCTCAATGGCTGGAAAGCAGGAAATCCGTGTCGACTAGACGTAGCGAGGGAGAGTCGTGAGGGTTGAAGAGAAGGAAAGACCAGAATCGAAATGAGTGAAGAAAAAGAGAAACCGAGCGAGAAAGAAAGAAACGGTAAGCGACGGTCCCGTAAGATTGGGCAGATGAAAATCCAGCAAATTACAACACAATAGCGAGGGATAATTGAAACGACTGACGGTATAAGGAAGGTATGGGTAATTTAATCCCTTCATCACCTCAGATCCGATGCTGAAAGCGCAGAAGAGCGTCGAGAGAGTTAAATACAGCCGACCACAGAGGGAGGAGGGTTGGGAATTAATTTGCCAGCAAGGACTAGAATTGGACCTTACTTTCTTCCTTCATCCCGAGAGAGAAATATCAAATTATTGATCAGGTTGGTTGACTACGAGGACGAGGGATACCGTTGGCAACATCAACATCATCATCGTCATATAAAGAATAATAATACAAGCCCTGGTCTCTACAGAATCTCTTCAGCCTGATGTGTTGGCAACAACAGAGTATCTCGACAGCTGTTCCTTTATTACAGTATACTCGAAACATACATCTTCCACCCTTCTTGAAGCTTCGTCATCAAGGATCCAGGCTGCAAAATCTTCATCAATTTGAACCGTCTGTAAGGGCAAGTCGATCCTCGGGCTTTATTCAAGTCTCTGTCCCGGTTTCAGACATATCGGAAGACCTTACAGGATGTTTCATTTCCACTCGGAATGCCGGATGGAGCATCTATACATCTTGGTAGGATAAATATACCTATCTTGTCTTGCATGATCGTGTTTCTGATCTTTATATGCTAGTGGAAGATACCTTGGAATATCAGTATACAACAGTTAAAAGGTCAATCCATATCTTCTATCTAGATCCAAGAAAGCCGTTGAATTCAAAAGTACGACTGCAATTAACCATTACCCGTACAATGCACAATGCCATCGCATATACTCCTGAGGAATGTGGGCCTGCAGCATTACCTGTACGCGCAGTACTTTCGGAGCGTAGAAATTATGTTAGATTAGAGCTGTCCTTTCAGCCGGGGCTCAATGCACCAATTACGAAGAGAAGAATCAGTGAATTCGATGGAAACCGGGCAGAAGCTTTAGAGATAGGTCACCTCAAACCCTCAACAACCCTCAAAGCAGGCGTCTGGATAAAGCGTCCACAACAACCTGGATCATTAAACTTTAGCAAGATGCAGAGTTGCAGATGGGCAATCCCAAGGTTAGCTCAGGCTGGCTGTTGGCGAAGGTATCCCCGCAACCGGTATGGATGGAGGAATGTGAAATCTTGAGATATCACATCCTAACACTGGATGGATCTCCAGCCTCATGCACATTTATTTTACCTTCTTTCTGGGACGCGCAACGGCGTCAGGTTCATCCAGGGTCCGCTTTTTGCAGATCTGAAGTTGTAGTAGAGGGAATGAGGCTGAGCTTGTGCCTATTATACCTATACCTCAGACCTATCCAGATCCGGTAACTCGAGGGACTGGTTGATATCATTCAACCCATGATGATGCACGCAGAGAAAGTCTGAATGTTATGTCCTAAACAAAGCCGAATTAAAAAAAAAAATACTGGCGGATCGGGTTCCGGGAGCCTCCTTGCTGGAGCATCGATCGCCTTGCTGCAACAGGTTCATCCCTGGGGAAGGAGATCATGTAAGGTCTGAGATAGGTCATTGGCATCTGTGGCCCGCGGCCGAGGGAGCTTTGTTTACACCATCCCGTCGTCCATTGGCATGCGTCCGCGCTGGCTCTCTAGCCCTAGCCACCAGTATGCTGAGCCGCGATCCCCAGCAGCCGAACATGGCAACAATGTACTCGGATCTATAAACATATCCCCCCCTTCACCCTTGCCCATGCTTCATTCTCCTCCTCCGTCCTGAGTCTCCCTCTCGTTCGGTTGATTGCCTATCCCGCGTCTTTGCCCTGCTGAGTCCAGCGTACCCACGCATGGTCGTCCGCGTCCTCTCTTTCAATTAGTTGCTGATGAGCCACCGCCATCACCGTCATTCACGCCGTCAGAAACGGAGCCCATGGCTAACGGATACTCTGCCCTCCCTGGCGAATTGAACGCGCCGCAGAAGAGCCGGAATAGATCGCAGACCACAGTGTGTCTGCCGCCCGCTCCCTCGCCGCCAAAGAAGCGAGCATCCTCATTCTATCCGCCTCGCGGGCCTGATGAGACCGCGGATGAGTCGAACCCGGATCCATTTTACCTCGAACAGTCGCTGAAGAGCGCGGCCAGCTGGGGATCCTGTCGACAGGACTTTCGTCATGCGAGAACTGGTGAAGAAATCCAACGGTTCTTCATGCTAGCCCTCGTGAAGTCTGGTGCAGAACTCCCGGTTGCCAGCCCAGGAGCGCGCGGGGAGACTGCAAGATCCCAGGCGAATAGCCATCGATCAACACTGTCCGTCGTCGAGCTCGAACACCAACTCAGTCTACAGCAGCTCCCCAGCCAGCCCTGGGCAGGCGAACCAACCGACTACAGCCAGGGCTCCTTCAGCTCCGTCCACACAGAGGCAACCCCTGACCTCACACCGAGCAGTTCATTCTCTTCCAACTCTTCTGCTCCGATCTACCCAGAGACCGTCATCAAGGCGACGGAACAACTTTCGCTTCTTTCCAAACAGGCAAACGAGACCCCCTTTAACCCAGGATACCCGTCTTGTGCCACGCCTCTCAATCGATCCCAGATAACGCTCGCTACACTACCGTCGACGCCGCCAATCTGCGAGACAAGACCGCAACCGACGTTCCCGAACGATTCTTCAGAGACCCTCATCATGCCTCCCGCCAGGAGTCAGGATGCGGTGTCCCTCCGGGGCAAACCCCTACCCTCGCTCCCAAGCAACCCCCGCAGCGGGAATGGACACCCGCCGAGGAAGCCACCTCCAAGCCGGCTGGTGATTGAACCGTCCATGATCTCTTCACCCAGTCTCATTGACCCCGTCACCCTGGAGCCGCACCGATCACATTTCGATCAGGCTTTGTTTATCCCGGCCAATGAATGCCCGAGCCCGGTGCCCAGTCCAGGACCCCCGTCGCCTGCATTTGAGTGCCAGCCAACAGCGCCGTCCAGCCGGGAGAGGCCCTCCACTTCGGCCTCCGAGATGTACTGTGAGCAATCCGTTTGGGAATCCGACTCTGAAAATGAAGACGCGGATCCCAGGTCGCTCTCTCGAAAACCAATTGACACTCTGAAGAAGGTCCGTAGCAGGGTCCAACTACGCGTTGCAAAGTCGACGCCCAAGCTGCAGAACCACCACAACCACCCGGGATTGGAAAAGTTCCCCACGATGCCCGAGGCACCACGGCAGGCGCTGTGCTGCGCAACCGCAAGCCCCAAGCAAACGGTCCTCCAAGCCCGTCCCGGCCGGGATATCCTGCGAAGCAATGCGCAACACACTCTGCGCCTGGTGGCGCCGTCAACGACTTCCTTGGTCCATCCCAGATCTCGCCGCAACAGCAGCAAAACCAGAACCTATGACATCGACCGGTCCACCGCTGCCGCAATGCAAGCCAAGTCGCGTCGTCGGCAACGATCTGACTGCCCCGAGATATCCTTATCCGCAGAACGCGAGAAGATGTGCACCTTTTGCCGCGAGGAGCGGTCTGACAAAGCCATCCATCACAGCTTGACGTTGTCGCGTCCCCCTCTGTACAAGCGAGTCTGGGAATCCCTCCGAGTCCTGGGCTGCCATGGCGATATCACGCCGCCCAGACCACGCAAGGCGATGTAAAATTCGTCTCCTTCGTCTGACTGGCACTCACCAATATCCCCAAAAAAAAAAAGGCGTTGAAACGATCTATCTGTACGGTTATGTATACGGAAACACTCATGGCGCGCGCAGTGCATTCTTTTACCAACGATCCAACGATATCAACCCATGACTTTCTTTTCTGTCTTTCTTTCTTTTTTTTTTTTTATTGCCTGCTTCTATAATGTCTAACGATGCTGGTATTCTCACGGACCAGTAATGGAATCAACGGGGCTCACGCATGGAAACGACTTTCTGTGCGAAATGACTTATGAACAGCGGCGCTGGATATATTCACGACATCCATAATTTCGCCCACAAGAACTCGACGAGGCATGCAGCGCGCATCATGATGAGACGCTCTATGGCTGTCTATCTCCTCTTTCCTTTCTTTTCTTTATTTTTTTTCCTTGCACGCTTGACCGTTTCCCTCGCTCAAACGGCTGGAATACTATCTCTCTCTCTCTCTCTAGTCATTCTTTCTTTCCATTTCCTCATACTATGTCTGTCTATAGCAAAAGTCTCTATAGCAAAACGCTAATGCTCCCCCGGGCAAAATATCATTTCATTTCTCCTTCTACAGCCTAGGCAATGTTTACATTCCATTCTTTCCGTCCAGCGGCAACAACGTAGACAGATCCCGCGGGAATAAATGCTGGAGAATTCTCCGCGCTACTCCGTGCTCAGTCATCCATTGCATATCTTATGGCACGAGCAATATTCTACAGGTTGGAAATGGGTTGTTGTTGTTGTTGTTGTTGTTGTTGTTGTTGTTGTCTCGTTGTGTATACTGGTTTGTTTGTTTTTCTCCCTTTGTATCCCTTGGGTGGTAGCAGTTCTTCTGCTTGATATTCTGGGATATCGATATTGATACTGATTCTTCGTCTATTGGAGAGAGATGCTAGACATGGTTTCAGGACTTGTGGAAAGGTTTGCAGTACATACTCGTCATTCGGATTCTGATAGGACAACCCTGCCTAGAGTACCTCTACGCAAGTATGTGTTTTCCGGATGTACTCGGTAGGTCAGTAGATGATTCGTGGCGTTCTCTCTCTATGGAGTAGCAGCGAGTACCTCTTCATAAATGAACAGGTTGCTCATGGAACTAGTTATGTATACTCGGAAAAAAAAAAACAGGTAGGTCGATCTTTCTCCATCACATGCGATGGATAAGCTCGAGTCCAGACCATTCAAAAAGCAACCGCAGACAAAGTACCTATGCATGGATGTCTGGCTTGAGGATCCGGGTTGCTGTCCGTCGGGGATTTCGCTCTGCCTTGCAGGTAGATATCCACCAGGCAACAACAGCAAGGGACCCGACCCCGGCCTGCCTATCCACCCTTGCTGCATGGCTGATGTCCCGTCCAGTCATCCGCGGCACCCGCAGACTGCATGGCCGCGCAGGAAGAATGCACCGACGACGTTGTCTATCCGAATGCAGTACCGCCGTACGGACAGAAGACTACTCCAGAGCAGCAGCCGACTGCATCGGTCAAGAGCAGGTAGGAGAGGTCAGGCTCGGGTCGAATCAGGAAAATCGGATTCCACCAGAAGGTCTCAAGGCTGCTCGGGAAAAACCCGCGGATCCGCATCCGCATCCGCCGCCCCCCCCTCGCTCTTCATCTCCAGGAGATCCATATTCTCCTCCCAATGCCCAACCCGTACCCTCTCCTCCCACTTGGAAACCACCGCCTCCCCCTTTCGCGCGAGTTGAGTCTCGGGTTTCTCCTCCTCCTCCTCCTCCTCCCCAGTCGGCGGATGGTGGTGGTGGTGCTCCTCCAACCCCGCAAAAACCGCCTGCACATTTTTCAACTCCTTCCCAGCCTCTCGATAGACCGTGAGAATCGCCTCCCTTGTTACGCGTCGTCTCTCCAGCTCTGCCGGCGTTTCCTCCTGCATCGACGACCCACCGGCGCGCTGCTTCTTGACCACCCCGGAGCCGGCTCGGCTCTCGTAGCCCCGAAGCACGCCCTCCAGGATCCCTAGAACCGTTCCGGCCCTCATGCCTAGCTGCGCGCCGATCGGGAACCCCGCGTCGAAACCGCGCTGGACGTGTTCGCCCTTCGAGGTGGAGATGCCATCGCGGTACCCGGCTGTGACGTGCTGGCGGCGGAGAGAGGGGAGTTCCGAGGGTTCGGGGGTACGGTCTGCGCGTGTCTCCGTGGAGGATCCGGTCATCCCATTGTCGTGGTCTGCATGAGGAGGAGAAGAGCCGAAGATGTCGTCGAGGGAGTTGGAATCTGCGGGATGTTCTTGGGAGGACATGCTGGGGGGGTGCAGGATCTCAAGGGATCTGGTATTCTTCTATTTATTCAGAGCAGATCATTCGGTTTAAAACGAGGATAAGATGGCCATAAGAATTGGGTGATGTGGAGGAGGAGGAGGAGGATGTTAAAAAAAAGGTGAGAAAAATTGGATCGGCGGGGGTCCGCCTCAAGTAACCTAAGTATGTATATATATATATATATATATACACTTTATCAGAATAAACCAGGAGATATTTCCCAGTTATACCTGCTCAATCTGAATAGTATTATAGTTACTTGAAATCTTACACATAGTTAACTAATTCGAGACACCTCTGCTTTCGGGGTTGCGTGATGATGTATGTTTCCTGCTTTTTAGGCCCCCCCCCCCCCCCCAAAGCCGAAAAAAACTACAACAACGTCTCTTCTCACATCACTGAAAAAAAAAAAACACAGTAATTCATTATTCCACCCCTCTGCGCATCCATGGCCATCCGAGCCCGTCGTGTCTTTATTGCTCTGGCTCTCCCGCCCGTGGTCACCACATACGCCATCCACCGCACCCTCAGCAGTCTAGAGTCCCGATACCCCGAGCTGCCAGTCACCTCGTCCACCTGCAGCGCGGCTCTCCGCACCCCCGAATCCCCCTCTACCCAGCGATGCGATGGAGTCGACATCTACGCTACCCAGGTGCCCCTGAGCACCCTTCTCGCCCCGCGGACCACCAGCCCAGACAACAAGCCAGCAGCCACCCGCAGCATCGCCGCCGCCTGGGCCCACGCCGTCATCGGGAGCCGCATCCTCCGCCTAGAAGGCAGCCTGTTCGGCTTAGTGACCCGTGGGAAATTCGACCCGGGCGATGTGGGCGATTCCCCGGCTGGATTCGCCCCGCGCCCGGAACCCGACGGTGGCGAGCGCGAGTGCAAGCGCGAGCTTCTCAACGGGGTGTTGGTTGTGGAGCGGCCGCCCGCGCCAGGGGACCCGTACGGCCTACTAACTTCCTGGAGGATGGACCGGGGCGCGTGCGAGTTCTTCGAAACGATCGCGCGGTGGGGGTACCCGTGGCGGTTGGTGTCCGGGGGACGGCATGAAATGAGCGTGTCCGGGCCCTTGGAGATGGAAGGGCGGCGGCGTGAAGAAGAAGAAGAAGAAGAAGAAGGCCCCTTTGTGGAGGTGAGGTTTGCCTCGGCGCATGACTATGTGGTTGTTCCTGAGGAGGGCGAGCGGCAGAAGACCATTCCCGGCTGGGTGGGCAGATTACATCGTGGATATGCCCGGTTGATTCTGCATCTTGCTGTTCGGGAGTTGCAGCAGCGGCCAGTAAGCGGTTGATTGATGTATTGGTGGTTTCCCTTTGGTTTGGAATGGGAATACTAGGTATTGCAGCATCTGTCGATACTCAGAATTAACTTTGGCTATACTTGCGAGATTGATTCATCTGGTTTAATCCGCAGTAGATACTTCTTCTGCCTAGAAAATGGGACTTGACTTGCCCTAAACTTGCATACAAGGACAGCAGTAGGCTCAAAAACAGAGACATCTACAGTTTGACAAGATGGGATCCTCGCAGTCACTTGAAGCCTAATTATTGTGCTCTTTCACAACTCAGAGTCCTACTATCGATAGATCCTGGGTCCTCCGGCCAAATAATTCGCATCAGTCAAGGTTCCGGGGAAGTCTGAAACGAGTGACATGGATGCTGATATTATGTGATGCCTGAACTGTTCGCGCAGAGTAATGATATACCAAAAGCATGGAGCTCTACCGCGGTTTCTCAGTGCCGAATATCTCGACTATAAAGACACACACGGGCACAGATAACTTCAGGATCCATACAATAATCAACCACCAAGACAGCAAGACAACTAGCAAGACAACGTCCTTTCTCTCTGACAAGAAAGAAACAAAATGTCCGAACCCATCCAATGCATCGTTTCCTACCCCGCAAAGACCGCTGCCGGTGCCGCGGCCCGGTTCGATAGAGAATAGTAAGCCCTAACATTCATTCCAAAATACGACCTGAGTGCCTAATCCAACCTGATGAATCGGAAAGTTATCTAAACGTCCACATGCCCAACACCGAAAAAGCCTGGGGCCCCCATGGCATGAAGAGCTGGTCGGCTGCGGAGTTTCCAGCTGAGCATCCTCTCGATGGCAGCGACATGCCATTTGTTGTTCAGACAACGGTGACTTTTGAAAGCGAGGAGAAGCTCCGTGCGGCGTTTCTGGCGCCGGGCACCAAGGAGACGACGACGAATTCTGATAAGTTTACGGATGTGAAGCCGGTTATCTGGGTGGGAAAGGTCGCTGGGTCGAAGACTTTGTAAAATTCCGGGGGATCCTGATCGTGTTTGACGGTTATATAAGTCATTACATACAGCACTAGGCATATATATGTATATATATGTGTGTGAGATGCGTGGATCGCAAGTTCAAGTTCAACTATCAACGTCTAGCTAGAACCAAGGTACAAAGAGACAATAAAAGGATGCTATTCCCACCGCAACCGGCTCACCAAACGGCCTACTGCTCTCTTCATAATACTTGCACTCTTAGGAGATTTAGGAAGTGCAGCGCTCCACTCCCACGGACACCAGATAGGCTGTCCCGGAAAAGCACGTCGATACAGGCGCCTCGCATCCGCCCAGTCATGGTCCCAATTCCCATCAGATCTAAGACGAAGAAGAAGAAGAGAAGGAGGAAGAACAATTAGCCCTCCCATCTCCCCATCTCCAATCTCAATCAGAACCAATGGTATCATGCATACCTAACATAAAAGCACGACGGGGCCAGCATATGCGCTCTCAACAACACACAAGCAATGACTTCATCATACTGTCGCCGCGCCGTCTTTACATACCAGCCTCTCCAGTTCGGGTATATAGTCAGAGGCTCGTGTCCCTCATCGCCGACTCCGTTCAAATATATGCCTTTCCGCTGATCGATGGTCGGGAGACAGGATTTGCCGTCGCGGGTCTCGCCGCAGATGTTGGCCGAGGATGCCTTGACGATGGAGGGCACGTCCAAGACTAGTTGTTTCCAGGCTTTTTTCCACTGGCGGGCCTTCCAGTCCTCGATTCCGTAGTAATGCGTGTATCTAGATGCGTAATTCTTAGTGGTTGGGGCTCTGGTTCTACGGAGTCAGCTTGTGTATATATATATACCCCATAGTTAGTTGGTGTTTGTGGAAGTTGATCACAGGTGGGTTGAAAAAGCTAACGAGTGTAGAGAATAAAAAGAATATCAAACTGCAATCCTGTTAAGATAAATTGATGATAGTTGCGCAGTAGAATATGTTCAGGCATAGTTGGGAATTCAAGGAGGAATTTCTCTAAGAATCGCCCCTTCCTCAACAACCATACCCAAATCTCTCATCTGTGCGTATTGTTGGGGTTGTTTATTAAATATGAGGTTTCTATGAATACATCCGAGATAGCGATATCTCGTTCTGCGGTATGCGGTGGTTTTGATTCTATCTTGTAGTTATAACTTAATCCCTACTGCCAGGAGCTAATCTCCATGCCCGTAGTGGCAGACTCTGCAGTTTCAAAACGGCAGGTTTAATGAACAGGAAGAAGGTGATGGTTCCAATCGCAACACATAAGATGTTTGTCATGTAGTAGCCATCCCGCGTGACATTGCAGCTTCCACCGCCGTTGATGCAGCGGGTCTTGTCTGGTTCGAGGGCACAGGAGAACGGGGCCGTCACGAGATCCCCTTTTAAGGAGTCAAGGGCAGGCACGGTGGTAGGTGGAACACAAGTAGCCTCCGTAAATAGGTCGACGAGTTTGAGGATAAAGTACCGCGGGAATGTACCTCCCAAGTTCGAGACGCTAGAGAGGCATTAGAAGAGTAAGACACAGCAGCGCAGTGGGGACTTACGTTGCCAGCATGGTCATGTACGTGCCCCCAATCACTGGGTCGGCAATCCGTGCGTGGAAGGCAGAAACTGCTACAAACATGACGGTGTTCATAAATGTTGAAACAACATGCTCGACGATTACCGTCAAGAGATACCAAAATGGAACATCCGAACCGGATGGGAAGATCATGACCGTAGCCTGGGCCAGGACTGCGGCGGCAAGGCGTCCGACAAAGGCCCAGCACCACAGTCGCATCGGGGTATACTCGGTTGACCACTTTCCGGCATAGTAGCCAAGACCGATTTCGAAGGGGAAGTCAATGAGGACGACCAGGGCCATGTTGTCCTGGCCAAATCCCTTATCTAAAAGCTTCAAGCTGGTGACGCCATCGTTGGCCTGGAATCCGATTTTGGCAATCAAATGGACTAGAATGATGGTCTGGATATTCTTCAGCTTCAGCACATTCCACATGCTGCGGTACACGTCCATGATACTGTCTCGCTCTGACACCTTATCTTCTTTCTTCATGAAGGCGAGGAGGGTGGTCACGACAAGGTACGCCCATCCCCAGAAGGTGAGATAGCCTCCCAGGGACAAAAGACCACCCTCGCCGGGAGTCGTCCGGAAATAGCGGTTTGCAAAGTCCTGGGAATTGAATGCAAGAAACACAGTGTACGACAAGAAGTGGCCAGCTGTCAGGCCGACGGTCTGCGCGGTTGACGCGTATGAAATATTCGGCGGAGACATGAGGGTAATAGCCCATCCGTCAACGGCAATGTCCTGCGTGGCGCAGAACAGCACCAGCAAAAACCACCAATATGTAAAGTTCCAGACCCCTTCTCCGCCATTGGCGCCCGCCGCCTTCATCATCTCTTCAATGCGTCCACCAAGATAAATCATGGCGAGGCCAGCAATGACCTGAACGGGAGTAATCCAACTCTTTCGCCGGCCGAACCGGGGGCTCCAAACGGCATCCACTATTGGGCTCCATAGTAGCTTGAGGGAATAAGGATATGAGGCTAGCGAGAACACGCCGATTTGGCCGTAGGAGAGGTAGGGTTTAAGGAGGAACGGCACCGATCCAGTAGCCAAGCCCATGGGGACACCCTGGAGGAAGTACAGGACGCACAACAGCAGAAAGTTTCTCCGGTCGCTGGGAGGAAGGTCGCCAAAGCTTGTGGTCGCCATTCCGGGTGTCTGAGGAGTCATGGGGGGATCTTGGTCAAGGGAAAAGCTCGTCCGGGACATGAGGCGATTCGCCCGGCTGGACGAGGACTCAGCCGAATTGTCCCGCTTGCGCATTTCGATATTGGAATTCATATCTGCACTCCCGTACCCGTTCTGGCGGGTCGCGATACTAAGACTCGGCGTCGAGCGACGTTTGGCAATGGTGTGATTCTTGCGCTTCATCTGGGAGCCGTGTCCGGGGTAGGAGGAGAACGATTCGTCGCCAAGTCGTCGCGTGCCGGGATTCGTGTCAGTATAACCCGCGTCGGAGGGAGTGATGGACAACTGATCTCCAGGGTTGGGGGAGGTGAGTGAGATCTTGATATTATTCGTGATTACCTTCGATGCTGGGGCATACTAGGGTATTGAGTTCCACCTCGTCGGACGTGTTGTTGCGTGAGAGGATGACGATGTTGGGAGGTCGCTAGAACTGCAAGGAGCGTGGACATGGAGGAAGGGGGGAACCAGGAGAACGAGATTCTGGGGAGGAAGGAAAAGGACCAAATATGATCAGCCAGACCGTTCTGAGTCAAATGATGCAAGCGAGGGGAAGAATCTGAGGTAAAGGTGGTGGTGGATGTGGCGGTTGATTATTTGAGGCAAGCTGGCCTCAAGCGGAAATTCTCAGCAACTCCGCATTACTACACAGAAGGACCCTTTGTCCGCCACATGCTTAGCGGATATTTTCGGCTGGTCCATAAGAATTAAGAAGGGACTGCTTGAATCTCTATCTCCCTACGGAGTACTCTGTCTACTCCCTACTCTAGAGTCTCTAGATGCCCCGCGAGTACTCGTAATCCGTCTAAAAGCCTAGCCCAACACTCGCCAAAGCACAAGGTACGACACGTCAGGATACCTGTGCCTAACAGTTGGGCTTGATATGACTTGTATACAGTCTCAGTATCTAAATATCTTATTCGCTAGTAAATCTCCGTGACGATACCCATATCCTACTAGGGAACTACTAACTAGTAGTAGAGGCTCTCACTAGTACAGGTGATCCACAATAGGCATATTCAGGGAAACAACAGCCACTGCTTTTTCCTGTCGCAGGAGACCAGACCTCTTCAGAATACATTCATAACTAGCAAGAGCGAAATTATCTTTTCAACCTGTCAAAATCACGTCGCAAGTGCTTTTGTCAAGTCGTCGAGCTGGGGGTTAAATCACGTGTCATCGTCATCAAAACAAACGCTTCGACGTTTATCGCAACGCTCCAGAAACAACCGCGAAATCCCAACCCCATGGACCTACTACACTCAACAGTAAATATGGAAGAGGAGTTGGACTCGGAAATCTCCTCAATCCGCGCCGAAAGTATGTCTCACTTTGATCCGTGAATACCTGTCATTATACAGATCCAAGCTAACACCACAACCGCGTAGTCCGCAACCTCCAACGCCGCCGTCGATTCCTTGCCTCCAGTATTCTCTCGTCCGATATACTGCAGTCTCGTTTCAAGGCGCATCAACCACAGCAAGAAGAAGACGAAGAAGAAGAAACAACAACAACAACAGCAGCAGCAACAAGACCAGCCCCCCTCTCAACCCTAAACGAAGACATCTCCCCGCTGGTCCGCGCCGCAGGCATACACGCGCAGTCGAACCACCACCGCATCGCGTTCTCCACAACCACATTTCCATTCAAGGATCCGTCGCCGAATAACAATCCGCCCAATAGCGCAACCGGAAACGCCAATTTACTCGGGGTGCGCATTGATATCGGTGTCCGGAGCGGCAGATTCTCCAAGCCATACTATCTGCTTCTCCGACGGGTGCGTGTTGACGCGGCAGGCAAGCAGGAGCGAACTCGAGTCCGCGTGCACAGACATACGATTCCGGCATTTATACCCGTTGAGCGATTAGAACGGGTCTTCCTGCCCGTGCCTGTGTCTGTACAAGGTGATGAGGGAGAAGGAGAGAGGCTGAACGAAACGAAGAAAAAGTCGAGCTCCGCGCGAGGGCAGGACTTGCGTGGCTTCGTGCGCGAAGTTCGACGACAGTTAGTTGCGTGGCATACCAGGATGGATGCGGTGAGTTACCTCCGCGAGCAGCTGGGTGTTATTCGGCGCGGAGTGGATGAAGATGAGTACGGGTACGAGGACGAGCACGCAAATAAGGACGGGCTGTGGGATCGAGACGTGCTAGGCGATTCAGGGGCTGGAGAGACTCGATTGAAGAAAAACGAGCTGGGGATTGTGGCGCTGGCGCCCACAGCGCTGGAGGCTTCGTATGTGCGGTTAGAGTGGGAAGATGGCCGGGTGGGGAGGTTGAAGGTATCTAATTCTGGGGTTGTGGAGCGCGCTGTTGTTATTGGGGATACTGGGAGGGATAAGGCGCTGGAGGCTGCGATCACCACGGGTGATAGGAAATTGCTCACCGTTTTGGATCGGTTGAAGAAGTATTCGTTGTCGAGCGGTAAGAGGAGGACGCTGGACCTAGAATAGACCATGAACAGACTATATACATTTCCAATAATGGGACGATTTCGCAGAGTAGATATTGTATACTAATGTGATTGTGTCAACGTCTCTATCTATCAAGACGGCCCTGGGATGATGATCCCAAAGACGTCAGGCTATGCACAAGAAAATCTAAAGAAAGAAAAGAAAAAGAAAAAAAAAAAAAAAGCCACTGAATATGTACCTGTATACCATATCCCGCTCCACCAAGTAACCAAAAGAAAAGAAAGTAGCGAGGTCAAATAATTACAAGTCGGTAAGTAGATAATAGACAGTTATAAACCAGGCCCAATAGCTGGATATTGAGACATTATGGGCAAAGGAGGAGACAATGCGAGGAAAACGGAAGGAAAAGGGGGGTATCACGTAGACATCAAATCGTAAGTGAGAGCGCATCGTTCAAAATTCCTTGTAGTGCTTGGTTTCTTCATTCCCGTTGGGGGTGTCGGGATGGTCTGCCACGCAAATGGCCGAGTCTCGCGTGTCAGACTGCGAGTCCGAGAATAACAGCGGAGGGAGCGGTCCGTAGGGTTTCCCGTCCTGGTTCTCGAGTTTTTTCCGGATGATAGCTTCCTCTAAGTTCCATCGGTGGCGTAGCTTGGTCTTTTTCGCATCGAGCAGCTGAATTAAAGTCGATTCCTCTCTGTGATGGCCCTTCTGTAGCTCGTTGACTTCCATGGCATGCTTCTCGATCAGGGCCTCCAGCTCCCTTTCCAGCCGAGCAATCGCTCCCTGTAGTCGAAGCTCCTGTCGATCTCGCAGCACCTTGATTTTGGCGTGATGGAGTTGATCCATGGAATCGAAATCATGGTATTCCTGCGCGAGCTGGGCGCGATGTTGCTGCGTGAAACTGCGACTGGGTGGGGTCAAGTCGGACCCCGATATAGATGGGGATCGGGACGGTGGAGGGCTGGAGCTGCTGAGGTACCCTTCCATATACTTTATTCGCGTTCGAGAATTGGCCTTGGCCCTTTCAAACTCTCGTACTTGTTCCATCTCGGTCACCAACTGTCGTTCTTCCATCCGGCAAGCATCGTTTAGATTCTAACGGGATGTGAGAAAGGAACGAAGGGTGCAAATCTTCGCGAGGAGAATAAATACCTTTTCTCGTTTTGCTTGTTCAAGCGTCTGGTTTTGTTTCAGCCGACCGTCTAGTGTTATCTGTTGGCGGTGTCGGAGTTCACGGACAAGGGTGTTTTGAAATGATATATGACGGTTTCGTTCCCCGGTCTGGGTTTGGCGCATCTGCCTCAGCTCTGCATTCGCAAGGCTCTGCAGCAACGCAGCGTTATCGAAGACGGGGATTTCTAGCTTCAGAACTTCGGGTTCTCTTACTTCTTTTTCTTCCGTGGAGACTGACTGACACAACTCCTTCGGTTTCGATTCCAGGTAGATTTTCTCGGTCCCTCGTTCGCCCTTTGCGACGGTCAGCTGCGCAGCGGGTGGAAGAAGGACTGTAGAGGGCAGTCTTCGTTTCCTGAAATGTATCTTCCCAATTGCAGACTTGATACTCGATCTCCTTTTTTCCTTCTCCTTCTTGTCGATGCTGGAGGCTACACTTAACAGCGAATTCCTATGTCCAGAAGCTCTGCTCGCGATCCTGCCATCGCTAGAGCTGTACGAGGTCGGGCGGGTTGAGGGAGAAGCGATCGACCGAGTGCTTCCACATTTTGCGGGGCCGGAGGAGAGAGTACATTCGGAGAGGGATAAGGCGAGCTGGTCCAGGACCGGGGACTCGGGAGCTTGTGTTACTGAGACTTCGTACGCTGAATTGCGATCGGTCGATGATCCGGACGAGATGATCGGAGAGGAAAGATCGACCATTCCTGAGGCAATCGAAGCGGCCAGCGACGCCACAATCTCAACTTCCGGAACCTTCAGTCCCAGTTGTTGCGCTTCTTCTACTAACTGTTGCTGTTGCGCAGTCTCCAGCTCCTCGGAGGATAACAGCAGAACTTGCCTGCGGTATTGATCCTCATCAACACCGATAGACATATCCGACTCCATGGTCCAACTGCAAACCCCTTTATCCCCAACCGCACATGAAGCGCAATTACCTTCAATTATTTTCTCGGGTGAGGTCATGAAAGCAGATCCCAAAAGGGGGGGGCGGTTATGATAAACGGCGAAAGTAGGCGGTCGAGTGAGGAAAAGAGGAAGAGATTGAAAAAAAAAACAAAACCAAAAACAAAAGGAGAGAAAGAAAAAGAGAAAAAAAATAGGTAAAAATAGGACAGTGTTGTCAGTGCACGAATTGCGCGACACTCATCGACTCGTCCACAGTACCAGAAGCACAGTGGACGAGAGAGCGTCGCTCTTGAGCAGCATCCGACTTGCGCGGGGGAGGGGAGGGGGAGGGGAGAGAAGACTTTAAGGAGAGTAAGGCGGATAGGTGGATATAGGCGGGATAGAAGAAGAGGAGAAAAGCTGAATGAGGTTAAGAATAATGAGCTGGAGCGGTTTTCTATGCGGCTGTAAAGTGCGCAATGACAAGTCACCACAGCGTGAAAGATGATTATTTCTCATTATTCCGGAGTATTCTGCGTCCTTTGGCATATATTATATTGATTGCGACCCGGGACCCGCCTGACCGAATCAATTTAATATGTATTGCGATGGACTGACCCAGCACCCACCTTCTTCGCAACTACGAATCGTGAGAGACAGCGCGGGACATGCAGTCAAGAGGGAACACACTATGGGACGTTGGAGCGGCTCTGGTTCTCCACTACCGTTCATATTTACATGATTCAAGGTCGATGGGGGCGTGGATAGCAGGAATACGATACTCCGTGGTACCCTACGGAATACGGGGGACAATATTATTGAATGACTATCCCTCTGGCCGCTAGGAACCGTTATCTGCTTTGGGAAGCTAGGGCCTTGGGGTATCCCGAGAGCCATGGTTTCAGCCACTGCAACACCATGGCTTTGGGCCAGGCACTGCAGCTTCAGAATTTCCCAAGGGAGCAGATGACCTGCAGGCTGGAGCAAGTCCCAGGGCGGATCTATAATCCCCTCCTGCCAGTCCAGTTCGTTCCTTTGCAGCTTTGCAACTTTGCAATCTGGCCCTCCTCCATCCTTCCATGGGGAGGCTAACTAGTGAATAGTAGAATACCCAGAGCGGCAAGCAAGGCGATAAGATAGATCCTCGGTTAAAATATCCGGGCCAATCCCTGGGTTCAAATTCCCAAAAAAGACAGTGAGTGGTCTGGGGCTTCGTCGCATTCACCGCAATTTGAGCGAGACTAAAGAAGCTTAGCAAGGAGGTGAAGGATCAAGATGGAAAAAGAAACCCCATGTTTAGTAAACTTAGATTCCTCCGTAAGGCATAACAGTAACTAACTATATCCCGTCATTAGTTTAGCATGGCTATTGCCATCCTATAGGCCTTCTCTTTCGCCTCCCGGTGTATGGAGTTCTGTGGGTTTTTATCCCAGCCGTGGCCGCAGCCTTCCAGCCTCTCCCAGATTACCTGGTGACCAGGTTCTTCCCGTATCTTAGCTGCAAGCTGTTCAGCTTCCGGCGCGAGATTGTCTTGGGACGTCGTGATAACCATAACCCGCTTGGGGAAGCCATCGGATTGCGCATACAGGGGCGAGATTCGGGGGTCTCTCGTATCGTGGCCCGAGGGGATGTAGCACCCATCAAAGAATCGAGCCATGCGCGGAGGGATAGGCTTTCCTGTAGGATCAGGACAGAGTTTATCTTCGGGCTGAGTATAGAGATCGACGGGAGGATAAAACGCGAGAACAGCATTAAAGGTTTCACTCGAGAAGAGATTCGATGCCGCTGCGAGAATAAGATTGGCCCCCGCGCTAAACCCCGAGAGCGCGACGCGGGCTTTATCAAACGTGTCGGGTTGCTGGAGAACCCAATTCACTACATCCTCGACATCGTTGAGTGCTGCGGGAAACGGGTTCTCGGGTGCCAACCGATACTGAATGTCCAACACGGTATACTCCGTTTCCTCGCTCACTCTGCGACAGAACTCATCGTCACTCCCATGCATGGGGATCACGAATCCACTTCCGTGGAAATTGATGAGGACGGGACCCGGCCTGGACGCGGATGCTGGTTTATAGACATGGGCCTTGATTGATCTCGTCGGATCCCGCGACTTGATCTGCTGAACCTCATCTGGGGTTGTGCTTATGCGTCTTCCACGCGCGGCCAAAAATCGAATTATGGTGACCACCACCTTGTAATAAAGGTAGGTAAAGAAGGACATGCTGCATAAATTATAGGCCAACCGACCACAACAACTGGTAATATGAAGGTGATACTAATAGAGGACAAGAAAATTGAATAGGAGTTCAATGCATTTATGGAACATTCACCTCGTGTGGGAGCGGAGTATGCTAACTAATACGTCGCTCGCGAGGGACAATGTCTTTGTTAACAACCTCTAGGCTCTAGGGCATATAGCAGTTCTAACTATTGTCTAAGTCTAAGTCACAAATACCAGACCCCATCAGCTACTCCGTACAATTCCGTAGTTATATAACAGGTGTTATTATACATAAAGAAAGCTACGCATCTCGATCCGCCGCAGTTCATTGCCCGGCTTCCGCTTTCCTTCTGCTACCATTATAGACAGGGTTTAATATGTAAAGCCTTCCATAATAATAGAGTCCAAAATAAAATATACAGGGAAATAATGGGGAAATCAGTCTTTAATTCAAGAGAAGAAAATCAGCTCCAGAAGCACCAGAAGTCATGTGCCCCGGCCGACTACTGAGGTCGTGGTAATAAGAGTACTCGCTGCAATATCCTGGCGTCTGACATAGAACTACACTATTCCAACGCACTCTCCCAAACTCGACGGCCCACGCCTAATCAACCGAAATCCATCGTTGACGCTTCCGCTTTCATCGTCTACAATACCCATCCATCATCTTCCATCGCACCACCTTCATCGCACCTGTTCCTGAGCTTATGCAGAGGGCCTGAGACTCACTGTCTGCATTTGTAAATCCCTTTTTTATCAGTCGGGACCCAAGGTGGTCTGGAGACCGCCGCTACCCATGGCCACTCTAAATCAAGCTGGAGACACTAAGTTCACCGTCTTTATCCGTCTGCCTTTCCCTAGAGGTGACTTTGTGGATCCTCCACCGGTAGGTGCCTCGGTTGGTTCGATCTCGTACCTCTATACACTAACGTAACAAAGGTGGAATGGAATGCTGCCAAAGATCAAGCGCTCTGGGATATCCTGTCCCGTCCATCAAAGGGGAATGATATAGATTGTATGTTACTACCCCATCAACCGCCTGCAAATGTGGAGGGGACAAATATGCTAATATTCTATAGGGAAAGCCCTGTCTGTATTCACCCAACCCGATATATTGCCTTCCTTTGGGTTCATCTACTTACTTTGCTTAGGGCAGAGAGCTTCGATGTAACGCTTCAGTTTCTGCTCCAGCAAGCAGCATGGCTTTACGATCGCCAGTTATCGCAAGTCCGCGCGCAAATGCGCAAAGTAGGTACTACGCATTCGAACGCGCCATCCCCGGCTCCAGGCTCCATATACGCCAGCACGGCTCTAGGACAAGCAGCCAAAATAGGCCAAGCCAGTGGTAAGCCTATAAAGCACACCCTTGCTGCAGTCTACTAACTTTTTTTTTCTTTTTTTTTTTTTTTTCCTTCAAGGCGTTCGAGCCCCATCTAGACTATCATCGCAGCAAAATGTTCCCCAGCGAGGTATGCATTGGTAGCATTTAAATCGCCTGTATCCCATTTATGGATATCTCTAACAGGATTGTAGCACCTCTTCCGCGACGCACAAGCTCCGGGAATACTGTTCAGCAGATCAAAGGAACTCGAGACCCATCTTACCCTGGGACTCCCACTTTCGAAACAAAAGAGCCAAAGTGGGATGGCCAACGACCTTCCATCGGCAAACGCGAGCAAGCTCCTGTGCCGGCCACCCACAGGTCCCCGACTCTTGAGGAGGAGGGCCTGACTTCAAGCTCATCAGAGTCTGAGTCTGATGACGACAATGACGATGTTGCGCGTAGGAGGGGAGTTGGCTTTAAACGATTCGGGCGATTCTCAATGCATCGACAGGCCTTGCGGGACGATGAAGACGACGACGATGATTCCCCTGCCTTTCTTCCGCTCTCTCACAGGGCCGAGCAGGTTCCTCGCGAAATGTCAGGCCAGGATCTGAACGCAACACTGCGGATGGAGCAAGAAGAACTTGCGGCCGTGCGACGACGGGCAACGGAACCACATCAGAATCTGAGAAAATCGATGACCGCAGATTCATCCACGAGCTCTGTCAGCTCTGGTGTTCCCGTCACAGGGTCTCATCCCCACAGACGCAAACAAATGAGTCACCCTAGTCCTCGCCGAGCTACAGACTTAGCTCGGATGAGTCCGCGTCGTTTGACTGCTTCAGGGCGAGAGATAAGCGATGGAACGCCTAGCATGGGGAGCAGCTTCAGCGATTTAGATGGTATGGAAGATCCTTTTCACCCCGCCTCCGTGTCCGTTCCGGCTGACAGGTTGAACCATAGATACGAGTGTGACACAATCAATGCTTGAGGAAGCACTTCTGAGCAATATGCAACACGGCGGAATGGCCAGCCGGATGAGTACGATTAGCCAAGCCCTTCGCAGTCGCTACTTATGAGAAGCAATCCTACCAATTAAACGCAGAGATGGCGGAGCAATCCCTGGTTGTCACTATTTATCTAACCTTGGTCGAGAAAGAATGCATTCGCATAACAGCGGATAAATTGGAGTATCCACATCTCTGGCAAGCCCTGCAGGTGTTAGCATTTTATTTGCTTCGGAAATAACAAACTACGTCTATTTACAGGGTTTGCAGAACCCCCCAGCTTGAAACACTTCTTCAAAGTCAGTATCTCTCAATGACGTTTATCAATAAAGCATCCTAACCGAGCGCTCAAGTCCTTGAGTGAAGTAAACGGTAACTTGCGGGCCCGTCCTGGATCAGACTAGCACACCATGCTAACGCTGTGCTATAGTACAACTTTGAGGTACTGGATGTTGAGCGCGTCGGGTTTAATTCGGCGACAGTGTATAATTATTCAATACTGATTACTATATCCAGAGGCCTCTGTGCCAGTTCACGAAAATGACTTTTTCCGTCAGTTAATGCTGGCTTTGTACCAAACAGTGAATGACATGTGTAAGTAGGAAGAGAAAAGCGTGAAGGTTGGGAAATATAAAAGTAGTAATATCATGTGACAGATATAGATGTAAATAAGATAAAATAAGCATAATATCTTTCTTATCTTAGTGCGAGCAATAATTACTGTATTTTGAGAATTATAGCGAATTTATACTTGCTAGATGACTTAGTACTAAGTAGTCAAAGCGCTCACCCAGCAACTGCCCTATAGGCATAAAAGCTCTCGTACCAGTTTTACCTCGTGCCCCAGAAGGCTGGTCTCTCTTCTCACGGATTGCGAGGTCCAAATCGATAAGAAATGCAGACCGGGAATGGCTGTTATTTTCATTCATCATCAGGTTTCCGGTAGATATGTCGCCTTGCAAAAGCCCTGTTTTGATGTACAGGTCATGGTAGCCTTGTAAGCAACCGAGCAACGCAGCTAACATTGCAGAAAGAGAGCTAGCCTTGCACACGACGATGCACCCGACTTTGAGTAGCAGGCATTCCACTATTGTTACTCGGGGATCTGGAGCCACGCACTTATATCTTGCAAAAAGCGGCTCGGAGCTAGACCCATTCCGGACTGGCAGCAAAACAGTTCGGTAGTTCATTTATAGAGATTCCGAAGGCGGTGTGTTTCTGCCCCTAGCTTCTGACATCAGCGGGTCGTACAAGTACGTCGTACATCGCAGAACGACCTCACCTCACCAGGTATATATATCTACTTCGTTTACTCCGTGCAAAGGTATGGCTTGCGGCGATTCTCTGCTCGAAACTTAGCTCCCTTCTGACCACCGTCGCCTCGCCAAACAAAAAAAAAAAAAAAAAAAAAAAAGACCCCCATCTGAAGGAAATGTCGCCTTCAGACGCCGAGTCCGCCTATTTCAACAACTACCCCCCACCCAAGGCACTCCCCAAACATGAGTCTCTGGCTAGATCTTTCATAAACTACCATGTGGAAGCTAATCGACGTCTCGTCCTTGTTACGTCCGGGGGCACAACGGTCCCATTGGAGAACCAGACCGTCCGGTTCATCGACAACTTCTCCGCAGGAACCAGAGGTGCGACGTCGGCGGAATACTTTCTACAAGAGGGATATGCCGTGATTTTCCTCCACCGGCAGTTCAGTCTGCTTCCATATTCGCGTCACTACAGCCACTCGACCAATTGCTTCCTAGATTTTATGGACGAAGCCCCGCCAAACCCCTCCTTCGGTTCCGGCAACCCAGACCACGGCCCAATTGTGGTGCGCAGCGAATACCAGGATGAGATGCGCGATGTGTTGCGCAAATACCGATATGCAAAACAAAACAACCTGCTTTTGCTTCTACCTTTTACCACCATCTCCGAGTACCTGTTTGAGCTGCGCATGCTTGCCAAGTTGATGAAACCCCTTGGCCCCGATGCGCTGTTCTACCTGGCTGCGGCCGTCAGCGACTTTTTCATCCCCCGCGATCGCATGGCAGAACACAAAATCCAATCGTCGGAGCTCCCGCCGGAGTTTACAAATAATGAAGAAGCGGTGGACGCGGAGGACATCTACACAGGAGGATTCGAAACGACACCCCCCACCCACAGCAAGAAACTCGTTATCAATTTAGATCCGGTACCGAAATTCCTCCACCAGCTAGTCGAGGGTTGGTCGCCAGATGGAAGCATGATCGTCTCCTTCAAGCTTGAGACGGACCCCAAGCTGTTGGTATACAAGGCCCAAACAGCTCTTCAGCGGTATGCGCACCACCTGGTGATTGGGAACCTGCTTTCGACGAGGAAGTGGGAGGTTGTCTTTGTCACTCCGGACGCACCATATGAGCGATGGATTCGAGTACCAAAGTCTCGGCGCAGTAAGAGCATCTCGGGTGTTGAAGACCAAGTTGGGTTGGCAGAAGCAGAAGCACCAAGCCACCATGAAGGCGTTTCGCCCCAGATCGGGAAGACTGAGAGGACTGAAGAACACGGACAGAGTCCAAATATTGACGGGGTGGAGATTGAGGGCTTAATCATCCCAGAGCTGGTCCAGCTTCATTCCACCATGATTGTGAAATACAACAGCAAATAAATAGAGTCGCATCTCTCCGGTTACTGTGAATCATATTTTATAATGCGCATTTTGTTATGAAATCCCATTCTTCCGTTTAGTCTTATTCTTCTAGCAGCGCTTGATATCGCCAGATGGGACAGGGGCTTGAAATCTCTCTCCAGCAATCCATCTCATTTTTGGCCCCCGGAGCAGCTCTCATCCCGCTCGACGCCATCAGTGTTTTCTCAACGTCTCAGGTGCCTTGACGTTGCGAAATTGCTGCGCCGCATGAATGTCCTAGAAAATCCCTGGCTAGGAGCTGAAGCTCTTGCTCAAAATGCCCTGAGCCAGCCTCCTTGTATACAAACATTCAGTAACATCTACGACCTCAGCCTATCTATCTTTTTATGAAGATTACTTACTTCATTGGGGCAACCCTACCATCTTCTCGACCACTCCAACAGGTCTCTCTGCTGAAGATAAGGGTGCGCTCGATTTGATTTTGTACGCGGGAGGAATTTAGCCCTAAACCCCAGATTGGGCATTTTTCAGCGGTGTTTCACGGTTTCACCATCACCATCACAACGTACGTCTTGAGCAACTCTTCAATCGTTTCTCGGGTGAAGTGGCCGGGGTGGGGAGTATATCAGGCAGGGTCCACCAGGCTTTTTATATTCTTATTGAACCGTCGAAGGAGCCATTCACCATGGCGGAGACCTCTCTCATCCAGACAATTCCGAAAAAATATGATGCTTTTCCTACACTTCGAAGCATGATGGCTGATATCTTGAAGCCAGCTCTTTGCTTCGATGTACTTTCTAGTACTTCATGGACCGTAATGCTTTGTCAACGGCAGGCTCTTGAGGATCTGGGATTAAACGGCACGCAGTACAACACCTGCGTCAGTATTCTCTTTGTCGGATGAGTAATTGGCTATCTTCAAGTCTCTGTAGAAGGGCCATGGAGAGTTTCTAACCACAACCTAACCAGGGTCCCTCCTCGGTCACTGTTTCCAATTCACTCGCCATTGTCGGGCTGACAGTAAGGTAAAGAAGCAGATGAGAAGAAATCCGTTGCTATTGCCATTACCAATACTCTAGGTAACCTGGACAATGTGTATACACTGTATACACTCCCTACCTATGTGTTTGCGAGCGCCATGTACGCTAATATTGGGCTTTCTGCCGGCGTGGTGATTTTAGCGTGGGTAATGCGGCCCATTCTCATGAGGGAAAACAAGAAGCTGCGGGAGTAACCTTTGCATTGTAAGTTCCCTGGAATATAGATATCTAAATGTTGTGAATATAGTTTCTATTTTGTTGTTATTGTGAGTTACCATTTCTGGGGCCTGGCACAGAAGGAAGATTGAATCGTACCCAGCCCCCGCCGCTCAGACGGTGTAGCATATGTATCACATTTGCCGTTCTACTCCGGGATATCCGAAGCCTTGACAAATCTACAAGATAATTAACTAATGTCTGACAGTGGGGCGTGCTCGCCTTCCTCACTGACTGCTGAATCTGATTATTGGCCGAAACATCCAGGGCTATGTGCTACACGTGACTTTATAGGACGACATATGATGCTGAGGATGAATAAACAACAGGCAGCAATAACTAACTAGTTGACTAGTTAATAGTTGGTTCTAACATGTGGTGTGATGCGAATACCTCTTTCTCATTCCATCATCTGTCCTGGGATTTGAAGTCAATCGTCCGCTTTTCTGCTGCAGCCACCATTGGGCTATGGTGCCGGCCATGTCAGGCAAAACCCGAGTGTGGTCTCGGAGAGAAATCGAGGGATTGATAGCAGATGGGCGAAAGATCATCATATTCGGTGATCAGGTATTGAAGGCCGACGCCTGGCTACCATATCATCCCGGCGGCGATAAATCATTGCTGCACATGGTCGGTCGAGATGCGACCGACGAAATAACAGCATTGCACTCCAAAGAAGCACAGGCACATATGCAAAAGTATGTGATCGGAAGAGTACACGGGAAATGGGAAAACCTCTTGCCTCCGATACAGGGAGGAACTTTCAGGCCGCTGGTATCGGAGCAAGTCGACAACAAAGCGCTATACACTGAAGAAGATGCCAGCTCCTCTGGAAAATCGGCAGCGTCATCCCCAGTCTTCGATGCTGCGGACACGGGAGACGAAGTTCGTCTGCGGCATGCAGGCAATAATAGCCCCGTTTCTCAAGCTTCATCTTTTTTATACTCATCGGCCGAGCCGGACCTGGGGCAATCCAAATCTACGGAAGCGTCAATAGCTCACGCGCTATCATCAGATCCTTCAAACTATCCCCGTCTAGACAAGAGGTCCCAGGACGAGGTCGCCGCAAAGTACCGCCAGCTCGATGAAAGATTGCTGTCCGAGGGACTCTATGAGTGTCGATATAGTTGCTACGCTGTCGAGAGTATCCGATACGCCGTTCTTTTCGTTCTCTTCTTGACGTCTCTTCACTATTCCTATTATGCTCTTTCGGCCCTTTTCCTCGGGATGCTCTGGCACCTGCTTTCATTCGTCGTCCATGACGCCGGCCACCTAAGCATAACGCATGGATTCCACACGGACAGCTGCATCGGGATTTTCATTGCAGATTTCCTGGGCGGTCTTTCCGTCGGGTGGTGGAAGCGGAATCACAACGTGCATCACATCGTCACCAACTCGCCCGAGCACGATCCGGACATCCAGCACATGCCATTTTTCGCCATCTCCTCGCGGTTTTTCGCCTCCCTGCACTCGAGCTACTACGATCGCGACATGAAGCTCGACGCCGCCGCACGGTTCTTCATCCAGTACCAGCATTACCTCTACTACCCCATCCTTCTGTTCGGCCGGTTCAACCTGTACCGCCTCGCATGGTCCTACCTGCTAGATCCGGCGCAGGCGCCCCGGAAAGGCGCCGCGTGGTGGCATCGCTACCTTGAAATGACCGGGCAGGGGGTTTTCTGGTACTGGTACGGCTACCGCACGCTGTACCTCTCGATCCCGACGTGGTCGTCGCGCATCACGTTTCTGCTCATCTCGCATATGGTCACTGCCCCGCTGCACGTCCAGCTCACGCTCAGCCATTTCGCCATGTCCAGCGCCGATCGGGGCACCCACGAGTCGTTCCCCCAGAAGATGCTGCGGACGACGATGGATGTCGACTGCCCGCCCTGGTTGGAGTTTGTGCATGGCGGCCTCAATTACCAGGTCGTGCACCATTTGTTCCCTCGGCTGCCGCGACATAACTTGCGCCGGGCGCAACCGTTCGTGAAGGAGTTCTGCCGCGAGCTCGGAATTCCATACGTAATCTTTAGTTTTACCCGGGGGAACCAGGAGGTTATTAGCAGACTGGGCGAGGTCGCTGGACAATTGAGGGTGTTGGAGGAATGCAGAAAAGTTGCCGCGAGGGATTTGATTCAGGGTCACCACCGTCATTGATTGGGATTTTTCTTTTTTTTTTTCCTTTATCTTTTTACGTAGGTGTGTGCCTAGGCAGCATTTGTATGATAATATAGTTATAGCAGGTAAGATAACTGGCGACCTTGGACTGGTTGTTGTTTGGGCTGTTGTCGGGTCTCTTGAGTATAAGCACGATATGTAGTCACGATCTTGCGATAGTTAGTTATCCGTCTAGCCTTTGATAGCAACTTCAAGGCGTTTTTATTGCCCCAGTATCCCCAACTTAGGTTCTGTGCTCCCTCTTATCCCAAGTGTGGTATTGGATATATTTGATCCCAGATCTAGGCTATCTCCAGACTCTAGTTATAAACTTCTCAGGAGACCCTGTCCCCTGAGGTGCGGATGTCCGCAGAACATCTCTGGTGCTAGAACTCGTCGGAACCCTGGTCACGGTGCTAGTCCGCGTAGGTATGGAGTGCAGCTCCGGTGACGTTTGCGCGGCATAATACACACTGGAACTCAGAGCAGACAAGGAAGAGCTTGCCTCGTTGGTATATGACGCCGACACAGTAATGCTTGTGGTAGTCTGCCGCACAGAGCTTTCCAGACGCTGCGACGTAAATCGCTCCTCGCTGTTCTCTTCCACAACATGCACCTCCTCGTACCAGTATACTGTCTGTTCCCAGGCCACGTCCTCGCTCATCTGCGAGCAGCTCATTCCTTCTGGACAACAGCGAACTATCCCTTCGTAGAAGAAGCAGTAATCCCCAGGGAAGCAGTGCTGGCTTGCCGAGCAGCAGTCGTGGGACTCGGGAATGCAGCCACCCTGACAGCACTGTTCACCTGCCACGCAGGAATGTCCTTCTTCGCAGCGATGGACGACGAGGTCGACGTGGGAGCTAGCTTCGGCTGCCTTTCATCAGCGCTTATGGTATTGTCTCTAACTAACCCAACCGAATACATACCCTGGTTGCTGGGAGAAACAAGATCGTCCCCAGCCTGGGACACACCGTAGTCAAAGTCCGGACCCCCCTTCAGAACTACCTGGTCATGTGGGTTCAGGAACCGGTTGAGATCGAGAGTAGACTGCCCCGAGGATCCAAGATCATTTGCGAGCGATGCAGCGGCAGAGAACGACAGAAGATAGAGGAGATGACGGTGTATGGAGGAGATTTTGGTCTTTGGGGATGGGGATGAGGAGGAGCCCATGCTGACTCGATTGATGTGCCACATGTTCTCCAGAAGTATTGGATAAAGGATTTGCTTCTGTGGTACAGACACTGTGAGAGACCAGGCCCTATATACCATCACAGTGCTGATCATTCCTTTGACCAAGTACATTTGCAATCTGCTAGTTCTGCTAATTTCGTTGATAGCCCGGGCGCTTCATTCAGCATTTATTCATGCACGGATCGGCCCGCTGCAGCACACCTCCACCATACTATATATATGTAGTTCGTTCTACAGGGCAAGTTGACGCCCTTTAGAGTGAATTATTTCATGATTATTTTTATATCTAATATGAGTTAAATTCAGTTACTTACTATAGGGACTAGGGAGTGTGTTTTTCAAAGCAGAGTGTATCAATGGCAGTCCCTGGCATGCATGAAGAAACAAAACAAGGAAACTCAAGATCAACATATTATAGAGTCACATATGTGGTGGGTTTAGATCAAAGATCCCATGAATGATCCAATAGTTTACCGCTCACCTTCTTTGTTCGCAGTCTGGATGCAATCCTATCACCACCTGGCGCTTATTTGGTTCCAATGTAAAACCACCATGGCTTGGTCGAGACACCTGTCAGCTTAAGAGTGCTTGTATATTCAAGGGTCTCATCTAATGAGCCAATGAAGACTTTCAAAAACAAGCATGTAGCAAAAAAGCCAATTGCTAGCTACATACAGTGATCAAGCCATCTTTCTCAAAGAAAAAGGTCAAAGAAAACGACAAAGAAAAGAAAAAGAAAAAAAAGAAAAAGATATGGGGTGACCCGGGATCGAACCGGGGACCTTATGATTGCCTGGTGGCTGGATTGAAGTTGATCTTCAGTCATACGCTCTCCCAACTGAGCCATCACCCCATTGGTTGATAACAGGGCGCCATAAAATGGTAAATAGTGTAGCAGATTCCAGAATATAGACTGTGACAGGTGATTTGCTCAACTATATTCATGGCCGAAGATATAACCTCATACCCAGGTAGGTCACTGTGGGATAATATTTGTATAAGATAGAGCATAAATTGATATTCCAATTTGGTTGGCAAATAGTGCTTAACTTCTCTCCGTCGGGGTTTCTCTCCATCATCATAATGACATCTTGTCTCGCCAATAACCATTGGCCATCAAAATATTCATCTCTTCCATCACTCTTCAACCCACCCTTTTTTCCTACGGCATCCTTCAAATTCTCAACGTCAAACTGCGTAACTACTACTGTCTGTTCTACTAGCAATGACTTCTCCAGGTGCTGAAAGGTAAGGAACACCCTACTCTCCTTCCCGTTTTGCCAGTTGGCTAGCTAATGTGCGTGTTTCCAACCCAAGCGTTCTCCCCTACCGGTCAAATTGTGATACGATCCATGAGGATCGTCAACTACAATGTGTCTCAGGATATATTGATAGGATCAGTTTCGATTCCTGGGCCGACACGAAAGTCACGACACCGTCATCTTGTCCATCGCCCTCACTATTGTCAGACATGGATGCATCGGTACACTCCACAGAGCCCTCTGCGAAATCCAAGAATCTTAGTTACTTGGATGGTGCGGCGTACAAAAGTGCACTTTTTTCTAGAAACGTGGATATTGGTCCTTTGACCCCTGCACCATACAATGAACCCCGCTTTCTGCACAAAACAGCCACCAGAGTATCCATTCCCAAGAAACTCGAATCCTCTCTAAATCATGCGGTGGCGATCAGGAATTCTGCTCCCAATGAAGCGACGTACCATCTCGTCATTCCCCTTTTCATAACTGAATGGCTAGTCGGAATGCCGCAGTTGAGATTTGGCCTATCTATCCAGTGGAAAACTGAACCACTTGAGAGTCGGGGGCAGGAAACACGATCACTGAGTATGCCTAAACCGGATATTACGATTGGGTTCAACTGGCGATCGCTGATCGAAGACCATTGTTACAGTCCACAGTTCATAGGGCCTCAGTACGTGTTCCCTATTTCTGGTGATTTCGAAACCGCATTGCCGTTCTTTTCTCTCGAGGTGAAATTGGATGGCACAGAGCAGCAGGCACGTATGCAGAATCTCCACGCCGCCGCTCTAATGCTCAGGAATTTGCGTCTATTCTTCCAAAATGCCCACGGAAGCACGGACGAATTCGACACCAAGGTACGCGTACTTACGGCCACCATGACCCGCGACCAGGTAGATGTCTATGGACATTGGACGCATTGTAGCTCGACAGACTCGGCGATCTGGTATGAACACTTCCTAATGTACTCCTGGAGCCTCTTAGGGGGCAAAGAAGAGTTCTATAGAGTACGGAAAGGTTTGGAGGCGTTTTGTAGCTGGATCGCAGAAGAAAACCATGCATGGATTGTCTCTAGCCTAGGGAAGATGGGCATTGCTTCTTCTATGTAATAAACCCATCTTTATTGTATGTAGGCCTTCGCGCAGTTGATGGTGTATAGAACTATGTGGTGATGTGGGGCCATGCCCGTTCCAGTCGTCGAAACCGTAAGCAAGTCAACCATTGAAAGGGCAGTAACACCAGGACTAAATAGTTAATTACCTAGCAAATAGGGGCATTATGGTGGGCAGGAAATGGGCAGGAAATGGGCTCCTAGTCAAGGGTTGGGTAGAAGGAGATATAGGATTTGAACAGGGTCAGTAATATAGGTCCACGCAACATTAAGGTATATGTCAAGGGGAATGGCCCAAAGAACTCGCACTGTCTCTGGAGAATCTTTAATTCATAATCCTCATGGTCCGCCGGGACATCTGGTTTGAAGAGGAAAAAATTATCTCCATAGAGCAGGGTTATAAGCTAGAGCAGGGTTAGACCTGTTTAGTAGTATGTAAACAAAGTTAATATGGGCATACCAAGGCGCCAAAGACCATATATCTGTTTGTGTGCCCCAGCCTATTCGGAGCTGCGCTTCAGGGCTTCTCCAGATAGGTGCTCCGATCAAGTCACCATCTTTAGCATATGCTGAATCTGCAGGAACAGTATTCCCAAAGTCTGCCAGTTGGATGTCTGTAAATTGTATATCTCCTTGGTTATAGTTTACAAGAATGTTGTCCGGCTTGATATCTTTAAAGGTGCATATATCAGATAACGTGCTTTGTCCATATAATAATGGCACTTACCAGTATGTACAAAAGTATTTTCATGTAGAACCTTTAGAGCTTCTATTTATGCTCGCCGCAGAGTGCTACTCACTTTTGATAATGTCCAATCAGGTAGATGAAATAATAACAGTATGCTAGTTTTGTCAATCTCTTGCATGCACGTATATCAGTGCTTTTAAGGCAGACCCAGAGATATAAAAAAAAGCTTCTGTCCGCTATCAAAATAACTTCCACGTCTCTTTCGTCCATTTAAACATCATCTTATGGATTACAATTTGATGAGGGCATACATAATAAACTCAAATGAGAATAGAAAAAAGAAAAAGAAACAGAAACAGAAAAAGAAAAGGAAAAAGAAATGGGGTGACCCGGGATCGAACCGGGGACCTTATGATTGCCTGTGGGCTGGATTGAAGTTGATCTTCAGTCATACGCTCTCCCAACTGAGCCATCACCCCAATTGATGTAAGGAGCTCCAGAATTAGGCTACATGAGCCCATGAATACAATCTCCGTGTGCCTTGGCCGAATTAACCCCGAAGAACGCAAGGTGAGGAAGAGCCAGAGGTATGGAATGCTAGTGTTTCAAGCTCTTCCAATATTTCTTCCTTCAGAATGTCCTTTAATATGAGCTTTTCCTCATTATGATAATGCAGATGCACTATCAGAGACATGCTTCTGGAATGAAACGAACAAGCGTGGATTGTTGGCGTTTGGCAGGGTCTATCTTCTAGGAAACAGGTATCTACAGTAATTATCTGCCGGTGGTATGCAGGTGTTGATGGTACTGTAGGTAGTTTTCCTTTGGTTCTACGGGTTTTAGCTACAGCTGCCTCGCTTGTTTTTATCTTGTTCTTGGGGCGATGCATGTTTGTACCGATCACTTAATATGTATGCTAGCAATAAGCAGGGTATTGGGTATCTAATGCTAAATTCTATGTACATGTCTCCTCCTTACCGTCCCGAATATATATTTACATCCATCGCCAAGAGCCCGACACCATATACCGAATAACCCGGACAAACACACTCCAACCCCCATTATTTAATACCAAGGAGGTATTCCAAAGTACCACAATATAGTGCACATGGAAAGGGCACATGTCCTCCTGTAAGGGTCGACAGTAGACAATACCCCAAACTGGGAGCGTGGACCAGCCAGAGAACACAGGCGCGTCTATGGTCCAAGCAGTAGGACTCGAAGTCTCGAACTAGTTAGTTAAATATAACTAGTAGACTAAGCATAATTAGTTAACTAACTATTGCTTACCTTGCAGGATGGTGTTCCACGACTTGATCTGCGGGGAACTTCTCCAGGGCCTGATTGTTTCATGTGGTACAGAGTGCTTGGTATGATAAAAACCAAAAGCTAGATTGTATAGGTAAATCCGAAGCAACCATCCATCAATTGGGGTGATGGCTCAGTTGGGAGAGCGTATGACTGAAGATCAACTTCAATCCAGCCCACAGGCAATCATAAGGTCCCCGGTTCGATCCCGGGTCACCCCATTTCTTTTTTCTGTTTCTGTTTCTTTTTTTTTTTGCTGCTTTTAGTTTGTATCAATTTTTTTTGCGGGGGATATTTTCCATTTCTAGTGTTGAATAACTGACGTTCGTTGTTTGAGATTCAGATGGTTAAATAAAAGTTATAAAACCCCTATAACTACTCGTCTATCACAAGTAAAGCTCCCCTGAATATCTCCCCCAGATACCTAGGCAGACACCATTGATGGACACAAGATTGGCATCTCACTACATTAGTTAGGCCCACGGTTAGGCGGCCGATCGACATTCCTCCGTGGGACCAGGAGTTCGAACTGCATCGCAATGCCATGAGTCTGTTTGTTTTGGGACCTTTTGGCGTCACTAGATTGAGGACTAGCTGGCTCCACCACTGCCTGTAGACTCGTAAGAAGGGCCCAACCTCCAAAATTGACGTCGTTACCCACGGGCTGGTTCCATTATTATCTGTGAAACTGACTTAACGCGTCATCAAACCATCCTCGACACCGACAGCTCTCGCTCTCAGTGCTCACTCCTCTCCGCTATGAGGCGCAGACCGACCTCCGCCCTCCCTTTTTTCAATCAAACAGAACTCTCACCTCACCTCCCATCCTACTTATCGCCTTCCCTTCCCACATCCCTTGGAACAATTTCTCCCCCCTCCTCCTCCTCCATACCACGGGGATAGCCGCAGCTCACATCCCTCGGCCCACGAAACACCCCCCCAAAGATGAGCGACACTCTCTGTCAGCCTGAAAGATCGCTCAACACACTGCTGTCGTCTCCTCGAACTACCTCCGGGCCACTGGTTTCTGGCCCTCACCAATAATACCTCCCCTTAAGCTTGCTAGGAAGAATGAGTTCACACCGGATTACCCGTCGTCGCATTGCTGTGGCCGCAACGTTCATCACACTATTCCTCATCTACCACTTCTCAACCCTCGGATCCACTGTCCAATACCCCCCCAATGTGCAACAGAACCTTCGCGACGGCTGCCCGCCCCTCCCAGGAATCGAGGACATCCTGGTTGTCATGAAAACCGGCGTTACAGAAGCCCTCGAAAAGGTTCCCGTGCATTTCCAGACTACCTTCCGCTGCGTCCCCCACTACATCATCTACTCCGACTTCGAAGAGGAGATCGACGGCGTGCTCATCCACGATGCCCTCCGCAATGTCGACAGCCAGGTGAAGGCCACCGTCCCAGACTTCCAGATCTACAACCGCCTGCAGAAGAGCGGTCGAGCAGGCCTGGAGTCGGCGGATTTTGCCGACGAGGCCAATTCCGCCATCGGGAAACCGAACAACCCGGGCTGGAAGCTCGACAAATGGAAGTTCCTCCCCATGGCCCGGGAGGCCTACCTGCACAGACCCCAGGCCAAATGGTTCGTCTTCATGGAAGCGGACACGTACTTCTCGTGGCCCACGCTCCTCACCTGGCTAGCCCGCTTCGACGCCTCGAAGCCCTGGTACATCGGCACCGAGACGCAAATCGCCGACGTCATTTTCGCGCATGGCGGCTCCGGTTTCATCATCTCCAACCCGGCCATGAAGCTCGTCGCAGACGAGTACGAAGAACACGCCATCGAGCTAAACGAATACACCGACGCCCACTGGGCCGGGGACTGCGTGCTGGGCAAGGTCCTCTCCACCGTCGGAGTCCCCCTCCAATATTCCTGGCCTATCCTCCAAAACTCAAATATCGGTGAACTCGACGAGTTCACCACAGCCTTCTACCGACGTCCTTGGTGCTACCCAGCCGTTGCATTCCATCACCTTTCTCCATCTGATATCCAATATCTCAATGATTTTGAGCATCGAAGACTCATCCAAGTAAGCCCCCCCCCCCTTTCGCTTTCTTTCCATCCCGACCTCATTCTTTTATATACATACATACATACATACATACATATATATATATATATATATATAAAGTACTAATCATAAAAAGTCTGCAAACCCCATCCTCCTCCACAGCAACGTCTTCAAAGATCTCATCTTCCCGGAACTCTCCAACGCCCGCGACGACTGGGACAACCTCTCCGACAATGAACAGCCCTCCATCTCCACCTTCCATGAATGCCAAACATACTGCGAGGAATCCTCGGAGTGCACGCAATTCGCCATCCGCGGCGGTACATGCTATACAGGCAAAACCCCACGACTGGGCTCGAGGAAATCGGATGCCCGCTCTGGGTGGATCGTCAATAAAATAGAACGCATGATCAATCGCGCACCTAGATGCTCGAAACCAGAATTTGGTGTATGATGAGTATGAATGAGAGTTTTGGTTTTGGTTTTGGTTCTGATTCTCGATATATGATTTTCTTTTTCTTTTTCTTTTTCTTTTTCTTTTTTCTTTTTTTTCGCAGGACGAAATTATTCAGAGCAAGGCTACTTGGATGGACACTTAAAAAGCATCTTGCATTCACTGCATTCTGCATAGGACCTTTGTATTTTTATAAGCATTTTTCAATTTTATCCATGTGGGCGTGTGATAACGGTTGCATTTTTTTTTTTGATGGGTTTACAATCAAGGCGTGAGCCCAGTGGTTCTCAAAACTCTTCAACCTGTTTGATCAGGTAGGATTGCCCCCATCCCATATCTACCTTAATCATACTATATATAGCCTATCTCGGCATCTTAACCCAATTGAAAGGAGATATCCTTTGCCTTAACCCTTGAGTGGTGGACTGTCCGGATCCTCTAGGCACTGATCCACCCGCATAATATCGAGATTGATGCTCTTGACGAATCGGATGAATTCTCTAAAGTACTTGACGGTACTCGGGTTCAGATAATGCATCACGACTAAATTGCCTCCTCGTCCCACGTCGCGAAAGAAGGCATCTCTCTGTCTCTCAGGGGTTTTGGTGTCAGCCCACAGCCAGTCTTCGATGTCGACACTCCAGTTAATGATCTGGGGATCCTTGATATACAACGCTAGACGCTGACGGGTCCTTGCTCCAACGGTACCATACGGCGGCCGGAAGTAACGAGCTGTTCATGTCAGACGGCATCTGATCAAGGAGGAAGGGGGGTAGGGCGTATGGTTAACGGGAGAAGTACTCACATTCAATCCCAAGAGTCTCTCGGAATGTCTCAATATTCTGGATAATCTCCTCATCAATACTCTGGATTGTCTCGAGACCCTCTATTCTGCAACAAGTTAACATCCCCCAGAAGTCCGAAAGATTCCATAGTAAGGATTAGTCAACACCTACTTCTGATGTGTGTTTGAATGTAGAGCAATCTGATGCCCACGCTGTAGCATCTCTCTGTACACTTGGGAGAAATTGGCCTCCCGGTCCCGAAGCCCAGCACCCACCACAAAGAAGGTAGCCAGAATATTCTCCTCGTCCAAGATCTTCATAATATCCCGCACCAACCCCGGCATCCCATCGTCAATGCCAAATGCAAACGAGTTCGGCCTCGTACAGCGAAGAAACAGGCTCCCATCCTCAGCCTTAGGAGGTATGTAGAACCCACGTGGAACCCGCGACACAATCTCCACCTTGAACAGGGTCAAGCTTTCCCAAGAATAGAAACCATGGAATGACACCGACATTGTTCGTCTCTGGTCGATCTTGAAATGGTCGAGAGGCACGTAGATATCGTTCCCCCACGCATAACGGCCTGCCTCGACGGTATCCCATGTCTCTAGGAACGGACTTCGACGCGAGTCACACTCCTCATTATGCTGGTTTAGCGAGATGCTGAACTTGGTCGTTCCCGAGAAGACCACGTGAAGGTACATATCGCGGTATGGCTGCATATCAAAACATGTTGCTGGTGCAAGCTGGGTGTGGTAGTTCTCATCTGGGTCGGAGGCATGCAGACGCACATAGCCATCGCCGTATTCGGTTGCAAGGGTGCTGCTGGGCCCGTGCCAGAATCCGATGTTGTTGCGTTCTGCATCGGTGAAAGTGTCGACGATTAGAGGATGGGTGCTGTTGATTTGGTAGAGCTCAGTTGCGGGTTTGTTGATGATGAGTGGAGCCGTGAGGTTAAAGGGTACTGGGGGTGGTGGGAGAAGTTGGATTGCGAAGGTGGAAGGGCGTAAGATTGCCATGAGAGCTGCCCAGGTAATGATGGTTTCGGGGATAGAGAGGATGGCTTTCATTTTGAAGGTTTAGAGAATACCTCGGAAGGGTCCCAATATCCGAATATTATGAAGCTCAATGGACTAGAAATATAGGGTGGATAGATTGGATAGGTTTGTGTTCCCTTGGCCAGGAATTTCTTCAAATCATCTTTTGCCTGTGCATGAGGAGTAGAAGGAGCGAACGACATCACTATCGTTAAGGTGAGGCAGGTGCTGCCTGCGAGGATACATCATGGCCTACGAAGTACGATGTGCGAAGATTAATATGAGAAAAAGAGACAGTTCGATGAGCTGGTTGACTTATTTCCAAAGGAAAACAAAGATTCAACAAAAAGACTATCAGCTAGCCATCTTCTCTGGACCCGCCCCAAACCTCCCAACCAAACCAGCAGTTAGTTTTGCGCCATGCACACGAATTCTGGATAGACTTTCTTTTCAGAGGTGGAAGATGGTCTACCTTGGTCTGCAAGGCTTCCAAGGATGAGCGAGATACCGGAAAGGCAGCCTGCGAGAGCCTTCTTGTCTGCCTATGTTTTGAGATCAGAAGGCCTACTTTCCAGAAGCAGGTACCTCTTTTTCTCTCTCTGTTGAACTAAAGAAACTGAAGAAACTCAATCTGAAACCAACGCTCAGCTAGGGGGCCCGCCTGGATCATCATCATCGTTTCCACTCCATTGCCGTGCAGTTACCTAGGACATGGTACTAAGCCGTGCGGCAAGGTGTGTGGGCGACGAAGTAGTGACAAGGGAGGAAAAGCCCCCTATTCCCACCCGAAAGATGCGGCCGGGGGAGCGACATCAGTAGAAGCTGCGGGAATTCCTCCCCATCCCCCAGTGTTGGCAGCGGTATCATCCTGAACGACGATAGTGTCACCATTATCCTCATCATCCGTATCGTCGTGGAAATTCACCACGCCACCTTCAGGCTTGTAGGTCTCAAGGAAATCGGGTATTTTCTGCTTGCTTTCAATCAAGATCTGGACAAGTTCTGGGGCGATTTCTGAGTCTTGGTCGTTGTAGAAAGAAGTAGCGAGACCTTCGTTACCGATTCGAGCAGTACGACCTGGGAACTGTTTGTTGGTGTGTGTGTTCATTGAAACCGAGAGGACATTGCAGGAGATATATACGTACCGATGCGATGGATGTACTCGGTTATACCTCCGTGCTGGACACGAGGAAGGTCGAAGTTTATCACATGCATAACATTTTTTATGTCAAGACCACGAGCAGAGACTCCGGTTGCAACAAGGATCGGGCATCTAGCGGTACGAAAGGCACGCCTGTATTGTGGTTAGTATGTTAATTCGTGTCGATAGGGGAGGAGTCGACATACAATGCATCCTCACGCTCGCGTTGAGTACGATCCGAGTGAATGGAGGTACTGGGAAGTCCCATGTTGTACAGATAGTCATCCAAAAAGTCAGCCTGGGTCTTGGAGTTGACAAAAATTAAGGTACGGGATGGAGGCATGGCGAGCAGAAGATCGTAGAGACACTGTTTCTTCAGGTTTGGTTCCGCGTAAATAACCTAGGAAAGAGGACTTGGTTAAGTTAAGACGCAATAGAGGATGGAATATTCTGCTCAAGACCTACATTCTGATCCACGTTCGTGTGGGTGCTGCCCGGACGCCCGATGCGGATGCGAACATGGTCCTCTGCAAGAAACTTGCGAGCCAACTGGCGGCAAGACCGGTTGAAAGTGGCGGAAAACATCATGTAACGATGATCAGAATCCTCGTTCATATCTGGACTGTCAGCCGGGCCACATATGATATGCAAAAAATAAGTCTTACCTCCTCCGGACATAATCTTGTTGAAGTCTGATTCCCAGTCAGATAGCAGAAGTTCGTCAGCCTCGTCAATAATGGTGTATCTAAATTAAAATTTAGCTGCGATCCACATAAAAACCCGGGGCCCTTACTTAATGCGACTGAGAGAAAGAATATGAGGTTTATCCATGAAATCCAAGAGTCTGCCAGGAGTGCCAATGAGGATATCACACCCTTTCTGAAGCTCATCTTTCTGATCACGAACAGGTGCGCCACCGTAAACAACACAGGGGCGTAGCATTGAGCGGTAACACAGACGACGGGCCTCATCAAAGATCTGGGTCGCAAGCTCTCTGGTAGGTGCAACGATAAGCACAAGAGGCTCTGCACGAACTGCATCGACAGCGGGATTGAACCCAGCACCTAGATTTGGGCGTGGTGCTGCCAACTTCTTGGCTTTCCCCATCAGCTGGGAGAGGACTGGGATGAGGAAAGCGGCAGTTTTACCAGATCCTGGTCCTTTTTAGCATATTTAAAGCCTAAAGAAAGTATGATTCAAACTAACCAGTTTGCGCAATTGCAATCAAATCATGCCCAGTAAGTACGGCAGGAATAGCATATGCCTGGATGGGAGTAGGCAGCTCGTAGTTGCATAGCTGAATATTTTTGAGGATGATAGGGTGAAGACCAGCGTCATTGAACTTGATCAATAATATGTTAGCAAAGATTCACTGTATTTTCGAAAGGTACCATCATACACTCTTGATTGGTCTAGGACGCTCACGACTCTCAGCAAAAACTTCAATGTTCTGCAAGCTACATAGGGTTAGAGGCGTTGATAGAATAAGAAGCATAACGCGACTTACGCTCCGAGCTTGAGGCCAGTACGGTTAATGAACTCATTGCGGAAAAGCATTTCCTCGAGCTCAGGGTTTTCAGGACCGATATCCCCGTACTCGTCATTCCATTCGTACTTCGCTGCCTGGGCAGCCCACTCAGGGACAGATTCCTGCACGACCTCCTCTGCTAGAGTATCTGCCGGGGGAGGAGGAGCAGCAGTGTATTTCTCGTAGTTGTAAACTTCAGGCTGAGCCCAACCTTTTTCACGAGCAATCGTTGCAGCATCAGCGTTTTTGTTGGTCTGCTCGTTTGTCACATCCGTGAGAGCGGCCCTCATGGCGGAGGGGTCAAAGTTGTCCACGCTTTCCATGGTGATGTGAATAGGGTCTGGATCTGAGGGTTTTGTATTGGAATATGAAACTTAGAAGAAAGAGAGGTGTACTTTAGATCGAGTAGATAGAGAATGGATGACTTACTTTTGGCACTCTCTTATGCTCTGAACCTGGGATTTAGATGAGGAGAGTGAAGGGGTCAGAGAAAGGGAAGAACAGAGGGGCAAGAGAGAGAGAGAGAGAGAGAGAAGAAAGAAAAGAAGAAAAGGGAAAAATATCAGGCATGGTGTTTGAGCATAATATTAGAAAACAAACATCAACACACATCAGGCTACGCAGGCAGCCTAGAAGATAGTGAATACATATAGTATAATAATGTGAATGAATCTTTCCTATAGAATGTTAAATAGAAGAATCTAATCTATAATATTGAGGTTAGCTACCAGGTACTATTAGGATAGCACCAAGTACTAATACTGCTGGAAGTTTAGATTCCATCCACCCGAACCAATGGAGATCCTCTGACAGTTCATCATTTAGGTATTATAATACTTATTTATTAACTGTCTTGATGGTAATTTTTATGATATATGTAGAGAGTATCTATCTCCTAGTGGAAAGAATATCCTAATTGACGTCATTGATCTTGTAGAAAGATATCTTGACTACCACTACCACTACCACTACTAGGTATATCTCGAACTACATTATATTAACACACTTCATCCTTTCCTTCATAAAGTATTAATTATTTACCTAGGTAAACTATTCTTGGTTCCACCCAAATTCTCAACAAAAACCGGGCAGAAGGAGATATACGCCGTACGAACCATCACGGGAACCAGTTCCTCCGACTTGAAGGACATGCGACCAGGAGCTTCTCCTCCCTCTACCTTGCATTATTTCTTACCTCTTATGTCAAATCGGTCGCTTTTCTGGCTTCAATCCTCTCCTTCAATCGTCTATCTGCCCTCTTATACACCCGTACTATGTCCTCTACGGATCCCGCGACCGTTGCTCGTGCCCCCCGACTGGAGCGGGCCATCACCAACCCAGGAACCGTCAAGATCAATGTCAAGGGCGCCTTTATTGTCGATGATGATCCTCGTTCGAAGAGTCCGGTACGGACTGACGGCGTCCATTACGAAGGCCAGGACATTCGTCTTCCGCACCATACAGGCGTCGTGAGCCATGTTGCTGTCGATGTGAGTTCCTGAAGTTTTTTTTCTTTTCTTTTTTCTTTCCCTTTCCGCGGTTCCCCCGCACCTGTTCTCTCTCCCTCCCCGCAATCGCACCCCTTTCCCGACCGTCAAATGAAGGAGACTCAGTCCAACCTAACAATTGATGATGATACTCTCTAGATTGGTGGTTCGCTTGCGAAACTAGTTTACTTTACACGAGAGCTGGACAATCTTGACAACGGGGGCCGCCTGAATTTCATTAATTTCGAGACCGACAGGATAGACCTGTGCCTGGAGTTCATCAAACAAATAAAAGAAGAGCACGAGAAACTCAATGGAGCTGCGAAGGACGAATTATGCGTGGTGGCGACGGGTGGAGGGGCCTACAAATATTATGACAAGCTCAAAGAGACTTTGAACGTGGATATTATGCGAGAAGACGAGATGGAGTGTCTCATTACAGGTATGATTCTTGAAATTCCTACGTACGAACAGCGAACACCAGAAGAAAAACCCCGCTAAATATCATGATAATCCTAGGCCTTGATTTTTTCATCACCGAGATCCCCAACGAAGTATTCACATACAGTGAAATGGAGCCGATGCAGTTTGCCGAGGCCCGACCGGACGTCTACCCGTATCTGTTGGTCAACATCGGATCCGGTGTATCCATGATCAAAGTATCAGGGCCTAAACAATTCCAGCGTGTGGGGGGTACTCATTTAGGAGGTGGAACCTTCTGGGGCATCATGTCGTTGTTGACTGGTGCTCGGACATTTGACGAGATGCTCGCTATGGCGGACCGGGGCGACAACAGCGGTGTTGACATGCTTGTCGGCGATATTTATGGTATGGACTATAACAAGATTGGTCTTAAGAGCACGGCCATCGCTAGTACGTTCGGTAAAGTCTTTCGAATGAAGAATAATGCCGAGCGACACCGCGAGGAGGAAGCATTGCAGAATGGTATGGACCATGATCACGATCACGACCACGACCACGACCACGAGCACACAAATGGCGATGTGATGTTCAAGGGAGAAGATATGAGTAGAAGTTTACTTTATGCTATCAGGTATGACATTCCTTCCGTGAGATAACCAACACCTCTGACCCGTCTAGTAACAATATTGGACAAATCGCATACCTGCAATCCGAAAAACACCAAGTCAAGCATATCTACTTCGGTGGCTCGTTTATTCGAGGACATAGACAAACCATGAACACCCTGTCATATGCCATCCGATTCTGGTCTAAAGGAGAGAAGCAGGCCTACTTCCTGCGCCATGAAGGCTATATCGGCGCTGTTGGCGCATTCCTACGCAGGAAGCCAGCGAACTGGGGCCGCAGAAACAGTATTGATGAGCGTACGGGCACCTTGCCCTATGGCGTGTAAAACAGTTTTCACCCAAGGGAAAAAAAAAGCGTTGGGCTTCTCCTTTCGAGACTGATTCCTCCGGACAGGGCCCATGACAGCATTCATTCAGTTGCAGACTTTGGCTGGGCAAAGGTGTGCTTGCCCCCTTTCTAACCCACTTTGAGCGTTTGATACCCGTCGATCATGTTGACATTCTGTGCATCTTGGTCTCAACATTCCTATGCTTGCAGAATCTGAAATTTCTCTGCGGGTCAGATTCTACACTTCATCTGCGAGCGTGCTTGTATACAAAATGATAATTTTAATGTTCTGGTTTCCGCTTTGGCTTTGATTTCTCCGCAATTTTCGGGGAATTTTTGTTTCTAGATTTCTTCCTTTCCTTAAAAAACTAATATGTGGTGAAATGCATTCTTATTTGTCATGTGGCTCGAGAAGCCTGCAGCTTGAATTCATGTTTCCGGGATAGAGAACGAAATTATATAATAACTTTATTCTCATGAATGTGGGAATGCTTTATATGTATATCAACTACTCCTTCAAAACCTTATATGCTGGGGGGGTTTTATGTCTTGTTCAGTAGAAATAACCAGTTACCTTATAGACAAAACTAAGGACTAAAAAATATGCTTAGACAGCTGTTTTATATGTTAGTTAGTTAGCATAGCCTGTATTAACTAACTATTAGCTTACTATTATTTTATATCTTCGCATCAGTATACAGTTAAAATTGAAATACATTATACATATCTAAAAGGGGCATGGCCTCCGGATCCCCGATCGTCATTGCCACAAGTTGGCCGGAATAGATAGGCTCATCCGTCTCGCAGTCTAAAAACTTAGTATTGCGGGGACTTGCTTTAAGATCAGCGGGGAGGGAGGGAGGCACCCGCACGCATTCGTCCCATATATTGTTGCCTTCATCATCCGTATCACAGAAACCATGATACCATTCTATTACCTCTGACAAGTCATGTGCATTTCCAAGCATACCGGCAGTAGTCAAAGCACATACGGCATTTCTTCCTGAGTACTGATGGCAAGTAGAAGGAATACGTATTGTATAGGGTAGGCCTGTATGGAGAAAGTTCGAAGAGGGAGCCACCAGAACCGCATTGTCAGGGATGTCTTGTCGTCAGACGTTTCAACAGGTTCAAAGGCAAGGCGTGCCAAGCCCCAGAGGTCATGCACAATGGTCGAGAGGCACAGTAGGTTTTGCGGTACCTCTGTGCCCTCGGGACCCATGATGCTCTCTTTCCACTTGTCAATTGTCTTGCGGGGTCAGAAGCTCTCCAGAAGGGTCCAAAAGCTTTCGCGTGCGCTTTCAAGCTTACTTCCAAGCGCAAACGGGTAAATGTGGCACACCTGGATGGGCTCACCCATCTTAGTCACAACACAGCGCCCACCATCTCTTTCATTTGCAATATCCTTGGCTGCTTTAGACCGCTTCTTCAATCGAGGTATTCTACTGGGAGACCTGGAGGTTTCCCTACACTTTCTCTTTTGGGGCGTCTCAACCTGTCCTTTAAGGGTCTCGGGAAATGCCCAGGTGTCCCAGCAGAATACCTCGATTGAAGAAGCAGTCTAAAGCAGCCCTTGGTTGGCCTGAAGGCGACGCAATGACTGTTCGTCAATAGTATCTTGGGCCCACACATCGCAAGCCTTCAAAAGTAGCGCTTGCAGTTCTACAGGTGTAGGGTCGCTATTTCCATGGCTGTTTTTATGTGCTGTCTTCATGTATTCAGTGAAATCACTAGCAGTCAAGGATATTGCAAATAAAAGAGATAGTAGGTGCTGTGTTTTGATATGGTCCAGCCCATTTTGATTCAAGCTTTCTTCTTTTGTCTTCTCTCGTGCCATATCTACCCGTTTGCACTAGGAAGTAAGCCTGAAAGGGCACAGGAAAGCTTCTGGGCCCTTAAGACAATTGACAGGTGGAAAGAGAGCATCATGGGCCCCGAGGGCACAGAGGTATTAAACTGAGACGCGGGCTAAGATTAGACCTCTCTTCGGATGAAAAGTCGGATGCAATACTCCGTAGAAGCCATCGGTAATATTGATCCCTGTAATTTGATTAGTAGGTATTTGATATACCGAGTAAAAAGGGAGTGACATACTAGTTTCTGCTGGCACACAAGATCACCGGGTCAATGTGTAAACTGCATATGTAGAGGGAGCAGAGAGGAGAAGAAAGGAGGAAGTTGAGAGAACTTCCAGGTTGGGGATAAGGAGGTGTTGCTGAATTTAGACTATCCTCAACTAGGAAATAGAGGCCTGTAATTAGTCAGCGTTTGACTATTGTGGTAATATTACCGGATAATTCCGATATACTCACCTACCAGATATTCCTTTATATGTGCTGGACACAATAGGATTATATACACTAGAATTATCTTTTCACTATTGAAAGTGTTGGGTAGATTATTATATTATATATTATATATATGGACCTAGATTGGGAGAGAAGTTTGCAATTCAAAAGGCTTTCCAGCTAGCTAATAAAGCCTTAATATAAAGGCCCTTTCTATTATGGGGTTGAGCGTCCCCGCTAGCGTGCTTTTGTACAAACTTATTGCTACTATAATTAATTCCACGCCGGGAGAGATCTTGGGATGCATAAGGTCAGCAATTTGTTCAATCCTATCCTGAACGAAAGCTGTTTTTATTTCCTTCTGATTTTCAACCACCATGCTTCGAGCATGACCCTCGTGCTGACTTGATGCCTTCTCTCTCCGACTCATCTCGCCGTCCTGTGCCTCCCCCTGTCCCCGTCGAGACTCACCCCAATCGTACCGGCGGGTTAAAGCCTCCATCGGAACACCGCGTCCTTCCAGATCCCACTCGTCTTGCCCCCGAAGATGCTTACTACTCCTCTTCTCTCCTTCGAAACCGGCCTGTCAATTATGATGAGTCTATACTTACATTGAGTGGGAATGCTGCGAGTGCTGCCTCCGTTGCAGCCCTCCGACCCCCGCCCGCAGTTCCGGGTGCTGCTCGAAAGGAGATTCGAAAGGTACAAGGAATAGGGGGACGCAGGCGACGAAAGGGAGCATGGAAGAAATTACTCTGGGTTAAGCAATCATGTATGTCCACTTGGTTTGAGATCACCCCCAATACTTCTTGCGTCGCGCGATGGCTAATTTCTTAGGACAGACCCTGATAATTACACCGACACCGAAACCTTTCTCGATCACCTCCAGAGAAACCCCCGCGTACGTCCCTACGATTTCTGGCCGCTGGTAGCCGACTCGACCGTGATCGTACAGCATGTTTGCTCTGTGGCTATCTTCATTTGTTGCTTTGTCGGGATTGTGCAGGGTCGGGTCAGCCCCGTTTCCGTCGTCTGCTGGGGTAGTGTCGGGACCGCCGTGGGCTGGATTTTGTGGGACTCTTGGGCTTTTAGGGAACATACGGAGAATTGGAAGGGCACTGAACGTGTAGCTGAGGGCGACGACGGGTCCAGTTTCAGTTCTACAACAAGTTCGGGCAACCCATCTTCCACCTCACGCTCGAATGGACAGAAGGATTCGCAGGTTCATGGCCTTGGACTGACGATGTCGCAAAACGAACCTGGCCCACCGCTTCGTCGACAGAGTACAGGATTCAGTGTCGATTCATTTAGTGCCTTGGATCCAGCCTCTCCTCCACCAGGCTATGCAAGTGGGGTCCTCAGTGCTCTTGATCCTTCTCAGGATTTGCATGGAACCAACCAATTCCCGCTATTTTCTTCGCGAAATCGACAGCGATTATCCACAGTGAAATCGGCCTTTCTGATCTACTTTTCGTTACTCGGACTGAGCCCGATTTTGAAATCACTAACCAAGTCGACTGCCAGCGACTCGATTTGGGCGGTGAGCTGCTGGCTGCTAATAATGAACATATTCTCCTTTGATTATGGGAGCGGGGAAGGCGCGGGCGCCACCAAGTTTCCTGCCTCCCTTTCTACGAACGCTGCTGTGATGGCGTCGACAGTGCTTGCATCTCGACTGCCCTCTACTACCCATGTGTTTAGCTTGATGCTGTTTTCCATCGAGGTCTTTGGGTTGTTTCCCATCTTCCGCCGGCAACTTCGTCACATTTCCTGGACCGGACATGTGCTGTTAACCTTGACGTTGGTTATTGTCGCCGGAGGAGCCGTGGGGATCACGCTAAGAGGTGGATGGGCAGCCGCTGTGGTTGGATCACTGCTGGGTAGTATTCTTACGGCATTTGCCATGGGTGGTTGTAGCTGGTGGTTAATTAGCCTCCAGAAGTATAAGAATGTTGTCACAGGGCCTTGGGATCCTGCGCGTCCGATTATCAGGCGTCGGTGGGATTGAGTGCATCGGATCAAGCATTGCGAGGTTGTTCTTTTGTGAGGATATATTGATGCTGGGTCATTTACCCAGGCTGCATTCTCCTATACCCATGACTTGTTGAATTAGCGTCATTAATGCATCCTGTTGATTTTTTAAATCTTGCTTTTATTTAGACTTGGCTCTAATTTTCAACAATGTTTCCAGCATTTCAGCATACCTTCATCTTAATGGAGTTCGAGGGAGTTTTGTGGCTCAGCTCGTACCTTTTGGAAATTCGCCACAATTCCAGGCCACAATCGTTTTTTATCGCAATGGAGAGAAGACCTGTGTTTTTCTCTGCTTAATGTTGTTATATCCAGGAACATACCAGGACCGGAATGCTTGTGTTGCTGGTATGCTATACGCAGGTCTGGAATTTGATTGCAGGAAGCACCATCCAACACAATTCGCGCGAACTCAAAACTACTCCAGCGTATGGCATCTGAAAATGGTATGTCTCACCCAGGCAGTATGGCTCTAATGGGATCCAAGCTCACATCATCATTCATGTTAGATGCCATACTACTAGTATCCCTCGTTAGCTGTATCTATGTTCAGCTTTTCTATGATTCTCGCCCCCCGGGACTCCACCCATCTGAATGTTGCTACTATGCCTACGCATAACCCTAGATTTTAGAGACAAACAGTCTTCCAGGAACTCGGGGGAGTGGGCTGAATGATGAGGGCCCCCCTGTGACCATGGCCTGCGACAATTTTCGTGTTACTTAACTGCGACTCGTGGCCCTTGCACGCTGTTGTTTTTGTTCGACATTCGGCGTGTTACAGTGTACGCGAGAAGGGATTTCGGCTTTCCTTCTCCTTCTCCCTCTCCTCCCCCGTGTCCTCTTTTGTCGGTCTTTATCTTCTGTTGGGCAAATATCATCATGGTCAAATTCGGTCTGCTGGCCCTGGCGGCTCTGCAGTGCGTGGCGGGTATGCGCATGGGCATGTATATTGACGAGTGGGTTTCTTTTCCTTTCCGATATTTGTGTGCGAAAGTACTAAAGGGTTATGATAGGTATCATACTGTTGATTTACCCAGCAGCGACCAGACGCAGGGAATCACCCATGCTATCATGGCGTTTGCGAAATCAACCCTGTTTAACTCGGACTCTCCTCCCCAGTTTACCCCGTTTGAACCAGTCTCGCAAATGCGACAGCGATTCGGACCCAACACCAAGCTGATGATCGCTATTGGTGGGTGGGGTGACTCCTCTGGGTTCTCGGATGGTGCGAAAGACGACGCATCTCGAGCAAGGTATGCGAAGAACGTTGCATCCATGTTGAATAGTGTTGGATTTGATGGCGTGGGTGAGTTACGATGAATTCCTGGTGACAACAAACCCAAGGTTGACTCGAATTGATCGCTAGATATCGACTGGGAATACCCTGGTGGCAACGGCGATGACTACAAACGAGTCCCCAACTCACAAAAAGTATCCGAGATCGAAACATACCCTAAGTTCCTGGCAGCCCTGCGCGCAGCCGTCGGAAAGGACAAAATCATCTCCATCGCGGTCCCCGGTAAACGGGGGGACATGATTGCGTTTACCAAGGAACAGGGCCCCAAGATCTGGCCGTCTGTCGACATGGTCAATGTCATGAGCTACGACTTGATGAACCGACGAAACAACGCGACCGACCACCATACCAGTGTCGCGGGCTCTCTGGATACGATCCAGGCCTTTCTAGATATCGGACTGGACCCGCAGAAGGTCAACCTGGGCTTTGCTTACTATGCGAAATGGTTCACCACGCAGGCGAACGCGGACTGCGGCAGCCACCCGATTGGGTGTCCCGTCGTGGTGATGGAGAACCCAGATGGGACTGACAATGGCAAATCGGGCGCGTTCACATTTGAAAAGGGGACGATGTCTGATCCACCAGCGAACCTGAAGGTTTCTTACGACGGGACCTGTGGCTTTGCAAAGGGGACCAAGTGCCCGCCGGGATCGTGCTGCAGTCAGTATGGAAATTGGTAACTATGCCACCCTTGTCTTTTCTTTTCTTTTCCTGTTTTTGCTATTCCTTGTCTTTAAGCATTATGAAAGAGGCTGCGCTAACGAGCACTACATAGTGGAACGGGTGATGACTTCTGCCAGGCTGGATGTTTATCGGACTACGGCGAATGCAAGGGCATCTCGATCACGGATTCCTGGCGACGGGCGCTCAAGGATGGTAAGACGGACGAGAAGGCTGGGGGACAGTACTACATGGATACCGAAGTGAACCTGTTCTGGACGTGGGATACGCCGGAGCTGATTGCGCGCAAGTTCAAGGATATTGTGGACGCGCTGAAACTAGGAGGCGTGATGGCCTGGAGCCTGGGCGAAGATACGTTGAACTGGGAGCATTTGAAGGCCATGCAGGATGGAGTGAAAGCACGATCGGGATAAGCTATGAGGGTCAAGAATTGTACTTCGTACCTATAGTTATCCCTCGTATACTGAAACCCGTTCGTGGCCAATCCGGTCGCAGAGAACCACACGGGGGCGTCGAGAGCGTTTCGAGCGGTTGTGGCTCTATTCTTCCTACTTGCCTATAGCTATTCAGTATAAAAGTATTCATCGTCAAAAGTGCGGGAGATTTCACTTGTAAACTCTTTGACAATTCCTACCAGTACAATAATGTCAATGGGAAGATGAAGTTATTCCTCGTGTTTTTCTGTCTCTCCTTTGTCCTCCCTATCTCTTCCCTCCCGACTTCTCCTAATGACGGAGATCTCCAACTCCAACATCCTCTTTCTGTTATCAACAACTCTCCAATTTCAGCCTTCCCTTCCGATTCTCGCTCGGATTCTGAAACCACACTCCGTATTACCCACGGCACATTCATCACTCACGCCCGCGACAACAACCGCAATGGCCACACTCACACCCACACCCTCCGCACAGCGCAAAGTCCCTTTCGATGGCTAGATCGATATGCGGACGAACTCTTCGCGGCAGGAATCTTTCTTCTTGTCCCGATCGCACTAGCGATTGTAGAAGTCGCGGAACGGCTGGCGCGACGCCTTTCAGTCGAAGAGTTCCCTGATCGCGGGCGAGAAACGCACCGCTGTATGACCGCCGAAGAGCGCCAGAAGAGCCTCCTTGCGAGACAAGAACGCGAGAAAAAGGCCCAAAATTGCTGGTGGAAGACCACACGAGAAACACGAAATTAGAATGTCTTGTGATTGATTATTTTTTTATTTCTGCTTTTGCTTTTTGTCGTCTGGAATGATACCCTGGTTCGCAAGCTAGTTATATAGTTATTCTGTTTATAATAATACAACATCGGAAAGAGTATGTATGAATGAATGAATTAATTCAACCATTTGATCTCCTCAACAACAGCAGCAGTCACCTCCACGGTCGTGGCTTTTCCACCCAAATCGGCTGTGAGAAACCCAGCTTCGCAGACTCGCTCAACACACTGCATCAGCTTTTCCGCGGCGGGTTCCTCCCCCAGCCACGTGAGCATCTCTGCGGCGGTCCAGAAGGTTGCGACGGGGTTGGCGATGCCCTTGCCGGTGATGTCGAATGCAGAGCCGTGGATCGGCTCAAACATGCTTGGGTTCTGGCGCGTGGGGTCGAGATTGGATGTAGGCGCTATTCCAATGGAGCCGGCCAGGGCAGCGGCCAGATCGGAGAGGATATCGGCGTGCTACACATACACACACCGTTAGCTTCGTTCTATCAAGCATCTGAATAGCGTGAAAGGGAAGAAGGTGTTACCAAATTGCTAGCCACAATCGTATCAATAGTCTCCGGCTTAAGCACCATCCGCGCTGTCATCGCATCGACCAACATCTTATCCACCGTGACCTCGGGGAAATCCTTCGCCACAATGCTCGCTACCTCGTCCCACAGCACCATGCCATTGCGCTGCGCATTGCTCTTCGACACCACCGTCAACAACTTCCTGGGTCTCTTGGCGGCCGTCTCAAATGCAAACCGCATAATCCGCTCGACGCCGTGCCGGGAGAAAATCGCCGTCTCCGTCGCAACCTCCCAGGGCTGGCCCCTGTGCGATCGTCCGCCCTGCCCGGCGTACTCGCCCTCACTGTTCTCACGAACAATCACCCAGTCGAGGTCCCCGACAGCGCAATCGCGCAGGGGCGATTGAGTGCCTCGCAGGATGCGCGTAGGACGCACATTAGCGTATTGTTGCATGGGTTGACAAATAGCCAACCGGAGACCCCAGAGCGAGATATGATCAGGGACATCTGTATCAACGATTATTACCTTTTCTCTTCTATACAGAGAACACTCTGCACCACAGATATATAATAATAACCAAGGCAGAAAGCAAATCAAAAGAAATGCCCATATAATATACAATATAACATAAAATCTAGGTAACCTAATTACATACCTGGTGCCCCTACAGCCCCAAACAAAATCGCATCGTGTTTCTTCAACTCCTCCAGTCCACCATCAGGAATATACTTCCCTGTCTGCTTATAAGTCTCCGAGCTCCAGTCGAGATGTGTGAAATCGAGCGCGAACGTCTGGAGTTTTGCGCTGAGCGCTTGCAGCACTTGCACGCCTGCGCTGATAACTTCGGGTCCGATGCCGTCGGCGGGAATAGTTGCGATACGGTATGTTTTGGTCATTTTCTTCTTCTTCGGTAGTTTCTTTCTGAAGGAAGTTTTGGGTTCAAGTGAATGTCAAGATGGAATAGAGAGGGGAGTGGTTTTGAGTTGGGGGGAGGGGGGGGGGGGGGGGTGTTTTCTAGATATAGTAAAAAATAAATCCCCCCCGCACCGGAGAGTCTTTGTCCGGCGGACTTGGATTGTCCGGATTCACATTTTCTTCTATATAATCAAGTATGTTACTGCGCTGTAATTATAAGTAATAGCAATAGTCGTAGAAATAGTATTATACAGTATTATACACATTAACCTCCTTAAATAACAACCAGTCATACGAAATTAGTAAACTCCACTACCCCCCTCATGAATCAACCAAGGCCCATCCGCCAAACTCCAAAAATCACCGAAATCCATCTCGCCACCACCGTTAGTCCCCGGCGGAAATATCTCGGGAAGATTGAATTCGCTAGCTCCTGGATTGCTGGTGCTGCTCGTGTTCATGCCCGATATGCGGTCTCCGAATATCATGGATGAGTTGTTCCATTGCGTACTCCCTGCAGCGGTGGGTAGACTATCAGGCAGCAAAGGGTCTCCTGGCGCTGAGGACCCTTGGGGTTGTGGCTGGGACGGTGCGTCAATGGGAATGCCCGGGTCGAGGGCATCATTGCTGAGAGGGCCTGCTATGGGTGGTTCGTGCCTCTGATTTGAGGTGGCGAGAGCTGAGTCGAGGTCGCGGATGGCTTCGATGCAGGTTTGAGGCCAGGTGCTTCCGCGACGGGAGAGGGCTTGGAGAATTGTGAGGCCGCTTTTGGAGTATCTGTGTTCCCCCCTCGGATTAGTATATACTGGCTGAAGGAAGGAAGTGGAAAGTTTACCGAGAAGCCGAAGGAGCCGGAAACTCACCCTCCCATGCTGCGTAGAGCAGGATTAGACAGCTCATCCATACAGCCCAGGTGAAGGACGGCCACACCAGCGGAACAGACGTCTCCGAGAGATCGCTGGAGAGGTACTGCCGTAGGGAGGTGAGTAAAGACCGCGACGACTCGATGCAGATCTGCAGAGCCGTGCGGTACTCCGGTGAAGATGCCTTAGCTGCCAGCAGCGGGCGGTTCATGGAGATGATGGATTCGTGGCGGAGAACGGTGAGGAGGAGTCGGTGGAATGGTGCGAGGGTAGGCTCTGCCGGGTTGCTGTCGTCGGCGGTTTCGATCGGGTAGACGTCGTCGTAGACTTCGTTCCACCATTGAGTTAGTTCGCCGTGGACCTGAGTGGCGTCAATCGAGTCGTCTCTGTGGAGGATGGATTTGTTGCGGAGTTCGACGATGCGGCCGCGGACGCGGGCAAATTTGGCTAGGTGGGCTAGGAGGCGGAGTCTGCTGTCTATGTCTAGTCAGATTAGGTTGAGGATAATATGGTAAGAGGTTGTGGGAGAAGAGCGCACCCTCGTCTGCGAGGCCATGTCGCTCTGCGTTAGGGTAGCATACGTCGATATCGTCATCTCGAATGCCAAGGGGAATGCCTAGTGCCTGAGACAGATATCGTTCAAGACAGTAGATAGACCAGAATAATCGACGACGAGTGGCCATTTCCAGAGGGCTGAAACAGGAGAACCGTACAGGACAGCGGTGCAGGCCTAGATGGAAGGCTGTGCGGATGATGACCCCGCCAACCCGCGAAGCAGCATTCAGTCGTAGCAACGAAGTGAGGAATAGCTGGACGCTGAACGCTGCCTGGAGGATGGATACGGTTGGAGGATCGCAAAAGAGGGTGTGTAAACTCTCCATGGCCTGATGCACGGAGCCAAACACCAAACCTGGCAGTACTCGGGGCTGTAAGCCAGCTGCATTGATCTGGCGACGGTCCATCAAGGATATGGACATAATTGAGCGGACGAGGATCGCATCTGCAGCGGGGAGATTGCTGAACCCGTCGCGACTGATTTGCTCTAGGATAATGAGAAATGCTGGTCCGGAGAGAAAAGGAAACATTGGATGCCAGCTGTCAAAGTAGCTGCGACACCACAGCACCAGCGAATCGAAGGAAAGTGAAGACGAGGCGGGCTGGAGATCCAGTTCATGGGGTAGCCAAAGATCGCGACAGTATTGATGGTGCTGGTGCTGCAGCTGGTCGTCCTCCCCCGGGACTTGCGAGTCTTTGGAGACCTGCTGAGGCTGGTTCAGATGAGCAGACCGACGGGCAAAAGCATTGTAGACGACGCGAATAAAGTGGATGCCACTGGAAGAGCCCAGGAACGATGCGGATCCGTTGTCCGTCGACTTGCGCATTACCCCAAGCTCATGGGCGCGGGTGGTAAGTTTCTGGCGTTTCGCAGGAGAGTCATGGTTGGAATTGCCCGAGTCCATTAATTTTCGTCAGTTGGCGGTTGTTGATCCCGTAGGATCTAGATACATGCAGAATTGAAAAGAAACGAAGAGGTGGAAGTTCAAACATCGGCGCTGGGATTTTCCAACCGGGCATTTTCTTCCCCGCATCCAAACGGATCCCCAGATTCTTCTCAACATTGCCATCCGGAGTACTTCTAATATACATGCATATAATGTTGGAGTGCTGCACTCAGTGAATGCAACCAGCACCACCATAAAGCAGCATCACCATAAAGAAGAAGATAGCAACACATGACTACTCTGTATATTTAGGCCACTGTTTCCTTCTAGATCTCCATGCTTCCTCCAAGTATCTCTCCTTCTCTCTATTTCCTAGTTAGACCTAATTGAATCCATTTCGGTCAACTCTCTACTATTATAGTTTAATAACCTTTATCAGGTTATAAGCCCTCCTTAAGGTTCTATTTTATGCTTTATAGATTTCTAAAACTCTTATCATACTCCTATACCCCTGTATAGTAATCTACTCCCTAATTAGAAAGAGATCCTGGTAAAAATATTACCTACTACTATTATATTATACCACCTATACTACTATTGTATTACTCTACCTGGGCAATAGTATGTAGAAAATCTCTATAATTTAACTAAAATAATAACTAAATCTATCCCTAGCAGATATCCTAATATCCCTAATTTACTACACCTATTTTTAATAGCTACTACCCTATTTACTAATAGCTAAAATCAAGTAATAAAGCTAAAGAATAGTATATTTAACTTAAGCCTGATAATAATATTAAAAAATAATTTAAAATTTGAAATTTAGGCTTTATTTATATAAATAAAGCTAAGACTTTATAAGATAGATAAGCTTCTTAAAAGTAATATTCTTAGACTATAACTTAATAATCTTAAGTATAAATTATAGGAACTTCTTTTATAAATAGTAACTAGTTAAATACTATATTTAATAAATAAGAAACTAGTAAAGAAATTATTAATAAATACTATTTTATATATCTTTATAGATAATTTTATATAGAAGTTATAAAAAATAATAATTAGTAATAGTTAAAGATATATATACTAGATATAGAGAGAAGTTATTAAGATTAAGTATAAAAATTATATAATTATTAATAAGTTTATATTAGACTTTATCTAGAAGATAAATACTTTTAATAAGTTAAAAATAATTATTATATCTTATTAAATAATTACTATAATACTTTAAGAGCTTAAAAGAAATAATATAAACTTTATAAATTTAATCTTAAATAATTTAAGTAATAATCCTATTAAAATAATTATATAGAAGTATTTTTATACTATATATAATATAGTAAAGGATAAAGTTTAGGAGAATCTATTATTTAATATTATATTTAATACTATAATACTAGCTATGTGTCATGGCGCGAAGCCATAGTACCTATCTAGTTAGATTCTGCCTTAACTGTCTACCCTTATCCCTGTATTTAAGCTATATTATCCTTGATCCTGTTATAGCTCTTTAAGTTATATCCTATCTATTACTTAATACCTACTATTCTACTATTCTATTTAGTTAGCTCCTAATTAATAAATATCTAAATCTAACTCTGCCCCCTAATATTACATAGCTCCTCTCTACTAGAAGTTAATTACTACTATCATGCCTGCCTTACTACCCATGCTATCTAAAGGTATAGAAACCCTCCTATATAATACCCCTAATAAATTAAAATAATATATTACTAAGATATACTAGTTCTTTACTACTACTATAGAAAAATTCTATAAATTATCTACTTTATACTCTATTATTACTAATCTTCTTAATTATATTTAATAGAAAGATAGTATAATTAAGTACTAGAAGATATAAGTTAAAGAAATCTAATAAGAGCTATTTAAAGTACTTACTTAGAATAATATACTTTTTTAATTACTATCTTCTTTTAAAAAAGATACTAATATTACTACCCCCTCTACTACTACTACTACTCTTACTATATCTATTCCTACTACTTAAATCTCTAAATAACTTCCTAACTCTAATAAGTTTAATAATTAATAAAGTAATCTAAAATACTTTACTTTTTAAATTTACTAGAAGATAATTATAAATCTTAATTATTTTCTAACCTTAAATAATAGAATAACTTATATAACTAGTTATCTTAAAGAAATCTTATATACCTAAATTTTATTATATATTTAAGATAAAATTTATAAATTAAATAATTATATTAAAATTTTAGAAATCTTAGAGAAAGTTTTTAGAAATCTAAATCTAGAAACTAATATTTATACTAATTTATTTTATTTTTAATAAATTTATTATAAGTTTAGTATCTTTTTTACTAAATTCTAATATCTTATATTAAAAAGAAATTTAAATAAAGATATCTTATTTATAATTCTAGAATAAGTTATTAATTAAGAATTTTAAGAGATATTAATATACTTTAAGGTCTTATTATAATATTATAACTTTACTAATTATCTATAAAATCTAAAAAATTATTATTATTATTATATAAGTATTATCCTACCTTTATCTATAAAGAATTTCTAGCCTCCCTAACTTATCTTAAAGTTAACTTCTACTACCTAAATTCCTGTAGTCCCTATTAATCCTATTATTACTACTACTCCTACTAAAGACCTAATAGACTTATTTATTATCTATTATCTTAATTATTAAACCTAATACCTATATTACTACTATAGTAGTGCTAACTACCTAGTAGGTAGCTACTTATATCCTAACTAAAGACTAACTAGCTATATCTTTATATTTACTACTAAACTAGATCTATACTTCCTATTAACTAGAATCCTACCTACCAAATATCTTATATTCCCTAAATTAGAAAATAGAGTATTTCTAATCTAAATTATAATTAAGAACATCCTTAGTATTCCCTCTATCTATTAAAGGCTATAATAGCTAGAATAATAGTAAAAGAAGAAAGTTATTAATTTAAATTAATAATCTTATTTATTAACCTAGAAACTCTTAATAAGACTCTACTAACTTTTATAATAATTAATTCTAGAGTTAAGAGTAAATATTTTATAGACTATAATTAGGCTATAGATAACTAATTAGAAATATTATTATTAAAAAATCTTATTTTATTAAGGGAATTTAATAATACTCTAGTAAAGTTTAATTATATTACTTATTTTATTTATTTAATCTAAAAAATTTATAATTATACTAAAAAAAATATTATTTTTCTTATAACTTAATTTATATACTTTTTTATTATTCTTAGCTTATTTTAATTAAAGACTTATAATCTCTAGATTAAATTTATTAATTATATTATTTTATTTAAAAGCTTTTATTATAAAAAATACTATAATATATCTCTAAAACTTATAAAAATTTTAATATTATATAATATATTATTAAAAGCTTCTTCCTAATACTTTAACCCCTATCCTAAATCTTTAAAGAATTAAGATATTACTAGAGTCTTAGTTATTACTTATACTATATATACCTACTATAGATACTAGATATTTATTACTACTATTATTAATATTAAAGCTACTCTAAATTCTATTACTATTATTAAATCTAAGCTATAAGAATAACTACTCCTTAAATTTATTAAATTCTATAATATATTCTTATTAAAGAAGGCCGAGTACCTACTACCCTACTAATCTAATAATTATAAGATTAAACTATTATCTAAAAAAACCCTATCTTTTAAGAGCCTGTATAGTATATCCCAAGATAAATTAAAAATTCTAAAGAAATAGATTAAAGAAAATTTAAAAAAAGATTTTATTTACTCTAGTTTTTTTCTTACTATATTTCTTATTTTATTTATAAAAAAATCTAGAGAAGGCTTATAATTTTATATAGATTATTAAGTTCTAAATATAATTATTATAAAAGATTATTACTTACTACTACTAATAAAAGAGATATTAAATAATTTAAAAAAGATAAAATATTTCTTAAAAATTAATATTATCTTTACTTTTAATAATCTATAGATTAAGAAAGAATAAGAATACCTTATTACTTTTTAAACTTAGTTAGGCCTATTTAAATTCTTAATAATACTATTTAAGCTTACTAGAGCCCTAGTATTATTCTAGAGATTTATTAATAAAACTTTATATAATTATTTAGATATTTTCTATATTATATATCTAGATAATATTCTAATTTATAGCTAAATTTATACTAAATATATTTATTATATCTAATAAGTATTAGAATACTTATAAGTAATAAGATTTTATACTAAATTTAATAAATATAAATTCTTTATGCACGAGATAAAGTTCCTAGAACTAATTATAGATAGAGATAGCTTCTAAATAGATCTTAATAAAGTAAAAATAATTACTAAGTAAAAAATACTAACCTATTTAATTAATATTCAAGCTTTTATTAGCTTTAGGAACTTTTACTACTAATTTATCTATAATTTTTTAAAAATTATTAGACTATTAATTAACCTAATTAAGAAAGATATTAACTTTAACTAGATACCTATCTATTAAAAAGTATTTAAATAATTAAAAGCTACTTTTATAAATACCCTAATATTAAAACCTTTTAACTAGTTAAAAAATATAATTCTAGAAATTAATATCTTTAATTATATATTTACTAGAATACTATTATAATATAATAATAAAGATATATTATACTCTATTATATTTTTCTCTAAAAAATATTCTATAATAGAATATAATTATAAGATTTATAATAAAAAATTATTAGTTATTATTTATTATTTTAAAAAATAATATCTTAAACTAGAAGAAACTCTATTACTTATAAAAATTATTATAGATTACTAGAATCTAGAGTATTTTATATTAATTAAGCTACTAAATTATTAATAAGCCTGCTAGTTTAAATTTTTATTAAGATTTAACTTCTAAATATATTACTACTCTAGAAAGTTAGGTATTAAGCCTAATATATTAATTAGGAGGTTAAAAGACCTACCTAAAAAGAAGAATAAATAATTCCTTTATTAAAGCTAGACTATTTTAAAATCTAAAAACTTACTACCTAAGATTACTACTAATTTAAGACTAAATA